GGGGGCCATGGCGGAATGAAGAGAAGTAGAAAGAAAGAAAGAAAGGGGAGAGGAAACCAACATATCGAGCTTGGCAGAGGGGAATTCAAGGGAGGGGGGTTTCGGATATATGGATAGAAACCTGGTTTCACTTGATTATGTTTGGGTTTGTTGTTGGGCATTGCATGACATGGGATGATATGGCATGTTTCAGCAAGAATCTGCAGTGATGGCTGAAATCTTCAGACAGATATCTGGAATTCGACATTGTTGGGGGAGCTGTTTGTACGAGGGCAGTGGTAACTAGTGGTGATGGCACTGCTAAGGCTGAATTTGCCCTGGTGCGTTACTGTTGAGTTTTCCATGCAGTGATGCGGGACAAGAGTGCAAGGAACTAGTTAGTTAATTACGGATGGAAGGAGAATCGACACTCCACAGCAGCAGCAGAAGCAACAGCAACGATAACAACAAGGGGGAAACTGGAGGAAAGGAAGATGTATCCTGATGCGCCAGCCAGCCAGATGTTGAGACTGGGCTTATCTATTGTTGGGATGGGTGGATATTGACTAAATGCCATGTATGACGTGTGGTAACTTAAGCGACGAAAATAAATAATGAATACACAAACTGGGAGACTAAACAGAGAATACATTCTCAACTAAACAATTGAACATGCTAGTTAAACACAAGCACGCAATAGCAGACAATGGGAATTCATCAGATGTACATCGGAAACATACACATACACGGGTATTCTTTACTAGTATTATATACGTCCCCCAGTTTACCCCGCATTCTGTGCCGCCTGTGGCTGCGGGCTTGTGCGAGGGAAAGTAGTCCGGATGTACTGCGGCTGTACTGCGCATGAAGTGCAGATGTAGTCAGTCTATCTACGGACAGCTCATTGTTGCTTCAGGCAATGGGCAAACAACATTAAATTTGAACTGAGGAGGGCTCTGTTGTGGTGTTTATACTCGAGTATGCAACACAGTACCAGGTTGCTGACTGTTGCTGCTACTGCTTGCTGCTACTACTACTACTCACCATGGATGATAGCATCTCTGTGTGTTTATAATACACCCAGCATGATATGCCAGTATACAAGCATGCTACCTGATCGCTACCGGGGCCTTGTGTCGGCGGTGGTAGATAATGTAATCGTAGCTGTTCCTGTTCCTATTCCTCATCCTAATCATCGTCATCCTCCTCTCTCCCACTGACCTCCCCTCACCTCACCCACCTCACTCGATCTCTTCTACTCTCTATGTCCTGCTGTCACTGATGTGATACCACTCTCTCATCCTCCACTTCTCCTTCTCGTCCGCTTCCCGGTTGTGCTGGTGGTGTCGCCTGCCGGGAGATTCGATCCCTCTCCTGTCTGCAACGAGGAGAACCTTCAAAGCTGTCGTGAGTTGCCTATCTGTCTATCCCCACGACCACCACACCAAGCTCTGCCTGTCCCGTCTACTCGCTCCAGCTGTCTGTCGTGCTCTCACCCCAGCGCTGCGTTCGTGTGGCGTGGGAACCAGCCCTTTCCATACTTGCTTTGCTATAACTTCCGTGACTGTGGCGAGGCGTCGGGCCAGCACGTCTCAACCAAACACAGTCCTGCTTGACGCTGACTGTTGCTACTCCATAATGTAAAAACTAGATAAGGGATGCACCAGCGCTTGCGCTCTCTCCGCCTCTCTCTCTCTCTCTCTCTATATACATAACGCTCTGCTTCGTTCTCTGCTTCTCCGCTTCTCCAACCTATCTATCCCCTACTCTGTGCCAACCATGGTCGTTTCCTCCCCGAAGCCGGCTCATGATGCCTCCAAATCTCCAGTTGAATCCCCCTCCGAACGGTCTTCCCCCTTCTTCCATAACACATACATGCGTCCCGCGTTACCTTTCATCAATGGCGGTTTGTCCGGCATGACAGCAACAGCCGTCATCCAACCCATTGACATGGTCAAAGTACGCCTGCAGCTCGCCGGTGAGGGTGCCCGGCAAGGACCCCGTCCGACTGCTCTAGGTATCGCAAAGCAGATCATAGCCTCAGGCAAATTCCTAGACCTGTACACCGGTCTGTCTGCCGGCTTGCTTCGGCAAGCCGTCTACACAACCGCCCGCTTGGGCTTCTTCGACACCTTCACAAACGCCTTGAAAGTCCGTGCTGATGCTGCGGGAAAGAAGGTCACTTTTGCCGAACGCGCCGCAGCCGGGTTAGGAGCTGGCGGCCTTGCGGCCATGATCGGGAATCCAGCTGACCTAGCTCTGATCCGCATGCAGTCGGACGGTCTCAAACCCAAAGAGAGCAGAGCAAATTACCGCTCCGTCATCGACGCTCTGGCCCGCATCTCCAAAGCGGAAGGCATCACTGCCCTCTGGGCCGGCGCCCTACCCACCGTCGTGCGCGCCATGGCTCTGAACTTTGGGCAATTGACTTTCTTTGCCGAGTCCAAATCGCAGCTGCAGGTCCACACTGACCTATCCGCCCAGAACCGAACGTTTGCCGCCTCCGCCATCGCGGGCTTCTTTGCTAGCTTCATGTCGCTCCCCTTCGACTTTATCAAGACGCGATTGCAGAAGCAGCAGAAGGACCCGAAGACGGGTCAGCTCCCCTACAAGGGTGTGCTCGATTGCGCGAAGAAGGTCATTCGGGATGAGGGCTGGTTGAGGTTCTATCGCGGGTTTGGAACCTATTACGTTCGCATCGCGCCGCACGCGTGAGTTTTCCCCTTGTTTAAACCGAGGTATCAGAAAAAATCATCTTTTCAGCCGTCTGGTGCAACAATGGAGAAGCAGGGATTAAAAAAATTCGAGAAAAAAAAGAAAAATGCCCCCCTGCCCCACTCCATGTTTAACCGTCGCCCCACCCTGCGGCCTTACGCTAACAAAATTTCCCAGCATGGTGACACTTATCGTCCTCGATTACCTGAATGTTCTCACACAGTGAAAAGAAAACACAATCGGAATCACAAGAGGGACAGAAAAAAAAAATAAAAGAGAACCAAAAAAAATAAAGAAATCAGATTCCTCTCGCCCGGTAGCTATAGTAATGATTACGCCGTCCCTTTCTATCCCTCCACCCCTGTCTCTATCCATTTCGGACCCGAGAATGCAATAAAGAACGAAACGAAAATATGATCCCGAAAGAACCCGTGCTTTCGTCCGTCCAGCAACCGACGTCACAAAAAAAAAAATTTTTAAGCCTTTGCCCCGCGACCGGCTCCAGGCGTCCCGAGAAATTATCAATAAAATGAAAAAAAGGGAGAGGGGAACAGGAAATTCCAGCAAACTAAAACAAGAAGAAAGAGGCCAACCTGCGGACAGCTTGAGAGCATAAGCAAAAGGAAGCGCAAACGCTACATACCACACTTACATTATACATACATAACTACCTGCCATGTCATGCCATGCCATGCGATTGATTGACCGAATAGACCATACTTACTTACCAATATATTCCCCCCTCCCCTCGGACTTGTTTGCCAAGTTAACCAGCTATTTCACAGCAATGTTACGATGTTGTGATATATCATGCGATAACTCCGCAAACCATGATGCGAGCTGCGGTGCGGGGGAGACACGGGTGCGGGAAACCATTCTTACAGCATATCAGTATACCTTTACCACTTTTCTCCTATTGTCTTCTTTGCCTATGCCGTATGCCCCTTACTATTCCATGCCTAATGGCAAGGGCAAGGGCAAGCTTGTCCTGATTTTTCTCATTCTCCCGTTTCTTCTTCTTTCCTTGCCCGTTTATATTTTCTATACTATTTATTTATTTATTTATTTATTTGTTTATGTCTTTGCCCTCAATATCAAGAATTCGCAAATTCAAGGAAACGCACGGAAGCAGGTGCGTTGAATTGTCGGTATCAGCGTCAGTGTTAGCGTCAGTGTCAGCAGTCAGGTATGCAGATAGCACCAGTTTTCAACACGAAGTTAATCAAACGTATCTATATCTATATATCTATATCTATATCTATATCTATCTATCTAGATATATATTATCAGATCCTAAAACATAAATCCTGGGTCAGGGGATGCCCTCGTGTATGAGCTTATTTATCGCCGTTGGGAGTAATAAAAAGAAGTCAACCAGTCAGCGAGCCATCAAATCCATTTCTCTTCCGTGAGCACGAGCACTTCTTTTATCAAGTAAAAAGTGAAATAGCCTTTGTGCTCATGAGAGTACGGTGTGTCTGCAGTTGTGTAGTCTTCTGGGGGGTGGACAATGTTACTTGTAGAACAGGAGCAAGAACGAAGGCAAGGCAAGGGCAATTCCAATTACAATTGCAGAATGACGGAGATGACAAACTCTTGGAGGTTGGTAACTCGAGAGTTTGTGATGCTGCCTTTTGTGGGTGTGGGTGGGTGTGTTTCTGCCAATGATCAAAATCTGAACGAGTGCTGGGTCAGTCATATAACATGTCTGTATGTCTGCCTGTATCTCCCAATGCTGAATCAATGTCATTGAGTGTCTTGGGTGGATGATGGAAGGCAAGAAGAGCTTCGAACGGGCTTTTTTTTCAACGCCATCGGGCGGCTTTCATGGCTGTGATCTCCTCGGTCGACATTGATATAGGGGCATAGAACTAGGAAGAACGGCAAAATTAGTTCTTGCTATACATGAAATGCTCATCACCACGATCATGTTCCGTACATAGTGCCCGTTCTGACTGGCTGGATATATCACTGTTGGACCCCATCACGGAGTCTTCAAGAACGCCAGCGACAATGTTGGGTCGCTAGGTGAACATTTGAACATGGGTAGGAAATTAGCTCCTATCACGGTTAGAACCATGTTCGATGAGACGGCCCCGTGCCAACAGCGCCCATCGCCTGGACTGTCTATCGACTCGAGTAATAACGATGAGTATATGTTTATGTTTACATCGCTAAGAACAATTTAATTACAATGTCATCGGATATGACGATCAGCATTTGTCATGGTTAGCAATCACGTCCAACTTTTTTCTAACCACGCCACGTTTAACTAACTAAATGCCATAGTAGAACCCGGACAATTCTCAGGAGTTCAGGCCTATTGTTAGATTATCGGGCCGAAACCTGCACCCGACCTGCTAAGTTGCTGGTGCCCCGGTCTCATCTCAGCCCGAGATATCGAAAATACCCTGCATGCAGTGTCATCGTTTCATCGTGTGTCCGTGGCCTTCCAATACTTGGTAGATCGATCTCCTGTGCTCTCATGGCGTTTGCCCAAACGGTTACTGTGCACATTCTTATGGGGAGGATTGCGATGTTGAGCATCTTTCAAGCAACAGACGGTGAAGATTTTAACTTGATCTGAAGCAACAAAAATATTCCGGATTCGTCATTCTCTCTACTCGAATGTCATCTCGAAATTCTCAATATGCTGATTTGGCGCCATGGCAAAATTCGAAAAGATAAACCAGTTCTCGGTAGCAGCTTTTGCCTCGCTGATCAGACTGATTATTACCCTGGAGCTATATGCACTGTCCTGTACGGCGTACATGCTTCCATCTGAAATCTGCCCTGCGCAGATTCCTATTGGTTGATCAACAGCTCCCATCCCTGATAAATATCGCCCAGCAAGACAGTTCACGCCTCTCTTTGTGGATTGCTATTTCTCTCCTGAGAACAGTATTGATTGGCCGTGTCAAGAGGATATCTGCTGGCTAGTCGTGCTTGGTCACCAACGGCCGACAATGTACCTGCGTTGTCCCTTGCATCTTACCTCATGGACGATACACTCTCCCCCCACTGTCCCTATCTCCACATCGTTTCTGTCACCCTTGATATTGACCTATCAAAGATGCTCAGCGTGCTGAAAGAATTATCTGACATGTTAAGTCGTGAAACCTCCAGGAGTGACATCGCTGTCCTTTCCTCATTTAAAATCAACTTAAAATCAACTCCCAGCAGAGTCAACTGCCGCTACTGCTGTCTATCTCCAATCATAATGGAGCTGGAGGCCCTTGTTCCTTACACCCCCGGTGTGAGATCCAGAGACCAGCCAGCTGGTGATTGCAGACTGCCTGCAAAGAGCTTTTATATTCCGCCATGCCTGCTCTGGATCTTGCTTTCTGCTGGTGTCTACCTACACTTGCCTTGCCTCATCTTGAGATTCGCTGGCAGTGCTTATTTATCGTTTCCTTTTTGTATAACCAGTGGGAGAACACCGCAAGCCCAAGATGGGGTTGGTTACTGTCTTGTCGCAACTGATGTTGCTTGGATTGGCAAGCTCTCAGATTGTTAAAGATCCGCTTATGGAACGCGTTCGAGATTTGGATGGGGAATTTGCTGCTGCTCTACCAGACCCGCAGAAATACACTTTGAAAACATGGCCTGCGGAAGATAGTATATACTTCTCCTCTCCTCTCACCCTTTCTTGTCCTTCTTTTCGGTTTTCGCTCCCTGATTGATTTGTGTGGCTAACTCGGCCTGCTTTCCTATTAGTCACTCGCCGAGGGATGCCACCGGACATTGCGTGGGGCGGAAGTGTTAATGAGCCACAAAGCCGATTCTATTGCAGAGATGATTTTAGTATTTACAATGTTACCTTCCCTGATGTGAGAGGCCGAACTTTCGTCCCCAATAACTAACCCCCCTTCTTTTTCTCCCCCCCTCGTTTGTGGGGAATACGAACGAAAAGCTAGAGTTGCCTAATGCGAGTGTATAGTGCCCCGAACCCTGGCTTGTAGGCCACTGCGCCAAGGCAGAAATGGACAGAGAAGCCAGCATGAACCTGATCGCCCGCCTCCCATCAGGTGCTCGTGCGGCAATCTCTGATCTTCTTGTAGTAGCACTTGAAAAAGGTCTCGTTCTTCGACATGGACAGGGAAATTCTGCCCTTTTTGGTGGAGTATTTCGACCGGCAGATAGTCTCAAGATGCTGGCAACGGCAATGTACCATGGCTATCCTGGAATCCCAAATGATGACTTCGTGAAAGCTGTTGCTGCCGACACATGTGTCGGCGATAAGCCTGCAGCGGACAACTTGAAGAAAGATGGTTCATATCGAACAGCCATCGAGAGTGGCTTGATGATCGCTGCCTACCTGAAAATTGTCAAACCTCCATTGGATGCAAGCTGCATGAGGAATCAGCTCAATGTTCTCGAACCCATTTTGAACAAGCTATGGGATGCGAAGACCGGATGCCCTAACAAGGTAGCACCCAAGCTCATCCAGCATAAGTACGTACTCGCGCACAGAGTATCTTTTTCTATTTCTTCTTCTCTCGAGATGGATCATAAATTAACAAATAACGATCCCATTAGGTCGGTTCTTTTCCGGAATGGGTTAGGGGAGCTTGGGTCCGATCCCATTCAGGGTGCTAAATCCACAGAAGTTACTAAATGGGACAAGTCTGAGGGCGTTCCCGAGTATTGCTGGAAAATGGCAGAAGGAAAAAGGGATGATGGGAGAGTTAGGTGCACAGCGGACCGTCTCGACGTCTACAACGTGACCTATTCCGACTGCCTTGATCAGGATCCCTGGGCCATTTGTCGCTGTAATGATGCACAGCAATCACTGGACAAAATGGTGGAGTATTTCGGTCGAGTCCCTGCAGGGCTGCGCAGCCGTGTCCGTCACCTGATTGCCTTTGAGGACAACTCTCCTGGAGGTGTTAGGGTGGGCCCCTGGAATATAATTGCAATCTACGGCGATGCGAGTGATAGTGTGTACATGCATGAGTCAGGCCACTGCACAGACCGCGACTTTTCTCGAAGTGAGGCCTTTCAGAAGGCTAAAGCAGCAGACTCATGCTGGCCGTCGGAATATTCCAGATCAAATGATCGGGAGCTGTTCGCTGAGCTTGGTGTGGCATATCTCTATGACAACAGCGGCAAGACGCTGCGGGAGCGGGGGTATGATGCATCCTGCCTGGGAAATGAGCTTAAGGCGCTGGGAGAATATGTGGGCAGCGAATACAAGAAAGGCAGCAAATGCTTCAAACGGGAGCCGAACTCCAAAATCATCCATCCCGCTGAGGCTCAGGCTGGGAGGATTGAGGCTACGACAATGAGTGAAGAGTTCGATGGTACAGTTGAGATTGAAACCTTTCCCTAGAGTCCCGTCTCTCCGTCTAAGAGAGACAGACCGGCACGCATAAGAAACCGGATATAGAATCTTAGTCCAGTGAATCCTAATTAGTTTGGTCTTCGTTGTGTAAGGGAAAATAACTACTTCATGGTCTGCAGTTTGGCGCTCGTCGTCGACACTTGGGCTCGCTTTAGTGCTTGGGAGCTCGTTCTGTTCTCTTATAAGAGGTGTGCAAGGTATTAATTTGATAACTCGTTGACTACTAACTAGTTATTTGACTCTATTTATTAGTTAATAATATTTATCCAAAACCAGAGATAGCTTAACTACTCAGTAAGTTATCTAACCCTAACAATAATATGGATTAAAACGGCCAGAATCAAGCCTTGCAGTTATATATTCATCTGTAAAAAAATTTTCCTCACGGTAATGATTTTAAATGATATTTTTATTTGTCACCCGAGGTTGAAGTTAAGTATGATAAATATTCTAGCTAATTAGTCAACTAGTTAGTTGATTACAATGACTAAAAATGCCCCTTTTGCAAATCTCATTTCTATAATTCTATTTCATTTCCCTTTCTTTCTCAATCATGTTTCACCTTTGCTTTATAAATAAATATTTGGGCTGTATCCAGTAGCATACTCACTACAAGCCTCTTTCCTAACTTCATCAAAAAAGTTCACTTGACAACTTTTTGTAAAATATTGCCTTCTGATGGAGGTGGAAGGTTGGTTCATTGTAACTATCTAGCGGGCACAGCACTGCTTAAATAGGTGTGGCATTCCAGCGAGCAATAGGGAACCAACACCTTCAGGCTTAAGCATGTTCACAAGCATGAGCTAAAGTTCTCATAACAATAATTAGAAACATCTAGAGCGCCTGGGCTTAGTTAAATGCATACATAGGGGTCTCTTATAAAGCGCTATAAGCGCGGACAGGATACCATAGCCTGGTTTAAGGGTCGGGTTCAACTACACCGATGAAGACAGCACGCTCAAATAACTAACTACCAACTTGCATTACTAAACGAGAGTGTAAAAAAATTTAAAAGGGATAAGAAAAACAAAACAAAACAAAAAGCAAAAGAGGTGTGTAAAAGAGTGCAAAACATTGAAAACAGGCGCATCTGAAAGCTGCAAATGGAAAATAAACTGGGAGTGGAAAAAAACAATAATACAAGCTCAGTAAGCAATTTAGCAAGTCATGGGACAGTAAATGGTTCGCGAAACTCATTCTCCAATGAGCATATAAGAGATATAGGAAGGTTGGTAGTTCCACTTGCACTCAGAAGGGGCTGGATTCACCGGGCCATTTCCCATTCATGTAGTCGAAATGGAAAGTACAACTCAAGTTCCTTTCATGACAGTGTAATCATTATAGGCTTGGATTTAATCGTGCCATGATGAAAACATCGTTGAGCTACTGGGCTCATTTGCTGGCGCGGGTGGTAAGAGCTAAGAGGATGGGGCATAGTTTGCGGATGGAACTTTCGGAGTTAACGTTCCAGGGACCAAAAGATGCTATTCGGAGAAAGGACTTTTTATCTGCTGTTGGATCGGTCTCTTCTTTCAGGAACTTAATGTAGTCTTCATCATAATCGGCAACAGTAAGGAAGACCTCATGGCGATCTTGTGACAATAGTACAAAACTGGAACGCAAGTCAGTAATATCCTAGACTCTGTGGTGTTGATTACTTTACCGATTGATAGAGGGATCCGGGGCTTCCTTTTGTGCAATCCAAGCTATCAGTTGGGTGGTCTCCTGCATTTTGATTGTAGCCTGGTACGCGCGCCGGAGGTGGGGCTTCACCTCCACAATAGCCACAACGTCTCCAGTGCCATGCTTTCGAAGACACCCATCAGTCCGGGCCTCCAGAGTTCTAGACCCAAAGGGATGTTTTATCATCCACCGCTTCATGGACCACTCCGCGGTCACTTCTTCGCAGCCAAGGCCAAGAGCATTGAGAAGCAGGATGAGGAATGTATTGACAATAGATTCATCCTCAGTGCGGGTATATAAAATGTTTGCGGCTGTCACTGAAATAGCTGAATGGTCACTAATGAACGATGCGGTGTTGCCTGGGTCGCTGTTATCCGTAGACATTGGGGAGCCATCGCTGTCGGGAGTTGATCTCCCAGAAGTCTGGTGGGTGATGTTGGCTCGATTAGCAGCTCGTAAGGAGGGAGAAGGAGATTCTTGATCCATGGGGTCTCCATCTGAGGAGCTATATGACTCGGTGGGCGAAGGTCCCCGGGGGACTAGTGATTCAAGTTGAAAGTTAGGTTGTCTCATAACCTGCTTGCCCGCAGCGGCCGCGTCGAGAGCCGCGGTCCGACTTCGGGTTCGGATTGGGGTTACATTGACCTTTTCAGCAGCATCCTCCCTGTCCGTGTTGGTAATTTGTTGCTGGAAATGCCTGACGAGAGTAAAAGCGCCAAGATCAGGAAGCTTGCCGAGCGGTCTCCCCCTATTGGAGAAAGCGTCAATGTCAGCAAGATACTCCTTGTAAGGACTACTCCGCTTCAGACGTGCTTTCGCTTCCTTGACATCTTCTTGGCTGAGACCCAAGTCTTCCAATGAAACTTCATCGGGACGATAATCCTTCCAATATGATCTAAAGGTCAAATAAACGTTTGGATCCATTTTCGATGCGGAGGGAAGCTTCGTGGAATTGGCAGGGCAAGTGCAGGGATAGACTCCGTCGACACCAGCAGCTTTGGCCGCTGCGAGCCACTTAGTTTCATTTGTTGGGATTTCGAAAGCCATGAGTGCAGGGAATTAGTTGGATAAATGAAAGCACAGGGTATGTGACACAAGTTTGTGAGAAGAATGCCCAGTGTGCGGTTTGGCGGGCTGTAGTCAATGGGATATAGAACGCAGGGAATAATAGACTAGACTCTTGATGATGATTGAAGGACTGAAAAAAAAGATACAACGAAGACTCCTGCGGGAGCTATATATGCTGTTTCTCGACGGCCGTACAAGAAGATATCGGGACAAGGAAATCCTGACTATAAACCACATCGCAGGGAAGGTGTGAATCAATTGGGTGTTATCTTGCGGCAAATGCACCCCCCTAGCGCTTACTGCGCAGATAATGAAACATAAGAGTTGGGATGATAGGTTCAGGTTGTTATATCAAAGGGTAATGCTCCATGGCCGGCGCTTAGGCGTTCGCCGCCGGTGTACGGTTGTTTCCGGTACATCGCTGCTGCAGAGGAACCGAGTGGGCGATAGGCCTAGACAATTGAAAAGTTACAAAGGATGCGCATTCGCTTGCTGAGAGATGAGATTCGCTGGACAAATTTGGAACACCAACAAGAACCCCTTGACAAAAAGAAGCTTGGAATGAGGCTCAATCGACAGCAGGCGATACGCGGAGCAAGCGGCCTTGCTTTGCTCCCGGAGAGTGCCAGTGGTTTCATCCATGGGTGTTGGCGGTTGAAACATCAATTGGGTACTAGAGCATGTCCATCCTAGCCTCAAAGGAATGTCAATGCACGTCCGGAGTGAGTCACCCGGAAGTGCGCAGGCTGGTTGTTGATACATATGCATACTTAACCTTGTTGTCGTCCGCCTCAAGATCTTCGATCACAAGAAGTTCATCATCAACAAGGCAACCAACTAGGCAGCACTTTGGAACCGCATTTTTATTTTTCCGGCCTCCCTCGACTTGAACAACAACGGACGCGTCCTAAACCTGCCAACAGCAACACTTCGGATTCCGATCTCTCCATGCCCACGGCGCAAGAAACCCCCCTGTTGGCGAAGATGGGACCGCCATTGCATGACGACCCATCTAAACAAAGAGCCAAAATCAAGAGGCAGTGGTATCGCCAGCTGAAGAGCCTAGTGTCACTGCTAGATGAAACCCCAGACCGTCGTCTACTAGACCGCGCCGAGCAGCAGCACTTGGGAATCCGCCTGCTCAACTCCTCCTCTGCTGGCGTTGACGATTCGCCATATCCTGAGCCTGAGATGCGATACTTTACGCCAATTCTTCCCGAAAACCTTCCTATTAGCCCCTGTTGTCCATCATTTTGGACCGGTAAAGGAGCTTCACCTCATAAATCTCTCTGGCCCCCGACTCCTTTGCCTTACCCCTTAGGCGATAAAGAGTTGGAGGCTTACTATGATGGGTGGGATTTGTCTGCCCTCATAACAAGTCATTTGGGTACACTGCACTCCGGGGGTTTCAACTCACCATGGAAACGCACAGAGTGAGAAACCTTCTTCCTCTCTGATTCTACTCCCTCATCCACTGTTGAACACAACATTTACACCATAATCTCCTGCCTGCTAGTTCTGGCGTGCCACGCCGTCGGGGTGCTATATATTGCGAACGTGGCGGCGAGCAACAGTTTCTTGTTCGTGATGTGTTTGACATGTTCTCAAAGCGGAAACCACATCAGATCCTTCTCATGGTATCGTCCCATCCGATAGTAGAGGGTGACTCCCTTCTTCGATCCGAACTTCTTGCGATGACCAGTTACATGAAATGGAAGATGCGGGTGATGGAGCGTGAGCAGTCTCTCGTGTGTCCGGTGAGTACTCGCATCATTCCGAAGGGAGGCCATGTCGGTCCACGCCGGAAATCGGAGCAATTAATTAATAGCTGATGGTTTATCCACATGCTAACATTTTCATTCTAGGTTATGGTGATCTCAATTATGACACCATACAAAGTTCGCATTCTCCAAGGTCACTTCGATGGAGTTTTAAATGTCCATGTGAGCAAGGTGTTTGATTTTGCTGTGGATGACCATGAGCCTGTGATGAATACTATTATTGGCTATCTCGTATCAATACCACATGGAGATACGGCTCTTAGCACGCGGTTTCCTATTTTGCGACACAATGTTCATGTTAGCGATGATAATAATGAGAAGGATGCAGACGAGGCTAAGAAGGAAGCGGATAAGAAGGAAGCGGATAAGGAAGCGGATAAGAAGGAAGCGGATAAGGAAGCGGATAAGGAAGCGGATAAGAAGGAAGCGGATAAGGCAAAGGAGAATGAAATGGCTGAGACCAGAGCTTCTGAGTCTTGATTTGTAAGGCGGGTTTCACGATTAATGTATTCGACAATATCCCCAAGCTTTCTTTCTTTCTTTTCTTTTTATTATTTCATTCAGTATACCTATTTTTTCTTTCTTTGCCCCTGTATTTTCTTCTGGATAAACATCACAACGCTCAAGAAGCATGATGGCTCACTTAGACTTCCTATTATATACTAGACCACGCCCATATTGCCATTTTCGCGTGATGAATTCGCGTAGACTCTAGAGAGTTAGATGCCTTGACAGAATCCTTCCTTCCTATTAATCCTTCTGTTTTTGTACCCTTGTTACTCCCTTCCCTTTGGGAACTTGTTTATTTTTATTTCTTTCAAAGGAAGATCCCTTTGTTTTCTTTTGTTGTTTTGCATTTTGTTTACTCTTAGAATACAATGAAGGAATAACAATAATATAACGAATCCTTCAATTCTTGTTCCTAATCCTTGAGCTAAGCACATCTGTGGGGCTTACAGGGCCGCCGTTCTTATTTCTCCTCCTTCCAAGGTTTCCATGACGCAAGCTTGGAACCCTATTCCTCGTGTCAAGAGACATCTCATCCTTCATTGCCCCAATCCCAACCCTTCATCTCGACAACGCGGCATGGGAAGAGTCCCGGAAAGCATCGACCAACGTGCCCGCCCGCACCAGAGGGTCCAATTATGGTCAATGGCTTGAGATGGGTTGGCAAATTATCTGCCTTCTGGGAAATTTGGGGTAGAGATATCTCAGGCAACCCCGCCGTCATCGGAGAGAGACTGGTAGGTTACCTCCTGTCGAAACATGAAATCCAATACTCTATTTAGGTGTATCTAATCCGTAGTTATTGCAACTTTAGTGGTTCTACTGTCCGAATACTCAGTCTCAAACCATTAAAGTCGACCTAACAGGACTCGAAAGAAACTCCACGGAAATTGCTATTAAAAGCTCTGTTTTGGCCCAGGCGATACACGGCTCACGCGCCCACCTGGCGGTCAATCGTTGTTACGAATTTCTTACAAATTGGTCTGCAAAAAGACAAAAAACTTAGCATTCATTCATGACTTGTGTGTTACATTTTTTTTTTTTCCTGTCCCAGCTATCTTGTATGATTAATGAGGGATGTGTTCAGCTTTAATGTGTATAGTAATGCCCACATTGTATTATTAAAAAGTTTATTGCTACTCAACCCATGCACCCGTGTTTGAAGCACCGCAGTGATTAATGGAGCAACGGAAGTTTAATCAAAGACTATGATATAGCAATCTTATAGAGATCTTACCCGCAGATAGGCGTGTAGCCATAGATCTCTATACTAGAGATTGCCCACGTGCATAGGGTGTTTCATGGGCTTATTCCTAAAGGATGGTTATCTGTGGATACTATAGGAGGCGATCATTGGACTTGGGGGATCCCGCCAAATTAAATCGAGGACAGTGAAGGTCTGTCCATCACCCTCCGGAGCTCGGGAGGACAGGTCGTAATGAGCGGACTGCGATTGCAGCAAGGGGGTCGAAAACTTGAAACAGTACGACTGAGTATATGTACTCACTGACTCTTCCTGTATGTTTTTAATACCTAGGACAGGTTTACCCAATCCCGACCCCCCATGGCTACCACCGAGACTCCCCCTAATAGCTAGATCCACGCAGCTTTGTTTGAGGCTCAAGCAACGCGAAAATATTACCGTTCGATCCAAGAGGTACACACATCCCACGCCGTTTTATTCTGCCAATCGGAAGCACTTTAGACACTTGCATGGAGGTCCCTCCCAGAGACCTTACTGTGTATCATGATAAAAGCGTGTTTGGAGAATTCGTCACAGAAATTCCTCCTTTAATTGACAGAGGAAGCTCTAGCCGCCATAGATTATGGCTTGGGTGAGTTCACCTTACCTTGGAGAGACCCTTTACATCGTCTAAATCCCTGACCCCGGTACAGCCCGTCGTTTTTCTGAACAAGCGTGCGCTATGGGCCTGATAATTTGGGTTTTTAATCTTGGGCCCCCTCTGCGGTACTTGCCGCCCTTCGAGGCGTAGCGCCCACTGCCTTGGCTGGCTGGCATGGCTAAATACTGTTTGGTTGCGTGTGAGGCGCGCGTGGTGGAGTGCGAAAGCGAGATGGAGAATTTGGCTGTGGTGTTGCTGAGTGCTGGGGACGCAGAGGTCGGGGAGGGTGTCATGATGAGGATCGGAAGAAAACAAGCACTAAAGGTTGGAGTTAAAAAGGTCGGGTTAAAATCCTAGTCCATGATGACAAACGTCTGGGAGCTTTATAAAAGCTAAGTGGGAGGTAGCAGTTTAACAAGCTAATCAAAATACTTTGAAAATGTCGAGAGTGTAGAAAATGAAGGTGTTTATTCAAGTATAAGGGTATGAGATGTACGAAGTCGGATACCAGAGAGAACAGGGAGTTCATGAAGTAAAGATATGAAATTGAGATAGATGGGTGGCCTGCACTGCTGCTACCATTACTTAGAGTAATGGACCAATTAATCAAGCAAGATCCACCATCTGCGTATCCGGCACTACGCTGAGCTCTCTCGATCCCTCCCGCTGCATCCCGTTTTCCCTCTCAGCCTTCACCTCCGCTCTCCCCTTGCCCTTGCCCATCCTTCCCACGCTGCCCATAGCAATCCCCTCCCCGTCATCATCGCCATAAACATCTTCCCCCTCCCTATCCTCACCGCCTTCCTCCTCTTCCTCCATCCGCCTCCTCTCCTCCGCTCTCCTCAGCCTCCTCACAGCAACAACATCCACTTCAAGATCATGCATTGAAATCGGCACTGAGCAAACAGGGCAGTCCACGCATCCAACACGCTTGCCAGCCGGACCAGCACCATTAGTACCATTAGCAGGAATAACGATACGTTTCTTACTCCGCTCAATCATCGCGACGATCGCTCGCCGCTCAAAGCTATGAGGGCATTTCTTGCTTTTAACAGGCTCTGTGAAGGGGAGGAGGGTTATTGGACAGCAGAGAGAGGCTCGTTCGCTACGGATAGCTAGGTCGTCGTAGTCGTCTACTGTTGATCCTGCGTTTCCGCCATTCGTACCGCCGGTGGCATTGGTGGTCGTAACTTCGCTAAGGGAAGCCGTGGTAGGCTGCTCAACGTCTGCGAACCAAGTGGACGGGTGCGGGAGAGGCGGGATCTCATCGCCAGGATACTTTGATTCGTGCACTATGCGGTAGAATCCAATGTATTTGTCATTGGTTGTGTAGCTAGTCGATTGGTGTTAGTATCATATATAGAAACGCACACGTGTTTGTATATAGGGCAAACAGGAGCGGAATACATACCGATCCGTCAACGACGTCCCTTTCCATTGAGCCTTCTTCTCCTTCAGTTCCTTCCGTAGCACTTTGCACGTTCCACCATTTCGTATGTAGAGAGGCTCCTCGACAACTAGCTTCTCTTCACCTTCACCTTCACCCTCATCTTCATCTTCCTCATTCTCTTCCCCTGGCCTCCTTCTCATCTTCCTCCGCTTCGCGTGCGGCGCAGCAGGTACCACCATAGCCGCATCCCGGTGGATCTGAATCAGCCCATCCGTCAACGAAACGGTTCGGACCTCCGCATCGACAATTTTGCGCATCTTCTCCTCCAACTGGTCCGTCACCGTCTTCACGCGCTTCTCCAAATCAACAAGCTTATTACTGGCCTCGTCACCCTCCCCATCACCCCGCTCTGCTACCTCCTCATTCTCCACATCTGCAGCTTTCCTCTTCATCCCCGCCCTCTTCGCCTGCCGTGCCCTCGCATCTACGAGCCGATCATTGATCATCCCCGCACACTCCGTCAGCGCCTGAGCGGCAGAAGTGAGTCGCGACTGCAATGCCGCCAGGCGTGGAAAGCGTGGCAGCTGGCTGAGTTTGTGTAGCGCGCTGGCATTGAAGGGTGCGACTTGGGGCTGGTAAGGGGGTGGCTGGAGAAGGGTACCGCGGGTGGATTGGTCCTGTCTCCGACTGCTTCCTCCATGGGCATCAGAGAGGCGGGCTGATCTGCTGCTTCGAGGTTGCTGGTTGGGAGTATTTCGTGAGGGAAGCGCAGCTCTAGAACGAGGTGTGTGATTGGCGGACATGGTCTCGGCTCCTTGTGGGCTAATGGGGATGCTTGTTGTTGAGAAGAAGGTCTGCGAGTTCAACCAGACTGGTTCAGCAAACAGATGGAAGCTCATATGGGAGCTGAAGACGTGACGCGATCGCGCTAAACTCCTCTGCGATTCACGTGATCGATACCACATCTCAAACTCAATTTCGACAACTATGGATTCAAATAGGTTTATAGGCAGGAGTAAGGGCAGGCATATGATTATATTCATTCATATTCTACCATTTGACTATGTCTTTCTATGAGCCTTCCCATTGTCCCAACATCACCGATTTCCTCAAAAGTGCTTTTAACAACAATTAGCAATGAATTTAATACATATGATGTATGCAGAGGATGGATAGATACTAGTAAAGTGATTTTACACTGAATGAATATATCATACACTGCATCATGTCTAGTCAACGGATGTGAGCATCTAGATTGTGTACAAAAATGAAGAAAACACGACCAATCCACTGGAAACCTACCAGCTACGTCTGCGTGCATGTTTCAAGTATGTGTAACTTTTAGTTATATGATGTTAGTGTATATAGGGAAGCATTAAATGTAAGACCCCAAATGTCTGTAAATGAAAATGAATGAAACCTATCCGATGGGAAAAGATGCATGGCGTGGACGCGAATCACTTGAATAAGAAGGCAATGGCATAATTGGCATCATCAAACTTTGTAGAAGCAAAAAGCATGGTAAAAGCCTACAGGAAAGGTATGTTAGTTGACTACGTCTTAATCAGCCCGGAATAGTTGAAATGAGTAATGAGAGCATACTAGCAGCTTCCAGTTCCTCATCTTTCACAAGCATAGGCCCACCCCCTCGCGCCCGCACGCCCATACGCTCACTAAGCGGTCCCAGGATAGGATCGTCCTTCTCCTCTTTCCATATATCCAAGAAAGGCTTGCGGTATTGGAGCTCCAGATTGTAATCCTGCGTCAAACTGAAGAAACAAATAGAACGGGTCAGCACCAGGCGGGTATAAAATTAAAACGCATATATGTGGCATGTTACTCACGCTCGAAAAGCTTCCCACGGTACCACATATTCTGGGATCTCTTCAACGGCCTCTTCCATGAAATAGCTATATTTCCAGCCAAACGCAGGGCGAAAAATGCCATCCACGGGCGTCTCTCCGGGAAACCGGACACGATAGATACTATTCCCCCATTCGGGCACCATCATTGGCGATTCTTCTACCTCGCCATCTTCACGTTCGCCAGTATCACCAAGTTTCGCAGCTGCGACAGCAGCTTCCTGCTGTTTTTTCTTCTCATGGAATTCTACAACTTTAGCGCTGAGCACGTCTGAATTGGGTCCCACGCCAATGAACCGGCCGCCCTTCTTCAACAAACCTGCGACATTGTGCAGCATCTGCCGGGCCTTTTCTTCGCTCTCAAAGGCATAGTGCATGCTAAACATGGAAACGACAATGTCAAAGCCACCGCCGCCCCAGCGAGCCGCCATCATCGACCCACCAGGACCAACACTTCCATCAATACCAACTTGTTGCACAATCGGGATATCACCCACCCATTCACCGAAACAGTCCTTAGGATAAAATTCCGCATGGAAAAGCTGATGGCCTCGACGACTCATCCTGTCTTTCCCCCTTTTCATAGTAATGTATCTCTCGCGAGCCTGTTCGATAGATATTTCCGCAGGATCCAATCCCACATAAAGATCTACTGGTTGTGGTGCTTGCTGCCACTTGCCTAAATCCCCACCCTTTCCACATCCCATGTCGATGACGAGCAGTTTCCTCTCTTCCGTAGGCTCCGCGCCAGCCCAATTCCTCCCATTCGCTCGAGCCAAGAATTCCTCATCGGGAGAGAACTTCTGGATGACAGTGCTTTTAATCCAATTGTTAAAACTGCGCAAGCCCTTTATCCGGCTATCCGTCTTCCGCCATTCCCTGCCTCTTTCTGGAACCGCGTTGTAATGTTGACGCACGACGTCATGGACCCCGCGCTCCCGTAATGCGACCTTGGCTTCCTCTTCCCTCTGCCGTTCTCGTTCTTCTTGCCTGCGTTTCAACGCTTCGAGATTTGCAGAACTGATCCGAGCAGCTCCGCCTGGTCTCTTTCTTTGTCTTGGAGCGGAAGCATCAGGAGATTCCGAACGACGGATTGGAGAAGGTGACCGTTCCCGACGCGTTTGGATGCCTTTATGTCTGAGATCGGGAGATCGGGAGCGACGGGTTGGGGTGGGAGAACGATCTCGAAGGGAGTAAGCAGACGGCGGAGCTTTAGCCCTTTTTTTATGCTTCAGTGAGCTTTCTTCCTGTCGTTTGCGCTTAGACACCGGTCGTTGTTCGGGAGAAGGTTCTGTTTTCTCTGGCGGGGGTTGGTTTTCGGGGAATTTTCTCTTTTTTTCATTGTTATCAGCTTTGTTTTTTCTTCTGTTATCGTACGCTTCGGTGTGTCCATCGTGAGTCGGATTGGGGCTCCAAGAAGGAGATCCACCATTGCGCGGCAATTCATCTATATTAATGGTAGTGAGTATTAGAGGATGTTCCTATATTGTCGCTAAATATCTCAAGAGGGCCTTGAGAGATAATCACCGTGCGCTGTATCGGAGGAAGCCCCCATTTGAACAGTAAGAGCAACGGAAGGGCTTTGTTTGTTGTTATGGATGGATTGAGCCGAAAGAGAGACCTCCGAGGCCGGTTCGGTGCTTTTGTTATTGTTGTGAGGTGAAGAGAAGCTTCTTTCAGGTTTTGAGCCCCTGCCGCCACTATCGATAGTTTCCTGCAGCGCGGAGTGGATGGGCGGAGTGCCCTGCAGAACCAGCCCGCCAACGCGTCCAGATCAGTCCCACCTGGCGCTTTAAAGCTAAGAAGAATGGAGGAAAACCAAGCGGACCGAAACATGGGTTAAATTAAACCCCCTGGGGCAACGAAACATTAAAACCCCGAAATAAGCAAGGGCATACCTTTGATGACTCGGACAAAGGACTCTTTTCTTCATTATTATGAGCAGCAGTAGATCCTTGATAATGCAAAGCTCCATCGTTCGTCTCTTCCTCTTGGCCTAGCTCATGAGCGTTGATATGCTTCGCCGCATTGGCTAGCTGGGGGCTATCATCAGAGACGGTATACATATCTCGGGCAGGATCATACATGGTAATGGACGCACGCCTTCTGTCAACAGGCATGCGCGCACCCATGTCTGTATCTCTGCAGTGTTTTTCTGATTGCATAATGGCAGCTGGGGGATGAAGTGATTCCGCACATCAACGAGTCCCCCATGCAATGGATGGATGGATGGACAAAGCAGTCACGTGAAATTTGAAAGGCCCAAGTTAATTAGAGTTTTATGCCTTTCTAAATGCACTCTAGCTCATACTTAAAGCTCCTAATGTCAATGGAATCATTGTGTAGACTCAAATAATACTATATTGAGGATAAACACGATGGGTATAACATAATATACATTGCAAGATAGAAGCTGAAAAGGCGCCAAAGATTAAATCATGTCATATATATAACAAGCGATATAAATTCTCAACGTCCCCCAGCAACATATTTCGTCTTTTTCGGGCTCTTCACTTGCAGAGACTGCCTTACTCTCCGCAGTTTAATCCACCATTCTCTATCCCGCAGTTTTCGCTTTTCGTCGTCATCGAGCTTGTCTTCTGCTGGATTTGCCAACGATTCCTGATTTGCTGCCTCAACTGCCTCAGCTGGCGTCGAGGGTATATCACCTCTCGTCCGCCGACGATGGACAGTCTTAATTGCCTGGGCCAAAATTTCCCAGCCGCTCTGCCGTTTCCCGTCAAAGCCATGTAAGACAGGTTTCCGGCCTCCACTCTGTGTTTCCGGGTTGACCCACGGGCAGTAATCCAAATGCTCGCCAACAACATCAAGTTTTGCATACACCGATATACTCCCGTCTTCCTTAGGTTTATACATCCATAAGCCCAGCCGACGGAAGCAGGCTCCGCATGTTGCTAATCCAGCCCCAATATCAGGGGTGGCATCCCAGCCAAAAGTTGCAAGTGCAAATGCCGTTTTATTAACTTTGCCATCTCCATTTTGACAGGATATATTGGTTCGACTAGAGTCGTGATCGATAGGTTGTTCGGGAAGTTTGTCAGTGGGCTGTCCGGTCACACACTCTAGTGCATCACTCAAAAATGTCGGAGGTAATATCCTGAGTGTTTCGTCCAAATCTAATTCAGATGGCAGTTGGATGTTATCGATTGGAGGTAGTTTAGACTCAAGACTGGCAAGATTCAAATAGCGCGTGTGTAAGTTATTTACTGCTGTTTCCGGATTTGTGAGCGGCAGCCGCTGTATGGTATCTGAATTTAGATATTAGCAAATCCTGATTCTATTTCACCTTCCAAAACGCGAGTTAGAATTACCATCACAACCGCTTTTCCGCCACGGGCATCGTTCAGCATGCCCATCTGATATTAGTTTAGAATATTCCTCCACCAATCTAGCCTCTGTTTACTAGTCAGAAAAAAAACCAAGCAAAAAAAAATTAATCGAAAGATCCCAGTGTATCAGGTAGTAGACATACCGACTTCCCTACGCTCTATTATTTTGTCCGCCTCATCCTCGCCCACGTCGTCCACATCTTCTGGGAGCTTCACAACCACAGCACAACCACAGCCACCCACACATTCCACTCGCATAACATCCACGCACGACCAACCCCGTTTCGCCCATTGAACCTCATTTATAGGAGCTGGTTTTGGGGACCATCGATCCACCCTGCGGAACGTTTCCAACCGCTCGAGAAACCGCTCGCGGTCCCAGGGAACGAAATTGGGGCGAGGTTGCGGCGATGGCTGCTGAGAAGAGTCAAGAGATGTATTGGACACAGATTTCCTCGCGACCATACCGTCGGGATTAGTTTCTGAGCCCGAGGATGCTACCCGTACCCTTTTGATCGTCGGACACTGCGCTGGGGTGTCCGAGTCCGTTTGGGAGGCATGAGGTGTAGTTGTCGAAGAGCTTGCATTGGAAGATCTCTGTAAATTGGCACCCGATAACGAATCAAGGACCCTGTGGAACTTCCGTTTCTTCGTAGCCAGCGCGTAAGACATGCTGCTAATTATTTTGGCAGTTGTACAGCTTCCCGGGGGGTTCATGCTGAGCGCGAGATGTTTCCTGGGATGCCGATTTTGCGTCATGTGACTTCATTGTTTATCACCGTACAAACACGCGAAGTCAATTCATTGAAGGAGCATATTTCAGTCTCAACTCGACAGTTGTTCGTCATAGATTCTCAACCCAAGCGAGATGAGATATGATAAATAGCCGAATCCTTCTGGTACTCAGCTCACTCCATGGCCGTTTGATTACTGAACTTTTGAAAATAATCTGTCATTATATGTTCCCATGATCTGGCGTGCGTTGGTTAAATCCAGGCTTTTAATAACCTGCGATTTGGCTTCCGCGAACATAAGGTCCTGGTACGCATATTGTCACTGGAACTCCATTCCCTTGCGGCGCCTTTAGCATCACTCTGTGAGAAATGCCTCTCAGCAGCAATAGACTATGTCCTAGTTGCCTTGCATTGGCCTTGCATAAAGAGACTACAACATTTTCACTGTTATTAGGCATGAGGCATGTTATGCATGTGTACATTTTCAACTCTCATTGTCTATGATTGTTTGTACCATAGCATACGTTCTGGGGGATCCTTTCGTACATTGCATTGTTTTTGGATTAATCTCATTCAGCATGCGCACATCGCTTTCAGGGGGCACCCACTCCCACATGAAGATATTGACATCTTCATGATGATTTTATTCATATCAAACACAGAGTGAGCTGGGTCATGATGCCTAGTATATATATATATATAGGGTGGTGCTGTTGTTTTTGAAACCTTCACTCCATTTTATCGCAAACTTCTACAATACCAGCTTCTGAGCAATACTGAAGTACCCTCCCCTACTCTTGACAGCCAGCCCGGTTTAGCAAAAAGCCTCTACATTCAAACAATGAAGGCAAAGGAGTATAGTTCTCTTCATTGAACCCCCCATTGCACCTCATTCTCAAAAAGATATCAGGCCACTTTCCCTGATTCAGAGAAGCCATCTAACAAAGCTAGGAAACACACGGGGCATTCCCTCTCCCATTCCTCCTTGTCTGTGTCTCACTTATCTGCGCGAAGATAATGGATGGGCAAATAATGGGAGACAGCACAGTCGTCAGTGAGGAATGATGGACATGCCAACAGGCTGACAGCTTCCATCAGATAGAATCCTCATACACCCTTTGCGTGCCGCCCAACCCATAGCTATGAACAAATCGTGTCTCAATAATAATATTTCATACATTAAGTGCTTCACTTTTTCTGCGCCGAAGGACCCGTGGTAGTCCCTCCTTGTCGCTTATATTTCCTCGGATCTATCTCCATCAGCAAACTAAATCAACTATACAGGGGTGGCTAAAAGTGAACCCAAAAGTCACGGGCAACGGCTCAAACTATAGTAACATACATATACGTACCTTTCCGATTCATGCGTCTCTTGTCTCTTGTCCCCTTGCCCCCTTCCCAAAACCCACTGCCAGCCCTCCCCACGAGCGTCGAGTGGCAGATACCACAGCTATCCGGGCGGTAGATCTGTTCGCGGGAGCAAAAGCCACTACAGATATGTAAGTAAAATAACCGCATGCAAAAGCTTCCCGCGAAGGAGCCATCACGTGGGAATTGGCTGGTCATTATGAAAGTAGGTAAGAGCGTGGAGGAACAGCTTACCAGATCATGCGGTTGGCATGTTCATTTGGATGGTCAGTCGCAGCGTCATGGCATCTGTGAGGAGGTATTAAGTTTCCCGCCTCCTGATTGAACTGAAGTGGCTTAACGTACCTATCGCAAGGGAAAACCTTGAGACAACAAGAAAACCTGGATACAGGATGAGCCATCAAAATACTAAAAGCTAAGGGATGCAAAAAACAGTCATGTAACGAGAGTGAGCGTAATGGGTGGAGTAGACTGTGGAGTAGACTGTGGGTTCTTGCAGAAACTAACTACGTAACTGCATGGGAATGGAGAGGGTCTCGCATGAGCTTAATTAGAATGGGGTTCAACCATATGACCGCAAAACGTACCTAAACCACCGATAGCTCTTCCCATAATGCGAGCATCGGCCGCGACGAGGCAATTCCTGCCCAGCTACAATCCCCAGAATCTCCTTTGACTTCAAAGTTCCAAAAATGTACATGTCAGTAAAAACAAAGTATGTGAAACTTTCCAAAAGCAGATATTGACTATCAGAAAGTCTGTACCAAGCGTAACAGCTGGAATTGAAAATCCAAAAAGACTGTCTTTTGAATCCGATGGAAAAATTACGCACCTTCTTTGCCTTGACAGGAGTGTGAAATGTACCTGTTACAAATTAAGCAACTGGTCAGTCTCGATGTGTTCCACTCGAGCAATATTGAGCAAATGCTTTGGAAAAAAAAGAGAGAGAGAGGCAAAAAGTGAAAAATTCCTGAGAACAGCGGGTGGGCATCAAAAACAGAAATGTACGTCAATTAGTTAAAATGAGGTTTTATGGACACTCGCGCAGGAGCATGACCTTTTCCCAAGGGCTGAGGCAGAGCCGAAATCTAAACTAGGCAAGGATGCCTACAAGGGATAAAACCAAGCCTGAAATCAGATGCAAAATGCATGAAGAAGGGGAAAAAAAGCCAGGCAGCGCACGACACAAAAATAAAAACAAATGGGTGGAGCTGAAAATAGAGTATCAACCCAGGGTTTCCTCAAAAGCCGAAAATTGGGCAGTCGTGTAAGGGCCGGCTAACCTCGTACAAGGGCATTGTTTTTGGGCAAGATCAAATATATCAAAAATTCGACGGTGGTAAAAAACCAATATCAGCCGACTGGTTTAGAACTGATCAACTTACCTCCTCCAGCGCTCACAAGTAAAAATTTGACCTCGGGAATTTTAAACCCTGTGAGAAAAAGCAATATTGTTAAATGTTGCAAGTCATCAACAGAGCACTTTGAACGACAGGGATTATCTCGCATCGTCGGGTAAACCCATGCTTAGGACAGAACGTACTCATTTTATGGTGACATCCACGACAAACTGCCGACGCATCATCTCCCCGAACTGCAACAATCCCTGGTGCGGGGTATGTTGTAGAGCATTCAGAGCATGTGGGAATAAAATGGCTAAGATCAAATAACAACAGTGAGAACGGCCAACTGCGTCAAATGCGGTGGAAGATGGTGTTGCACATAATATATCGAATACTATACGCGTAAACAAGTTTTGCAATCAGGACTTACCTGGGCAGCAGCTCAACTGCATGGCATCCCTCCAAATCCAGGTACCCCGCACGGTTAGAACTGGGGTGCATTAGTTCGCGGCGAAAGCCTAGTCCAAAATTAAAATTTCAATAGGTTAACCCTTGCGCAATGATATCGATATCTATGGGATCAGTAATTTGTGTGATAAATTTCTATACCTACCAAGGCTAATATAGTTACCGCACTTCTTGCATGATTCAACACGTTTTGGCGGTATGCTAATACCATCATCTCCAATTTTGATGTTTTTCATGTCAAGGAGGTCTTTGCACCTCTCACATTTCAAAGTTAAGTGTAAGGCTTTCAGCTCGAGGAGCTCGATGCCCCGGAGTTCCATTGAAGGGAACGAAAGAGCCACATCGCGGCCTGCTGGAAGTGGTGGCACTGATGGAATGTTAACACCGCCGCCGTCACCATCATCGTCACTATCGGCAGCGCTTTCTTCTGCGTCAGAGTAATCCGACTCGTCACTGTAAGACTCGTTTCCCTCCTTAGGCGACATCCATTCCGGTGGACGAGGGATGACCTGGATGTGTGGTCGATCAGCCAACTCAGTCGAAACCTCCGTCTCCTTAGGCTGGGACTCGAGTCGAGGTGTAGTAGCAGATGAGACGACTATTTCTTTAGCATCTGGATTATCATTCAATGATAACAAAGTAACTCCACGGTCAGACTCAGAGCCTTCAACTGGTCGATTCGCTAGAGTATGTAGCATTGTTGAAAGGTAATTAACATGTGATGTCAAGCTCGCATTGGGATTTCCTATGACATGGTTTTTAAATGATGACTCTGTTGCTCTAGCCGAGTTGTCATCGGTCCCAAGAATATTAATATGACACGGCTCGAGGGGGTATAACAAGGGAACAACCAAATTAAACTTTTTCACAGATTTAAGAGATTGAGGGATTAAATGGGGTTTAAGTGGATTGAGAGGAATGGTAAATGAAACGCCATCTGAAGATTTCGAAAACAATGGCGTTCTCTCAAGCCGAGACGTAAGTTGTGTAATCTCTTTTGCACGTCGCAGACTCGCTTGCTCCTTTTCTTGACTGATTGTTATCGCGCGAGGTTGCTTTAAGTTACCCTGGTCAGGGGTATAGCGTTCACTCTCGTGAGCAACACTGCCAAGTGGTGCTGTAACTTGCCCCGGGTTCTCTTTGTGGAAAACCTTCGTGAGAGATCTGTCAAGGACGTTCATCCGGTTTAGAAGAGTGCCCGAAATACGAGCTTTGGTAATACTTTCGAACTCTTCTTGAATAAGTATTTTTTCTCTCATCCCTACATTCTCGTCGACAATTTCCAGTGAAGGCATGCCGCGTACAGGATAGTCTAGGGGAACATGCATGGCGCAGGCCAGGCTTTTCAAATTATCAGAAAGGTCCGGGTCGGAAAGGTGCATGTGGAACGATAGAATCGTTCCATCTTCGTCGGATCTCTCTTGAGGATGAAAACGGCGCCTTATTTGATTGAGTTCGAACTCCCTGGGTTTACCACGCTGAGCATGTGGGGTTGGCCGTTGAACAGCTCGAGGCTTGGTACCAGTAGATTCTTGGGGTGAAGTGGTTAATTCCTGGACTTGCGGCACCAATTCTTCCTCATTTCTGCCAGCCAGGAATCGGGGTTCAGGATCAATTGCAGTTTCGACCCGCGCATTGTTGGTGGTATCTATAAAGCTAGTCGGGTTCTCTGAAGATGCAGCCAAGGAGTTGCTGGACACCGTTTCGTGTGCAAACCGGCAGGCATCGCCAGCCCGACATCCTGAGAAGGAGTCAGCGCCGAAAGATAAGGAGGTGGAGTGAACGAAAGGTCATGGGACCTAGAAAAGGGGGCAGCAAACGAAAATCAGAAAGGGGACATAGTGAACAACAAACATGAAAACTCTGGCGCCCAACATATATCGAAAGGAGATACGTATAACCATTGAACTGAACATGTACCGTCCACAAACAAGTATCATGAAATTCCAAAACGATGTAATAACAAAACCATTTTGGTATTTGAAAAAAGACATGAGGAAAAGCAAAACCGAATATTACGGGCGGAAGCAACAAATACCCCAAACAAGATAATCAAATAATCAAACCAGTCAATCAGCCGTCGAAATCAAGTGGGCATGCAAGCAAGAAGCCATTCAATGGGCATACCATTTTTGGACCCGAAGTACCGGCATCTGGTCGATTTGCGATCTGGGACTCTGCGGGCTGGGATCGGTCGTGTCTCCATTTGGGTGGGATGAGGCTGAGCGCTTGCCAACACAGCACTCACGGGAGACGGTTGTCCTATGTTGAAATAAGAATATCGAGTGAGCGTGTGACCTAGGACATGTCGGGATGTGTGATAATGAAGAACGTGTCAGAGCGCAGGGGAACCCGCCCAAGGCAAGGCGACTAGGTGAGGGAAGACAGGAGGAAGGGCAGCGGGCGCCTAGCCATGAAATCCAGTTGGGCTATGTACAGCCCAGGACATGTCATTCCAAGATAGGATTGGGTTAAAATTAGGCCACGGAGGCCGGGAGAGGTGTGTATCAGATGGATGGGCTATGGGCGGGAATACCCATCCAGCCACAGCGGCCCGTTGAGACATACAGGCTGCTAGAAAAGCTTGAAGTGGGGGGCGGGGAATTTTAGCAGGCGGGTACAGTGATATCAAGATTGCCAACGCATATTTTCTGCTTGTCATCGGGTTTTCTCATGCTCTTGGTTTTTTATCTCAAGACGCTATTTCCCATCAAATGACCTACCGTGGTTGTCCATCTCAAATTCGCTGGCTAGGAAGTTGGTCTTACAGCAGCAAGCTTGTAAGTACTGCGTCACCAGCTGGCCGCGAGTCAAAGTACTCAGACTGTACATGCAGCAGTTAGGATATGCTGTGCCGCAGGAGCCTGATCTTCCTTGTAAGGGCAACTTGGTTGCCAGTAAAAAAGCTGAACAGGGAGCGATGCAACCTGCACCGCAATGCTAAGTACTGTACCGACCGACTATTTCAAGTAAAAAGCAGGTTGCCTCGTGATTCCTCTTGAGATGACCAACTGTCCCTCTCGAGAGAAGAACCGGCCAACATCAAAGGGAAACAATGGCAGAGCCAAGACGCTGCAGCCTTTCTGTAAGGAACCTTACCACCAATGCGGGCAAACGTGAGCGACTGGACAACAGGAGATTATAATTATAATTTGCGGGGTGGAAAAAGCAACAGTGGAGCCCTGCAGATAAGTCTGGTGACAGGCCAGCGGACGAACGATAAAGGGACAACACAAGAGACAGCTTTGGATGCTTGCTAAGGCGCTCGCATGCGATCCCGCAGAGCAGAGAGGCGAGATGCGAGAGCCAGTCAGTTCCAGAGGGCGCAGGAAGCTGTCGAGGCGATACGACGGCGATGAATCATCCCCAACCCAGAACGTTGAACTAGCTGCAGACCAGACAGAGACGGGCGCAGACCACCCAACGACCCGAGACTGGTGGCGAATGGAGCACGGCAATGATGATAATGATCATGATACGGAGCAGGCAACAGAGGTTTGTTTTATTCAACTACCCTGCCAGTGGATTTATTGGCAACTAACTAATGGTTAACTAAGTATCTATGCCCACAGCACAAAGTACTGTCTACATTCAAAAAAACACCATCGATACCTAACTACCGGAATATTTATCATGACTTGGAATTAAACTACGACGTTTATTGTCGGGGAGGCACCAGGGAGGGGAAAAGAAAAGGCTTGACACCGTTTCAAATAGAAACGACTTGGAGATCTCCCGCCACCCCGCTGGGACTCATTGATCAGCTCTCAAAAAGTCTCCTGAACCAAGGCGTGATTGTCTCAAAGCTATTGTTTTCAACTGGTAACTAACATCTATTTTGTAAATGGGGAAAAGTCGTGAAGAGGCCGAACGGCAAAAAATGGCAGGCCAAAGAGCATACCTGTTTAACTACGTCAAGATTTCCTTAGTATTTTGAGCAATGCTAAAGCGTTCTTAAAGAGTCGCCATTGCCGGACGACATATATCCCATCCCCTGTTTCGGTAAGCCGTCGGCCTATTCCGAGCAGGCTGCCAGGGCTGTTTTGTCCTGCTATCACATATCCACCAGTCCGCCAGCGCTCCGCAAGGAATTGTTTCGAAATACATCACGCCGATGGATGTGAGTATTGGTTCTCTGTGGTTCCAGTTACTAAATGTCAGCTAGATTTCAACGAGGCCGATCGTTTGAACGAACGGTATATCAAGTTTCGCCCGACAGCGCTCCAACGGGTGCTAGAGAGGCTCTATGGCAAAACTAGTTATTGCCTTTATATTGCTAAGCAGAGGGAGGCTTCAACAAGGTGTTTCTTCCGCGAGCAAAAAGAATGGCCGTGATACGATTGTGCCAATTCGCACTCCTATTGCCAGACCTCCTCATTACACAACTGTCAGTGAGGTAGCGACAATGGACTTTTTGAGAACTGTCCTCAAACTGCCGGTACCGACTGCCTTGGCGTATTCAACATCGTCTGTCAATCCCATTGGAGTAGAGTGTATTCTGATGGAGCGAGTGGAGGGCGAGAACCCTTCCTCACGGCGGCTATCTCTCACAACCAGTGAGTTAAAAAAGTCATCATGACATAAATCGCAGAGATGGAGAGGAAGATACTTGACTTCCGTTTTCCTGCGTACGGAAGTTTATATCACGAAAAGGATCTTACGGGAAGACCCAGATACCAATTGTAGAGGATTTCCGTTTCGGTCCTGTACGTGCTCGACAGTATTGGCATGGCGAACGAAGCAAAGCAGAAATTGACCGCGGGCCCTGTAGGTTTCCGCCTCACCGCTTCCCGTTTGTTCTCTGTCATTTGAAACGAAACTACATTTAGGGCTGAGATAATTGCCATAGGGCTTTCACCTGTGGATTGTGTTACCTCCCCGGCTCGCCGGGAGATGGCTGTCATTCGGCGTCACTCCAAACCCCAGCTTCGCCAGCCATTTCTGCTACCAACTAACTATAACATTCACCCATCTGAGCAAACCTCGTTACTTTCGCACTTCCCACATTTTGCGCCTCATTTAATCCCACCTGATTCTCGCAACGTTCCGACGTTAAGACACCCCGATTTGAGCCCCAGCAACATTTTATTAGCACCCGGGTCAACCAAAATCATCAGTGTCCTTGATTGGCAAGATGCCGCAATATTCCCCCGCGTTCTGCAAGTAGGTTATCCCCCGGTTTGTGAGCATGGCTCATCACAGCGTCGAAGTCTGCAAATTCCGTCTCTCTCCGACGATTTCGACGAGATGGGGACCGACCAACAGAGGCAATGCAAAGCCGCTTTTCTATACAGCCGCGACAGGCGTACGCAATGAGGAACACATGAACGTTTTTAAACTCCCTCATCTCGGGATGTGGCAGTATTTGTTCCACCAGACAGGGTATCCCTGGGATGCAGACGTAGTTAACCTGCGTGCAGCATTAGTGGGCATCATGTCTCCATCTATATGAAGCAGGATCTTCTCGACAGTTTGACCCTTTGTGTTCAGTGATGGAGACCGAGAGGCTGTCATGGTGGAATCGCGGGAATGGAACGAGTCTGAAGAGCTACTGTCACGAATTAGAGAACACCTCCATATCGATCCGGAAGGCGGGACAGAGCCGGATAACTTTGAGAGAGCAATGGAGGGCAATCGCCAGTTTCATCTGGAAATGGTTCGGCAAACAGGGGCGGGCCAACGAGAGCGCTGTTGGCGTAATCGGCCGTACAAGGTTGAATGGGATAATCGCATGCCTCCCTCAGGAGAAAGCTAGCTTGCCTCGCGTATAAATTCTACTCGTTCATGTCTACAATCCGTTCATCTCCAGTTTGATAACTTGATAACTTCAATATCGAGCCATAGATAGTGGAGAGAAGCTATAAAATTTTATCCATCCTAAAATATAGAAGCTTCCGATGGCCACTAGATTCTCTTTCAAAATTCACAGCTCATGTGACAGCAGCTCCCCAGCCGTCGACAAAGGAATTTCTCCCTCACCTTTCCCTCGCCAATGTGCACAATCAGTCTCCAAGTCGGCGGATCCCGATGGCCCGATGGCCCGATGGCACGATGGAATCGACAGAGATTACCAAAATAAAAATAAAAATAAAAATAAACTAGCACATCAACGCATGTCTGAGTCATTCTTCCGATCAAGCGGTGTGAGAAATGAATTGTCTCCATGAATCACAATTGCTTGTCCTCCCTCACCCCAGCTGGATCATGTGGTTAAGCATAAGCATCATGCTTCAACTTTCATAATCCTATTCTAGCCGGCGGGCGGATGGCGGGTTATTCGCCATTGGCCTGGAAAAGGAAACAAAGATGAGGCACCATGATAAAACTTCCTCTTCATTGATGATCAAAGAGATGCGTTCTTGGGGTCCACTACCACCCCGCATCCATTAAGTAAAGGTAGTACAATACAACATATCCAAATCGGACAAAAAGTCGTGGAGAAGTCGTGGGTATCTCGATTCCATCATGCGACTTGCTTGCAGTAGACGGGAAGCGAAGCATCAAGATGGAGAGTTTCCTCTTGTCAAAACAAAAATGTTTCATTTGAAAGTAGGAAAGCGGTCAATAATCAGTGAGAAATTTCCCGCCAGCCTATGGGGGAGATACTACTACTATATACCCAGAAGCTACCTCCGCAGGTGTGTAACTTTCTAAGAACGTATGCCCATGTGCTGTACAGTACATGTTGATGAAGTCAGGAGCCTACTTTAGATTGCATTGCCTGTGTATTAAACATGTAATGAATAAACGGATCGACCTGATCAAATACATGTATGTATCTGCAAAAATCAGAGTAGGCCATTATCTCCGTTTCCACCCATCATATAAATAAGAGCATGAAAATTGGGATCGAGACCCTGTTTCGGTCGGCTGGGAGAGGAGGAGGAGCAAGCAGCTTGAACTCAATAACTTTCAAAAAGTCTCTTAGAGAAAATCCTCACAAAACAACGGGTTATATAAACAAGGTATATAGGTATATAGCTGCCGAATCTCGCATCCTGAATTCAAAGACACGTATAAAATCTAGATCCAGATCCCTAAAGTCTCACAGGGTTTCCATCCCTGTGCTTGAACAGCATTGCATTGCTGAGGTGTCAATCTGTTGTTGTTGTTGCCACCCAGTCGTCAGTTTTGGATACTGTTTGATGTCAATATCAAACCCCAGCTGTCCATCCGGGTAAGCTAGAAAATGACAAGATGTTGAAGTTGTAGATTTGAATTGGCAAAGCGGAAATTCGGAGTCTATCCATAACAATTATTCCTTAGTGACGTACCGTACCGGAGACTTGGCATATAGGAACTAACGCAAGAGGTGTGTACATTAACTACAGGAAAGGAGTCTTAGCTGGCAGAAGGGCACATGAAATTGTTGGTAGAAAAGAGGCAATGTCAAGAGTAGCAGTGCAAGAGAAAACCAAGGGAATTACAACACATTCAGTAGATATATCTACAAGGTTTTTCCTTGATACATCGATTTCCTAGGAACATGGAAAAAATGTTTATAATAAATATTGTACAGTAAGTTTAGAGAATAAGTTACCACCGGGATTTCGGCGATAAAACCTTAAACTTGAATCTCTTTGGAGGGGGGTAAAACACTGACATCAATTTTTGTCCCTCTGGAGGGTCCTGGATGATTCAATGTCCAGATGCACCATTTCTATTCTTGATCCAGGCCCTTGACACAGAGTTCAGGGGATCTTAGAAGGTTTACCGTTTACCGTCCAGGTGTCAATGGTGAAGAATGACGTAGCTACAAGTAGTACTCCGCAGTTAAACTTACTTAGCTTATCTTATCGCGCCAACAATGGCGGGGCTGCGGGGGAACTTCGCCCTAAGCACTGTCCCAGACTTCCCAGAAAGCTACAGTGATTGATATGACCATCACAATCATGCAATGTTGATATCGTGTTTACGCCGTGGACGGTAACAAAAAAGGGGAACCCAAATCTCGCTGATTGCCTGGAATTTTCAAATTCGAACAACCCAATCGAAAATCATCGGCCCGTACGAATCTGTCTAGTATTGCGCAAACAGGAATCTCAAGTCCAAATTTCTCCCACATTGCTAAGCGGAAATATGGGAATGAGGGATATGGACGGGAGGGTGTTGTTAAATATGGAGAGATTAGGTATACTTACACCTATAGCAATGTGGCCCAAACGCATCAACCCTACGAGAGCCTGAAAAAAAGCAGTCATATTTACGAACGACCAGGCTCCCACATGACGTTTCAAGTCCCCTTTGAAGGCCTAGATTATCTTCTTTCACGATCGCATTGCACACCGTGGCCTTGGCTTTGTTATTCCTATTCGCCCGTTCTGCTAGATATCAGAATACTATGTATTAAAAAAAAAAAAAAAGTGAAAATGATGGACGACACGTAAAAATCCGTGGAGGAACGACGCAGCAAAAATATCTGCATCAAAAATCTTCTGTGGGCTAGTTCTTGTCTTTTAATCTTGTTTTCCCGTCTCCATTTCTTCTTCTGTCAAATATCCACCTTTTACATCTGGAAAAGCAGGATTGCGCGCCTCTATCTATAGGGCTAGACGAAGATCCGTCGGACGCCATGAGCGATGGAGGCGTTTTGAGTGGCTTTGTGACTTCCTGCACTCCTTTCCATTACTTCCGAAGGGAGAAATGGAATGATCTGGGCGGGTGCTTGTCCTAGCATAGGACATAAATTATATCTATATTTATATGTATATATGTATGTAGGCAGGGACTCGAAGAAGCTGTGGCTCCAGTCATTAAGCACATCTCCCGGAATATCATACCTTTCTCGGGCTGACTACTAGTTAACAACAGTGATATAAGGGGAACATCTAATTGGCAGAGTAAAAATCAGGAATTGAGGAAAGGAAATAAAGAAGAAAAAGAGAGAACGGATTGCCGCTAGCAGTTGATCACAATAGCTCGGGACTCCGTACGGAGAAGGCTGGCAAACGTTGCCACCAGCTAAACTGGTTTTTTGGTTATTGATCCCCCTTGGTGACGGCTAATGACGGGGATGAGGCCCGCCAACTAAGCACTCAAGATACTGTGAGATAGCTGAGAAGCCAGTCAAGCCGTCAATTTATCACTGTGTGTTTCTACCTGTAAGGTGGACACGCTTCTGGTAGAAGAAGCGGGGGATACAGGTATTTGTACAGCGTAAGCCGCAAGTAGAGGGCTCAAGTCTAGATTTCTAAAACATACTGCGGGGTATGTAGTTTGTAATTACCACGCAGTAGTAGCTACAATGTTGTTGTGAGCAGCTCAAGCTAGCTGCGCGCACAGCAGGCATGTTCCTTGCAGCAACAGTGGCACTTGGATTCTAGACAGCCCGAGAGTATCAGGGACAACCTCAGATTTTAATTGAAATTACAATACAGAGTACATCGTTACATCGGCGAGATGACAGCTACGAGGTACTGTACAATACATGGAGTACAAACCTGTTTATTAGATAGTCGAACTGTACTTCTTGTAGCATAGATAGTGAACACAAAATGTTATTACAAAGAAGAGAAGCGAACATGCTGGGGGAAAAAATATTTTAAGTAAATAAATAAAAATGTGAACACGTTGATCTGTGTAATGTTCCACAGGTGTCCCCTCTGGCTTCTCCGTATATTAACTATCCACTAGAGACAAGTCTGTGCAATTTTTTATTTAGAAAAGATAGTTACTTGATCGGAGATTCGGTTACTTATAAGAGCACGTGAGAAATACATGTGCTTTGTAATTTTGGGATTGGAATGGAAGATGATGGAGAAAGAAAGATGGATATGAAAACATCGGCCACGTATTTGAGAGTATATACAAAATTTCGAGTATGGGTAAACAAGGAAGAAGTGTATAATAGTAATTCAAGTTACAGTAAATGATCACCTGGAAAATAACATGAAATACCACGTCCTGATTCAGAGGTATCTAGTACTTCGGTAAACAATAAGTGATGTATGGAGGCGGGGGCGAGGAAAATCTAGGGAATGAGACACATTAGTGGAATATTTTGAACAGGATTTTCGGACGATAGAAATAATAATTACTCTCATAATGATAATAGGAATAGTAATAATACTGGTAGTGATGAACAACCTGCAGCTCCATTCTGCAGAGCAGGCAATTGATAGCGCCACAGGCTTAAGCTTCATAAAAAGGAATGATAGGGTGGACCAGCTTTAACCCCGGTACTGCATGCAAGCTCCGTTCGAGGAACGGCTTGGAAAATCCGGGGAAATGTAGCACAAACCAGACACAAACCAGAGGGGGTTATGGCAGAGAAAAAGTTAAAAGCAAAAAATAAGATAATTATATACTTTTGGCCCAGTACAGTATATATACTACAAAAGGAGCAAAACAACAGCATTGAAAGCGAGCAGGAGTTAAAAGAGAAGATCAAACTGTCTCTTACAAGGAGCGCAACGCGAACATTAGGATTTTTTTTTTTTTTTGAAGGGCAAAAACTCACTATTGATGGTTCCTGGGAAATCTTGATCATGATCATTGATCGCCCTCAGACGACGGCTTTCCCCACACTCATCTAGAGGACGAGGCCGGCCTGGGCCAAGGGATCGAGAATAGCCTTCTGCCATTAGGTTCATGAAAACTTGCGTCAGTCTGATTGGGGATTTTAAGGAAATCCCAACACTTGAACAATCCAGCTCGCCGAGTTTGAATCTTGGTCAGCGAGCATCTCGATAAACACGAATCCTGACACTTAATCCGAGATTCTAGCTATCATGGTGAAACAATGCCAAAGAGAGTCCGGAGTAGGGGGGCACCAGAGAACGCTCGGGGTATGAGATCGCTGGAAAATGGCGGGGCTGGACTTGGCTAGGCCATACCTGACACCAGCTAGACAATCAAGAATCTAGGCTAGCAAGTCTGCACTGATTCCAATTCCGCTCACTCCATGCTTCTCATGAGACATCTTGGACCTGTACTATTGATACTGTACGGAGGACATGTACAGTTCTTGAGTGACTTGGTGACTTGTGGCAAAGCATCAGGAAAACCAAGTCTTGACATATCCCTGCGCCTCTTCCTCCCCTTCCTCCTCCGCCAGAATGTATGACGGTTAATATGTCTCTTTACGCAGGTACCGGGTACGCACACACCCACCCACAAGCACATTGTCGTACGGTGCCTGAGGAAAATACTCGTCTCAGACCGAGCCCCCTCCATCTCCATCACAAAATCATGTTCTGGGGATGGAAGTGGGTGTACGAAAACGTAAATGTGTCACTATGAGTGAAAAAAAAAATGCTTGCACATACATACGTATCTGCCGCTTTCGGGACGCTGTGCGAAGACGTTTTGTGTTTTTTTTTTCTGTTCCCCGCAACATTGCCCGCAAACGCGCAACATATGCAGTATTCCTGGTAGGGATCAAAGTCGCTAACTCGGGCCCTCAGGTACGAGATACATAGTCGTGTCAGTGTAGCCCAACGTACTATATTGCTTGGGGATTTCTTATGGCAAAAAGGGGGCGGCACAAAAACTAACACGTAGACGGAAAACAGAATTCAAAAATTTGATTCAGGGGTGAGCCAGTTTATGTGTTTGTCAATTGCTCAATACTCGAAATTATGGCAGTTCCTTTTAAAACTTCTAGGAGGACAAACGGCATAACCCAAAAGACGGACTATCAAAACAAACGAACAACACCAAACCATGTATTTTTACCATTGAGCTACGAGAAAAATTTCTTTTGCTCCGTACTGATCAAAGAAAGGAGTTTACATAAATCTCATGACCTTCAAAGCGACCAGCTTTGCCTGCGAAAGCGAGCCAAACAAATCTCCAGAAAATATGCAATGAACAATGAAACTGGCCAGTCAATCCGCAGAAAAGGTTAACGCATACAAGGCCGCATCTGCATTTCTTCATAGTAGAGATCAGCGATATTCCGCCAGTTAAAAATAAATAATAAAAAATAAAGTCCATTAAGAAATAACCATAAAAAATAACCGCTCACTGGCCGCCGCCACCACCACCACCACCACCGCCCCGCAAAAGAAAGAAACGAAAAGAAAAAGTGCACATGACGAAATCTAACTTCGCGCTGATGATAAGTGGGTTTTTTTGTACTTCAAAGCTTGATTCTTTGACTTTCGCTCTTCCGTTAACGGCGTCAATTTGGGTTCGAGCTTCTGTTGGCGGTAAGTTCCACCCCTCATGTATATATCAACCACAGAAGAATGTCTATCTCAATGCGCTCAGTGGAAACACTTTTCCACAAGCTACATTTGAAAACGAACCAGTTGGAACCACTGCGGCGAAAGCAGGAATACCTAGTACATACACCTTCCAGCAGCTGATGACTATCGAACCAACCTCAGTACCAGTTGGTTTACTAAAAAAGTGGTTGGAGCAGGCCAACTTCCTATGTTATTAAGAGAACCAGCTTAGAGCAACAATGCAAAATCCCGATCCCACAACACTGGAGCCCCTGTGGCGAAATAACACGACGACGAGCGGGACGGGGTTCCGCACAGGAGATCTGGTGATGTGTTGTATGTATCTACACTTGAAGCAAGCTTGCTGGGGAGGTGGGGGTTGGACATTTTCATGCCAGGGCGCACGAATTGGGCGAAAATGATGAAAACGCTGAGATATTGATATCCCACCCCATCAGCTAGCCACGATGAGTGAATGCCGACACATTAATACATTTATCAGTTACGGAATACACCGAGTTGCCGGTTGCATGCAGTTGGGACACTCCTCGTAATTACTAGTATGAACTATGGGCCTTGTGGTGCACAACCCCCACGTTCACATCCAGATGAATGGTAGATTATGTTGGATGATACACGGTAATAGTGATAATGATGATGGCCCACTAAAGACAGCAGAGCATCTCTACAGCGCACGTAACTGACAATTAACAAAGCTGACTGGCGCGGACTGTTGGTGCTGCGATACAGTAGCACACGTTGCGGTGCAAATGCGTTGGATTGGACGATTTCGGGCAAGGAGTCCGTATATGGGGGTCAGCTTGGGTATGGGTTTTGAAAGCATCTGCTGGCTAAGAAATGGACATTGGGGGGCCTTCCGATTTGCCCTATTGTTGTTATTGTTATTTAGATGGCGCAGCGCGGGGTGCATGCCATGTAACCGGCCGTCTAAGTTAACCCCCAAGAAAATGGTTTCCTGTCAGAATCAGATGACAGACTGGTTGAAAAATATCTGAACGAAACATTCATCGAGGCCGGAGGCGGCCGATCGCAAAACATCAGGGAGATACAAAAACGAAGGGCAACGTGCCACAGCATACAAAACATGCACCTGGAAGCCTTCAGCTCCGTTCGTATCACCCTCCCCCCTAAAAATGACATACCCTGGTCCTATTTAACTAATGAGACCAACTTGAATCATGAAAATAAATACCCCCAAAGGCACAACCTGGGTACCCGCATAGCCACATATAACCAACCACCCATACCCATAGCAGAGAATGAAACCTGTAGGAAAGAAAGGAGCAAAATGAAATCTAACAATAATTGCATTTAGACATGGCGTGATTGGAACCATGCCATATGCGCATACAAGCCTCGGAACCAGTACAAGAGATACAAACATAGCCTACATTACATAGGGTAGTATGTATGTTTGTGCCGTCCCGAAGACCCTGCATTCCATGCGAGTCTGGATAATGAAATGCATCGGCGTCTGCTCTCTGGGGTACAGGCATACACATATGCATACAGCCTCCGTCCCCGGATTTTCATCAACTTGTTACTCCACCCTCTTTTATTGAATGGGCTCTTCCATCCCCACTGGCCGCAATGTTCCTACTGACGCGGCACTGCGCGTACGTCACAAAACCAGCCCTGAAGCCTAGTTAATACCTGATTGATTCCTGTCGTCTGGTATGCATGCACGTAGGCGCGAGGAAGGAAACAAACAATGGGGAAAAAAGAGACAGATGCAAGGTCCGAGAAAGAAAGAAACAGGATAAAGGAGGGTTGGTTAATTAACCCTACCTTTGGCTCTTCCTAACATATACACACAGGTTATGCTGATATCCTGCTGTGCGGAGTAAGGTGATGGAGGCGGGTCGAGAGAATCCTGGGTTCATATAAGGTGTCTGATGTATGTGCTGCATCTGCATTCTGCGCGCCGCGAGAGCAAGCGGCGGGTTGATTCAGAGATGTGGAGTTTTCAACCAATTGTCGTTGGAAGAGGATGAAGATATTAGGAGGAGGGCGGAGGAAGGGTTAGAAGAGGAGAAGGTGGGGGCTGGAAGAAAGGACAAAGGAAGATAAAATGAGCAAGCTTTCTCATTTTAATTAACCCCTTCAAAGGCCCTGTAAACATAATGATGGAAAATAAAACGTGAAAAAAAAGAAAAAGAAAGTAGTCTGACTTCCTTCAAAAAGGCGATCCGCCATATGACAGAAGTCGATATCAAAGAATCCATATGAATAACTGTCCCTCCCAAAACTGCAGGTTGGAAACAAGGGAGCGGCTCGATTTCAGTAACCTCGCAGACCCTGCATGCCGTGTAAGTGCTGTCGGTTTGATGCTTGACAATGGATAGAAGAAAATATGCAAGGTAGATCACTGCTTCGCATCGCGTTGCATCATGTCATAAACATCATACCGGACCGATGATAATCTCTTTATTTCATTGTTTCCTTTTCTTTCTGCTCTTCAATCGTTCATTCATCCATTCATTCCTTTGTTTTTGCTTCCTTACCTTCAACCTCCTTGCACCCCTTATCTCCAACCAACCCAACAACCCAAATGATTGAGGCTTGGTGGCAAAGCAAGGAGCCAGAGGAACTACTAACTCACAAACCATCCAACAAACGCAACCTGAAAAACCAAACACTCGCATGTGACATGGAAGAAAGTAAGAAAATCGAAAAGAACAGAAAGAAAAGGAATCCAGAGCCTGGTGGTGGCGAATTCCCGCTGGAATCCTGAGCAGAACCAACAACCCAGCCACATACCTGGACGAAAGGGTAGAAAGCGGACATGAACAATTTCATGATTCAAAGGCGATAAACAGCCATCCCCTTCATCATTCGTAAGAGAAAGAAGATGTTGAAGAAACAAGAGGTAGAAATAAACCCCATTCTTCCGTCCTGGGATGTCAGATCAAGCTCAAGTGTCTGTCGGGACGTTAAAATCACACCATCCTCAACCCGCCCGCCGGAGCCTCGGTTTCTCCCGATACCGCCACCATCAATCGTAGTCATCATCACGCTCATGTTCCATGTCCTGTACATAGCACAGAACTTTGTAACTTCCCAACGACGACGAGAAGACTGAGCCAAGATACCCCCATGGCATGTGGCATGCATGCCGCATCGCGGAGCATTATTCACAACAAGCAGATGACAGGGCACGGTGAGGAAGTGAAATGCCAACTCATCACTTCCAGATCATCCATCCATACGGCGGGGCGGTTTGATCACTCTGATCACGGCGCAAGAAGCAAAGCGGTCAAGCCCTGCGGCTGCCTGCGGAGTGCGGGGCAGCCAGCCAGAGCCAGCGCCAGCGCCAGCGCCAGCACCAGGACCAGGACCAGGCCTTCCGACTCTTTTGTTTTTGTGGATTGTTGTTCTTCCTCAAACTCCCGTGCAGCATGATATGATATTGAAAACCCTCTCCCCCGCGTCCGTATCTGCGCTCATCGAGGTCAGCATACACAGCCACCTGAGCGATGCGTTGGCGTCTTCCTTCTTCCAGATTTTCCCATGGGGCGTTATTGTTCTTGAGTCCTTCGGCTCAATATGTTTTTCACTTATTTCCCCAGCTCGTGACGGACAAGGGGTGGCGGGGTAATTCTGTCGTTGGCTACGCGTTGGATATCTTTCAGCTAGGCCACTCTCGTCAGGCCAATTTACAGAATTGACATCGTGGACAAAAATGACATAAAAATGCAAAGTAAAAACTATTGTTATTATTATTCTTGTTATTATTAGTGTTGTATTCCACTTTTCCCTTAGTACAGCAGACGCGACACATATATAACGTTGAACGCTGGAAGCACGAATAGCAAAGTTAAAGCATGTATGGTGGTAATGGTAATGGTATATTTAATATGCAACTGGCAAGATAAGATACATACATGAAAGCGAGACATGAGAACAAAAGCGGGAAAGCGCAAGAAGTAAAAACACACAATACACACAAAAAGACAAATAGGGCTATGACCACCGTTGATCTTGCGACTGTTCTTGCTCCGGCTGAGGGGAAAAAAAAGAAAGGATCCTTGGGGGTGGGGGTATCTAAAAGGTCGCTGGTCTGATAACAATACTATATATGATGCTGGGAGGAAGACAGCAAGATGCTTGAGGTAAAATAAGGACGTTGGATGAATGGATGAGCGATGGGAAACATGAAAAAGAAAAAGCAAAAACATAGATCCTTCCCAGGCCAGAATTATGCATGCAGTTAATGACAACTTTGAAAAAAAAAAACATCCGTTAAAGACAACAAAATAAATAATAGACAATTAAAAATTAAAACAATCACCAGCCCTTGACGTGATATTCCCATGGGCCGTAATCGAAATAGTGATTCCACGAATTATTCTTGGAGGTCTCCTTATCCCGTGCGGCTGAGTTAGGCGCAGCGGCGATATTTTGCGACTGTGTTTGTGTCTGCTTCAGGCCATTCAGTTTCATATTTGTCGTGCTTGGATACTCCTGCAGATTCGCCATGTCGTGTGCTGTATGCCGTCGCTTGAAGCCCGCGGTGACCGTGGTGGACTTCTGTTGCCGCTCCCAGAGTAGATGTCGTCGTAGTGACTCCGTCAACTCGGTGGCGAGCATGTTTCTTCGGGTTGTTCGGGGCGAGTGGGCTGTTTGGTGTTGGTAGGCGGGCATTGACTTGACGATTATGGGTTTTGAGCGGGGGACGTCGGGGCCTTTCATGGTGAGGGTGTTCTCGTCACTGTCTGGGGAAGCGGCGGCGGAATTTCGCGTGGGAGAGGAGAGGCGCGATTGTTGGAGGGCTGGTGTCGATCGGGAGCCTGTGGGAGCTTCATTCATCCGTTGCGGTTGGTGGATCATCATTGTTAGCAGCGAGGGGCGCGAGACGAGGTTCGGTCGCGAGTCGACGCGCTGGAATAATTCCTTTTCATCAACGCTCGATCGACCACTTTCGGGAATCGAGTCTTCCCATTCTGAAGAATCATCGTCATCCTCGATGGCGCTCTCTGAAATCTCCTCATCGTCATCGGTCTCGATCGCGTCCTCGTCCTCCGAGGCTTCAGTAATTGGTCGGATGGGTGATCTAGAACTCATCGAATTTTTCAATACGGCCATCTTTTGCATGGTGTCAGCAACTTGATGTAGACCATCTGATAGCGAGCTGCGTTGTTGCTGTTGCTGCTGTTGTTGTTGCTGCTGTTGCTGCTGTTGCTGTTGCTGTTGTTGGAGTGGTTGTTGGGGTTTCGTCGTCATGCGATCCTCAAACGAGCTCTCGTCGTCACCTGATGAGCCACCCAGGGTAAACATCCCACCCTTCTTCTTGAGCGGTGAGCCCTTTTGTGTCACAGCTGTCTTTGAAGGAGAGGAACTTGTTGATATTTGTGGGTGTGATCGGTATGATGAGGAAATTTGTGAAGGGGAAAATCCACGGACAACGCTGGATGACTCTAAGAGTCCTGAGGACGAGACACTGGTGTCAGAGTCTGCTTGAGGAGCATGATCACTTTCTAAGGCTTCGAGGGCAGCTGTAGAACATGAATCTGACGATTGATGAGGGCGGACTTGATGTGATTCTAATAGATCAGGGGTGGGAGTGGGTGAGGAGGCACGGGGTGTAATGTCAACCGTGGCGGTAGTGGTAGTTGTAATTGACGTTGAGGGCTGAGTTGGAAGAGTAGGCAATGACAATGGTTCCAAATATTTCTTCTCCTTTATATTGTAAACCATTCTTTCTAATCCTAACGATGTGATGTGCTTTTCCTTCCCTCTGCTTATACTCAATGCTGGTTCCTCTTCGAGGATGGCTGGCTTGACGTCCAGCGCCCGGGGTGCGTTGATGTGGCTCTCAATTCGATCCGCCTCATCTGAAGCGGCAGATTCCACGCTCGAAGACAGCTCCGGAATCTCCCTAGACTCACATCGTAATCGCCGGACCTCTAGAGGTGTAATTGCTGCAAGGGGCGGCTCAACACAGAACGTTTCTCTCGTCCATAATCTCCAACTCAGGTTTTCTAGCCGTCGTCCTTCCTCCATGTAATCTGCACATTTCGAGAAAACTATTTCACCGACGAAGCAACATCAGTATACTGCGCGTCAGGCTAAGTCTCATCCATGCCTTTCCACGCCCACAGCCCAAGAACGTGGTAGCAGAAAAAAGAATCAAAAGGGCACTCACCCATCCACATTCCATGTAGCGACTCCGCATTCCGTGTATCCACCTCATGAATCTTGGCTGCGTCCACCGATAGAACCGGTGAGCTTAATCGTGAAGGCATGATTCGCGTAGTCAAAGAAGAATGGTGTGTATTTTCGAGGCAAATCCGATTGTCCGGTCGCCGTTCAATCCAGCGATGCTTCTCCCAAGCAATATTTCGCAGTATCTGCTCTCTCTCTCTCCCCGAGTCTCTTGTCCCCAGTATTCCTTCCTTCCTTTTGCTGGGGGTTCCAGGTGTCCCTTGAATGGTGCCGACACAATGGGTTGTGAGTATAGTATGCCAGCCAGATAACGCGGCAAGGCGTGAAAGTAGCCTGAGTATTAATTTGTAGTGTAGAAATTAACGAACGTATGCTATAATTCGTATGGTGTCAATAGACGGTGGTGGTGGTAGCTGAACAGGTGGCAGTGGGAGGCCGCGGTTATTTATGGCAAAAGTTAGTTTCTCGGGAATTACTCGTGGCGAAGGACACAATTCGGTAGAGCGGAGGCAGGAGACTTGGACACGGTAGGAATTCGGAGGCGACGAGGTTGAGCCAACTGAATAATATTTATGATTCGATCCAGGAACTAAGCCGGAATCAAAAAAAAATAAATATAAATTGATTAGAATTATTATGTATGGTAGAAAGCGGAGGGTGGATTAGTGTGGTAGATTTCTTATTTTTTGGGGGGGGTGTGTGGGAGGATTTTCGCGGGTAGAGATAGGATATTTGTAGCCAGGGCGAGGACCAGAAGTGATATGCCAGATGACGACTGGGGGCCAGCCAGGATCCAGGGGGAGACAGCGACAGCGAACACCGCAACTCTGGACTGTGCTCTTGTAACTGCAGGGCAAAGTACCGGGTACATGCGCTGGGCTGGTAATGATCGATCGTTGTTTCGCTGCGTGATCACGCACGTATCGCACGTATCACATGTATGGTTAGATTACAAACGCGCCAAACAATCAAAATCCAAGAATACAAAGATATGTACGGGGAGGGCATAAATACATAAAATACATAAATACATAAATTACAGTCAGCAAGGTCACGGGGTGTTGTTGCAGACAACCAGCCATCAGCTTCCCCACAAAAAACAGGGCGTTTGGACTCTGGTCCCAATCAAAAGAAAAGTAAAAAAAGAAAGGAAAACCATACCAACGGACGGTAATGATCATGGAATTATCATTACGTGGCCTTCGTTTGGAAATACGCCCCACAAAATCCTAATCCAAGCCAGGAAATCCTCACAGGGCCGAAAAAAGGAAACAAAAACACTGGCTCGATTCCGGTTTGTTCCTACTCACCGTATTGCCTCATCCGCAGGTTCCCCGTTTCCCATTCCCTCGACTTGTACCGGAGATCACGAGGCGGTAAGAAAAGCAACTCTGCTAAATAATTACTGATACTGTATTAAATATATATGGCATGTCAAATATATACAAGGTTGCTGGTATTTATGTATCGTATTTGGGATGGCAGGTACCAGTATGTCAATACGCAATATTATAACCGCGTCCAAACACGTTGGTTATTGCAAACAACACTCGGTCGTTGTGTGTACAGTACAAACATGAATACATAGTGCATGTACTTCTGGCCCTTGCTGGTCCCCTGGCCCCAGCTCCCCCAAGTACCCGAATCAGTGGACAGAAATCATAATCTCGCCAGGGAAGCACAGAACCCGGCCGAGGGACAGCTTACTGTTCCTCGGGTAGCCTGATAGGGAGAGGTTACAGGTCTCACCATACCCCATTCCACGTAACCGTATCATCATTTATGACATCTCATTCCCAAACTGGCGGAACGGGGGATGTGGGGGCCCGGATTCAGGTCCAGACGCCCAGCTGAGAAAGCTTCAGGACTCAGGAGTCAGGGCCGGCTCACATGGTCAAAGGCAAAAAGGCAATAAAAGCCAAAATCCCCAATTTGCAATTTTCTCCATGGACAAAGCATTGACATTTTCGCCATTCCGGATCGGGCTGAACCCGCCAGAGAGGTTCCTTTCTTTCGCGGGTTTTGCTTTCTTTCTCGCCTTTTCTTTCTTTCTTTTTTCTTTTTTCATTCTTTGATCCATTCATCACCCCGGATTTCAAAACCCAAAACAAACTCATTAAAACCTCATACGGAAAACCATCAAAGTATAATTAGCAAGGGGAAAGGGGGGGGTAAGCAGGGTAAAACACTAACTAACTCGCACTTCCAACAAACAAGCGACAGAAGGAGACGAGAAGGAAAGCCGCATGCGGCTGACACCGCCCATTCTTCCACCTCCCGTGACCCCTTAGTTCTCCGACTCCTGAGAACGGCCATCACCACTCATCACCTCTCCACAATAATCAGATACATCGCGCGATCCTGGCACACTTAAGCCCGCACCGAAAAAGTGCGCGAAAAGGGAAGAATCATATGTAGTCATAATGTATCTTGTAGCGTGTTCTATGAGCATCCTAGCTACCTTCTAGAGTATATGTACTGTAAATGTCTCTGTATCATCATTCTATTTATTTGACCCTGTTCCCTGATCACAATCGCGATCCCCTGGGTCATTATATCATCAATCAAAATCAAGCGCGAGTGTCAGTCAGGAACGCACTCGAGTGCTCCAGCCGGCACACAACAGACAGCAGGCAGAGCGGTTGGACGCGACGTGCATAACAAAAACAACATTGCAGCTTCGTACCAGGGCTCGATCCTAGCTTTGTCTCTCACTGTTCTGTCACTTGATAGATATTTCGTCCCGCATGGATACTATGGATGCAGGGAGTGAAGTGGGTGAAGGGCAAACAAACAGACAAAGCAAGCCAGGAACCCCCCGTTTGTTCGTTTGTTCGTTCGTTAGTACTGAACTACGGGGGTAACTGACAGGAAGTAATCTCACAGAGCTGCGTACGCAGGAGCAAATGCACGATCCCTCCGCCGTTCGTGGAGAAGCAGGTTTTCCTTGTTCCCCTAGATTGCCCAAAGGAGAAATTCGGACGACAGTGAACAGGCCAGAACCTTGCTCGCGCGCCTATCTTTCGCCTTCAAGAAAAGCAAAGTCCCTTTTCTTCGCACCCCCCACCTCCCTTCCCCGCAAAAATGTCAGATCTCGAGCCGGGGTCGAAAAAGCATCATGAATCATGCATTGTTGCTTGATGATGAAACAGACCACAACAAAGGCCACATCATCCCATCCAACCAAACAGAAAATTATTGTATACTAGTTAGGAGTATTGATAACATTACTCAAGCAAGCATCATTCAGGCGGCAGTTTTTTTCCATCGATAAAGGTCCATAGATGACCTACCCATCAAAGAGGTGAACAGCATGGAATCGTGTTATTACTGTTTCTTTCAACCAACCCGTCTCCCACTCCGTGCCAACCTGTTAAAAGGGTCGTATTAGCAGTAATAGTCTGTTTCAGCAAACTCACTGGGCTCCTCTTCTTCCTTGTGTCACGATCGCCGAAATATCAAAAATTAAAAGCGCAGGCTCTCCTTCGTCTTCCTCTTCCCCCTCTTCTCCTCTGAAAAAATTTGAAACCAGCGCCAACACCAACTGAACTTCAAACTCCTGTGTTGTGTACGTGTGGGTGTGTGGGTGTGTCAAACAACCCTGTTGATATGATAATTCACTCCATAAATGATGGTGATACAGATATGATTACCATCGCCGTCCCTTCAGTACCCCGGATTTTCATCGCAGCCGCACAGGGGGTATGTACAGACACAGTTCACCCCCTCCACGGACAGATTCATAAATGCCGAAGGCGGCTCTTTCCTCAGCCTTGAATGAATCATGGCTCAAGGTTTCAAGTTCCATCGCGCGTCCGCCATCGCCAAGAGCCAAATGCCGAGTGCAGGGATGTGCAGGAGCGGTATCTTTCCTTGATAGTAAGCACTCAAGAATATATATCTCCGAGACCGCTACCTTCCTATTCGATGGATGTGGGCTTGCCAAGAGAGGTCGCTACCGTACCGACATCACATGGCTCTGGTGTAGATGCAAATATATTTGTAAAGTACTCCGTACAACGCTGGGATTTTCTGTCGATGCGATAGAAAAGCTCCCAAACCAAAGCCTATTTTTATTTCTGCTTGTCATGTTGAAAAGCTTTCCACGACGGATACGTTCACCATGATTCATTCATCCCGTTTAGATCCAACCGGCGTTTCAACGAATAAAAAAAAGAAAACCAAAAAAAGAGAGCCTGTCCCCCGCTCCACCAGGCTATCTTGTGTGGACTAAAATTGGCAACCCTACGCTTACAGCTTCGACCAGAGAGTAGCACCGCCATTATCGATACTAGTACTCTGTGGAAATACCACGATTTATTTTAAAGTTCCATTGTTTTCTCAGCGATTATTATTTCATTTTTCTCTAATGGAGGTGGAAGGTTGGTTCATTGTAACTATCTAGCGAGCGCAACACTGTTCAAATAGGTATGGTCACGTGGCATCAGCAACCACGAGGCATGCCAACATTCTAATGGATAATTATTTATTATTTTCTATTTTATTTTATCAACGGAGTATATTTCAACTAAACAACTGCAAAGACTGCTTTCCATTGTTTTGTTTTATTTTATTTTATTTTATTTTATTTTATTTTTTATTTATTTATATATTCATATATATTTTAGAAAATGCGGGGAAGGTGGATGGATGGCCTAGAACTCGGAAGTCTCCAGCGAACCTGGCTGGCTGGAATACTGTCAAATCGCGCTCCGTCTCTCTCTCCCCTCTCCAATTGGAAGCAAGAATGAAAACTAAATAAAAATCCCAGCATTGACATCCAATCAAACCCCGCGGACGCGGTCATGCACTCGCCGCCAGGAACCATGAGGCGCATATTGACTGAGCATGTTTCGTGGCCAGGCGGTTGCCGATCAAACATGCCATCACCTAACGGCGCCGGCCCGCCGCCCTCAAGGACGAAGGCTTCGGATAATGGAATTCTAATCCCCGACCTCGGATGCTGGAGTTACAGTATGTCCAAAAGGGAGTCCAAGAGGGTATTTTATGGCCGAGGGAGGGGGATGATAGGCTGATATTTAAGTATTATCACCCTAGTTTATTTTATAATTTTTTACTTGCTTTTGATAAGTTATGTGGTGAGAATGTAGTGGCTTGCCGGAGAGAGAGAAAAAGTAAAAAGAAAAAACTTTGTATCTCTTTTTCTCGCTCCTTTTTGAGTCTTGCAACGATCGCTCACTCACTGGTCGTGATTCTCACGGGCGAATAAAATGCGTCAAGAAGTTGTATCCCTCTCTACTATTCTCTCTCGAGTGATCACCGATCACTTTTTATTCCAATGCTGAGAGCTCCAGCATGGCGCCAAGCGATCCATCCACACATCACACTCTATGTGGTATGTGCGATGGTCGGCGTCGATGTGACGGCGGGAACAATGTCGGATGTACAGCCACAACGTTAACTACTGCTAGTACCGTGTTGACGCCACCATCACCACGATCACCGGGTTTGTCATTGATGGTTGGTGACTGACTGATTGATTGATTGAATTGATTGATTGATGGAGACGGTAGAAATCAAAAACCAGCCGTTCGCCTTTCAGGGGCTCAACACCGTTGGCATGTAGCTCCTACTGCACAGCGGCAAACCAACCGATCGACTCTCCAAAATCTCTTCAGTTGAGGGTTGCCCAACTGGCACGTCAGTGAACGGCATGACCATCTATCTACTCTAACGAAGTATATATAAATACATGTATAATAAATACATTTCTGTCCCGTGTCCGAAGGATACATACATCCTCCAAGCGCGGCGCCAGCTTTTCTTTTTCTGCGGTGGTCGCGTCGCGCCGAGAGGCGTGATCAGGGCGTGGATTTTGCTCGGGAGTTTTCCCTAATTCATGTGTTTCTTGACGGCTTGAAAGGGTGACCTCCGGGTGCTGCCGAGAGGAAATAACGGGCTTAAGAATATAATGATCAATGCGCCTGCGTTGGCTTTTGCGGAGAAGGGGAGTTTCACCGCCTATTCAACTGCAAATCACATGTGTTCATCATTGGCTGGGCGTATCAGGTCACGCACCACAGAGAAAACTTTGGAAGAAAACACGGCCTCCGACCTGACTGGCACAGAATGGACAATAACGGACAAGAAGGTCATGACACGGGTGAACTTCTTTGGGGCCGTTCTTATGATTGAATCAATGTAACAAAAGGCGAAAGACAACGGCTCTATGCGGTTGTCCTTGCCCTTGTGATGTGGACGGCAATATGGAGCACTATGGATAGAAATCAAACAGACGTCCGTAGCTATCAATCCATCATTGATTAATTAATTGATTGATTGATTGATGTCGAGCTGACATGTATGTGCAACTGCCAACTCCTGACCTCTGCGTTGGCCAGCGTATCCCCCTATCGCCCCCCTCCTCCTCCTCCTCCCGCTGGCACGCGTTCCCAAGGGTCGTTTCTGTTTCGGGAATTTAGACGAAGCGAAGTCAAGGAAGGATGGCCGAAAGAAAAGAAAGAAAAAGAAAGAAAAAAAATTCAGTTGAATGCCGACCCATGTGGAATCAGGCCTCACAACCAGGATGACCCATGCCGATAATCAAAAAAAATTCATCGATACCCATCAGCGCGCCTCCCAAGTCCCACCCAAATACTTGTAACGGCGCGGCTGATGAGTTAAACGTATCTTGTTATCCTTCTACCCCCTTTCCAGAACATTAGCCACGGGGACAATCAGCGCGGCTGGGAGCGGAGGTGCGGATTTCATACCTCCACCCGACGCCCGTTGTAGCGAGCTTGGCGACTTTATCCCGACAGGCTGACAGCACTATGCAATAGCCGAGCAAGGATTGGGGAAAATCCTGGGTAAGAACTAAGAAATCAAGACAATTCTATTGATCAATGACGAGATCTGCGCTTTCACGAGGCCAGCGACCAGGGATAAAACCCCATGTTGAAATGCATATGTACAGAGTAACCCTACATCTCGGGTGAGTTAGTGATAAGGCTCCTTTAGGGTTGTACGCAACATACGCAATGCTTAGTGCTAGCACAGCAAATTCTCACCTCTCCCCACTTTCAGTTCCTGAGATACAAGTATTTGTCCGAAGACTCGGGGATGGAGTGTTTTCCCCCCACTTTTTGTTGTTCGTTCCCAAGGTTTATTATTTTTTTATTCTTCCTTTTGCCATGTGGGAAATAATGTTCACCCATGCACGATGGTACGATGCCCTGGAGCAATACTAATACTAATATTTCAAGTTTTCGTATCGTTGCTAGGATGTCGAATTGAGCGCGGCTATTTCTTTTGCCCATCATCCCGGGGAAAATACAGCTGGTTCTATTTTACGACAGGGAGGGGTTACAGCCATAATAAGTAAGACCATGCATGGTTCAGTAGTTCATGAAAGCCAGTGAGGTACTGCGTAGGTATGGACATTGAGGAGAGGGTGATATTTTCAAGCCTTTGTCCTGTGAAGAATCCCCCCACAGAAATAAGGATAAACATCAACCACGAGCAGCCGAAGTGGAGGATGAAACCACCAAGCACATCGCATGACACCCGTCAAAACGGGGGGGATTTGGGTTTGACCACCCCCATCTGCAAGGAACCGATATGAATCCTACCTTCCAGCTTCGGCTAGATCCCAGTGCTCACACAGCTCCGCTCTTATTGTTATTACTATCTTTCCTACGATCTCATTACTACGGAGAACTCTTCCCACAACCACTCTCGGGGTGATGGAAGCGGGCGAGTTGTTGGACTGCGAAATGGCGTTGAGTTCGCTCCATTCTCTCCTGCTTTAACCCTGTCAATCAATCAACCCACCCTTGGTGGGATCGCCTAATCGCTTACCCTGGAAGCTCCAAATGCTTTGGGAAATGATGGATGCATGGAAAAAAAAAAGCTCACTAGATAAAGAACGACGATCCGCGGCGAGGGAGGAGCAACATTAGGATGTTCCCTCGTCACCATGGAGTCCGGATTACTGTTAGTTGTTGAAATATTAATACCAATAAATACACATATCAGTCTGTAATAGGAATGTATTCGTATTTCCAGAGAGTTTGTCGATACGAAAAGGATCTTTTATGGAATGCTAATAATATCATATGAAGGGAGGTGAATCCCGAATCCCGTCACGCTCGGGCGAGGGGTGACGGAGATCAATAACTGAGAATTCTTTGCTGCGGCTTCTCAGGAGCAGAGTGCTCCGGCACCCGATAAACGTTGGTTGGTGGCTGTCATTCCACCAGCGAGTTACGCCCGGAAGACAACGGCTGCAGCATCAACAATATGCTCGGAAAATACTGCGGAAGGATGGAATCTCATCAGCAAAGTGGAGATCGGGATGAGAGCCTCCCATCAACCTCTTGCCCTCCTCCCATCGTCAAGAATGACAGCCCCTCCTCCACTTTTCTTCCTTTCCGGCTCTTTTAGAATGTACGTTCCTCTGTATTTTCCCTGTCGATGTTCGGAGGCAAGCGGCCACGGCAATATTGAAGCCGGAGGGGCTCAAGGCGACAAAAAGATAGATAGCCTCGGCGCCCTGTCACAGCCTCGCAAGGGCCTGGGCCTTGGTGCCCAAGTTCGGAACCGGCGCCGCGCGGCTATGCCCGCCGGCTAATCTGACACGTGGTTTGTCTGGGTGCCGATCGGGGAATATCGGGGCACACTACATCTCACGTGATTAAAGTCGGTTTGACACGGAGCCCAGACCCTGACGTTTCGTCACCTGACCATTGTGAGCTGCGAGGTGACAAGCCACTTGGATGAGGGGGAATGAGCGTCAGGGTTCAGAGTTACGCTGACAAGGACCGCAACGGAATATTTTGGCCCTGCTAGCATCCAAGGGGCCAAGGGGGCATGTGGATTTTGAAGTTCTCTGGCGGTCTCGCCGATCCACGACATGGAAGTGTCTAGGCTAGCTGGCGGGCAGATTATTTCCGCCAGGGATGATCGCCAGTAAATGTGCCTATGTCTGTGATTGTCACCAACCAACCCGCAGAGTGCCAGTATCTCGCTGGGAACACCGCTCCAGAGCTCTCCGGCTGCTCTTTCGGGGACGGAGCCAACTGATTCCCGGTCCATGCAGGAAATAATACAGCATAAAACAGTCTTATCTCTCAGAACTTTCACAAAGAATTCGCCAGTCAATAACCTAGCTGGCTGCCATTTCAACAAGACCACCAACAATATCCATGGGAAGAAAGAAAGGAGAGGATAGTGTTCATGCTGTGATAGGTGAAAGGGACAATAAAAAAAAAAACGCCCGCCGTATCTGGTAACCAGTTAACTAACTTAACTTGGCACCAAGTTGACTCAGCACCCATCTCGCAGACCGTCGCAGTCGCATCAGAATTCTCCCTTTTAATTTGAACCTCTTCATCAGGGAAATCAACTCAAGCTATGATGCCCTATTGGCTCGTATGTGCTCATCAAGGCCCCAGACCATTGGATGTTTCATACCCGTTTTCCAGGTACAGCTGCGAATTCATATGTCTCCTGGCTGGACAGATATGCGAGGGCTAGGGCTAGAAAAAACCTCTTTGTTTTCGTCCGGAATTTTGTCCTTTTCACGCAGCATCATTGTTCTTTTGATTTTCCGTCCTTTGTTTGCATGAAAACCAAAAAAGAAGGGCTTTTTTAATTTTTGCGTGGGAGAAAAGCAAAAAAATAGGTTACGGGGAAGGAGACCAAAGCGTTCCTACTGGTCAACTTAGTCATAAAAAATGAATATTCACCCTATCTATCACATTTCCAAGACAAGGCCGAATGAACAAATTTTTCCTTTTGAGGAATTTCGACTCAAAGCAACTTTTTGTTTTTTCCCTCCCCTTTTGTCTTCTGCACCACCTGGATCCGGATTTTCTCCCCTGGCAGCAGAAGGGAGCGCTGGGCGTTGGACACTGAACACTGAACACTGGACAGGAGTCGGAGCCTGAGACGTCAACAGCCACAAAGCCCAAACGGTCAGATGCGCGAGTGATGCAGTGTGAATCAAATCTTAACACAACACGCACTGCAGAAATGGGCGGAGAAGAGGGAGCTGTGGGCTTACACGTTATACTACCGCAGGTGGTGCTGGGGGTAGCTATTGATGATGATGTGCCTTGCAGCCTCAAGCATCAACTTTCCCCCATCTCTCTCCTTTTCTTTTTCTTTCTTACCCCCTATTTTTTATTTTCATTTCATTTGCTTCTTTTGCACCTCAATATACCGGACAGTCGGGTTTTAATCGTCGGGACCCATCCCGAGATCCCCGAGCCCGTGTAATGATTCTTATTGTTGTTGTTTTTGTTTTCTAACGCGTCGATATTGTTAAGAATATTGAATCTTAGTGGTCTACACGGGGAAGGATTGTTTTACAGTCGTTCGCTCATGAATATGAGATACATGACGCGCCGTGCTGTATGTAAACATTCATACGCATATACACAAGCACTTCGTAATTTTCATTTTACATTTCACCTCCATCGCGCCTGAAGTAAAGCGCGCATCATCCCGCGAATACACAGCGGAAATATGGGCGCACCTTGTTTTACATGCCCCGGAAAACATCCAACATGACATCACCGCTCCCCCACTTTTACGCCATAACCTGTAACCCGGTACATCCGATAAAAATTCTTGCTGGAGTTAGGATCGAAACCTCCAGTAGTGCTATCAACCAAGGCCAGCGAGAGAGGATTCAAAGGGGGAGATGGGTGAACAGCAATTAGCAAAACCCAACTCTCTTAACCCAGGCCGCGACAAATATATGTAACTGTTCTATGCTCTCGTTTCTTTTTTTGGAAGGGAGAATAAATATAAGATAAATGACGGCGGGACTAATCCTCGTATTTGCCAGCTCCTTTGAATAGTTTGTTCCCTCCCAGCTTGTGATCCTTGTGACCGATATACAAACTCACGCCTGCGACAGTGACACGTTCGATGGCGGCCGAAGATCTGTCAGAGATTGACAGTCCGAGCGTGCAAAGTTAACGAGATGGCAATGGCGCACTATATATTATCTGTAATTCCTTATTTTTCATATCTTTGCCTTCTCGAATAGGTCAATGCGTTTTCGTTGTGTCGCTGCGTTGAAAACCTATTTTTATCTCCTAGTAGCATTAAAGCTGAGCTTCCACTTGGTGGCGGCGATGGGAGAAGGGGTGTAGAGCGAGGGTTTTTGCGGAGGGGGCAACAAAAGGAATTCTTCTCTGTGAAGAGTGGATAGAAGGTCATGTGTGTGGTGTCTGGTGCGGAGTTGGGCACCCTATCAATGGCGTTGACTTGATATGGATTCCGTATTAGCCCATAGACAGTGAAAGCGCATCGACCCACTCCCAAAAATATCCGTGCTTGGAAGAGTCATGAAGCTGTCCCGTGGTAGTGAAGACAATAACTTGCCATGAGGGCCTCGTCTTCGGGCGAGCATATTTTATGCTATTAGCTCCTGAGCCAGTAAGAAGGCCGAAATGGTCGGCAAAAAAAAGAAAGAAAGAAAAGCTAAAATATGTTCTTCCCCAGACGAGATAGCTCCAACAGCTACCAGTATGTCACAACAAGTTGATGAAAATGAAATGCAATTTTCACATACTTGAGGATGCGGACGAATGATTTTCTATTTGCATCTCTCCTTAGTAGTTACCTGCATCTAGTTGCATATTCTCGGAAGTGCCAACTTGATTTGGGCTTCAAGTTATTATACTAATCATCAATCATTTCTCGCTTGGACTTTGTAACTAGGTTAAAGTTAAGCTTTTCAGCTAAAAATAACCTTATTTGCGTCTAAAAAGTTGCCAAGGCTGACCCCAATTACGTCAACATTTCCCCATAAGTTAGTTGAGTAGCTATCAAAAAATAGGTCAATTCATACTATAGGGTCAATTGGTATCATGTTTCTATGGGATATCATGAAAAATCGGTCCTCCACCTTCAGGCTTAATGGAACACTGTACGCTACTTAATCTTGTCTTTCCAACAAGGAGATCGTCACGATCAAGCTTGGGTGAAAAGTCCGTAGTCAAAGCGCCCAAAGGCAAGGTTACGGGTAATCCTGCTGGACAAAAATATTGCCCCGTCGATTATCCTATATATAATATTCTCGCCCGTTCCATATCCTGTCTAAGCTATTTACCATGGTACAAAGTGCACAGGAGGGTAGATATATCAGACCCTCCACTCCTACTCCAAACTGATTCTGTCACCAAGGCCTCTTCATGGTTACTCTATCCCTTTGGATTAAAGTCGTCGAATAGGAATCAACATCCCGGTCAAATCCGTTGCAATCATGAAGTTCAAAAACATCTTTCAAAAAGACGACCTGGAGATGGAGAGAAGAGCGCCCTTGCCTTGGATCTCCAATCCAGTGTCCCTTGGGGTCCAAGCTCAGGATGAGGAAATCGTCCTGGAATCCGTCTCTAAAGTGGACACATCTACGGAAACTTTGGAGGATATACAGAAGGAGGCTCCCGACAAAACAAACTCTTCTGTTTTCAAAACGCCCAACACTTTGCTGGTTGACCTGTTCTATGACCTGTTCTTTGCCGCCAATCTGGCAGGCTTCACACTGACACATGAAATAAATAATACTGGAGGTTTGTATCCCCAGTCATCAAACAGTTACTTATCCAAGATGGACGTTAACGTTCATTCGAATAGGCCTAAAATCGTATGCCGGCTACATTTCGTTGCTGTGGTTCGTCTGGGTCCAGACTACGTTTTTCGATCTCCGATTCTATACCGACTCCGTCCTGTCACGGCTATTCAAAATCCTGCATTTGGGGGTTGTAGGCGCCTTCACTATTCTGGGACCTAATTTCGATTCATCAAGCCCCACGACAAGGACGAATCAGTACCAGAACACTAGCTTCGTTCTTATGTCATCGCGAGTTATCCTGGTTCTTCAGTATGGCTCCATCTTATGGTATATAAGAGGATACAAACGTGCAGTTCTTCCAATTCTGATGGTTATTGGTGCACTCTTTGTTACTGCAATGTCGTACATGGGTCTCGCATTTGCTGCAATAAGATCTAGCGGGAATCTTGCCTTCGTTGCATGGTATGTGATTGGGGCAGTGGAGGCAATATTTATGGTATCTATATCAAGCTTTTGGGAAGTGCTTAGTTTCAAGGAGACTGCTATCGTCCAAAGATTTAAGAGCATGACATTGATTATCCTCGGAATAGGCTTTGTTGGGATGGCCAGAGCGGTAAGTTTCCCCCTCTTCTTGCCAGGGAGCGTGTAGCTGATGCAAATACAGGCCACCAGAGTTGCCCAAGATATAAGAGATATTACTAGCACGTCAATTGGCCTTATGATAAGCTACTTCTTTGTTATTGTAAGCTCCTAGCACGGAAGATAAACTTTTACCAAGTTTCCTAACAGATATATGGTGTAGTATTTCATCTATACGATGTACTCTGACCAGATCCCCGAGAACTGGTTTAGCGGCATCCGCCAGCAAATATGGACACTTGTGCATCTTCCATTACACATGGGAATACTTCTCGCCGTTGAAGGTTGCCGTGGATGGATTATGTGGGACATTGCCAACCATATCATCGAGGGAGCTGCCCTTCAAGCCCTCTTGGCTTTAGACGCACTGGGCTTACCGCGAACTCCATCCGAAGCAGAGGCTTTTGTCACCGAGCTTAGGATAATCGTCATCAATCTCTACCAGCGGCTCCACTCCGGAGAGCCAGTGCCGGATTTCACACCGATATACGAAGGGCTTCTCTCCCTGAACCCCTTCGACGAAGATACTCAAGTATACGTGCTTATCCAAGAGTTTTTCAACGACATATACTTTTGGGTTATGCGGGCCTTTGGCATCCCTGTACCACGGTTAGGAAACATCGGGCGTCAAACTTTCGAGGAGCAGAACAAGGTCATTTACAGCAAGTTTTACGTACTGTTTGGATACTTCTTCATAGGGTCTGGGTTGACGCTTGTGCTCCTTGCACTTCTACGTTGGTTGGGCAAAGCGCGTAGGACGCGTGGCGAGATGCTGTCCATTGTCTTGATGACTCTGCTCGGGACGGGTGTGACGTTTATCTCATTTTTCATCCCAGCTGAAAAGAACTTGAATGTAGAGGTACAACCGGAGGGGCCGTTTTCAATCTACTTGAACAGTAGGTGGATCGTGCCGACTGTGGCGTTGATATATGCGTTTGGTAAGTTAACAAGTTGTCCAGAAGACATACTCCTTCATACGTGGTTTTGCTAATTCGGATGTTTTGCTGTAGTCGTTGTGGTTGATAATTTGATTATTTGGATCTCGCACAGACGCTGGATCAAGCGTTTACCTAGTAGTTGATTTGTCACCCCTGCGATGTCATTCATCTCGGTCTCAATAGATCTGAAAAAAAAGGCATTGACTACATGGGAATGATACTATATGTCAACGTGCGCTTTGTATCAAATTTCGGCCTTTCTAAGGCTCCAAATGCGTGAAAGAGATCCTATGCTCAAATTACGACTTTCCCCCATCCTCTCAGAACAAGAAAGAAAAAAGAAAACGTAAGAAAAATAATATATTTACATGTTGAAATAGTTGTACCAGTAACTGATTATAGGCATTAGTTTTGTGTTTTGGTTCCTGTATTCAGTTATGAGTACTAGTGTTTAAGTGTTCATCTGATTTTACTTGTCATTTTATCAGTGTCCTTTCATCAGTTGTCGGTAGTAGTGTGGTACACGTAGTTGATATTCAAATGGACTGTACAGACTATCCATTCTTACTCATTACAAGGTAACAGTATCGGGTACCTGAGAGCTCAGGCCCAAGTTAAGGATGCACGAACAAAAGGAGACCGTATGTCGAAATGGCTGTCAGGATCAACAAATCACTTTTCCCAGAATGTTCTCTTCCGGCGGCAACGACGAAATATCGGCCCTTGATTCCTGTGACACAATGTGAGGAGATATCAGGTGTCAACATGGGGCCGGTCGATATTTCAATTCCCCAATAATGAGTCAAAATATGCTCATCCGCCCCTTTGATGTTCGTGTCGGCGAGCCACTATGAGAACGTATATTCAGATCATGCTACAAAACTGTTTAGCAATGGGCAAATCACGCGTATGCTTGGGCCGGATTACGATCTTGGAAAAGGAGGGACAATGCCCCTGTGGCGGCGCTTTGGTTCTTAGAGAACTTGTTCGCTATCACAATCACGCAAGTTTATACCCAATTTTCGCACGGAACAGACATAGCTCTTCTCCGGAGTTCGAATGTAAGGCAGAAACTTGGAGGTCGCACAAGTGGCGGGAGAGTCGGAATATCGGACTGCCTTCATTGCTTGCTGCCGTAGGGTAAATGTATAGAGACTTCTATCGGAATCCGTAACGTCGATGGTGGCCAAACATGGATGGGTTCTGATTAAGCCTTCTACCAATAGATATCTGATGTTTTTTTGAATACCTTACCGACGCTTCAGAAGTAGCCTGTTATGTCAGGGCAAACTTCAGATGTGAATTTACATATTTTCTTCGCTGCATGTGTGTCGAGGTTGGTAGGTTAATAAAATCTCCACCGAATCCACCACCAAAGACTAGCACCTGTTTCATCACACAACAGTTCTTATTTATTCCCTTTGAGCGAAGAAGTTGGGTATCCATCAGATATAAAATTGGTGGCAAATCTCCTTCTAGATGGATAGAATATCAGGGCTCTAGTTACATTTTTTTCGCTGTCCTATCATGTAATAATATCGAATTTTACTCGTTTCATAGTGCATGTTTATTTGCAAAGGACCAGTGGATTCCCATCGGCTTGGATTAATGTTCATATATATACATGGATATTAGTTTCGATATATACATTGGCAAGCAAACGTTTCTCTCTCTCTTTTGCAGCCCTTCCGCTCATTGGAAACAAAGTTTCTACAGCACTTGGCAGGATTGAAAAGAGTTCTGTCGCCCCGCACAATACCGCAATGCTTGCTTCATATTCAACGGCAAAAGGGAATGCTTGGGATTGATCCCATGGCGTCCAAATCCACCGGGAGAAGATGCAGTTGCACAACGCATCATAGCATAAAAATATCGCGAAAAGGAACCCTACGCGACATGTCTCGGATTTTGCTCTGACAAAGCGTGAAAAGAAAGCTTTGAGCAACTTTCTGCTTTCAACTCGAAGGCGAGATTGTGGAAATCAGCCTTGCTTTAGCACCTCAGGCACCCACCCACAAGTCTCCAATCCTGTTTACCCAGCGGCAAACCCACCTCTTCGGTTCCCCTGACTCAAATTATCTCCCCAGTCCGGCTGCAAAGTTGTTCCAACTTTTTGGGGGGGGGGGGTGGGATCTAACGATATCTCTCGTTGAAGAAAACAGTCCGAAAACCCCCCACGCTGTCGTTCAGGCTCCAGGGAACAGGGCTAGGATGCATCATGCATGAACCTGGTTATTGGGACACGCTAGGGTAAAGGGACGGGACGTCCCTTCGCCTCCAGATGACAAGGTTCTCTGACGATACTCTCGCTCTGCCAAACAGGGACGGTGTCCACACCGAGGCTATCAAGGAGTTGATGGGATGAGGGTGGAGAGAGGATGGCGAGGTTTCCCCAAACTCTCAGCCTGACTGCCTGAGCACTCAGGAGCAATCATTGAGACTGCCTGCAAGTCTCCGTGTTGGCCTGATTCATCTGCACAGAGTGCTTTTCATCTGGCCGACTTTGGCATACTAGCGAGGCTTGGAAACGATGTCAATGCCAACCTCTACTAAAACCGTATCGGGTGAAAATTAATGGAGACAAGTATGGAATCATTATCAACACAGTCGTTACTCAGGGAGGGTTCCCTTCTGCAGCTGCAACATGAACGCAAGGAACGGACACTAATTGCAACAGGTCATGCCGCAAGTTGGGAAACTGGTGATCCTCCGAGAGGATCATGAAACAGATTACGGAGTTTAGAATGATATAAAGTTCATTAACACCTGTAATGAATATAAAACAACAATACCAGGTGAGATCGGTTTGAATTTAACAGACATAGGTACGTACATACCGAACATACCTAACATACCGAACATACCGAACATACAGTACGACAGGTAAGATACAGCTCTGGTAAATATGAAAATATGATACAGAACTAGAGATACAGATGGGGGATCGAGCAAATAATCAAAATCATCTTGTGATGCGTTGTGTAAGTTTTCTCGAAGGGCTGGGGGACTCTCAACCTTGCCCCTTTTTCCATTCCCACGGGAGGAGCATCGGAGAGTGGGACTAGCGCGCGCGGAAGCCGGGAAGGCAGTTCTAAAAGCGACGGCGCGCACCAGGTCCAGGGGAACGGACGCCAACCAGCTCCCTGGGTTTTTCGCCCCCCGCTGGCCGCGGCTGGACCCTGGCTGTGATTTGGGGGGTGGAGAAGGGTGAAGAGTCGGATTTGCCTCATGGATTGACTCGGAACTCTCTAAGCACCTTGTGGAAGTCCCACATGGAGGATTTCTGAGAGGCGATTTGCCAACTTTCCTGCAGAACAATTCTTTGGTGCTTGCCCCTGTACTTGGCCATGGTATGAAGGTAGGGTATCTGGCGGACCGCTAAAGGCGGTGATTCTTATACCAACAACCATGTGCTTCGTTAATGGAAACACGAAAAAGAAAATACTGAATGGGGGGCATCGATAGTTCAACGACAGACCGCTGAAGATACCGCGATCACTTTACGGAGTACAGAGTGCATGTCCGTCGACACAGACCAGGGATATTGAAAGCCCCACTCATAACTGGCTTGCATCCGCGCTGTAAATCTATCACCGTCCGGGGGAAATGCGGCGGAAATGGTTTCCCACACCAACCATCGAGCAAGCAATGACAAAAACCCTTTTTGCTGAAAGAGTCGTCTGATCTCTCATTTAGAGCTCCAGACCTTTCGCTTGCTAGTCGATACCGACAACCTGATTCCTATGGCGATCCGTCTTGGGAACGCGTGGTAAAATTTCCAATCAATTCCGCCATTACCGCTGCCACCAGTGCCTACCACAGCGCCATCTCAATACCAAAACCACACTATCGGGGCCTGAACTTGTCACGTTGAACCGCCACCTTGGAAGCTGGACAGACGGCTCCGGGGAAGTTTGGATAGTGCAGATGGTGCTTGTCGTGGTGTGTGATCCAATCGGGATGGGAGCAGACTTTGCTTGGCAGATGGCTAATCCCCCTGAAAGATTTCCATCGCCCCAGTCCAGAGGCGGGAAACAAGGGCTAATCAAGAATGGTGTGTTACTGATGTTGCTGGTGGCATTGCAGAACAATGGAGTGACAGTGGTCCGCGGACGACAATTGGGAGTTACATGGAGAATGTTAAACACTCGATGGTTGGACAACCTTCCCTCTTCCAAAATTATTGCAGCCGTAATGGTCGGGCAGAAATGATTGGTTTTGCATTGGCTGTCCTCCAACAATAACGGTTGTAATGGAGAGCACACTAGATATAACTAGCAACGTCACGATTAGATCAATATTATGCCAACCAATGTGGGTTTTCGTGCTTGTGGGATACTATGTCTCATGACGAAAATATGACATGACGATTTTGAGGAGCGTTCACCAAGTTGTCCAGACCTAGGAATTCAAACCTGAAGAAGGTTGATGGAGACTGAGGAATGAGTATCTGGGAGTGCTTTGACTCTCGAGAACAAGATAGCATTACTATTTCACAGTAGACTATGGGCCACGGTGATATATATTTATATATGGTAATATCTATCTACCCTGTCCTACTGCCCACTTCGGCAATTCTCGTGTTGTTCTGCTACCAGGTCACTGAACACGGCGAAATAGTATGAAAGGGCCGACTCACATTCAAGGGTCACACTGCTAGAGCCATGCCACAATGACAGGAAACTCGATGTACAGGCTGCGATATGTCGAGTTGAAGAATCATATTAGAGTCACTAGTTGGGTCGCGGCAAAGCGCGATTAGGGTCGCCAGGTTCGGCTTATTGGCGCGGAACAACTCCATCAGGCACAAAGGGCAGAGTGGAGCGATTATGGTATGATAATTTCTCATCTTCAAAACAAGAGTTTGATTTGCAAAACATGCTATATTTTACCTTTCAATAACAATACGCGCCCTGCTTACAGGGCTTTGGTATTTCAAAGCAGATAGATATGTTGTTTCAGAATAGGTTCGCCAGGTGTACAGGGTACATCTGCAAAAGGTACCCCTTGTGGTGGTATCAGCAACAAAGCAGTAGTACTAGCATGATTTGGAGCGAAAGCCTGTGAGATTCAGACTCCACAACGGGGCAATCAAGCCATTCCTCATGAATGCCCAATAGTCCAGCGTCGCAGCCATACATTATTTTTGGCCACAGGGAAATTCAAATATTGACTTTCATAGCTCTGGTTGAATGTTGAACGATTTTCGCTGGTGAGCAGCTCGTTTAGGCGGATGGATTTCGGCGATAGATTTAAACTCCGCCTTGGTCATTTTAGGGGAAACTAAGCAGTGGCGCGAGATCAAGAGCCGAATGGATCCTGCAGGTCGAAGATTATCCAAGCCCTAAATCGGGAATAAGCGTGCTGACAATGTTATGGGTTTCATTTTCCTCTTTGAAACGTGGCGGAAAATGAATGCTTTTGCGGATGGCGCAGTTACAGGCAGCCTTTGATTATTGTCACATGGCTTTTCAATAATGGCCCTCCAGATCACCGATTCCCTCTGGTAATCCGATGAAAAATGGATGGATGATCAAACTTTGAAGGAACCTCATACGATGCGCGGCACAAAAAAAAAAAAAAAAAGAAAGAGACGGGATGGGATCGCTTTGACAAAGGACTTGAACTCCGGACTCGGTCCGGACATAACGGAGAGAGAGGACATACAGCGTATACGGAGCGTGTGGGAATCGAGACCAGGTTCCCCGCAAAATCCGATGCGCTAGAACATCTAGAAGCCTGTATACCCCAGAGGTTCCAAGCCACGGGTTCAGGAACCAATCAATGGGGGCTTGTCGGATTGGCTGCCATCCTCGACGTGGCTAAATTCTCACCAACACATCCTCACGAGTTATAAATATTTAGACGGGATGGAGGAGGCCAGAAAAAGCACATATGCAGGCAATCTCAGGCCCGATTCTCTGGGAATAAACCGCGTCGTTTGTCTCTCTGATTGGCCTGCAAAGCGGAGATAGGGGAACAGTACGGAGTCAGCAAGCGTATGTTTGGGAGTCTGTCAGGCGACCAAACAACCTCTTCCCCAGAAAGATGCCTTACTCCCGTCAGTGCACTAACCATTACTTTGCACCTCCTGTTTACGGTTGCCACAAAATACTCGGTTCTCTGGATATTGGATAGGGAGGCACATGGGTGTGGGAAAATAGGTATGGCAAAAGGGAAAAAACTACAGAGTATGCACACTGATAAACTTCAGCCCCAAAGCGCATCCCCAACAGTCACTTTCCACAAAACTCCGCGGTGATTTCAACAAGGTTGAAGTCAAAAAAGGCTTTCTCCAATTGTTGCTGGGTTGGTCCAGCTGCCGATCTGCGACTCTCGACTTTGACCTTTCGTGACGGACCGCTCCGGCGGCCCAGTAGTGGGCTCCGCGTGTTCACGCAGAGTAGACCACAACCAGACATGACGGCTACCACTGGCTGGAGATTTCAAATTTTTCTCCCTCGGAACCGGGACGACGCTAACCACATTCCAACATGATGGCGATCAAACCTCCCTCTTCTTGTGGTGGGCTCGGATACTATTTGCGCTTCCACCAGATAGCGGATGAAACTTTGGGAGTAAGAGCCGGTACAGATGCTTATGAAGGTGGGTGCCGAAATGTCAGGGTCCACTTACTGTATACAGACATCTGGTATCGGACCTGTATCATGAGATGTATAAGACATATGTTCTATACAGATCGTATGCCGAGGTAACGGTAATGTGTAAAAACACAAGGCACGGTAATATCGTGATGAATCAATCAACATTACAGATTACAGAGGGTGTGATGGTTTCCTGTTCACATTTACGAAGACTGTATTTCGGCTGCGCCAGTGTGGGGAATACGTGTGTAAATTTTTATTTTTATTTTTATTTTTATTTTCAAAATTAGGACCTAAGGAGGGGAATGGATTTATGCACTGACCAAATTTGGGAGTGATCCCCTGGTAAGATAGTGCATGGATCGAAGTTATTCTCATAGGATGGGGAGGAGGGGCGATGGTTTGGATGGGATTGTGATTATGCGCAATTGCAGTAAATATGCTACGACCTGTTCGTGGCGGGTAGAATAGATTTTAAGGGTATCCTAGAATGGATGACAAGGTGAAGTTACTTGAGCAAAGGAAATTCATAGGGGAGTCGAATGGAGAGGCGGACAAGCGGTTTCACTACCATAAGATAGACACATTTATCGAAATGGTTTGATACCTTAGGCACCCTTGTGTCCAAAGTCCAGTGCTTTTCTATTGATGTGGCATATTTCGCCATTATTCTATCTCAGCTGCGTTTTTTGTTTTTTAATTTTGAAACAAGAAGTTGTAATCTAGTGCCAAGGTTGATGCGAGCTGCCTGACCACACGAATTCGATATATTTTCGACGTAGTTTTATTTTTGGTTATTCCTTACCCGTTGCACGAGACCTGCAAAGCCTCAAAACCCGTAAAGGAGTTGAAAAGCAAAATTATCTAATATTCGGCTTCATCATCGCCAGCAATAATGACGTTGTTGACCTATTATATCAAAGAAAGTTAGTGCATGAAAAGATCCTAAGGTGGTGGCCAATGTGGGTTGTAAATTAGCGGTGTCTTTACCTTCAGAACCAGACGACATAATTGAGTTGCGAGCAGGAGTTGCTGGCGCTTGCTGATTAACGGGTCAATCACGAAATGTTGCTTCATATCTGTAAGGAGTGTGATATATTGATTAGTTTCGATCTGGTGTTCAATAGAGTGTGATCACTCTGGAGAGGGCGGTGGTCGGGAATCGCAAACCATTGCTTCCAGTGTTCATGCAATCGACGCCGAGACAGGGGTTATTTTCCTTCAGCTGGCGGGACTTAACGGCGGCAAGGGTTTCAATAGGGCTGAGGCCGGAATTTTCCGCTAGGGCCATGGGAATGCTATCGAGAGCATCTGCGAATGCGCGCATGGCATATTGCGCGAGTCCAGGATTCTATAAATCGCAAGAAGGAAAAATTAATGTCAGACAATACGACTATTGGAATTTAGCATGGCTACAAATAGGGTGGAAATACTTACTTTAACAGAAGCATCCTCTACAGCAAGCGAACAGGCAATTTCGGCAGCACCACCGCCGTACACAACACGGTTGTCACGTACAAGATTTCTTACAACGCAAAGGGCATCGTGCAAGGATCGCTTGGCCTCATCAACGATCTAAGGTAGATGAGAAAGTAAGTTTAAAAAGGGTCTATCGAAATGAAGGGAGGGAGGCTTGTTTGCATACCATTTTATTACTGCCACGCAGGAAGACGGTCACAGCGCGAGTGTTTGCGCAATCCTCAATTATCAACATTTTTTCCCTAGTCGTACCGAAACTCATCTCACGTACGGTACCCGCAGTGCCTAGTTTCTCTGGGCTCAAATCCTCAAATCGCGGCACAATCCTTCCGTTGGTAGCAATAGCGATTAATTCGATTTCGGGCCCTCCTACCCATCGGACGGCGGGTAAGTTGTTTTGGAGTAGAAGGTGGTTCGCTTCGTCATCAAAGCCCCACTGGCAGATGACGAGGTTTGCACCGGTGTCTTTGAGTTGTTGGATCATCTCTGTGAATTTATCCGTCTCATATGCCTGCAACTTTTTAAATTCCTCAACAGTCGTTATGTCAAGCTTATGTTTCGTTTTGGGCTTTGGGGGTTCAAATGCACAGGTCAGAATCGCGATCTTGGCGTCCTGAACTTCGTCAGGCATTTGGGGATGAGAGAAGTCTTTATCGATAATGACACCCTTGACAAGGAGGGAGTCCTCGAGGGCTCCGCCAACTTTACCATCAACTTTAATGAGCTCGAAGTCGACATCTTTTCGCTCTAGATCTGCGACGGAGAGAACTGCATCTACAGCCATATTGGCGAAATGGTCATGAGCTTTCGAAACACTGTGCCTAGTCAGAATGGAAAATCTATTTGAGAATGAACACCGAGCGGAACGCACATTTTGCTTCCGAGGCTTGTTTTCGCGACTTTGATCAGATTTTCTCGATCGTCTAAGGAGAATTTAATCTCATCACAGATTCGGTCCAGTTCCTCAACCGCAATCTCGCAGGCCTGGTCATAGCCATCCGCTATTCTAATGGGATGGATCCCCTTGTCAATTAAATCGGCAGCCTGTTCCAGAAGGGCTCCGGCTAGGACGACAACTCCAGTGGTTCCATCTCCAATTTCGTCATCTTGCGATTTTGAAAGCTCAACAAGAAGCTTGGCAACATTATTCGATATTTCCATCTAGCATCAAGAGTCAACAATGCAGTCCGCATATATTGAGATATCGGATAAGAACGGACCTGAGAGAGAATGGTGGCCCCATCATTTGTGACAGTGATATCTCCATCCGGAGAAATTAGAATTTTATCCAATCCGCGTGGGCCCTATGAAGACGTTTTAGAAGAATATATCGATAATAACCGACTGGAGAAAGTGTAGCACACCAGTGACGTTTTCACTATGCTGGACACTGTCTTTGCCGCAACAATGTGTGATTTGACCGCATCAGTTCCGCTCTGTCGCTTCTTCTTTCCTTGACTGTAATCCCACACGTCAAAAGCTTGTCCCTATATAGGCCTCCAAGGACAGTTGTAACATACTCTCGAACCACGATAAAAGGGCGCCCTTGCTCATCCTTGACAACGGAGGCTATTCCCAAGCACAGTATTTGTTAGAATTCAAAGGTTTCAGCAAACAGCAGCGGAAAGGGATAAGTGATCTACCTTGGGACATATCAAGTTCTGGACCCGAGAACAAGTCAGTATTGTTATCTCAAAAGATATCGGTCCAAGGAGGGGCATTGACGTACGCATTGCCATATTACAGGTGGACCGCTAGGCGGTAAAATCCTTTCGATTTAAATGCTCCGGGAGTTGGATAAGAGCGAAATGATAAAGAGATAACAAAGAAGCTGCGGCGAGCCGAGAATTGGACGTAGTGGAGTCCGAATGCTAGATTGTTGTGCCCTATCGCTTGAAATAAATCACTTGCGCGCGGCAATGAAATTCTGGATTACGTAAACGAACCTAGCCAGCAGCTTCTTTCCATCTCCGGGTTGGTGTACACCTTGCAACACGACTCGCGACATGCTATTGCAACTCAACAAACTGGCCATTTGCACAGCATTTTGCTACTGGGCGATTCTGCTACTGCTACTGGGATTGTTCGCGCGGACTTGATATATTAAATTTTTACGTTCCGCGACCGTCAAGCACATTGGGGTTTCTTTTGTCCTACTCCCAGCCACTGGCACACAAACATGCCTCGTGAGTTCCCTCATATGCGCCGTGACGAGTTGAGCCTTTTGTAGCTGATATTAGCTGTCGCATATACCTCTAGCTGCTCTCCAATTGAGTGAAGACGAATCTGCAGGGGAATCGATTCCCTTCAATGATGCCGAAGAACAACAACAGGTCTCCAAGAAACCTGACATGCCCTCCGATGTTGATGAAGACGACAACGACAGCGGTGAAGAGGGCGACGATGTGTGAGCAAGAGCAATGCGAAAGTTAAATTATGGATTCTAATGATTTCCGTCCTGTCTAGATACGTGGTTGAGAAGATTATGGGTCATGAGTTTGCGAAAGATGTGGGTAGCAACATCCGTTTTTAATTTGTGGTCGAGTCCGCTAAGAAATATTCAGGGCACTCTCCTCTTTCAGGTCAAATGGAAAGGCTACGAAGATCCCCAAGATCAGACTCTGGAACCAGAGGAAAATCTAGTGTATTTCTACCTCGCTCCAGATTCCACGGCGTAACCCTAACATTGTGTCTAGAGAAGGGGCAGCGGATGTCGTTAAAGAATATTTTTCCATCATAGGCGGACGACCTGAGAAACCATCAAAAAAACGGAAATCCATTACGGGGTCTACACCAACGCACGACACATCGATCGTCAAAAGGTCAAAAAAATCTCGCGACTCGGAAGCGAATGGGACACCGGAAATAGAAAATAATGTTGCAGATTGGGTGCCGAAAACGAAGAACTGGGATTCACAGGTCAAGTCCATCGATACAATAATGCGCGATCCACCTACGGGTAACTTATTCGTGTACCTCAATTGGAATAACGACAAAAAAGCGAAAGTTTCCATTCAACAATGCTATGAGAAGTGTCCCCAAAAGGTATGCAATACCGTTGTTCAATGCTAGCGTGCTATCATGGGTTTGTCAACTGATGCGATATCTAGATGCTGCAATTTTACGAACAACACTTGTATGTTTTACTAAATGCCCTGCTCATAAACCTTTGAGTTCCATGCTAAAATCTATGCAGAGTTTTCAAGGACGCTTAGTCCAATGCTATTCTATTAGCCTTGACTTCTCTCTACTTTGTATTGCCAAGTAGGTAACCGACAACTATCCTTGGTGACCTGTTAACCCGGGAAGTTGCCCTTCCCAGACACGGACTCATTTTCCATGCTTGCCAAACATATAGCCATTGATATTTTTATGGGCACAAAGAATTCGAATGGCATCTTCCCTTTCTGCATCATGTTGGTTCAATTATTCAAGGATCATGGGTGAAAAAAGTTTCTCTTCTCTACACTATGTTTTATTTTAGTTTTTGGCCTTGGTTATCACGTGTAAATCATTTGCTATTGGTTGAAGATTTTTTTCCCTGTTTCTAAAGCGCAATGAGGTGGATTATCTATAATATTTCTCTCCATGTCCCTATGCCTTTCAACATTTTACTTTTCTTATGTATTTTTCTCCTCGTTAGCCTTCCTTGATTTATGTTTGCTTCTTAGTTATGATATCTGATCTACAAACTCTTGGGTTCCGTATTCAATGTTCTTTACCCATAAACATTAACCCCCGAACAAGGGGTTAGGCAGTTTAATTTCACTCCGCGATGGTTTTTAAACCAAGAAAATGAAAGCTAATGAGAGTTTATTAGCATAATTGACCATGCTATTCGTCCAGGTTTGTAGTATCCTGGAATAGGAATGTTTAGCATTTTGCATGTATAGAATAATATCTTCTGCTCAAGGCGCATCGACAACCATTGGATATTACGCAAAGCAGAAAGGAAGGATGAGAGGGAGTGACAAAAGGCTAACATAGTGCGTTCTCCATCAGTCTGCTGGTTTTTGCATTTGCATCATCACCTCCTTACGGGTCATTATATACTCAAATCGCTCATTAAACAGTTCATCCCCGTGCTTCTGAATCAAAGCCTCAATGCCCCTCGAATCAGACGCTTCAAGACACTCGTCATCTTCTTTCGTCCAAACGCCCCTAATATTGTCAGGTATTCCCTTCCCAGTTGCCATTGCTTCGAGAACCGTATCAGCTAGGTCGGGATCCATAGTGGTGCATGCTAGCGCTTCGAGAACTTGCTGCTCGGTGGAAGCCTTGGGACCAACGGTTTTGGAGGCGATCCATTTATCCAGACGTTCGATGGAGGGCTGATCGTTGGGCAAGGATGAGGGATTGTCGCCAGCATGCGCATTTGTTTCAGCAATCGGGGTTGGTCGCGGGGTTGGAGAGCCGTTGAACTCGTGTCGGCGATCTAGGATCTGGGGAGGCGTTTGATAATGGCTTTCCAAAGTGTCTTGTCGGAATTGAGGGGCGGTTTCAAAACGGTCATCTGATGCTGAGTTGGTGGTGGTGGCAGATACGGCGCGGCTCGCGGAGGTGGAATTTTCGTTATTACTGGGATAGGGGAAGTGGGATTTTGAATGTGTGCTCTGTTCCCGAATAGAGGAGCCGGGAGAATTTGTTGGTGAAGCCGTAAAAGCCATTGCTCTATCAGGTTGCTGTCTTGCAACTGACGGACATGTCGTTGCTCGAGCGGTGGGCTCGACATTTTTTCGTTTCCGGCTTTCAGATTCTCCCTCAGTGGCAGGAAGATGTGTTGCGCTCCGTTGTCGTTTTCTAATATCTATGCGCTGTTTTTCCAGAGGAGCCAAGTTTTGTTGGCTCCCACTTTCTGAAAAGGACGTAAGGCTGTAGTTTTCACTATGTTGTTTCTTGGGAGATTTCGCACGAATTGAAGAAGAGGCAGCAATATCATGGTGAGCTACTGGTAGAGCCTGATGAGAAGCGGTATTCCTAGATTTTCTTGACCTGTATTCTGGCAGAATAACGTTCTGAAAAAAAGATTTCCATTCCGCAACAGATTTGCCGGTCTGTCATAAGTTTGGGTTAGAAAAGTGGAAACAATGCACGATTCAGGTTTTTCGCAGACACCATACATTTTCGGCATACGCCGACCAGGCCTCATCTTCCTTGCCGTCATCAATATTAAGAATATCTTTTATATGACGGAGCAAGTCTTCTTTCTCTTCCTCTGTAAAATGTTTATATCTGTTGCTGCCGGAGCCAGGGGTTCGGGTGTTAGATGTGTCCGCCTGCAGCCGTTCGTCACTCCTGGGTTCTTCGTCAGTCTCGCGGACAGTTGGCTCCGGGGCGACAGGTCGTGGGCGATCTTTGACTTTATTTAGGTAACGATAACGCCATGATTGAAATGTATGATGCGGATACTGAATTTATTCATCCTTAACAACTGTAGTATGGACGGATATAAGGGGTCGGGGTGAAAAGTACCTTTTCAGAAAGTTGCTGGTAAATTTTATTTCCTCCTATGTGGCCCCCATTTTCTTCAAAAGGCTTCACCCAGTCATATAGGATTTGATCATCTCTCGCAGTAAAGGCGGTTCGGTGACTCTTTTGGCGGATGGTAGTCGACCCAACAGGACGGAAATACCCAACTTGTGGACCAGCGCGGTGGTCTTCTAGGCTCTCCCGTTTCCCACTCCGGATGGACTTTTCAATATACCGGAAAGAAGTTCTACCGACATGTTATCTAGGTGAACAAAAGCCATATCTTTAGAATGATAGGGTCTACGAACGAGCCAGGAGGGTTGTCCCCTCTCATATGGTCCACAAGAAGTACATCAGCATCTTTCTCTAATAATACTACTTTCCCACCGTTGGCCTAGGGAGCTGTTAATATAACAATAAGTAATAGAGCAATAAAGTCATTTCTGGACAGGCTCACCTGAATCTGCTGTATTATCCATGACCTTGATGGGACGGTTCTTGAAAGCCAAAACTTGGTGTCCTTGAACAAAACGCCACCAACATCGTGTGTACTAGAGACACCCGAATAGACCACAGTGGGGCTTGTCATATTCGACAAGTGCCTTTTGTAAACAGCCGTCTATGTCAAACGCACCAAGCATGGTTCTAAAGTTTGTTGTGTTGCTGCCATCCTTTTCCATTTTCATGGAGACGCGATTGATGACGCGAGAGTCACGTGGCGATAAGCTGAGGCTATCAGCAACAATCCAGCTCGAGTTCGAGGATAAAAGCAGATTTTCCAGCCTCGAGATGGGCCTTTGAAGGTCAGGGCCTGACGACTGGACAATTTTCACCCGCTTTCCCTTTTGCTAATTTGATTTGTTTCTGCGCGACGCAGAGCAAGCACCCCGAACAAGATGGGAGCACTGGGAACTGTTGCTGCCGTGGTGTTTGCTTTGTCGTTCGTGACATTCGTTGCTTTGTTTGGGAGACTACCAGCCCTGAGGTATTCGACTTCATTTTATGAGTACCTCTTTATTACGACTCTGAATTCTACTAAGCTGTGTTTATTTTTAGAAAAACTCCAATTGGTTTGCTGCATCGTATCATCTGGATCCATACCCCCAAGTTTCTGCGCCTGGTCGATGGTGTCTTTTTTGGCTCCCGGGTCTCACGATGGGGAAGCCGTTCTGGACATTATTTAATGTATGAAAACCATCCTGTGATATTGGTATGTGACTATCAAAAACAATAAATTTCATTCTCAGACTTACTCATGGGGCTGTAGATATTCTTCCTTGTGCTGCTGGTCGGCTCGGAAGCTGTATTTGTTCCCGCCATCTGGTCAAGGATCGGGGTATTCCACAAACTTTGCATCCCAGTCATTGCTACATTGCCATATTGGCTTTTATATAGTTCTGTTTTTACAACTTCCATTATCACGCGGGAGAACATCGAAGACCACATGCGATCATATCCCTATGATCGAATCTTGTTCCATCCGGGCTATGTCTGCCGAACCTGCCATACTTTGAAGCCTGCTCGAAGTAAGCATTGCAGCATTTGCAATGTATGTGTCTCTAGGCACGATCACCATTGTGTATGGTTGATGAATTGTGTTGGTGAAAACAATTACCGCTACTTTTTAGCACTCCTGCTGTCGATGTTTGTGCTACTGTCCTATGGAACATATTTGGGATACTCGATACTCGACCGTTATTTACAGGACACCTTAGTCCTAAGTTTTCCTACTGCAATGCGCTCTAAGCACTGGGCGGAGGGAATTGAATGGGGAATGTATTTTGAATTATGGGGATATGCAATTGCCGATGATATTGTCGTTGGAGGAGTTTTTTTGCTGGCAATGCTGACTGTACTGCTGCCGCTTGCGATGTTTCTTTACCATGTGTATCTGATCTGGAGCGGTATGACCACCAACGAAAGCGCAAAGTGGGGTGATTGGCGAGATGGTATTGCGGATGGACTTGTATTCAAGGCAAGGAAAAGCGAAATATACCCCCAAAAACACCCGGATTCCCACATCGTCGAACCTTACGTTCCGTGGCCGATTCAGGTTGACCAAACCCTGATATTCACGGATGATGGAAATCCTCCAAGGGTCGGGTTTTCCCTAGCTAGGGAATGCAGCTCGATAACGCAGCCCGGGGACCTGGACGCGATCGCCGATCTAAGATGGATGAGATTACAGAGCCTAAAGGATGTGGTGAATATTTACGATCGCGGGTTTTGGGCGAATTTGAGAGACGCCCTGCACCTCCGTCGATGATTTGCTACGGTGAATGGCATACGTGATGATCATGTAATTTAGACAGAAATAACCAGTTAGGGAAATATCACCGGATAGTACTTGATAACTGTTGGAGCTCATATGCTTCTTTGATGCCGGGAAACGGAAGAACCTAGTTCCTCAGATGCCAAGACCGCGAAGCTGCTGTTCTCATCCAGTAACTTACCCGAAAACTTTTGTTCTTCCTTTTTTTTTGGGGGTTGGTTGCAGCTGGGATATTTACTCTTCTTTTTGAGGATATAGATCCTCCCGCAGATCTGAAATGTCAACAGCCCAAAGCCTTGGGGCTTCGGAGCGCTCTGCAAACCATGGTGGGCCAAAGTGCACTCCGGCTGAGTTGCTGTTGAGGGTGGTTCTCGCCGGGACTTTGACTCACTATGAGACTCGGGGTATGATTGATGATAAACGGTTAGAGCATATGTTGCTTTCTGGGAAGCAGATTCTTTATAAGAGCCATCAGGAAAGCGAAGTAAGGTATGAAGAAGCCATTTTTCCGCATGCCCCTCATTCAATCCCACTTGAAGATTGGACAATCACTGTGAACGCGGGAATTTTCTGTATTTTTATTTTTTTATTTCTTGTAGTTGAAAAAGAAAGAAAATGCACCGTATGAGTGTCGCTAACTTCAAAATAGGCAGAATCTGGGCTTTTCACCGGCGATATGGCAAGGCCTCACCGACGTCTTGAGCAAAGCCATCCCCGTTCTCGAAACACAATCGTTGGCGGCTCCCGGAACCTGCGAAGAATCGTCCTCCAACCTCATAGCGTATAACTACTTCTCGCTGGTAAAGGATATTGAACGGTTGAACGATCTTTGTACAATTGCGCGAAATCTACTTGCGACGACAAAGAAGGCACAAAACCTGGCTGCTGAGAAGGGTTTTGATCAAAGAATCTTGTTGCTAATTGACACATGCGTCAGAGTTACTGCCAGAGGCTACGATGGCGAAAGCAACGCTAGAAATGAAGAAAGATGGCAAAAAGTTGTTAATCTCTACAAACGGCTGCTAATCACTTGCCTCCAGTTCCTCCATAATTTTATCATGCATAACGAACATCGGAAACTTGTGTTGTGGCTTGATCTCTTTGGTTATCATCAAAATGGCGAGTCAAGTATAATAACACCTATGGAGCCGTTGGATGCTGGCGGCTCCCCTCCACAAGGTGTAGCACCAGTTGTAAGAGCGGGGGTGCGACTTGTTAGTCCACCCTTGCGCACGATCTACGACCGAAACGCGGAGGATATGTTGCTAGAAACGATTTCAACTTTCCCCAGAGAACCGGCATCGTCGAAAGAGGAAGCGGCTATGATGTTACTGGCCAACGTAAAGGATCACATGGAGAAGCTTCTGGGCCGGAATCTTAAAGAAATCCAACAGATGGGTAAGGATCCAGACCGAGTGACAGAAATCCGTGCTGCGCTTACTGCAATTTTGTCAGCCAAAATGGAAGGCTGGGCAGATTTGAAGGACCGATTCCGTGAAGATGGAACCGCCCTCGTCGAAGAGGAGCCGACCAGGAAAAAGGCGATTCTCAGCATCGATCGGAGTGCTACGACGGGTTATCCACGGACGTGTTGGACCGATTTGCCAGATTTAGAGGAATACGGCGCCATAGCCGCGGTCGACGCACCAGTTACCGCTCAAGACACCGCAATGTCGCGATCCCCCCAGTCAGCTGCAGAGACCTTACAGGAAGCGAAAGACGAGTTGATGGCTAGACTTCAAGAGCCCTCACCTATCATGGCCAACGGGGAGTTACATTACGAGTCGATGGATGGTAATGGTATTCCACCGGATGATGACTCGCGTAGCCTAGAGGCGGCGGCAGATGGCAGTGTTGACGAGGAAGAAGATGACGAGGATGATGATGACGATTATACCGGTCGACCTGGGGACCAGCAGCGTGGCTTACTCACAGATATTCCTCTCGTCCTAGGTCCTGCGGAAATCGAGGCTCTGCCGATGATTATCCAAGCAGGTATTGTTGATAGTTTCGGTCTTAAGGGTGGAGAACGATCGGGAAATAAAAATATGCAGGCGGTCCGCTGCCATATTCTTCTTGCCCAGGAGACTGGTAGAAACCTTCTCCGCGAGCTATTGATTTTTATTGCCGCCTGGGACCTTCCAGATGAGGAATTTTACTTTAAGATGATGGTTCAAATCATGGAAGCTGTGCTTAAGAATGGTTTGATGTCTCATGCTTATTCGGATTTCGGGCAAGCAAAGGACATCATCTCGCCCGCCCAGGCTGTAGTAATTAAAATCCTCACGCACATTTTCCGCGCCAAGTATTCACCTCCTAATATCACGTCAGCGACTGAGACACCCACTGGCAGAAGCTCTGTCCCGGTCACAAAGGTTGATGTGCTTACGGTTCGCTACATCTTTACCGTTTTCCGGGGCAACATTATCCCTGAAACTTGTGCTCTGATTTATCTCCAAGGTCAAATCCGCGCGGGCCATGCACGTCCTGAGGACTTTCCACTAAACCTTTGGGACATGGAACGCGTGTATGAAGGAGTTTACCAGTTTCTGGAATTCTTCGCCGTCCTCACAGAAAACACCGGCTGGAAAAACCTGCTCGTGCAGTGGGAGATTGTGTACGATTTGACTACCCTTCTCAAAGAGTTGGAGGGAAGTATACCCAAAGGATCACTGAGCTCCATCAATTCCGCCGCCACTGCAGCTTCACGTGCGGCTACCCAATCACCAAAAGATGCAACAGCGGCACAAGGTGCAAGCAACGTTCCTGTTGCGGTCGAACGACCGTACGACCCGAACGATCAAGAACCGGCTGATGCGGCAACTGTCAGCCCAGGATCCAGAGCCCACTCTCCTCCCGTAGGCAATGACGACCCATCCGACTTTGAGTGGCGCAACTTAAAGAAGCTGGTAGTTCTCGTTCTCTCCTCGCTCGTATGGCAATGCCCGGAAGTCCAAAACCAGATCCGCAAGTACGGCGGTTTAGAGACTATTCTGGCGTGCACGAATTTCGACGCCCATAACCCGTACATCAAAGAACATGCGGTGCTATGTCTGAAGTTTTTGCTCGAGGGTAATCGCGAAAATCAAAAGGTGATTGAGGAACTGGAAGCGAGAGAGGTTGTTAGTGATGAAGGTGGGGTTCTGGAACAAAAAGGATATGAAGCGGTGATCAACGAAGGGAAGCTGGCGATTCGGACGAAAAAGGATGCGCAGGCAGTTGAGGAAACTGAAAGCTCGTCGAATAGATAGATGATATGTGAGCGATACCTTTGGCAAAGGAGTTTGTCGGAACGATTTGAATATGCTTCTGATTATGATGGAGTGAACATTTTGACCGAAAAAATAAGGTCCATGTTGGATTGTTTTGGGGCTGTTGGTTTATGGCGCATTTGATGAGGTGTTTTGGGATCGGCGGAGCATTTTAATTGTTGTCTACTTCATCAGCGGGTAATTAGATATCTGGAGAAATTAGTCCAATCTTGATTCGGGCAAGAGCATATGATTTCCCATACACATACAAGTGGGTAGCATTAACAAATGATATAGAATAAAACTCATTTATCACTAGGCACTATGCCGACATAATGACAAAAAAAGAGCCCGCATGAGAGACATCCGACCCAGATTTTAACTCCACGCATGGATTTAATTCCAAATAAACATTCAAAAACCCAAATCCGAACCCAAGGAATCCATCCTCTTTTCCATTCCTTAGACATCAAAATATCGGGAAATCATCCCATACCTTCTCACCCTCGCATCCCAATCCCACGGTACCAGGGCACTCATCCATACATACCATCCCATTCCTCGTCTTCATCTTCACCATCTCCATTCCCACTCCTTTTTTTCTTCAACCGTTCGATTCTCTCGCGCTCGCGCTCACGCTCCTTCTTGCCAAAATCGGTTCGGTCAAGTGGACATGTCCCGCGTAATCGGAGCCAAGGGCGTACGCATTCGAGATCGAAGAGGTGCGAAGTGTGGCAAGGGAGACGGACGACGAGCGGATAGGGATCGTCGAGGAATGGGTTGCTGCAGATGGGGCAGGCCTGTGAGGGTTTCAGGCTGGATGTTGGGACTCGCTCCAGGGCTGGTAGGGAATGAGCGGGGTAAGCGAAGTTGAGATGGTAATAGGTGGGGGAATGAAAACGAGGAAACGGGCCAGAATCGTGTGATTGATTATACCACAACGCTGGAGATGTGGTGTAGGAGAACGTGATAACGAGTAGTTAATAAGGACGGGTAAACATAAAACATACCGTCACAAAACGACTCTCCAACCCCCTCCACCTCCCTTGGCGGCATCTCTGCCTCCCGTAACAAAAGCCCAATCATACTCGACAGTAGGCCCACCCCGCCTGTTGCATCTTCATTTTCCGCGACGTCTGCCAAACCTTCGTCCCGCCCATCATGCACCGGGAACCCGTTGTCGCCCGTTTGATGGCGCATGACATTCAACGCCTCCGCGAGCGATCTGTACGCGGCGCTGATGTCGCCTGGCACGGGCACGGCATATGGTCGCGTGCGGATCTCGCTGGGGTTTGGGGTGATTTCTTGTAGGGTTGCGAAGAACGAGGAGAGGTCAGGGCGGCGGGGTTGGGGGTGGGGGTGGGGGTGGGGGTGGGGGTTGGATGGATCATTGGTGTTGTTGTTGTTGGCGGGGGTAGTAGAATGTTCGACTGCCGGATAGGTAAGCTCTTTGGTCTCATAGTTTTGAAGCGAAATGGATTGTTCACTGCTTGTAGAAGTTTGCCCGCGGTGGCGTGGAGAAATTTGTTCGTACCTTCGTATGACATGGCTTGGAGGGGTAATTACTTGTATGGTGGTTTCACACAGCGGATGCCGGTTGATGATAGAGGAGAGAAGTAGTTTGAGATACAAGATAATATTGGCAAGTATAGGTAGATTGCGTGGGAATTAGTTCTGTTTGCTTTGCGCTGCCGTTGGTGGTGGAGACAAGCAGTTATTCATGTTCCTGAGCTCGAGGCAGAAGACTGGTTCACGTCATCATCCTTCCTGCCTCGATGCGGTGAACCAACCCCTGAACAACTTTGATAACTTAGATTGATATTTATTATATCAACTAATAGCAATAATAGCAATAATATCATACATGGTCTTCACAAAAAATATGGATTGTTTTACTCCAAAAGATATAGAAACAAACATATACATTCTCTGAAATTCATCAGCACCATATTTAGGTTTCGTTTTTGTGCAAAATCGTGACAACAGATCAAGGCTAGGCAGTGACAAGGGGCCGCAATAGATGAATAAAATATCAAACGAACCAAATTTGGCATAAAGAAGCCTCAGTAATTAAAATCTTCATAAATAACTTTCTTCCCCACAAGCCAATTCAGCACTGAGGCCTTCAGACTAGTGCCCGCACACAGGTACCACTCCTCCACCCCGGGAACAACACCCAGGTCAGTCGCCTCCATTCGCCGGCGATAATGTTGTGCCCCAAAATCATTGATAGCTGCCAATGCAGCTGCTTCTTCGGCAATGGTGTTATTTGAAAATTGAGAGCTAGTAATGAAGAGAATGGTAGATTTGGGCAGCTCTGGGAAGAGTTTGAAGGTGTCAAGTACAAGCCCTAGATCCCGAGCGGAAACGGACCAGAAAAGATGCAATCGGGAAATATCTATCCCAGGCAATTGGGCAATGAGCGGAGTAATCCCTATCCCACCAGCAATGTAAGCGAGGGGCGTGGTTGCACCCTCGGCTCCATCTTTGAAACTGAACTCGCCGGCAAACCCCTTAAGCAGCACTTCTACCCCACTCCGCTCGCTCGATTGGAACATATACTTTGTAGTGGAGCCGTGCTTCTTGACTGTAATTTCAAATTCATCGTTGGAGATACCCCTTCCTGGGTATGACGATACGGTGAAAGTGCGGATATAGTCGTCGTTGATGCTGGTGGGATCATCATCTTTCATGTGGCTGTATCCCATATCCAGTTCACCGGCGAAAGAAAGGGTTGCGTACTGCCCTGGCGTCCACTTTCCGACTTTCGAGGGATCAGATATCTTGAATCGGAATCGACCAATGGTGGGTGTGATGATATCCTTTTTTATAAGTGTCGCTGTGGTGAAATTCTCGTCCGAGACCTGAACGGATAGCGCCACCTTTTCAGTGGTTAGGTAACGTACCGGTGGGTTGTATGGAGACGGTTGGCCCGGCTGTCCTCGAAATGGAAGGCCATTTTCAACATACCTCGCGCTGGTCACTGTGACTTTGACAGCTAAATTGGACCGAGGGAGGAGGGCGGCTGCAGCCCTCCCAACCAGAATTTCAGTGGTACCTGTCAAGTAGAGGACATCCCCCGTTTCAAAATCTGGAAATGCATAACCTGCAAGTGGAGTCATCTGCAGATTGCCTAATGTTTGGTAGAGGCGATTGCCAGAGTACTCCGGGTAAGCTATTACAGCCCCGCTGATATCGTTGGAAACTACACGGACGAAACCTGGAGGGCCTCCGCGAATGTTGGTATCCATGGAGTCTTCATGGTAAGATGATATAAATAAGGAATCAGCCCGGCGAAGAAGTTCGATTGCACCCGGGGAAAGTTGTGCTGAGTTTGATATTAGCTTTGGGTTTGGCACAACTGGCGTGATTTGTTTTCGGTTAATATATTTCGGGCAATTCCCTATAAATCCAAGTCAGCAAAGATGTATTTACTTTATTGCACCAGGAGATGTTAATCATGTCCTCTATTAACGGGAAGCTTTAGCAGAAGAAAAGGTCCCGTAATATCTGGGAAGGCCCAAGAAATAACAGCGGAAGTGTAGCTAGTGTTCCTAACTTGCTGCTTCTGTCCCAGGGGCCAAATATATAGGCTAATGGCAGTAACTCACCGAGACTCTGTTCAATTCTAACAACGAGCTGGGCTTGACCAGCATGCATAGGTTCATTTCCTTTCTTATCGAGAGCTGTTGCCTCCAACCCAGCTAGATTTCCCGCGACCATTCTCCCCATCAATTTCACCCTTTTCCTCGCCTCCATGTCCACAGCCAACCCAGACATCAACCGGCCTTTACCCTCCTCCTTGACCACTTCGCCATTGCGTTTCCCACCATAGAGCGCTTCTACTACAGGGTCATATGTCTTATCAACAAAATTCCTGATACCAATGATAGACTGCGCAACTGGCCCGGCGAGACCAGCTTCTCCACCCCATACAGTCGCCCATGGCCGCCCTTGATTGTCAATGGTGCCTAGAGCGATTAGCGGCGCTCTCTGCACCAAATGTGCGGCACCAGGGCTCAGGTAAGTAGCGCTGGGATTGAGTTCTTCTGGAGACTGCATCAACTCGTGCATTTTCTTCTCGCCTTCGTGCCATGGCACACTCCCTGCGATGACGAAGGACATGGTATCAAGAGGGGATATCGAGAATATTGAAGAGAGGTGTTCAGGTGCTGAAGTGTTTGAATTGAATCTATATCCTAGTATTTTCGAAGAATTAACGAAATCAACGGCGAAAAGGCGTGTGAAGATGATAAAGATGCCTTTCATCACTCATTGGTGAAAGCGCCACCACTTCGAGAGAGCCACCGCGACTGGTTTTCAATCCCCATATGCATGCACGTAGAGTTAAAATGGACAACAGAGACACTGCCTCCTCGTTCTCCTGTTACGGCTTTATAAATCGATCTTGCTTACCAAGCCCCTCGGCGGCGATAGTTGGAGAGGAATTTTGTCGGCATTGGACATATTTCCATCTTTCCCCTCTCAGTTAGATTTCTCCACAAAGGGCTGGTTCTCCCGGTTTAATGAGACCTAATTCGAAGGTGTCATCGGCACCACAGTGACAAATCCATAGGCTAGCATCCACGGCCGTCGTACTGCGGATATCGCCGTCCTTTCCTGTTCTCTTCCAGAGCATGTTTTTATCGTCTGGCTGAAGTTGGTTGGCGATGCATGACTAACCCCTATGGCGGGTTTGTCAGCATCCCACAGACTTTCTTCCTTGGCCAACTCCCAGCGGGGTATTTCGTCTGTTGAATTCTGCATGATTGGCGAGGTCGTCTAAAATATGTCATATCTGTAGGTTCGGATAAGTTAGGGGCGATGCGGTGCCTCTTTACCTTGTTTTCCTGATCAGTATGAGGGGAATAACCGAACTTATCATGCGAACGTCGCCGGTCAATTTAGCTGTTCGCACCACCGCAAGGAAGATGGAATATCAGAACCTCATATTCAGGAGTGGTGTCTACCATCGGATGGTCTCTCGTCCTCAGCTAACTCGACGACAGTCTTGATTTTTTTCCCGTGCGGACTACTAAAACGACGGTAGTAGCAAAAATCCAGGAACGGCGCCATGACTTCCAACTCTTTGGGTTTCATTTGAAGCCCGTGTGCTGAAATGGTTTTATCACCTTGGTTTTTCATAGCGGAATGGACGGCCAGTACGAGGATGCTTCCCCTGGCTTTTATGAAGCAACAGCAGCGTCTGGGGAGTTGTATGCCTGCTTCCAATGCTTACTATACTTTTAAATGGTAACTACTGTACGTCCACGGTAGGATTGATATTTGCGCTGCGTGAAACCAGCTCTAGCCGGATTATCGGTTGTCAACCAGCTCACTAAAAATGTACCTGGCAGTTTGAAGCTACATTTTAAGTCTGCAGTTTCGGTGACAACTGGCGTTTGCGTGTCGAATTGATTGTGCGCGGCTTAGAAAAAGCAAATATGAAAATGGCGTTTATTTGTAACCTGATCCCCCGCCGAATCAAATATCACACTCTTAAGCCCTCACCAGAGTGTCATCCCGAAACTCATCGAAATTCGCGCCTCATAACTGCGAACTCCTCAAACTCGGGTTCTCTGGATTACTTTACCATTTGCTGAGCTCTAACTCCTCGGGCAAATGTATTTTGCGCTTCGAATATTTGGCGGAAATCAAAGCCAAGTTCTCCTGGCGTCGCTAGAACTACATACAATAATGGATGGGTGTTCGGCTCCGCTCAACCCGTCGATTGTGCAAGCTCGATAAGCATGAGCATAGTGCGTGGCATGTAAGTGAAATCAGTGAGGCGGTAACTCACCAAGAGCCCCTGGAGGTGGCGGCTGATACCTTGTGGAAGTCCCTGGAACATTGTCGGTTTCTGCAGTCTGGTCCTTGGCCTTGTGTCCTCTCCCACGTCTGATCTCCTGGTATACTTGGACTCGGATCGGTCTACTTCATATGGAGGACTGTGCCAAACTGAAGCCAGCTTTGAAACTCAGTTACCCCTTGCGCCATCTGGTTATTCGGATGAGGGAGCTTGTTATGAGGCAGTTTCTAAGGTTTATTCTCCCTCATTGTCACCTTCGACGGTAGCATTCTTAATTCATGCGTTTATTCCAATGCATAAAGCTCGGTTGATTGGTTTCAAGTTCAGGGGAGTCATACGACTCATGCTCTCATGTCAATGAGTTGGTAGATATAAAGAGGGAGGCATGAGACGATGTCGTCGCTTTTCCATCCTTTCACCTTGAACGAACAGGACCGTATGGTTAACTCAGTTCAACATCTCTTTCAAGAAGTTTTCTATTTCATTTCCTTATTTCATTCGCCATTTCAAGCCTCCTCTTAGCTTGCCGCTCAATCTGTCATTATCTCCTATATATTTCGATCTCCTGTTTTCCAAAATGACTAAGTCTATTTTAAATTGCCGCCTCTTTGCCATTTTCCTCCTTTCCAACCGTGAGTGGCAAGAATCAAGGCTGTGTATCAAGAACCTCTACAGATCGCTAACCTTTATCTATTCTCGCTATAGTGGTCATCCTTGCCCTCGGTCAGGGCAAACAGTTCATCACGGGCCCTTGCACAAGCGACGCTGACTGCGCTTCGGGATGCTGTGGGTTTAACTCTGGTGTTTGCGCAGGTCCCGTTGTTGCGCAAGAACGTGATGGTGGGTGCGGGTTCGGCGATGCCCAGCCGAACGATAATGCAGCTGTCGCCTTCCGCGGCCAAGGATCTGGCAACAACGGAGCCCAAGGCAACAACGGAGGCAACGGAGGTAATAACGGAGGCAATAACGGAGGCAATAACGGAGGCAACGGAGGTAACAACGTCAACAACAACGTTGCTGGTGCCTCAGGGCAAGCCGGAGTCTCCCCCGGAACACAATTCATCACAGGCCCATGCACAAGCGACGCTGACTGCGCGTCTGGCTGCTGCGGGTTCAACTCTGGTCTTTGCGCCGGTCCCGTCGTCGCGCAGGAACGTGACGGTGGTTGTGGATTTGGCAATGCGCAACCCAATGACGATGCCGCGCGGGCGCTGCAGGGAAAGAGGAGGAGCGTGGCATTTAACGCCTAAACGGGTGTCTGGAGGCTTCCACTTTGTTTATCAGCACCTATTGTGATGGGCTGTTCTAGGTATTTGGGCCTAAGACATTGTTCTACGGATCAACCTGTACAATACTTCCTTTTCGTACTTTTCAGTTGTATATGAGTCCACGGGTGGGCTTTTGGGTTTTCCCTTTAGACTCTGGTAGTCAGAAAGGGAACTCTCCATTAGATTATTAAATATCGAGGTACGTTATGGCGCGGGCGTATAACGTCAGAGATTTTCTGTAAATAAGTTAACGAGTTTGATATACGTGTTTCTGTTTTTTTCTTCTCTTTTTTCTTTTTCTTTTTCTTCAACTTTTTCTTTTGGTTTTCGTTGTTTCTCTTTTCCTCGTCCGGGTTGCATGTTCAGTTTTCATCGGTAACTATTGCATCCGAAATATTCATGATTCATGCAAAGGACTATATATTGGTTCGTTATTTGGCTTGGGATCTCAAGACATTGGCAATCCCAATCCAATATACCAAGTTCAAGCAGACATTACGCGAATACGCAATCCGAGGTTAAAAGAGGTGGGTGAAGGTGAGTGACGGGCAAACAAATTCTCTCTCTCTCTTTTTCCTCTCTTTCTCACACACACGAGTCTCTTAGGATGGCTACTGGCACTAGCTGCTCATGCTCCTGGCCTACCAGAATAGGTAACGTGACTGGGTAGTTCACGACTAAGGCTCCAAAGCAGTTTCGAAAACAGTGCGACGCAGCAAATGTGCGCAGATCCACTGATGAGCTGGCTATCTGAGGTTAGAGGACAAGCAACGCTGACCGATCATGCCTTCGGTCACCTTCATAGCTCCCACTGATGTGAGACCAGCCCGCTTGGCGGTTCATTCCGCATTCTCATCGTCGCCAGACCCAACAGATTCCAAATGGCTTCGCTGCGTTCATCGCATCAGCTCAGCAGCCACACTCTCTGGCGTGAATCAAGCATCAACCACCAGATCTGGCGGCGGGATGGCGCTCGGCTGGCACCAGCCCTCGCCCAGACACTGCCAAGCAAGGATCAATAACGCCTCTGAGCTCATGGGATCGGCGGTCCTGCATGCGGGCAAGCTCTGGAATTCTTCGGCCTGAAAGAACTCTGCTTTCGACAACAGCCGTTGGCCTCGTATTTTAAGACACGCTGGTCAGCCTGCAGCTTCGGGGACTTGACACTAAGACATGTCCAATCTCAAACTGGCTGCTGATCATCGGCCGCAGAGCAATGGCCCGTATTGCACGAAGGGTTGAAAATAGAAAATGATATTCCTCGTTTTTGACGGGCTTGGTGTCAGAGTATGTTTGCACAATGCACAATGCCTTGACATCCGGCAGTCTCCAGCTTTGACTGCAGCCAGCTCACTGGCTCAGATTTTTTGCACACCACCGTTCTGATAGGGCAAGCTGACAGAAATTTTTGATAGCGGGGTTGCTGGAGCACAAAAAAGCGCAGCACAGCTTGTGAGGGATAAAGCATTATGAGATGGGCGCCAACGTGTTCCAAGATGGGCTCAGCCAGTTGGTTCCACAGATCCCTTCCACAGGTCGCGGGAGCTCACATCAATCTAACCCGAGCTTTTCACGAGCTTCCCTCAGTCATACATGCGTTTGAGGGCGTGATATTGATCTAAGATCGAAATACCCAATTATTTGACATTGCTGAAATGCCACTACCGCTGCTTGACTTCAGCTTCTCTGAGACATTTCAACTTTCCTTCCCTGTGCATACGAACGGAACTCGATTAATGATCTAGCCGATAGGGCATTTGCCTCAGTTAGGTCTCCATCCCCCCTGTTGATTCGCCCTTGCGTTGATCTATGTCAATATCGGGATCTATACCTGCTCGCTGATTTACTGAATTTTGGGGCAAATCGAGGGTATCTTGAGCATGGCTTTCCAATATCCACCGCTGCGGAGCTCAGAATTCCATGATCATCCAAGAGGAGCATCCTTTATTGGCCATCCTGACACATGTTATAACGCCACGAAGACAAACCGAATTTTCTTCAATTCCTGTGGAATGATGCTGTATCACAGAATTACTACTCTCTAATACGACATTAGCTTAGTACGTACAAGCTGGGCCCAAGCAGCACTGCTGGAAAGCGTATAAAGGTACACTCCAACCCCGTCTCCCAACTGTTTCCTCTCATGAGTTCATCTCCTAGCTTCAGACTTGGACACCAGAGAGTTTTTGCCCTCACCTCCCTCCCAACACCCTTCGTCTTACACAACAATACGCAAAATCGTCAATCAGTCTTTTGAAACAATATGCGTCTCTCCTCCGCACTCCTCGGCGCCGTCGCCGCGCTCGCCCCCGCCGTTCATGCGGTGGGAAACGCCATCGTATTCAACAACTGCCCCTTCGACGTCTTCCTGAACTCTGTTGGTAGCTCAATTGGACCGGAGCAGCACCTGGCTGCTCACGGCGGCCGCTACAGCGAGCAATTCCATCGCGACCCAGTCAGCGGCGGCATTGCTCTTAAGATCACCCGCGAGTCGGGTGGCTTGGTGAACGGCGCGGCACAAACCATCTACGCCTATAACCTCAACGACGGCCGGATCTGGTACGATCTGTCGAACGTGTTTGGCAATCCATTCGAACCCAATGCTCTGAATCTTTGGGCGTCAGACGCCAGGTGCCCAACTGTCTTCTGGCAAAATGGTGTCCCGCCAGGGGGAAGCCAGACGAGAAACTGCCAGCCGAACTCCGATGTGACGCTGACGCTGTGTGCGTAAGAGGACAAATAATAAGGTGGGTTTTTTTTTCTTTTTTCCTTTCCCGGTTTGATGCCCGGGAGCATATATCATAGAATGGTGTCTCTTGATGGAACCCGAAAGTGATACCGTTTGCGATGTCTAACGGATTTAATTAGGCTTCTCCCGTCTGGAGACGTATACACACCGACCTCTCTTCACCAATTCCTTTAGTTTTCCATACGAGATAGAAGAGAGAGACCGGACTATTAGTACTCGATTCGATTTCGATTTGTCATTTAATGTTTAAACATCATGCCCCCACGCCCTTATTCTAACGCCAACGAAATCCAGAGTCCCTTTCTGGTGTGAATTGTTCTCATGCGTGGTTTTCCCCCCTGTGTGGATTTTGGAAAGTCAATTTATTTTATGCCATCTCCGTTTTCATGCCTTCCCTTCCCTCACTCCTTGTGTGCGTACGTATATCAATGCAAATTATATAGTTAGATGGGATATAATTCCTAGTCAGTCCGTCCTTCGAAATTGGATATATTTGATTTTACAAAAATATTTATTTTTTGTACTAGATTAGCCATTCGGCTCTGGTTTCGTCTCCTAATTAATCCTGCCTGTGGGTGAGATGTACTGAAATACGATATGGGCAAACTATGTCCTAATGGTAAATGGGGAAGAGGAAGCGGAAGAAGTACAGTAGATACGGAGGATGTCGCACAAGGGAATGTGGGGATTACGGTCTTCGCAGTGCATAGCAATAAAATTGAAATCCAACCCGTTAGCTTGTCTAGCGGCATTCCACGCGATATGCAATAGCGATGCATGGCCTGTGCCTCTGTCGGCCATGGGGTCGGGTCGTCTGTCATCATTAGCCTGACGGACGGGTTACACATGTAACCAGAACGGTTATATTCAGCTCTGCTCGATTCGTGAGAGGAGAAATCCTGCTAGGGATCCGTGTGACGGAGTATAGAGATAGCTTCCTGTACCAACCGTGCGGGGGTGGAAGAGAGGTAGTTTATGTCGTGCAAGCCCTAGGTATGTATGTATATCCTGCAAGTAGACCGTTGGGTGCCCTTGTTCTCTGGACCAAATCAGGAGATACCTGGGAAGGCATCTGGGCACTTCGCATGGACGTATTGCTCTGGAGATTTGGAGACTCCCCTTCCGTAAGTCGATGTTTACGTACGGTTAAGTACCTAAATGCGCAGTGGCTTAACTGTGGTGAGCTCCGCAGAGGGTGCATTAGACTGGGTGGTATATATAGATTGCGATTTCTTTGACTCCCGTTGGTAGTTAGATGTTCAGTCCGTGACTTTGGATGCAAATCCTCAACGCAACCTCTTAATTCCCGTATTTGACACGTGCTAGTTTGTCAATGGAGGCCTCCAGATAGAAATACGTTCGTATTCCAACAAAGTATCGAGCATGCAGCCCACTTCCATTCGGTTCCAGAGGGGCCTAAGCAGCACGGGACAATGTTGGGATGACGGAGATATACACATAGATAGACGAGGATTAGGGTCGAATTTTGGTCACCTTGAACACCCTCCCGTGGGTAATTGGCAAAGGCCTTGAAAGTCTTGGGTTGCAAATACGCTGGGCATTTTTTAGGCTGGATGGCAATATTAATTGTTATGAGAGGACAGATCCTCAACACAAACGAAGCTGACCTTGCGAGATGGTACAGAAACAAATTTCTATTTGCCGGCGTTGTTTTCTTAGATAATATTCATTGACGAATCGTTCGATCAAATTTCTTGAATTTTCTCGTTGGTGCCCTCTGTGAAACTTGGGATAGATCTCTCATTATTGATTAGTAGTGAGAGTTTTCACCGCCAACTTGACGGTTGACCAAGGAACTTTCCAAGTTTCCCGGTGGGTGTGTGTGATATTAGAGTCGATCCAGAGCTAAGATCTGTACTAATAGTTCGGAGAGAACTAAGATATAGAACTGTGCAAGATATAACAGGGGAGGCTGGCCCCGCGGAGTAGAGCTGAGTATGCCCAATGACGGTGATTGGCTTTTCATTCCATACGAGATCATCAAAGAAAAATAATTCACCTAGAAGAGGATTGGTTCCCTCCTGCCCTGGTTCATTTTTGTCACTAGAAAGTTGCGTTCTGCTGATTTCGGTTTGAAATATCAGGGGCAGAGAACGAGACCTGTACAGCCGGACGCATATAAGGTGGGTTATTGCAGATGAAAGGAACTCAACTGCATATCTGCAAAAGCTGAGAAGAAATGCGTCCACAATGTATCAATGTTTGTTTCTAGAAAGATTTATACGGAGGATGATGTCAGTATAAGCCTTCGGTGACAGGAATGATCCGCTCCGGCGCAAAAAAACTGCTTGGTTGAGCCATCAAAGAGCAAAAATAAGTACGAGGTTCCGTACCCCCTTAACAATACGGCGCACCCTTGCGTTTGCCGTCAGTGGGCACGACATCTTAGTACCAGGAATTCCTATATGACGGCTGACAACATCGACGCCGGCAGATGCCCACATACAAACACAGCAGACCCTGGAATCTAGGCATTGGCCTGCATACTAGTAGTTATCCAGGGAAAAGGTTCTCCGCTCCTTGCCGTCTACGCCCCTTCCATTCACAGCTGCTCAGCTATTGTCCGTACCAGTGGGTCGGACCACGAGCCTCCGTTTAGAGATAGTGCTTCACGGAGTAATGTCTTGACGAGCTGTTGATGGAGTGGATGTTGGCGGAGCCCTGTTGCATGTCCTCGTGGGTATGAGGTATCAGACCAGTCCATACGAATCGTATGATACCTCAATTTGATCCCCAAGGACGCAAGATGATCACGTAGTACAGTACTCAACTTGGCAGAGTGGATGAGAGTGAACAATGAGGATGATGCGGTGTGTGCGGTATGTGACAGGAGCCAGGGAGAAGGGGCGAGTTTAACTGATTCGTGCAACATGTATAACTGTGGTGGTGCACTGGAATGAATTATTTGTACCGCCATTTGAATAAACATGAATTTCTTCTTGTGCTTGATTGATTGTATGCAAAGTGGTGAAGAACTGAGGGTATATAGATAACATACCGGTCAATCACACCGTAATGGCTCGCATCCCTTTAACAACCAGCCACCCAGCAAAAAGCCCATGCAGCCACCTCCCAACCACACTCTCCAACATAACCGGTTTCTCCGCCTGTCCCCTCCACATCCACGTCTCATTAACAAGCAAAATGCCCCCCTGTTCTCCTTCCCCTACCCCCTCAACACCCACAACGATGACCCCCTCCACACCCTGTCCGGGCCCCGTATACCCCGCAGGTGTCTCCAGTCTCATCTCCACTCTCTCACACCAACCTGCCGAGTTCTTCCCGCCCCTGCTCCCACTCCCATCCTGCTCCGGGCCCTCCCCGCGATACATAACCACATACGCCCCATTAACCCTATCACCAGGCACGAACTCCAACGCATCAATGCAGGCGTCATCGAACGTAGCGTGGGCGGGGTTCCCCTTCAGAGCCGAACGAATCACGTATGCCTGCGGCGTGCGACTGAAAACTTTCATTGTTGTGCGGAGGTAGGTTGTCAGGAGGGCCGGGGTGGTGGTCGTGGTTGTGGCTGGGGTTGAGGCGGCGCTGTTGAGGGATGAAAGGGGGATGGGGAGACTGGTTACACGCTCGTAAATGATTGTGTGAGCCGGAGAGGTGGTGAGGTGAGCCGGGAGGGTAAGTGGGGGCAGGGGTAGGTGAGGTGGAGTCGACGAGGTTGAAGATGATGGGGCGCTGGATTTGGATTTGTCCGCTGTTGGAGGGCGGCGGTAGCGGCCTGTTGAAGAAGTTATGTATCGGACTGTGGTGAGGCGGAGGTAGAGCAAACACGCTGCTGGGGCGGCGAGCGGGAGGATGCTGAGGAGGAGAAGAGCGGAGGTTCTTGGGGTTGGGAGTCGCGCGGCGGAGGGGAGGGAGTTGGAGAGGCGGTTAAGGGTAGAGAGCATACTGTCTGCTTCTGCGATAGGTGTGGATAGAATTTATAGGGACTTGGTTCCGTTGTTGTGACGGTTCTAGTTTGGAGTTGAAGAGAAAATATTTGTAGGAATAGTTCCCAGGCACAGTACAACACAATGCGGCTTGAGCTCCAAAGTGCTGGTTAACGGCTATTCACAATTAAACCAGGCCTGTGAGACCGGCTGGGTGGGTTGGGATGTTTAAATATTCTACCTCAAGCATCATAACGTCGTCGGTCTAGAACCAATACCACCCCCTCCTGCATTTCATAGGTTTAAGAAATTAGCACATAAAACGCCGAGATGACGAGGTATGAAAGTTGAAAAGGAGGTGGCGAGAGTTTGCCGAGAGCTATTTGCACCAACGGATCAAGCTCATCAACCGCGAATACGAAGGAAGCTCCGGAATGCCGATTCACCCTGTCAGAATACATCTCAGACATCGACAGGATTCCAACCAGAGGCGGGTTATATATAAGTCATTTACGGAAGATTTAGGATGATAGAACGAAAAACATATCTCATTCAATAAAGGAGAAAAACGAAAAAAGAAACCTCTCGCATGTCTCCACGCTGGCTCAAAAATATTTATCTAGAACGGAGAGGAAATATATGGACGGCCGTAAAAAACAGGACATAGATGACAAGATCAGAAATTGCACTGGTTAGATCACTCTACATGATGACCTCATTCGCGACATCCTACACATCGAGAAATATTTCGTTAGCTCGTTGGCATGTCTGTTCTCAAAGAAACTTACGAAAGGAGCAAAAAAGGAGAAGGGAAAGAAATATCATATCATACATACCCTTTTCAACTCCTTATATGGCAAGCAGACACAATTCTGCACCCGGACCTCATCCCCAACTCCACACTCCTTACCCAAAATCGTAATGCTCTGAACCTTTACACCATTTTTGATGATCGTTGTCGAATGGCTCCCGGCAGGTATTGGCGTGCCTTCCACCCGTGCCCACGCGCCCACCCGACTGCTCCACCCGATTATCGAGTACAGGACACATGCGTCGTGTTTGATCTCTACATCTTCGAGGACGATAGATTCCTTGATGCGGACACCAGCACCAATGACTGCGCGAGCTCCAATCGAAACATTGGGCCCCAGTTTAGCGGATGGGTCGACGGTGGCCGTTGGGTGAATGTAAACTGGAGGTACAATGTTCGCAGAGGGTGGGGCGATTTCTTCAGATTGTGACTGGAACGCTTTTTGTAGGTAGAGAGCATTAGCAGGCACGGCGGAGCCGGCGGTTTTAATTTGGCGCCAGAAATCTTTGGTCTCGTGCACGAAGAAGCGGTTGCTATCTGCAAGGTCGGATAGGATGTCTTGTTCGAGCCGGAGGACTTCAGGTTTTTCGCCCTCTTCATCCTGGTTGACGATATGGTAGGATTCGAGATTGTCGGAAGATGGGTAGGAAAGGAGGCGGGGCCGCGCGGTACGTCGCTTGATTGCACTGCGGATGGAAGGGAAGATGCATTCAGTGGTGAAGAGGTAGACACCGCAGTTGATTAGGTTGGAGATATGGGACTCCGGTTTTTCTACGTAGTGTAATACACGCTTGGAATGGCTGTCGGACACGATGCAGCCAAAGTTGGTGGCAGTATCATTGCTCACTCGAGTTCCCAATATAACAGCTTCCGCATCCTTTTCTTCGAATAGCTTGAGCATCTCCCCCAGCGGGAATGAGCAGCAGACATCTGCATTGAGGACGAAAAAGCGATCAGGGTTGCCCTTCAATATGGCATCGCGGAAGTGGTAGAGACCTCCTGCGGTACCCAAGGCCTGATATTCCCGAAGATATTGGATACGGAACTGGGGGAATTCTTTGGCGGAGTCTTTGATGAAATCCCGGAAAACGGTTTCGTCGTAGTACCCTACAAGAATAACTTCTCGAATACCGGGGACCTTGGCAACAGCTCTCAGGCAGTGCCAGATGATGGGATGACCGGCGACTTCAAATAAGGGCTAAAGGGCGCAATCATAAGGATTCTGTCAGTAAAGTTCTCATCCAGCTCTGCATTGCAGGTTGCATGTTGCTGGCAGCTGGAGATGATCTATCTTATCTACCTTTGGAACATCAAGTGATAAAGGTCTAAACCTGGTGCCTCTCGAAGGTCCGCCAACCTAACAGACTTTTATCAGCCGAATTCCAGCACCGTATATGGGACCATTGCGTACAAGGATGACGGCCTTCGTAGAAGCCATTTCAGATTCTCTCAGAGGGACTTGGAGCATGGAGAAAGATTTCAAGTATATCGGGATGGGCGTGGGTAGCAGGTTCTCAAGGCTGGGAACTTGAATTGAAGCTCTGCAGGGCTTCAATAGTTAGTGGAGGGCTAGGTACAATTGCGACGAAAGAAATAGTTCAAGACAAACGGGGGAGCAATACACAAGGGGGAAGAGATGAAAGGGCGGTATGTTTAAATTCAAGCCACAATGAGCAGAAAGGCAAGTATGGATATAAACCAACTGAGATCACCAACACTGTTATGGTCAAAAGGACTTGCCGCTGCCTGCTGTTCCCTCTCCTGTCTTCCTGTAGCTCTATGAAACAGTGTATGATGTGTTCGGAGCGAGGTTCCAATGTTCGACCTGAGACTGATTTGTTTGTCGTTTCCCCGCTAGGGCGATGCCAGAAATCCCGTGATCCAGCTGGAGTTGGCAATTTTCAACCTCAATTTTCTCTCTCCTCTGTCTTGTTAGGGGAAGCATGCGACTTATCCAGGTCCTTATTGATGCACAGTGCAGATTGTTTACATGCAAGACTTTCAATTATGTCGGATTTATTGTGGAATTCACTTCGGCCTGTTTCTGGAGATATCTCTGCCAGGACACAGCCTATGTACGCCAGCAAAGCAGGTCCCTCCCTACATGACAGCAAACTGTGCAGATATCCCCAAATTCAGTATCCAGGAACACAACACTCTGGGATACCACTGTTATCTTTTATCCCACAACACTGGCCAATGGCAGTGGGCTTACGTATTTCTGTTGCTCTCTTTTCTCATTCACTTCTGTCCCTGAAGTGTTGTATCGTTAAAAGGCGGCCTCCGCCGAACTTTGCTTCTCTTCTCTAAACTCGTCTCAAAGAGCACCCTCTTGAACTCCTGTCTTCTTTCTACCAGGCTAGAGAGAGGACAAGCAGACTCACTGTGCCGGAACTGTTGCTCCATTATTTACTTCTACTCCGTCAATTCTGTTTCGCTTCGTGCAAAGTTCCTAAGAATTAGCCCACGCAAGAATTTCCCCGAACCGACTCTATAGCCTTGACTTACCAGTTTTCCCACCTCATTTCGCATACCCACATCCACCGTTTCTTTATCACAGTTTTTCTGGGTGATACATGCCATCATGGGCCAACACCAGATTCCTCTCAGGAACCATGTTCCAGATTCCTCGGGTATGAGATTCATATTTTGTGCTGCACTTGTGCTATTCTAATTTACACGTAGATATCGAGTCAGACAGTGATAGCAATCCGCCGATCGGGAAGGGAAACAACTCCATTGATGTGATATCGAGGACAATGAAAGCCCTAGTGAAGAAGATCCAAGACCTTCGCCATCTGGGGATTGAAAACCATAAACTTCCCCTCCCAAAAATCTGTGTTGTGGGAGACCAGAGCACTGGAAAAAGCTCGCTCATTGAAGGTATGAGCGAGATAAAGGTCCCTAGGAGTGCCGGCTGTTGTACTCGCTGTCCCTTGGAGATCAATCTCTCAGACCAACTGGATGGGCCGTGGTCCTGCAAAATATTCTTGATGAAAAAGTACATTTACAGCACCCAGTTGATCAAGCGTGGAGGGAAAAGCAAAGACTTAGGGCCTTGGGTTGAGCAGGAGCCCGAGATTATTCCCTTCGTGAACCTAACGGACAAAGTCGGTGTACAAGATGCCCTAAAATGGGCCCAACTAGCCACGCTCAATCCATCGATGTCTCACGAGAACTATATCCCTGGTCAAAACACGGGAACAGATGAAACCACTCAAGTCAAGTTCTCCCCCAATGTTGTTCGCCTGGATATTTCTGCTCCCCACTTCCCCAACCTCTCCTTCTACGATCTACCAGGTGTTATCAATGTTGCTGAGGTTGAAGAGGAAAAATACTTGGTAACTCTTGTTGAAAATCTTGTCAAGCAATACATCTCAACAAGCAGCTGTACTGTCTTGTTGACCCTTCCTATGACTGATGATGCAACTAATTCCAGTGCTGCAAGGATAATCAGAGAGGTTGGGGCCACTGCTAGGACACTGGGGGTTCTCACAAAGCCAGATCGTGTAGGGTACGGTGAAGGCTACAACCAATGGGAGGAGATCCTTCGGGGCGAAAAGTTCACTGTTGGCCATGGCTACTATGTTGTTCGCAATAACCCCAATCCGCAGGTTGAGCATGCCCAAGCCCGGGAGGAGGAGGAGGAGTTTTTTAGTGCTGGGCCGTGGAGAAGTGAGCTTGCTGAGTACAGCACAAGATTTGGCACGCGGAACTTGCAAATGGCGCTGTCGAAGCTTCTGAAACAGCAAATTGAGCTCAGTTTGCCTTGTATTAGGGAACAAATCCAAACTCGAGCAGAAGAAGTCGAAAGGGAGCTGATGACCCTTCCTGATCCCCCCTCAGCCAATATTCAATTTATTTTGTCGGATAAATTGAACGAATTCAATAACGCCATACATGTCCACATGAACGGTGGGTCACCGGGTTCAGATTACCCCCTCCAAAAGCAGTGGATGAAGATTGCTACCGATTTCCAGTACAGCTTGTTGGTAACTCGACCTGCGATGAGGCTGTCAGCTTTAGTTGAAAAGTTCCCTGCAAGGGAGGCAGCGGCGAATCGACCAGGCGAAGTTGCAACAAGAAATGATGAAGAGAATGATTGCGAAATCACTGAGAGCCGTCCGTCTCCCAACAAACGTAAAGCAGACACAGCGGAGCCTCAAGGCGGCGTCAAGAGATATATGCCTCCCCCCTTGATGGCTAGTCTGAAGGCATATTCAACTGAATACTTTGGTAGATTTAAAGGTTAGTATTATTTTAGTGGTCAGCAGTAATGTTTTTTCCTTTCATTTTATTATTGCTGACCTAAAGCGATAGGCCCCGTCAAAACTTTCAGGCTTGAAGAGGTTAGGGAGATCAGCAGCGACACCTATGCTTCTGGAGTTCCTGGGCTTGCAAACCCCCTTGCCGTTGAAGTAATGAACAAGCTTAGTGTTATGCATTGGGAGCAGCCCATGAAAGAGTTCCTCACTGCTAGTTATGAGTTGATCGAAGCCTTCCTCATAGGTCAATTGGACATTGTGTTTTCTTCGTATCAGCGTACAGCGTTGTATGGGAAACTGAGGGAGATTATCCCCAATTTTCTGCAGACTTTAAAGAATCCTCACCTCCGTCTCGCCAATGAATTCTATCAGGTTGAACAGATGAAGCCTTTCACCATGGCCACTGCCACCTTTCAGAGCGCCCAGAGGGAAGCTCTAGATTCTCTAAGAACGAAACGCAAAGCAGTCCGGGTAACTCTATTTTTGGAGGGCGGAGATTGTATAGAAGGTGGAAGAAGAGTTGCCCCAAGCGGAATCTCCGATGCCCACATGGGGGAGGATGAATACGCTAAGGAAATTGAAATCATGGCCGTGCGATTATCTCGCCCCGTTCCTCCTCCCACCCGATATATGTAATAGTTCTGACCTAATGCTGTATTATCCCTACGCAGATTTCCAGGGCGTACTACGATGTCGCAAGCTCTCGCTTTGTTGACACGCTCTGCCAAAGCGTCCACACGAAGTTGTTTTTCAAATGCGACCAAGAACTACGCCCTACCATCATTAAAGAACTTGGAATATTGGACGATAACGGTACGTACACTAACGCTTATATCTTCCCAACATACCACATCACCTTTAGGAGTGGCGGCCATGATTGGACGCTACACTCTATCTACTCTATGTAACTAAATCGCTAACGCAGTACGCATCTTATACTTAGCTTCCGAGCGCTGCATGGAACTCATGGTCGAAGACCCCGAGCGCCAAAAGCGCCGCCTCAATTTAAGGAAGGAGGAAGATAAACTTAAGAAAGCGATGGATTCGTTGATGACTGTTGAGGACGATGTTGACATGGCTGACACGGCCGATTTGACTGACATGGCCGACTGTCCATGTTGAATGTTGGGCAGGTATGGATTGTTCTCAAAGGTAAGTGTCGCTGATGGTGGATAATGTGGGATGGCATTTGCTGTCGGAGATATGCTGTGTTTATCAAGGGGGAGAGGAAGTGGGTTTAGTACTCCTGGTGAATTCGTGTCTACGTATCATTGATTGCGTCTGGGTGAGTTGTATCTAGTGTTTTGATGCTGGGAGGATGTCTCGGGGCGAGTCGAGGTTACCTATTTTCGGCTACAGTGTTGGTTTGGGTGTTCTTTTGTTTGCGTTGCACCAGCCACTGGTGGCCCGCAAGTTAATGTTCTCTATGCTGGAGAGCTACTAATAGTAAGTTAGTTTGCTGTGACATGTTTCGAGATGTAACCTGCGTCCCCAAATATCGTCATGTCATATATGTATCGAGCCCTTCGCATATACTGCTTTTACATGCCTATTGTCTCTTATTTAGGGGTCAATGGGCACTTCGCATCTAAGAGATTCGTATAATTGTAATGACTGGATAAAATATAGTACAATATCATGTCATCGTCAGACAATGGGTGCCTTTGCTGGTACGACAAATATTGTAGTTGAATAGGGCCAACATAAAAAAAGTTCACTGAAAATTTAGTGACTCACCCAAACCGAACCCCTCCAACAATCCGCAACCCCCGCCATCGCAAAGGTATTTTTCACTCCACAATCAATTGAGTTCACACAGATTGTTCACATTGCAGTACCTTTCACAAGTACCCATAACACTATCAGATCCCGTGGGCTTATCTTACAGACAATACACATTTTGCGATTCCCCGCCTCTTGCCCTGATTACCAACACAATGGGGGGACCAGACCAAGGGCCAGCTACCGATGCCGCTGCCGACAATCTCGCAAACCTGCACCTTGATGAAGTCACCGGTGAGCACGTGTCTAAGTCGGAATTGAAGAAACGACAGAAGCATCGGGCTAAGGAAGCGGAAAGGGAGAAGAGGGCCGCTGCCGCACCCCCCAAGCCAGAGAAGAAGGCCAGTGCTGAGGAGGAGGAGAGCAATTTGACGCCTAACGTGGGTATTCCAGAGTCACTATTGAGCGCAATTATTGGCTGAGGTTGGCGTTGATTTATAAAATTTTAACAATTTCATTCATATATTATAGCAATACTTCGAGATCCGAAGTGGACGAGTGAATAAACTCCGACAGACTAAGAGCCCCAACCCATATCCACATAAGTTCCTGGTCACGGATGATGTACGAGAGGTCATTAAGCAGTACGAGTCGCTGCAGAAGGGTGACCAGGTCAAGGACAAGGAACTGCGCATCGCGGGACGGATCTATACCAAGCGGTCGGCAGGGGCCAAATTGATTTTCTATGATATTCGTGCTGAGGGCGTGAAGATCCAAGTCGCATGCCAAGCGCAGAACGTGAAGGGAGACATTCCCTTCGAGGACCAACATGAACATCTGAGAAGAGGAGACATTGTGGGCATTGTTGGCTTTCCAGGTCGCACTGCCCCGAAGAACCGCGCGGATGGAGAGCTGTCGATATTCGCTACTGAAGTGGTGCTGCTCGCGCCGTGTCTGCATCAGATCCCCTCGGAACATTATGGGCTTCGGGATCAGGAGCAGCGCTATAGACAACGGTATCTGGACTTGATCATGAACGACAGATCGCGGAATGTCTTCGTCACCCGGTCCAAGATGATTTCGTATATCCGCCGCTTTTTCGATGAGCGCGACTTCGTCGAGGTGGAGACTCCTATGATGAACACTATTGCTGGCGGTGCCACTGCGAAGCCATTCATTACGCACCACAACGACCTCAACATGGACATGTTCCTGCGTGTCGCTCCGGAACTTTATCTCAAAATGTTGATTGTCGGTGGCTTGGAACGAGTTTACGAGTTGGGTCGTCAATTCCGAAACGAGGGCATCGATCTCACTCATAACCCGGAATTCACCACTTGCGAGTTCTACTGGGCATACGCTGATGTCTACGATATCATGAACGTGACCGAGGAACTTGTTTCTGGGCTCGTAAAGCATATCACTGGTGGCTATGAAACTACATTCCATACCCAGACGGGCGAGGAATTCAAGGTCAATTGGAAGGCTCCATGGAAGCGAATTGAGATGATCCCTGCCCTTGAAGAAGCTACGGGCGAGAAGTTCCCTCCCGGTGATCAGCTGCATACCATGGAGACAAACGAGTTCCTCAAGAAGATCCTGAAGAAAGTCAATATCGAATGCACGCCGCCAGAAACCAACGCCCGCATGCTCGATAAGCTTGTCGGAGAATTCATCGAAGAGACCTGCATCAACCCGACATTCATCACCGGGCATCCGCAGATGATGTCTCCGCTGGCCAAATACCATCGCGATAACGTCGGGCTGTGTGAGCGCTTCGAAGCCTTCGTGTGCAAGAAGGAAATCGTCAACGCGTACACAGAGTTGAACGACCCCTTTGACCAGCGTCTTCGATTCGAAGAGCAAGCGTCCCAGAAGGCTCAGGGTGACGACGAGGCGCAGCTGATCGATGAGAACTTCTGCACGAGTTTGGAATTCGGTCTCCCGCCCACTGGGGGTTGGGGCATGGGCATCGACAGACTTGTGATGTTCCTGACTGATAATTATAGTATCAAGGAGGTGCTTGCGTTCCCATTCATGAAAGAGGAGAAGCATGCAGGTGCAAAAGGGGAGAGGTTGGCGGCGGAGGTTGTTGGTGTTGAGCCGCTGCCTGTGGAGGGAATTCGTAAGCCTTACCCTACGCACTCCCATTTCCACATGCTTTCAATATTTCGTGAATACTGACATTCGTTACATTAGCACATAAATAAACGTTGGGAAAGAAAAATGCGTACCAATTTAATGAGTGATGATGGCTACTGGGGCACTAGAAGGGTTACAAACTGATGCAGCCTATATGTAACTAAGGCTTGTTGGTTGGAAATTAGATATCAGCTCATTCATAGTTTTCAATCACCATGGACCTGAAATATCATCAACTTTTCTATTTCTGAATTTCCCAGGCATATTCAGGAATATCTTACCAAATTCAATGTGCAACATCTCCAGCCGTTTTATCACTCTACCTATAATACATTGCATACATATCAAAAAAAATAAAAGCAATACCTCTACGATTTTTGTTTCCATTTCTCCCCATAATGGATGAACTGCAGCTCCCAAATAACGTCTATTTTACTTTCTTTTCTCTGGACCTATAGGACTTCAATTCCCAGCGACACCGCCGTCCAGAAAGGAAGAGCAAAATTCCGGCCCGACCCCCTAACCTAATGAACCTAAGAATGGGCTGTGGTCGAACGTCTGGGATCGTCTGAGGTGAGCGATGCAAGGGCGGAATTTCAAATAGGGAAAATATTTTAATGTGAGTTGTTCTTTTTGTAGGCTCCTTGGTAGTTCTTCTGCAGGTAGTCGGCTAGTAAGCTAGATGGTGATGTTTATTCTCACAGGGATTGATTGAATATTGAGCAGGCAGGTTGGTAGGTAGGTAGGCAGATAGCTAGCATTCTCTATTCTATTAGCAATCAATCGAATATCAAGCAGGCAGGTTGGCAGGTAGACAAATAATTCACGGGTAAGAGCACAGAGTTCAACTGCCCCAGAACCTGCCTGCCTACTCACATGACCTTTCTTGGCATGGCTACACTACATGGCTGGTCTCCTTCATCCTTAGCACTTCCCAGTGATTTGGCGCATGTTTATTAACCATCGCCTCGTAGAATTTATGCATCCTTTAGTTTTATGAACCTCTGTTCATCTGTCTCTGCTCTTCTTGACTCAGAATGTCAAAATTGTTTGGCCTTTCGGGGACAATCCAGCAATCTCGCACCGGGCCATCATGTCTGAACATACAGGGTATGCAGGACTTGTAAAACAGCGGCGCGATGCTGGCGCCCTGCCAGTCAATTATGCCGGTGATTTGACACATTGTAGGGCCAACAAAGACGTTATATAACATATTTATGAGGTGGAGATCAGGATGCCAAAGAGCATTTGCGATAGCCTCAGAGTCATTGTCGCTGGGAACCAAAATGGGGGGCAACGCTCAGATATTTTGAAAGTAGGGCAAGAGCCTGATCTGGGAACTCGGACTCCTTGAAAGACACATCGATCAAGGTTATCAAATTGCACCGAGGAGAACGACCCAACCAAGAGGGCATTATTTCTCTCTTTCAAAGCGGGGAAGTCTTGCTTGAAATAAAGACGGCCATGCTTGGTGAATCTGGTGGTGATGAGCGCCTGCTCAATTGTTGACAACTTGCTCGATTACTCGCAATTTCGATTTTCGCGGCCAGCTGTGCCATAGGCCTCCCAGCCTCGTCCAAGGGGTTTTTCTCTTTGACGATAGACTTTGCGCTAATCGGGTTCACGGGGCCATAGGACGATGCAAACACTCGCGGGGCTGGCACATTTACTACTTCGCGCAGCTAAGGGAAATAATGAATGTGGTTAGATTAGCAACTTAATTGAAACGAAGACCCGAGGGATGACTGACAAATTCCTGTGTTGCAACCTTTGAAGCAGTTAGATATCGCGGAGGGCCAGCATTGGGATTTGGAAGTTTGGAAGTTTGGCAATCACCTCGTTGCCATTCTCCATTGTCAGGGGCAAAGCTTTGTTATGCAATCCCTCCACACATTTCAACACTTTTGTACTTGAAAGAAAAATAAGTAAAAAGCTATGTATGATGTAAAACTGTAAGGAGTGGGTGGGACTGATAACTCTGTCTGTGCTCCATCACTAGCAGCATAAATAGCGCCTTCAATCAATTTCTGAAGGTCAAACTTCCGACAACGACATGAAATTCCATTTTCTTCATTAAAGCTATTTGTCAGGCCAGATGGAAATTAACCTCAGGATCCATATACATGTTTTCGAAACCAGAGTGAAAAGCTGAGAGGGTGGTTTTTACATCCATCGATGCCGGCTGTATCTGAACAAATCCTCTTCCGTAGCCCGTTCCGTTAAAAAGCCATGACCAATGGATGTTATTATGTTAAAGAGAATCTGTGGATTCCGGTTGCATGACTTACCGCTGCCACCAGCGTTTTCAACGCACAGTTCTGGCTTGCGAGCTGGGCCATCTCTGCCTCCTCGAGAAGGGGGGATGAGAGGAGGCTCGCCGCTCTTTTTCTGAATACTTCATAGTCACTGAATCGAGCGGCTCGCTGAACAGATTTCAGGGCATCGCAGTGGGAAAAAGAAGCCTCTGTTGGTTGGAAGTTGCTTTGGAGAAATCGATTCTGCTTTCGTTCGCATAAATACATTCAAATTGATTCAAATTCCCCGTTTCTTCTTCACCTTTCAATGTTTTGTTCTTCCTTGCTGTCCCTTTTGCCGGATTCCTTGTTGGTTTGTTCCTTAACACACGCCATGATATGAATGAAAACAGCCCAATGGCCTGGTTATGTACGCCCTGATATACCACAAGCAGTCACTGTATCCGCATCACCTTTGATCTTCCTCTTCTTTGCCACAATTCTTGACGCTGGGAATATACAGGACCCATTTGGACTGTCACTCTCACTCGTTGGGGAAGACGTATCTCCTGGTAGACAATATGTGTGAATACGCTCCTGACAATGGATCTATTTAAGCTGTTCGTCCTCTCCTGCGCATGCCCTTCTTTCTTCCTCCCTCATACATACACTGACATGTCGCTATCATTTTCGTACTCTACATCTATATCAATTTGTTCTTGTCCCTATCCTTGTCTGCGAACGAAGACCCAGTTTCATCCACAGCGTCTATCAACCTGTCCCTCGAGGGTTGCTCCTGTGCCGTTATCATCGACGCCTGAAGGGTATTTTATATCGCAGCTTTAACACGATCGATCGTTGGGTTGGAGGTTGCTCGAACTTTGTCCTCGACGATTTGAGGTTCTTGTGTTATATGCTTGCCAATACCCTATCCTTTTCTCTTGTGCTATCTTGCTGTTCAAAGAAGATCGTTTCCTTGTCTGCTTTTGGTTGCTGCTTTCTTCGTTCTCAAGGAACGTACCACAACATTGTTTAAAAGAAGTCAACAGTGAATGAACAATCTTGGGACGGTGTTGTTGGTTTTCTCAAACAGTTTGCCATTTGATGTTTTTCTAATTCAGCAAGCTCTTGATCTTCTTGATGATTTGAAAACTATTCCACCATCTCCGACTGTTTCTGATAGAAAACCAGTGGCTACCATGTTGTCCAACACATCCTGCTAATATCTCTCCGTTCAACATCTAGCAAACTTCATACCCCCTTTGCATTCGACCTTGGTCTTCTGTCCTCATCTTCTTTGAGTAGAAGGCAGATATCAATTGAAATATCAATATCACGTTTCTTCTTAGACACCCCCGTTGAAACGAACAAACTCGCAACCATGGAAGCAGAGAAAACCTCTTCACTCTTGAAAAAATCTTCAAGAAAGACCTCTCCATTCTCCCCCTATCGTGGGACACTCTTCCATAAAGCTGAATCAAGCTCACAAAACCGGGCATCCAGCACAATACCCTTTACACTATCTCCACCACCTTCCAGTTCCGAGGTCTCCAGCTTGGATATTCAAGAAAAGACTCCTGGCAGAAAAGTGTCTCCTCTTTCTCTCCCTCCCCCATTGATACGCGTCAAAACACCAACTCCGGTTCCAACAGCATCAAAAAGCACTGCACCACCACCCTTTTATCCGCCAACAACAGCAGCACATACCAATTTCAAGGAGATTCTCATACACACGGCAAAGTGCGACAAATGCAACAAGCATAATAAAGCCACATTGCAACGCTGCACGACTTGTGGATTCCAGATTTGCACACCGTGCTGGCTTAATAGGGGCGGCGGGCAGCATACGGTCACGCGGGTGTTCAAGGGACCCGTATTCAATCCTAATGCGGTAGATGAAGAGAATGTGGATGAGAGAGATGATGAAGAGGATGGAGTAGAAGATACCGATGACCAGATGTCTCATGAAAGTGACGATGTCGAGGACAATGACTCCGATGTCATGATAGTGTCAGAAAATAAAAACAACGACACAATGATAAAGACTGATGATTCTGACGATGTCCTTTCGATCCATTCGATAGACAAGCATGGTGGCTCTCCCTCTGCCTTACACTACAAAAACAGATGTTTGGATATCTCCCACCGAGCTGGTCAGACAGGGGAAGCCGCCTGCCCCGTGTACTCGCACAGCAGCAACATCCCAGACCCCAGCTCTGAGGATTGCAATGACGCGAATGAGTTGCCAGCATATCAAACTGACCGCGCGCGACTGATTGCTCGTCGATACCCCTATAGCTCCCTGACCAACCAGGACGAGAACGATTCCAGAGGTGACGGGGTTGCTATGGGGATAAGCTGCCAAAATGCCAGAGGCATGGACAAGAACCGCCGCTATTACAGCGACCTGGCTCCCGAGTCCCGCGAACGGATCGATGTCCTCATCAGCACGGCCGTAAGCCTATTTGAAGATGCCGCCTGCCAAAGCCGAACCACAGATCCGCCCTCCGCCCACAACCTCCACTCCCCCCTCTTCGTCCCCATTGGCCCAGACGACCAGCTCACACCCGCATATAACGAGCGCCTCTCGCGCGCCAACAGCCATCCCAGCTCTAGTCTCAGAATTAGCCGCGGACCACCCTCCGGCATGCCGCAGGGTGGAGAAAAGGCGGGGGGAGCGAAGGTGACCCACCCCGCACTTCCCTCTCAGCTAACCACTTCTCCACGGAAGCGCAAGAGGGACTTAGGCGATATTGAGAAGCGGGAAAGTGTTTGGAGGGGCCCGTTTATTGATGAAAGCACTGACGAGGAGGGAGATTGGAGGGATCGCGGGTGCAGCGGGTGAGGGGAGTGAGATGCAGATGGAGGAGGTGGGGAAGGGGTACAGATCGAAATGAACAATGATAACAAAAGCAACTACAATAAAGTGAAGACTGTTGTTTTGTCGCTGGGGAGCTGCATTCAAATCAACACAGAAGGGGTGTGTGCGGTTTATGTTGGGAGTTTTTGGCTTTGATTTTTCATACTGTGATGATTCCGATGACAGATTTTTGTGTTCTTTTCATTCTTGAAGGCATTGAATGGATTTTTTGCTCCTCAACACCTTTCTGTTTTTTTTTTTTTTTTTTTCTCAGGATAGCTTACTATAATGTTGTGTCTGACACATTTGGAAGGAAAATATCTAGTCAGTCAAAGGTAGAGAGCAGAGATTGAGACCTGAAGTCAATATCTGTCCTTTCACCCCTCTCTTACATGACTTTTTGTCATGTTGACTTAAATTGAGAATAAACTGCAGGTTTCCCAGTAAGCTCTGACTGATCATGGTGATAGTGATGTTTCAAACATTCTTTCACCTTTCTATTTGACTGTTTGAGATCAAATGTCTTGCATGTCTTTTATTGATTGATTTCAACACAAGATAACAACTTTCTACAGCACCAACTAGTTGGCTTCTGCTGAGTTCTGTTTACATGCATTGCTTTCTTCCTGCATTTATTTTGGCTGAGGTTCTCTCTTCTTCAGCACGTCCGGACAGGGATCAGAAAACCCTCTTAATAAAAGGTTTCAGCTTTGTATTTTTGCCCTTTTCTCATACCTTCTTCCTCTATGTCCTACCATGTGTGATTTGGTTCCGCGTCATCGCTCTTAATTCATATCGCAGCCATGATATAATTTCCTTACGCAGTCACATAAAAGTGTACGTGGCATTGGAAATGAGAATGGAAGGAAAAAGTAATTCTTTCAACTCTAGTTCGTTGATCCACTTCTTTCTTTCTTTCCCTACTTTTCTTTTCTTTGAGCCCATGTTGTTTGGTACAGAGCGCAGTGCTGTGTAACTGTTTCAATAATGCCGGATGGAATATACCCCTACCACTACGTGGACATAAAATAGAGACATAACATTTTGCTCAATATCTTTGTTGTGCTCGTTGGTTATATGGGGAACTTGAGTTTGCTGTGGCGGAGCGGATGTTCAACGATTGACACTGTTTGGTGTCAGTATACCAATCGATATATTTAAGCCAATCGCGTGGAACAGGTGTAGATTTGGCAGGTAGGTATCAACTTTATTGTGGGATTGACATGCTGGCAATGCCTGCATGGAAGATGTAGTTGTAGATGTTCCGCGGTGGTTGTAGGAGATGTATACATAATACAAATTGAGGGTTCATGGAAGAGTGGGGTATGTGCAAGTCATAAAGAGGAGAGGAATGGATAAAATACATAATACAAGAGAATATGGCATCTTGCCCACGTGCGAAGCTAGACCACCCCCCCTTCAAAAATATGGAACGCACCCGAGATATTGCCCGGCTCCTATTTACTAGCAACAGGCTTGGGCACGGGTCCCTTACTCATCTTCGCCGCCATCTGTAGTAACCGCGCCGTGCGCGATGGATTCCAGATTCTGCTCCCGAGCACAAGAACCCACGTCAAGAGGAACAAACTACCAGCCTGATGTGCCGATGCAAGATGAGTGGGTACCAGGTACATGAGCGTTGTGATGCCTAGCGAAACTTGCAGGAACGTGAAGCCGACAACGCCGTGCATCCCTTTCTTCGCGGCTTTGGGCAGCAATTGCTTGACAGCCGGCGAGAAGTGAGTGTAGGCCCACAGACTCATGACGGAGGAGAAAGTGGTCAAGGCCAGGATGCGATGGTTCAGCTGAACCAGGGACGGGTTCTCAAGCATGTTCCGCCACCACAGGTCCGACTTATCAGCTAGGCGCGAGTAGTGGGCAGAAAACAGTTCGGAGGTGGGAGGTACGAAGCCTTCGCCCATGAAGGGGAATTCATTGTAGATGAGGCCTGCGTCCAGGCCTGCGACGAGCCCGCCAGATATGACAGTGGTGAAGGCGAGGAGGGCGAGGCCCGCTACGGACTTGCGGAATATGCTGAGCTTGGGGTGTCGGAGGGCGTTGAGGATTTCCATGCCCTTGACAGGATCTTTGAGAAGGCGGTTGGAGCGGAGGATCGCGAGGCCGTTCCAGAGCATCGCCGTGTAGCAAAGGAAAGCTGTGCCTAGGTGGGTCGTTAATCTATACTGGCTCACTCTGGGATGGCTGCCAGGAGCGAAAAGGTCGTCCTTGAGTCCTGACTTCACCATCCACCAGCCAATGAAGCCTTGGAATCCGATCAGACCGCCAATACCCAGTAGCCGCAAGGACATTGGTTTAGAAACTTTTTTTGTTGCGGCGAAGAAGGCAGCTGGCAGGATGAAGGAGAGGCCCACGAAACGACCCCATTGTCTATGTATCCATTCCATGTAGTATATGAATTTAAATTCGGATAGGGACATATTGGGGTTCAAGATCTTATATTCTGGTGAGGATTTGTATTTGGAGAATTCAGACTCCCAGTCCTCGGCGCTGAAAGGCGGTAGCGATCCCGTCACGGGTCTCCATTCTGTGATACTCAGTCTGCAGAGCACAAATTAGTTAAACCCTTACACGCTTCATTTGTCTAACCATCAACCGGATGAGAGTGCGGCACAAACAAACCCAGATTCAGTCAGTCTGGTCAACCCTCCAAACACAACGAGGCCAAAAACAGATGCAGCGCTCCCCAATAACCAGTACGCCACGACTTTATCGCTAACGTCGGGATATTTGGATTTGCCGGCCGAGGACCCGTTGCCAGCAGGCTTTGCAGCGGAAGTGAAGGACGCAAATCTCGGTATCGAGGAGCTTTGCATTCGTACAGACGATGTTAAAGAAGTCACCTTAGGGCCTAGGGTGGTGCGGATGGGGAGCACGCTCATCCATCTTTGCGACGATACGCCGAATTGGGAGTTTTTCCTCAGGCATTGACGGCAGGTAAAGAACTCCTTTGAAACGCGGGGAGCCAGGCTCCTAAACATAGGACCAGCAAAGGCCATGGTGGTAGCAGGTAGCCTGCAATGCAATTCTAGGGAGCATACGGTGTCTCTCTATTTCTGGTTAGGTTTATCGAGAGGTTGAATCAGTCAAACATCTATTTCCTGATTGGGCAAACCAGCAGAGGAGAAAGCCACGTGAGCAGCCAAGCCCTATCTAATAAATTGTGGCGGAAGCTAATGCCGTATCAATATTTCAAGTCAGTCAAAACTGTCTACAGCGAGTTCCGATGGAGATTCTCTCAGCGAAGAAAGTAACGCAAACTGCAGTTCTATAAGGTAAGAGGTGGATGTAGTGGCTAACAATGCCAGCTAAGGTTAGTCCGCATGGGAGAATTCAACATTGGCCAAGAAAAGCCGCTGTTAAGTGATCAGCTAAAAGAAAAGGAAAGCCAGAGAAGCCACACATCCTTTCCGAGTTCCCACCTCCTCTATCGGCAGTAGTAGTCATCCCGCTCCTCACGATCGTAGTCCTCGAAGACTGCGGTTTGCTGAATAGTTGAATATATATCTGCGCCTCTCAGAATCGGAAGGCAGACAACGAGGAATATTCGGTTGAATTGGCTCAGGTCGAGAGTTAATCACAAATACCATTTGTTATTTCCTCGTCATAGCGTATCTTTTTTTGAGCGTGGATCCCACGGCACAACGTCGTTGTGGTAAAGTTCACTATTTACGATCAGCCATAATAATTATCTCATTAACAAGGGCGGATGGACACACGTGCAACATTCGCGTTTGTTTAGCTACTGGAGACTGAGCATCTCCTGATATGAGATTACACCGGGCCTGCAAACGGCAAGGCGTTGTCGCTGCTCGGTAGGGCGGATGGCAAGGTATCAAGATAGTTTACAATATAAACCTGCTGCATTCTGATTTTAGGATACCATCCTTCCCAACGGAAGGGGCCTTTGTCAGCCGAGCGTGGTATGTATCTTGCGCTTCGATGGGCGTGATGCCGTCGCTTCTCTCCCTCCCCTTTTGATCCAAGAACTCCTTTTCAGAGATCTTTTCAAGGACTGATCATTCGTTCCATCGCGAAATGGTACGGGCTCGCCGACTAGCTGCTCGGGAGCCAGTCCCGTCGCTTCGTCTTCGCTAGTCGGGGGTAATAAAGAGAGTACGTAGGAGGCCCCTTGCAGTGTATCAAGTTTCGTGACGCGGAACCCATTGAACTAGGAATAATAAACAACAGGGCGTCTTCGTGATTGCAAACGGTCCGCAAACCTACGATATATCGAAACAAGCGCCCTTGGGAATGGCGGCTCTTGCGGATAAGAATATACGTGACTCGAAGTCCTGAGTGTTTTTTTAAATGCTAACGTGTTGGGGGGATTGGATTGGGTGATTCGTACCCTCTAATACCACTATGGCGCTGGTGGTGATTGAGCTCTTTTGCCCTAGTGGCCTAATATAACGTTCATACAAGCAGCTGGGACTTAGTCATCAGGATATATCCCCACCGCCTTACTTTGACTTGACTGTGTATTCTTTGACTACGTTGGCGCTTCCTGTATGGCTGCATTGGCTACACTGTGTCCAGCTGGCGGCGTAGAGGGGCCCAAAATGCGCCCGTTGGCAAATAGAGATGACTCCTGCATGAGACTATGCGCCCGCTGGACTGGGGCTGTCCCTCTTGCTCTGTTGTTCCTTCAATATCATGCCCTTCATTTCTGTCACCAGTGCCTTACGACAACAGATCTGTCACCTATCACCCAGCATGAGGGATAACTCCACTTCTTATGTATTTTGCAATTGACGAACCACAGGATGCTTTCTCCTCTGTTCATGCAGCCACCATACGGCCCGCCTGAGCTAAAACATGTGGTTCTCTCAAGGATGAGGAACATTTCTAAAGGTGGAGCTGGATATTGGATATAAGATATCCGCTTCTGCTGATCTCTTTCTATTGCACCAAACACCAACACAAGGACTAAATTCTTGTATATTGGCTTTGATTGCCTTTTTATTCTATTTCTTTATTTTCAGGCCAAAGAGTGCTCTTCTGTTCAGACAATGCACAGAGAAAGACAGCGATACAGTGCTGAGTGGCAGAAAATGATGCCTACTTCAATCACCACCGACGACCATCGCCATCACAATGCTTCACTGTTTGCCGATGATGACCACCAATGTTATGAATCGCTCCAGGACCTCTCAGAGAAAGTGTTGTTGTCGTCTTTTTTCTCGAGACAGGAACGCGGTGCTTCAAATCACAAACCTCCAAACATCAACTGCTGTTCCTCATCATCCATTTCCTCCAAAACCCCCTTAGCACACTCAAGCCATTACTGCCCCGTACAGGCTATCGATGATCTGATATCATCCTTGTCGAGAGACCTAAGCAGAGCGCGAAGCTGCACACTCGTGCCATCTTTGGCTTCCACTGGCACTTCATCATCGTCATCGAGTGTTATTCGTCCCAAGCAGCCTAGACGTGCGAGAAACAAGACCATCTCCGGTCGTTTAACATCCCCTTCATCGGAGTGGTTAAACTTGACGAGCTCACGACAAAGCATCGCGCCATTTTCTCAAGTTGCTACAAATCCACGATCCTTCGCAGTGTTGAGGAGGCAAGCTAGCCGGAAAGGCACTGATACTCGGGCTTCCAGCTCCACCATGGCAGATCCATCTGCAGCGGGTAAAGTGCCTAGCTCCCTTTGTAGAACGATTGATTCTAATATCTTTGTTAGTTAGGGCACATCCTGCCAATGGCTCAAGCCCAAAACCCACAGCAACAGCTTTGGCTGGGAGCGCTGCAGACGGAATTCCAGAGGTCACGGTTAATGCCTTTGGGACAACTTACAGCTTGCATCGCTCTATTCTGGAAAGGAGTCCTTACTTTTCTGCGATGCTTTCCGGCCAATGGAGCGAGAATAGCGAACGTGGCATTTCAATCTTCCCCGATGAGATGGACCCAAACATCACAAAAGTAGGCTTTGAAGTTGCTTTAGAGTATATGTACGGTCGAAACGTCATGGACTTGATTGAATTGGATCCTGTAGGGATATTCGCATCTTGTCAATGGTTAGAACTCCCTGAGCTATTGAAGTGGGCAGCTCAAAATATCATGCACCACTTGAATGTCTCGAACATCCATCTTATCATACATACCTTCTCTGAAAGCTATTATGGGAAGGAAGGGATGGTGATTCTCGATGCGGCTAAGGCTTTATTGCGTCTACGTGGTTGCGAAATGCCACTCGCTGTTTGGGATCACATTCCTGCGGAATTGGTGAGAGAAATAATTGGTGGAGATACGTTTTACATGCCCTCCGAGTTGAATAGGTGGGAGTATGCAGTATCTCTTCTCGACCGAATTCTTGAGATGAAGGCCTCGAAAATGCGTGTCCCCTTTTTAGACGATAAGGCCTCAGCTCCCGCCCATGTCAAACGCCAATTAGAAGGCCTTCTTCCCGATGACCCTCCGGAAACAGACAACAACACGGACCTGGATACCAGCGTGGAAGGGGATTTGGAGACGGCTCGCCAATTCCCGGAAGATATACACAATCAATGGCTCGATCTCTACACCCACCCTGACATCCTTCCCATCCGACAAATGATCATGGAGGATATAGGATATATGCATATTCCCCTTCAGCATTTCCGTAGAATTCAGGCTCATCGTGACATCTTTGGAGTACGCCCTGTCCAGCAGGCTGTGATCCATTCTGCCTTTGTACAAGCGTTAAAGCTTGCCCACCTGGTCGATTCTGCAGATGAATTTAGCCCGAAATTGAATATCAGAAAGGATATGCTGATGAGCGACTTTCCTGCATCCCAGCGCATACAAATACATCGTTTCCATAAAGATTCTGATCTTTACCCATGCGCCATGTCCGGCGGCGACGCGATCCCCCACGAATATCCTATTACGAAGGAGGATAAAATGTCCGCAAACCTTGTAGTATCACGTAAAGCAAGGGGCCTTATTCATGAAGACTGCAACTACCATGTGCCACAGCACGGATTCATCGCAGCTCAATTTGTTACGGGCTGGGAACGCAGCGATTTCATAAAACCACTTCCTATGAATCTCCCAGATCCACACCCCGAATACAGCCCTTTCCCTCCATTCAGATTCTCAACAAGCTTCCCCCACCCGGCCACCCTGGACAGTAAACAACGATGTTTCTCGCCTCCCTTCTGGTACGCGGGCTCCACATGGGTCCTCTATCTCTACTACAACACTATCCCCAAGGCAAGCAGGGTAGGTCTCTATCTGCGGCGAATCTACGCAAGCAGGGTAGGTCTCTATCTGCGGCGAATCTACGACACCCGTCGCGCAGAGCCTTCTTTGGACAGCTGGTGCTCCCGTCTTAATCCACCACGCATGGCCCACCACGACCCACTTAGCTGTTATCGTGTTCTCCCGGATCTCCACCCAAGCGACCTGTCCAGTTGTTATAACGAAGCATACCCAAGACTCGATCTTCTCGGGGACAGGTTCGGGACTCGAAACGGTATGGGGCAGTTGTACCCCCGCATCGGCCGCCCGAATGATATCCTCGCCAAGCTCCCCTACGTCGACATTCGCTCCGCCGTCACCGTGCACTTCAAGCTGTATTCCAACTTCGCGTGTGCGGGACAGCCTGCGTGCTTCCAGAGCAAGCCGGAGCAGTTTCAAATTGATAGGTGTTGGGGGTGGGATGTGCGCGTGCCCGATGGGCAGGAGCCACTGTTGGATCTGTGTGGGAATCCGCTAAATGAGAGGGAGTTGAAGATTTGTCTAGTTATTGGTGATTAGATATTTTCTCCCTTGTCCTCACCTTACTCCTAAGTTATCTTGGTCTCTATGTGCGCATTGGCTAACTCATAGTTTTTATTTTCTTTTAGGTGTCTTGTGATGCGTTGTTCAAGTTTTCCGATTTTCGATGTCATGCTCCGTGTACTTTCGTTTGCTTCATTCCCACTGGCCCCTTCTCTTTCACTAATAAATCTGTCTGCTCAGATCTCCTTTACACTAAATCACGCAATTCCGTCTTCCGTTTTATTCGGCCTTACTGTTGCCCTGTATATCCCTTTCTTTTTTTCCTTTGTCCTCCCCGCCTCCTTTATTTATTTATTTATTTTTTTTTTTTCGTCCGATGGAATACTTTCCTCCCACGCCTCTCAACTTACGATTTCAAGCCCTCAAGGATTTCTTATTATGTCAGCTTAATCGTCCGCCGTTAGTCTCTTGCTTCCCTTTTTGCTTCTCTACCCTGCTTTCCAGCTCCTATTACGAGGTTCTTTCTTTCGTCCTTGCTTTCTTTTGTGGTTTTTTTCTATTTTCGACCATTTTTTCTTTATTTTTTTCCGCGTTAAGTTCTCGATTTAGCTGGGATTTGTCAGGGTCAGATTCTTCTACTGGAATGAGGGAAAGGATTGTTTTGAGAGTGTTGCATGTAAATTAGCTGGATTCCATGATCGTCGATTTTCGTTGATTTCTTCCGTGCTTGAATTCTCTTCCCCCCTTCTTCCTCGTTTCTTGCTGTTGTCTGTTTTTTCGAATGTGGTTGGAACGTTCCATCTAGGGAAAATCCGCTTTTGTGTTTGGGGCTCTTTTGTTTTGTATTTATTTGCTCATTTACCGGTCCACCTTCTCACAGCGTTCAATACGCCTCTTTCTGTCATGTAGGGGTAGCCCATGGTTCATTCTGCTTATTTGTTTATTGTTTATTGTTTCTTGCTCCTGTTTTGCCTAGAAAAGGTAACAAAATCTAATAAAAAAAAGCTGTACTGAGTAACATGCCCATGTATAATTGTCCCCAATGATTGTAGTTTCACATATGATATAAAACGAGAAAAGGAAACCTCAAAAATATATCGCCACCGCCTGACGTCGTTCTCATCCTCCCCTTCAAATATCTAACGCTAACCCAAACACGCCCTCCCCACCTCCAGTTTCCGCAATCCACCTTTCCACACCCTCCCTGTGATGCAACAGCATCAGCAACACCTTCCCAAACCGATCCACGTCACAAGCCCGCGCTTGACACACCAGCGATTGCAGCGTCCCCATCGAAACCAGGTATCTCTTGTCCCGCTCCCGCCAAGCCTTTGCCCAGCAATACGCAGACGGCGCCTCCCATACCGCCGAGCTCGCGATGAACGACGTCCCGCCAGGACAAACAGCAGATCCCAACTTCATCGTTTCATACACGCCGGCAACGCCGCGTACAGTGATTAGAGTGCGTCTGGCGCATTCGGCTACGAGCCACTCCTTCCAGAGCGAGGTTACTGGGGTTGAAAAGAGGGAGAGGGGGTCTCGTTGTGGTTGTTGATTTTGCGGTTGACCGCTGGCGGCAAACAAGGAGGATGAGGGTGATGATGTGCCATTAGAGTCACTGTAGTAAATGTCCAGTCCGCTGTTCATCAGTGAGTCCCACATCTCCTGTAGCCAGGTTGTTAATATGGGTGCCTGCTGTTCCGCGAGGGCTTGTTGTCGGATATCGCCGCCAAAAAGGCGGATTATTTGGTAAATTAGCAGAGACTGTACGTGCGCAAGGTGTCTGCGGAGGGTCAGATGGGATGGGGTAAAATTGGACGTTTGTTGTTCCTGCTGCTGCTGCTGCTGCTGCTGCTGCTGGTGAAGGTGAAGGTGATGGGTATTTAAAAGTGCAGTCACCTTCTCTTCGATGATGCGGAAGACAATTCTTTGGTTCCCCGCACTTTTCGTAGAGTAGATAGAGCAGCAGCTGTAGGCATCTAGAATTTCCGACGGTATATAATCATAGTACAGTTGTGGATGGATGAACGGGTTGGTACCCTTGGTGACCCATTGCAGTAACCATCTTTTCAACTCATCCACATAGAGTTGGAGTACCGCTGCGTCAAAGCATCCTCCGGGTAGAGGGGGATCTTCTTGGTGGCTGGATTCACTAAGTGAAAGTGCCGTATGGGAATCATAATCTAACATAGTGGATGTCACAGTGGAATCCCCCTGGATTGGTCCACTGGTGTCCTGCAGAGTCGGCTCAAACACCCTCGAGAGTTGATCAGTCTCGTTTAGGGCCGACACATCAGTGGGCATAAGTCCATTGAGAGACGAAAAGTCGAATGCCAGTTCACTGTTGGCAAACAGGGAGTCTGTACCAGGGTGTTCCTCCGGCTCGGCTCTGGGCCCATACCTACAGTCCAAGCCCTTGACGAAACATCGTCTGCATTGCGGGAGACGGAGATCGCAGCGGCGCTTAGCCTTAATGCACCAAGAGCACGCTTTCCTGCGAGAGGTAGTCATTCTCGCCAACAGCTGCGGAGGACCTCGCAAATCAAGAAAAGCTGTCCAGCAGAGATTTTGTGCTGGAGATCGATGGCGGTTTGCCGGGGCGGGATGACTAAATAAGGGGCTTGTCCCGAACAGGAAAGTTGACGGAGTTCCGCTGCCAACTCCGCAACGTCAAACGTCAACTCAACATCCGCCAGCAGTTTGTTGCTCGCAACAGCAGAACTCCGCTAGCAAACATTGCATTTGCGCTGCGGACCAGACGGCATGGCATAAGCCAACGCGTGAACAAATCAAAAAGGAGCCATTGCACAGTTACGAGAATGTTGTGGATCCCCCCAGCGTCATCAGGCGGGATGATCGTCTTAATACACCACCGAATGAACCATCACCTTGCGGAAACATGAGATATGAAGAGCGGAAGAGACCGGGGAGACTGGCAATATAAATAACAGCAATGAATACTCTTCCGGCATCCTTATCAAATCATTGGAATACAGAATTAACATTCGAAGACGCTATTCTCCTTTCTATAACAGACCAACTTGGTGTGAGTTGAGCTCAAAATTTCGAATTCAAATTCCCTGTATCTAAGATATTCCAACATGCCGCGCTTCGCAACGAAGACCGTTCATAGAAAGCCGTATGCGGCCATATCCCCAACTGCTCCCGAACACTCCCAAGCTGGCCAAACCGTGGTAATCACTGGTGGTGGCGGCGGTATCGGATTAGCCATTGCCAGAGCCTTCGCCCAAGCTGGCGCACAGAAAATCATCCTCCTAGGCCGTCGCTCAGAGGTTCTCTTTGATGCGGTCAAGCAACTGCAAAAGGAAGTCCCTGGATATTGTGGTGAACTTCAAGCCGTGCCATGCGACATCTCCGACAAGATGAGGGTCGCTCGGTTTTGGGATCGACTCAGGGAAGAAAATACCGCAGTCGATGTGCTCGTTCTGAACGCCGGAGTCATCGATCCCATAGGCGATATCCTGAAGGCCAAGCACAGCGACGCGTGGGCTGCGTTTGACGGAAATACACGTGCAAATTTGGATATGACACAACGATTCTTCAACAACATCGATGCTTTTCCAAATGGAAAGAAGAAGGTGAGAATTTGCTCCCCTGGCCGGTATCAATGATCTGCATTTTAGCTTTGCTGCTTGTTAAACTTAGCCTGGGCTGATACACCTTTCATTATTTTGTCCATATCGTACAGAGCCTGGTTCATGTATCCTCCGCAACAGCCGCCGATTACCATCTCAACCCGATCGCAGGGACATACGCTTCGAGCAAAGCTGCATTTTTGGCCCTGCTACATCGCATTGCCATCCAAGAACCCGTTGAGAAGGCTCAAATAATCAGCTTTGATCCTGGTTTCATTTACAGCCCAGGCGTAAAGGCTGCTGGTTTTTCGGAGCATAGTTATGACTGGGATGATGGTATACACCCCTCATTTCCCTCTTTTTGGCCCATCAATTTCCCTACGCAGCGGCACTGCCATCCATGGATTCTGGAGTAGGTTGCTAACACGTGCAAAAACTCGCCAGAAAATCTACCTGGCCAATTTGCTGTTTGGGCCACGTCCTCCGCTGCTGTTATGTTCCACGGACGCTTCGTTAAATCCTGTTGGGATGTCAATGAATTGCAAGGTGCTGAGGTCAAAGCGCACATAGACAATGACGACATGTTCTTAAAAATGGGAGTGATAGACTATTAGGTTACATGTCGATTTCGGACAGAGTTGTATACTGTGTACACCTTTTAGTATGTTGTACTTGTTGTATCCATGAAATTACTTTTGCACAATAAGAACTGTTACATGATATACCGCACATCTAGAAAGAAAGGAAGGAAGCAGAAAGAAGACGAAAGAAAAGAGCCGACACCACGCAATATGGAATTCATTCCTCGATTTTAGGGGCAACTGGATTTCTAGGCTACTGGGGCAAAAGAGCCCGTTCATCCCCTAGCCATGCTGGCTGTAGAGGGGACGAACCCCACCCCCCCCCCCCCCTTCAAGCCAATTCCTCCAACAGAACTCCGCCGTCTTAGAAGTTATAGGAGAGCGACATGCTGCCCTTCTTAACCACTAAGAGAAAGCGGTATGATAAGGGGATAGGTTCTAATCTGGACAAGCCGTCCGCAAAGAGGCGAACCTGCCCGCAATGCTTATTCGCTCACTTGCCGTTCTCTTGATCGGGCAAGCGAAATCCCTCGTTCGAGTCGGTTAAATCTTTAGCCTAGAAGATGCAATGTGATTCACACAATGGTCCTATCCGATCTAAACGTCTCAGTTGAGATTCCTCCATCGCAGTGCAGAGAGTTTCTTCAAGAAGCATTCTATTGCCTCCGCTTGGGTGACTAATAAGAGATCGTTGCTTTACATGTGCAGGGGTGTATGTCATCACTAGCGGATGCAGGCGACAAACACCAGGTGTACATACAAATGAATCGACAATGGGCACGGCGCAGGCAATGCTATCACTTCATTTCCGAGCGGAATGAAAGGGGGGATACTTCTCTTGATACGACCATCTTCTCAAACTGACCTATTTTCGGTGCTGGAGAATGTGATCCAATTGCCTACGGGTCGACAAGTTATGTTCTTTCAATATTAAATCAACTCCACTATCTCTCTAAACTTGGAAAATAATGTGTCTTCCGCGGGTTACAACGCATGACATTTCGCAAATAGTTCTGAAGCCAGGACTAACCTAAATCCGCCGTGACCCCACTGTAGCCCTGTCGTGGCCGATGAGCATGCCCTGTCAGTCGAGGACTGGGCCGATTTGGGCCGCCGTGGGTTTGGCATGAACAAATTTTCCGCTGAAATCCCAAGCGGTGATGTGGAGTGGAATTAGCGGAGAATAAAGGGGAAACGAACCCCGAAGTGTATGCTGCCGATCCCCGCGTCGAAAATGGAGAGAAAAGAGATTGAGAGCCACGGCCAACTCCAACGTGCAGGGCTGGCGTGATGAAAGAAGGAATGTATTGTGAATATCCATGGAATTATCTATCTGCTGAACAAGAGTGAAGGCAAGATATATGTTATCCCCGTATTATAGCAATTGTTTCTAATGGCTCACTTCTAACCACCTGCCAGCACAAAGTGTCTTCGTACAAGATATTTTTGGCAAGATATTATATATAGGACCACCACTCGACTTATCCAAACGAAAGCTGGCATAACTATGAAAATCGTATGTTGTATATCGCCAAATAAACATGTCAAATAAGACCAAAGAAAAGCATGTCGAAAAGCAAAAAGAGCATAGAAAAGAAAGGAGATATAGAGGTCACGTGTTGGGGACGATTGCCAAAAAAAACCAACCAAAGCCAACAGCGTAAAAAGCAAATTGCTGTCATATAATCTCATATTGTGTCATGTGGAGTGGTTTAAACCAGATTACCACGCAGTGCCTGCTCGCGCTCGATGGCCTCGAAGAGGGATTTGAAATTCCCCGCGCCAAAGCCGGAGAAGTTGTGGCGTTGGATGATTTCAACGAAGACGGTCGGACGGTCCATGAGGTGCTGTAAAACAAGAATATCCCGGTTAGCATTGTCTGCCGCCCTTCCAAAATCTATGTATAACAACTGAAGAAAAGATATTTCAGGAACATACCTTCGTGAACAACTGCAACAGATAACCCCCTTCATCAAAATCAATAAGAATATCTAGACTTTTCAGCGTCTCAAAGTCTTCCTCCAACTTCATGCCCCCCTTCTCCAATCTCGCCTTCATATCCTCGTAATACGTCTCGGGGACCTTGATGAACTCCACTCCGCGGGCTTTCAGATTCGTGATGTCACGGATGATATCGTCCGAGCGGAGCGCGATGTGTTGGACGCCCGCCCCGTTGTAGAAGTTGACATATTCCTCGATTTGGGATTGTTTCTTGCCTTTCGCAGGCTCGTTTATGGGCATCTTTACCAGCTCGTTTGGAGATGCCATGACGACGGACTTTAGGGCGGAGAATTCACTGGAGATATTTTATTTGTGTTAACCAGAGGAGTTACAAGAAAGGTATTATGGACGGAAAGGAAAAGGGGTACATACGTGAAGATATCCTTGTCGTCGACAGACCAGAACCGATGGAAGCCGAGGACTTTCTCATAACTAAAAATCGGGGTTAACCAGGTCTCTCTTTTCAGTTTGTTCAGGGGAAACCCGGGGGGTAATACTATTCACAAACTTTGTCCATCTCATTCCAATCCTGATTGCCAACGCAATGGTCAACGTGCAAGAGTGGGACTGGGGGCAGATGTTTCGAAAGGGGATCCGCTGCAGTCTCCTGTCGATATCCCGGCAAGAATACGCCCGAATAACCTGTCCTTTCGATTAGAGTATGCGTCGTCTCGCCGTATGTTTGTATGGTTGCCATTTTGACCACACCCTGGCTGTCCTCCAGGGTCTTGATGCCCGAAACAACCGTCGCCCCGTTCCGCACCGCAGCGTTGAAAACAGCCTCGACATCGTCGACTTCGAACGCAACATCCTTGACGCCGTCCCCGTGCTTTTCCAGATGCGAGTGAATCTCCGTCAACAGCGCCTGATCATCTTCGCTGAACTGGGACAGGTGGTCCAGCGATCTCAGGGGCGAGGTGAGCACGAAAGTGATATTGCCGTTGCCGACGACGTGGGAGGCAACAGCTTTGGAGCCCGTTTCTAGGCCTCGATATGCGATTCTCTCGAAGCCCATGCGGGCCGTGTAGTAGGCGGCAGCTTGTTTGGCATTGCCCACGTACCAGTGCACATGGTCGTAGCCCTTGTACCTGGACAGATCACCATTGCTTTGAAGGCGTGGGCTAGCTGGCGGGGAGATAGCAGCTGGTGGCATGGTCACTCGATATAGGTACCGCTGTGCAGCGTTCGGTTGCGCTGTGTCACTATGCTACTGTGGTATGTTCAAAGTGATAGCAATGGAAATGGAGAGGAAGATCCAAGATTGATATCAGCACATGAAACAAAGGTGGCGCCACCGAGATACCTAACGGTTATATACTTGTACAGTACAGATATATGTTTTGTTGATTCAGAGCTTTGGAACGGCTTGCCGGCAGCGGAAGCTGCGCCAGCTCCACCAGCCTATCCCCCTGCACTGATTAATATACTTGTTCCAGCGCGTTTTCCAGGGTTTCGCCCTCTGTCCGGTGTTGGTTATTTTCGGTGGCCGTGGAAATAGCTCGGCTACTGTCGGGGCGGAATGTTGCGCGCCAATCAGAGTCGGTGCTGAGAACCGAACCTATCCTAAGCATCCGCTTACTCAGCACCGTCTCCGGCAGTGCGATTGCCATACAAAAAGTAGGTAGTTAGCCGTCGCCCAGCTTGGATCGACTGCCGAAGTGGAGAAAGTATATAATTTTTATAGTCTTCGCTGTAGACACAGAGATATATATAGGCCTATATTTATATACTGATATAAATAGATGTATATCCAGCTATCATTTTCCTCCCCCAACATCCCTCTTTAACTGACATCCTCCATCATCGTATCCAGGACAGTATGAACAGACAAGTAACGGAATAATTATCTAGCCCTATGAGAAAATGGCACCCTCAGCAACGACGATAAACTCCTCCGCCCCTCGCCTCTCCTCCAACGACTCCGCTGTCCTCCAAGCCCTCTTTGACGCTGAGGCATCCCCCCGCAATGCCTCGGCCGGCATCCACGTCGACCCTTCTCTCCCCCAGCAACTACCTGGCATATCCCCAACCGAGCTCTCAGCACTGCAAGCGCTCGAACGCGCGGCGATAATCCCCTTACAAGCAGACACAGAGGCGGAGCAGATACGAGACGCCGTGGCGAAGCTGACGGCCATCATTGAGACGAATAAGGGCTATGCGTCAGCGTATGTGAACAGGGCGCAGGCGGCGAGGATGTTGGCGGAAAGGAAGAATAGGGATAGGAATCAAAATCCTCAGGGTAATGGTAGGAGGGTGAATGATGGATCTAGAGATAACGAAGCGGCGGACCCCTACCAGGAGGCGGAGGACGACGACGACCAGGAGTTGGCAAATATGATCTTCTCCGACCTCTCAACGGCAATCACACTCCTCACCCCATCTCCCGTCTCCAACTCGTCCTCCGCATCTTCCTCCGCACCATCACAACAATCACAGCACCAACCAACCAGCCTCTCCCCGCTGCACGCCCGCATCATCGCGAACGCCCACACCCACCGCGCCTACATCCTCTACCGCGCTTCACGAGCCCTCTCCACATCCACCACATCTCCACCCAACACCGCAACCGCACCACTGACTCTCCCGCGCCACCTGCAGCACAAATCCGCGCAGCAACTCGAAGAGATGGCCAGCATGGATTTCCAGCTGGGCGGGCGCTATGGGAACGACATCGCGCGCCAGCTGGCGATCAAGACCAATCCGTACGCGAAGATGTGTGGGGCGATCGTTAAGGAGGCGATGAGGAAGGAGATGATCGGTGCAGTTGGGGAGGGTCAATGGGACGGGGACGGCGACGGCGGCAGGGATGGGGGTGTTGGGGGGTTTGTGGTGTAGAGTGTAGAGTGTAGCGAGCGGGGTTGGGGGTGGGTTTTTCTTGATGTGCGTCTTATCTTATAGCAGGGTGTTTGGTTATTTGGTGAGTGGGTCTGTTTTCGAGGTTGGTTGAGTCCTTGTGAGAGGAGTGTATTTATGTGTGGGTGAATGATGTGTAGAGCAGCTGCTCATAGAGGGTGGTAAATATACAGTACTTACTGCAAACCATCCCCGTAGCTATCAGAAAGAAGCGTAACAATAGAGAACATACAGCCTGATTTATTACTAAATAGTTAACTACTGCATAATAGAGCGTGGAGAAACCGAAGTTTCGAAATCCTTGGAAAATTCCTCGCCCAGCTCAACTTACTCTCGGCTCAGCATTTCATACAACTTCTCATCAATGAACTACTCCTACTACTATAAGCAACCAGCTGCCTACCCTACCTCATCTTGTTCGGATTCTCGAAATTCCTCTTCAGCGGTCTCCAACTCTCGTCGTTATAATCCCCTTGCACCTTCTGGCAGGTCTTTAGCCCCCACTCCGACACACCGACCATCAGCGAACTACATCCAACCAAAAACCCGTTAGTAAGCTGCACCATGACACCATATATATATATATATATATATATATCTTGCATACCAAAAGAACAGGGAAATGACCAACCTCTCAAACATAAACGCCAGGCTTCCCTCCCCGACTTTCTTAGGGGCCAACCCCGCCTGACTCGCGGCCCGATGCGTCTCCGCATCCGGGCCATGCGCACTCATCACATTGTGCAAACTCGCCCCAGCTGGTCGGAACCCACCCCCAATTTTCGCATCGTAGTCACCTGAGATCAGGCCCATGAACTCTGACATGGTGTTGCGGTGGTACCAGGGCGGGCGGAAGGTGTCCTCTGCCACCAGCCAGCGTGGGGGGAAGATAACAAAGTCCGCAATGGCCGTACCTACATGGTCTGAGGGGCCCGTGAGGACAGTGAAGATCGACGGGTCTGGGTGGTCGAAGGAGATGGAGCCTATAGTGTTGAAGCGACCCAGGTCGTATTTGTATGGGTAGTAGTTGCCGTGCCAGGCAACGACATCGAAAGGAGTGTGGTCCTGCCGGGCAGAGAAGAGAGTGTTGTTGAATTTGCTGAGGAGGTGCCATTGGGTGTTTGTGCCCTCTTCCGCCTCGCTGTCGATGAAGGAAGCGGTTGGCGCTTGGAAGTCGCGGGCGTTGGCGAGACAGTTGGAGCCGATGGGGCCAAGTTCAGGGAGTTGGTAGTGTCCTTGGTACAGCTCGCAGACATAGCCGCGGACGGGGCCGGCTGGGAGGGTGACGCGGTATCTTGATGGCTGCACTTAGTAATTGTTTTTGCATAATTTTTTTCATCTCAAATTTCAAATTCGGTAAGTTCACGAAACGAAAGATGAAAAAACTCACCTAATCCCGCGGGGGATGACGCAAATCTCATTGGGGCGCACAAGGATTTTCCCAAGCTCGGTCTGGATATCAAGAACCCCATGTTGCGGCACAATCAGGAAGTCTCCATCAGCGGAATAAAACGCTTCGTTGCCCATATCCTTACCCACAGCGAAGACCAGGATTCCCAAACCAGCCTTCATCGCAGGGTCTCCAGCGCCCGCAACCAGGTGCAGGCCGTGCACCCAGTCCGCATCCTCGCTGAAATCGAAGGGGTTCCACCGAAGCTGGTTCGGGATCTGTTTGAGAGTATGCGCATCCTTGGCCAGGCTGGTGTGGTAGGTGGAGGAGTCTACCTCCACAAAAGGCTCATGGGAGGCCGAGGGCAGGATGCGGTAGAGCCAGGTTTGCTGGTTTTCATGGCGGGGGGCCGTGAAGGCAGTACCAGAGAGCTTTTCGGCGTAGAGCCCGTACGGGGGCTTCTGCGGGGAGTTCTGTCCGACAGGCAGGGCACCGCCAATGGCTTCCGACCTGGATGGGGGTTGCGCGTCAGTGTCAGTGAGATGCGAAAATATATCTGGTTCCAAACTCACTCGTGATAGGAGCCAAAACCATGGAGGTAGGTGTATTTTTCCGGCGTGGAGAAGCTGGAGACGGGCATGATGACGTATTTTCAGAGGAGCTGCTCGAGATCTGTAGTTCCATAGATCTCCCACTCACGGCGCGAGAGTGAGAGAGTTCTTTTCTCCTCCTTTTGAGTATTCCTCTGCGGCTGCTTTGCCGTGCGCAATGCCGGGCAGCAGCCACACGGTGGGACGCCACTGCCGAAACACCCTAACCGTTTTGGGTCAAGCGGGCGTTTGGAGATCCCGTCTTGCCGAGAATAAGCGCGCGGAACCAATTCCGATACGCCAGGATGTCTTATCCCGGCGCGAGACACGAGACGCGGATTGATATTGATATACTCGCGATGAACAACCTTTGTACTCCGCCTTAAAGCTATCAAAGATCTCCTTTACTCTTATCGCCGTGGATACGAACTGAGCTCCTACACCGCGCTACCAATATGCCACTAGATCGCGAAACAAGAATGGTTGGATGTATCACTAGATCGCTTGCGCAAAAGTTTTGAAGCTTGCGATACGACAATGTTGCGGATTTGGAATAAATGGAGGTGAATCACCGTGATGGGATCTTTAGAGAGGAGCAGCAAATTCACCATCATCGCCTGCTCTCATCCCCGCCAGAAGCAAAAACAATTTGGAAAAAGGGGAAAAGAAGAATCACGGCCGTGGAAACTTGTTAACATCCGATTCCCATTGCTACAACCAGCAAGAGGAGGCAACCGGCTCTCCCAGCGGGCATCTCCCCTTGCAACAATTTTCCAGCAAGTTCATCCCTGGCTTGAATCTAGCGCTCGCATCAGATGTGCTTATGCATGGCCATCTCACTTGTCTGATTTTCCGTCCTTCCCCACAGATCGGTGAGTGATCTAAGCAGGCCATTAGTAATTCACATCCAAGATACTCAGTCCTGCAAGTCTTCCTTGCGTTCAACTGTAACCCGGCCTTCTCAAAACGAAAAAAAAAAAAAAAAAAAAAAAAAAAAAAAAAATCATAAAATTAATAAAAACAAAAAAGGACCTCCACCTGTCGCACCACCAGCTCCTTTTGACTTTACTTGCAAACATTTGAACTCTTCGGTTTGGATGGACTGGGATATCAGCCGCTCCATAAATACGCGCAACAGAGGAGGAGAAAAAAAAAAACCAAGAGCATCGCGGCGTAGAGAGAACGCTTTGCCTCGAAAAAAAGAAACGAAGCGGAGATCATCTCCCACGGGCTTGGAACAGGCTGCCCCATCGCGGAATGATTGGGTGGAACCAGCCCACAGCGAGCCTGCAGAAGTGCGTGTTGATCCCCAGGTGGGCGCTGAGAAAAAGCAGTTGTCTGTGTGGTCCGGTCTTGCAGCCAATATTCGCCTCATTTTGGCAACTTATCATATTCCAATTCACGTCTTTGTCCACCGAATTCATTGGTTGGGGGTGCATCTCAAATCGCAATGGATACAAAATCCCCATCACTATTTCCAACAAAGAAAGAAAGGAAGGAAGGAAGGAAGGAGAAGAAGTCAGGAAAGAGAATTGCGGTAACCCATAGGAATGGAGAATGGTGCGTCGCACAGGACGGCTGAAAAGAAGCCTTGGAAAAAAAAAAATACGATTGACGGTAGTACAAGCCGTACAGGACAAAACGTTTTCTGCATCTAATGGACCTGGCTGAACGAGGGTAAAAAGCTGCATCATGGCTTTGTTTTCGCTTTTCAGCTACATGTAGTTGATACGTATGCCTGGCTTCAACCCCGAGGACTGGACGAGCGCATGCATCACGCGGAGTTGATTCATTTCGTGACAATAGGAGGTCTGTAGAATATATTGATTATTATTTTATTATTATCATGTATTTTTCTCTCTCCCACTCACACACACACACACACACACACACATATATATATAGATATATAGATATTACTAGTGGTTATATATTTGCTCTTGATTGAAAATCCTAACAAGCTTTTAGATTTGCTTATCATTTATTCCTTTTTCCCCACTGCAGCCTTGAATATCGGGGTTTTGTGGGTCATGTTGCATATTCTTGCATGCATGCCTGTTGGATTCCAAGCCATGCATGATATTAAAAAAATAAAAATAAAAACGCTCCAAAGCTATACATAGCGTACTAAGAGGGAAGTCCTCCTTAATAATCTGGTGGTAACTAACTCAAGAATGATTTCCCCCTGTCCCGCAAGGATGAAACCACCCCCAGATTCCGAGTGACATCCAACCCTGTCCATTATCCCCCATCATCACTCGGCGGAGACATCATTTAATGAATTCGAAATAATATCTACAGGATAATTAGATAAACTATTCTGTCCCTTCGATGAAATACTTGTTTAGAACAATAATTCACTCCACCGAAGCTTTTTTTTTTTTTTTTTTTTTTTTTTTCCACGTTTGATTCCCTTCAATCTTTAAGGGATTTGATTTCTGTTGCCTGCTTTCCGAGGGTGAATATCAAAGAATGTTAACTAGCTAGCTATGCTTATTGTCATGCCGACAATATAGGAATCTAAACTCGCTGAAGCGATTACAGCAACGTGTAGCTGAATATGTATATATATTAGAGCCACACCTAAATATATCGTCTTACATAATAGTCGTTATGCTGCCGGCGAGTTATTGATGCGACCTTCTCATCTTGTGGTTACCTCTGGTCTCTTCGATTTGGAGTGAGGGATCAGGGTGATACATAATTCCAGGTAGAGAAACTTCGATCTGACCAGAAAGCTAAGATCCCCAAGCCTCGGCAAGATGTCACTCGTAAATTCGCTGACGCCGGTGTGATGAATACCGGGTAAGCCGAATACCTCCTGCGTATTGTTACGATGGATTAAATCATTCTCATTCTCTGTCGTTGACAATCCTGCATGACAGTGCAACGGCGGGATCGACCTACAGGGATTGCGTAGGAATTCCCAATGGATCGTATTCGAAGTTCGAAGGGAACACCATGAGCTGGATTGCCGGGTCAACGCAGTAGAAAAACCTTGATGGAAAGCAAGACGACGGCAAAGTCAACCGTCAGGCAGTCGGGCAGGGTAGCACCAGAGAGCCAAATACGAGATGCAGGTAGTGTGCAGGAAATCGGAAACAGTTCAAGGTGGCACAGATAGTGATCGGACTTGGTGCCGAGCTAGGTGGCGCTAGTTTTGTGGAGGGCCCAACATTTGTTACAGGGACCAATTAAAAAGAAAGGAACAAAAATGGCCCAAAAAAAAGGAGGAAATGAAGAATCATACTCCGTACTTGCAGGGTCGTTCTTTGGCTTCACACACTGGCACAGGAATGGCAATTGACCGATTGGGTTCGTGGCGGGATGTGGCGCATTGCTAAAATGGAGGAAGTCGTTGCGGTGAGGAGGTGGGCACGCGCCCATCCCGTTACTGCTGAAAGAGAGGGGCAAGGTGGATCTAGATCTATATATTGACACCCATTCCATCATGGAAGGGGCCCTCCACTCAAATAGTCGGCATATCTGTCTTACTGATCGGCATACCTTTGCTGAGTGGCCGGTTTCATTCTCTTTTTTTTCTGTCTTTTCCTCTTTAAGTCGAATTACGGGTAGGGGAATTAGACGAGATGGGCTTCCTGCCAGCCCAGCGGCCTTTGAACGTGGTTGTTGTTGGGTATGTGCATCTGACACTGTGTAGTTCATTGATGTTCATTGATCTATTCGCCGTCATCGCCGTTTCTATCCTGGCGCCTATGCTTACCGTTTAGGATAGAGCAGGTATGCAGTTCCGGATCGGTAGCAAAGGAGGCTCAGAAAAATATTGAAAACCACATTAACTTGCGCTCGACCCCTTTTGAAGGGATCGGAGGTCTTGCGACTGCAATTTCTTTGGCGACTCGGGGGCACAGGATTCTCATCCTCGAGTCCGCGTCTCAGGTACGAGATGATGCGCCATCTGTGAAGCAAAGGCATAGCCAGGCTGACTCCATAGTGGATTATATAGATTCGGGATCTAGGTGCAGGAATCCAAATTGCCCCGAACATGCGCTGTATTCTGAGACGTAAGTGCTCTCCCATTGGACGCTGTTGAATTCACCTAACACACATTCCGCATCTTAGGTTTGGGAATCGAGCCAGCGATTGAAAAGAGTAGTATTGTCCTTGAGCGCATCCAGGTCGTCCGATGGCAGGACGGACGAGTCCTAAGTGAAGGCCCGGTTGATCACCAATATGGCGAAGCTGCAGTCATTCACCGCGGGGATCTTCAAAAAGCGCTCATCGACAGAGTTCTCGAGCTAGACAATGTTAAAATACGTTTGGGTGCAACGGTCGTTGATATCGAATTTGATCGTCCAGCTGTGTTCCTAAAAGGCGGGGGAATGATATACGGTGACGTAGTGATTGCAGCCGACGGCATCAAATCCGCAGTCAGAAACAAGATGTTTTCAGATAAAAGTAACAGGGCACAGCCTAGTGGAGACGCCGCATTCCGGATTCTCATACCACGTGCAAAAATGCTGCAGGACAGAGAGACTGCGAAGTTAATTAACGAGCCACAGGCAGTGAGATGGATTGGCCCGCATCGACATGTCGTCGGCTATCCTATACGGAATCATCAGCTGTACAATGCTGTTTTTGTCCATCCTGACAAGGATTCCATCGGCGACTCTTGGACTATTCCCGGCACACGCGAGGAGATAATGGAGACGTTTGGCGGTTGGGATCCTCGACTCCTGAAACTAATTTCATGGTCCACAAGTGTGCTGAAATCTAGACTTTGTTTGTATCCGCGATTGCAAACTTGGGTTAAAGGGTCATGTGCTTTGGTTGGGGATGCATGCCATCCTATGCTGTAAGTTGCAAGCATACCAAAATTTGTAGGATGGCGTACATTGAGCCATCCTGACGGGCCAAAGCTTACCGGCCATCACAGACCTTACGTCGCACAAGGCGCTGCCCAGGCTCTTGAGGATGCTGCCGCTCTTGGGGTGATACTATCCCAAGCAGAGACGGTGGCAGACATCCCATTCGCTCTGCAGATCTATGAGAAGTGCCGAAAGGAGCGTGCGGAAGGGATTCAGCAATCGGGTACCGAAAACCGAATCACACTGCACCTTCCTGACGGGCCAGAGCAGGTTAAGAGGGACGAGGAATTTGCAGCTTCAATGCAGGGAGCCAAGAGCCCCGATAAATGGAATGATAGGGAAACGCAGAGGCTACTCTGGAGCTATGATGCGGAAGACGCGGCGAAGAAATGTTGGTTGGGTACGTATCCGTCACACGCGGTATATTAGGGTGCATCTGGCCATGAGGCGGCCAGAAACATCAGCAAGACTGTAGGGAGTACAACATCCGCTAATGAAGTTGGCTGACAGAATGCACCAAGAGAACGGAATCTCTCCCTCACGCTAGACTGTGACCCAGTCATCCGGGGGGCAAAATTTGCCGGGGAACCCAGCCCATTGAATGCGCGGCGCACAGTCGAGTGTCTGGAATGAAATAAGTATCCGGGATCAGCCATCAAGCATCTTCATTCAACATCCTTGGCCAAGGTGGTCGAGGTGGCAGTCGGTGACATTGGTATGGCACTTTTAAGAATCTGACGGCGACGGCGCTAAGGACGTTGGCGGCTCGGCGCCTACCGCTTGGAGTTAGCGCCTGCCGTTAGCGCCTCCTCGGTAAATCCTGGCTCGTGCTAAATACGACAGCGGAGTCGATGATGGGAAGGAGAGCGCAGATATCGGTACTTTTCTTGGGCCAGAGAGGGGTTACATCCGATTGCGTGATGCCCAGCGCCAATATGTACTTACGGTGTACTCCGCCAATGGAGAATAGAAGTTCAATTTATGGATCACCCCCTGTATTCTTTGGTGTCCTCTGCAATGGTCGATAACCGCGACTAGATGGTGTATGTAGATGCTGGTTGCCTGCTCATCTAGACACTTGAAACCGCCCGCTGTACGGCGTCTCTATTCAATATCTTCACTCAAGAAGCCAAGGGAAGGATGTTTTCAAGATCCCTGGCGGCGGATGCTTGTCCCAGCCCCTGCAATGTTAGCCCTGAAACAGCGATGCTTACAAGATTTCCTCACAACCTTGGAAATTGGACTTGCTGCCAATTAATCAGCAGATGGAGGAAGGTTAGTTAGTTAAAGTGAAGACGCAGGATTTGAGCAAAACGGCTTAGTTGGTTCAGACCGCGGGTATTCCTGAACTTAAAAAAAAAATAGACTCTGCGGACTCTGCCTCTGAGCCCCTCATTGCCACGGCTTGAAGATGTGTTTAGAGCATGATGGGCGGTTACGATAATTGCTATTGCGCCTGAGACTTGATTTCAAAGCAATGGCATCATATCTCTGCTTTCATCGTTTCTCCTTAACAGATTTCTCATCGGTTTATTTCTCTCTTCGTGCTTGCAACTGAGTATGAGTTATTTATATAGAACTCCTCCATTTACCCCTCTTCATATCATCACAGAGACTCGATCGGCAAACCAATTGTGAGAAAAAGGAAAAAGAGAAAAGAAAGAAAGAAATAGCCGTCCTGGTGAATTGGATAATACGGTGCGCTGTCAATTGAAAATATGCCGGCCCAGAAACTCATCCAGAGCGAACATGCGCCTGGGGTGAGCTATTTCACTCCGGTACAGAATCCCCCATCAGGAACTGCCGCAGATCCCCAGTCCGATGGCTCTAGGCCGCCAAAGCTCTTCCGGCCTCTGAAAGTAAGAGGTGTGACATTCCAGAATCGTATTGGGGTATGTATTCCCACTCTGTATTCAGATTATGTGCGCGATAGCATTTTTTCAAAACGCTGACGAGCTTTTGATTGATTCCGCAGCTAGCTCCTCTGTGCCAATATTCATCAGACGATGGACACATGACAGACTGGCACATGAGCCATCTCGGAGGAATCGCCATGCGAGGGCCAGGCTTTGTCATGACGGAGGCCACTGCCGTCCTCGCCGAAGGTCGGATTTCGCCAGAAGACGCGGGGCTATGGAAGGACTCGCAAATCGAACCGCTCAGGCGGGTGGTAGAATTCGTCCACAGTCAGAACCAAAAGATTGGCATCCAGCTCGCCCATGCCGGGCGCAAGGCGAGTGCCTTGGCTCCATTTCTCGCAGACACCGAAGTTGCACCGGAGCATGCAAAGGGCTGGCCAGATAACGTGAAGGGCCCCAGCGACATCCCATTCTCAGACACCTTGGCACAGCCCAAAGCAATGACGAAACGGGACATTGCGGATGTGAAGGAAGCATGGGGTGCAGCTGTGAGGCGTGCAGTGAAGGCTGGCGTGGATTATATAGAGGTGCACTGCGCTCACGGCTATCTGCTGTTTTCATTTTGCTCGCCGGTCTCCAACAACCGCACGGACGAGTACGGAGGCAGTTTTGAGAATCGAATCCGGCTAACCAGCGAGATCATCACCATCTCGCGCCAGAACATGCCGAAGGACATGCCCCTCTTCTTACGAATCTCTGCCTCCGAGTGGCTAGAGGAGACCCGCCCGGACCTACCCAGCTGGAAATCAGAAGACACAGTGCGGTTCGCGAAGATATTAGCGGAGAAGGGCGAGGTCGATTTATTGGACGTCAGCGCGGGTGGGAATCACCCTGACCAGAAGATCATTCCGGGGCCGTGCTTCCAAGCGCACTTTGCCCATGCGGTGAAGGAGGCTGTGGACAAACTTCTCGTCGGAGCCGTCGGGAGCATCAACAACGGCGTCGATGCAGACGGGCTGCTGGAGAAAGGACTTGATTTAGTACTTGTTGGTCGACTGTTTCTGAAGAACCCGAGCGTTGTCTGGCAATTCGCGGAGGACTTGGGTACTGAGCTCAAGTTCGCCAACCAAATCGGATGGGCGTTTGGGAGGCGAGGCCCGCAGGGGTTCATTAAGACAAAGAAACGAGAAGAGAAGATCTAGAATTTAGACGCGGATGGGTTGTCGACCGCTGTGTAGATCAGCATTAGAAAACGGAGCTGGTGGTGCATTTGTTTCTGTTCCTTGCATCTGATGCATTATCAGTAGTTCTACAACGTTCTATGTTTAAATCCTGTATTGAACTGTACATAAGGATCAACATATTTATATCCACAAGCATAGGACGCCTTCACAGATGTTAGATGTTTAGAAAAGGGGGCAAAAAGTAACCACCTCCTTTTGGCCTAACTGGAGTCAAACTGGCCAGAATCTCAGAATCCCAACAGCCTCAAGTTCTTTTGATGTCCACAACGGCGACTACGACTTTCCCAGGCCTTTTCAATTGTCCAATCTTGCAACCATGGCTTATCAACTGAGTGCTTCCTACTATGTCAGATACAACGAGTCCAAGCCACCGTTGCCTTACACCCCTGGTCAAGAGTTTTGCGTCCACCTGCATACTCCTCCTGCCCCCGCAACAGGTGAGGTCATCTTATCTTATGAGAATCATTGAGAAAGAGAAAGTGTTCATCCTGTGGATTGTTGTATACTTCATTCTTCTCTGCCTGAATTGACTGGAGAGAGCATGATTTGACTGTAGGTTGTTGAATCTGTCAGAATGAGAGATCAACACAGTGCACAGCTTGTTATCATCTGTGTCATTGATGAGACTTCAGATATATCAGGCTCAATACCAGCTGATCAGAATCTAGTCATCAAGCTCTACAATCCCCTCTGCTTTGACCATGATCAAGATGATGTTAATCCATTTCACTACACAGATCTGGCATACTCTCTTGAAACTGCAGTCTATCAACTGCTTTATTCACTTGAAGAAACTATCATTTCAAGATATTGTGAAGTCTTTTATACTTGAGCTGTCAATTCCAAATGAAAGCACATTGCAATCTATTCAATTGATCCTTATCAAAAAAGTACCCAAGATCACAATGCAACATCTCAACCCAGCCAACCAGAAAACAATCATCAGTACAGAATCTATGCTGTATGTTCAGTTGCACAGAGATATAAATGTTCTTGTGCTGGAGAGCACTCTTCAGCCAGTGGTACTCATTGACCTTGGACATTGCAGGATTGATCAAACCCCAGCAAACAGTCCTGCTGAGTGGAAAGCCAAATATATTCCAATATCACCTTTATTGTTAGGATCAGGATTGGAGCCGTCATCCCACTTTTCATGAATGGATTGACTGGGACCGGCGACCTTGGCTTGAGCACTGCTATGGATCCATGAGAGCATCCATCACGGAACAAATGTGGTCGGTTTGGCTGCCAAAAGTACCGCTTAAATCATCGCCTCCCCGTCCGTCCGCATGTTTCCCAGCACCTTGGACGTTTTTTGCATAACTTCCTATGGTATATTTATGTGATATCGTTGTTCAACAGGACATTTGAAGAGGGAGGCCGGGTGGTACCACCTTAATTTTTAGGTGTATTAGAGGATCATGACATTTCATATAAATCAGACCACATTCACGTTCCAAGTGCGCGACATCCTCTCATCTTGACAGCCAAATTCGAGATGGCACTGGCACAGATCCTGTCTCTCTCTCAGAAGAGAGGTGCGGGGCAGGCGATCGGGGAGCACATCTAGTCCGCACCGGTTCCTCTCTGACATGCTTTCGGTAGCAAAAAACGGTCATCCTTTGATCCTGATGCGTGGTGCTTGATACCAACTCGATCTTTTTCGCCGCGACCAACCATCCCATGCCGCATGTGTTGTAGCCTGCCGCCTTTATGGCATTGTTATTGTATTTTATCCATATAGATGTAAATATATACTCACGATTGCCGGTTATTTCGAAGAATACTCGTGCCATGTTAGTCGATCTGATGGAAGTCTGTCATTTCGGGGCTGCCTACGCAGAAAATGAACATGGCTTGAATCCGCAGAGGTGATTCTCACCAGCCGAACCATGAAGAGACCGAATTGTCAACAACTACGGAGTGCGCTCTTGTCCTGGTAAAACGGCGGATTTGCCTAAAATAATTTTAAGGCTGGAGCCATAGCGAAAGCTTCCATCATGCAGCGGCGATACTCGGGGGCTCACTATCCCTGGAAACAGTAACTCCGGGAGCCTGGTTAGTTAGTTGGCTTCTGCTCTGAGTGCTCTGAGGTCCACGATGGTTATATACGCAGTAGAGTAGCGATATAAAGCAACTTATATAAAGCCAGCTTGTTGTTGCTTATTTCGTGAATTTAATATTTATCTTTTTCCTGTACGCCTGTTGAATTGGCTAAACCCCCAGCATTAGAATCCTCCTATCCATGATGTTTCGTGCTGGGATCTTGCAGGAGTGCGCACAGATGCATGCATGCTGATAATCAGAGTAAGCAAACCCATTTTTAAACTGGTGCATCACACGAAAGTCAATCAATCACAATCAATCAATATATAACAGCCCATAGTAATGATGGCCGACGTTACAGCGATGCACGCCATAATGCCAGGATAGCCTGGGCCAATTTGGACAGAACTCGGTCGTGAATCGTCAGGCCCGGGCGGGCGCAATTGGGACAATTGGGCCCCGCCAGCAAGGTTGTTTCAATGGCGCCGTGGAACCGTTGGGCTTTTTGCAGCCTTGATGGCTTCGGCCGCCCCTCTTCCCGTTGAGGCGAAGGTATCCCCACTGGTATCAGCGACATATCTTGCCCCAACGCCGCCACCAATTGGCATCCAATCGTCCAAGGATCCAACGAGATCGGTTGTCCGCGCTCGGATTGTGCTCCATACCGATTGGCTGCGTCTGTTACCAATGGCCATGTGAAGATTTCTCAGTCGCGGAGCTGTTGGTCGTTCGATTTGGTATGCTCGTTCTCAACCCTTAAACTATCCCGTCAACCACCCAAGGCCCTTCCACAACCCGGCGGGGCGCCAGGACCATACGAATAATAAATAATAATGGCTTCGATACGGCTGTCACGGGCTGGGGCACAAGCCGCTCTACGCATCTTTACCCCGATCACGCAAACCCGAGCCGCGACGTCCATATCGCCAGCGGCAGCGTCAACGTCGAGTGCCCTCCAGGACGCTCTTGTCGCCGAAGCTCCCCGTATCAATTGGACGCGGGACGAAATCAGACAGATATACGAAACACCCCTCCACCAGCTTACATATGCCGCTGTACGAACTCAATCCTTCTCCGTATGCGGGGGAAGGGGAGATGGACCAACCACCCGCTCCCCCTCCCTGTGCCTGAATGGTGGGGAAATAAATGCTAATGATTTTGTTTTTCTATCTAATGCCTACAGGGCACCGTCCACCGGCGATTCCATGACCCTTCGGCTATCCAGCTATGTACTCTGATGAATATCAAAGTCGGCGGCTGCTCAGAAGACTGCTCGTACTGCTCGCAGTCCTCACGATACAACACGGGCCTCCAGGCCTCGAAGATGAGCTCTGTCGAGGCTACCCTAGAAGCCGCCCGCATCGCCAAAGAAAACGGTAGCACCCGTTTCTGTATGGGCGCCGCCTGGCGGGACATGCGTGGTCGGAAGAACAGCCTGCGCAACATCAAGAAAATGATCTCTGGCGTTCGAGCGATGGACATGGAGGTGTGTGTGACGCTCGGGATGATCGACGGCGAGCAGGCCAAGGAGTTGAAGGACGCGGGGCTGACCGCCTACAACCACAACGTCGACACCTCCCGCGAATTCTACCCCTCCATCATCACCACCCGGACATACGACGAGCGGCTCCAGACGCTGAGCCACGTGCGCGATGCCGGCATCAACGTTTGCTCTGGCGGGATTCTGGGCCTGGGCGAGGACGATTCTGACCGTGTGGGCCTGTTACATACCGCCGCAACACTCCCTGCACATCCAGAGTCGTTCCCCGTCAACGCTCTCGTGCCCATCAAGGGAACTCCCCTCGGGCATAGGAAACCCATCGCGTTCGATAAGTTGCTCCGCACCGTCGCGACGGCGAGGATCGTCCTTCCCAAGACCACTGTCCGACTCTCCGCAGGTCGCATAAACATGACTGAAGAACAGCAGGTGGCCTGCTTCATGGCTGGGGCTAATTCAGTGTTTACGGGCGAGAAAATGCTCACCACTGACTGCAATGGATGGGAGGAGGATAAGCGGATGCTGGAGAAATGGGGTTTCTATCCAATGGCAGGGTTTCAACGAGGGGAGTTCAGGGGTGGTGCTACTGCTACTACTGCTACCACCACCACCACCACCTCTCCCACCACTTCCCCTCCTGTTCCTCCTGCTTAGGGTTAGGGGGAAAAAGTTTCGGGCAGAATTACGTCGAATATCTGATATCAATAGAAATGTCGGAAATGTCTATTTGCAAGCAGAACGTGGTGTATACCCAAAAATTCAAAACTTTTCTTTTTTTTTTCCCCCCCAAGTTCTATCGTTCTATAAAAGTGCAGTGCGAACTGCTTTCTCTATCCTTGCCAGCTGTTCTACGCCTGAAGTCAAATCACACATCAAGTAAAGGACATTCCCCAACACCCTGCAATGAATGCTAAAACCGTTTGCGTTTGTTTCGCCTAGCCGCCGTTGGAGGCCAGCTGCGGCATTGGAACCATATCCTAGAAACGATAAAACCTGTCAATGGGGGATTGTAATTGTAATTAAGGGTGGTCGCAGGAACTACTTACCACCGCCGTCTTGGCTTCGCAGGCTAATGCTTAGAACAGTGCCAAGGGCAAAAACCGCTTCGACCTGTTCGGAGCGCGAGAGGTCCAGGACCAATTGATCCGACCAGCTGCTCCAAACGTGCCGAAGCTGTTCTGGAAGATCAACGCCTGTTCCAACAGGCGGTTGATTGTGCGGCTGATGATGTGGCTGATCACGTAATTGCATTTGCTGACATCGTTCTGCATTCTTAGTGGTCAACATGCGAAGCGATGCTTCTGCCACTCTGCAGCCGACAGGGTGTGCGGTATAGCTGTGGCCGTGCAGCAGGGCATCAACTTTGTGCGGGGTACAAAACGCGTCGAAGATATCCTCGCTTGCCAGAGTGATGCACAGCGGCACGAGCCCGCCTGTCAGCAGCTTTGCGTGCACTGAGATGTCGGCGTGCGTATCGAGGAAGGATGCAGAGGAGGCTCTGCCCAGGCGATAGAGGCCAGTGAAAACTTCGTCGAAAACCACAGGCAGGCCGGACCATGTGCGATCCGACGATGACGGAGGTGGGGCATGGCCTCCCCCAAATAAGGCCGGGTTCTCCCGAACAACTTCAACCATGGTTTGCTGGAAAAGTGGATCGCTATGATATATATTGAAGAAAAAGAGTCAGCCCCGGTTAAGAGCGGTTAGAAAGGCAAGGGAAAGGAAAGCAATTGCTTGTCGCAACTGCAGTACTAACGCGAATAACATCCCGCCAGCTCCCAGGATGACAGGTTCCATGATCAGGGCTCCGAATTTTCGACCATCCTGGCAAATAAGTTTTTCTAAGCTCCTCTTTATGTAAGTATAATAGCGTTGGCGGGCGACTGATTTTTTCCGCTGCGCAAGGTCGAAGATCGATTGTCGAGTAGGAAATTCTGTATTGTTTCCTAGTGACCCCTTTAATTCCTGTGGTATTTCGATGATCCATCTTCCCCGTAACATTTTCACCGTGGGAAAGTTGAACCAATGGCCGCGGCCGCGGTACCACTCAACTTTTTTGTTGTAGATTGAGGGTTCCGAGAGATCCATCGTCCCAATTGTATCCCCGTGATAGCTTCCACGCAGGCCTAAAATCTCAATGTCTTCTTTGCTGGAATCCCAATTATACCGCTTGCATGCCACTCTCAGAGCCATCTTGACGGCAACCTCCATACCAGTGCTTCCGTTGTCGGAGTAGAATGCTCTCTTCAATCGAGGGTTGTTTATCATTTTAATCAGGGACTCCGCGAGTGAAAGGGCCGGTTCATGGATTGCACCTGGCAAGATGACATGGCCATATCGGCCAGCCGCATAGGCTGCCTCCAAGGACAATTCGGGGTTCCCGTGGCCAAGGCACTGAGTCCACCAAGACGCAGAGCCGTCAAATGTTGGCCGTAATAGGTTGGATGTATTCTTTTGCGAAGGTTCAGTGTTAGCTGTGGTTGGTTCTGAACCAGATTCCGTAGAATTTACCGTGGAGGTTTGGAAACAGTCTCCATATGCCGAATCGATTACCATGATATCTTTTGGAGCTAATGACTGGTGTTGGGTAAATGGGTACCAAATGGAGGAATGGGCCCTGGCGGACATAGATTCAATTTCTGAGATCCGAGAGTGATGCTTCTCAGAGAGTATATCCAAAAAACTGGACCGGGGCCCATGCACTTCTGTCAGAAGCCTTTTAGCCTGTTCTTCGTAATATCTTGACATCTTCCGTTCATCATCTGCGGCAACGGAGTCGTCGCCTGTCAATTGTTTTGGGGGAGGTTGGGGTACTGTCAAAACCGGAATGTTCCTTTTCGAGAGGAAAAATTCCTCCAGGTACGTGTGGTTTTGATAGAAGCTATCCTCCAGCACAGCAACCGCATGAACATCGTATCCGCGAAGCGAAAGACTTTCAAACGCAGCAATAGAAGATGATATCCCCCCTAACCTTGAGTCTGCAACCAGAATGACAGGCAATCGCAGTGGCCTATAGAGATCACTTTGCAGGGTCCCGTTTGGCCCAGGGGATAAGACTCCTCCGGCCGTTTCAACGAGGGCAAGTCCACGCCCATATTGTGCCCACCCGTGAAGGGTTTGGCTAACAGCTTCGACAATCTCTCCGTCTCCAGGGCACTGCGGACATACAATTTAGCGGCCTATGAGAAAAAATACATACACAGATATAAATATAAATAGATGATGACAAAAGTTACCTGTTTACCGGCAGCAGCAAGATGAGGGCTCACCGGCTGATCGAAGATATATAAACACTTGATCGAAACATGCTTAGCGAAGCGACTGATGTGTCTGTGTTACACCACGCTTATTAGGAATGTCATATAGTCGATGACAGGTTTATCCAGCGCTAGGCGCCATGTAAAAGAAAATCCAAGTGAGCTACCTCAGCCATTGTCATCCACATACCTATCATCCCTATCACACTCAGGCCCGGTAGAAACAGGCTTCAAATACCAGTGGTTGGTCTTGGGTTTCGACAAGGCGTGCGCCTTGTAGAGAAGGGACGAGAATACCGTTTTACCCACGTTGGTATTCGCGCCGCATACTTGATATGTCAGGAGATGCTTTGAGAGAAAAGCGCCCACGCAAGCCATAGTCAAAGCAAACCGCCCCCTTTCTTCTTTTTCTCTGAGGAGACAAAGTTCGAACTGTTCCTAGGGCATTTCAGGTATATAGTGGCTCGCTGGCGATACAGCCCCTTGTCAGCTAGTGAGCCGCGTGCAGACTGCGCCGCTAACACCCGGAGTATCTGCAATATCCTTCCAGCCCCCAAGTTGGCTATTCCCCGGCTTGCATTTTGCACACAGCTCAATATGTTACTAATATTATCATTGTTGTTGTTGTTGACAACTTGTTGAGAACTGGGATAGTCATCACGTGCCTGCTCGCGGTTTGATGGGCCGAGTTCAACCAAACTTGAGGCTAAAACCAAATATTCCCCGCCAGCGAAAACAAAACAAAATATAAAAATATTTGCTCCCCCTCACTAGGGCATCCATGGATCCGCCCTCTCGCCCCAACGAGTCAACAAGTCCCAAAACTCTGAACGCATGCCGGATCCATGATCCCAGCACGCACCCTTTCTATGCGCTTCGCTGGGACCAGGGGGGAAATTTTCAGCAACGCGATATCTTACATCCCATCGAAAGTTTGAAAATGTAATCGATCTGGTCGCCATGTAAACGCAAAATGGACTCTTCTGGAGCCCTTCTGCGTGCCTTTCAATCCTGCCTGGATCAGAGGGAGGTTAAAGGGCGTCGCCGCCATCTCCAAGTCCCACCATCCGGCGGGGTGGATTTCTCCTCTAACGACTTCCTCTCGCTTTCAACATCAACCACCCTCCGCTCCCACCTTTTGCAAAGTCTTGCCCGTGAGCCTCCGTCACATTCATTCGCAAGCAAGGGGTCTAGGCTTTTGGACGGCAACTCAGCGTATACAGAAAATCTGGAACGTTTTATAACCGCCTTCCACAATGCGGAGAGCGGCTTACTCTTCAACTCCGGCTATGATGCCAATCTATCGATCTTTTCATGCGTTCCGCAGCCGGGGGATGTTGTTATACACGATGAGTTAATCCACGCGAGTGTCCACGATGGCGTGAAACTTTCGAGAGCCTCGAGGAAAATTTCATTCAAGCACAATTCGGTCGACGATTTTTTCCGAATTGCGCAAAGCGTTGTACAGGGAGATCCTTTGGTAGCGTCGGGAGAGCGGAGCGTATTTGTTGCAGTGGAATCTCTTTATAGTATGCAAGGTGACTTTGCCCCAATTGCGGAACTTCTAGCGGTTATCAAGACTGTGTTTCCCAGAGGGAATGCATACATGATAGTGGATGAGGCGCACACCACGGGAGTGTTTGGACCTCGAGGGGCAGGGCTTGTCCAAGAACTTGGTGTCGAGGGCCATGTTTTCATCAGAGTACATACGTTTGGTAAAGCGCTAGCCAGCCATGGAGGTACCGTTCCCCATCCCTGTCTGAGGTCACCCTGAACCTGTCGACCTTGAGCGTTCCGCTGTCGTTACTTCGAATGAGGTTTCAAATGCACCTTAGTCTAGAAAAGTGATGGGACATCAAACTGACTAACCCATGTGGGAATTCTGTTCGTCTCTCGATTGTAGCAATCGTTCTCTGTTCCCACCTCACGCGGGAATATCTGATCAACTACGCTCGACCCATCATATATTCCACGGCATTGGGCCTTCCATCTCTGGCCTCCACCCGCGTTGCATACGAGCTCATGAACGATGGAGCAACTGAGTCGGTATGACATAATCCTCCCCAAATTGATACATTTACATATATTTATATACCTATACACATATAACTGACTTAGCTCATGGCCTCCCCAGCTCCAATCGCAACTGCACGACCTCGTTAAATACATGGCCACAAGATTAAAAAGCCTTCAACCAGCCGATCCCGCAATTTTGACAATACATCATCAAGATCGGTCTCCTATTTTCTCGCTTCAGACATCGATGCCACGTGAACTTGCGAACTTTCTCCAGGCTGAGGGACAAATTGTCCGAGCGATTATGCCTCCCACCGTCCCAGTGGGAACAGAACGAGTGCGCGTGTGTCTTCATGCTAAGAATACATTCGAGGAGATAGATCGCTTGATTACTCTGATCAAGGAATGGGTTGAACAGCAACGTCCAAGAAGGACCTATAGGCTGTAGCGGCGGGGCGGCTAATTCTACATAGACTTGGTTGATATTGGTGGAAACTATTAGATGCGTGAAAGTCATACAAAGGAAGCGCTACGCGTTTTGCTTTTTTTTTTTTTTTTTTTTTTTTAGTAAATTAGAAAAAGATGTGTAGATATTTTGACAGATAAAGTTGATTAGACTCAATCTAGAAGCTATTTCGCTAAATGGTCTCGGAGGGCTCTATCAAGAGAAATAAATGGATACCTTCCCCATTTTCTATTTAATCTGAGTGGAATACCGGAAAATAGAGTCAAAAGCGAGCTCACCCAGTCCAAAGCGAATTTGCAATGTCAGTTTGCTGAATGCCCTAGATGGTATTGAAAAGAGGAGGGAGTTGAGAAAAAGGGTTAACTTACTGCACGGTGTCCTCCAGAGTCGAGAAGAAAAAGTTCATCGTTGTATTCTGATGGCGCGGAAATTGCACATTGGATGGCTTACACTACCAATTGTATTGAATTAAATATTACTCTCCTGCTGAGACATATTCTATCCAGCTATTCAACGGTTTTCAATTGGGTTGCGCATTTTTGCTTCCGATTTTAATGTCGTCGTCACCTCTAAGTCGTAGTCCGCCAACCCGCTACTTGGTTCTTCAGCATGGGTCCTCCTGTTCCACATCATCAATCATTCTCTCACACTCCACCGCCTCTTTGTGTTGAAATGACGTAGGATTTCCTAGGCAGTAACCTTAATGGCACCAAATAGAATGTGTTAAAAAAAACTGGGATGCTAGCGGTCAGTAGCTACGCGAAAGGGGGCAATCAATTCGCAAAGTGAATGACCGTTGGTTGACCATTCATCTATCGGAAGTCAACGAGAGAGCTTTGCAAAAGCAACCTCGTAGATTACCTACGAAGTATATCGGTCGATGCCCTAGCATGAGGAAGATGGTGGGAGTTATCAGTCACCATTCTGTCTTCGGCACTATAGATTGAGAAGCGCTCTATTCCTTTTCAGTTCAAGGGAACGGCCATGTGCGAAACCCAAGCACCTTAATTTCACCAGCAGTCATTGGTGGGTTCCGCCAGGTTCCGCCATGGTCGGAGATAAAGATGGCATCACTGCGAGATTTTCATCGAATTTTTTCCCTTGTCTTCTAACCCATTCCGGTATGTCTCCCGAGCGCAGGCTTCTGTCTGGTAGTGGCCTCATCATAACCAAATGGCTACAAAGCACACATTCGTGCAATGGTAATAACGTCTTCCCCCATTCCGTTCCTCCGGGCTTTTTGCAGCAATTATTACCCTTTTGGCAAGAGTATTCTCACACGTCTTTCATCATGACTTAAGTATGGTAACACAACGGAGCGAACGTAAGGCTGGGCTGTCCAGGTAGTCATGACCGGACCTGCATGCGTACGAGCGCGAACTGCTTGCGTAGCAAGTTGCTTTTACACGGGATGAGCCGGTTAGATGCAATTGACCGACACGACATGAGCAAACAGACCCGTGCCAGATATGCAACCAATAAAACGCAAACTTGAAACACAATTCGAGCAGCAAATGCATCGGCCAACAGGTACGGAATAATACTTACACTTGTTTCGTGTCTCTCATTGCCACATTGAGTCAAACAGATTAGTTATGAGCTCCTCAATGTAGATTTATTAGCTTATCAGCTCAATGTCTGCTGCGGATTTGCAGAAATAGCACAGCAAATCCTCATTCAACTTCCATCAAAAACAATCATCACTATCGCATTGCCGATCACCAGCATTTCCAGCATTTTCATATTCTTGTATCGTTTTTTGTAAAGGCACTGGCCTCAATACCTCCGAAGCTTTTCCTTCAAGCACAGGAATGGGATGTTGACGTCAGATTAAACTTCTCGTCATGCATATGCCAAGCACACTAAACCAGAGCTTTCGATGCGTAGTGATGCTCTATTACGAGGTGTATCCTAGTTATATCCGCTGTCAGGTGCCTAATAGTTAATGAATGTTGATAGAGACCTCGCAGAGTTCGGGAGGATGATTTCTATCCAATGACCTCACACGTCCTTTAGGCTCAGAAGATCGCTATTCAGCATAGGAATATGCCGGAATTCTATTAGAAGAAAATAAGTTCTCGTCAGATTGAATAATATTATTTGGTGAAATTGGATAATCAGTGGCCTTGTCCCATGCGCATAGAGATAATAAGAAATGCTCAGTTTTTGCGAATTGGTTTATAGAGCGCAAGTAGAAAATAAAATAAAATAAAATAAAATAATCGGGAAAAATAATAGTGATAAATCACAAACCACAGGAAATGATTACTGATAAACATATGCGCTAGAAATATCGCAATGCAATGAAGATACGTTGGAGTCATGGAAGTGAAGCAAGCAGAAACAGTAAAGAGGTAATCGATGAAGCAAGATAAAAATGCCACAAGCTGTCAAGGGTCAATTCCGCGGCCAGTAACATATTATCATAACGTTTGGAGTGTGGTTGCCGGTGCTATAACGTACGAGGAATAATATCGTCAAATCGGAAAAAAAACAGAGGTTGCGGGGGAAATAATATACGCGTCTAAAGACGAGCGGAAGAATAGGCGAGGAAGGAAGAGTGGATTTTAAACAAAGGAGAAAAAAGTACGAAAGACTGAGAGGAAATCTGAGCCAGCCAATTCCAATGTCTGAAGCATTAACAGGAAAGGTCCACTATCAAATCTGGAGATATAGGCGTGAAATTCAGGCTAGATCCGATGTTGTGAGATAGTCTGCATTTGTGGTTCGAACCTTATATCGTCGGGTGAGGAGCAAAATATTTTGTGCGACAAAGTAAAGTAATGAACAAATGCCGGAGATGGTTGCAAGACTGAAGCAAACGATGTAGACGACATTTGCTGGTTCTGAGGTCATGGAAATCGAAGATGCTCTCACAATATGAAGCCAGCCCGAAACCCCTATGTGGTATGTTACAAAAACACACGCTGTGGCGATAATTAGCCTATGTAGTAAAATAATACTAAGGAACTTCCATACGGCATACCCAGGAGAAGTAGCAGAGCACCAGACAGTTTGGGATAAAGCAAGAGGAGGGCCACGATTGCCGTTGACGAGATCCACCATATGACCGAGGTGAGAGCTCCACCAAAAGTAGTAAGTCGGCGGAAAATAGCATAGGAGTTCTCGATGGAAATTTGAAGATTTGCAGTTGACGCAGTGACGTCGTTCAAAAGCGCCTGAGAAATTTTTAGGTCTTGTTGAAAGGACTTTTGGTCGCTAATTTGCTGCAACTGAACTTGCTGGAGTGCGACAGCGGTAGTTTCAAACTGCTGGAAGGCCTGTTCGAACAATTCGATACGCTAATACAATTAGCTCCCACTTGCATGATAGCAGAGATATACGTACTAAATCTAGGCCATCATGTCTAGCTTCCATAGATCTCATGGACTTTTCGACGGCCTGCTACGTAGTGAGTTAGTAGTTTGCAGGGAGATGCTATGAATATATAGATACCATCGAATAATATATATTGTCAAACCCTTCAATGATGGGCCCCAACTTCTGACTCCCTAGAAGTTCAGCCGACTGTCTCACGGAAGAGATCAATGCTAAGTTCTCTTGATGGTTTTTCCTTTCAGCTGCAGCCATCTCATTAGCCCTTGTCGCACTAGTCAGTCGAATTTCATTAAGCGCCTGCTTCAACTCATGGATCGAATTCGAAGCGGAAAGGAGATCCTATATAGCCAGTAAGAAAATGAATGTGCTTCGTACACAAAAGCTATGTGTCAAACCTTCTTCACATTTGCAGCATCTGTTTTCGCAGCAGACATCACGATTTGTACTCCCTCGGCGTCATCAAATACTTTCGATTTTATATCGTGATATCGTAAAAATCCATTTTCCAGGTCTTGCAAGAGTTGATTTCGCATTTCATCCACGATTTCTAAAAACCCTTTCTGCCGAGAGGCTTCCATAGCTGCTGTTGTAAGTGTCTGGTTAAGAGAGTCGTTTAAAATGGAGGTGATATCTATCAACTTCTTATACCGCTTGAGATCATGTTCTCGTTCAATCTCCGTTCTTGCTGCCTGGCACATGACAGCTGCATTTTGTCTGCTGTTACTATAGCTCGTCCACCATTGGGGCCGAGATTCTAGAGACCTGAGGCATGGCTCTAGCCGGGAGGGCTGAACTTGATCCTGCGCACCCGGGTGCCCATAGGTCGAATGAGATATAAGAATAGGAGAACATTGTTCGGGGATCGCAGCCCCAGCGCCTATAAGCTCACAAACAGCCAGCCTAGCAGCAAACAAAGCCTTCAGGTTATCAAGAGAGTTGGACGAGTTGTTCTTGTCGGTATCATCGTCTCCGCCAATAGATTGACAGGACAAAATCAAATTAGTTGCAGCCAGCCTATTACAAGAAGGTGATGACTTCATGGAGTCAAGAAGCTTAATGGCGTCGGAAAAAACCTCGCTACGTTGAGTGTTTTGTGCATAAAGTAAAGATGGCAAATCAATTTCTTCAGGTCCAATGCCGAATGATAATGGGTTTGGACCTGATGTGCACGGTAAGTTACGGGGATATACGTATGAAAACCTCAACACGCTATCTCACCTTTTTTCAAAGAGAAAAACCTTAGTGAATCTGCTCTTGTCAAAAGAGTAAGACCGCTCAAGCATAGAGCGGGAGCGGTAAATATTTGGATCTTCATAATGATTGATCACTGCAGAATTGAAGAATAAAAAAAGAAATGAATGAAAAAAAGTATGAAAACAATAAGATTAAAGGCACGTCTCGCCTACGAAGCTGAGAGGCAAATTGCTAAGTAGAAAGATAGAAATCAGGTAACGTCTCATGAGCAAACCTGGTAAGAGGATCTGATGCTGTCGCTCAGTCGAAAACATGCCACTGAAAAGGGGGTTAAAACAAGGGTCGAAATGACAAAATCAATGGTTTACAGATGACGATAATGAAATAAGACACTGTCGGTTCCTGAATAAGCGATGTCAGACAACTGCCAGAGGGGTTGGCTGGAGATGCAGTGCTGCAAGCTGATTTCTGATATAAAAGGAGAAAGGGGGAAGTCAAACGATCACGTGGATTGTTTGGTAAATCACGAGATTTCGACAAAAACGAAATCTACCATCGTCAGACGGAGAGCAGCATCGAATCAGTCCAACACCGCCAAAATGAATGGGATAATACCAAGGAGCTGCTACAGGCAGCTCCTCAATGACCCCATGAGGTCCAATTCATTACCAGCCTTCCTTCTTCCAGCCTTTTCCCTCCCTGTTCGCCGCCAACCCTTCTCAGTATCAACTCCAGCGCAATCACGAGTTGGTTCTGCACCACTCTCAGTGCCTTCCGAAGTCTCATTGAAATTCATCGCGTTGCCAAAAGTGAAAAATATCACTACGCGACAGGGAAAAGATAATCCAACTACTGCGGTGGAAGTTACTGGGCCATTGGGTACACAATTTCATCCCCCATCCCTCTGCAGGACCAAACGCTGACGGCCAATTCTTGCAGGGACCATGACATTAACTCTCCCTTCATTCTCGACCGTAAATTTTGATCAGGAATTACGAAAAGCAACAGTCGAAGTTCAAGATGCGGAGGTTACGCATCAGCGCGCCATGTGGGGTATGCGCCTGCGTTCATTGACACTTTGTATCTCCTCTAGACCCACTGCTTCTGACGCTTCTCATCAACAGGAACTATACGACAACATTTGAAAAACTACATTTTAGGAGTGTCAGAGGGCCACACTTGCATCCTCAAGCTTGTCGGAGTAGGATTCAGGGCGATGATCGAACCCAAGGCCGTTACCGTTCCTGAGCCGGATTACCCGGGTCAACAGTACGTTTCGTTGAAAGTTGGGTACGCACATCCAATTGAGCTTGGTATTCCGCTTGGCGTTAAAGCCAGTATGCCACAACCGACTACTATCTTGCTAGAAGGCATTAATAAGGAGGTTGTAACGCAGTTCGCTGCGGAGATTCGGGCATGGCGTAAACCGGAGCCTTACAAGGGAAAGGGTATATTTGTGAACGGCGAGACGATCAGGCTGAAGGCAAAGAAAATCAAGTGAACGTCATTTTTTTTAATTTTATGCTTGCAGTTGCTTTTTGTGTATCCATGTCTTTGGGTTTTTTTTACCTTGTTCTAGTAGGATAGTCGATCCCCCTCCCCCTCCCCCTTCCTCTTTTTTTTTCGAGGTGCCTCGCCTGCGATTCATCTCAGAAACACATAGACATATACACCTAAGAAAGTCTTCATTTTATCCTCAATACTCTTTGCACGGCATCGATCACCTGATTATGGATAGCATTCGGGGAAGCAATGACGCCGGTATTCATGACCAGAGTTCTTCCTTTTCCAAAGTCAAGTCGCTTGCCGTGGATATCGGTTACCATCCCCCCAGCTTCACGGACCAGCAAGTCGCCAGCGGCATGGTCCCAAATCTTCTCTTGGTAATCCTTCCTCACTGGCAGCCTCAAGTATATATCTCCCGTCCCTCTTGCAATGGAACAGTATTTGGCCTGCGAATCAAGCCGGACACTTGGGCCAATGATACCTAACATCCTTGCAACCGCAGCGTTGTCATCCTGTGCAGAATGTGCAGCTTCAACTCCCTCGCAGAATGAAGCCTTTGTAATATCCAGGACTGGTCTCATGGAAATAGATTTGCTTTCCTGGAGTTTTCCACCGGAGAGAGGCCGGCTCGAGGCACCTTTTCCGAGTACAGCAGAAAAGAGCATTCCAGTCCCATCGCCGCAGGTCTTGGTGCTTGTAGAATTGGCGGGAATCGGCGCGGAGTCAGAGACTGGCAAATTGGGGCAGCCGATTACTCCTACTTTGACATCGCCATCTACAATCAGGCCGAGACAAACAGCGTATTGGCCCCCACGGAGGAAGCCCTTTGTACCATCGATAGGATCCAAAGCCCATATCCTCCCCTTCGGTCCTCCGGCACTTTTCCCCTGGTCGATTATATCGAGCATAGCTTCCTCGCTCTGCAATGGACCACCCAAAACTTTGTCACTTTCCTCGTCCGTAAGCTTGATGTCCTTGACCAGGTCCCAAATCTCATTACTCAGCGGTTTATCTTCCCGGAGAGCACTCGCTTCCTCCTCAGCAACTATCTCGTCACCTGGGAAGTTCTTGAGGATTGCCTGGATGATAAGTGCCTGGGCACCGAAGTCACCCTTTGTAACAGGAGACTTGTCATCCTTGGATAGAGTGCCTTTTGCTTTTTCGTTGAATACTTGCTGTGTTAACAGTGAAGCCCTCTGTACGGCGAGCTCTGCCACATAGAGCTCCTGCTGGTAGGACATATTTATTCCTAGAGAATAAGAGGACTTTGGAGACAATATATGCCCCGAAAGTTGGGAGAGGCAGGTTCGGAGTCGAACTGACAAATTAGCTGCCAGGATGAGGAGGAGGATCGAAACGGCAAAATAGACATTGATATATCTGGGTGGTGAATTTGGCGTCCGCGACTGACGAGGCTTAGCCGTCATACTCATATATTGAAATTATTTCCATATATAGCCTGCGGCTGTGATTGCTTTTGCCCTCCCCGCACTAATCTGCTTTGAGAAAGCTTATCACGGGGTAAGTTCACCCACCCAACGTCATTCTTCCATGCGCAAACAGCTTCATCTTTTCCCGATCAGGTAAACAACTCCCTGCTTACATTCGGATCCCGTGGAATGTACGTACAGACGAGTATAGATTCTTCGGACAGCCTCGCTGCTTGGGCCTTATTATCTCTTTCACGCATATACGCATATTCGCCTCCTGGGCCATCCATTGACCCGCGCGGGGTATCTTCGTATTCCACCTGCGGGATACTGTGCGCCTGCGCGCCCAACCAAGTTTGACGCTATTATATTGTCCTGCGAGGAACCATCACCGATGCCAGCTATTTTCGGAAGTCCGTAGCTAGCTTTCATTTGCTTCAACTAAACGATACAACCGAACTATCACCTGTCTGCGCTTCTCCCCCTCCGTCCGCACAGCTCACATTCCCCGCAGCCGCCCTCAACATCAATCGCATCGCGGTTGCGCACTCCGCGTTATAGACTTCTACAATTCAGTCAAGATCTTAAATTTTCATTCGTGAGTTTCAACTACGCACGACTTGACATTGTGAGACAATATTCCAACACATTGACGAAGACCTAGAACCTGCACATGATCTTCATTCTCCTTGTCCAACTCGTGCAGCATGTTCTCCGGATCTGTAGGTTCACTCACCCCTGCCTTTCTGTTATTGTTTCCGTTTTGTTTCAGTTAGTATTTTCACTCAGCTACGGGAAGATTTTTGCTTTGTCAATTAAATTTCTTTCCTTTCATTTCCTTCAGGGATATTCTCAATCCATAAAATGTGACAGTATATTCAAATTGCCTAGGTTATCCCCCCCGTAACTAATAAGATCAGCCACCTACATGAATACAACCTCCTTCCTTCTTTCATTTATTTATTTTTTCTTACTTATCAGAAACATATGTTGAGCTGTAGCTTCTGCTACTGCATTACGTTTCCACAGCTAATCATATGGATATCCTTCTTTTGCGGACGCAGAAGCCTTATTCGGCCATCACCCTTCACATCGACAGACTCACAAGTGAAGAATATGACATCGACGACTCGAGTGGGGTTGTAGACCTAATCGAAGTGGTCCGTCTACAAGCGACAGGCCCAAGTGAGGCCAGTAGAGCCCTACGGAAGAAATTGTATTCTAAACCCAACCACCAAGCTATCCAAGTGATTACTAGGTGCTAATTCCGCCGCAGGAAATATGGATCCGTGCATCGCCAGTTAAGGGCTCTTACAATCCTAGACTTCATTTTCCAGAATACTCCCACCAGATATCTCCGCGGCTTCACCGATGAGCCTCTCCTCGAACGTCTCCGAGTCGCAGCCACAGATCCTGTTTCAGACCAAGAAGTTAAGGACAAATGCAGGCAACTGTTTTTGCAGTGGTCCTCCTCCTTCAATGGAGTGGCCGGTATGGAACGGATTGCGACCCTTCACAAACAACTCCCGCAACGGAAAAAGCCGATGAACCGACAGCAATCCAAAGTGCTCAAGGAAACTGAAGCGCAATCCGAATCGCCAATAGGCCATTCCGTATCCATTTCTGCAGGCAATGGACCCGCTACTCTTTTGTCATCTCCCACATCTTCAAAGACTTCTAGACCAAGTCGATCGAGTATCTCCAAGATAGCGAAAGACAGGTCCCATCGCGGAAATCCATTCAATCTTGAGAAAGAGAGGCCAGAGATTATGCGAACCATTGCATCTGCATCTGTGGCAGGAACTAACCTCCTGAATTCACTTAAACTGGTTAACCGCGAGAATCAACGCGTGAGTGAGAACGCAGAAGTAATGAGTCAATTCGATTCGTGCAAAAATCTGCGACGACAAATATTGAGATATATCCAACATGTCGAAAGCGATGAGTTTCTAGGAAGTCTCATTCACGCAAATGACGAACTAGTAAATGCGCTTATGGCCTTTGAAGTTCTCGACAAAAGCGTCGATGATGATAGTGACAGTGATAGCGAAGGCGGAAGGGGCATTAACGACGGGTTTGCGGGGCTTGAACTTGATGGGTCTACCAAGCCTCCTCCGCGGCCTGCAAAACCCACCAACTTCTCGTACAGTGCCCGATCATCGGCAGCACACGGCAAACAACGGGAATCAGATAGTCTAAGTGAAGAATCAGAAGAAGAGGAAGACGATGATGAAGACAATCCGTTCGGGGACAGGAATGCAGTAAAGACTCCCGGCATTGAACAGTCTGGACTTACTTGGTATGAATCCCTTGAGTCTCATCCCTTCCCCCGATCATTGTGATGCTAATTTAACTCATGTTTCCAGGCGAGAAGTTTGATTATTCGTTCTGCGGAAGCAAGAGTATTCCCCCTTCCGGTTACTGAATCTCCCGCTCCCCACCCCACATTTGCATCGTCTCACACGAATTATACTTCGCCGATAGGTTTTTAAACTCTCGACCCAGTTTGTACCTCCTATGTTGGGGGTTTTCTGATCACACTGTTTACTGGAAGACGTTGAATGGAGTATTGTCAATGCCAAAGTTTGTACACCTACCTAATTGTATCCCATACATATCTGTCAATTATTCCCTCTTCTCCAGTTGGCGAGAGGCAGCAGTGATATTATTGCTCCCTATCCTCACTTTCAGGCGTTTAATAGGTTATCTTATTGAGAAAACAGCTTTCACCCAATATACATATACCGCACAAATTGTAGACAAACACAATTTGCGTCGTTTCATACGTCCCCCGGTGCAACGATCGTTTTTATTCTTCATTAGAATTAGGTATAGATACTGGCCAAGTTACGGCTTCAAGTCATGTCACATTGGATTCTCCTCATGGTGGGTATAAACTAAGCATGGACTGTGTGGCGAATGCTTTTCTTTCAACATAATTAACGGTTGTACACCTGTACGATTCGCTCATAGTGGTGGAAATATTACAGCCTCCCCTCTAGAAATCCAACTCCCCTACCTGTCCCAGGAATGCCTTGTTCCCCCCTCCAGCCAGCAAGGCCTCAATATCCACACGACCTGCTGTCAAATACCTCTCGCTTACCCCCATATTAATCCGCTTCCTCAACAACTCCCTCAGCTGAGCCTTGAGAGCCGTAACCTCTGCCTTCGTCATACTTCCCGAACGCTTTTTCACGCACCTCTCTCCCACCGCCTCTCCCCCTTCCACCTGTCCCTTCCCCTTAGCCGTGGGATCCCATTCCTCACTGTCGTAATCAACCCCCAAATCATCCGCCGCGGACCGCAGCCAATCATTTTCAGACGATAACTTTTCCTTCGCAAGCGTGTGGTTCGTTATTTTCTTCGCGAGGGCAACGCGAGGGCGCACACGCGCAATGACGCGCCTGTCCAAATCGACGGAGTGCAGAGGGAGGCGCTTCGTCACAGATGAAGATGACGATGTAGTTGAGGAAGCGTGGACTTTCGCAGCTAGGCGCGCCACGCCGACGATTTCCTCGGGTGCGCAGAGGAGGATGGATTTTCCCGAGGCGGAGGCGCGGGCTGTGCGGCCGGAGCGGTGCACGTATGTATCTGCAGTGCGGGGGACGTGATAGTGAATGATCAGGTCGATACCTTTGATGTCCAGACCTCGAGCGGCGACGTCAGTTGCGACTAGGATGGAGGAGGGGTCCGCGGTTGGAGAGGAAAAGCGTTCGACAGAGCGGAGACGAGCCTTCTGGGCCATGGAGGAATGTAAGGCAAGGGCGGGGAGATTGAGATTTTGGAGGAAGACTGTTAGGCGGCGGACGGCAGAGATAGAATTTGTGAATACCAGTGTACGGTGTTGCGGGTGGTAGAGCATGAGGGTGTAAAGATATAAGTCCTATTTTGGGGTTTAGCTACCGTTGCAACTTGCATTGGGGCAGGTTTGGATAGAATATATTTCTTACCTTCTCCATAGCCGGACATTCCACAAGACCTTCCTTGAGGTTCTCCGCCATTTGAGCAACTGGATTCACGTCAATGAATTTCGGTCTGTCTTCTCTGAAATTGAGCTTTTTGAGGAGATATTCCATCGACTGCTTGTCATCGAGTAGATCTCCATCAAAGTAACGACCCTTTCCCGCCAGCTTCTGCTGCAATCCTTTGTGAAAGGTTGCTGAGAAAACGAGTGTCTGCCTAGGAGACACCTTGGAAGCATCATCCTCACTCTCCGAATCAGCAGTAACTTTGTCATGGATTTCCTTTCTATCAAGGGCAGTTAGTATCTCCTCTACCTCCTTGAAGTGTCCTTCACTGAGCAGTCGATCAGCTTCATCGATAACAAGAAACTTGATATTTTGAAACTTTCGTAATAAGCCATGTCCAGTGCTGATAACATCCCATAAACGACCTGGTGTTCCAATAACAATATCCGCATTTGCCAGAACTCGTTGTTGTTTTTGAACGGAAAGACCACCAGTCAACAAAGCTATTCTCGCGTTTATGTTAGGGGCATTGGTACAGAGTGCCGTAATATGTTTAGATAGTTGGTGGGCGAGCTCTCTGGTCGGTGATAGGATCAGCGCAATCGGATATTTGCTCGACAACTCTCCATGATTATGCTGCACTGGTTCCTCGCAGCGATTCTTTAGATAGTATTCCAATATAGGAATACCAAATGCCAACGTCTTGCCAGAACCTGTTGAAGCTTTCCCAACAACGTCATGACCTGAAGCGATAAGGGGTATGCAAGCTGTCTGGATCGGAGTGGGCTTTGCAAATCTGAGCTTCGACAGGCTTGTCTGAATCTCTGCCGATATGTCCAGAGGGTCCCAGCGTGAGACGTCCACTTCGTCCCCGTCAACCTCGTCCTCCAAAGCCTCAAACGATATTCCCGATTGGATATCATGTTTGGGGGCAGGCTTTTTTTTGCTCTGGATTTCGGCATCCATAAGCTTCACGTCCTTTTTACTCTGCTTCTTTGATTTCTTCTCTTTATCTTCCTTTGTCTCAATTTTATCCACATTTGTTTGTTTTCCTTTGCCGCTATGTACCTTGTCATCTGCAGGTTCTTCATCGTCCGAAATCCCACTCCATTCACCGTCCTCGTGTTCCGTATTTGACGATATACTGTTGGCAACATTCTTCTTCACCCTATTCCTGGCAGCCTGTATAGAGAATAGCCACCATATATTAGTCCAAAGTTCATAGATCACAAGGCTTTCCACCCAAACAATGATCATTCTCGCACCTTAAATTTGATCTCTCCATTTCCTATCGGCCGCACAAGGTCCACACCATCAATTTCCTCCAAACCGAAGAATCCCTCTGCATCCTCTAATCGGTCAGGCAAGGCGACCTCTTTCCAATCGAGCTGGTCAATTCCGACGATTTCTCCGTCATCTCCAGTAGCCTCAACCCGCTGGCGTTTCTTGGACTTATGAGACAGATCTTGAGCGAAGCGAGCTCTTTTTTTAGCCATGTTTGAGGATATCTTGCATGCATAAAGCCACGATGAGAAAGCAAAAGTGCTGAGGCCAGCTCAATATCACCGTCAATAATGGCCCGCGCTGTTATGATCCGGGGTGGGTCATTTTGAAAATAGTATTTGAATGTGGAAATGTTGCTACTGCGTAAAAAAATTGCCCAAGCAAGCTTCTTGAAAAAGAAAAAAAGATAAAAAAAAATTAGCTCCAAAAGTCGTTTTCAATTTCCCCACCAAATATGAACATACGCCACCCCGCATATTTTACAGCATTGACAACCAGAATACAATGGACAGAATATAATGAAACGTAAATATACTGATACGCCGTGTCCTCTACAGACTGAAAATGGGAAAATCCTCCAAAGACAAGCGCGATGCCTACTACCGCCTGGCTAAGGAGCAGAACTGGCGAGCCCGCTCCGCCTTCAAGCTGATCCAGATCGACGAGCAATTCGACCTGTTCGCGCACTCAAATCCAGACAGCGTTACACGCGTGGTGGACCTATGCGCTGCTCCGGGGAGTTGGAGTCAGGTTCTCAGCCGTGTGTTGATTAAGGGGGAGAGTTTTGGCCGGCGGGCGTGGGAGGAGAAGCGACGGCGGGAACAAAAGCAGGCGCAGAGATTGGAGGGCGTGCAGAAAGGCGTAGAAACAAAGGAGCAACAGGGAGAAGAAGAAGAAGAAGAAGAAGAGGGAGAAGAAGAGAAAGAGAAACTCAAACCCCGAAAGAACGTGAAAATCGTCGCCATCGACCTCCAACCCATGACCCCGCTGGACGGAATCACCTGTCTCAAAGCAGATATAACACACCCGTCCACCATCCCCTTACTCCTCGAGGCCCTCGATCCAGATAATTACACCCACAATGATACCCTCACCACCACCAGGACTTCGCATCGCCTACACCCCGTCGACCTCGTGCTCTCTGATGGCGCGCCCGACGTAACCGGCCTGCACGATCTAGACATCTACATCCAATCGCAACTCCTCTACGCCGCCCTCAACCTTGCCATCGGCGTCCTGCGCCCCGGCGGCAAATTCGTCGCCAAGATTTTCCGCGGCCGCGACGTGGACCTGATCTATGCGCAGCTGAAGACCGTGTTCGAAACCGTGTCCGTCGCGAAGCCGCGCAGCAGCCGCGCGAGCAGTCTGGAGGCCTTCGTCGTCTGCGAGGGCTTCATCCCGCCTCGCACGCACAATGAATCTACTACAGCCGGAGGAGAACATGGCATGGTCCTCCTCGAAAACCCGCTGTTTGGCGGCGCGGCAACCTCGTCGTCTCCAGCAACCACAGTCAACCGCTGGATCCCACCCTTCATCGCCTGCGGTGACCTCTCAGCCTGGGATGCAGATGCTTCGTACGAGCTGCCGCCGGGTTATGTCAGTCTCGACCCCGTACAGCCGCCGACGGCACCGCCGTATAAGCGCGCGCTGGAGTTGAGGAGGCAGAAAGGGGGTGCATACGGGAAGACGAAGGGGGTGGAGTTTAGTTAAGTGGTCTTGGTGCTTCCTTGGGAATGGAGGGGAGCTCCTTATTTTTTTTCCCCCCTCTTTTCATTAGACCCGGTCAATTATGGCAGCATTTGGCTCTTCATGTGTGTTGGCGTTCTCTGTTTTGTTTCTGTTTGGAGTGGTGGTGCTCTCTGGCTGGAGTTGACTTCCCAAATGCAATGAGGATTTACAACGATACACCAAAACTTTCCAAGTCAGTGCTACACTAAATCGCATAGCAATTTCGGATGTCCTCAATCATGGATCTTACTCCTTGAACTGCAGCAGGCATGTGGCAAGGCTTGGGTTCCACTTAGTAACAACTATTCGTTAAACGCTCAGGTGGTGTCAGATAGAGATACACAGTGAGCTTCACGCTCATATATTTAAGACCATTTCAATAGAGCTACACACTAGCGGATTCACAGATGTTTTTTTCTTCAAGAAAGCAAAGCATTGTGACATTTTGAAGACGGAATCGAGTGAGCAAAGACCTAGAAGGGGCCCGCACATCAGCTTCCCCCGTTTTTGCATTGCAATGATAACTACGGAGTACCTCGCGCTGTATTTCAGGGCAGTTATGTTTACTTATCTCCGTTCATTTTGAGCGCGGCAAATCTTTTATATCAAAGATCTCATCCTATCCTCGGCATCTGTTTGATGTGCTGTTTTTTATCCTGTACACAGAGTAAAAAGCTGGACAGCATTTCCGTAAAACTATCTAGCCATCCAAAGTCACGTCTTATTACAATAATGATATAGCTATCGCATCTATTTTAATCTATAAAGCAATACACATTTTCCACGTCCACAACCACAAACCATCCAATACCACCCAGCCCATTTATCCGACCTCCTCGCACCTAATAAACCTCCAGAACATACCTCAAATCATCCTTCAGCTTCTCAATCTCCTTCCGCGGGTCTACCTTCTTCCCCAACCCCGCCTCCTTCGCCTCTATCGCAATCGCCTCCTCCAACACCGCGGTAACGTCCGGAACCGGCCACGTCGGTCCACACAGGTAAAATGCCCCCTGCTCCCGAATGTACGCCTGGGTAATCTCCGGCAGCGTCTGGCGCATGCGGTCCTGGATGTAGATCTTCTGCGGCTGATCGCGACTGAAGGCGCGGCCGAGCAGCGTGATCACGCCTGCGGCCTGGTACGCCTCCCACTCCTCGCCGTAGCAGTATTCCTCGCGCTGATGGCGCGAGCCCATGTAGAGGAGCACGGAGCCAATATCTTTCCCCTGCGCCTTCTCCATGGCGCGGTGCTGGACGAAGGCGCGGAACGGGGCCAGGCCAGTCCCCAGGCCAGCCATGATGATGGGCTGCGTGGACTTGGGGGGAAGTTTCATCACGCTCGGCTTGACGCTGGCGGTGACTGGGGTGCCGGGCTTGAGATTGCTGAGGTAGTGGGAGGCCTGGCCATAGCGCGTGCGGCCGGCGGAGTCGACCCAATTGACGACGACGATCATGAGAGCCACGGAGGTGGGGGTTACCTGCTGGCAAGAAGCGATGGAGTATTCGCGGCGTTTCATGGGGGAGACTATTCGGAGGAGGTCTGGGAAAGAGGGGTGGGCGGAGGGGAACTCCAAGAGGAGATCGGCGAAGGTGAGGGTGTCTACTTCTGCCCTCTGTTTGAACTCTTCCGCGCCCTCAGCGCCGCCGAGGGAGAGAAGGTGTTTGCGCTCTTTGTCATCCGTGGCGAAAGCAGCGAGAGATTCATAGAAGCGTTTTGGCGGGCGGCCAAAGATGTCGATGTTGTGAATCAGGGCCTGGTAGACGGTCCGGCATTCTAAGATGGATGGGTCTTCGCGGGAGGGGACCTCGGCAATGGCGTCTTGGTCCAAACCGTAGAGCTTGATGAATTGTTCCACGTCCGCAGGGTTATTTTCAGCATGGATACCAAGCGCTTCACCAAGGTCGTACTTGAGGCCGGAGTCTCCCAAGTCAAACTCGATGTGGAAGATGTTACGATCGTAGGTCTTGGGAGTCAGACGTCGATTCTCGCTGACGTGGATCGTGAAGGTCTTAGCTGCAAGGTCGGGGCGCAGTGCGGACGTGGCCCCATAAGCCTCCTTGAAAACTAAAGCTTTCGCCACATCTTGCCAGTCTCTGAGGATTGAGGGCTCCTCGTCATTCGATTTGTTAAATGAAGTAAAACTAGTGGCGTGAACATCAACGGGAAGTTTGGTTGAAGCGCCGTCTGGATCGTTTTCCGCAGATGATGCCCACGAGCCCGGGATCTCAACCGTCCGGAGAACTGTCTCCAGAATTTCTGTTGCTTTGGAGAGTCCTTCTGTGTCTCCCAGCGCCAAAGCTAGCTTCTTAGCTTCAATAACATCGAGACCGGGTAAGGCAACTCGCAAAAAGGCAGCTTTAAAAATGGCAGTTTCAAAATTAGCCTCTTCGGACGGAGGAATGTCCAGGATAAGAAGTGATATTCCACTTTTCGCAATTGCTAATCTGAATGAATGCGGAAGTTTCTTCTCCAAGTCCTCGTCCTTCAACCCTGAAGATTTGACAATGATCTTTCCCGAATCCTTGGTGCTGCTTGGTATGTCTAGCTCAGATAGGAGCTTGATATCGCCCACATAGACAACATCGGCGGAGTCAATCGCAAAAGGTGCATCAATACTTCGAGGACTCTTCCGGATATCAGTACGGGTAATTCCTCCCTGGACAAGATTATCGTAGAATACGTTCGTGGTAACTTTGCAAGTAGAATCCCTTGCAAAGGCCTGACCAAGAGCAATAGCACCTGCGTTTGTTGCAGAGTCGTCTGTGTCCCAGAAGGTATATTGCTGGACGACGGAAGGGGAGAGCAGCTGCAAAGAATTTGCCGAGATGTCCAGGGCATCTTGGCCACCTTGTAATAGTAGCGGTTCATTTGCAATTTTCTGGAAAGCAGCAGCGATGCTCGCAGGGGTCCATGAATGCGAGGGAGCGTATTTAATATCAACACATTGGGGGACAGTATGGAAGCCACTCCCAAAGGTTAACGCAGCCAGGACGTCCTCGTAGAGTGCAGAGTGTACGCCGTCTTCCTGGACGGCCAAATCAGCCTGAACTTGCCCCAGGACCCCGACGACTTTGGTAGTCTTTGGCAGTGCACCCAAGAATGATTCCTCGACAAATGGCCTGTAAACCCTCACATTGACCACGCCAACACGAGCACCACCCTTGGCGAGGGATGCGGCAATCTGAGAAGCCAACGAGGACTCGACGGTGCCAAAGGATACTAGAACGGAGGTTGCCTCCGGGTGTCCACTGTATTCAAAGGGGCTGTAGCTTGTGCCCAATTGGCCATTAAAGGCCTTGAGCAAGCGCAGCAGTTTGCCCTCAGCATCTAAATGATTACGGTCGGGATCCGAAGCCAATTGCTGCAGCACTTTCTGGTGCACAACACTGAGGCCCGACAGATCGAGGACATCAGCAACCTGGGTGATCTCCCTTCCGACTCTTACACCATCGTAGATATGAATAGTCGGCAGCGTACTGGCCAACAGAGTCGAGAAAAGAGCCATATGCTGAGATTCGTGGGCGGAGAAACTCGCAACCAGGCCCAGACCCAATTCCTCCGCAAGAGCCAGGGAGGCAGTGTAGTCGGCAACAAGACCACCAGCCACACCGCCAGTATAGTCCACCGCGGCAACATGAGCAACAACAGGATTGGCAACCGAATAGAGCAACGAGAGCTGCTCCAGAGCCGGTCGCAGGTACTGCAAGGTAGCAGACGAGGCAATGATCGACTGCGGAATGTGCCGCCTTTTCAGGTCAAAGTCCTTGGAGAAGATGTAGCCCAGAGTAATGGCACCAGCACCTACGCGGGTCTGCATTGACTGGACCGCGGTGGGAGAGCCATTGGCGTTGAGCTGAACCTGAGCCGCCCATTGCTTGACGGCGACGTCCAGGTCGAAAGTATCTGGCGAGTAGGTAAAGAGCTTATCAGAGAGGGCGTAGGCGACCTGTTGAATCAGTGTCTGGGCTGTGAGATATATGGGGCCCCTGATATCTGAGAACTCTGGGGGGATGTCAAAGGGTTGCTGCTGCTGTAGTTGGGGATTGTCTATGGCAGCAAACGACGCTCCCGATGCAGGCTCAACAGACCGCATGATTCAACGAAGAAAAGGGAGGAAAAACAGAAAAGAAAAGAAAAAAACAAAGATTTTATTTATTCTGTACGGAGCAGGTATTCAAAGGCATATATTGAACATAGCAAGATCACAATATCACGCAAGCAACCATAGACACAGCAACGGGGGTGCAGCAGAAGAGAGGAAGAATGGCCGCCAACACAAGAAGAAATATTGACCACGCCCGCCCCGAGACGAGAACGAGAACGAGATGAGCTCATCGTCACCATCGGCCTCGCCATCCTCACCGTCCTCGTCGTCCCACCCTAACCCCGTCCGTCCCCCATCCAGGGCCTCTTTTCCTCTTTTCCCCTGTTTCCTGTGTTTCCTCTCCACGAACAAACTGGAGTAGGGCCACGCTAGCCAAAACGGGCGGGCTAGCCCTAAGCCATCGCTCGATCACGCAATTAAGCGCTGATTCAGGCGGAATGGCGTGATTGCCAGCACCCGGCCCGAGGTTATTCCGGCACAGACTTGGCATGGACTTGGCGTGGACTTGGCGTTTGGACGGCCGCCAAGAAAGTTTTCCTGATTGGGATCTCGGGCCGGTGCCACAAGCGGCAAGTGGGCCACATTCCGGGTTCCAATGCCGTTGATCGACCAATCAGTGACCCAGCGCCAGTATCGATCTGGACGTCGAGAACAACTTGAATCAAGCAGAATATGCACAATTGAAAGAGTATTAATTCATATTACTGATAGATATTGCTGGATATTGATATTAGTGTCATATTGCTGAAGCTTTATATCATTGCTGGATGATCATGTCATCAATAGATCTCCATATCGTCAATAGATATCAGGTAGTCAGGTAGATGAGTGAATGAGTGGGAGAGAGTAATTTATATATCCCACTAACATTAGCACAAAATCCTTATATAACAGCTCCCTATTATAATATAATATATTAATTAAGATACATCATCCAAGGCCTTGAGAAGGGGGTGTAGAAGGCTAGAGATTGCTCCTTATGCATGGAATATAGCTAATAAATTTGATGAAGGAGAGCTGCAGGGATGAGGGGTATGAAGCCAATTATAAGAAGCTAGCAGATACAATTATTAATATATATATGATAAGGAAGTGTGAAATGAGAAATAGCTAGTTATTATAACTAAAGGTTTTACTGCAGCTTGTTGTATACTTGAAATTTGTCAAGTGCGTACTACCGACTCACAGCCCTAGTCCTATCCTATATACAGATTATGAATTGACTGAGAAAGGAAAGAAGGAAAAGGAATCAAAAGAAGGGGTCGTACGAAGAGATAGAAGGATCAAAATGGAAAAAGATCAATGGTTGCGCCATACTTCATGAAGCGCGGAGTGGAAGTACCTTGGGGATTACAATTGTGGTGGAATCTCGAGAAAGAAGTTTTTTGTCAGGGCGCGTGGCTATGTGAGCTGGTGAGTTGGTTGGTGGTGTACTGTAAAATAACCACTAAAAGGTGCTAATGCGTCACAAGATTTGATTTTTATCAAGTACCTAAAGAAGTCTTTCTTCTTTGTAGAAAGCTTTATCACTCTGTATCGCTGACATTTTTATTGATTTGATCAAGAGATGTGCGAATAGTGGAGAAGTGGCTCACCCGGTGAAGTGGCTTGCTTGGTGATAGATTATGTTACTTGAAAGAGAGAATTTGCAGAGGTGGCCGTTTAGTGGAAGTGGAGGCCTACCTAGATAGTGATGAATCGAAAATTAAAAGTTACTTCATCACTTCCAAGGAAACTCAAACCTTGTGGTTTCTCAGCAGCGGAAAGCTTTTCTGGTGTTCCAGTGGAAGGAAGATGCAGGGAACAGCATGTGTTTCTTCTGGAAAATTTGTGGAAAAAATTTTTCAATCAAACTTTAGAACATTGAAGCTAAAAGTGGCTTACAGTGAATGAAATTCTACATGAGATGGCACAGCAAGCCATTATCCAGTTGCTCTTCCTGCTCCCGTACTGCATCAGATTGTAATCAAAGAATGATCAATCAACCCACAAAGTTGAACCTGATACGAATATAAAACTCACGGGTGATCAAACAGCATTTAAGTTTCTGTACAGAGTGCAGAGTCACTTTTGTGCGTTTATATGGAACCAGGCACGTGTCATACTCGATGTTCAAAGCTTGGAAAGTTTGAGGCTCAAATTAAATATTGAGATTTCCATTTCCATTTCCATTTCCAGTGTGTATATTTGTTACCATAATCGTATGTACTGTACATGTACATTGAATACTTTACATCCTTCTTGTCAAATTGAAAGTATTTTTACGCGGGTCTGTTATTTTTGTTGGTGACACACTAAATATTTAGCGCCCTGCCTACTAGCCAAAATAGATTTCGCGGGGTGATTAATATATTACTACAGCGTAAGCTGCGCCGGCTTTCCTTGGATCAATATCTCAATACACAAGGAATTTTTGTATAATAGAAAAGCAGAAGTGGGATATATGCATAATAAGCTGTCTATATCAGATGTCTACTGTCTACCTAGCTAGGAATCACATTCTTTCTAAGCCGAATTCTGCACTCTCTCGTCACCGTCATTCTCCCACCTAGTGGCCGGCTTGAACTCAGAATAAGAACCAATGTTGAGGAATGTGTGGAAACTTTCTAAACTCTGAAATGTCCTACCGAGTGCGTTGGCTGGTGCGCGATGTGCGCAGTCCTACCGCTCACCCACTACAGTATGTCCTGCGTTCTGCTTAAAAACTCCGTCAGTTCCCTCGTTTCCTCCAACTCCTTACCACCTCGCAACGTCTCGCAATACTTCCTTCGATCAGCTCCCTTTCGCTATAAACGTCTCTATCGTTTAATACAAGTTTTACCATCGCTTCATACCACGAAAAATTTCGCGTTCGTATAGCCAACCGCAAACTTCAGAAATCTATCCGGAGGTGAGTTCTTCGTAACTGCCCTTTTTTCTCCTCCCTCTCCGCCGTAGTTGTCGTGCTTTTCCTGTAATCTTTTTGTTGTTGGCCATATTGGTAAGTATATCCATCCTCTATCCGTTGCTGACGGCTAGTTTCCAGCGCTGCTTGATACCATGGCTTCAAGTGACCTTACATGGACCTCTGACGTGAACCGCGTCGAGGCTCCCATGACAGCCCGTGCATATATTCTGTGCGCATTCGCGTCTTTTGGAGGTATTCTCTTCGGTTATGACTCCGGTTACATCAACGGAGTCCTCGGCATGTCCTTTTTCAAGCAAGCCTTTGGCCATCCAGTGTCCCTGGCTATTGACCCGACTGGATTCAACATTGCAACCTGGCAAAAGTCTCTTATTGTGTCTGTCCTCTCCCTTGGAACGTTTGTGGGAGCTCTTGTTTCCGGGTCGATAGCTGAGGTCCTCGGTCGCCGCTATACCATTATGCTCTCCAGCTTGTTGTTTTCAGTTGGCGTGGCAATCCAGGTTGGCGCAAGCAAAGTTAATGATCTCGTTGGCGGGCGGCTAGTTGCTGGGCTTGGGGTTGGTGGCATATCTTCTGTCGTGATCCTGTACGTCTCTGAAATTGCTCCTAAGAGGTTTCGAGGTGCCATGGTCTCCGTCTATCAGTGGGCTATCACTATTGGTCTCCTCATCTCCGCCTGTGTCAGCAAAGCAACAGAAAAGCTTGACACATCTGCATCCTACCGCATTCCTATTGCAATCCAGCTTGTTTGGTCCCTTATCCTTGGTCTGGGCCTCTACTTTCTCCCAGAATCCCCGCGTTACTATGTTAAAAAAAATAGGCTGGACGCAGCTGCCGGTTCTCTCTCTCGCATCCGTGGACAACATGTCGACTCAGACTACGTGAAAACAGAGCTAGCTGAAATTATCGCCAACTTCGAATACGAGTCTAGAGTCAGGAGCACCAGTTGGCTCGACTGTTTCAAAGGTGGTCTTTCTCCCAGTGGAAATCTCCGTCGCGTAATCCTGGGCACTGCGTTACAGATGTTCCAGCAGCTAACTGGAGTTAACTTTATTTTCTGTAAGTTTTACGTCCCTGTTATGCTATCAATGAATCTGAACAGAAATGCTGACACATCTTCCCAATTACAGACTACGGTATGCCCTCTAAACCAATGGAGAGCTGGAAAAAGCTCGCATGATAAACTAACAGTCTCTGACAGGAACCACCTTCTTCCAGCAAAGCGGGCTGCAAAACCCCTTCTTGATTTCCATCATCACCAACGTTGTCAATGTTGCATCCACCCCGGCCTCTTTTTACATTATCGAACGCTTCGGCCGTCGAAGTCTCCTTATCTACGGAGCAATGGCCATGCTTGTTTGTGAATTCATCATTGCCGCTGTTGGGACTGCTCTCCCAGGCTCGAACGCAGCTTCCATGTGCCTGATCGTTTTCGTCTGCCTCTACATCTGCGGATTTGCTTCCACCTGGGGACCAGGAGCGTGGGTGTTAATCGGAGAGATATTCCCTCTTCCCATCCGCGCACGAGGCGTCGCTCTTTCCACTGCATCTAACTGGCTTTGGAACTATGTAAGTGCCATTTTAATCATTTCATCCTCTCCCCCATCCAACCGTTTCTCCCTACGTAAAACACACACCGCAGCCGCACACATAAAACGACCAAAGTAAAACTAACCCTAAACACTCAGATCCTCGCCCTTATCACTCCCTATCTCGTCGACTCTGAGAAGGCAAATCTGGGCTCCAAAGTCTTCTTCATCTGGGGCACAACCTGCACTCTCTCCATGCTCTTTTCCTATTTCTTCGTCTACGAGACAAAGGGGTTGTCACTCGAGCAAGTTGATCGCCTGTTCGACGAGAGCAGCCCCAAGAAAAGCAGCAAGTGGGAACCCCACGAAACTTTTGCTACCCGCATGGGTTTGGCTTCACCTGAAGCTGTAGTCCGAGAAGAGTCAATGACTAAGGTTGAGACTAGCACTGTTTAGGTCTATTCAGCTATAAAAGAAAAGAACAGAAAAGAGAAGAGAAGAGAAGAGAAGAGAAGAGAAGACAGAAAGAAACTCCACACCTGTCTAATCGATTTTGTTTGTTTTTTTTTTAATTTCTGCTTTTCTGCTACTTTACTTTTTCACCCTTTTCACATTTCTATTTTTGTTATTTTCTTTTATATTTGCTTTATGTCATTCTATTGCTGCTACTTTTCCCTCCCCACTTCCTCCTAAATTGATAAATTGGAAGTGACACACCAGATTGATATGAATTTGTTCGGCTTCCTGTTTTTGTCAACGTCCAGTTCTTGTGCCTATATTTTCTGCTCTGGTTTTATTCGGGCTCCCTTTCCTTAATCCTATTCCTGTTCCTTATCACGATTCATATTGCCCATCGATCCTGATCTTATCTGTCTCAGTTATCGGTGGTGCGCCCCAAAAGCAAGTCCATTTTTTGTATGCTTGTACGCACACACGAATGTACGCATGTACGCATGTTCTCTCTTTTGTTTTACAGGTTGCGATCTATTGTGGCCATTACCCATCCTCTTTTATACTTATGCAACACGTCTCTTGCTTCCCTGTCTCTACAAGCCCATTGGAAGGGCAGGGGCTGGGACAAGAGAGAATGGTTGAAAGTATGCGAGATCCACAGCCGTTATTTGTATTTATATTTTGTTTGCCTTTTGCTTGATCCTAACCTGATATTATTAAATGGTGTGGTTGTTTGACGAAGAAATATGTATTTTAGTCTAGATATCAACGAAAACCCAAAAAAAGGCAAAAAGAAAAAAAAGAAAAAAATATAAATAACATTTTGTTATTTATGATACTTTCCGGTGTGATTACACCAGCAGCCATGGTGACCTTAGCATACGCAGTAGATGTAATGGACTTTTTAAGAAGTTGAGCCGTTTTTTTTTTTTTTTTTTTTTTTTAAAAAAAAAAGTAAAAAAAAAAAAAAAAAAAAAAAAACGAACAAAAATCTGTATTCCGTCGCCAGCGATATCTAAACGATTCTATATTATCCAGCCCACGATGTTTCTCTATAAATACAACAATAACTAAACCGCCCAGCAAATATCCCATCCCAGCTACACCCTACCTCACCTCAACGCTCCCTCCTGCTCTCCCTTCACGTTCCGCGCTCTCCACCAACCCAACGCAAACATCATGGACATCATCCCCAGCCCGCCAAGTCATCAGCAAAACCCCTTGCCTGTCCAAAATCTCCTTCGCCCGTGCCCAGCGTCGCTTCCACATGTCTTCGCGCTTATTGAACGTCATTGGCGCTGCTGCGGCCCCGGGACCAGGTGTAACTGAAGAGGAGGATGTCGACGAGTTTGGGTATGGGGAAGGGGAGGACGACGGTTGGGATAGTTGTGAGGGTATATTGGTGGTTGAGCGTGCAAGACGCGGCGGGGTGGTTGATACGGTGGAGGAAGACGGGGGTTGGGAGAGCGTTGTGTTACTCATTCGCAGATCCTGAGCGGCGCCCGAGGGATTCTGGGCGGTTCGGTTCATTGATGAGGTTTGTTTTATAAGGGATTGGGTTGTACTGCGCCGGGGTGGGGGGACTGGTGGGGGTGGCTCTTTGGTTGTTGGACGTGAGGATGAGGTTTGATGAGTTGACGAAGGCGTGTGGGTGGCGGCGGCGGTGGTGGGAATACTCTCCCATTGCGGTCGTGCTGACGGGAGCTGGTCGTGCATATTTGCAGCCTTATCTGGGACAGTAGATTTGTAGCTCTCCTCGTTTCTATTATTACTATCATTATTGACCGGGGGTTCGTTGGTTGAGAAACGGCTAATCACTTGCGGGCCAATATGAGCTAGCGTTTGTGTTGAACGGATGGGCAGAGTAGGGCGTTCAGCTTGTCCCTGCGGTTGTGAAGAGGATAACCTTGTGGGCTTTGCTGGGAGGGGTGGCGCTGGCTTCCGTCGAATGCTGGACGACACTGTGTCCACATTGCTGTCTCTATATCCTTCGACAGCCCCACTACGAAGAACAGCTGGTTTGGAAGGCCTTATGGGAGGTATTTGCCGACTTTCAGATGTACCATTAGAAGGCTCCTTGTTATCCATCCATGAAAGCTCTTCTCCAGCACTTAAATCAACATCACCCGAAGCTTTCTGACTAGGATAGTTGCGGGGTGGCAAAATGGGTGGGAGCGTTTCCTGATCTCCCAAACGTTCTGGAGGGGGAGGCCCATGTGTGGGAGTTCGAGTCGGCGGCCTTTCAAATTGGGTAACCGATGTATCGAAAAATTTATGGGACGGAGACGTTGTCACATCTCTAATGAATATCGCGAGTATTCTACCTGGATTAGCAAGTGCTAATTCTGTGTAGACTTCCAGGTCTGCCTCTCCACTATCGCCTACAAGGATGAACCTGCGGTTGGGAAAGTCAAGCATGATGCTTTCTAATATCGGCCTCTTTTTCTCCGCTGCAGGTTCGAAGATACCTTGAAGCATCCCTGAGTACTGTTTCAAATGAAACGATCCGGGTGGTAGACCGGCCACCCTAAAAAATTTCTGAAGTAAGGGATACAGTTGCCATGGGGAATTCGAAACGTAATGAATCTTCACACCCATCTCAGTTAATTTTGAATACCATTCTTTCACACCCAGCACGGTAAGGTCTTCAAGGTTGCGAACGAATGTATTTCGGAAGATCTCTCTCGTGCCGCTTGCGATTGCGGAGTGCTTAATGGTATCATCAATGTCACTGATCAAACTAATTCCCGTTGGTTCGGTGATCGTAATCTCTTCCGAAGCGGATAAATTCTCTGAAGCTAGCACCCTGATGTGGGTGGGGACAAAATCGAGGGCGGCACGAACCGAGAAGTGGCCTCCATCATTCGTCGAAACCGTCCTTGACTGGCTGTTCTTTTGGTCATAAAAGAAAACCGTAATGGGAATGCTGACAGTAGGATGTGCCAAAAAAGGTTGAAGCCGTTCCAGAAGCCTGGCGTTCGCAGCGGCTATCTCCTCTGGACTGTTATAAGATGAACTTTGATCACCCTCGGGTCTGGAAAATATCCCTTCCAGTCTAGCATTAGCCCGCCACTCAGGGTCCGCGTTACTCTCGGCCAAATGAATAATAGATTGCTCTTGTTTATCGACAACTGCTTCCTCATTCAAGGAAGCCGACGATGGCCTGTTCTCTGTAGACACTGTATGTGGAGCCGGTATCCCACTCAGCCGTCGAGCAAGGGCAATCAGAATACGATTTTTCCGACTCATTGGCTCAATGTGAGGCGTATATATCCACCCTCTCACATCGACATCCACAATCGCATTATCATGCTCATATCTCTCCCACTCCGTTCTCCAAAACTCCATATTCCCCATCGACTGCGGATCATCAGGGTAAGTCTGCGATTCCAGCGCCAATTCCCTATAATCCACCTTAGGCTCCTTCCTCACATGTCTCTTCGCGTAACTGGGGAATAAAACCATTTCCTCATCCGCAAGTCTCGTTGTCCCGAGCTCTGGGAACCCACCTGGAGTGTCGCATATATCGTAATCATAATCCTGGGTCTTTTGCGCCCACTGAGCTGAATAGGCCTGCCGCAGCTCGTTCGCCGCTTTCAAATACCCATAAACTTTCCTCCTGCGTGTTCCCCGCTCGCGACCGCCACCATCTTGTCCGGATCCATAATCATATACTGGGCCCACGTCATTTGTAGAATCTGTCCCGTACCGGCCCAAAGACCCTGACTGAGATGTTTTCATCTGGCCAGAACTTCCTGCATCTTTCAAGCGCCTGTCAACGGCGCCTAGTACAGAGCTACGTCTCTGATAATTAAATGTGAAGTGAGACTGGCTCGCGGTTGTCCCTCTAATTCTATGCGGAAACTTGAGACCTTTCCTACTCCTTGCTTTGGAAAACAAATACGATAGCAATCCAGTCTTCCTTCTATTGTCTGCAGTAATAGCAACAGGGACAGATGCACAGTGGTACCTGGATTGACGGGGATGTGGTCGATTTTTCGCACGCTGCCTGTCGACAATTGCCCGATAGATGCGTAAATGTGTCTGCTGTCGGAAGGCCGGGAGGATATCGTGGCGAAAGTCTGTGAATCTGGTTCGAAGACGTTGGCGAGTGTGCGGGAGGATAAAGCGGAGGTAGTTAAGAGTGGTGCGGAGTCGGAGGACAGGGTTGAGGGAGCGAGGTGGCGGACGGGTAGAAGGTGGGCGAGCCAGCGCGTGGGTACGTTTCGAGGAAGTGTTTGGAGTTAATAAGGATTAATTTCGATGCTTGTAAGTACTTGGTGACGTGCGCTGTTGGATATTGGATATTGGATATTGGATGTTGGATGTTGGATGTTGGATGTTGGATGTTGGATGGTTTGGTTACTATGTATTTATTCAGCGGCGCTGGGGCGCTCTGGCCTTCGCAAATGACAAGGGAAATTCTTTAAAGCTGAGCGGAGTAAAATTAGAAATAACCAGATAAGTTATAAAAATAGAAAAACTATATGGAACTGATCCGACGCCTTGCAATGTCCCAACGAGAGTTTTTCCGGCCGAAAATATATGCGGACGATTGCCTTGGTTGTCTCCAAACCTGATCGGAGCTGCTGGTCCCTACTATCTCCACAAGCAAATGGCTTTGGAAAAGCTTCGTCTGCGGATATTTGTGCACTGTTTTGGAGCCTTTTTCTCCTTATAGCCGTGGGTAGTTTGCATTTTCACCTGGTTAACTGACCAGTGCATCCATGAGGTGGGAATCACAGAACATATTCCCTAATACCATTCATCGGATTTTCCCTTTGGAGAATCGAGGCGAATTCAATGGGCTTATGAGACATGGTGAGGATGAAGTCAACCGTAAGGTCCTTGGATTTCTTTGGGATGATCGGTGGCCGGATTGAAATCATTACCGCCAACAGAGCATAGCACAGCATGAACAACACTGCTTAGGAGTTGGATTGGTTACAGGTACCACCGCTCAGAATGGTCGTATAGAAAGCTGTCGCATTGTTCACAAAATCGCGGTGGCTGGCCTACGAACCTACGATAGAATGCCTACAAGAATACCAGTACGGCTGGCGATAAAGTCAATTATATATCTAGCACAGTTTGGCTTGCAGACTTAGCTTCTGATTTTAGCCCTCGTGGCCGTCTTGACAATGCGACCGCGACGAGTCGTTAGAAGATAGACGCTTAGATAGAGGAATAAGCTTTGATAATATGGAGTGCACAGACGGATATAGGGTATGAAATGGAGGAATGGAGTTGATAAACTAGGGTGGGCGGGTAGGAATGAGAAGGAGAGGGCACGGCGGGGCAGGGTTGGGATCTATATTAACGAGATAGGAATAGAGACCTCTCCTGCGTACTCAAAAATTTGTATTATTTTTATACAATACTACCTTCTTTGCCTCCGGATATACTCCGTTTAACGCCTTCCATTTCGCCATTGGCCTTGATGTTCAAGTCCCTTCTTTATTACTACACTACTCCCAACGCCCCAACGCAAGAATAGAACCCATCCGCGGAATCCAAGATGTCAGGCAGAGACCTCTTCCGCATAATTTACCTTCCTCCCCCTAGTTCTTCCCGAAACACGGGTAGCCGGAGCCTCCTTTTCCGTAGCAGCCGGGCCAGCAGCGATTTCATTCTGGTTGCTACCGCTACCGCTACCGCTAGAGGATAACGTAGCCATCTTTCCAGGCCTCGGCCGTTTCGACGCTGCGAGTTTCCCTGCGATGGACTTTGCAGCCGCCGCAGCATCTTTATTTTTGCTCGGTCTTCCCCTTTTCCGCGGCGTCGTCGGGGTCGAAGTAAGCAGTGCGCTGGTGCCGCTACTACTTTGAGCCACGATAGTCTCCGCAATATCAGCTTTGGACGCACGCTTGACCGGCTGCAACCACTGGTCCATGCCGGGAGGCCAGTAGACACGGCCTTCTGGTCCACCCATGCCAACTTCTTCTTCCGGAATGAGCGTCGAGGTGGTGTCGTCGCTATCACCAACATCATTGTTATGATCTGATGCAACAGGATCTTGCTGCTTAGAGGGCGACGAGGACGACTTCTTCACTGTTGTTGTCGCCTTTTTCGTCTTCTTCTTACTGCACCCCCGAAATTTATTATCATCGGAGCGCGTGAAGGGTATAATGTCGTTAATTTTCTCAAAGCCCGGAAGTTTATAAGTCCTCATAAGTTCAAAGACAGCTTGTTCTTTATCCTTAGCCTCAATCATGAGATCCATAGTGGGATCGCAAGGGGGTAGCATCTGGACGCGCGAGCTATGTTTTCGTCGCTGCTTTTTTGTTAGAGCGGACGGCGTTTGCTCCGAATAATGCATTTTCTGCGTGATTCCCTTTCTGGCCCAAGTAGCGGCGATGCGGTCGTAGAGGGTCATGATATCCAGGGTCCCCTCGCGGACCTTGTCTGCAGCGAAGTTGATATTGTGATGGTGGTAGTCGAGCACAAGAGGGATATTCAGCTCCTCGCAGATGGGCAACAGGTCGTGCACAGTCCAGCTCACATCGTCGTTCTCCAAAACGAGGCGATTCTTGATATCACCCGATAGCGTCCTGTAAGTCTTCCGGAAACGATCAAGGGTAGCTTGCTTGTCGCCAAAGACACCGCCCATATGTAAAATCATCACGGCATCCCGGTCCTGCTGAGGTGGCAGTTTCAATAACCGTAACATTTCAGCATGATATTCAAGATCTCGGACGGAGTTTTCGGTAACACTTGGTCGCGGCGAAGACAATTGCGTAAACTTTTTTTTTTTTTCAACAATCAATGTCAATACACTTTGAGAAGAAAGAACATGTGGGGAACAGAGATATCGCACCTGACCCGGATGAACAGTCAACCGGTGGCCCAACTCGGCCGCAATTCTCCCCGCCTCCGCTAGGACATCAGATGCGAAAGGCTCCAATCTATACCCATGCTCCACATGACTTGCGAAGGGAAACATCTCGCTCGAAAGCCGCATAAATTTAATCCCATAGCGCTCATTCCAGCGGAGCATTTTCACAATATCGCGTGCATTCGCGAGACCCAGTGACTGCACATATGCTAGCCCGCGCTCGATATCAGGCGGTTGCTGGAGATCGGGGCGGTTTTTGGTCCGGTGGGCCGGCTGGGTGGGGTCTTGGAGCGGATGGCGGTTTTCGAGGATTGAGGAGATGCGACAGGTGCGAGCGCAGAAGACGGGCGGGTTGGAGGTGCGCAAGTATGTGTTTAGGCAGGCCTGGGATTGGCTCTAAACTAAGTAGCTTTTTCTTTATATAATTAAAAGAAAATATATGGTTAACTTACATATCCCAATCGGCCTCTCCATGGAAGGGGTAGGTAGTTGCTGTTAACCGGCGGTGGTCGCGATGCCGCCTCCTTGATGTCCTTTATGTCAACGGGGATATCGACATCAGCTTCTGGGTCGAGGACTCCAGCAAGTGGTGTTTCGATATCAAATGGTGCATTGGAGAGTGACGAGTATGCCAGAGTCTCTTCAATGGTATCAAGCGGGACTTGAGAAGCTGGTGCTGGTTGCGCAATCCCGGCTGTGCGACTCGTCGTATGTAGCATAGAAGAGTTCATTCCCGGCGCAGTAACCATCAAGGCGGCTGAGTTTTTGCGCAAATTTGGTGTGCGTGACACATAGTGAAAAGTCTGCGATGATTGCACTGGGAGGCCATTTATGGTTGGTTGCAAGAGGGCTTGTTTTGCGCTATGTCGGCAGGGAGAAGCAGGCAGGGGGAGCCGCCCAATGAGGACGGTAATCTTAATCGCATACTTTGAATGCAGGACAACAGGCCCTGACATCATACAAGGATGAATGGTACTTGACGTCACGTCGTGGGCATGTTCGTCGCATGTTGACGTCGGATTTGCCCCAGAGTGGGTGATGTGGGAGGTTTAAAAGCGCCAAATCGCGAGATAAGGTTGCGGCGGGTTGGCGCCAGCCCGGCAATAGACGCGCCAACCGACCACGAGATTTAGATAGGCAAAGGTGGATTCCGCGATACACCTAGTTCAAGTCTGTGGAATACATAGAGTAATCTGATACAGCAGCCTATTCGATTGGAAATTGATGTGGGGAATTAAGATGTACCGAACAGTGGGCTCTAAGGCACTGTCAAGATGATTTCGTATGCTATGTATGTATCCTCATCACCATACTGCTCAATGTGCTTCTCCTTAGTGCGATTTACGTTGAAGCATCCTAGTCCGTAAATGATTTCCCTATCGTGGCAAAATTCAGGCGTTCTTCCAGTGTGGCCGGCCATAAACATTACTAGCTGCCATCGCACGGTACGATTGAAGATGTGGGAAGTTCACAGCAACCATTTGAACAAGCCGAATACCGAGTATAAATGAAATGAATGTTACGTTCTTTACTCGTCTAAGAGTGTTCCCTATCCCGATGGACCAAGTTTATCCATCTGCCCCTTCCATCCCCTTCCTGTGTCAAATAGACCTGCAACCACAGTGCATCCCCGGCCTCAACGGTACACGTCGCCAGCATTCCCTCAGGAAAACCCCGAGGCTAGCGCATCAAGCGATATCCTGAGAAGCAACAAACGGGATCAACCAGCCCGTCTGTTTTGCGGATGCGGATGTAACTCTGGTTCCAAAGCCGACGAAAACTGACGCATGTCAAGTTCAAAACCGACCCGGGACATATTGTCGAACGGTGTCACTGCTTTTTCACTTCCTCGCCAGGCCGTTGTTCATTTGGAGCAGTGCAGTATTGTCCCAAACTAGCCAGAGGCCTTCGAGCTGTTCAATAAAAGGAAAATATTCGTAGTTCAACCACTGCACCCGTTTGTAGATTTCCTTCCTCTCTCTCTATTTTCTTTTCTGGTTTCTTTTCCGCACAAGGTTAGACCTGACATCAGTAGTCAGATTGACCAAGGGCGGGTAGATCCGTCCGGGCGTCAAGTGCGGGTATTCGGGTGGAGGATCCATGATGTCCCGGCTTTGTTGAAAACATTGTTCATCGCCGAAATGTCTACACAGGGGAAAGCCTTATCGAAAATAGATGAATTCCATCGCTACTTGTCACTGAAAACATCAATGATATTCTCATTTGATCTAACAGTCGGGAAGTCTTGGGATGGAAAAAAGGTATCGTGAATGAAACTCTGCACGTAGTTAGCATAAGAGCGCATTAAAATGTAAAGTCTGCATTGGCCCGATGTACGCGTAGTAGAGAGTTTAATGATGGCTGTTTCGATAATGATGCGCAAGGATATATAAATAGCTCTATGTCTCATATTCCTTCCGAAAAATCGGAAATTTGCTATAAGCGCGTTCAGAAGCACCAGCGCCAGCACCAGCAAGCATTGCTTGTTGTCTGATCGTCATTTCCCGGTCTCATTATTTTACCTCCCCGGCAAAAACGAGTTTCAGCATTGCTGTTCTCCCTTCCCTTTGCTTGAGCTTTGTCGGGCTTATTTGTGTTGGCGCGGCATTTTTTGTCCGTCATTTTGATTGTCATTGTTGGCTGGGAAGGGTTCGGAAATCCAAAACTTCTTTCCTCAATTCCGTTTAACCGAATATATTTGCGCACAATAATAACTCGAAGTCTACGCAATTTTAGCTCTTTAATTCTGATCCATATAGTTAATCAACCCGATTTCTCAGCCAGTCAGAGATGCAGTGGCACTGGCAGCCTTGCAGGTATGTATGTATGTCCGGTACATATTGGAGGTTCTATGCTGTAGAAGACGAGGTGGACACAAAGAGCCGAGTCAGCATAAAAGCCCCCGTTTATTGGGTAGAGAACGTCCCACGCAGGAAGCGGGATCCTGTAGACCGTAGAGGCAGGCCAGAACTTCTGGATGATTAATTGTCTTGTGGAGAGGAGCCATTCGACGGGTGTGGCCGTGCGTGCTGTATACATATCGAGAACCAGGGATAAGAAATGGATGCGTATGCATACTAGTAATCCATGATGGGTAAGTTCCTGCTGGCCGTGGTGCCTCATAAATGTGCCAGACCAACTTATTGCAAACAAGGAGTACTAGTATACGCAAGCAGACGGGGAGTGAAGCAGCAATATGAAGCTGATCATCGTCAAAAGATCAGGATGGATAACGATCACAGGATCCATGGATAAGGACCAGCATCAGGTGACTGCCGGGGGATCTGATCTTACCATACATTACACGATGCGGCCAGCCAATCGATGCGGCCAACACCAACCTGCCGCCCAGGCCTGTACCGATGGGTTACCTGGGCGTTACCGTACCGCTGTGTCAGCCGCGGGTCTTATTAATAACTATTGCTCTCCTCGCCGAACCAACATCCTCCTTTTGTCCTGGAGACCTGTTGGAGACAAGCAAGGCAACCCTCTCGCCCGTCCCGTTCTTGGTCTGCTGCTCATCCGCGTGCGTCCCTTGTCGCGCTTTCATGGCTGGCCACCGGACGTGATCATCTTGCATGCCAGTTGGTTTGGTTGGTGGCCCTCTCCTCGAGTCTCACTCAACACCACTCCCTCTCTGTGGTCTTCCTCCTCTTACCCTCATCCTCGCCTCCCATCTGCTTCAGGACACTATCTTGAATACCCAGCAGGCTGCTGGCAAATACCGAAGACGTAGACTTGAAAAACTCCAAACGGGCGAATGTTTGAGGATCGTGGTCGTTGTTGAGATTTTGCCGTTTAATTCGTGGTGCCCGATCCCACTAGCCGGTCTTCCCTTATTTACATCGAGCATGCATTCGTGGTGTGCAACTTTTGGCTCACGGCGATCCTCCTAATCACCGGTTGCTTCGTCTCGCTCGTTATATTTCCCCCTCAAAGTATCATGTCTTCTTCTCTGCTGGCCCCAGAGGACATCATGCTTCCTCCCAGTCCTCCGGAGTATGCAGATGAATACGCGGAAGAGCCCACTACGACCTGCACAGTTCCGTCAACATTCAAAAGCAGAGAAACAGGAGCGGATGTCCGTAACGGTGCTACCACAGCCGCTCCCGCGAAGATGACGCACTTGATAATGCAGCCAACTCTAAATCTAATCCCTAAACCCTACTCCTCCCTCAGCAAAACACACCTTCGCTCCCGGTCTCTGGCGAGTCCAGCAGCTCCATCTATGGCCAGAGCTCACTCCTCGCCCGGACCGGACTCGCGTGGTCGATATGCATTTACTGGAAACCCTGGGGGGTCCCCCAGTCTTCACGACTCGTCGTTGAGACGTCAAAGTCCTCTCCGCGTTTCGGTGGAAGACAGTCTATACCCAAGCATCAGCACGCGACATATATCGGAACCCATAGCTGAACATCCAGAGCTTCAGGACACCCCTAGATCGAGAAAGGTGCAATTGGATGTGTCCTCCCACTCGCCGTTATCGCCTGGCACTCTCGGGACCTTTCCCCGCACAACTCGCCGACGGCCATCGTCACCCCTCTACCCAAGCAACAGCAGTCCCATCTCTGCCCAAGCGTCGCCAATAGTGTTTCCTGCGAAATTCAACGAATCTTACCCATCCTACTCCTTCTCCTCCACTTCCTCAATGCCGTCAACACCATCGAGTATACGCTCGCGCAGCCCCAGTATATCATCTCTGGAGACCATCCCAGATATCCCCGACGCAGAAGCCGCAGCCATCGAAGCCGATCAAATTGCCATGCTGAAAGCTGCAGCAGATCGAGCCGACGAAGCAGCCGCCGCCAACAAGGATTTCAATCGACGGCGAAGCGCTATTGATGTTTCTGGCTCGTCGAGTCCGTTGGGTAATTCGCGATTTGGGGGACTAGGTTCCTACGGTGGTACTAGGGCAGATAAGCGAAAACGCTGGAGTGTGTGCGGGGCGGAGGGGAGGCAAGATCTGGATCTTGAAACGATTTGGGAGGATTGAAGGAGTGATTGGTGATAAATAGCCCGTTCGCTACGTAGTTGCTCCAATACCCCATTAAGCATTCCTCATGCGAGCACCATACAGTTTCTCCGTCTCATTTTTCCTTCTCTACATTTCCCCTCATCTTCTTCGATTGTTATCAGGCTGTTCATTTACATTTTTGTAACAATACCACTCTGTCCAATTTTTGCAGTCATGCTTTACCTCATCATGGAAACCAGTTCACTTGGCGTTGGTTGAGCAGGACTTGCGATACCCTGTTCTGTTTTCTCTCTCTTTCTTATTTCTCGATGTGAATTCTTCCGCTCTATAAGCCCAATGCCACATATATCAACACATTTCCTGTCTTACGTGACCGCTGAACTTAAATTTCCGGAAGACGGGGATCCCGCCATTCATTCAACCATCTACGACATCTTACCTCTCATACGAAACCCAGAGTTCGATTTTACCATTTCCTCTTTTCCAATCCAATCTCTGCTTTTCCCGGGGGTTCAGTCGGCCGGGCGTATGGTGTCTTTCAAGTTCTTTGCGGTCCTATTTATTAACTGTTCTTTTTTTTATTTAATGTTTTTTTCTTATTGCGAAATATGAATCTGAAGACGAGATTCGGCGTTTAGCTACCCGAGTAACTTTCTTTTCTCATTCTTTTTTACCGTCAAGTACAGAATTACGAGACTTACATCTATCTCTCTCTATCTAGCTTCATGCATTATCTCAGATTTTCACAAAGGGTTGCCGACCTACCTCCAGAACTATACATGTCTTAGCGACGCACCAGCCGAAGACGAGTAAAGAAAGATAAGATACGAATTACAATTCGTAGGGCAACCGCGGTAGGATGTTGCTATTTAAATTGCTAACCCTCGTGCCAATGAGGGCGAAGAAGAAGTTTTCAAAGCTCTCTTAAAAATGCGTAAAAAAATATGTATAGTTAGTTAGTTAGTCCGGTCTCTATCCAATAGCCAGAGATATATGGATCTGTATATGTATCGCCCATGACTCCATGAGTAATTAATTAATTATATGAGAAAGAAAGAAAACAAACATGCGGAAAAGGAAAATACACCTAACCCATCGATCTCATCCCCCGGGTAATTCGCCATTATACAAACTTGGACATAATCCACACTCAAAAATAAAATTCATCCATTCATACGCAATCCGTTCCTCCAGGGCCCCGCTCCCCGCGTGTCCCAACACTACTACTAGTAGTAATAGTAGTAGTAGAAGTAGTAGTAGTAGCACCAGTACCAGTACCGGCCGCACCAGCCAAGAACTCACAAATGCGTCCGGCAACCGCTTCCCCACTCCAATACGCCCCCGACGTGGTCCCCAGCCCCACAAACGGCGCCGTATGCTCGCCCGCAAACCACACCCCGCGCTCGACACCCATGCCCTCGCGCATGACCTCGATGTCGCGATCACCCGCCTCCAGCCCGACCTGGAAATTCGAGTAGCTGCCGTTCCCCGCCCAGGGGTCGCGTTGCCACTGCGTGGCGAGGATGGCGGTTGGGCGGCAATTCGGCGACGATGGGTCGTACCCTGGGAGGCGGGAATAGAAGGGGTGCAGGAACGTGTTGATGGTGTCGTGGTATTCCTTTGAGGAGGGGGGAAGGGCGTGGATTTGGGAAATGAGGTCGGTGGCGGAGGGGCCGTACAGGTAGAAGAGGAGGGTTGGGTGGGCGCAGGGGCCCGGGAGGGCGGAGAGGGAGACGCACTGTTGGTTCCAGAAGGGGGTGGTTGGGTGGTTGGTGTAGGAGGGCGTGAGGAATTCGGTGAACGTGGAGACTTCAGGAGGTGAGGTTTGGGAATTTTGCTGGAGGTCAGAAAGAGGGTGTTTTGTGCTGGTGCTGTGCCCTGTGTTTGGTGCTTGCTCCCAGAAGGCGGAGGGAAAGTGGATGTAGACCTTTTCTAGTTGGCCGTATGAAATGTTGTCGATGGCTTTGGAGAGATGGGTTGGCAGGGATGGCTGGAAGGTAGTTTTGTTTTGTTTTAGCCAGCCTAGGGGAAATGTGGTGACCAACTCATCGAATAGATATTGGGACCCTGTTGAGGCTGTAACTCTGACTTGATGGTTCGTTCCGGAAACTCGGGGGTTTGCTTCGATTTTGATAACTGGTTCATTCAGGTGGATTTCAGCTCGTTTGAGGGCGGCTGCGGCGACTGAGTCGACGATTTTCTTATATGTGGATGCCACGAAAAGATTGTCTGGGAGACGGAGTCAGCTCGAACGTTTTGGCAGGATATAGGGGTATTGGTAGGGGGTGAGGGACATACCCCCATCTAAACACTCTTCTAGAAAAAAGAACCTCAAGCTTTGCCGATCAATGGGAGATCCAATGTATGAACCCCATATTTTTGACAATTCAATGCACTTTTCCTTCTCAACCTCGGAAAACTCGGCCTTTCCCAACTGCTCCTTGATAAAATCGAAGAGGCTTTTGCCCGGAGGGATTCTGTCTTTGTTAAGACGGCTATATTCAAACGCGTCATCTATCGTCGTCCATATGAAGTCTGAAATCCTTCCAACCAAACCCTCGTCAAGAGGCTCTCCAGACGTATCAATAACATTCTGCAAACCGCCCCATGCATGGGTAATAGTTTTTGAGCCGTTACTGAGATCCAGGATGGGATTGTTCTGTGCCCCATGTATCCAGTTCGGGCCTCTGTAGCCATACGTTAGTTTAATTGGTTAATATTGCAAGAAACAAACACTGCTTTCACTCTTACACATCTACCTTAAACCCGCCAACGTCGCTTTGGCATACCTAGTAAATAAATAGAAGATCAGACAGTAGTACATCAGCAATCCCAGCTGTGAAATCAGGAAGAAATGGAAAATATGAAAAAAATATGAAAAATATTTTCATACGCGACCGCCAATTCGATCCCTAGCTTCAAGGATTGTTACTCGAAAGCCACGATCAAGTAAAACATCCGCACACCTCAAGCCCGCTAGGCCGGCACCGACTATTCCCACGTGTGGGGTCCTGTGCATGGTGGAGGGGCCGGTGAAACCTGTTCTATGTTTAAGCCGACCGGTTGTCGAGTGCAGGCTAGGGAAGACCGGAAGATCCAAGGCTAGAGGCGATATCTGGAGCCATTTTGAGGATTTTGCTAGGCCGTTAGCTCTGCATTCCATGGTAGTAGGAGTAGTAACTTGTGAGTACAGGATCAGGAGCAATAAGGTGAATAATATATCAGAATGGGCATGTGTTGGAGAGCCAGCCCCCGTCTGCAAACGGCGTGACAGGATCTTTCAAACGCAAGAGGATAGAGACTGGAATAGATAGATACAGGTGCAACAAAGCTGGAAAGGCGAGTCTGCAGCCGTATTTATTGGGGCACCCATCACGTCCACGGCAAAGCAAGAGTGAGCCGGCTAGAACCTCAACAGCTCGGGTTCCACGGCGCCGCCAATGAGAGCTTTCATGATGCGCACATCAGATGACCATGAGGGCGAACAGCATAGGACAAGTAGCCCAAATATTGAGCTGCCGACCACAAATCCAGTCGGGTTTGAAACCATCTGTGGGCGCTACTTACAGGAACAGGGCAAAGTCTCGCCGGCGGCAACCGATAGCAAACAGCAGGAGGCCCGTGTCGGAACTGGATAAAGTCCGAATATTGACCCAAATACTGAATATCGATGGATAAGATTGAATTGATTATTCTAACTCCAATAATTACATGATAATCAGGCAGTATTTATAGGAAAGAGAATGCTTGAACATATGAGAGGGGTAGTGCTGATATACACCGCACCAGTGATCCGCGGTTTCCGGGAGTGAGATAATAGAAGATCCTTGCGAGTGTAATCAACAGAATCCTTGATATGATATTGTTAGGTCACTGGGGCAAAAGAGCTCAATCACCAGCAGCGCCGTGGTGGTATAGAGGGTACGAATCACCCAATCCAATCCCCCCAACAGTAAGCAAGCAGAAGCAGGCGATAAGCTTTGGTGTGTACGAAACCATCCTCCCGACGGCGACTCCTCCTTGCTTTGACCTGTATTGCTGAAGAAAGCAGGTTCTGTAGGACGTGAAGGCCTTGATTCTAGTATTAGTATTATTATTATTATTTTCTGGGGATAGTATTCCTTTATTCTTCATTGGTGAAACAAGCTGAATGCGAAAAGTTGATTCATGGCAAATGTGTAAGATTACCATCGGCCATGCTGAGTCATCCATGATCGGGAAGCTGCTTCTGCAGAGGTCAAACAATATAAAAATACAACATTCATTTATTAACCAGAATCTCGTCTATAACATGGCCGTTATCGTACAGAATTAAGCCACGCCGTCCAGAGAACGCCAACAAAAAGTCCAGGGGAACTTATACGATGTAGCCAAAAGGAGAGTTTAGAGAAAACGAAACAGAAAAAGAAAAAGAAAAGGAGCAAAAAAAAGGGAAAGATTTCCATCTTGCTAGCCAATCATGGCCGACTATCGCCAAGCGCCCTGGCTCAAAGACAGCAGTCCCTGGATGCAATCCAAATCTTCATCCTGGCTGAGCTGAGATATTTCGTCCGGGGCCCCATGAAACTTCCCGGTTACATCATCTCCGCCCTCTTGAGTGTTATCGGGACTAGGGTGAAGAAGTACGTCTCGATGTCCCCGCTGCATCTTGTTAGAGCCTGCGACCGGTCGATAGCCAGCACTCTGCCCATTGCTGAGCCGGTTAGGTTTCTGCAGTCCTACACGACGGGTCTTCTGTTTGTTAGAAGGCACCCGTCTTGCCGCGGACATCTGTGTACCTGGTATCCAATTCTCTTTGTCTGAATCGCCCGTGTGGCAGTCCATGACCCCTTCTTCCATCTTTGATATTAACCCTTTGTGACCAGTTTCTAAACGAGCCAAGGAGGACATTGCCCGTGATAGTTTTTTCCGCTTCCCTGTAGGCTCCTCCGCAAGTGGTACAATGTTTGGGAGATTTGTTCGTGGCATCAACGCCTTTCGACCATGGCCCAGGTCGGATTTTCTGTGGCTCAGTTTCCTCGTCCGAGCCGTGGAGGACAAAAGACTGCCTTTCGACCCCAACAATGCAGTCCGAGCATCAGTATCACAATGAAGTTCCCAGATACGGGAGTCGCGAGATCTCCCAAATGGCTTGGGATCTTGGCCTTCCTTTGTCCCCTTCAATGCCCCGAGGGGAAAGGCGCTGATGCTCCTCCTCAGTCCTCTAGCAACAGGACGGGTGTTGTACAAGAGAGGGGCGCGGTTTTTCGTAATAGGGGATTCCTCGCTTGCAGTTCTGATTAATGCTTCGCCATCAGCAGACATGGAAATTCGAATGGCGTCTAGTGGTTTTTGCGGCGACGGGGTGCTTTCCCCCTCCTTGCGAACAACTGCCTCTCCGTCAAAAGACAATGATATACGCAGCGAAGGGGGTATAAATGTGCTTGAAGTCGGCGGACTGTACTTGTTCGTGTTCGCAGCCTCAGGCTGAGACCTGGACCGTTTCCTGCTGACGGGCTCGATGTGAAGTTCATCCGTTATTAACATTGCACCCCCTTCTTTACTACCACCTGTTTGCCCTTCAATTTTGCCAACGTCGTCGCGCAGTTCCTCTCGCTGGAGGGAGATGACAGTTTCCTGCGAGTTAGGTGGTTGAGAACTCAAGGTCGACTCATGTTCGACCACTGTTTCCGACCCAAACGAGCTGTCCGGTGATGTAGAGAGATTCGCGCGTCTCGTGTCAGTGCTTGTTCGACGATCAGTTCCATGGAATGTTTTTGACAGCAGAGTAGCCTGGCTCTCAGAATTAACAGGATTATTGCCATTGGACGCGTCTTGGTCTGGGTCGGAGGGTTTGGGCACTTTGAAATCTCCCGGGTTGAGCGGTTTGGATCGCCGTCTGTCATTTTGGCGTCGATTTTGAAACCAGATCTTCATCCGAGGAAGAACGCGTTAGACCCCCCCCTTCTTGAGAGAAATACAACATATCATCGAACCATACCTGAACCTCCTTCTCGCCTAGTGTAACCCTGTTAACAATATCAGCCCTCGTTGCCCGGTCTGGTTTAGGGTTTCGTTGGTATTCCGCTTCGAGAATCTTTTGATCATCAGGGCTACAACACGAATTAGCAGTGATCTAGTAAAGGTGCTACTAATGGCAAAGTTGAGGTTGAACGGCGGGATATACCTCGTCCTTCGACGTTTTTGCCGCGCCAGAGCCTTGTTGTCTACTTTGGGAGGTAGATTCTGTGTTAAGGACTTTTGAGAGTGGACCAAGAAAGCGTAGTTGTTATTCGTAGCGTCTTTGAGCGGCGGCACCGTAGCGGCTTTGACACCGGCCGATGATGGTTGCTCGGGATCGCACATCATGGGGAGGTGAGCAGTAGCAAAGAATTGACCATCCGTGGAATGTGCCTACGGAAGAATGGGTTCCCCGCGTGCAAACAATTGACGAGAGAAATGCACGGCGCGAAGGGAGAGGAGAATGTAGAAGGGAGGAGAGAGGAGAGAGGAGAGAGGAGATCGGAGACGTGGAAGAGCGATATAGCTCGCGTCGCGCTGTGGACGCGGAGGAGATGCGTGGATGCACGGTCATCGCCGGTCTGGAGCCAGTTTTGCCGAGTTGGGTTGGGGCCGCTTTCGCTTATTTCGTGCCATCGTGTTCAACCACCAAAAGATCCCGTTTCCCATCTGCCACCACGACTACCACTACCACTACCACTACCACGACTTCTTTTTCAAACGGTAGTTTTTCACGATCTAGAATCCCTTGAAAGGGTAGTGATGTGTACTCTAATCCCTTTTGAGCCCTTGTTCTGACCACGGAATTCTGGACTGCAAACTCCATCAACGGGAAACGGAAACAGACCAAGCACAGTTCTACCACGAGCAGTCGTGCTTTCAATGCTCGTCCGGAGCAATCACATCAGTTAACTCACTGCTCACGCCGTTGAATACAGAGCTGGTTCCCGCCTCACCTTGATCTCGCGATTACAAAACGCGTTTAGCCGGCACATACTTAGCTTCACGTGGTATCAATCAGATCTTGTATCAAGGTCACCCCAACTCAACTGACACAGGCAGCAATCAATGCCAACAGCCGCTGCCTGGGAACCTGGAATTTGAGAAATGCACCGGAGTCCTGCATTCTATCCATCCTCTCCTCCCCGAACTTCGACTGCGGGGGAGAGGGGACAGTCGATTTTCTGCGGATTCTATTGCTGCCTTGGGCCATTTATTGCATCTCGAATTTCACCCCATGAGGGAGGGGGTTTTCAACATTTTCATTAAACGGCATCATTGGCCATTCTGATCACCAGTCCATGAGATCACATCTTGTGTACCAGGCTCTCCTGGGATTGACTGGATAAACCATCTTTGCGCCGTTGCATGCGGCTCTGCTGCCTAAGCCCTATGTCACACATTCCCTGTCCATGCCTAAATCACCCTATGTGACGATGCTACCACGATATGCCGCTTGAGACCTTCATGGATTGGTCAATCGGCTAGTCAAATATCAAGCGTCGTTATAACCCATTCCCCAAATCGAATAAGGTCGTCCATTTATCGACCCTAGCTTTCCTTGCGCTTTTAAACGCTTTGCTCCCAAAACCGTAAGATGGCTTGCCCTCATTGTATTGGATATGGATTGCTCAACCAAGGTTTTTGGCTGCTCACAAGGGAGGACATCCATGAGGTGACCATGGTATACAAATCCGAAAATCATGGTGTCCTAGGGACATTCTTGGTCAAATAACACATATGCTATTTCCACAAACAACAATGGTTAGCTGGAGCCTTGGTTGAATGTCCTCTCCTCAGATTCTTTCTTTCTAGACAATATTAGCCCTCGAGGCCTAGTGTCTCTTGCGCTCTTATCTGCAAATTTTCTTATAACATGATCAGGGGACTTTGATGGGTGTATGGATTTTACATCAAATCCCTACTATTCCTCGTCAAATCACAGGGCAAACATGGAGTTGAGGAGTAAGGGCTAAATATGCACCTAACAGACATTGGACTCTGGGAGACTCAGATGAAAAATGCTGCATATTTTGACTTAAAACATCCGCCACTCTTTGTGTTCTCCTTTCTATTTATACCAGCCCCTTCCTAGATATTGTATTCCTAGCCCTCATAAATCTTATCATGCATAGTTGACCATGATCAAGGTAGCGATCGCTGGGACCAGTGGGCTGTCCCAATACATTGCCCACTACATCTCGACACAAACCTGCCATCAATTTATCTTTCTTTCCCGAAATGTATGTGCAGCCATATATCTATACATCTTTCGGCAACCATGTTCCCACCCTGAACACCCTTCCTGTCAGCAAACTAATGTCCACTCTCCAGAATAACCCAGGCCTCACAGCGAAAGGCTGGCAAGTCCTGAAAGTCGACTACAGCAATAGCAACAACCTCCAGTATGCCCTAGCGGGCATCGACACTGTTATCTCCACCATATCAGGACAAGCAGAGATAGCCCTAATCGATGCCGCCGCCCATGTCCGCGTCCGGCGCTTCGTCCCATCCGAATTCGAAGGACCCCCATCCTCGTGCCCAGCAGCCAACTTCCTCGACCGCGGAAACTTGACTAGTCTCGGCCGCCTGCAATACTACTCGCAGCGCGGTATGCAGTACGCGGTTTTCGCCTGCGGGATCTTCTACGAACGCTTTGCGCCAGGCGGCATGGCTACCTTCCAACTCGGTAGCGGTACGTATATAGACGGCGAGGGTGATTACCTGATGAATGTCCGCACGATGAAGGCTGAGGTTCCGTATTTTAATGCGTCGGGTGCGCCTGTGTTCGTGTGCATGACGTCCGCGCAGGACTTGGCAAGGTATATTGTTGCCGCGCTGGATTTGCCGCAGTGGGAGACAGAGTTTAGGATATGCGGCGATCGGATGACCCTGGGTGATATTGTAAGCGAGGCTGAGCTCATGAGAGGTGAGTTCCCTCCCACATATTGCTCTATTTTATAAAATGCTAGTGCGTACTGAGAGCTACTAATGGTGGAAAATCATTGACAGGTGTCGAGTTTGAAAAGGCGATTCTCACCGACGATGACATTGGAAATGCCCTGGCCCATGCGAAAGCTTCCGGGAATCTGCCGCAGCAATCGCGACTGCACTGCCTGCTGGCGACCGTAGCTGGTTGTTATGACTTTGGAGATCCAAATTTGCATACTCCAGTCCAAATTAGCCCGCAGACATTCCGCGACTGGCTCCGTAGCGCGTGGGCCCCAGTATTACTATAACACACGTTTATCGTCCAAATTACTGCTACTCAAAGGGGTTCAGGTCTAGCGTGTATTATGGATGTTTTCTTCCAATTTGTTTCACTCCGTTGGATATTTAATAGTGTTATGAACCAGCGATGGTTTCATTTCATGGAATTTAGTACCACCCGCAACCTCACGTTGCACACCCTTTAAATGGAATCAAAGGCATTTGTTCGCGCTCGAAGAGCGATTTCTCAAGACTTTTCGTTATTATTTTTGTTGTATATCTCAGATAACCCAAACGAGAAAAATCCAGCCCTAGGGGCGTTTCATCCCCTGGTTGTAGCTGACGAACCGTAGTTGGGGCCCCCAACGGGTTGAGCAAACGATCTGGGCTGTTGTTATCCCTTGCTTTCCATAATCCAGGGGAAATAAATATACGTCCTCGCGCGCGCCCCAACTGCCAAATCTTCTTCTAACTTTAAGTTGTCTCGTGGGAGCAGAGTTTCGTTTCCTTCCTATCAAATAGGCAGGATATCATCAGCAATGTTTCTAGCGATGAGGTTAAGCGGTTATTCTATTCTCATCTCGATTCTTCTAGGCTGGTACGGGGTGGGCTTCAAATTACCAGTTATCGGCCATCGCCACCCGTCAGCCCACCAAAGTGATCCCCTCGAAACGGAAACTATCTTCCTTAAGTTTAACGAGAGAAACACCGCTCCTAGTCGATGTGAGTTTGCTTGCACTTACCTGTCCAAGACATACGCGGACACCGTCGCGTTCCCTGGGAGCGACAAATACAGCCAGTTCCAAGCGAGTTTTTGGTCGCAGCAGCAGTCAAAAACCCAGCCAATGTGTATTTTCCGCCCGAAGAACGTGAGCCAAGTGTCCTTCGCCATGTTCGTAATCACACAAGTCAACTGTACATTTGCTGTGAGAAGTGGTGGACATGCTACGTTTCCAGGCGCATCTAATATCCAGGATGGTATGGCATTCGACATGAGATCCATTAACGACATCATTATAGCGCCAGATCGAAAGACTGCGATTCTGGGCACAGGGAATACCTGGTATGATGTATATAAAGCACTGGAGGTCCACAACCTCATAGCCGTGGGGGCGCGTGCTGGTGATGTAGGGGTTGGAGGCCACATTCTTGGAGGTAAGTGTCAACAGGAAACAATAATAAGATTTCCCTTTGCAATTGAAAAACCCACGCTGAACACTATATTAAAGGTGGCATCTCTTTCCTATCCAATCTGTATGGCTGGGCTTGTGGTAACGTCATAAACTATGAGGTTAGTTTAATTTCCCAGGGCATTAGTTTCGTTTCCTCAAATATACGCATGTTACAACCTAAGATTTAACTGCCATGTTCTCTGCGTAGGTTGTGGGCGCTTACGGTGGGATTCTCAATATCGATGCTCAGAGACCAGAGATGTTCTTCGCGTTATGTGGAGGAGGGAACAATTTTGGAATCGTAACCAGGTTCACCGTGAATATATACCCCCAAGGTCCGATGTGGCAAGGGCTGCGAGAGTTCAGCATGGATCACAAACAGGCTGTTCTCGATACATACGTGAACCTCGGGAGAGCAATCATCAAGGATCTCAGGAGCAGCAACGGTTTCATAGCCTTTACCGTCACGCAGGAAGCGGAAAGGATCAGAGCGCACCTGGAGAATGCGGATGGAATTCCATACCCTCCAATATTTGCAGAGATGGAAGCCATACCCACTGTTTTTGAATCGTCTAAAGTCCAATACATGTCCGAAATAACAAAAGCTTTGGCGAATGAAACCCCACCGGGGTCACGATATACACACTGGACATACACGTTTAAATTGGATGCTTGGCTCGTGAGGTTCGTAGCAGATACATTTCTTGCAACAATAAACCCTCTTAGAGCGATCAGGGGTATCGTCGTTGAATGCAATTTCCAAACCGTCACGGAGCCAATGTTATCACAAATGAAGGGAAACGCATTCGGTCTGTCAGTTGAAGGTGGACCATATACCCTACATCTCCTCTCCGCAGCATGGTCCAACGAAGCAGATGATGAGACGATCTACAGGACCTTCTCCAACATGATACAAACAATCAAAGAGGAAGCCAATGAATCCGGCGTGCACACCGATTACCTCTTCATGAACTATGCAAGCCAGTTCCAAGATGTGATTTCCAGCTATGGGGCCGACAATGTCCAGCGGCTGAGGGTGGCCTCATATAACGATGATCCGGAAGGGTTTCTCAGGGAATTGCAACCAGGATATTTCAAATTGAACGGCAGTGCGCCGGCTGAATTGCGGAAAGGTTGAAAATATAATTGGCATCGGTTATTGATATCAAGATCTTCTCTAGGCCCATTTTGAAATGTCTGTTAGATCAAAACTACACACTAATACTGCTGTAAGATCCAAAACATATGCAGGGAGGATGACTGAGTATATTTCCTCCCCAAGACGGGGTATTTACCACCTATGACAGAAACGATCAACTAGCTACAACTGTATTTAATCTCTTGCAATATTGGTAGCCGACACTCCCTAGTAGGCTTGCCAGATCACATAATTGTTGATTAAATCAGAGGTATTGTTAACTTAGTTCACTTAGTTCATTTGGAGCCTAGACGCTCATAAATCCATTCCTGCGAATCTTCAGCCAGACTATCTTCAACTCAGAATCTCTGGCTGCTGTTCGCTTATTACTACCCAATTAAGGCTCCTAACGCAGTCCTGTTCTCTCCTCAAGGGTTCTTCCAAGTGCGGTGCATACAGCCGAAAGATGTGCGATAGATATTTTAACGTTCAATTAACGTATCAATTTGCAAGAGGAGTGGACGTCAACTCCAGAATCCGCCAATCCCTTCACATAGCAGACGGCATCGTCTCTCAGAATATCGATATCGCAAATTTTGGCATGTGTCCCTGGCAGGACAGCAAACTTTCCCAATAGCGGATAGGCCAGAGGATTCGTTTTCTCAAAATCCTGATCGCCGTATAGGTCTTCGAGCCTGGGATATGACAGCAATTAGTCTTTACATATATAAGATAAAATCATGAGCGAAGGAAGTATTGATGCTCTCCACCGTGGTTATTCTCCATCTCGTCCTTATAAAGATGTCCTGGGTAATCTAACTCTGGAACCCAAGATTGATGTAGAGCTTTAAACCGAGGAGGGATATACAGTTTATCCGTGCCATGAAGGGTGACAATGTTTTGGAGAATAACCCCAAGTAAACGACAGGGTTGAGTTCCTTGAGCTTTTAGATTTACCGTTGCCAGTTGAGGCACAAGTCCTCCTGATGATGTACCGCCAATAACGAAAATACGATATTGTTTGCGATGGTCAATAAGCTATCCCACGCGTCATTGACGGTATCGGATACGGATTATCAGGAGAAAGCCGATATGCTACGCTAGTGGCCACCCTGGCACAGTCAATTGCCATGCCCCGACATGATGCCGATACGAGTATGCAAGAATCATCGACGGGTCCATTCTCAATATTAGCGGCTTGTCCTAGGGCGGAGGGAGTTGCAAGCTTGGAAATTCTCGTTACGAGGTTTCACATTCATTCCCTCTTCTTTTCCATCTTCGAATTTATGACCATTCATCATCAAAGCTGGGTTAACGGAGTCAACAGAAAATCTTCCCCATGAAGCCGATAGGCGGCATTTGTATCTTCGCCCAACCAGCAAGATTTTGGGCATGATACTGATGAAGACTAACACCATCTTCTCCCAAAATCCACCACAGACATCCCATCACTTCATATAAGCATAGCTGTTAGTTATCGTCAGTCATACCGACCACAATCGATCAACTCGCCACAACATCTTGCATGTTTCGGCAAAGTGAAGCATTTTAGGGCCTTGGCACTCGGCAGACGTTGAAACTTTACCGAACCCTCAGCAGCAAAATGACGTCATATATCTATGTTCGGCTCTCTTTTGGTCCTTCGCTGACTTCCGCCGATTATCCTCTACACAACTTCTTCAATTACGCCACGGACTCTTAATCTGTACTCCAGTCCAAAGAGCGAAGGTCCAAAGCCACTTGTTCCCGTCGTCGATCTTGTCCCACGTATGTATACCGGCAACCTCGCTTGTAATTATACAAAGATTGAATATCTGATTATTATCCAAACATAGTTATAGCTTCTGGTATCGAAGCTCCATGGATGTCCAAGTATGCTCGGCATGCTTCTTCGGTAGTAAGAGTGGCCGAGCAACTCATCAGAAGAAGCCATCACCCGTCCTCAAAGAAGAGCAGGGCTGTCTTTGTGTGCGACAAAATGAGTCCCGCGTTTGAATTATTCCCCACCCTGCTCAATCCAGCCGCTATGGTGGTACAGAAGCCGGAGGGAAACAAATAATCGCTCTGTCTCTCTCTCTCTCTGTCCGCTCAAATCTCGACTCTCATTGCCAACGGATATTTATTTCCACGGCCGTTCCCTCAACAAACTGAACTGCGGGCAGATTCTCCCTTTGAATGGGCTTCAGGAAATACGTCAGTTCTTTTCAGAAGCAGCGACGGCTATCGCGATTGTTTAGCCGGTGCATCATCGACACTTTCCCCACCACAGAAGCAACTTGCTGAGTCGCCACATTCATTGAAAAAAGGTCAGACAGCAGATGAAGATACAATCAAGACAGCAATGTTTTTGAGCCGAGGTCTAGCGGTGGCATGTGGGGCTTTTGACAGGCAGAGCAAACAGGGCCATACGACTGCGTTTCCCGACCAGCGAGAGCGTGATTTGTCACTGCTCCTGGAAAACTACGCCAGAAATCGACATATCTTCCCTGACTGCAAGAATGTTTCGGCATCATTGGTCCGCCGGCTTGCTTGACTGGTCGATCGTCCGATGGCGTAGCAAGCGGTTCAACTGGTAATATTCAGCTGGTAATAACAAACATGTGAGCTATGTATGATATTCACTGTCAGATGAGATAGTGGTGCCTTGAGCAGAACTCCGCATGTGTTCTTCAAGAACGATCCAAGAAAGATATGGGCCACCCCGCCTCATGTCGAGCGCCTGTGACAGATTGTAGCGATTATTTCTGTCAACTTATTTGACTCTTCGGCCTGTTGGTGAAAGTTCGCTCCGGGAGCAAGAGTGGCAAAGGGAGAGCGAAACTAAACTAAAAATATGTGGCGGAAGGAATGAAAAGAGAACGGACGAGTGAAACTCCATAGAGATGACTTCTTCTCAGTAGCGTTAAAAAGGAAAAAAGAAAGAGAGGGAAATGGAGAGGGAAACTAGAATGAAAAGCGCAGAAATTTGACTTCATAACATCAGTAAATATAGTCCGAAGGAATGTTGGTTCGATTCATGTCGCACGCAATCGAGACTTGAGATTTGGACTAGTTGGATGGTCTATTGTCTAAGGGGAAAATATCGTTTTCCGCCATTTGCAATGACAGTTCCTCTCGCAGATATGAAACAATGGCCTTGATGCCTTCCAGCATCGCTGCCTCGGTTGGTCTCTAGCAAAGGCTGAAATAATAGCTACCAGTATCGTTTTATCCTTTCACATGAAACAACAAAGCGAACAGTATAGAACTGGTCTGGCCGGGACAACAAAGCTGTCTAACGGCAAAGAAAATTTTTTCCTCAAACAAAGGCCGGACGGAATGAAATGTCAAAGAACGCATGCAGCGCTGTTGTCAGCCACCAAAGGGGCAAAGCTTGAAGATAAGCAACGCCCAGCCCAGGACCGCCCGCGATGTCCCCTGCATGATGCAGCGCATTGGCTAGCTAGTCAACTAGTCCCTGGACCAACGCAGCCCAATCGCCCGCGACTGATGCCGACTGTTTTGAAACAACTAGTTAGATGCGTACATGCGCTCACCGTGCAATGAATGGCTTATCACAACGCTGGGGATCCGACAAATCACCAAGGCAGATCCCCATGGTATGGCAATTTTGGAAGCGCTTTGTCCGCTCTAAGGGGCCCTCTGTGACAACGACAACAGCGATCCCGTGCTTCATGGAATATCTAGGGAACATATAAATATCTTTCTTCTCCTTTCCCCAGATGCAGATCCCGTTGAAGAAGATGCCCCTCGCTCGCGATATATACCCAAAATTCTCCACAAACATTACTTCTCATTGAACGACCAGCTTGCCTGGAAGCGAAGAATAGGAAAGGGGAAAAAAATAAAATAAATACTAATAAACCATGCATCTAAAACTATTCTCGACGACTCTCCTCCTCTCCCTCCACCTCATAACCACCCACGCTGACTGCTTCGACGCCCCAGCCGACCAACAAACAGACACTTCCAAAAGCAATAACAGCAGCGACACGAGTGCAATGATTGAAGTCCTAAAGGCCGTCGCACCAAGATCCGCCAAGGAGCCCTGCGTCGACCTCAAAGATGCTGCTGGCGAATGTCGCAGCGCATCGCAGGCGGCGGAACCTATCCTGAACTCATTCAAGAGATACAAGATCGAATCTCCCGCGGAGAAGGTAGCGCTTCTGAGTCTGATGGCGTTTGAAACTGCGGAGTTTGCGTATAGGCGGAACCATTTCCCTGGGACGCCAGGGCAGGGGAGTATGTTTTATGTTGCTTTCATTTGTTTTGTTAATCTTCTTTTTTTTTTTTTTTTTTTTTTTTTTCACATTTTAGCTTTCTCCATTTCCCCCTTATCCACATTGCCTGACGGAAAGCATGTGAAAATGGGGTTGAGAAAAAAAAAGCGAGAGAACCGGACGAGCTAACTAACGGCTAACCTCGAACCTTGACAAAAACCCAGCTCGAAACATGCAAATGCCCGACAACAACGCCGTGTACGCCGACTCCCTTGATGAAATCAAAGATGAGCTAGCCAAGGTCAAGGGCGACGTTGCCGCGGTCCTGGACCTGCTTCTCAAAAGCGACGACCACGACTTCGGCTCCGCGGCGTGGTTCATGAGCACCCAGTGCTCGCCTGCGGTGCGGAAGGGCCTTCAGTCCGGCTCCCAGGAAGGGTGGGAGGACTATTTGACGAAATGCATCCATACGACGGTGACTCAGCAGAGACGGGACTATTGGAACTGGGCGAAGAAGGCGATGAAGGTGTAGATAGAGATGGGGTGGAGGTTCTCGGTAGATTGGTCGGATGATTTCTTTCGCCTTCCCTTTTTTTCCCTTTCTATTGTTTTTTTTATTTTCTTCCTTTTTGTATTTTTTTGTATTATTTTTTTTTCTTCCTTGTCGAAATGCCTAACGTTGGGTTTCGTTGATTGGGAGAAATCAACAGGTTTGCTCTAGAGACTTTGACAGTGGGCGGCTGGTCACCAATTTCCGAAACACATCTATCCATTGAATATACGACTTAGACCATATTTTCTTTAAAAAAAAAAAAAATAAGGGACGGGATAAAACAAGAATTTTTAGAGAAATCATCCCCTTCAATTCCCTTCGAGCAAAAACCGACATGCAGACAGAACCCAACTTTCTTCCGACATGCATCCCATTCCCCTCCCCTTGTCATACATAATCTTCAAAATCAAGACCTCTTTTTTGGTAATCAGCCGTCAGGAGGAGGAGGAGGGGTGGGAAAGGAACACTACGGCTAATTCGTTTGCCAGATCCAGCCTCGGTGTTGTATTAGCTATTAGCTATTAGCTCCCCGCGCCTTTAAAAAGTGCTCATAAGAGAAAAAAAAAAAAAAAAAGGCCGATCCATGGATTGTTCGTGATATATACACCCGCTTCTAGAAAAAGAATCGATTTTACCATGGTCCAAACAATCAATCAGCCTTACGACAATGCATGCAGGGGTGGAAGAAGACAAAAGCGTTGCCAAAGAATATATATATATTTAGCCCATCTTGACCTCTTGACCTCTCACAAACAAAAAGGGAAAAAACATGAAAACGCTTCTTTAGCCATCCATCACAACGAAATCCGTGTCCTCATCGTCGTCATCAACAGCAATGCAAACAAAACGCTCAACATGAGATAGAACCATCATAGTCAGGAATGAAAGGTGGAAACGGAGGAAGAAGCGGCACAAAAAACAAACATTGAGGGGAGAAGAAGAACATTAATCAATCCACAAGAGAATAATCCGTTTCGATCTATATAGTAAATAAAGGAAGAAAGAAGCCAGGAGAAAGAAAAAAAATAACAAAATCAAAGTTTTAATATAACGAGAAAAGGGCATTGCAACAAACCGAACCCGCGCAGACATTATGATATTAACATGAAGAGAAAAAGCGTCGTCAACTCCAATAACAACAACGCCTTGCCAGCGAGCCACCAAATGCAGCCAATTAGTTGCAGCCATCAAAGCAAGGGGCCGGGAAATAATAAAAAAAGGGGGAGAATTTCGCATGACCTGTACAGATGACACAGAGCTGAAAAACATGTTGAGTACAGACAAAAAGGGATGGCTCATCAAACGCATCGAATCGGGGGTTGTACGGATAGTCATAAGAAGAAAAAAAAAATAAGGTGAGCGTCCCAAATACGCTTTGATATATATATGAATAACTCCTCCCCCTTAGTCCCCCTCCCCCTCTCAACCTTATGCCTATCACTTCAACCTAGACACCGCACCGGCACTCCCAACCCGCCCGCTATGCTTTCTCACTCCCTTGTCCGCCGTTTTGCCCTCTATGCCCCTCCGTGCACTCCCGCGAACCTTTCCCACGCCCAAGATCCCACTCCCACTTTTCGCAACAGGCGTCGACTTCGGCTGGCTCGAAACAACCACGGCATCCGCGTAGTCCTCCACGTCTTCATGAATACTAAGACTAACAGTCGCGGAATGACTCGTTGACCGCTGCTGGGATGGAGATACTGGCGTCCGCGACGATGCCCGCCTGGCAAGCATTTGCAGTTGAAGTTCTTCGTCACTCTCGCTAGGACTATTATGTTCTGTCAATCTACGGCGGTTGCCCTCCTTCGTTGTTCCATTCCTCGAAACACTTGTCTCCAACCCCGCCTCGCTTCCTAAGCCCGAAGATACAGCGCGTGCGTATGGGTGGTGCCTTGAGTCTTTCCGATGAGACTTGCGCGGTTGCCCTGGTGTGGGGGCGGGAAGGGTGTCATCAGCGTATGCAGACGCTTCGTTGTTATCAATCTCGCCCAGAGCGTGTCTTTTTTGGCTTGGATGTGGTGGAGTAGCCGTTTGCCCATTGGTACTTATGATACGTTGCTGTTTTGGGTGTGCTCTACCGGGAGTTGTTGGGTTTGCCATCGCGAGTTTCTCCTTGAAACAGTCTTCAAACCACCATTCCCGGAAGCTGGTCTGATTTAGGTGAAGCCAATGTTGCTGGGGCCCAACAACCATACCCGGTCTCATGAACCGCATGAAAGCAATGACTTCATTGGCTGTGAAACCATGGCGGTAAATCAGATATGCCCCGATCAGGCAGCCGGTGCGACCCAGCCCAGCCTTACAATGCACTGCTATTCCTTTCTTCTTATGGATCATCTCATGAGCGATCTTGATGAACCGCCGGACCAGAGGTAGTGGTGGACAGGTCCCGTCTTCAAATATCATATCCATATGGCTAATCCCCATCGCTGTAAAATGCGACGGACTATATAGCTCTGAATTTAATCTGACGACTAGACCGATATTCCGAGATGAAAAATGTGAGAGGACATTCTTGAAGGGGACTGGTAAGTCCGAAATCAGAACTTCCGTTATGGTTGAAGGTAGTGCCGCAAATTCCGGTGTATTGGGTGGGATTGGGTCGATCTGTTGGTGCTGGGGCGATGCAAATGCGAGGAAGTGCGGAGTAATCCAGTTGAAGTCACCCATATCCACCCGCTCAAATTTTTCGTACCTAAACGAAGATCGAGACAATTAGACTGAAGGGCACAACAAACGAGACAACAAGAACCAGGAACAACAAAACTCACTCCTCCAGGCTGAAATCCTTCAACCCGCAGAGCCCTTCCTCCTTAGCTTTCCACACGCCATACACGACGTCCTGGATAGTCAAGACAAAGTCTGCCTGGCTATATCCGGCATCTCTAAACGGCATATAGGGGGGGTCTGCCTGTGCAATGGGGGCCAGAGCCAGGTGAGGTGGCCAAGATTGAATCAGGACCATATAGCACGCAACCAAGCAAGCGGCATTGGCGCGGCTTCTAGAATCGGGTTTGCTCCAGAAGACCACCGGGCGCTCGCAGTTGGCGGGGTCGCCTAGTATCTCGTGGAAGTGGACGGCAAAACGGTACAAGTGACCGATGTGCAGAGGGCCGAAATCAGCATGGAAGGCGTTGTAGAGGAGGGTATCATCAACAGTGAAGTATACGGGGGGTTTGCTTCTGGGACCGGCTGCTGCAGATCCTCCATGGGCAGCTTTAGAAGACCGCTTGCTTGGCGACTTGGGCTGCACCGGGTACGAGAACGGAGCGCCTTCGCTGGGTGGGTGGGTATAGGATGCAAGATACAACCGGTCTTTAAAACTGAAGTGAGTATGAGAAATCTCAATATGTTCGGTTTCGAACAAAACATGGGGCGGTACCTTGAATATACTCAATCACCTGCCCATAGGATCCCATCACAGAAGGCATCCTGATCGTAGGGAGGGAGACTTGAGGGAGGATAGCAGCTGCTTGCTTTCTTCTTTTTCTTCTTTTTCTTCTTTTTCTTCCTTCTTTCTTTTGTTGTTCTAGCAGATGGATGGGTGGTGTTTCTGCGGCTTTAAACTCGCAAAATGATACAACAGGATGACAATAGAGCAAGAGAACGACAGCGGAGAAAGAATATACACTTGGCCGTGAGAGGAGAGGAGGGAAGAATAAGGTGGGCGCCCGTAGGTCAGAGGGGCATGATCCCCAACGACTTCTGATATGATTTGCTTTATGAGGAAGGGGATCGACGGACAGGACTAACAATGGCCAAACCAGCCGCTCTCTGCTCTTCCCACCAGAAGGGACGCTGCTTTGAGGAGACAGACGAGGTTGGGTATGGATAAGACGGCGGAGGAAAGGAGAGCAGCGCCTGAGCAGAGTGATGAGGGACGGAGATAGAGAAGACAGACAGAGGAATGCTCTTTGTCGTTGTGGTTGTGGTTGTGGTTGTTCTATCCTGCCCGACATGGGATATCGATCATAATAAGGACGGCGCCTGCTTGTTGTGGCAAGCACCCGATCGGGTTTGGCGCAGCTGCGTTGGCGGGGCAACGCATCTGGATCGGGAATAGCGCGGGCTCCTTTGCTGTTTGGCGGCTGATGGCTTGGCGCCGCCAAAACAAACAAATTCCTCCCGTCGCTGGCTGACTGCCAGAGGAACAGCCCCTGGGATGGTTACAAAACAATAACAATTACTGTGGCCAGAAGGCCAATTATGTGTTGCCGCTGTCCTGGGCGTTGCGATGACATACCTGTTATTTCCATGGATTAATATTAGCATTGTCAGGCGCAACTTACAACCCTACGATGATGTGCCCTCCCGTCGAGTTCCACCTCACCCACCATCAGAGGAGATGTCATGCATATGACAAGTGCGATTGCGGAATGGCAGATGTCAGACAGGCGCCTCGATTTCTCCGATGAATCATCCAAAGTACTCGGCTGGGATATCATTCTAGTACATAGATGCAAATTGAAATGGAGATGCGCATTCACAAGGAAAAGCCTTTGCATCTCCGCTTGCTACCTTCACAGTCTATCTCTCCCGCACCGGGTCTTAGTTCTGATGACTTACTGCTTTGGAATCACGAAGGGGCTTGTGTTATAGGCATCATCAGTGCGAATATCGTCCAGAAGCTCTATTATCGGGCGTCGCAGAAGGTGTCCGTTGGGCGGAACCAAGCCGCCCAAAATCATACGATAGATGCGGTGGATTCTCAAATACAGTGAAGGACGTAAAGGTAGTTCTTTTATTTTATTATATGCTGGCTAGCTTTAATGGTAGACGGACAAGGAGGTGATCCCTCAAGTCCATCCGCGTCATGTTGCGACTTCTGCGAGGTTGCATGTATATTTTACCTGCTTGTGTACCTACAGTTCACCATGCTCTTGGACCTAACATGAGGAAAAAACTGCCATCACATCCGGATGACAAACAGTGGCAGTGCTAGTAGCTATACAACAAGGTTTCCCCAGAGTTTGTTGATTTCCAATTCTTGCAAACCTTGGAAAGCCTTCAAGGTTCCGGCAGCGCAAAAGTAACTCAGCCCGAGCTCTCTCGCATTGTAAAGCATAATAAACCGCCAACCCTGGAACTACCACCACCCCGTTCAACAGCATCAACAGAACCCTTTCCATCTAAACTGACCGATATAACAAGCATACATTGCATTACAAGAAAGGTCGACACTATTATTCTGCAGACACAGCATCCCATTGGCTCGGCCCAAGCATCACCACTAGTTCCGCTCCTGTCAGTTCTTGAACCTCCTCCAAGCATGGGCCAACAACATTCTCGAATGTAGAATCCCATCAAATCATCCCCTTGAACCAAAGGAAGCGGCCATCAGTCAGATCGACACCAGACCAACATTTCCAAAAAGGAAAAAAAGAAAAAAAGAAAAAAGAAAAAACTCCCTCGTCCATTTATCCTAGCAACCCACCATGACAACTCTCGACTCCGAATTTCCTTACTCCCTGTAGGATGATCCCTTCCCCCCCTCCCACAAAGATGCCCGCTCTCTCTCCCAACCAACCTCCCAGCTAATATAAACCCCCAAAATACTACAGAACCATCTCCCTCCCGCTGCCCACCCACCGCCTCGCCTCTGCAGCGCTCCGCACTCTACAGGTCGATGCCGAACTCTCCCCGCTCGTCCACCGATCGTTCCGGCTCACACGGCGGCCGCCGCAGCAGCAGCCCTCGCCATCGCCATATCCCGCCACTCCTTCTGCAGATACCAGCGCTATTGAAACCGCGGCTGCTAATGCTACTATTACCACTACTGCTACTGCTACTGCTACTGCTACTGCTGGTACTTCTGGGGGAACAGAAGCAAGGGATGGAGACGAGGAGGAGGAGGAGCTGACGGTGCTACAGACGGAATACCGAGCGACGACGAACCGGATGCTGCGGGTTGCCGTGAACGGGTTCATGGAGAGCCTGGGGGTTGTGTTGGGGGTGATGGAGGAGCTGGATGTGGATGTTCTGGAGGGGGAGTTGGGGGGGGTATACAATGGTTACTAGTAACTAACTACTGCTGGAATAGCTGGCAGCATTACATGATATCTTGAATAATGTATGTAGCAAACGCTTTTCATTGTATCGGTCGTTTCTGGTACCCAGGTACATCCTAAGGATTGAAGTTCTGTGAACCATGCATTTCTCTACATATGGCTTACCTCCCACCCGCCACTTGTTTGCCATGTAAGGTTGCCCAAGCTAACCACGTGATCGTTATCCAGCCAATCAGCGCCGCTCGCTAAATCTCGGCTAGCCCTAGCGCCCTCCCCGCCGTATAAATACCCCATCGCGCCCGCCGCCGTCTTTGGTTTCTTTCTTTTCCTTTTCTTCTCCAGCTCTCTTTGCCGTAAGGCTAAGATCAAGTGTAGTATCTGTTCTTTTCAGTTTAATCTCTGAAAGTATTCTAAGGAATACAACATTGATTAATCTCATTTTTGGATCTCGCGTTCGGCCCTCTGTGCTTGCGCATGGTCGTCCGCACCGTGTCCTCGGTCTTACACTACCACCGAGCGATGCGAAATTCATCTTATCCTTTTTTTTTTTTTCATCAGTTCCCGTCGGCTTGTCCGATGGGCTGGAGAAGAAAATACTGTTTTATCTCGAATGTACAGCACACACTGTTGCAACCTGGTTGACTTGAGTGACAATCTGCTGTCATGTACGCTGAAGTAACTGCTCGTAGTGATATGTATCCGTTGGTGGTGCTGTGTGCCTGAAAAACAAACAGCTCCCGAAGCGGAAATAAGCTCAACCGTGACCTCTCGAGCAACAACACATAGTATACAGATCTGTACAAGCTACAACTTCTCCATGACCATTCCCCCGTTCCCTATCTTCACGCCCGTCCACATATATAATCGTTATAGACGCTCGTTTCATTCCCTCCGATTCTGTGCTACCATCAGCCAATCGTAAAATCCCCAGATCTAGCCACCATGATTGACCCCTCCATTTTCCAAAGCCTACAAGCCAAGATAGACGAGGAGAGCCAGATTCGCGATGTAAGTCCCTTGTACAGTACAGTACATACATTAGCATCAGCATTGTTTGATGTCCTCTTACATTAATTATCCTACATTGGCCTCGCTTTAGGAACTCCAAGACATCGTTCAGACACTGTCTAAACGCGGTTCGTGCTTTGATCCCCGTGGAGTGGAGGACCGCCGTATCATGTATCATGGGCCCCCCAAACGGCTATGTCCATGTGTTCTGGTATACCTATACCTACATCTATCTTACTGACCTGGCGCTCCGCTTCTGGTCGCCAATCCATGATAATATAGGCCGATCAACCCAAGCCATCCTGTCGCGAGCCCATTCAACTCCAGCGGACCAGTGTGCGTCTTTCCCTCCTCCTCCCAACCTCAATTTTCTCATGGATTCCGTTCGCCATTGATATTATATATCTTCACGCACATTCCGCGTCCCTCCACTGAATTACCTCAGTAACCCCCGTCCTCGACGAAGCAGCCACGGAAATCCGTGCTCAGAAGGAGGATGTCGCCCGTCTCGTCTCCGTCGCCGCCCAGCACCCTTTCTACAAATACAACCACATCTGGAGCCGGGAGCTGCAGAATCTGGTATGGCCCCCCCTGTCCTTCTGGCCGGGCTGTATATTTATTTGTCTGTGTTATGCATACCCCATGTAACATGTAACCTATTTTCTTTGAGGGCCGCGGGGGGTTTAGGTCTTCACGATCCAGTTCTGCGCATGGCTAGGCGGCCTGCGAGACGCGCGGGCCGAGAAAGCGAAGGGCTTCATGACCATTGAGGAGGTTGGGGAGTTTCTGGGTGGTATGTTGTGTTTTTTCCATTTCACTCTTCTTCTTCTTATTTTTAATCCACGGAAAAACAAAACCCTTCCCAAACGACTGCCTCTTAAACCTTGCTTAAACTTATATATTAGTCCCCGTCAACCTCAAGGACCAGGATTCCTTCCACCTATCCATCGAAGAGTACCTGCAAGCCTTGATATCGCTGGTGGAGGAGCTGGTGTGGTCCCTCCCTCTCCCCTGCCTATTCCTCACACCTCCCGAGCCGGTCGCTAATGACAAACCATCACTAACCAACCCCCCTTTCCCTTCCCCATAGAGCCGGCTAGCCGTCAACTCCGTGACGCTCGGCGACTACGCGCGCCCGCTCCAGATCAGCAAGTTCGTCTCCGACCTGCAGGCCGGCTTCCAGCTCCTGAACCTGAAAAACGACAGCCTGCGCAAGCGGAGCGATGGGATTAAATACAGCGTAAAAAATTCTCTTTCTTTCTTTCCCCCTTCCCTTCCCTTCCCTTCCCTTCGTCCTGTTTATACGCTGACATGTCACATGCAATGCACGGATCACAATCCCAATAGGTCAAGAAAGTCGAGGACGTCGTGTACGACCTGTCCCTGCGAAACTTGATTCCGAGAAACCCGCCCGCCGGCAGCGGCGGCGGCGGCGGCGATATGGAAGAATGAGCCGGTGAAAAAAAAAAAAAGGCGAAATTGCAAACGGGTGGAAACACTAAATAAATCAAGAGCTGAGGGAAGAGAAGAGAGGAGAAGAGAAGAGAAGAGAAGAGAAGAGCTAAGGAATGGGAAGTTTTAGGCTAGATCCGACAACTCTCCTTCAATGCAGGGAGCAGGGAGGGGGAGGGGCCTTAACTGTATATATCATATCATGAATCATGGATAGGGTCGTTGAGACCCCTATTTTTTTCCTTCTCCTTCCTTCCCTCCCGCCCCCCCTCTACATCTCTCCAGAGAGCCGAAACGACGCATGAAAATTTAAAACTACCATTAGCATTTCGATGGCTAATTAAAATAAAACGTCATAATTGTGTGTCTTGTTTCGATAATTATACAAAGGTTCTGTTTTATTTATTACCTTTTTGGTATCATGCAAAACAGCTGGGGATGGGCCAAGAGAGAGAGGAATAGCGCAAAAAACGCAGAAGGGCAAACGAAACAAAAAGGAGAATATTAAAGGGAAGAAGACAAGGAAAAGTGCATCTCCCAACCAATGAAAAGCGTAAACAGAAAAAAGTAAACAAGTGTAGCAACAGGGGGAGAATCCCTGATAACCAGCTGGTCGTGAGCTGAAGTAAGCTTGGGGTTTGAGCTGAAAAGTAGAGTATTAATCGCAACCTGGGCAATAAGGTATATATATCGATAATTATAAACCGAAGCAAGAACAAGAACCCAAAAAAGTACAAAAACACAAACCAACGAAAATAAGAAAGGGGGGAGGCCAACTAATGGACGACAAACGCCGTATGCTATGCCACAATCTCGTCACCCACATTATCAATTAATCATCAACCCCCCTCTCCACCCATTCATTCAAAACCGACCAAGAGAGGCGGCAATATTCACGACTGCGCCTGGGGCTCCGTGGGAACCTCCGCCGCGGTATCAGGCGTGGGAGCGCTGTCCACCTCCTTGGATTTCTCAATCTCCTTCTCGATGGCCGCCTTCAACGACTCCGGCTTCGTCACACTGGACCAGCGATTCACGACCTTCCCATCCGCACTGACCAAGAACTTCTCAAAGTTCCACTTGACGCGCTTCATGCCCATCAAGCCCGGCATCTCGGACTTCAGCCACTTCCACAATGGCTCGGTCTTGTCGCCATTCACGTCGACTTTGGCAAGGATAGGGAAGGTGACGCCGTAATTGACGGCGCAGAAGGTTTGGATTTCGTCGTTGGAGCCTGGGTCCTGGGAAGCAAATTGGTTGCAGGGGAAGCCGAGGATGGTGAATTTGTCTGGGTGGGCGTCGTTGATGGAGTGGTAGAGGGACTCGAGGCCCTTGAATTGCGGGGTGAAGCCGCACTTGGAAGCGGTGTTGACGACGAGGACAACCTTGCCTTTGAGACTGGAGAGGGGGAACGGTTCGCCCTTTTCTGTTTGTTTTTCGGCGAGATGTCAGTTGGCTCGGTGTTCCCGCTAGGTAAATAGGTTTCATTCATTCATTCATTGTTTCCTTCTTTCTGGGTAGTGGAGGAGGTTTGGGTTGGATGGATCATGACGTACTGTCAGCAGGGCTGAAGTCATAGAAGCTTGTGGCGGACGCCATGATGATGGCACGGATGGCTGTGGAGACTTGGGGGAGATATCGAGATATCGAGATTCTCAGTCGTATACGCAGGTAGCTGGCTATTACTGGAGCGCACTGAAGCACCAGTCTGTTGGATACGGGATATACGCAGGATGCGCAGAGGACGAGGTCGCGGAGGGAATGGGAATGTTTTGCTTTGTCTCGGCCTGCACAGGGGAATCGACCCGGGAAGGCGCTGTGCTAAAAATAAGCCCGGCATCGATATCAACCGAGTGGCAAGAGCGACAAACTTTGGGTCTCGGCGCAACAACATCGTGCCTGGGATTCCAGACGGGAATGCGATCAGCCACGTACTCCTCCTCCTCCTCCTACTACTACTACTACTACTACTACTACTACTACTACTACTGATGCACCCGGAGATGGACGGGCGTCGCGGCGGAGGATCGATGTTGATACAGCGCTACGGTGGTTCTCCTGATACACTGATACGGTCCACGTTCACCATCGTCGCCATCTGTTCACTGGTGTTGAATCCCCACTACTGAACGCATTGGCCCTCGGTGCTGCTAGCTCCAACTTTCAGGGTCCAGCCCACTTCCGCTTCCCCGGGTACGGCAAATTTTTCGTTACGGAAACATTCCAAATATCCTTAGTTACTTGGACCAGTTATTATTATTGCGTTGCGACAGCCGCCTTCCCTCCACGAAGAAAACGTATCCTTCGAAAAGTTTACAGTCGCCAGGGAGATCTTGGGTTACCATTCGCGAATAGCGGGCACAGCATCTTCCCCTCGAAGGAACACCTCAAGAATCAGTCGGACTTGGGTAACAGCAGACTACCGATCCTATCCCCCTTGCAAACACCGGTGATTTTTTTTGGTAGTTTTGGCTCGGCCACGGAACCCGAAGATGAGAGCTCTCGTCGCCCAAAAGCATGATTAACGCTCCCGCAGCTGAACCCCTGTCATGGCTGTGATATCCTCTCTTGATTCTCGGCTCCACTGTCCCGATTAGCCGATTGGGAAATCCTGGGTAACAGAGCAAGGATTGGAATCTCCAGATAGAGCAGAACGGATATCAGGTTCCGGGCTTTTTTTTCGTAGACATAGGCCACCGAATAGAGTATAAAGAGTATCGTAAGCGCTGCGGTTCAGGGCGACCATGCATCCGGGCCTCTCCTTGTGGGAGCAGCAAACAGAACAATGGCTAGATACCTTCCGTAGACGCGATGTCGTCGTATAGGGGTGGCATTGCCCATGAATGTAGTCACTTCCATCTACCGCAGGAGCAACATGTACAGAACATCCTCGGCCCAAATCTGCCACACCTTCTGAATCGATTGTGGTATTGGGCGTCAGTCGTCAGTTGTGTTTATCTCCCATTTGGATCTGGGCACAGAAGCCTGTATCACATGACTGCACGAAGCCCTAACCCTAGCGCCAAGAGTTCCCATCCCACAGCGGCTCCTCGACCACCGATCTCAACCTCCGAGTCAAAAGTGAAGCCAGCTCCAGCTCCAGCGCCAGCGCCGACATAAAACCATCAATCCCGCAGGATATCGACCTCTTTGCGGCTGCATACCTTCTCCTCACCCTCTATTAGTCCACAATGGCTCCTCAATCTGTACGTCCCCTCCTCGCGACCTCAAAACCGCTTTGCTGTTCCCCCTTGATTGCGCGCTCCCTGTTCTCCATCCTTCCGCTTCTCCTTCTCCTCCCACGCTCTCTTCTCCCATCAGATCCTATATATCCCGCTCTTGCAAAAGAATAGGCGATGGATGAAATTGGATTGGGAGAAGAACTAGGAGGAAGGAATTAAGGAGGGATCGAGAAAATGGAGCGGATGTCATGGGATTGATTTGATGAAACGAAAATTTCATCTCTGCATTATTACAAAAAAAGAAAAAAAGATCATGTCAGGAACAGTAGGCTAACCAGCAAACCCCATGCGCTGCGTCGTTGTTGGAAATATAATAGTCCCGCAAGTCTCAAAAGGTGACGAAGAAGGTATGCGCGAACAAATATAAATATATATATATATATCCCTCCCGGGCCCGTGACATTTTCCTCCCCTACGCAACAGTGCTAATTGCAATAAAAAAATCAGTATGTCATCAATTGTTCCCAACCAGCCAACGACAAGATCTTCGACGTATCCGCCTTCGAGAAGTTCCTGCACGATCGGGTCAAGGTTGAGGGCCGCGTTGGCAACCTTGGCGACTCCGTCGAGATCTCCCAGACCGGAGATGGAAAGATCGAGGTCGTCACCCACATTCCTTTCTCCGGACGGTATTTGAAGTACCTGTATGTCATTCCCCCGGAAGTCGCGCATGCTGTTGCGGCTCTAGACGCGGCAGTGACTTTGTTTCTTTCTTGCTTTGTTTTTTTTTTCTTTTTTTCTTTTGGGGGGTGCTTCTCCTGATTATGTTGGAAAGGAAAGGATTTTCCTTTCGTGCGTGGCGGATGCTGACTATTATAATTAAATTTTTTTCCCCCGTCTCGCGAATGCGTATAGGACGAAGAAATTTCTCAAAAAGCAGCAGCTCCGCGATTGGCTGCGTGTTGTCTCCACCTCCAAGGGTGTCTATGAGCTGCGCTTCTACAACCTCGTCAATGACGAGGCGGAGGAGGATGAGGATTAGATTTGAGAAAAATCTAATAATAATAAGAAACAACCCGGAAGCGAAGAAAGGAAAGTTGGATCAAGGGTGCGGAAGTTGTGCCGGGGGCGAATTTTTCTTTTAAAGCAGTGGATTTCAATTTTTTTGTTTTCTTGATGGAATGGAGGAACGTCTATGATAACTCTCTACTGTTTAAAGATTCTTCCCCCCCCCCGGTTAGATGATGGTGGGGATTCTTCAGGAAACCAAAAATATATTCCCTACTTTATGCTTGCACCATCCACATTAGTGAATGTACTAGTTATATCGTGCGTAATTCTGTAAACGCGAAAGTCATTGGCAGGCCACAGGTGGAAATGTTGGAAAGCCTGGCGGATGAGCAGAAACCACCAAGCCCAATCAATAGCCAGGGTGGATGGGCACTTTGCCTTGCACAGATATCGGGTTGCTGGTATTATAAGGTTGCATGTATGTACGTGTTCTTGGGGTGGAATCTGGAAATCTGGGAGGAAGGAAGAAAAACGAAAGAAAGAGATGGCGATTTTGATGTTAAAGTAAAATAAAAAGGAAAACCGAAACCGGCACGAGAAACGCAAGTATGAGAGTATCCTATGTGTGCAAAATATTCTAGAAAAGGTCGGTAGCAGAAACAGCCTCAATCAAATTTCCAGACCGCCTTTACTCGCCTTCCTTCCGCTTTATCCCGGCCCCATGGCCCAAAACACCGCCGCCGCCACCTCCCAATATGCTGGAGCTTGCCCCTTGCGCCCCGGCAACGCCATTCTTCATCCCTCCTCCGGGAGGAGCCACTAACCTCCCCTTTTCAAATGAATACCCAACCCTCTTCAACGCGTTCCACGTCTCCCTAACCTTAACCCGAACCAAATCCCCCGTCGCCTTCGCATCTTCCATAGAGTCATGACCCAGCTCTCCACCGCCAGCCTGTATATGTCGATTCAGGTATTTGCGTGTGAGCGCCCGCAGGCCAAAGCGGTATGGCAGGCCACCTGGGTGCGGGAAAAGGAGCGCAGTGTCGACGATGGTGGGGTGGATGATGCGGCACGCGTTGAGGTCATTCTCGAGTGCGTGACCGATAAGGGGGGTTTCGGGTTGAAGTAATTGGAAGAGGAGGTCGCGAGCTGTGCTGGGGGAGTCGACGACAGGGAGCGGTTGATGGGGCTTGTCTTTCGTGTCGGATGGCGAATGTGGTGTGGCGTTGGCGAAGTGCTCGGGACGGACGCCGGAATAGCGGGAGTTAAGGTCTAAGATTTCACCTTTCGGTTTTACTAGGACGTCCAGGACCTTGTTTCCTTCGGGCCAGGAGACGGCCGTGAGGCGGATGAGTTCAAGACCTAGAGTGGTATAGCCCATTTCGCAGTCAAAACAGATGGGAGGTAACGTAGGTTTATTGAGCTGACTGGGTGTTTCTTTGAATTGCAGCACCGCAGCCAGCCGCTTAACCTCCGACACTTTGAAGACATGCCATTCAGCTTTCGTACAACCTGCGGAAGTCCCAATTGTTTCGTTGCAGCACGGGTAGTACGATTCCTTATGCCCAGTAATATGGTCTGTTTTCTTCTTTTGGGGCCGGAGTGGCTTCGCGTGGTGGTACGTGCAGTGGCCTCCTGTGGCTAAAAGTCCGTCCTCCCTTCGGCCTGGGAAGACCTGAAACCTGCCATTGCAGCGCTCGCATTGCTCCCATCCTTGAGCTGCCTCGGCACCACGTTTTGCCGCTTCAATATCATCACTCGTAGGAGCAGTGGTAACATATCCAGCTTTGTTTAATTGTTCTCGCGACGCATAGAGTTTAGGAAGCAGAGATATTTCTTCCTGGGGGTTCAATCCTGTTATTACTTCCCCGTCTGAATCCTCCGGCTTGTTGCTCCTTGCTGGCAGACCAAATTTAGCGACAATGTATGTTGACACGTTAGTTTCCCACTCTTCCCTGTCCATTTTCCGGAGATTCGTGATGCGGAGCTTTATCACGTTGGCGTATACCGAAGAATGTTCCTTCGCCGCTTTCTCCTCTTCATCCAGCGCCATCGTCACAACTTCATCAGACGACAGTATGAGCGCCTTCTTATACGGGTCATTTTCTTTGATAACTTGCTTATTGAGCTGGACCATGGCATCGTGAAGCTTGGTCAGAATAGACATGCGAACGGTGTGCGATGCTGGAGGTCTGGCGATATGCCTCGGGTTCAATGGCTCCGTTTTCAGTTGTCTTTGGAGAGGGATGTTTCGGTTTGGTTTTGCTGCATTAAACGGAGTCGAACTAGACGACTTGCCTAAAGTGCTCGCAGAAGTTGATCGACATGAGACTGCAGGTGGAGAAACGGTTCTAGTGGCAGATATCAACTCTTGGCTATGACGATTTGAGCTTCCGTTCGATTCTTTCGCGACTTCAGTTGCTTTGCATTCACATTTTGGTTCCTCATGTTTGCTATTGGATGAAATTGGTGTTCTATCCTTGTCTGCGCCATCAATTCGTCTTCGTTTCCGAAGAGGTTCGTCATCAGCCAAAGCAGCAAGAGGAATGGTTTCGGTTTCGGGTAGAGGAGTCGAAGCAGCTAAAGGAACAGCGGAGCTAGGCATGCATTCGTTGCTTGTATGATTAAAAATGCAGTTTAGAAGCCCACAGTTGTCACCCTCAGGGCAAAGGACACTTTTGAAGAGTCCTAGATGATTAAACATCATGTTTACTCTTCAGTTGCTCTACCGTTACAGCATAAATCTCAGGCCAGAACACCAGGCACTTGTAGATAAGCCTTCCGCATACGGAGGACGGATAAAATATGGTTTTTCTGAAGTCACAGGTGACGTCTCATCCCTGTGGGTGTCTTTGAGTTACCCGCTAGCTGTGACTTCGTTTGAGCGGCAACTAAAACCAAAGAAGGGATAAATGAAGTTGCAGCAGGAATCTGGTGCAAAAAATATTCATGCGTCCTGGACAGCTCTTTTGAGGCCCATCTGCGACATGAGACAGAAGCTTCGTTTGCCCGACTGGTACGTGGTATTGGAGAAGCAAAATTCGTCCTATTTCGAATTATTTAGAAGCGCACGAAATACAAGAACCGGGGCCGTCTTTAGATTAAAAGATAAATTGGTGGCGAGGTGACAGATATCTCAAGCTGTTGGATGAAGGTCCATGCATGCTGAGGTTCGAGGAAATCGAGGTAGCTAGCGCTTTGCTTTCGCAAAACAGTGGACAAGGAAAAGGCTCTATTCTAGCCAGGAAACTCGCATGAAGTTGTAAACATTAAACGTCTCTAAGATCCGGGTTTTTATCTCTCCTTTTATGGTTGAGCAAAGTTCATAGTCAGCTGAATATCGACAAATAACTGTCCTCACTGTAAGGTCTGCTAGCACCCGTAGATGGGAAGTACCTGGACGTGCAGGCTTGTCCACTTCGCCGCAGGAAGTTGAGCTGTAGGTGAAAGGACCTGTACGGAGTCGAGTAATAAATAATATCTGAGGTTGTGTTGATCGAAGTTCGAGGCGTCTAAGCAGGTTGGCGCCACAGAGCTCCAGCTGTAGTCACATGCTCGAATTAAGCGCTCGGCAAACAGACAGGCGACTGGCTTCCAATTTCCTTTCTCATTGTGTTGACTCCCAGCAATATGAAAGAAGTTAACCCCCAGCACCATAAAAGAAGGAATCAGTAATCCGAGATTATCCCCCAAAAAGTAAGAAGAATGCTGATCACATTTGCGTCTTGAAACGTAGGTGAGTTTGTCGCCGTTTGTTTACTACCTGATTTCACCGATGTTAGTATCACTATTTGATTGCTTTATTCTTCGTTAATTTTAATACAAAGAAAATCTTGGAACTAATGAGCCGACCAGCAGTTGTTGGGATAACATGGAAATCTCTTTCACTTGGACTATATCATGGGTGTCTTGCAAGAGAAAAATTCAGATACATTGTACACTACATCCTGGTTGAAGCGTAATGCTGGAACACTCAGCTATGATAGAAGCGCGTAGTCTCGAAATAGAAGAGGTTTCGGAAACTCTAAATGGCCTAGGCTATGATATCCGGAAACTGAGCATTATTTATCACTTGGTGGGTGGCCTGGTAGCTCAATCTGCCACCTGTTTTTATGTGCCGAGGGATACTTCGACAATGTCGAGCCTCTCAATTTTACAAACTTTGCAACTCCCAATGCAGGAGCAAGAAGTCCATCAAGAAAGAGACGCCTTTGGAACGTCGTTGGGGGCAAGGACAATCTCAGGTCTGGCCGCCAACTCTTCATGATACATTGTTTCTGGGGACGCTGGCAAACCGCTCGAAATCGCTCTTCACACCCCAGGCAGAATATTTATGATAAGTCTGACAAGGCTCAAACGTCGAAGTATTTAAGCGATCACCGTCAATGACAAAGACCCCGTGTTCTATGTTGGGGGGATTGGGTTGGGTGATTCGTACCCTCTATACCACCATGGCGCTGGTGGTGATTGAGCTCTTTTGCCCTAGTGGCCTAATATTCTATACCACGCGGATATCGAAGATGGACCCGTAGATGGAGCCCGGTAGGTGCAACAATGAACTCCTTACCGAATTATTCCCCTGTTGATGAACCCAGGTCGATAAAATATCCGTGTGAGGGAGTCAGCGCTGCTCCATAGATGGGTGATTAGGCTGAACATGTCCTTTCTCACTGGACTGCCCCTCTACGCGTTTTTATGTATATTCGTCTCAATTGCATTCATCATCTATCTCGCAAGCGCTGCTATTGCATATCCATGACATATGAAACTTTGGAAACCCTTTCAAAGGAAGTACTAGTAATGTTACTAGCAACTAATTTACAATATATTAGTAATTGATGGATAGCTCTCCTTAAATAATACAATCAGGGGTTTTGCACAGCTTTATATCTATAGACTCGCTAATTCTATAGCTAGATTTCATAGTGAAGACATTTAATATTCACATTGAAATCAAAGAATCGCGTTTTTGGTGGAGCGAGCTTACTAACCAAAGCAAACTTGCGTGCTTTCACAAACTTTCAAGTTCTTGCAAGGTTCTGTTTCATTCGTGTTGATCCACGACAGGGCTGAGAGAATATCTTTCGGCCATCTATACCAGGAATGGAACAGCCTCCCAGTAGCGTTTTCATCGCGGAAGACTTTGATGAAGGCTTGCAGCGGTGGCATCCTTGAGTGATCAACTTCCACCCGGACAACTTCTCCTTCGCCTTGTCCGTTCCTCCTCTATCTTTAAATGGCGTTTCCGAGATCTCCACTCTCGTACCAACGCCGTCGCGATTCGCGGCAAATCGACAGAATTAATAACATTGTTGGTTTCCGGAAACACCCGGCCCATATCCACAGGGCGTGGCACAAGTCTGAATGCAGGCATCATCGTTCGAATTCCGAAGAAATTCGACAAGACAAGATCGCAGTGGCTCGGAGGTATTAAATGGACGCCGTACCCTCAATTTCGCGCCACCCCTCCCCCCCTCCCCCCATCCCTCCTCTCCCCCACCTGCCATTCATCAATACTGTGTGAAATAAAGTGGGGAAGAGGTGATGCCGGGGATAAGCCACATGGGAGCAGTGGGGCGGAGTGGAGAGGAGAGAAGTGATGAGGTATCTCGACAGTTTTTGGGACAAAATCGTTCCAACCACGTCTTCTTGAAGCGTGAAATTTCTCCTCCACACACCCAACAAACCTTACTCCTTACTCCAGACAGACGAAGAGCCCATACCGTTTTCCAAGGCGGTTAATGCCCCTGCAGTCAACCCTCAGGCTCGTCAAAATCTGCACTGTACGGTCCACAGCTCTCTGCAAGTTGACATCATCACCACCACCGTCCATCCATCACTGTTTTCAGTTTTCCTTCCGTTTCAAAATGATACATTGACATTCCTCTGTTGCCAGCGCTGGCAAACAAATATTGAATTTATTCTCATATATGTATCATCATACGACCCTTCACTCATGATGGAATAAAGTTCCCTCACTTGGGTTTTAGATTCTCTGGTTAAATCAGGTGGTGGATTCATTATCGGTGACTTCTTCTGATTGAAACAGTAGTTTTGGATTGATAAGAGCCTGTGATTGAAATGACTCAGATGCTAAGCAGCATGCTCGCTCACACATGCCATATGAGAAAGAAGCGGCCTTCTTTCTCATCAGATCCGTCTACACTGGCTGTCATATAACAGATACATAGTGCTTTATAAAACTATATCTTGTGCTATTTTTTGGGATTCTTCGTATGTATGAAAAATTGTTGTGAAAGTAATATTTGCTTGGCTCCGCGAAACCCCTGGCGGTCCACATAACAGAAATTCAGAAACGGCATTGCAGCCGTCATGCAAAAGTTGAATATCGCTGTTGGAAGCGTGGTAGAGACTCTAAATCACAGGACAATCATATCATAGCCAGACAATATTCTGCAGCATAGACAAAGGCTCGACCTGACCACCCCATCTTCAAGGATTCTCCCACCCAGTGCTGCGAGCAAGCATACCTCCAAATGGATGAACATCACTGGCCTTACGGAGTACGCTAATCAACAAATAAGACCTGAGGGGAAAAATATGCTGCATCTACCCCTCATCTAGCTGGTTGACAACAAGCTTGTATCAGCCCGTATCTGTCCACTCGGAACAGCTCGATCAGGCAATCCAGCAACCTCCCTCGGCCACCAAGTACATACCTATACTCCGTACTTCTCTTGTAGTTTACCTAGGAAGTGCCCCCATCGTGTAACAAGGAAGTTCACACTTATGACGTCATTGTGGCTCCATATCAGCAAGGCGTCTTGGCGGGGGCTGCGATATCCACCACACTAGATCACATGCAGTCTAGTTCACTGCAGCCAAGATGAATTCAGCCGCTCTTTACCCCTGTGATCTCAGATTCTTGGCAATGACGTCACTCAGACTTATCTTTCCGCGGCTTCAAAAAAAAAAAAAGAAAGAAAGAAAAAAGAAAAAAGAAAAAACATGATGGGCTGATCACACAAATGAACCCGTTGTGCATCCATTGGTACACGAGAATAGCCGATTCTGAATATCGAAATATAATTTGTGTTCACAATTTTCAAGAACCTTGCTGCAATGTAGCAGCACTAATAAATCAAAATCCCATCTCTGGGCGCATGCATGTCTATCTCTCACACATCCAGAAAGGAAACAACATGATATTTCACATTTTTCAAGTTGTTACCTAGAACGTAACCAGGATTGCTCCAACACCCAACCATTATCAGGTCTGAGTGCAACGTCCAACAATGAGTATCACGTCCCGCACAAACCATGTGGGAGAGAATACGCTCCACTATTTGCTGAAGCTACTGCATGTACCCAGTATCTGACACCGACAGTATGATAGCTCCTACTACGAGCCTCCGTAGCTCTTAGCATGTCTTGTACCAGACTTGCTTTCAACAATGCACTTCATTTTGCTTTTGCATCATGCTTTCAATCTGGTTTGTCTTATGCATCTGCTGCCTTCCTCATCCTGTTCCTAGTTGTAATTATTGATTCGAGGGTTCCCGGTAATTGGCTTAACCTTCGAGATTGCTGCGATTTCCACGGACACAGAGGGGTAGATTTCGTGCTCAATAGCCCTCCCCGAATAGTGGCGGGGCAGGGGACCAATCAATGGCTCTGGGTATGCGGATTTTGGTTATTTTCTTATTTTTCCCGCGTCCAGTCAGGGACATCAGCTAAGGTTTCTCTTGTTGTCCCTGGCCCAATCCCGGCACCCACATCGCTGCTGGGAAGTTACTCTGCGTATGAAACGCCACAGGGATCGTGATGTCTCCTTCGTAGTGGCTGGTGGTATTTTCGGAGCTCCACCTTCCGGACGTGCTGTGTACCAGTTGTGGTACATATTTCAGCGGCATAAACTCGTACCGAGAACTGTATCTTACGTTATCTTACGCTTTCGGCGTAATATCCACACACCAAAACCTCAACTTCCACGCTAAGCCCATCTTGGTGCAACGTCGCGGCTCAACTGTATTCCAGCATCAAAGCCGCTTGACGTCGTTGAAAGTGATTCAAGATGCTGTTGACTGACTCTGTTGCCAGTCACGAATCAACAGAGCGCTGCAATATGCCGTGTCCTATGTTTTGTGTGTAGGATATGGTATCACTATGATGTATTTCGTCGAACTTCAGAAAACTGCAGGATTCTCATGGCTCCAGTCCCCGTTCTTTGTTAAGCCTTTCACAGCACCAAAAAGAAATTCGACTGGCACTGCAACTAGCCATTTCTTCTGATCAGAGTCAAATATCTTTGGTATCGAATCAGAATTCCCCCCGCTCCTGATATGGGGCAAAAGACATCCTCCTTCCGTCGTCGTTTCGAAACACAATCCACAACGGGGATTATTGACTGACTCGGAAACTCAGACACGGATTAACTTCCATGGCGCAAAGCACTACCTAGGTGAACGGTTTACCATATCCTCCTCGCGAGAATAATGAGGAAAAATTAATCACCGCTCCATACAGGACGCTGGTGTGCGTTAGTGGTGGATCCATGGGCGGCGGCGGGTTCCACAACTGAGCGGAGTGTAATGGACATCCTTACAGGGTTTGTTGCGGACGGGGGAAACCATATCGAGGGGGTTTTGGTTCATCCTTGCGCCATGCATCGGAAGCGCATCTTATAACCTATATATATATTCCCCCTCTTCTGAATTCTTTTTTCAAACTTTCGATTTTCCTACTTTGACCCTGATTTTTCCAGTTTCTTTCTCAATTCCCCCAGATCACGTTTTTAGCTACGAAGGCCCATAAAGAAAAGTGACAATAAAAAAAGAAACTAGAAGGAGAGGGAGAGGGAAATCCCACATACCATTCCTATAGACACATCTACACATATACAATCGACTTGCTTCGGTGGAGATCAGCGATCCCACCCCTCGTTCTTTGCTTCAGTTTTCCGTCTTAAATCTCTGCCTTCTTTCACCATGGCAGCTACCGACAACTATATGCCCTCCGGGCGCCGGGTGCGCCGCATCTCCAGTATTGAGGCCACTCGAGCAGACCTCTTTGGCGGCCCCAGTGTCGTTATCCCTCCTCAACACCTCATGGCTCCGAGCGGTGCCTACGAATCCGCACGGTCCATGTCCGTGGCGAAGTCGCATCTCGATGATGACATTTCCTCTCCTGAAACCACTCCTCGTGGGTCCACGCCGTCCTCGGATGATGGCCATGTTACTGCCAGTAAATATGCCTTTGCTTTCGACATCGACGGGGTTCTTATTCGTGGTGGCAAGGCCATTCCTGCTGCCGTTGAGGCAATGAAGGTGCTGAATGGGGAGAATGAATTTAAGGAGAAAGTGTAAGTTTCTTATGACAATATGCAATTGATTCATGTCTTTATTGTATATATGTATATATATATTATATAGCTAACCAGGTTCACTGTTCTACACTCCAGGCCGTACATTTTCGTCACAAATGGTGGCGGAAAGACGGAAGAAGAGAGATGTATCGATCTAAGCAAACAGCTGGAACTAGAAGTTTCTCCTGGCCAATTCATCTGCGGACACACGCCCATGCGAGAAATGGCCGAAAAATACAATACAGTGCTCGTGGTGGGCGGCGAGGGCGAGAAATGTCGAATCGTGGCTGAAGGGTACGGTTTCAAAGATGTCGTGACACCCGGCGACATAATAAAATACAACCAACACACCACCCCATTCAGAGAACTAACCGAAGAGGAATTCAAAAACTCACGCACGCGCGACTTCGAAAACGTCGTTATCGAGGCTATCTTCGTCTTTGCCGACAGCAGAGACTGGGCTGGTGATCAACAGATCATTCTTGACCTGTGCATGTCTAAGGGTGGCCGAATCGGCACACGCTCCGAAACCTTCGACGAAGGACCCCCGGTCTACTTCTCCCACAATGATATCGTCTGGTCTACGTCACACGAACACACCAGAATTGGCATGGGAGCCCTTCGGGCATCCGTCGAAGCCCTCTTCAGAGCCGTCACCGGCAAGGAACTCAAGACCATCGCCTTCGGCAAGCCACAGCTAGGAACCTTCCAGTTTGCCACGCGTCTGCTCCGACAATGGCGCAAGGAAACGCACGGCATCGACTCCGCGCCGGACACCGTGTATTTCGTTGGCGATACGCCAGAATCAGACATCCGCGGTACCAACGAGTACAACGCCTCGGATAAATGTGAGAATGATTGGTATTCCATCCTGGTAAAGACGGGCGTGTATGAGGATGGAACCACGCCACGATTTCCGCCCAACAAGACCGTCAATGACGTACTTGATGCCGTCAAGTTCGGCATGAATAGAGAGCATCTGCGAGAGATGAAGGAGGCGTCCATGAGGAATGCCAGCGTCGCTGTCGTCGATAAATGAATAAGACCGGGGACGTCTTATTTATTCGCTTTCCGCCTATTTACTTTATTCTGTAAAACTGGGTGGTGGGGATTTGCTTTGCCCTTTTTGTTTTAGTTATTGTTTCTTTTCTTCTTCTTCTTCTTCTTCTTGTTGCTATCATTCGCATTCAACACACATACCACCTTTCTGCACTTTCATCACTTATGATATTCCCCCTTAGAAGCTCTCAAGCTGCTACATGTCTTACACTGCCGATCCCTCTCTTCCACGCCATATCCCCTCGTCGCCCCCTTTGCAGATAAAAAAAGAGTGGCTTTCATGCCAGGTGACGAAATTCCATCATGACTTGACGATTTATCGTTTGTTTTTTATAACATGTTTTTTTTTTTTTTTTTTTTTTTTTTTTTTAATATCTCGGTTCTCTTTCTTCATTCCCCTTTACTACAGCCGTTTAACTGTTTACTTTGGCCAGCTCCAGGCGGGCTGTTTGTCGGAAACTCATATTTCTATATGCATGTACATCTCTTTTTTTGTCACTCGCGAAACACATCTCTAGAGGAAAAGAACAGAATTTTTTTTTTCTCCCTTAGACAGGGCCGGTTAGAAAAAAGAAAAGAAGAAAAAAAAGGAAGAAAAAAAAACTCTTAAAGGAAGGAGGAAAGAAAATATAAGGGTCGCCTGATGCAATTTTCAGTTTTCCTTCGCTCTTTGCGCTTGAATTCCTCAATGGTATATATATACAGACATATATCGGATACACGAATACACGGATGAATGAAGACATAACCCATTGGATTTGACCGTTGGAGTAAATGAAGCACCCCGAAAGCGAAGGAGGGGAGGAAGGGTGGTGGGGGGGTCTTCCTGCTATATATACAACAGTACCTGCGTCGTTAGATTATATTATTGATTAGGCGGATAGAAATAATTATTGAGCTGTTGTCGAAATACTTTTTACGCTCTCGTTTGCTGATGCGTAATCTCGGCCGGATGGGGGGTACGTCATCATGGGAGGAGTATGGTTGGTTCAGTGTCGAGCTGTCTTGAGTTTGATCCTTTCATCCATTGTCAACCTTACGGCAATTTGGATTTAACGGTGGGAAAGGTTTGGTAGATATCGTTCGAAAGGGTGGGTGGTGGATGTTGTTGGTGACAGAACACTTCCTGGCATCCGATCCATGTGGAGATCACGGACAGAACGGTTCCAGTAAACGATTTACCGGCATTGCGCTAACAGGATTGATCAATGCCAAGATGCGACTCCCGATTTCTCTCGACATGCTGTTGCATCCTCCGTTTTTACCTGATGATGGCGGCATAAAATTTCCCATGGAAATCAAACGGCGTTTCCAGCTTGAGGTGCACCCGTTCCTTACTTATCTCTTAAACAGTCTTGAGAAACATCAACGACTAGAGAAGCAAGTGATTTTACCTCCCTTGATATTTCCATCTCCAGACGACAACGTCGCCCTTGTGGTGGGCCATGCATCTGTTTTTACAAAACAGGAATATAATCCCATCCATACCGGTATCAAAAACCAGTATACATAACAATAACAGTGTACATGCTAAAGACGGATGGAAACAGCGTTGGCAACTGAGAGCCAATGACGGATGGACCTGATCTGAAAATCATTGTTTGGTCTTGGTGAAAAGTATAAATGTATCCGGAGAGCGGAATGAGATTCGAACTCTATACAGAGGTCAACAATTCGATATGGGATGATTGGGGTATATAAATGAATAAGGCGCAAATGAGTGGGATGGCCGATGTGATGGGCTAGGATTTTGAATAATAGTTACCAAACAGAAAACAAGCTGTATCCAGAAGTAAAACAAAAAGAGAAGATAGAAAAGAATCAGATATTCATCCCACCCATGCAATAAAAATAAAAGAAAAGGACAGTGAGAACACAAAAGATTTTTGAGGAAATGGTCATAATATTTCAAGGGAAAAAAAGAGGGCGATGATTGGGGGGGAAGGGTCAACAAGAGAAAGATACTCTATTATGTTAAAAAAAGGGGGGTCTTGCGATCCATGTTTTAGTCAAACAAAACCCACAAAAAAAAAAAAAAAATGAGCCCACCTCACTCAACAATAAGATATAAATCCTGCCCGTGGGCGTCAATTTCCCTTCCGGCGATCCCAGCGATCAGACTTCTCCGCAGAACCATCGCTATCATCGTTTGTCTTATCCTCTATCCCAGCGTCGTTGCTGCTGCGCCTGTCTCTCCTGCCACTCCCGGAACGCCAATGACGGCGACGGCGTCTCCAATACGCCCTGTGTTGCCCCGAGATCACCGGCGCCCGATTTATTCGCGGAGTTCAAAGGGCTGGGCCGCAGCCCGCTTGCTTTGTTAACATCTAGCTCGCTCTCCATTTTATTTGCGGTCGTCTCGCCGCGGCGCTTGCTTAGGAGGCTATCGCTGCTACTGATATTGCTGCTGGTGCAGTTATTGTGTGGCCCCTTGGTGTATGATGTGTATGATGGATAATGATGTTGCGGTTGCTGGTTTCTTGTGTGTGGTGGGGGTTGGAGACGCATAGGCAGTCGAAGTGGTTGATGGAATTTGGGAAATTTTGGAACGTTACTTGCGCCGCCGGAGGTATTGTGAAGTCGATGTTGATATGGGTGTTGGTGATGGTATGGATATGAATATAAGCGTGACTTGCTACCATTTGCTCCTCCACTAGTAGACATGTCGTTGCACCTTTCGCTTGGGTCTTTCCCTTGAAAATTATTATTATGTGGCGCGGACGGCCCGGTCATTGGTGGGTACTTCAACGGTATTGACAATGGCTTTGGGTAGGCATTTGGATCCGGTGATGTTGACCGTTCCCTGACGGGACTCAGGCGAGCGCTGGAACGCTTAGTAGCGGAGCCTCCATTCCTGGTCCTACTCCCCACGTTTGATTCCACAGATTCAGGGCCTGTAACTGACCCGGTGAGCGTTCGATCGTTCGATCGTCGTCGACTTTGATCGATCGGTCCTCTGTGCGGCCAGGCGCCCGCGCCTGCTTGTGAGTAGGAATTCAGGTGGCCGCTGGGTGCTATCCCGTTGGGCCGCATGGATGATCCGTAATCCATGCGTTGGTATGTAACCTTTGGAGGAGACATGGTCATATTCGTTCGAGCGTGGTACGAGCTGCTGCTAGCGGGAGTGACTAGTCTTAATGTTGGAGGCTGCCGCTGTCGCTGCCGTTGTTGCTGCTGTGGTTGTTGCTGTCTCCCATTATTCTGGTGCGCTGCGTATTGAGGACCATACTGTTTATTTTGTGATTGATTCCTACTAGCATTCACGGACATTCTATCATATCCATCGCTTGGATGTGTGGGTGGCCGCTGGGTATTTGTTGCAGCAAGGGCTCTCCTATCTTCATTATCTTCTTCTTCGAATAAGGTGGCCGCACTTTCCGGTCGGCGTCTTATGGGTTCCGCAATCGGATCCTGAGATGAAAATGCCTCGTAATTGGGTTTTTCCGGTAGTAACTGCGAGAGTCTACGGGGCGATTTGGACTTTGGCGGCGCATTGGGAGTGGACAGACTCGCATCATCGCTGTCCCTTTGGCTGTAAGCGGGATAGGAGAACGGAGCGTTTCTAGCATCGGAAGCAGCACCGGCTGGTTGGCTTGCATTGTTTGCTGGAAGAGTAAGCCGTCGGGCAACCGGTTCATTATATATGCCAATGGGCGATCTGAGAGCCCGGTCACCCCGATAGCCCACCAGGAAGTCGGGTGGAGAGGGCTCAGACATCTGCCCGCCGATCTCAAATCCGCTCTCATGAGCTGTCATCACCTTGTTTCGACGACGCTTTAGGCAAAACATTATGATCAAGGCCAACAACAGTGCCCCTGCAGCTGCGCCTCCAATGGAAATCCCTATTACCTGAGCACTCGTCATGGGATGTGCGTCCTCGACTGCTGGAGACTCAGATGGTTCGGGTGGAAGTCCAGTTGGCTGTGGAAACCATAAAATGCTGGTAGAGACTAAAGTGCTAGATGGTAACGGAGCGGAGTGAAGAGCGATGCTGGTACTTGAAGAAGTAGGTTTCACCATAGTGGACGTGAGGGAGATGCTCGAGTTTGAAGTTGGAGAGGGAGTGGGCTCGGCGAGTGTTGTTGAATGAGTCCGCTGCGCTTCTGTCGTGGTGGTGGTGGTTGTGGTGGTTGTCGCTGTAATGGTGATTACAGTATGTGTATTAGGAAGGGCATTCCGGATGCCAGAGCAGATGGTATATACCTGGAGCTCCCGGATGCCAGGATTTGAACAAAATCTGTACACACAACGTAGCGCACCTTCACCAAGCGTAAACCCCGCCGTAGATCGTCTCGTACATAGACAGGATAAATCGCGGGCGTTCTGGCAGGCTGCAGTGGGGAAATCCGACTCAATGAATGAGGCCAAGCAGCCCTGTGCGCAGGCAGGGACAACATTACCGGCAGTTACATTTGTGGCACGGGGTGGGATGTTTTCTGCCCGACAGAATGGAATTGGTACTGCAACTGCAAGGTGTAGAACAACTGCTAACAGAGCGTGAAAATGGCGCGACATGCTGTGGCAGCTCTAGATGAGAAAAAGAGAGTGAGCTAGGTATCCCAGCATTGAACGTCACTGTATGTTGTATATATTATGGATGCACAAAATGGTGAGCGGATGTAGTTAGACGCAATGGCTGAAAGGGCTATGGCAACAATGTCACGATGAAAGTAAGGAGTAGAGACCACCAAGTCTCACAGAAGTGACATCCAAAAAGCGCATTGCGTTTCCCATAGGGACATACCAATTCAAACCAGTCCAAGCTGTCCGGCAACGATCCTTCTGGATTCACCTGGGTCGGCTCATCATCATGCTACAACCATTCGCACAGGAATAGGAACCGGCTTTCCCCACGACGGAATATCGAAATGGATAAATAAGCAATGTGAAATCCCAAGAATGAAATGGTAGGAGACACTGGAATTATATGAGCATACAAGGGCGTAGAAACCCTACTGATGCAAAATCGTAGCGCAGAAAAACTGCGTATCAAAGAGAATCAAGCAGAAATGGAAACAAAACAAGGGAGGGAAACAGAACAAACAGGACAGAAAGCAAAAGCGGGCAAGCACAAGAAAAATAATATAGAAAAGCAAATAATAAACAACTATCATGAAGAAGACCCCACCCCCTCCAGATAGGAAGCGCGCGAAGGCGAGGGGGAACGCGATGTTTGAAGAACCCAGCAGCGAACCGCCACCCTTCTTCAGAAAAGAGTGGATATTCGAACAGTGCCAGTTAAGAGCATTGTTACCCGAACACAGTCAGGATCCAAGAAGAAAAGAGAGAGAATAAAACACGAAAAAAAAAAAAAAAGAAAGAAAGAAAGCCCAGACGGAGAGACAGTGGATATCTGCATCTCCAAAACTGCAGCAAACACTTGCCTCCCCCCACAAGAGCCACCTCCAGTGATTCAGCAAATGAAACTCTGGGCTTCTACATGCCGCCAGCAATCTGACTCGACAGGAGGGAGGGAGAGAGCAGGCGCAAAGAACACGAGCATGGCACGGGCGCTTTCAACTGCCCATCCTAGCCGTGGAGGCCACCGGGCCATCACAAAACATAAAATTAACCTCTCCATCCCATAATCGCCATCGCCATCGCCCTATAGGAAGGCAGCATGCCGGCCATCAGCGACTCGAGCCAGCAGAGACAGGAGCCAGAAGCAGCAGCAGGAGGAGGAGGAGGAGCAGAAGCCTAGCGCCGTGCTGAAACGCCGCAGATACAGCAACGCAGCGCTGCATCGTTGGCTGCGAGTGGCCTTGCACTGCGTGCCTTTTAAGCGCCGTGGTATGTTGGAATCCCAAGATCCAACGTTCCAGGATGCCAGAAGTGGAATCAGAAAGAAACAGCTTCGTTTCAGGGTGTGGAGGTGTTCGGCGGCTACACTGGAGTCACGTGGTGTGATGACATCATCGGTTGGCAGCCGGAGAGACTTCCTTCTTGAAGAACAGGACAGGACAGGACATGATGCATTGGACGTGAATCTGCTGACGTCTGCACAGCATCAGCCCCCCGTTATGTTCTGCCGAGAGCTCCAGATCGCCCGTGCATGGCATTGGGAATTAAACTCGGGTGGCTGCGGGCGGCTTACCCTGTACTAGTTGCTTATGAGGTCAGCCCCGGGCGAGCAGGCACACAACAGGAAAACATGTTTCTCAATCACGGAGTAAATTCGTCTATCCCAAAACGCTTCCTCGATACACATATATATACTACAATCGAAACCCTCATCTGCGCATTGTCTGTTAACTAGGCGCTACTGGTACTGTACAATCGACGATTCAGGTAATCAATCAATCAACCCAGGAAGGAAATCCAAACCAAGACGCGAAGGGTGTCAGAAATTGATTGAATAAAAGACACAGGGGCGAGGGGCGAGGGGCGAGAACAGAGCAAAATTTCTCATGTCTCCGGTGCGACCGCAGGAGTGCAAAGGGGGATTTCATGAAATGATGATGTGAATCAACGGGTAAACCAGGTGAAGGGAGGACGAGGAGTGGGATGGGGCTAGGCCCGCTGAGCCCTCGTTTTTGTGTCTGTTTTTGTTTTTGTTTTTTTTTTTTTTGTCTTCACTGGAACCATAGAGAACGCAGTTGGATGGAGATGGAAAAAAAAGAAAAAAGGAAAAAAGGGGAAAAACGGAAAGAGGAAAAGACTTGGGTGAACTGACGGTAACGCTCTTAGAAAATCAGGTAGAACGGAGAACGGAGAACGGAGAGGAAAGAACTGGTATCATTGAGGCGTAGAAAATAGAAAAGAGGAAAAGTTTTGGCCGTTCAAAACAAAAGGGAGGGGAAAAGAACTCAAAAGGGAAATTATATACATTCAGTTCGAAAACAAGGACATAGTCATTTCACCACCCCGACCAAAAAGTGGGGAAAAAAGGGGGGGATCATAGTCGATGCAATTCATGATATGAACGATGATAAGAGAAAAACCGCAAGAGACACGTTTCCCATCAGGCTTCTATCCTATCCTATCCTATCCTCCACCGCCCATGAACTTCGGTTTCGGGTGTGGCGCACCACTGCATTGAAATACACAACATCGAACGACAAAGGAACGGGGGAGAGCTGTTTCAAGAAACGAAAGCCCCATCGAGGCCGCAAACGGATTCGTCGGGGAGAGCCTTCATTGCCATGGGGATTCTGGCCGCTTGAGCAGCCAGGTGCGAAAAAGGAAAAGGGAAAAGGGGAAAAGATGCGATCGGGAATGGGGTTGAAGAAAGGGAAGGAATGCGATGCGATGCGATGCGGTTCAACCGGCCGGAGGAAACAGCATCAAACCGTCACACGGCTAGCACTAGTATTTGAGAATGATGTACCTGCACGAGGAAAGGGGAGCGGGTTAGTGGTGGTGATGTCGCACATATTCATGGATAAATGGATATATCGGAGAGAACGAGCCAAGAGCCAAGAAACTTACAGCGCATGGATGATGCCGGGGATGTAGCCCAGGATGGTCAGACAGATGTTGATGAGAAGATCTGCGCCACAGCCGCGTTCAAGGAAGACGCCCAATGGAGGCAGGATGATGGCGAGGATGATTTTGCAGATGTCGCTGTATACGGGTTGGGCGGTGTATGTTAGCAGACAAGTAGATGTTCCAATTAATTAATTTTATTAAATTTATTGATATTTTCCATTTTTTTTCATAGCTGTGGGACAGGCAGAACTGTGGAGGAGGAAACACTCACGATGCGGTGAACGGCATGGTGGCGGGGCTGCTGGCAGACAGACAAGGATGCAACGGTGTGCGACGACGGCGATGAGTGATTTTTGTACTATTTCTGTTTCAACCTTCGCCTGCTGTGTTTCGCTGGGTCGTGGGAGGGGAAAAAAAAGAACTTGAGAAGCGTGGCGGAAGAAAAGAGGAAAACAGGGCGACGGGAGGAGGCAAAGTCCGCTATTTAAAGGAAACCGGGAAAGACAGCGCAGGAAGAAGGCAGCGGGATAGCCGAACAAGCCCTGGGCCCCAGCAATGACAAAGAGAACAAGGAATTTCTTTTTCTTCCAGGTCGACCTGCGAAAAATTGCGAAAAACTGCGCTTGGTGACAAACACCGTCGTCATCCTCTGCTAGTTGGCGCAGCCCTGCAAAGCCTCGATTCTGGCCGCAGATTACAGACTGTTCATTCATTCATTCCACGACGTGATTGGAGTTACTGGTATTCTACGGAGTACACCGTCTCTCTTGTAGCGCATACAAATGCAATGGTATATACCATCCCCCTGAGAACCTGATCATCCGACGTGGAGGCGACGATGATGGTGATGATGATGATGATGATGATATGCCTTGCCCCAGCCAACGTCATAGCGCCGCCACCGCCAGCGGTTGCTGCCGTGCGACGTTGCGTCGAGTCATCCGGCGACGGTGAAGGCGGATGCAGAACGGAGCGGAGCAGAGCAGAGCAGAGCAGAGCAGAGCAGAACTCGCTGACGAGAAAGGTTGAGGATCAATCGAGACTGTTGCCTGGCCTCGGCTTCTCTTCCGCTTCTGGAGTGTTTCGAATTCGAAGGAATAAAAACATGAATGGGTTCAACGTTTTCACTAGAGAAAGTACCAGTAACCACTAGTTAACTACACCTGAAGAGCCGCCACGATATAGTTCCTCCACAACCCCGCAAGTCGCCATATCTCGTAGTGATAGCTAATGAGTTGCACCTTGGTGTCTGATGACAAGCCCATCCCATCTATCGTCCACAAAACAGCTCGTCCAAGGTGTGTTGGTGTTGTTTGTGTCCCAGGAGAATTGCTCGCGATGTAGCTCGATTTGGGTTGATATCTTGTCGTTCATCTACAACCACCATCGCCATTGAACCCCCACTAGAATTCAATCTACAACTTATCGGTATCATCGATACTTTATATCACGGTCCAACAGGGCCACAAGTTCTAGTTAAATAGCAAAGATGACAAGATCTAAATATGCAAGACCGCCACGGCTTGGCACGAACGCTAACTAATCCCAGGCGTTGTCAAATCCAGCTACAGAACCGACTCCCTGGGTGCCACCACCCACAACTGCCTTGCGTTCCGCACAATCCATCTGCAAGAATCAGAGAACCCCTCCCACGCGTCTCCCCCTTTTACATGTCCACGCTCCTCCCACAATGCCTCTCTGGCCGAGCTGTGACTCCCCAGCGCTTGGGTGGCGGTAGCTCGTTGCTATATAAGGGTGCTGCCGCGGCGGTTTCGCGATTGGGCTTCTGCGTGCGGGGCGACAGCTACAGCTGCTGCTGCAGGAGCAGGAGCGGGAGCGGGAGCGGGAGCGGGAGTAGTGGGGTGCGGGGGATGTGGACACGGGTGAAACCGAGGGCGAGTGATCAAGCTCATACTCGTGGTCGTCGTTCTGGCTATGGATATGGACATGCGCTTCAGAAAAGGCGGGGTTTGTGTTCTGAGGCGCGGATGAATACGGGGGTGGATGCTAGGAGTGCTTCTTTGTTTATACGGGATCCGGCGCGGGTGGTCAGTCTATTTATTTTGTTTTTAAATTTTACTCTAAGAACGTCTTTAACTCTGGTGCGAATATAGCTGCCATCGGATATCATATCGAAATTACCGACCCTTCCGTGCAATGGCGACATTTCCTGCACGATCCCCGTCTTGCTCGTGACGCCCGCGTTCGCTTCTTGGATAGTTCAACCCCACTCGTTTCTATGTGAGTCGATTACGCACATTTTCCAGAATACGCCGCACGCGACGTCCAGTGGGGAGGAGGTCAGCTTCGTCTATTCCGTGGCAGCGGTTGTGGATAAACTGCCCCTTCCCAGCACAACATCAATTCCACCGGAAGGGGAAGGAGGCCGGGATGAACTAGCCGGGTGCGAAGGGGTATCTCTCTTCCTCGCGAACAGCGATGCTCTAGCCGCTAAGGTGGCCCACTCGCTACAAAGACGAGACATGTCTACTCCTGAAACGGAGCCTACGATATCCTACCTGTATCGCCAACTACCTGCGAAACATGCTTCCACGGCGGCAACCACCTTCGCCGAAGTTGGTGTTCGACTGGCCAACACCCTCTTCCTCAATGGCAAACCACGCACCATGCTTGCTTCGCGCTGGCGCTACAGCTCGCATCCCTCCCCAAACCCTACCTCAACTACCCTAACGCTAGACAAGGAATACAACCTCCTTAACTGCCGGATCGAAAGTGCAACGGAACCTCACACTGTCACTGCACGGTTGCCCCTCTACCCAGTTACGAGGCCTCGGGAGATAGTCACGAGCATGGGGAATATCATCAGCCAGCTCCGCCGCTGCAAGGACGACAGATCCAACTCGACGACGATCCACGCGTCGGCCGAGCTGGAGGAAGCGCTGCCAGCCTACCTCAAAGCAAACAACTTGCAGAACCAGCGAGTGGCCGTCTGGGCTTCAGTGCGGCCGGCTGCATCGCAGGCCGAACTTCTCGTTGCTTCAGGCACGTCTGTGTCTGCAGATGGAGATGTCAATCCCAACAGCAGCACCGGTGGGGCCAGTGCTGGATCTACTGTCGATCCGCTCGCCGCCATCAACGGCGGCACCAGACTCCACCGTGTCGTGAGCGGCGGAGGCGGGTGGGGTAAGAAGCAAGGGCTTCTATCTCTGGACCCTGAATACAGCTATCAGACCGGCGGAGGCGCGGCCGCCGCGGGCTTTGGGTGCGGTCGTCCCGTCCCCGAACTCTTCTTCGAAGAGATGGGTTCGGGCTCTTGTCCCGCGGCAAGGCGGGGTGGCGCGGATGCGGGAGGTGAGCTGATGGCGTACGCGTCCGATGAGGCCGGTCTGGGGTCGGTACGGTTCAAGGATGGGCGCCTCATGACTGATCTGTCGGAGATCGCGAAGGAGGGGAATGTGGTGCAGTTTCTGGTTGCCCCGTTGGATAGCCCGCGGGCGTCGGCGATAGTGGCAGAGAGGGATGAACCCGACGCTTTTGATGCCGGCCGTCGGGAAAAACAAACATCGCAAGTTTCGTTTGGGGTCATTCCTTCTTCTGATGCGAGTTGGCCGGAGGTCGGGGGGGAGGGAACACCTGATACTGGTAAGGACTTTGGTTCGGTTTTTCCAGGCCACGGCGACGGTGTAGTCCTGGTGGTGCCAAGCCATTTTGGAGCACTGTCAGAGAAGGGCCTAACCTATTCTGTATTTGATGCGGTAGTTTCTGACGGGGGACGCCGATGCCCTGGGCCACTGGTGCAGGGGACTAAAATCGATGTTCCCGGCTCGAGAATCATAGTTGGGTGTGTGGATGAGCAAGTCGCAGCGTAGAGTTGCGCATGGTCAAGCAGACTTTTGTGTACGATATCATAGAATATAAAGCCCAAGTGCATTTCCACGTATAATCTCTAGTTCACAGCATGACTACCCGCCTGTATAAGCTATCCATCGTATTCAATCTTTATACACAGCCAGCCCGCGAATACAGCACTCAACGGAGCGTATCATGTGACTCTCCACCACGTGATTTTGCACTAAGCCCTTCCCGGCAACCCCGGCCAGCCCCAGCCAAACGAACATTGAAGCCTCACAGCTCCAAACGTCAAACCAAACCTCCCACAAGCCCACGAAGAAACCCATCACCCCAAGCCCTGCTGCGAGACTCCCATTGCTATCCGGATCCCTTCATATATACCTATACCCGGGAGAACTCATTCCGCCAAACTCACAGTCACTCTCCCAAAATGTCTTCAGATCTTTGGTAAGCTGTCGTGTTATCTAGGTCCACTTCATCGATGCATACTGCACACCCAAGGGTGTTGGGTTTGAGATGCCTCAGCAATTAAGGTATCCTGCTTACTGTAGGCCATCATGCTAATCTTATCCATTTCCACTTCTAGTCCCGTTTACGCGGTATGTCCAACCATCTGTCCTCTATATCTTCACACCATGTTCCTTGCAGGACGCAGAGGGAAACCAGCGAAATTGGCTGTTTTGTTGAGACATCCTCAGCTCCCCATTGCCTGCCATGAACCCCTCAAATATATCACCACAAGATGCTAATAGTAGACCCGAAATCAAACCCCTATAGCCGTTTTTCGGTGTTATGGGCTGCGCTTGCGCCATCGTCTTCACATGCCTTGGTGCTGCCTATGGAACTGCCAAATCAGGTGTTGGTGTCTGCGCGACCTCCGTCCTGCGACCTGACCTGATGGTCAAAAGTAAGGTTTTCTATATCTTTGCGTGGAAAATTAATTTGTTGTTCTCTTCCCGAAAGAAGAATTTGCAGGAGCTATCTGCCAATATCAGGTGTTGAAGACATAACGGCAGATTCTACCACCCGGCGACACGATGTGCACTCTGCATTGACATGCTTTATATATATATATATATATATATATATATATATGCAAAATGTTTTTAGTGGCTAACTCATGCTTGTCATGCGGCTACAAACAGATATCGTCCCCATTGTCATGGCTGGTATCATTGCTATTTACGGATTGGTCGTGGCAGTGCTTATTGCCAATGATCTAAAACCCAAGATCTCGCTTTTTACTGGATTCATTCAACTGGGTGCTGGATTGTCCGTTGGGCTGTCCGGTTTGGCTGCTGGGTATGTTTCCCTAATCTGAATCAAGATAACCCTCTTGAAACCAAAGCTAGAAGCAGAAGTTGCAACTAATGATGTTTTGTTATAGTTTTGCCATTGGAATTGTTGGAGATGCGGGTATCAGAGGAACAGCTCAACAAAGCAGACTTTTCGTCGCGATGATCTTGATTCTCATTTTCGCTGAAGTGTTGGGTTTGTGATTTCTTCCTTGCTTGCTTCGTCCAACAGCCCCCCACCCTTGCCAATCTCTATTCATTGACCCTCCACACAACGTCATTTTCAAAAACCTCTTGTTCGTGGTCCTAACCATATGCGATTCAATACAGGTCTGTACGGCCTTATCGTGGCTCTCCTGATGAACTCACACTCCAAGCTTGATGCCGGGTGTTAAACGTTTGAACATTCCCATCCCCTCCGAACGGTGCAAAATATTCCTGGGGAATTGGACCTCTTTACCAAACCCAACCAGCGTTATATTAAGCCCAGATCAACCCGGGGTTATCGTATCTGATCGGAAACATCATGACCTCCAAAATTTGGATAAAGATATTTATTGCGAACCACATTGAATCTTGACAAATCAATCACCTTCAAAGGAGGAAATACAGAATAAAGTACAGTAAAAACACGCTAATTTTATCTACTCCACCCCTCCTCTTTCAATCTTTGCATCACCACATGTTTACGTCGGCTGTTCCCTCTCCCTGGTACATTTCTTCCAGTTTTCTGCTCCCTACTTTTATGATCCTTTCATTCTTTTCATTTGCTTTTGTATTTCTCCTGTTCCCCTGAATCTGCGGATGCTAGCTTAGTTTTTTTGCCTCAAATTTATGGAATATATATCTATCGTTGATCTGGATGGCTAGTCGGGTTTGTGAAAGGGGGCTCGGAATGTGAAAACTGAAACGTGTAATTATATATATCTTACATATCTTCTTCCTTCTTTCTTTCTTTCTTTCTTCTCCTCTTCGTCAGATGAATACATGGGAGAGGGGAGAGAAGAGTGTCGATCAAGGAGAATGGGAAGGGATGAATCATCGGATGCCTTAGTTTTATATTTTTGAGGTATGGGTATAAGTATCCCCCTTTTTAATTCCTATTTTTATTTTTACTTTTTTTTTTCATTCATTCTTTCATTCCTTTTCCCTCGACTATTTCATGGCACCTTTTTGTATTCCAAGGTGAGGGATGCCAGTTGTGGGATATGGGGGCTATGTTGTACTGTACATTGTATCCTTTCTGGTTCCCTCCCTTTCTTTCCGTCAAATCTTTTTTGGTAGCACCTGAGTGAATAGAGTTTTGTTTTGTTTGTTTTGTTCTGTTTTTGTTTTCGCGATTTTTGTGACCTTTGTGGAAGGAGACTCGCAATTGACCAGGCGGAATGACGGGGGGGTTGTGTAGTTTCGTGAATAAGGCATATTCGCATAACCGAGAGAATGTGTCTACATCGACTCCTGACCAGTCAGCGCCTCCAGTTTTTGCCACTTTCATTCGACTGTTTATAAGAGCATTCAGGCATTGAGAAACCCTTACCAATGCAGAAGAATGTACGGTTACTTACTTCCTTCATATTGGCACCAACAGTGACGACCTCCCGAAGACGCCCCTCCATCTGGAACGATGATTACCCAGAGACGCAGCGCCGAAAACACCGTTTCATGTACTCCGTAAGAGGAATGATTGGATATCACCAGCATTTGCAAGATTCAGTAACCTTTAGTACGCACCACGGGCCACAGTATTATGATTCATGAGACAATGGAGAAGTGTAGAATAGCAAATGAGAGAAGCTGCTTATACGGCTATGTGCAAAAAATCAATATGTCAAGATAAGCTGATATAGAAACCAATGAAGAAAGAATGTTCAATTTACCCACCTTTTTGAATGTCAATAGCCAGGGAGATTGTAACCCAGTGCATCTGCAGAAGCATTACAATGGCTCGGAGATTTAGTGATCTTATTTCATTTCTTTATCTTAGAATAATTCTTAAAAAAATATAATCTACTTCTTTACAAAAGAGACAGACATTATTGTTTATATAATACTGTTATTCATTTATAGTTAAGTCTTTTAACTTATTTAGATGTCATTGATTGTCTAAAAAGACATCACCAGAGAATTATTATGATTTCACATATAATGATAGATTCTCACTTCTAAGCATAGATATGTTGAGCACAGGTAACAGAAAGCCGGCCGGCCACCCCTTGGAGGGCTCCCACCCATACATTCTACTGCCTTAATTTAATATCTTATTTTCCTATTCGAATTCCTTCCGATATGTAACCTCGTATATCTTTATATAGCTCTATCGGTCGTAGAGTCGTAAGGACCTCCTCCTGAATAAGCAACGAGCTTCATCCTCGCCGCTACATGGCGATCTATATAGGCTAGAGTAGATGCTACCTAGTCATATATTGGTAGATCATATGTTGGGCGTAGCTCGAGTCATTGCATGTGACCATTAGCATCACGGGCCGGATCAAACTGGAACACACCAGAGAAGGGGCTGGAGAACACCAGGGCGGCCCAGCAGGAACACCAACAGATTGATTTATGTTTGATTGAACCAGAGTTATGCTTTAAACTAGAACAACAGATTGTATATGTATAAATATATCACAGCCAAGTGCGCATAGTTGCCGGAAAAACAATATTGAAAACATAACTATATGCTACGCCACAACCACGGACGACGGAAAAGGAGAAGCAACATGATGCAGGTGATAAAGGGAAGTGGGAGATGAGTTTGGCGGCGAAAATTGAGGAGAAAAAACAAGGAGAAGCCCAGATAAAACAGGCAAAAGTTCAAACTGGAACATCTCTGTTAAGGAAAAACAAGACCGGGGCAAAAGAAAATGGATTATTTTCATAACAATAATAATAGCAACAGTAACACAAACATGTTATTATGCTTTATCCAATTTCCGTCTCAGCGTCCTCGTCCTCCGCATTAGTTTTTTATGTTTATGCTTCTTCATTTTCAATTTACGCTGTCTCTTGACGCTGATGGCGTAGTAAACTTTCCGGCCCATTGAATGCGGCACACGATGCTGCTGTCGATGGCGGTTCATCTCCGGCTCTGATATTGAAAATAAGCCTCCCTGGTCTTGTATCACTTTTTCACCTTCGTAAACAGAGGATGAAGGGGCGTCTTTGTTATCAATGCGGACGAGCGGTGAGCTGTGGGCTTCGTAGGTCTTGCGGCCGTCGCCGTGAGTGGATTCGGTGATGGTAAGGAGGGTGGAGTAGCTTTGTTCCTTCACATCTTCTTGAAGTTCAGATTCAGCGGCTTCGGTGGTTTCAGCTTCTAGGGTGGCATCTTGTTCTCCGAAACTTTCCATAGGGACTGGCGGTGGCGGGGGGTTGAATGGTCGGAGCTTCTTTGCGAAATCCTGGATGGAGATGCGGAGGTCGTCCATTGGGAGGTCATCGGGGTTGCTGAAGTGATCGGAGTCCACAGTTTTGGCAGATCCCTGAGAGATAGCATTTCCTAAATTGTTGTTCCCTACAGGGTGATTAGATTGAGTGTTGGGTAATACCCCTTCGATAGAGTTGACTACTGAGGAGAGGGTATATATGACGTCGTTTGGCCGGGGTTTGGATGATTTCTTCGAAGAAAAAATGGCATCAAAAGCATCTGGGTTGGAATTTGATGGCACAGACGTTGTGACGGATATCGGTCGATGCGTCGAGAAGAAGGATGCTACATGGATATCTATAGCAAGGTATTATTATTAGAAAAAGAGTCATGTCATGCGCTCCAAAAAGCCAAACCACGTGACACGACTTTGGAGGGCGGTAAAAAGATGTTGCTCGCGGAAATGAGTCGAAACTTACCATGAGGGTGAAGATGCTGTGTAGAAGGAACACTGGGAAGGTTTAGAAAGGGCTCATTGTTTTTTGATTTAGCAGAGACATTGCTGCTATCTTTGCCACCTCGTCGTTTCGCCGGTTTCCCCTCGCGCTTCTCGGCACCTTCTTTGTTCGACGGGCTCACGCTCTTAGTGGGAGATTGTGACGAGGTATCAATGCCCCGGGAGCCGTCACTTGGGGGAACGGGAGGTTTAGAAGATGAGTATCGACGTTGGTGGCTACGGGATCTTGACAGGCGACCTACGGCGGTTGAGGGACGAGCGGGAGGTGGGAGCGTGATGACTGGGCTCGAGCGAGCAAGGAAACGAGCTGAGGAGGGGAACATGGTTGGTATCGTGGAATGCGGAATGCAGCCGCACGAGTTCAGCAATGGAGAACTCTTGTGCGAGTGCACAGTCGGCGGGAAGGGGGAGGAAGGGGAGGAACATCAGAGAATTGCAGCATTGTTGTGTCTTCAACATTTCAGTCCAAACCCCGTTTAGAGTTTTATTCCTAATTCGGACAAGCGCAATCACAGTGATTATATCATCAAACAACACGTGATTATACCCGCGAAGGAGATAACCGCGAGTGATATCTGCCAAACTTGGGTGCATATAGAGATGTACTACTATGTACGAATAGATTGGGAGGGGAGAACGAGAACAAGTAGTGGACATACATACTGAAGCGGGAATCCCCCCTATCTACAGCCCGTACTGAGGGGGGGGGATCCGGCTACTCTCCCCCATTCAACAGTGAAAATGAGAACATGTCAAATCGTCCAGCCATTTCATTGAGGTTCTTGCTCTTATTTGAATTCGCAATCATTCGGAGCCATTTCGGAGTCTCATTCTCTTTAAGGCCCTTGGCTATCTATATACATACACAGTACAGAAGTAATTTGAGAACACAACCAGGAGATACAAGGTGGGGTGAGCGAACGCTTCAATGCTGAAAGATAAAATCCTAACGTAGTGTTTTCCCTTCGTTTAGCATGGGTTGCCCGGCTCGCGTGCAACGGGAATCGCTCTCCAGTAATCCCTTTGCTCCGAAAATGTGAAAAACCAACATGCCATTCTCTCTCGAGGACTGAATTTCAAATCTGAGAAGTGTATCCGGCACGTGTTCGGTGTGGTTTGCTGTTTGATTAATGACCCGCATGATCATCAACATATCCGAATTTCTATCCTTATTGATGCAGGATGGTCGACAGGGGTTATCTGTGAACCAAATGAAGGAGAAGGGACAATATTTGTGCATAGAGCAGAGAAGAGAAAAAGAGGGAGCAACGGGTAAACGGAAAAGGAATACTTATATATGAACAGAACGGAGTAGGAAAAAAAATGGCAAAAAAAGAAGAAGAAAAGGAACCCAGTAAAGCATGAAGAAATCTCTCTAAGGCGGAAGGAAAATAACAAAAGATGAAACATAATATAAGACTGAAATTCAAGGCCATAGCCAGGTCATTTCCCAGGTATCTCATGCCCATTAAGGGTCCGCGAACGAAAGAAAAAAAAATGTTGGTAAGAACGCATGAAGCAGAAGAAAAGGTTATCCGCTCAAAAACCTATTCATCAAGGATATTGGGTGATCAAACTCGAAGCGTAATAGGCGTGTAGTGAGCAGGGTCAAGGGCAGACAAGAAAACCGGGAGGAAGAGAAGAGAAGAGAAGGGTATGAAGAAGAAGCGAAAATAGAAAAGCACACAAAAGCAAGGGCAAAACGAAAACATAGCGAAAATGGGGAAGGAAGATGTACATGCATGCGAAGGATATAGCTACAAGCTTCTGCCCCTGCTGGTCGTAGAAAATACAAACTAAAAACTAAAAATGAACCGTTGAGATGGAAACGAGGAAAATAGAAAAACACTTGTTAGAGCTTACACATGAATATGTAGCATTAGATAGTGGCTCCTTTGCCAAGACTACAGCCAACCGAAAAAAAAAAAAGTCAGAATCCATTTCGTTGGCCACGAAGCAGAATCAAATAGAAAGCAGACTTGAAGGGAGAAAATCGAAGGGAGGAGAAAGGGGGGTTTTATCGGACTTAAGGGTGATTTTGTAAGATTTCATTTTCGGTGGGGGAACGAAACATGATGTATCTGTGTAGAAAACGCCTGCCGCAGATTATTTTTATTTGGTGTTGCACCTACAGAATCAGGTTGTTAAGGTTCTTCTGGATAATCATGTCTTGTACTGAATCCATTGTGGCTTTTAGGAGGTTGGTGTCCGTTGCGTTCGTCTGGTGGATGTAGATTTCCCGTTCGGGGACTCGAGTGATACCGCGGAAGCGTTGTGCAAAGAATTTGACGGCCGGTTCAAAACTGCCTTCCGGGCCTTGATAATCTGGGAAGTGTTTGGAGACTGGAGATATAGCGATCTTTTCCTTGAAGAGATCTATTTTGTTGAGAAACAAGATCACCGGCTTCCGTTTGAACCACTCCCCGTTTACCAAGGATTCGAAAAGCATCATCGCCTCGTGCATTTGATTCTGCACGCGCAACACATATAATCTGTCAGTTCATGCTCGCACCGAAGATGCTTAAGACGATCACTGAGGTTTTCGAGCGTACCGCATTCTGATCTTCAACAAGACACTGGTCATAACCTGACATAGCAACCATGAATAAAAGACATTGCACTCCCTCGAAGCAATGAATCCACTTTTTCCGTTCTGATCGTTGACCTCCAACGTCCATCATTCGGAAATTTATTTGGCCCAATTCAAATAAAGTTTCTGTGATACCGGTAGTTCGGAGTCGGGAATGGAGCATGTCTTGGTTATTGGGTAGCCACCCAGGGGTAAACACGCGCTCGAGAGATTTGAAATAGCTGTGAAATAAATCGCAACATTAGGTTTTACATTTTCTCGAGATCTGCCAAGACCAAGTTCTCGAATGTGCTTACTATTGAAGATTATCATGGAGTGCAAATTCGTGACCTCGGGAAACGGCTTTTTGTACACCTTTATCTAGCCACAATTTTTGCATAGCACCCTTGATGCTGAGGTCACTGAAAGCCTCGTCCGAATCTACATCCGGATCTGTCGTACTCAATAGCTCGGCGAGAGGCTACAAGACATTTTATGTAAGCAAGCAGCACAGTTGTGGTATCCGAACAGCTGAATTCAAGGTGAAGCACATGCCTTTGTCTCTTCGTTCTCGAAGTCAATTTGTTCCGTTTTCATGATATCCAACAGGACTTTGAACGCAACCACCATGTTAGAGTAAATGACAGCCCGATTTTGTCGTCGTTCGTCTTCTGGGAAGCCGCCTGAGTGGATAATTCGCATTTGCTTAATAATGGTTGACTTGCCGGATTCACCAGCGCCTAAAGTTAGAAATATCAAAACATGTCAATTCTGTCGACGGATTGCATAGATGATAGATAAATAGACCCATCACCTGGGTGGCAAAGCGGATTTGTCTGACGAACCAAGAAGGAGAATCTTCACTGTCCGATCTTGAACCTTTTTGTCCATCCGGATCATCTTATCGATTACAGCGGTTTGCCTCACTGCTACCCTCTCATCTGGGTCGACAGGGGTGGAGCTTCCGCAACCCATGATTTGGTTGCGAAAAGCGCGAATCTTACCTATAAAAAAAGTGATTAGCCGGTAAAACAAAGAAATGGAATCACGACCTCGTCTAGCTCCCGAATAGATGGGCGGTAGAGAAGGTAGTCCGTGTAGAGTCTGAATCGCCGGTTTCCGGAATTTATGGAGTCATAGATCCCCTTAGAATGAACACTATAGGTGATGCGGAATGGGTGGCGAAAAGAAGGAGCAAAGGACTAAGACATCACCGGTAGAGTTGTACATGGCTCATACTTACGACCAAGTAATTGGATCTTCTATGATGCACAGTCTATCCAGACCCGGCTCAGTTAGAATGCAATGTATGCCAGGTATAAGGTAAAAAACCCCAAGCCCACGCGTGAGCACGGGGAACCGAAACACTGTCCCATTTTGGGCCCGTAGCTAAGGGGAGAACAGTAGGGAGGAAGCACGTACTGGAAATAAGAGAGCAGATACAGAATTCCCGAAGAAATCGGAAACGATAATAGGGCAGAATCCAAGTGGCACAAGAGCTATGGCGTGTATCTATTCGTGGGGTAACCAAGTGCCTTTGGTACGACAACGGGCTTCCGCCCACGCCTCCGATACCCCGGTGGAAACGGCTTGAGCAGTCAAAGCGGGCTTTGGGAACCCGAAAACAATACTATGTAGTTGACAGCCCTGGGCCGAGCCTAGCATATGCCTGTGCTCAGTGTTATGATGTGTCCGTTCTACACAGGTAATTGAATAGGGCAAGATAGGAACCCAGAACGACGGGAGATAGGGACTTGTTTGAGAACAAGGGGTTTTTTTTTTCTTTGCGGGGTTCAAGTAACGTTTAACGTCGGACGAAATGTGTGATGGACTATGGCCGTTATATTGCTGATTGGAACCGGCTGGATGCTGTGTTAGGAACTGTTGCTGGAGAGGAAGCCAACTCACGGGGGGTTTGGTATTGGATTGGATCGCAACGGAGATTTACGGCGGAGATGGGCAAGAGAAAAGCGAGCAACGTCTGGATGTTTTGCCAGAAGAATGCGGATTGCGCAACACAAGACCATTCACGCAGCACCGGGTCTCAACCACGACACAGTGAATTGGAGCGAGAGAAAGGAGGAGAGTTGTCGCTGGGAGGAAGCCTGTGTGATGATAGCGAAGAAATGCCAATTGCACCGGCTTGCCATTGTGTCCCGGCGGATTTGGTGTTAGTGTCAGCCGCGCATGGGGGAAGCATCAGGCCGAAGTGGGCTCTGGCCTGCCTTGGCTCCCCGCCAGAGTCCATCCCAGCCATGCGAAATCTCCCATCCGCGAAGGTCAGCGGGTCAGCGGGCTGGAGCTGGAGCCGGGGCCGGATCATCGTCACGGCTGCGAGCTATTATTCCGTGTTAAAGACCGGTCTGTGTCTAGAGATGTCCCATCCCTCCTTTGAATCCTGCTGTCCTACGTTTCCAACGTTGACATATAAGCTTGCAGCGTTTATCTGTTGTCTGGACCAGGCCTGACACCCTCCCTGGTGGCGTGGACGGGAAGAAACCGTGGCACGTTGCTTCTGGAGCCGTGGTTTTTGGGTGGGAATGGCTGCTGAGCGCTTAAAGAATTTAAGATTCCCCGTCAAGCCACCGCCCATTAATTCTCATGGCACCATTGCCTGAGAGAACGGCCAGCAATTGGCTCGGCAGAATACTATGATCTTAGTTGCATTAGTCGTCCGGCCCGCTAATCCAGCCCTGGAAGCATCCGAGAACATTTGCAACTTGCAAGGGCATGTAAAATCCATACTGCCCGTATCAAAACAGCAACGACCAGCAGCTCGAACGAAACGAGCAACCTTGTCCAATCATATGGCCACTGAGAGTATTTTGTGCGAGTAAATGACGGCCACATGCTGGTGAGTCTCCACATCGTCTTTGTAAGTCGTCAAGATTCATCAAGCGCATTTCATTCACCATCCCTCCAAGTCTCGAGCACATTGTCGCTATGTACATCTTTGTTATTTATTGCTTGGGGGAAGAAGAAAGACTCTTGCTTGCATATCAACTATCATCCGTCCACAACAATCGTTAGCCAATTATCGAGATTCTACGCCTTCCGCTTACTCGCATGGTGTAGTCAAGCCCCTCCTGTTGAGTTTTTGGCAAGCATTTCTTCCAAACTCTCCTCCAAACTCTCCTCCAAACTCTCCGCCAGACAATGGCTTTCATGCGATCATGATCGCCAAGCCAATGAAATTGTGGCGCCGTTTACCTTTCTACTGGTAATTTTATTAGCATACTTGGTTGAACCCCATGACTGTCATAATTCCGGAAGCGACCCCCATAGAAGAAGAAGAGGGATGGCAAAAAGAGAATCTGTAAAAATTTAGGTAATCTGACAACAGTGACAAGTGAGGAAAGCGCAAAATTGATATGGCGAAGCAATGAAATGGCTGAAAATGATTGTCAACGAATTGACGCCTCTCTGCGTAAGCCGATCCCAGTCGAATCCCACGCCTCCACAATGGAACTGCCGATTTTCAGGAGATGGCTTTTTTGGCTGCTTTAAACGGATTCAGCGTTTCAGAAAACAGCTTGACATTTCTTCCATGTTCCGCGAGCCAGTAGAGCCGCCCACGACCTTGCATGGTGCTCATGACCAAGACAGCCAAGACAGCCGATACTTGGAGCCTCCCCTAAAAAAGTATAGTGAGAACTGGCGCCCTACCCTTTCTGGAGCGCTCTCAGGAAACAGAAAGATGTGTCACATTTCTGTTTGACATTTTCGCTTCGATTCTCAGGTTCCCTGCCCGTAACTACCTCCATGCGCTTGGAAAAACGGGGATAGGGCTCATCCATTCACGTTCTTGTGTCTTGTGTGGCTTCTCAGCAGTCATCAGCTCATGGACTTCCGGCGCCCTGATTTTAAGGTCGTGGCGCGAAAGCAACCAGCAACAAAATATGATATAATTTGGCCAACCATGTAGGAATGAATGCCTGACTGGTGCTGTGATTGTCTCAGAAGCGCTCATGGGCTCGAATTAGTCCAACTTCCTTGCTCGTCTTCCTTTTTGATTTGAAGTAAAGCTACGTGCGCACCTTCAGGTTTCAAGCAAAGCACGGCTAGTAGGAAAAGCAAGCGTCGAACCCGTTCGCCAACTCCTAACCAGGGGTATCTATAGCAAATTATCGAACGGACATACAATCGTGATGATAAGGCAAATACATATGGTGGAGCTTAACAACCAGATTCAGATGTCTCGTCAAAGGAAAAAAACCACACATCTATTAGCTCTCGCGTCCGCAGCTGCCACTCGTTTGGAACAGATTAGCAGCTCTGCAAAACCAACGCTTCGGGTTACCTCGACATGGATGAATGCTGGGTTGGGATCCCATCCCATTGATCGTCGTCGTTGAGCTTCCATGGACAAATTTACTGGACCCATTATTATCATGGTAACGGAAATTTGATAGTTACGTTTAGCGAAAAGCTGTTTGAATCGAGGGTCATGACTTTGTGTTTCGATTTCTCTTGACTCACACAGCAAGAGTTCCCGATTTTCCTTCGCCATACAAATACTTCGCTGATTTCACTTCCCCCCCTTGTGGGACAAACTTCCGAAAACCATCGGGCCTGAATTTACCATTTGAATACCACTGTATCTTCGCTCGGAGGATTTATACTTATACCGTAATTTGGCTAATTTACACTCGTTCTAAATTGATTACGCTGCGTAAGCCTTACATTTACATACAAATTATCTGACATTTCAAAGTATGTTGACTGTCTTAACTAGTTTGAATGGTTCTATATTATTCATTTAAGATTAGGGCTAACTAGTTAGTTAATTAAGGATTAACGCCTGGGAAATACGAGAGTTACATCATCTAGAGATTGAGAGGTGTGTGAGATAGTCAACTAAATATCGCTGGAATGTAACTTTACTGTTTATGTTTCTCGCAAAATCTTAGACTATCTCATCCAATTTGTTGCTAGCAAAAAATCCTGCATCCCTGATGTGACAACATCCATATCCTGATACAGAAATCAGAGGATCAGTTTCAAAGGGAATCTTTATTCGTGCAAGGTAACGTTATGCTAGGTATGAACATAATTCGAATATCCTCTTCGACGATCGCCAGGTTTTCCTCCAACCAAAAGAGCGTTGGGTTGAAAGGTAAACAGGTCGTCTGGCACCTCCAGGGGGACTATTTACAGCAGGATTCTGCTAAGTTCAAGCGTTAACGGAATTTCAATGCAGAAAAGGATCTATTCCAGTTCACTTGAGGCCGTTTTGTATACGACGAGAGCGGTCATTTCAGACGGCGGTGTATTCGGTTCGATCTTAAGTGGATCGAGATGCTTGCTGCAAACGCCGTCGGTGCTGCACGATGCATCAAAGATCAAGAAATGCCACGACAGCCTATATAACAAAGCTGACATCCTAACTATGAATATAGGTAGAGAAGTCGTTATTGGAAAGGTCCCGAACCCGAACACTGGCATCCGGCATCATCAATTGGTGTACTGGTACTATGCTCTACAGATTCTGCCACCGCAGGTGTATGCTTGGAATTCCCGAGTTGACGGAAACAATCTGGTCAGCGCAGAGTCTATTGTGATGATAAAATGCAAGGTATACCCCTCGCCCAAATCCAGGAGCGTTTCAGCTGCAAGATTGGATCAAAATATGTTTGCTATTTTTTCAAATTCTGAAATAAAGGGCGACTGCAGCCAAATTCTCTCATTCCGAAACCTCCACTATTGCAAGGATATCGAGTTAGCAATGCCAAGGACTCAACTGCATGTTGACGAAGCAGAGCAGCTTGTTGATAGTTCCCAATTCGCTAGAGGCCCTGCTGTTAGCCGAGAATAGGTTGACAATACCAGATGGAATCTGTGATCATGGCCCTTTAAGCCACGTCTTCCTATCCCATTTCTTTCGCATCTGCCCATTATCTTACGCTGGCCTTCGCTTAGCAATTGTGTTTCGAAAAGCTACTGCTGTTAGAACCTCCCAACAAATACCTAAGCAACTTGTGGTGTTTATCAGAAACAGCCTCTAGGACAGGCCACCTCCGGCATAATGATATCCATTTGGAAATCATATATATGTCAATCCCGCCAGCCTCAGAGAATTTCTTGGCATCGTAGACTGGAAAATCCGTGCAAATAATCACTCTTTTTGACCATTGCCGAACCCGGACTTCCTTGGCTAGGAGGGACCAGGCTTTGCCGACCCAATATACCTCCCCACTACACCGCAGCCTCCCTTATTTTGTTTACCACCAATCAGTTCCATATGTTTTCAGAATAAGGTTGGGAATGGAAATAAGGTTTGGAATGGAAGAAAGAAGGAAAATAAAGAAGCGTGGAGGAGAAGATCTTAAACTTCCTCTAATAACCAAAAAAGTTGACAACCTTGATCCGCCATTCGCGCCATTCGCGCCATTCGCCCGTTGCTACAAAGCTGCATCGTTACATCCCAGACGGCAATAAAAAAAACCAAGAACTCTGCAAAATATAGCGCCTATCGATTCGGGAGATCTGAAGCTGGCTATCTTGGATATCTTATCCAAAATATCGCCGTGCGTGGTGAAGCGCATGCCTGAGAATTATTGCTTGACCTGAGCGATGGATGGTCGCAAATTTTCTAGGGTCCAAAATTCTCTATTGAGTTCCCAAAAGATGAAATGACCGAAACCGAAAAGAAATGTACAGGCTGCTAATTCGATATTAAAATCATGCTTACAATCAAGGAGCAGTTGAGGGCCTTGAGCCCTGAAAAGGGCCTCATCGGGTACCGTAATTACGAACTCGCGATGATAAAATTGCGGCAGTTCAAATCAGAGCTCATGGATGCACTTGTGAAGAATGATAAAGATAAGGAGATATTTTTGAAATATTGGCCGTTTGATTGCCGAGAGTGCCTCGCACACGTAATCTCCCTCGCAAGCACACAAGATTGCGATTGTTTACGTACAGCATATCCACATGATGGGTGCGAAGAATTTTTTCCTATCGCAAGGCCAAATACAAAGTAAACTCACAGAAGGCACGCACAAGGACACGAAAGATATGGAATGACCAAATGCCATAAATCACCTGTGAGGCTACCCGGGCATCTGTTCAATAATCAATGACCCTTTCCAGGGTTAATATTCCCTGGAGCCTTTTGTGATTGACCCCAGCTTCCGCACCATTGATGCAAACCTCTTCTCCCCCACCCTCGAGCTTTCCAGCTTTTCTGTCATCCATTTCTTAAAACATATTACCTTATTAGTTAATGACAAATTTCATTTTCCCAAGAGTCAATTCGGTGGAATAATGTGCATGATCATAGATCCACCGCTGCAAATTGTCAAAACATGAGTCTTTTTAGGTCCGGAGAAGATCTGTCCCAAACGTTGACCTCCATGGCTTAAGCTTATCAGGAAAATATGATCTCCTCTTGATTGAGCGGCTGTGATGAGAGATCACAACAATCTTCTGCTTCAGACCTGCTTCTGTCCTTCTAGTTGAAGTGATTGCATTCATCAATCACTTTACCTCATTTGCATGTTTAACAGTACGGTTTTCAACAATTCAGTTCGCAACCTGATGGAAGTCATTAATCTTGTGGGGCTCAATCTCCTTGGCTTCAAGTAATATTTGTGGATGTCAGGTATGTCCCAGAAGTTGTAACATTTTTCAAATCAACCCTTTTAGCTCATTACAATCAATCAGCTATTCAAAACTGGCTCTGCCCAGCTGCTTGATAGAGCCCATGTGAGATACCAAAGATTCATGGTTTCCAAGAATTAGGTCGGCTGCTGTGGATAGCTTGCACTGGGTACTTGTTCCTTCGCGGACAAATCTTGAGTGAGCTCGTTTTGCTCAACTTGGCGTACTATTTTCTTACACGCATTTGATTCATTTTTGAGTCGTGATGCCCCGTGATTCAACGGGGATCTTCGATAAGGTTCCAATAGGCTCACATGATACATCGGGCTCCCATCCCATGCGCTTCTCGTATTTGCCGATACCCGCGTCGTCGAACTTCGAGATGTGTTGATCAAGGCTCGGGAGTCAGAAAGCCTCGTTTTTGAAGCCCCAACTCCAGTGCCTGGTCAAATATTTGAAATGTTTCCGCATCCCAGTTTGGCTGTCAAAGAGGCCAATTTAGTTTCCAAAAATGTCTCAACCTTTGGCGAGGCAGTGGAGAAGAAGATATGACAAGGTTATCTGATCCTGTCGTCCTTGAGTATACGAGTGTCCACGCCAACTTTCTTTGAGTGGTCATCCAGTGCTCGATTCCAAATCTGTCTTTTTTCAAGGAGGCACCATGAATTCCTGGTCCAAATACCTTTTGCATCAATTGGGCTAGTCGTTTGGATCTCAATTAAACCCGCAAGCTTGGCCCCTTGCGCTTCACGGAGTGGTGGAGGTTATGATACTAACTGAAGCTCAGCACAACATCAGAAGCAATTCTGACTTCCAGTATTGCAATTCCGGCACCGTCGTGATCAGCACATATCGTTGAGCCATCTTCGCAGGCTGGAGATGGGGCCTGTGATAACTCACGACCACCACTTGTTGGGATATGACTTGTTACATGACCTCTTGTATTCCCAACCGCAGCCAGCCTGTCATAAATTAAAACGACTTCCATCCTGGCTTACCTACTAGAAGGTTTGATCTTGTCCTTGTGGGATGATCTCCTTTATGATTTTGTAAATGGACAGGATCTTTCGAGAAGAAAAGAGATACTTTCAATAGTCCAACAAACACATCAACTTCTTTCAAATTTTCAGGCATTGAGAAGGAATCGTACCTCATCAGTTGCCTCACCAGGACCTCCATTCTGCCATTCTGTCAAACCATATGACAACCTGTTGCGGACTAGCGAAGAGTCTCTGATTACTTCTTAACATACTGATCAACTTGTAGTTTCATTCAGGCTTAGAATCCAACCTGGAAATCGATGACCTGTTTCACTTGAGATCGTTGGGTTGGAGACTTCTGAAATATAGCTCCTAGTTGTCTTTATTGAAACGATTGACCGTTTTCTGCGCTCGTTTCAATGTTCAATGCGCTCAATTTTCAACCAACGAAGATGAACAACCGGATCTTCTGCCTCACATTTATCAGGAGGGCCAACCCCCCCAGCTGCCGACTTATATCTTCCGAGTACGCCCTTCGCTATTGGTTCTTTGAAAAATCTTCGCAACGGCCTTCCTTGCATAATCATCTATTTCTGGAAAGCCTCGATATGTCACAATATACATACTCTCTGACCTCCATACGTATTCATAATCGGGAACCTTCCCAATTTTTGTTATCAGCATATATTGCGAACATGCTATTATTAGGTCCAATAGGCCTAGGAATATGTGAAGATAGCAGGGGAACCAATATGGCACCTACTCTGAGCCTGGAAAACTTCGTCACCATAGGCTGCTGAAGCGCTTAGACAGTAATATTCTTTCGGGGTGCCAGGGGCTGTGATGAGAATCGTTCGCGTTTCCAATCGCTCACGGTTTTGTGGCCGTCGCCGTTACCACTACTCCCATATTGCCCACAATTATCAATCTTCCACTCTCGCAACGGAGAAGAATCAACCTCACGAGGGGAAAGGATTTCTCCCTTTGCACCAACCAGCAAGAAGCAATATACCAGGATATGCTGGATATACTCAAAAGCCAAAGCTCCACAAGAAAATGGTTGGGATATTGAGAGACGCTCGATAGGGAAGCAATCAAAGGGTCATATATATTCAATCATAGACACATTCGTGTTTCTCCCTGATAGATAGGATATCGCTTTCAGGCAAATTAGGACAAAATTTGCGAGGATGCTTTCAAACAAAGAAGAATCATCGCATGTCAACTTTCTTCGGGCTCAATGTCAGCTACAGGTATCGAGCTGTGGAACTGCTTTTGGATATTTTCAAGCACTCAATCCCCTGTATGTAGATTCCTTTACGGGCGGGCTAATTGAAAGAAAATAATGTCATCATTATTGAAACTTCCCAGCTAACACTGCGCTTCATGCAGTCGCATCAACAGTGAGTTTCCCGCTTCAAACGCTCATGATCCTGAACGCCTGTACGCTGCAACGCTAGCAGCATGCTTCTGTCTATGAGCAGCCCTGAAGGTTGTCTCTCGTGCATATACTGATCCGTACTTAGAAGCTCTGACGCCTGTTATCTCAATGACTATAATGCCGAAAATTATCAGCTTCTCAAGCGCATTAGTCATTAGTGGCGATGAGGAGGGGAAAGTATTTCCAGGGGCTTTTATTTCTGCAAGAATCATCGACTGGAGAATTTTCTCGGTCGAATTCGAGCTTGTTTCATATCCGCGCGCAGACAAAGGGTAGTAGGGAAATGGATTCAGAATCAGTGACCCACAAACAAGGTCCAGAGTTCATGAAATTGATTGGATCTAAGGGTTTGATGCTGAATAGATTTTCTCTCTTTTCTGCGGCATAGGCTTACATTCAGGGTTTCAAACCTGTTGAGACTTAGCACTTTCTTTCTCTTCTTTGAGGATAGCACATGGCTAATCACTAACTCGTGCAAAGGATCCAGCATTCATATCAAACCACAAGTTAGAGCTAATAACTGTGTTATTCCTTGGTATGTTTAGATCTTTGCTTTCTGGAGTGGTGATATCTGTCCAAATGTGGTAGTGTAGAATTGGACTTTTACCACTAGACTAAAAGGACAATTCTCCTATTCATAGGGCTTTAAGTTCACGCCTACCTGGTGGTCTTCATACCAGGAATATTCACCGAACTTCACACAGGGCAGAAGGAATACCAGCCACATAACGGCAATATCGACGAAATCAAGGTTCTTGAAGACCAACGCGACATGCCAACCAGACAGCACTTCCAAGAATGGAGTTTAACTCGTGGCCATTCAAAGATAACACCGCCTCCTAATCCACTGTGTTGCCAGTGTGGAGTGCTTATTTCCTTTCCTTTCCGAACGGTTCGCAGCATCGCACAGAGAAGCCTCAGAGAGGATTTTGAGCACCTAGCAGAAGGTTGAGCAACAAGTATTATTGCACCACCCTTCAAATGATTGAGAGAAAAGGCAAGGCTTCACTCAGGTTCCCCATCCCCCCACCTCAACCCCCAAACCGTGGAAATTGGACGATCGGTGAAAGCTCGTAGTCAGGCAGCGATGGTGGCGTGTCTGTCCGAGACTCTCTTGTTCTCCACCTAAAAGCGCCAACTATTCCAGCACTAGGTATGCTCGTATTACTTGGTTTGAGCCCCGTCAGACCCTCAATCAGCGGAAGAGCCTGGAGACCTTTTTGGCGGTAGACCAGTTTCCGCAAAAGCGTTTCGTCAAAATAACCCGTCGAAGATACGCACGTACCAATTCTCGTTGTTAAGCTCGGCCCTTCGGGGGACCAAAAGGGTCCACCAAACAGTCCATCAATCGCAGAACGACCAATTGAAATACCGATCACAATCCTTGTGTGCTTCAGCGCATTCAGCATATCCTTGATAAACGGATTGACAGTTAATTATCTCGTGCTTTTCGGTCCCGCTGTCGTATTCTGGGGATGTATCGATGTGAGACCTGCTCTAATCGTGTGCGTAATTGGTCGCTTCTCAGGTCCAGAATGGCTGACTAAATTATTGAGTTGCTTACAGCATCACGAACCATTTTGTAGTTCATTGACTAACTCGCTTCTTACATCCATCTGCTGGAAAGGGAAATTGGACCCTGGAACAATGCTGTGAGGTTTTCGAGTTCCCTTTTCTGCCCAACGCTGATGCATTCTTCCTCTTGCCAGATTCTTTCCGCGATGCAACACCTGCTACTCTTCTGTGAACGTTTGGAGTGGCTCAAGCAGGCCCCACGAGCCGCAAGAACGGTTGTGGGGAAGTCAGGGTGGAGGGATTCCCAGTCTCCGCAACGCCGATACTATTTATCGGATCTTCGGGATGATGAACAGACACGGGCAAGGTCTTCACCGTTGTCACCGCTAGATAGAACGGTCATAACTCGTGGAACTAGGAGCTATGTCCAAGAGTCAGTCAGCCCTACGCCAAGAAACAATCTGTGCCAATCACCGTTGATCATAAATGATTTCATGATTCATGAATCAGGAGCATAAAATTTGAAGTCGTGTTCAGAATCCACCATCTAAGACCCGAGTCCATTTATTATGCAACTCCACGGTTCGCTTTTCTCATGGTTACACCCGCATCTCGTTATCTGGCTTCTGACTGGACAATAATCTTCCTGAGAACCACGCCGCGCCTGACTGGTGGGGCCGAATTCACCGTCAAATTTCTGCTCTAACACTCTCATATCAAAAGAGAGCGGAAAGTCGCTCGATCACCAGTTTAAAAGACTAAATCCCTTATTCCATGCATTCTGATTACCATGGTTTATATAGTATTGAACATGACATAAACGATATATGCTGAGAATATGGGTTAGATCTGTTGGTGTTTTTCTGCCCTCCTAGGATTCAGCGGATTATCCGCGCTTCACGTCTCATAGCTATCAAGGGCTTAAAACAATGGTCGAAACCCAGCCCGATTATCCAGGGAGAAAACGAGAGCTCTCGTTCGATTTCTGATCGTGTTTCAACTTCCTCGGTTCGGCGAGGAAGAGTGGCTCATGGCTCTTCTTTAATCGTGATAACACTTTGCAAGCAGTATCCCAGCACCGGCGGCTCTAGTCTTTAATGTTGATTCTGGCTCCAAATCACCTTCTAGTGTGATAACTGAAAGATTAGCAATTATCAGTTCTAAGATCATCTCAAAATTATAATAGAAACTTACGGCTTTTTCAGAATTGCGTGATATTTCCGCCTAAACTGTCCTTCAAAGTTGGTATCGGAAATAGGACTTGTGGACACTTCACTGATGGTCTAGAGGGCTAGGAGGACGAGGTATGGACTTAAAACAGTAGTTACGAAAGGAACACGGACGAACTGGGTGACTTACAGCAAATACCGAAATCGATCTAACCGGATGATCAATGCCTTCGTTAACTAACAAAGTAATGAAGTTTTACTGCGTTCATCCCTTGTTGGCAGCCCCTGTCTTTTTCCTTTCCCGTGTGCCACAGAAAAGGCCTCTCCAAACCCATGTTGATGGGATGGAAAGCTTGTCAAGAGGAGTGGGGAGAGGCATCGCCGACCAAGTGTGAGATGAGAGTCGAGGTTTATCAAACTATTCTCCATTCCGTAGCGAACGAAGCTAATCTGTAGAGGCTGAACATATACCTCAGAGAACATTCAGCAGCCGGGGACTATGACATGGCAAGATCCCAATCGTCCACGAATAGCACCCGCTTAAACTATGGCGCCCAATTGTTGCATACTTCGTCCACTTCGCCATGTGCAACACTAGATCGGTGGTGTATCTGGGAAAGCTTGCCGTGCGTGCTGTGATGCGAGTCCTTGCCAATAACCACTAACAATATCCCTGTCAAAGCGCTGAGCGGAAGTGCACAGTAGTTTCTCGACTCATTAGCGCTTGGGGCCAAGTGTTGGTATGAGCAGCGATATTTTCGGCATCATGATCCTAATAAGGAAATTGATCTAGAATTGTGAGGAAGGTTTTATGGAGAATCTCGCTTATATTATGGAAAGATCTTTTTCTGTTGTTTGATCTTCGATGGTCAACTTTAAATGTTGTGCTATGTGGCCATCAGCCCGATATAAGGTTCATTGCTCTTACATTTAAATATCAAATTTCGTTATAGAATCGTTTCTTTCGAGCGTATTCTTCATTTCCACTGGCAATTGACAATGGATTATACGTTTGCCGCCTCGCCTCCCTTCTCATCTGAAAATTCACATTTTCCTTTCGGAGTTGAAGTAGCAGAGAGTGCTTCGGATCTATCCAGCCCCACATCTCCCAATGTAAGCCTGCCTCAAATTTATATTGTCTGGATTGTAGCTGATGGATGAATCTAGGGAATATCTCATCCAATGTGTACATACACGGAGAGCCCATATGACATGCTTTCAGTTGGCAACCCTCCAACGCCTTATTGTGATCCTATGGCGGGGAAGATTCCAGTAGAATATATTGGTTCAACATCGCTTGATGGACATGATGGAAGACGAAGTAAATCAAAAGATAAGGAGAAAGTCTCCAGCATGCACCTAGTAAGCATTGATATTCAATACAACCCCATGTTCCAGATTCGGCCGCTTAGTTAATTCTCAAAATTCAAAGAGACGTCGCGCCCAAAATAGAGCATCTCAACGAGCCTTTCGAGAACGAAAAGAAAGACACCTCAAAGGTCTCGAAAGCAAACTGCAAGATCTGCACAGCAAACACCAGAATCTGCTTCAGTCCTACCACCAGCAAACAGAAGAAGTACAGCAGCTCAATATTCGCATTCAACAGCTGACCGCAGAGCTCGATCTTTTGAGATCAGCGACCGACGGCACAATTGGCGAAATTCTAATGCCTGACAAGTTTGATGTCGTCCCGTATCCTATGCTGGCGGCTTCTGGTCCGCAACATCATTGTGAGGAAGCGTTCAAAATAAATAGCGATTTAATGGCATACCCGCCTGAATACTATGATAGACTGTAGGAAACGAAGAAGTGTGGGGAGGGGGCAGTATATTGAAGATGACTTGATGATATCCTTTTTCCTAATCTCTCACATCTGGGGGTTGGCTTGTGAATGCCACACAAGCTCGGTGCTTATGCAGGGTTGATTATTCCTGCTTTCGTAAAAGTGGTTTTGGGAATATGCGAATTAGTTAGTTTTAATAATGGAGTCATGCGGTGCATTTTCACGATGATTTGGGAGAATTCCACGACAATCTTCTTTTTGCTAGTATTATTGGGCTTGACCATTCCCTGCTCTCAGGTGTTTCGTTGCACAACAAGTACCTATCTCCTGGCAGATACCGCTCATACGCAGTATACTTCACAACCTTTAATGCAACCCCATCTTAATAACTTAGTGTATAAATAGGTGCGCTGTCCCTCCCTAGGCGCCACCTCCCCACTTAGGTTTTTTTTTCCATCTCAAGAGTGGGAAGTTCAGACAACCTTTACGTCGTCCGCCTGGCGAACATCGTAATACTAACAAGTCCTGGAGGCACCAAATATCAATGAAGCGGAGATCAAGTCAGCCAACCAGAGACCGGCACCTAAACATCTTGGCATCCCATCAGGACCAATGGGAAGCCGAGTAAGCAGATCGGGTTCCATTTTGGGAATAGCATATCGCACTAACCTGAAACTGTTAAGCTTAAATGATGCATAATCCGCCCTAAAATTTAGCCGCAAAAGGGGCTGCGCGCTATCTTGAACAAACTTCCCCTCTTCAGGGTCTCGGCAACGCAAAGAAAAATGACGATATTGTCTTTGAAAATAGTGGAACACCGGTGCCAGCCGTCCTATTCATGCCTTTTTCTCTGTCATCCCACCCGAACCAAGCAGGGGTCCTCTCGTCAGCTCCAAAGAGGATTCAAACATCCCCAAATCCCGAAAATAGAGTCAAGGGCCCCCAAGGATAATTTGCCATTATGCATGCCAAAAAAATAATGTCGAGCATTATGTTCTTTAGGCTACTTTGCAGCACTTTGGTCAAGTCTGATTAGTATTGAATACCGACTAATCCCGTAGGGGAAAGATTGCTTTTTGAGATCGCGAATTCCGGGAGGAGAGGTCCAGCTTTGACGTGAGATGTTCGTTTTGCTGTGGGGTAAAGGCGGCACGTATCAAGTAGCGCGGGAAAAGAGAGAAGTTCTGAAACTCCTATATTTTGCAGGAGTTAAAGGTTGAAAGTGGCTTGGATCCCTTCCCCTCCCCCCTTCACGATAATCTCGCTAGCTTGCAATATTTGGGTCAGGCCTCCCTCCTGCTTTATTCTACAGGCATCACAGGATTGCTAAGAAGCAATAGCCGAGGTCGTTTAATAATATGTTACGGCTTGTCTTCAATCATGATGCTCCTGATGAAGACGTTGACCGAACAGATGGTAAGTCGCATTTGGCAGTCTGCTGACTTGGCGATAGACAGCCATGGATGATTGTCCTCCCCATTTGACTCCAACTGCGACTCACTTCAACAGCCTTATGTTACCGTTTAGAGTTAGTATATTTCGGGATTTTGCTCATAAGCGAACCCACGGGGAAACCATTCATGACGTTACCAACCCTCCGCCCAGGCTCAATTAACCCAGCTAGGCATTCACAAAACGAATCTGCTGGTGATGAATATTAGTGGTTGATGGTCGAATCCGGCGGCTAGGGCAAGCCTAGCCTACCCTATTCGTGTATGCCCACTGAGATTCTCAATCTGGGAATCGTGCCTGATTTAAAGGAGTCAACTACGCAGATTCCCTCTTCAGTGACGTTGATTTTAAAGAGAAAGCTAGCTATACAAAGTCACGGCAGCTACGGTGATCCACGTTGCATTAGACTACCCGCAACATTGGGATTTCCAATATGATCTTTGGGAAGCAAGAGTCATGTATATGGTTGGGACCAATGGTGGCTGATATCCAGGCCCCAGATATCGGTGGACGACCACCGAGACTAACAACTTCTGGCGGGCCCATGATCGTGGTTCAGTCTCGGTGATTGAACGCCGTAGGTCAGCAACGTCGGACGTCCGACTTTTTTTCGGGAGCCGCTTCTGCACGGTCCAAGTGGTATATCTCCTGCTGCTACAAAAAGCCGCAGCTCGAAAGCACAGCTGCAGCTTGACAAAAACCCTCAAGAGGCACAGACGCTCTATCCGCCATCCGTGTTAGTTTGACTGCAGAATCATACAGTTTCTCAACTGTCAAGCTCCACCTCTACCATTGCACGGCCAAGGCCAAGGCTTCCCTACGCACAGGCGCAGAGACCGTTTCGCCAAGTGTGACTCCGTGGCAGAACAGCTATATCTTATCGACGATTCTGGAAGGATTGTTTTGTTCGAACCAGGTGTGAATACTAGTACAGGCGCGATTAGCGCTGGAAGCTAACCCCACTAGCCGCCAAACTTTTGATGTCTTCCACCCAACTTTCAAACAGTGCAACTCCGTCGAACGACTTGGGTCCTAGATCAGATTTGCTTGCAGGTTTTGCAGGCTGTTCTCACCATTGGCGTTCATTTTGGATATGGTATTTGATTGAGTCCCTGACCATATCCTCCAGTGTGATAATTCTCTTGGTTATGTCGGAAATTCCATCGTTGCCTAGCTGAGGATACTGCAGCGCTCAGAATATGCTTCCTGGCCGAGCGGGTTGGACTTATCGGCGAGCATGGGCTATTTCAAAAGTTGCCTGGATGCTTTTCCTTGTATTTCACTCGCCTCTCTCGGGTCGCACCATCAAGACCTGGAGGTGAGGCAAGGTAACTTCCACTATTGCCCTCCCCACCACCCGTAGCTGGTCCCTCCATTCTCCAACCTCTCTCTTTGCGATTCAATCTATATCACATGCTATCCACCGTTTCATATCTACTTTAGCCTATTGGCTATCGCTTCTGAATTCAGATGCGGCGCTCTATTATCATATTGTCTATCATAATGTCTTAAAATTATATGAGCGTACACTGCGGATTGTAAAATGGTCTGAGTCTCTTCTACCAATGAAAAGGCTGGATATGCTAGAATTAGCAATATGGCAGTATTATGCAGCGACTCAATTGTAACGTCCCATGTCTTTTGGAAACGGATTAGTGAATAATCATATAGTTCCCTCACCACGGTTACAGTGAATTCTGGTGTGTCTCCTCGTACCGCTAAATTTTATGGCAGTAAAATAGGTCCTAACAGGTAGCTCTAGTGATACTTGACGGCATATCTACCCGTAGGCGTTAGAACGGGAGAAGTACGGGAATCCTAAATAAATTATTAGAATATTCGAAATCATGGCTTCAGATCAGGAGACGCCAGAGCTTCTGCCATGTTGCAGCAGCTAAAGTCAGCAAGGATGAGTTCAACAGTGCCTTTCAATGGCAGCTGGAACAAAATTACCTAGGGATCCAGCGAATGGCCGAATGCTGCGAGCAACATTGCTCCCAGCTTTTCAAAGAAATGACAGCTCATAATCGCTGGATACCATGTGCCGGCAAACCGATCGGTGGCTGGCTGCTGGTATTTGTATGCCAAGGGCCGTTATGTGTACACCATGGTAGATATACTATTGGCCGGACCAGATTTCTATTGACAAAATGACAGAAGGAACTTCTTCTCGCTTCCGACGTTTTTTTTTTAGCTTTGGTATCATTATTTTTTTTCGGACAGTCCATGTACAGTGCAGCCCACATTAAAACCATTGCGGATATGCCGGTAGAGCTCTCCATCCCTTGAGAACGAAATCCCTGAAGAGATACCAGGAGATAACAACAAAGTTCCTTGAGCATACCCTCAGTTTCAAAGGGAATGCCCAGTCATTGCTTTCTTCTGCACGGCTGAAAAGAATGAGATATCACTTGCGGATAGATCAAAATTGACTGTACGGCTTGCGTGTATAGCACACGATGAAATCCGCTTCAGCTTCGTTTGGGCACATAAATTGGGTAGATGGTTTTCTATCATGTTTCCAGTGGCACCGTGTCGTGCTGTTGCTAGCCGGTGGCCAGTGGGGGGTTGGTAAAATGCAAGCCCTTGCAGACGCAAACTTCAGCTCCGAACTGTGCGGATTCCCTCATCCTTTCTCTTCTTCGGTTTTCCCCACTATTACCTTGGAAACACTATTACCTTGGAAATGTGTGTTCCGTACGATACACCTGTTCGTTTTGATGGGGAAGAGACAAAAGACTACCAATTTGTTGCAATTGAGACTGGAGAGTTGTTGGGCTGCTTGCTGGCAGGAAGCTCATTTGGGGAATTTCGCGTCCCAAATTGATAGAAACAAAGAAAGTATTGCCTCCACGATGTTACGGATAACAAAACATAATTAGTGGATATAATCGCGAAGAGGTGAGCAAAGCAATAGTACCAAGCAACAGGCAAGATTGTATACCAGAGTCAATGCCCGCAAACGGCAGCAGAAAATGACCATAATTCGCGTCTTGGGCTGTTCTCCTTCGCATTTAGATATACGCCCCATCGGATTTGACGGTGGGCCCTTAAAGATTCAATTTTCAGGCCCGCATGCATGGTCTAAGTAAAGCGCTTGTTCTAGCAAGAATGAAGATGAAGCTCTCTCTGTATACAACAATACATGCCCGTTCCAATAAACGCCAATAAAACACTGCGGGAACCTGTAATTTTCGTACCCAAGCCGTCATCCATCGCGGGGTTGGTCACAAAAAGTCCTAGCCCTAATTTCTGTTTTGGGCGCCAGAACCACTTCTCTCCTGCTCGGCCTTCTTCTCCAGATTCTCCTCCGTATGCCATCTCGCGGCCAGCGATCCCTCTCTTTGCTCCTGTATAAACTCCCATCCCGCGTCTCTTATTCCTCATCGCCTCTCTCTCGTTCCCCCGCCGTCTTTTGTCCTTCTACTCCCCCGCAAAAACGCACAATGAGCGAACCCACTCACCCCACTATCAAAGGTACGCTCTGTCCTCCTCGCGACGAAGATATCTCTCCCACCCTGCCACGAATTTTGCCGTGTCAATGCGGCTTACAGGCTCTCATTATACTCTATGCTAACTCCGCAGTTTTGAATTTGATTGCATTGAATTAGATGGCTGGTTCTCAGAAATTTCCGATATGTGGCCAGGCCAGGCAATGACGTTAAAAGTCAATCAGATTCTTCACCATGAAAAATCTAAATACCAAGATGTTCTGGTATTCGAGAGCAGCGACCATGGCACTGTCCTTGTGCTGGACAATGTCATCCAATGTACAGAACGTGATGAATTCTCGTATGTAATGACGATTAAATGTGCACCCAACCCCTCACCCCAACAGTCCCCGCAACCCCCTTGTCCCCTCCCCCTCCTCCTCCCCTCCCACGGGTTATGTAAAATGTGCTTTGCTTTCCCAGATTAACTCCCGCCAATTAAACTAGATACCAAGAGATGATCACACATCTCGCGATGAACTCCCATCCTAACCCCAAGAAAGTGCTCGTCATTGGTGGAGGTGACGGAGGCGTCCTGCGCGAAGTTGTCAAGCACGAAACCGTCGAGGAGGCTATCCTCTGCGACATCGACGAGGTACGCAGACAGCGGATCTCATGTTGATTGCCAGGACAAAAAAATCTCACGTCGAACAAATACAGGCCGTCATCCGCGTCTCCAAAAAATACCTCCCAGGAATGAGCGTCGGCTTCCAGCACCCTAATGTAAAGGTGCACGTGGCCGATGGATTCAAGTTCCTCGCAGACCGCAAGAACGAATTTGACGTCATCATCACCGACAGTTCGGACCCAGAAGGACCAGCAGAGGCCCTGTTCCAGAAACCCTATTTCGAGCTGCTGTTCAACGCCCTGCGTGAAGGCGGTGTCGTTACCACTCAAGGTTGTTCGTCTATCTCCTTCCCCAGTTCTTCTGCACGTGCGATTACTGCCCCAGAGAAGAAGGAAAATAAAAGGAAAATGCACATGCACAATTCAAACACACCAACGTACACATATCGTTCTGTATCCTTAAAAGGGCATATATACATATAAACATATATACACCCTTCCACACCTCACCCCCCATCACACCACCTCACCCCCTCCCTCACCAAGGCGAGAAAATCACCTCCACCCCAAACTTGCTGAAACAGAAGTGCTAACCCCACACCCTCCCTCCTTCACTCCTCTTTTAACCCCCAACAGCCGAAAACCAATGGCTGCACCTCTCTCTCATCACAGATTTGAAGCGAAACATCCGCGAGATCTTCCCCGTGGTGGAGTACGCCTACACGACGATCCCCACCTACCCCTCGGGCCAGATTGGGTTCATGGTCTGCTGCAAGGACGCGAGCAGGGACGTGCGCGAGCCTGTGCGCAGCTGGACGCGCGCGGAGGAGGAGAAATTGTGCCGGTATTATAATAAGGAGATTCACCGCGCGAGCTTTGTTCTGCCGAATTTCGCCCGGAAGGCGTTGGATATGTAGAAGGGGGTGCGGGGAGAAACAAGGGCGCAGTTGAGATTTTTTTTTTTCTTCTTCTTCTTCTTCTTCTAATATGTATTGCCTTTTTCCATTGAGAGGCAAGGCAAAATTCAATTAAAGGGCGAAAGTGAGTGGGTGAGAGGGACTTGAAAAGGAATTGATTGAGGAAGGGCCTGCCTGTCCAGTCGTATGAGGAGGGAAAAGATAAGCAAAAAAGAAGGATGTATGGGGAGTATAAAAAAAAAAAAACACCAACCAAAAACAAACCATCAGCTAGCAGACAAAACTAATGAATAAACGAAATAGCCTAGACAAACGGGCGGGGGACCGGATTCATCTTAACTCTCCCGCTTGTCCTGATAGTTTAAGATTAACTAGACGAATAAGGTGTAGTTTTAAGATACCAGATAGCGTGACCGTCTCAGACAAATTGGCGGGGTTATGAATCTATTTCCCCCTTTGCTCCATGTTCGATTTATTTTATACATTGATCTATTTCTTGACTGTTTTGTTTTTCGTTTGGAGAGGAGCAAGAGGTAGAACAACCAACCAACCAACCAACCAACTAGCTGCAATGTCCTCTGCAATCACATTTTTACCTCCTATGGCGACAGGAGAGGCTCACCATGTTAAAAGTAAACCCGGCATGATAAGGCCCGCAGGGACATACAGTTCCCTTCCCAACTTCTCATGCCCAAAATTATATATTCGGAATGCGGCGCGTCGTAATAAGAATAAGAAAAAGGAGCAATTTTGTATTTCTCATTTTATATCATCATGTAAGAGCCGAGGCGGGATAGATCTATGCAATTCCGAAAAAAAAAAAAAAACCAGGAAAGAAAGGAAACGTGAAAACTGGGAATGAAAAGTTTTTGTGGGAGGGGGTTGAATACCAGGAGGGAATGCCCGAGCAAAAAGGATTAAATGGAAAGCTACCTCGGTGGGAGGAAAAAACGAAAAGTAAAAAAAAAAAAAAGGAGAGAGAGAGAGAGAAGAAAAAGAGAGAATTCACTTTCTCATCTTTCGTTCTCAACGTGCGTTCTTACGACTTCTTTCCTTTTTCCCTTTTACATTTCCTTCATTTTCAAAAAGCTCATGACACCTCCTCAGAGATGAGAGTTTTATCTGTTAAAGAGCACTCAGAGTCCGTATAAGCGTGTTTAGATGATTTGCTGGAAGGCACGGTTGAGAGGAGAGCGGACGGAGGCACCCTTGTAGAAGTCGATGGTGGCCACGGCGCGCTTGCTGATGCCTTCAGGGGTGAATTCGAATTTCTAAAAAAAAAAAAGTAAGCAGATAGATCAGTATTTTTCGCCTTCACATTTTAAAACTAATGAAGAGAAGCTCTAAGATCTTTTTATTTTTGTTTGGTGGGAAGTGAGGTGTATGGGGATGGGGGTAGGGTGTTGTTTGTGGTTCTCTTGGATTGCAACAGTAGCTTTTTTCCCCTTCTTTCTTGAACTCACCTTGTACACCTCCTTGTAAGGACCAGAAGCACCGAAGCGGTTAAGACCGAACTGTTCGTGTGAATATCGCTCCCAGCCAAGGGTGCTCATGACCTCAACGGACATGACAGGGATGCCGTCTGGGATGACGGAAAGTCTGTATGCCTTATCCTGGACATCAAAGACCTCGAAACAGGGGATGGAGGCAACGCGGGCGACAATATTATGTTTCTCCTTGAGGTACTTGGCCGCGTCAATGCAGAGACTGACTTCCGAACCAGCACTGACAAGGGTGATGTTGGCGTTTGGCGTCTCAAGAGCAACGTATCCACCACGGATGGCTTTCTCGATGGTGGAGCTTTCGAGCTGTGGCAAGTTCTGGCGGGTCAGGGCCAAGATGGAAGGGGTATGTCGCGATGTCAAAGCAGAGTAGTAAGCGGCACTTGTCTCGTTACCATCGGCTGGGCGCCAGACCATGATGTTTGGCAAGGCACGGAAGTGGGCAAGGGTCTCGATGGGCTGATGAGTGGGGCCATCTTCACCCAGACCAATGGAGTCGTGGGTTGCGATATAGATTATGCGGACTTGCGAAAGTGCAGATAGGCGAACGGAACCGGCGGCATAAGACACGAAGTTGAGGAAAGTACCTCCAGCGGGGATGAGGGTCCCGTAAGCAGCAATGCCGTTCATGATACCGGCCATTCCATGTTCTCGCACACCATAGCGGAGGTAGCGGCCGGACCAATCACCGAGGCCAGTGCTTGGTGGCTGGAAGTCAACAGCGTGCTTCCATCTGGTGTTGTTTGAGCCAGTCAAGTCGGCCGATCCGGACAAAAGCTCGGGGATAACATTGTGGATCTTTTCGAGCACAGTTTCAGACAACTTGCGGGTTGCAACTGCAGCATCGCTTGGGGAGTATCTAGGAAGGTTCTTCTCCCAACCTTCAGCAAGTTTCCCAGAAAGCCGACGGACGAAATCAGCATGTTCGTCAGGGTACTTGGATGCATATTGTTGAAGAAGAGCATTCCATTCCTGCTCCCTGGCAGCGCCCTCGGTGGCCTTCTTCCGGTAAAGGTCATAGACCTGCTGGGGTACGACAAAGCTTTGTTCAGGATCGAACCCGAAGAGCTGCTTTACTCCCCGGCAGTCATCGGGTTTCAGGGCGTTTCCATGGACTCCACCGGTTCCCTGGAGCTTTGAGCCAAAACCGATGGTTGTCGTGACTTTGATGACGGTTGGCTTATCCTTTACCTCCTTCGCCTTCTGGATAGCAGCCTCAATGCCGGCGAGGTCATGGTTACCATCCTCAACATGAATTGTGTGCCATCCATATGCCTCAAATCTCTTCATGACGTCCTCAGTGAATGCGACGTTGGTATCGCCATCTATTATCATTTATCCCAAAGTAAGTCCAAAAATGTCTGCTTTGATTCCACTGCCTTAGAAGGGAGGAGAAAAGAGCACGATTACTCACCGATAGAGATATGGTTGTCATCATACAAACAAATCAAGTTGCCTAGCTGAAGATGACCAGCAGCACTGGCTGCCTCACTGGCAACACCCTCCATCGCACATCCATCGCCGAAGATACAATAGGTGTAATTGTTGATGAGGTCGAAGCCAGGCTTGTTGAACACGGCACCAGTATGGGCTTGGGCAATGGCAAGGCCAACAGCATTGGCGAAACCTTGACCTAACGGTCCAGTTGTTACTTCAACACCGGGTGTATCATGGGCTTCGGGATGGCCAGGGGTAATGCTATCGATAGTCTACGGAATGTCAATAACGGAAATATATATAAGGGGCACTAACTGTCAGGCGATTCAGGGCAGGCCACTAACCCGGAAGGCTTTTAAGTCATCCAACGAGACAGCATATCCAAACAGGTGGAGTAAAGCATATTGGAGCATACAACCATGTCCGTTCCTATCCACAAAATGTTTTCAAAGGTTTTATTTAGCTCCACCATCCCGATAACAGGGAACGCGCAATGACGTAATACTTGGAACGAAATTGGGAACGAAATTGTTAGGGGCTCCAGAGCAATCGAGGGACTCTGGGCCACCTTTAACAAATTTCAACTATCACAATCCACAGTCTTCCCGGTCAAGTATCTGCTGTCCTACTAAAAAAAAATTTTTCGAAGGGAAGGGCAGTATTTGAAATGAGGGGTGGAAAAGCAACAGGCGGCGGAATGCGCGGGGTATGCAGAAAAATGGACAACATAGCACGTACGAGAGGACGAATCGATCCCTGTTAACCCAGTTGGGGTTCTTAGGGTTGAAAGTCATAAATTTGTTGAAAAGGACATGAGCAGTTGGCGCCAGTCCCATTGGAGCTCCGGGATGGCCGGAGTTTGCTTTCGATGTGGCATCGACCTAAGGATGGAAGAACAGAGTGTCATGTCCTGTTAGCAATGGATCGTGAGAGGAGGCAGGAATTCACAATGTAGTCAGAGATATTAAAGTAAGTCTGCGAAAACGAACGAATGGCATAGCATGGGTAGAGGGCGTTGCTAGAAGCTGGATATCCAAAAGTTGTATGTTGGTGTCCCCGCCCCGCGTCGGTACCCCGCCATTTAGACAGCGAGAGAGGGGGGCAATTGACAGCAGAAAAGTCACTCACAGCCAGCACTCTGATGGTGTTGATGGCCAATTGGTCGACATCAGTGTAGCTCCCCATGGTTGCGGTGGATAAATCTCGAAAAGAGCAGAGGAGGAGGGGTGGGAAGGCCGAAAAAGAGGTGTCTCAAGCTGACTGTCCCAGGGAAAAAGTTGGCAGAGCACAAGGATATCTAGATCTCAGCACGATGGGCACACGGAGAGGACAATTAGAGATCTTGGATGGACAGATGGGGATGGCGAAGAGTGATAAATCAAGCAGAGAAGAACTAATGAAGTGGAAGTGGAAGTGGAAGAAGCCCGGCAGAGGTTGGTCGAGGATGTTGAGACCGGCAGGAGATTGGCGGGGCGGCTTGGCGGCGGAACAGCCCAACACAAATATTACCAATCTTACAGCAGTGTGGGACGGAGGATGTGTGCACTTTTGATACAAACGGCCCTTTCTCTGGAGCTAAACGGCGTCTGCAGAAATGGAGGATCTCTGTTGAAAACGAAAGCAGCCCATCCCCACCCTGAATCGCATTGTCTTTGATGAAATCGCTCGTGGGTGTCCGGGGCTCTGTGGTCCGTGAGAGCTTCGGGACTCCATCATTGCATAGAATGCGATGGTGGGTTATAACCCCTAGTTAGTGCTACTAGTCGCTCCACGTATGACAGCATCCTACATTCATTCATTCTCATTTTTGCCTGATTTATCCCCCACAGGTGCAGAGTACTGTATACGGCTGTTGCACGGAAGTTAAATATGCGCAACGCATGCCGCTGAATAACCTCGAGAATTCCCAAGGTAATATGGCTGGTTAATAATCCACCTACATATTACATCTGAAAGGGCCCACTACTAGTTACTACTAGTAAGTTATTCATACTAGTTTCATTTTTTGAACAAAAAAATCCTGAATGCATTCGGGTTTTTGGTGTGGTTTTGACCTGCATAGAGGGGTAAATTGTCTGCAGGCACCATAATCACCAAGGAAAATATGAAGGAGTTAGAAGAATTCCTGAGAGTCAGTCGTTGCGTTACGCTCAGCAGGAGCAAAGGTTGAAGCAACAAGCGAATTGGAGTTTTGTGCCCCTCATTTTGACACACAAATGTAACAATGGTGTGGTGCTGTGGACTTGTGGCTAATCCATAAAAATAGATACGCATTGCCGTATTCCAACTTCAAGAGATTGGACTTCCACAGTCTAGCAAGGAAGATCCAAAATGTCATGGCTAAGCGGCCGTTTTTTTGTTGACATCATGAGAAGCCTGGGGGCGCCAACATTTTCCGGTCTATATCTACATCTATCTGATTATTTCTATATCCATCTATCCGATCCTCACCGACCTTCTTACCGGCGAGTGATAGCGGCATATCCTATATCTGATTCGATCTATATCGTTCTTTATTCGATTCTATATCGATTTTTCGGTATCCGAACGACCAAAAATGTCACTATCTTGGACTCCTCCAAGAATTGGAACTTGTGGTACAAGATGATGCTAAGTCTTGCCATAGAACTAGAAGTATTAGATTTTATCAGTGATGAAAAACCTGATTGCATCAGTCAAATACCCAAGCCAAATCCTCCAGAATTCCTTACCGAGCATACCATGGAAACAAAGATTAGATTGGGATATGGAGAATACCAAGTATAACAATGATAGAAATATCTATCGAGGTAAGGTAGAAGGTGTCAGTAGAATCAAGCAGGGGATCTTTAGAAGAGTATCCGCCAGTTATCTAGGGATAGTTGCTAACTAATAGAAATGATCTCGTTGATGTCAAGGACCTTCTAATTGCTCTTAAGGAGAGCTTATCCCCAAGGACCGCGGACCGCCAATACAGAAGTATCAGAACCTACAAAGGGTGTCTAAACGGGACGTAGATAGATGGTTAGACGGCACTTTTGATATATGAGAGGGCTTCTTCTATTCCAATATACCTAAATGCTTGATTTCTTTTTCAATCAAACATCCAAGCATCTAACCATCTCCGACAGATATCGACATAACGATTGGTCGCTATACGGGCTCATAACTATAGAACATGCAATCTTGTGTGAAAGGTTTTGTAAAAACCACAATGCCAAAGGAATCAACCCTTAAGGTAGCCAGCCACCTATTCCTCAAGATATATAATGCATGATTCATACTATCTTTCAGTTGGCTGTCTAACTAAAGGTTATTGCGTATACAGAAAGGCCTGCTTGAGTCGGGAGAGCACGCCATTTTGTCATTTGCGATGTTTGAGGAGAATCCAAGCCGATCCAACCTCTCTTGTGGGTTCTATATTATCGTTGCTGGTCTCCTTTTCTTACACGCGGCCAAATTCAACACTGACTGCCGTCCGGTCAAGCAGGCCGATCTGCATTAACTTACCGAATAAGAAGCACCCGTTATGTAGATCGGATATGCAATGAATTTATCTTCCTGTAAACAATTTTTGATATGTTACGCTCCATTCCCTACATCCTTGAATTCAGTGCCTAATCAGTTCAATCGGTTGGGAATAGTCATGGGCTGTGGGAAGAGTTGTGAGTAAAAACACTAGCTACAAACCAAAAAGGGAGCAATACGTGTCAAGACTCAATGTCGTCCAGCGTCCGTGGTTGAGAATCGTGTTCTTGTCATTCCGACGTTCAGCATTTTAGCCTCCTACAAACGGCCGCGCGCGAGTAAACGACAGAGTCGACGACGGTATGAATACTTTTCTATGGAAAATATGTTGAGTGCCGGCCAAGGCCTGATGGTTGTTCCAATTTTTCTAATCCCTCATTCTCCTTCCGTTGAAGATAAGAGGTTTTCATTTTCTGATCTCCTTTATTTCTTTTGCCTACCTGGTTCGCCCCCGAAATTCCGACATCGCACTGCTGTTTCGTTTATATAGACGCAAGAAAACGCATGGAGAAAAATCTTTCCCTTCCCCGGGATCCGCTCAGCAACACACATCCCACACCTTTCCTTTCTTTTTTCTTTCTTTTTTTGGAGAAAGTAACGAAGAAAGACAGCCAGAGCCAGCCAAAATACTGCATTAAAAATGTTAGGTGGGTGTCGTATTTCATGCCGCCGATGCTGTCCCACGCATCCGGGGGAGCCTTGTATCGGTTTAGCCGTTGGTGTGAAATTTCGTTCATGTAATGTGAGCATGAGGACTTTCTTTCTTGCTTTTGATGATTGGAGTGGTTGTACTGAACGTTGCGCCGCATGTTATATATCCCACCGTAAAGACAAAATCAGTCATCTATATCCCGTGCCGAAGTGGTAGACGAGGAAGAAAGTGATATCTCGGGATCCCCCTTCCTCCGGATTCCAATTTCGTGTTGGTGGACTCCCCCCAATTTCGCAAGCGCATAGCAGTATTAATAATGACTTTACCAAACACAAAAGGTATCCGAGATGCGAGACTTCGTACCCGTGGCCCGATGGTCGGCCACAACCGTGGAAAAGGTGCCGGCGGAAGGATATCGAAATTATAAATAGGGTTTCCTGGTCCAGCGGTATGGTTGCGAGTTACCTGTCCTGCGGTTCCACCAGCGTACAATGCGAAACGTAGGATACAAGCGAGCGGGCCGTCTCACAACAGATTTTATATAGCTAGAATGTAGACTGTTAATAAATAGTTCTATATAAGTTTTATCTAATTTACTGCATTATTTATCAAGATGTTTTTTTCAATATTAGAGAATATCTGATAAAAATTGACAACTAGAAGATCTTCAAAAATATTGACTTCTTTAAATATATATATATATATATATATATATTTAATCTCAATACAGTATAATTCTCATAACTATTTCTACATAAAAAGTATTGAAATATAAGAGAGTAAAAAGTTGAAATTTGTATCTATTTTGAGATGCCCTCTCGCCTATATTATCCGTTCGCTTGTCGATTAACTACAGTATGGTAAAATGTAAGAATGGCCAGTCGTCTGCGCCAAGTCTGAATCCACCCTATCACCTTGCTCTCGAAACGCGGATGTGGAGATTCATGTTAATTTTATTTCCAGAGCAGAGCCGGAACTGTCCACAAGATTGACTGATAGCTCTTAAGTTAACAAAAGTATCACTTAACTTAAGGCATTATATCGCATTCTATAGATTCTAGCTCATATAATTACTCAATGTAATGATTTATAAGATAATTGCGAACGGATTGGTGGTTAAAAAACAGAATTCCTTTGATAGGAGCGGCAGACCAAAGTTTTGGAGAGAGTTATCAACCTATCCCCATCTTTCCACTATCCCGGATCTCTCCCCCCAGGTTCGGATCGGCAACTCATTGATCTTCGGATACCCCCGAACGCCTCCGATCACAAGTTGCTCATGGGCCGATAATCCGTGTTCCTATAACCCTGGTACAACACACACTCAATATATACAAGGTACCTCGATCTCTCCGATCGCGGCCCAATCGCAGAGGAACACCTGTGACGAACAAGCTTTCTGCCTCGCGGGGAAATACGGGACGAGGCGAAACGATCCTGCATATCTGTCCCGCGGTTGAGGCGCAGAAGAACACACAACCAAGTCACAATGGTGGCGGGGGATTCTGTTCCTGCGCCGGTCATCATCTTTGCCCCTGCAAGAAGCCACCGCTGGGCGCCGCGCCTTGTTGGTTTGCTTTAATTTTAGGAACATTTCGGTTCCGTAGAACGCCTTGTTTCCAGAAGGTGTAAAGAACATTTTCTCTCTCTTGTTTCCCGCTGGTTTTTTAGTTTTTAGGTTTTTAAGTTAAGCTTTCATCAGCCCGCGAAATGCACCCGGGGAGAGGTAACTCACAGGAAGGAATACGTATATCTCAACGAGGAACGGGCCGTCTTGTTTGCCGAGGATTCCAACCCCATACTCTTTTTTTTTTTTTTTTTTTTTTTATAAATAAAAAACGTGGGGGAGAAGAGGACAGCTATCCAAGAACTCGCTACCAAGTTGGAACAAGAGACCCTCGCACGTGCTAACGTTGCTTTTCGGGCGTGGCCTAGGGCCATCATGGCTGTGCACTAACGCCCACATGGCATTCCCAGGATAAAACCATGTATGTATTGATTCAATGGAGATCACTAAGGTGCTTCTAGCACAGATTAGAAGTGTCTGTATGAAAAGTAGCAAGTGTTTTGTAACTTTTGTATATGTGTAATAAGCTCATATTCTGGGTGTATCATATGTTACATCTATATACACATAAAGTCGAAGTAAAAAGGGGAAACAAAAACAAAAAAAAAAAAGGATAAGAAATCACAGAATGCTAGAAAGTTGAATATATATACTTGTAAAAATCGTTCCCCGCTTTGCTTGCCGCGCATTCCAGAAACCAAAATAAGGGAGAGCAAAAAGACAAGAAAGATTGTGAAATAAACGCCCTACCATCCAGCAAAAAAAAAAAAAAAGTGGAGAAACACCAAACCCAGATAAAGGAGGAAAACGCGAACTAACTAGCATATCCAATAATTGAGGGATATCACCAAAGAGAATACTCCACTCGACTAATAACGCTGTATTAGAAGACATAAGAACCAATAGAAGACCAGAAAAAAAATAAACTTAACACATAACCCAACCCCTTTAGGCTTGGAAAGGGGGGAGCCAAGAGCAAAATACACACAAAGGGCAACGACGAAACAACAAACGGCACATCCAATTCCAAATCCAAAAAAAAAAAAGAGGAGGACATCGTAACTTGGGTAGATAGATAGACTGCATTGGATATTGTTATGCGTCACGTTCAAATCGTTCTCACGCAGGTTGTCGTAAATCCCAGGCGTCAATGATACCTCCAAAGTCAGACGTGTTGTCCAGCGCCCCGAGATTATGTGACATAATAATATTATCGAGTCCGTCGGTGGGTGCTGGGTGTGGCGGCAGCGGAGATTGCTGTACTTGCGTCGTCTGTGGCAGCGAGTCGCATTGTTTCGTCCTTAGTGCAGGCGGTGGAAGTTCATCGAGAGGACCGATGTTATCCTCCGAATAACTTATGACGCTTTGTCCAGATCTGGCATTGAAGTCACTGCTTGCAGAGGACGGCCATTCTTCCGGAGACCATCCCTGCAGACTCTGCTGCGGGGGCGGGGGTTGATTTGATGGGAACTGGAATGTAGGCGTGAGCTGGGCGAAGACGGCAGCATTGACATCACCACACTCTCCACCACCGTAGATTCCATTGAATATGTTGGAATGTCCGTTATCGATGCCTCCAAGGACTTGCTCCCAATCAGAGATACTAAAGCCGCCTCCGGGTGCGTTACCTGGAGTTGCTTTTAGTTCGACCTTCTGGTTACCCAACGGGAGGTAGTCCAAGTTCAGGTAGTCCGAAGAAATCTCACCTGTGGAACGGGGAGTTATCGCCGTCAACTCTGCGTTCGCTGATGATGACATGCTGAGGGAGCTGGAGGACCTGATGCTGCGTTCGCATAGGTCTGGACTCGAAGAGGGTGCCGAGGTGTCGCTGGACTGAGGCGTGTTCATGTTAAACGAGTGGCGAGATTCTAGTGATAGCGTTTTCCTGGGCGATTTGACTTTCGGCGAAGGCGCAGACATGTCTGAGTTGGAATGTGGTTGGTGCTCTGGCTTGACACGATTGGCGTCATCAACTGGAGAGACAATATTCAAGATGTTATGGAATTCAGAAGCAGCTTCAGGAGATTCGCATTCGAGGAGAGATAGGGCCGAGGAGAGAAGTTTTTGACCTTCCTTAACGAGCTTGCAGTCACGGCCCAGGTCCACGTTCTGCCACAGCACACCCAGGCTCGAGGCAAATAACAGCTCCCTTTTGTTAATACTAAGCGCAAGGCTCATTCTTCTTTCTTCTAACAGTTGAAGGATTTGAATGATATGTTTCCCAGAGTCTACTAGGGCCAGTATGGAAGGGGAGGCAGTGTTCTGCGGAGCAAAGCAAACCGCAGGTCGTCGAATGAGTGACCGAATGAAGTAGTACATTATAGACTGATCAAGATGGTCAGTAAAATAGAATGCACAACAGGCAAAAGGGTCTAATATAGATGTCAAGCTTACCAGAAGAGGTGATCGACTTCCCGTGACATTGGTGCTTGGTTTATCTTGCGTAAACTCAAGCTGAAGATGTTGTGGGAGGCTCTTCTGCCACTCATCAAGTTCTTCTCCGAGAGAATGAACAGTGGACAAAGAAACATTATAGCCAGCCGGCGAAGGGTACAGCTGGGCAAGCACCTTACTTAAGATACGTGCTGCCGAGAACAATGCCAAGGAACTTGAAACACGAGTTGGTTCGCCAGGTAGTGTGGGGACGAATCCTCCTTCTGTAATATTCTCGTCATCAATATCGACTGGGAACTCAGCACACACATCTGATTCAGCCAACAAAACAGGCAGTCCTGTCATAGCAGCGGCAAAACTAGATGTAGAATATGAGTATCAAGGTATGCACAGCCAGGAGAGTATGCATATTTTTAGGAATCATCCTGAGATGAGAACATACCGGTCAAGAACATATTGACACCAGAACACCTTCTTTCGCATTTCGCTGGTTAGCGGACTGAATGAAAACCTCCTCTGGCTTTGATGCAGACCGAGTTGATGGCACATCCCAACAGCAATGCCGCGGTAACGCAGCAGGCTCTTGTAATCAGCCTTGATGGTGTAGTAAATCTGTCCCAGAATGTAACATTGGAGGGCTGGTAGAGAAATGTCATCGGCCAGAGCATCAAGCTTAGTCACCCAATTTTGCTCGAAGAGCGCGGGATCCTGCGGGATACGGGCCTTTTGGATAGAGGAGTTAGCAGTTTACTCGCAGATACAACAGCGGGAATAGGTCAACTGCGTACGGTAGATGATATGGCAGAAATGCCAAAGATCAAATTCAACTGTGCCAGATAGTATGGGTCATCTTCAAATGCCGCAGGGTTGTTGGTATACTGGCCGTAGATTTTCAACAGGGTAGGTCGATGGATGACAGGATATAGCGGTGCCCATTCTTGGAAGAAAATATTGATAAGTTGGTCTGATACAAGTCGTGGGGGACTCTTCGGGGGTACATCTTGATGTGCCCATATTGGGAGAGATGGAGGACCAAGCAATTGTTCCGCTGAGATGCCTGCGGCTGACTTGCCGCTCCGTTCCAGCTTGTTGGCAAATGCATCTACAGAACGATACACACGGTCAGCATACTCGTAATATCAACATAATAAGAGGAAAATGGGGCCATGTCTGCGCAAAATGGAGAGCCATTACCAATGAATGCCCTTGTACTCGATGGGCCAGTAAAGGGTGCATCTGTGGTTGGTTTTCTCAACAATGAACACGAATGTTGAACATGGATCATGTCTTCTCGTTTCTCTGGGGAAGCATCATCGGATGGCGACGAGCCTGGCTCAGTCGAGCCATGCGGAGGAGTCTTGCGCGACGACGAAAATGATTGTAGCCGCGACAAGACATCGATCTTCTCGTCCTTCTCATCCAACAACCCCTTAAGCTCACGAACCTCCGCCTCTAACGAACGAACTCTATCCTCCAGTGACTCAGTGTAGCCTCGAGGAAAGGCTCGTCTGCTCAGTTTGTCGCTGGTCTTGCATTCGAAGCCGACATGCGCGCACTGCGAACAACACGGGCGGATGCCATCACAACGGATCTTCTTGCTCCTACACCTGTCACAAGCCTGGGCAACACGACTCTGCGAGCTGTTGCCCACCTTGATCACCTTCATGGGTAGTATGCCTGGCATGGCTGTAGGTTTCTTTTAAGGTTGATCGTATAATAAAACAATTGCACCCTCTATCCTTCAACTGGGGGAATTGCCAGTATGGGTCAAACTAGCCTTTGGTCTTGCTTATGATAATCTTTTCTGCTTTATTATTCCCTTCTGTATTACATCTATCCCTCTTTCTAGTCTTCTTCTTCTTCTTCTTCTTCTTTTCTTCTTCGTCCTCTTCCGTTTCTTCCTCCTTTTCTTCTTCCTCTTCCTCTTCCTCTTGCTCTTCCTCTATTGATTGTGTTGACCTTGCTCGTCGGAATCGCGGCTCCCTCCACGTCAACACGATGAGAGCTGGCACGAAGACTAAAGCGAATTGATAGCTGCCGGCTGCCACCACTCCTTTGAGCAGGTGGCTTGGGGCGGCACAGGCACAGAATGCTTCGAGTAAAACAGGACAGGGTGGCGTCAGACAGCAGGGTAGGAAGCAGCTGAGGGCTGAACTGAAGTCGGGAGTGGAGAGACGGGCGTGTGGAGAATTAGAAAGGGGGACGAGGAGACATAAGTACGAAGAGGAACAAAAGGACTGTTGTCTGGATTCCAGCACAGTCCAGTCTCAACGGATCCGCGGCAGAGATCGACCTTGGTACTTTCTGCCAGAGCGGGTGGGAAACCAGTGGAGGCGGCTTCGGGTGCGCAAGCGATGCAGCGGTGGGGGTGAAAAGAGAGTGCTGGAGGTTTGAAGATCGGAACGGCGAGATTTCTTCCTGCAATCATAGGAAGACAGAAAGTTCAGCATCGGGGCCCCAGCGCCAGGAAACTCAAGCACGCAGAGAGATAGACCTGATGCGGCGGACAGAGATACGCCTCGCTGCGTCGGCTTGGGAACTTGGGGAACTTGGGGAGACCATGGCTGCCAAGGCCCGGACAAACGGAAATGCTTGGCGTATCAGTGTTGGCGCCGCCCAAGGTTCTAGCGCCGATTAGGCTTAGTGTAGCTGCCTCTTCCACAAGCGAAGCCCCGTGGCTTCCCCCGGGAGGATCCCCCCAACGCAGGCGAAGCCAACCCTAACTGGACGCTAACGAACAGCCCCCAGTGAGGCCCAGCTCTAGCGGCAAACCTGTCAAAGTCTGGAAATTTGCCCTAAGTTTAACCCTAAGTTTAGCGCAGGGTAAGCCCAAATTTAACCCTGGGTTTGAGGCCTATGATGTCCTCGCACGAAAATGGGATCCCGCAATCACCCTCTCTTCTCCACACATTTTCGAAAGCTGGGGAAATCCGTATTTACCCCGGACGAAAATCGATCAACGGCGGCGCCTTGCCACTAAACTGATATTGTTATTAATTTATTCATTATTAACTAATTTATTCACTAGTTATTCATTTCTATTTACACGCACAGCACTTGCTCATATGCTGCGCCATGGAGCCAGTGGGGCTCATGTTCCTCTGTTTGAAAAAGAAATGAGCTGTTGTCAATTTGGCGATGCGTGCCATGGAAAGCGCACATATGTGCGATATCGACCGCTCCTGGGGATTTGAGTTCTGGTTTTATAGGTTTGCTGGTATCGCCAATTGTTTGGTTTTATTTCATTATATTTTTCTAAGTTTTTATTTTATTCTTTGTCTATCTATGTGCGTGCGTGCGTGCGTGTGTGTGTATATCGATATCTACTCGTATAATTTATGTTTTGAATTCGCTTTGAAACTGGACCTGACCTGTCCTTGGTTTGGATGTGCGTCAATGCTTTCCCTTTTGACCCCACATATATTCTTCACAAGCTAATTTGTCACCGGAATCGATCCACCTAGCAGACAAGTTTTGTTCGCGGTGCACGCGAACCATGTTTCCACGATCGATACGGACAAGCTGTTCTCAATTGGAGGTTTTATTTTGTCCTCTCCTCTTGTTCTCTACTTTTTAAATACGGAGTACGGTCCCACATAATAGGATTCGATGCCAAATATCCGGAGTATTGATATTCCAGCCAATTGGAGTGGTGAAAGTCACATGATTCGGCGCCATGTAGATCCGAGTAGTGTCCCACATAGAGTTAGCCAATAATATCAAGCTTATATATCCATCAAAAAAAAGTTTTAGCTGCGAACTCGCAGAAAAAAAATAAAATAAGCACTCGGAATGTGGCCGTAAGGCGAAGGTGAGAAGGAGAGGCAGATGTGGGAGGACGTGTCATCTAACTTATCTCTAACTAACTAACTAATTAACTATCAGATCTAGCCGGCAATATCATCAAATCCATCCATCACCAATCTAAACCCAATCTGAGATGCGCAGTGTGGCGGGCGCATATATCCATCTTTGTTTGGCTTCAATATTGGATGGTACCGTTACAGCATGATATTTAGAATTTTGAAGCAGAACCATGGGCCGTGGGGTGGTGGATTCCCAAAATTACCTTTAATTTACCAGGCGAGAAAAAAGGCTTCAGATAACGATGAACTGATCGGAGATGGGTTTTCTTCAACATCTATTATTATTCAAGATATCAACCTCAAGTACTATAGAGAAGAAATGTACTCCGAAGGAAAGAAATAAGAAGGGACCATAAAACTTAGCCTTGGAAGACAGGGCCTGGTCCGCTGCCTAGCTCCTCAGCATCAAACCAGCAGGTGCATGTATGTACAGTACAATACATTTACAACTGTCAATAAAAGTACTCGACTTCAGTTTAAGCCACTCAACTTTTCAACAAAAGGTGAGAGAAAAATAAACAGAACAACATCCTGCTACGCGTATTGTTTTGTCCAGTGTGAAAAGCCTGAAAATGCGCTCCCCGCAGGTACCAAAGTTAACCATCATTAACACTCCTCTGGGCTACGCTTGGCACATGTAATCATCAACCCATCCACAAAATCGAATCAAAACACGATTTGGATAAAAACAACTGCAGGCGTTGTTTGTTAGTGCTTTTTGCTTTTTGTTTTTGTTTTTGTTTTTTTTTTTTTTTTCATCTCTCCTAGCAAACTTCCTTAATGAATTGCTTGTTTCATCGAGATCATGTACGTCACAGAGAGTGTAAACGCGCAGAATAGAGGGGAAAACGGGAAAGGATTGACTTCATCAGACTAGCAAAACGGAGAATAGGAAAGCTCTGGCAAACAGCAGGGATAATCCCGGACAAGCGCCATGAGCAATTGTATTGCTCGTCAATACGTAGTCCATTTTTTCCTCCTTATGCTGCTGGGCACAACTAGCTAAGTGATAGAAGGGATTCGGGCCACAAAACAACCCCTAGATTACTAAGAAGGTTCATAATACTACTTCCCGATAACGCAGTGGTAAAAGCAGGAACTTTCTCTTGGCTACTAGTTCCCGCGTCTCGTTAGGCTGCGCAGAATATGTGGACCCATGGTAAAATGGTAAAAATTCCTCAGGAGAAATCCTCGGCAATGTCCGCGCCAGGATTTTGTGTTATCAAATAAGACCTCACGGCTTCTGTATCCAATAGTTGTAATTTCTGTTATCAAAGGTGTCATTGTTAGCCTAGAGCACACAATAATGGGCACACTGTGCAAAGAAGATATTGACGGGGAAGAACAATGGCAGGGCGCGAAAACATTGGCTACCTTTGCTTCTATATCACGAAGCCCGGCTTCTAGGAGTTCTCCCTCCAATGTTCGAAGCTTAAGGGCTGTCTGCCATACGGACTGGCGAATCACCCTTCCGTCAACATATTCAAGCCATCGCTGCACATACTCGTCGTTCGAACGCAGTTGGGCCAGCTGACCTTGCATCCGGTCCTGCAAGATGACAACTGCCCGGAGCTGAAAGACTCCCCACATCCGGTCCGCTTTGAGCTGGTCAAGCAGCGATTCCGAAGAAGTAACGTTAGTTCCTTTCCACGAAACCTTGAGCTCTCGCTCTCCTTGGTTTGATTGAACTACACGGAATTCCAGGCCATCTTCTTCGTTAACGCAACACCACCAGACAAATGAGCTTTCCCAATCAGTCACGTCAGAGCCAGGCGCGATAAAGAGGCGAAAGCCTGGTGTCGTATTGCAGACTGCTATTTTTGCAGGCCGCAATGGGTCATCAGCGGGAATGTCAAGGTCAAGGAATAGCTGACGTGCATTCGTCGAGCTACTATCGAGAAATCCGTACGAGAATACCATCTCGGAAGCACCCTTTTCGTCACCATATCTATAGTTGCGCGGATTGAAAGTTAGTCAAATTGTCGACCTTCGTGTCCACAGTCACATTATCTAGCTTCAAGCATACGTGATAGTTATTTCGTCGCCCACCTCTAATCCTTGACCGCGGCGCAGTTGCAAAACAGCGTTTCCGTTTTCATCAGTCTCATACAAGGCGCTGGGCCGACCACCGGAGGCGTGATTTACCATATCAATACACGGGACCATGGAATGTCCCTTGCCTGGAAATTCAAGAGCTCGCGATCTATACATGGCATCGACTAACTTCCAATCCTCGAAGGTAAGCCGGCCAGTATCTTCGTTCCACCAATCACGGTCACAGAACGAGATATCCGTAGTGGCCTCACGTAACTGGTCAAACTCTTTCTCCAACGAAAGAATCTTCGAATCTAGAGCTAATTCCAGCGAAGTGCCACGTAGAAGTTCGCGCTCCTCAATGGTGTATAAGGTGGGCAGGGAATACGAGGCCGGGAGAAATTTTATGTATTCTGTCCAAGCATTGGATACCTTAATGTGCTCCTTTGACGATAAATCCGGATCCGAGTACAAAATGTGGACCAGGAGGAAAAGCAATATGGCACCTCGAGCTGTCTACACATATCAGAAATTGAAATATGCATCTACGGCCGAGGAAGCGGCATTGCCGTGCCAGTGAAAGAATACACACCATTGCATAATCCCTCATAGAATCCAGTACCTCCTTCAAATGCCTATCTGTTTTTGCGCATGTTTCCACTAACTCTAGTGAAAGTAAAAGGTCAGATGGAATAGTCATGAGGACTTGCGGCTCAATTTCGGCTTCGGGATCGAGCTCCCCGGCTGATTTCTTTGCTGTCGCAACTATCCCGCATCCTTTGTCAACCCCATCCTTGGCCGGTAGCTGTGTCACCTCGACGTCGTGGAATTCGACACAATTAAGTCTAGTCCATGCCGCGAGCGCACTGATAGGAAGATATTCTCGCTTCATTGGAGGGGAAGGAGTTTGGTGGACTAGTTACTGCGTAGTTTATTTGCCGATTGAGATAATGGATCCCGAGTTTATCTACGTGAAGTCAGGTGATCAAACCACGGAGGTGACGATGATTGGCTCACCCAACCTCATCCAACTTTTGGAACACTTGAGAGATGAATGACGGTAGCTGATGGGCCATATCCTATGCCGATTCTCCTCCCCCCCTTTTTTTAGAAGATGCGGACTAAGCTCATTCCGAACTTAAATTCCCCTCCTCATGGCGGAACAACAACAAGCTGTGGACTTTCTGGCAACTTCTCAACCAGGACAGCCATTTTCTACTGGTATTTTGCATAAAGCTCTGTCTGGGAAACGATACGCCGTCTTTCCGATTCGGCTTCACTGAAGCGAATTCTGCCATGAGAGCTGCACTTCAACCAAGGAATTGTGCGTAAACAAGAAGCGAATTTGATCCCTACCTTCAATGCTGTCACAATATCTTGAATTATAAATGGTGTATGCCCGATCCTACGTAACTAACTCATACATAGTTCACCACTTTCTCGTTCACACCACATCCTCGCTAGCCTGCTTATGTGATATGGCCCACTTCCAAAGCTACCAATCAAATTATCATACATTCATAACAGAAGAAGAAAGAAATGAGTGAAAATAGACTTATTTTAACTGCTTTAGCAGTCAAGGGTCAAGGATTAACTTAGAGAAGAGCTAAGCTGCTTTCTATATATCTAGACAATATTTGCATCTCTATATTGATATTTAGAACTAGTAGTCGACGCAACCGGTCATGATTGTCAGTAACCCAACAATTATAAAGAGTACAATATCACACGATCAGGCTAACGAGAATGTTGGTGTAAACGAGAAAGTAGTACGGAGTAGCTATTCTCCAGTTACTCGCGGCCCCCCACTTACAATCCTTTATTACGACTAGTGTCTTTTTGAAGGATAGTGGGGTGGGGTCCTCCAGTAGGTATGATATATCTTGTCCAATTTTGTTCTCGCAGAACAAATTCCACCGTTACGCCTTGAGAAAAATGAACATCTAGGAAAAGTCCCTTGACAAGTACCGCCGCTAGCACACCCTGTTACCAAGCTCACCTTAGCCAACGATGGATAGTCCATTGCCTGCTACAAGGCGCAGCGACATTGGAACCAAGCATCAATCTTGTTAGTCGCAGCGGCCATAAAGTGTAACGAACCCTTAATTAGAAAGTTTGTTCGTTGAGATAAAGAAGTCTGAGTTATCAGCTAATTGGATTTGGAAAATGGTTCACGATGTAATCTAAATGGCTGTTGTGGCAATAGCGTTTCAAAAATGGTATACAGAGGTCGCTTCAAAGGGTTTTGACTCACACTAAGAATTTTAGTTGCAAGCTTGCTAATGGCACAAAGTAATTAATTATATTGATCCTATGCTCTCCTCTAGAGGCTTCAGTCGGTCCCTGTGTCATTTAACTCAAGCTAGCCTAAATCTTGAGGTCCCTTGTAGGGCATGAAGATTTTTACAGAAGCTTAAATTCTTGCATAGTAGTGTTAGTCAAAACTTTTACAAGACCCATCTATAGACAGTCTAAATCTACTTTTATAGCATTTCAGGAGCCAGAACATTCGATGCGGGACATGTCCGTCTCTCAAATCTTCATACCCCATTCTCAGGAGCAGGAAGACTAAACTAGCCTTCTTGCAAGATTGCGATAGCGCCAGAGCAGGAAGATCCCCATGGAGTTCCTCCTCGTATACGCCTCTCGTTCCCCACAAGGCTGCATGCATACCATACCCTACAGGCTAAATTTAGCATTATGCAGCAGCACCAAAAGCGCCATGGCGGAATAGTGAAGCCAGCTAGTCAAGGCGCCCATACACCCAGAGCTCATCTCCTCAGAATCGCTGCAGACGATATCTGCAGCATCCTTGAGCCCCATCTGCCCAGCTAAGCTGCGAAGAATAGCCCACCAGCATGTCCACAGTGCAGCTTCCTATACTGGCTTCTAGGGTGGTGGCCCATGACGACGACCTAAAAAGCTTTTGCAGTTGAGTTGAGGATCTCAAGTCTAATTTCCGCGCCCTATGGTGGGCCCGCTAGCTCTCCATCGTATACGTGGCGACAACGAGGATGAATTGGGTCGGTGGATTCTCCTTTACGACCTTACAATCTTTGATGTCGGCGATACTCGGCCTGAAATTTGAGCTGGTGAAGGCGGTGAATACACGACCCTTCGAGGCATGCACGACGCAATGGCTAATCAGCTCAAGCTGAGGGACGTACTTGTTTCTGGTCAGTAACCGAAACCACAAGCGGACATGGAGCCTCTTGTATATCGACCAGTGGTGGGAGGATCGACCGCTGGATGAAAAGGATAAGAATTCGGGTTATTTCTCCTTACTCTATTCACCCCTGAGGATATTTCTCCAATTGAAAACCGCTCATATTTTGCTTTGGTCTTACTTTTACTACTCTCGAATCACCAAGCTAATTAGGATATTTCACTACCGGCCATCACGATGGCGTTCTTAGTATGGTTGGGGTTGGGGGTTCTGCTTGCTTTCGAGCGAGGAGATTCCGGTTCGGTAGCACCACTATTGAAGTTTCCATCTGCTATTTGCTGCAAGATACTATGGCAGTCCTGAGGAGCTCAAGTTCTGAAGCAGATAAAGCCCATAGAGAGCAAAGAAAGAGGATATTGAAACGAGAAGTGCAAGACCCACCCTGGAATATAGGATGGATGACAATTTACAACTAGGTCCTGTGTGCTCAGCATCTCCATCTTGTGAACTATCCAGGTGGGCCAGGACATTATGTTCTGTCTAGTTAAAGATTCTTTTATTTACTGGCTGTTCCTCGCTGATTGAATTATTATCACTCTCTTTCCTAGCATCAAAAGTCAGCCTGGCCTCCCTCAAGCTCCAAAGTATTTATATCCAAGCCACAAGCGTAGGCAACTTGAGACTTACTTACCATTATTACCCCTGTGATCCATTCAGTGACAATTTTGTGCTAGCCGCTACATGGATTGCGGATCGTTTTCAACCCTACCATCTAACTAACTGTAATAGACATGTCACTCTCACGGATGACTGATTGAGCCGAACCACTGAAGCGTCTAGTGGATATGATGCAGAATGGCTTGACCATCGTAACTCTGTCTCCTATGATATTTCTTATGCAAAAAGCAATCCAATGACATGTCCCAAGGTCAGACATAATTCAACCCAATACCAGAGAGAAACATTGTCATCTGGATGACAAAGAATGCCACTGATCTAACGCAGATGAAGATTGGAATTATTGGAACCATCTTCTGTTGTGATAAAAAGCCACCCGCTGTGTGTTGGAGGGGAGTTCCATGGTGTGCCGCCACCCGTTTTCGTTTCACTCAAGGACATCAACTTACCGCTGGCTTGCTGGTGGCTGGCAGACACGGCTTTGTTCAAATATTGGATGAAGAAAGCTGAGATCGTCTTAACCCTCAGAATAATAACCTACCTCGGGAAGTACGGCCCAGCCTGAATAAAGTTGGAGAAACTGGCTTGCGCCATCCCTACCACACGGCATAGCCAAAGGTCGCATCAACACGCCCCGCCTTCCTGACAACTATGTCCCGAGTTCATTCATTGCCTTCTTATACAGGGCTTCAAGTCTTTTTTCGGTCACGGTCGTTATGATCAGCAGATCAGGTTTACTGCATACGTTGCGATTCGCCCATCTTCGATTGCCACTGGCTACAGTTCTCTCCTCAGGTACACGATACGCATGGACAAGCTCGAATGGAGAGGGTCACAGCTTGGACCGGAGCAGGCGCAGCGACACCACAGATCCAACAACCAAGAGGACAGCCGGAGGCTTGAAGGGGAAGGGAGAGGCTACAAAGAGAAAGGATAATTCCAAAAGCAATGCCACGGAAGAGCGGAATCACGAGGGGAGCATGAAAAAAGCAGAGAATGAATTTCCGGAAGCTCCCTGGCATATTATTGGCATGTCTGACGAAAGGGGAAAGGTGAGTGGGTTTACTTTCACATTTTTGTTTTGGCTCGACATGTTTTCTTGTTTTCTTTGCCGTCTTGATGCACCTGGCTGATGTTTTCCCATGATCACAGAAAGGGATTTGAGTGACATATTCATGTTTAAGAGAGTTCTACCTCCACGAGCCGACATCCAAGTCGACATCCAAGCAGGGAAGCCTTGAAATGAAGAAGGAATCGAAGGAACATGTCAATTTAGTGATGGCACATAAGAGAGGTATCATCGGCCGACTTTAAATGATAGGACCTTTGGATTCACGAAAAGGCGCATTAGTGAGTGCGTGTGTGAGAGAGAAGGGGAAAAAAGATGTGTGTGGAGGAGGGGGGAGCTGAATAAGAAATTGCAGAACTAGGAAATGAGTGAGAACGGCCACCATTAACACTACAGTACTTACATCGTAATTTCCAATAGAAACTATCTCGTCCTCTGAGACTCTTGTGCCTCCCGCGCCCTCTATATAAGCTACAGGAACATCACCCATCACTTTCCGAGCCACGTCGCCCACAGTGCTATTCCTGTAATGACGTTAGCATGCGCCATTTAAAATTCCATGTAAATGGACAGTGGGTCTAACTTCTTGACAAGCACACAATCCTTGAAAACTCCATTGGCCGTTCCGGTTCCTGATGCAAATGTGTGAATGTTACGGACTGGGAAAATTGGTACCAACCCAAGTACTTCCGCAGCACGAGAGAGAACCTGAACGACCCCTGTTGATCCGAATCGATACAAAACCAAATCCTTGACATTTTCCAACCGGCTATCAAATGTTAGCAAATATATTTTTTAGAACGGATGTTGCATTCAGGGACACAATAGAACACCAAGGGATAATTATACTTCTTCAATTTCTCATCCATTTCCTTGAGGCCACCACCCTCAGGATCACCCATATCTATTAGATCCTCTCTCGTATCTATAACATCGCTCCCTTCGACATATTTGATATATCCTTGTCGAGCCAGTTTTCGAAGGAAGACTTCTGATATGGCAGAACACAAAACAATCGATTGCGGATCCTGAGCCTTGGCAATTTTATTTATATTCTATAATTCTATCAAATCAGAAAAACGTCAAACCATTTTCGTAGGATCCGGAGTCTAACTTACCTTGTCAGCATCTGGATGATCAATTTTGTTGAGCGCGAGCACTGTGGGGAATTTTTCATCTATAAAGGCAACGACAACACGTTCTACGGTCTCATCCGACCATTCTTGCAGGGGCTCTTTTATATCTAATCGGTCAAGACATCGCGCCACGACCTTCGATGTGCTTCCGTAACCAGAAAACTGATTTTGTAGCGTTTCGACCGGTGTTGCCTCTATTGTATGTCAAAAAGCTTGCATTTCAAGTCCGATTCAAACACCACACGTACTTGTTGCTGTATGTCGCCGTTTTATAGAACCCCTATTGTCCGTAAGTATCTGCCTTCTACATTTCTGCTTCACCGTCATAAAACTTTTGCGCATGTTACCATTTCTCCATCAAATTACCCAAGATCCAATTGACGATCTCCGATTTCAACCAAACAATATCTTGTGAAGGGTCATACCCTCTAGTGGCCTTCCCTGATATTAGGAAACACTTTTCTCAGTCCATCAAAGACCATGCTGGTAGCACCCATGAGCCGCAAGGCTGATATGCTAGTTGATAGAACGAACCTTCGGCATCAACCGTCCCACTAACATCAACCACATGTACCAACGCATCCGCATGTCGTAGGTCGTCTAAAAATTTATTCCCGAGTCCTTTGCCTTCATGCGCTCCAGGAACAAGCCCAGCAACATCAAGCAGCTCGATTGGGACAGATCTCCGCCCTTCATGACAACCACCGTAATTGGGCTTGCATTTATCCGAGACGTTAAAACGTTTGCACGCGCAGTCTACCTGGAGGTAGCCTATGGCGCGCTGGGGATCGATAGTTGTGAAGCTACTCCCCCGATTTTAGTATTCAAAACTCGTCTACTGGAAGGAGGGGCCAGAAAAAGAGGGGATTGATATGGAGTTCGTACGGGAAATTTCCTGTGAAATCACATTTCTTCAGCTCCGTGATAACCAAAAGGAACGTATGATTGACGCACCAACTTTAGAAGAAGCATCGGTCAAACTGGAGTTGTTGTGTTAGACACATTAATTTCACCCATGTTTGCGCTCTCTTGAAATCCCATACACACCTATTGAGGGTAGTTGACTTGCCAGACGACGGTTTCCCGACGAGGCCGATTAATGGATCCCGAGGCATAGGATATTAGTATGCGAAGTCTTAACTGGGCAAAAATAGGATTTTTCAATGGGAGGGAGCCCGGCCGATTTGTGAGGTGCTGGCGTTTGCTGTTGTTGGCTGCATATTCAGGCTGTAATTTTGATATCCGATCAGTAACGTATGTTATTTGGTTAAATACCAAATAGCCGAATTGCACAACCGGGGTATATAATTTATACAGCCATTGCATATAACCATTTTTCAACGCCAATGTTCGACACATTTACTTCACTAAAATCTTCAAACTTAGCTCCTATTGTATGTTGTCCATTCCCAAGTTTGGAGTTTCGAATATAAACTACAATCCAATGTTTGACCCTTGTGGATCTCTCAACAAAGTTGAATCAATGCAGGGAACCTACCCTGAGGGCAAGGCACTGCACCAAACAGTATTTATTGATCCTTAAAAGAGGGTCACTCTCAGTTACATATACCATGCTCGCCCAATCTCACGCAGTAGTATTCCTTTCATCTAAAGGTGTCTATGGAGAAGGGGATCTAGATTGCCCTTCCTATCAGGGTTGTTCTCCGGAAAACGGAGAGTTCTATGCCTATCATTTGAAGGCCCAAGCCCAGAAGATTCACAACAGAGCGAGACCCACCAGAGCCAATATTAGGTATCCCTCGGGGAGTAAAACGCCTTTCCCCTGAGCCACTATGCTACACTTCAGAAGCTATATTATCTGTGAACTCGCTATATGAAACATAAAACAACACTACCAAAAAATACTGTTCAGCAATTAGGCTCTCCCTGTCACTATCAGCGACAATAAAGCAAGAGTCCAGTATCTTGTTGATGGCAAGGTCCAAAAAGGGGCTCGTTCTCGTAACCATGACATCAGTTGAAGACGCCTTGCCTGCATATAGATACATAGAGCTATCTGCATTAGAGAATTTTTCAAGAGTTACAAACTTTAGGTCATTGGGGTGTTCTCCCTCCATTTTCTATATAATTAACCATCTCCCATTACTCGAGAGAGAGCAGTATTTGGATGAAAGCAAAAAATTGTAAGGAGGTAACATATACATTAAAATAGGAGTGTATATGTTTGACCTCAATTGAGACATCCTTTCCCGTATCAGAATAAAAATTATCTGCAATATATTTTGTCTTGCTCATATTCTAGGAGCAGAATATCCGAAAAGCAAACCAAGCACACGTAATCAAGCAGTCTAACCAGAGGATACCTCCTAGGCATCGAACCAGAATCTGCTTCACAATGAAACTATCAAACTCCGAGTTAGTTGATAGGGGAGAGGGGCGAGGGCAGGGAGGAGTGATCTGGCTGGCTCTCTGTGTTTGTACGTCACTAGATGGGTTCACATTGATGTTGACGATATTTCTCTCAAAGTGGGCCGAAATGTATAACCTTACGTTGTGAATTTCTCGGGAGGGTTTCTGTAGTTACATTTGAGTAAAGCTTGCTAACGCGTTAGTCCAATGAATATCAAAAAAAGTCATAAGTGGGTAAGAAAAAATGAGAGTGAGCCCTCTCAAAAAGTGGCACTTCATTCCGCCCCTTTTTATATCCGATTTATGAACGCCGAGAAAAACATATGTGAAGAAAATTAAGCCCGATAAACAGTCACATGACGCCATGGTTAATCCAGGACGGTAACAGACAAACGAAGGGATACATGAAAAGGAGGAGTGTGTGGTTGTCCGCAAAAGTCCAGGGCAGAAAAGAAGCATAAGAAAGCCCAGCCCGTCTGAGCTCGGAGTTTGTATCTTCTAAACTTTTACCCTTTTCGATTCCTTTTGCGCAACCTTCACAAGCTCCGTATAGTATTCTTTATCCTCACCGTCTCCTCCATCCTTCTTATCCTTCTTGTCCTTGTCTTTCTTGCCCTTTGCGCTTGATCGTGGCAACACCATGACAACACTTGTAGGTCGTTTTGTGGCACCTGCACTTCCTAACTCAGCTCTTGATGTGACATAAACGTAAGGGATTCCGTGGTCTTCACACAGAACAGGAATATGTGATATGACGTCCATGGGTGAGATATCCGCTGCGAGGACGACGACAGCGGTTGGGGTGTCGATTACGGCGTTTGGTGCAGGTACTGGTGATTTCCGGAGCGCTTTGACAACTTCTTTCACGCCACGTTTGAGAGACTTATTTACAGCAGCTGCAGAGGACGATAATTCATTGCTGTTAGTAAAATAATTGCTTGGGAGACGAACTCCATCAACATCATTTGACCGCACAATACTGGTCATAGCTGTGTCTCGTTGTATTCTACACACATCGGTGGGAGGGTCGAGCGGCTGAAAGTAGAGTCAACGAGTAATGAACTGGACATACCCTTCTTAACACTCTTGAGCACCTTCTTTGCAACCTTATCTTGGGCTAGGGGATTTGCAAACGGAACGAGAGCGCCAACAATTCGCTCCGGAGCAGGTTTCTTCGAAGTGGTCTCAGCAGCGGTAACGGTAGGAGCTGGCTCGGCATCGGGTTTCTCCAGATGCTCTAGGACCTTTGTGGTCAATTCCTTCTCCACGGCTTCAGCAAGCAAACTTGTATCCTTCTTTTTATCTTTCTTAGATTTCTTGTGCACACCATCGGTCTCGGAGCGTTTCTTCTCTTTCTTCTCCTTCTTTCTCTCTCTATCGGACTTATCCTTGGCCATTGTGATTGTTAAATGCAAAAAGAACACTTGGTCGGATTATAGGTTGTTGGCAGGTACGAGAGTGTAAGATATCAAGCAATGGCAATTGTTGGTTAAAGAGAATATAAATGGGAGATGTGGGCGCAAAGTTTTGCTGCTGTTCTACTTTTTTTCATGTACGCTGGATTTCATTTTCGATTTCTGGTCGCTTGACGTTCGCCCTAAGCCTATTGTGGATTAGTCAGCAAATTCTTTGATCCGAAAAGGCCCCGAGTTCGAGTCCCAACTAGGACAATTATAATAATTAAGCATGTCGAATTTCTTTATGCTTTTTCTCCTTGTTTTCGCCGTCGAGAATGCTTATTAGAAGGATTGACATATGAGAGTACAATTGTCGGGCATGTGGGTTCATTACATCTGTTATTAACTAAACAAATAGCTTTGAGGCTGTTAGGCCCAGTAGTACCATGTGCCGAACTGGCTGTATCAAGACATTAACTTGTGATAGGCTGTGTCGTGAGGTCGCGCATCTGTTGATTTTTTTCTCGAGTATGGACAGGATGCCTTGCACCTTTTTCGATATTATCCAGTTGATTCGATGTTGAAATGGTGGGGGAAAAATCAAAACAGAGAAAGGAATTCGAAAAGTGTTCTTGTCATATTTTATATAGAAAATGAAATGCTTTAGACAAGTCGATTGCTTTCTAATAATATGTGTACTATACAGCGCAATGACGGATGAGGCTCCCCTCCCAACCTTTTAAAGGTAGTAACGATGATCTCTACTCTTCGCTTCCACCCTCTGCCAATCGTCCGGCTTTAGAGTTCAGATATTCATTCCTGTGGATGCGTACATGTCGGTCAGCAACCGCGTAGAAAATTGACAAACACGCAATACAGGAGGAAACAATCCAGATCAAACCTCATGATGGGAACACGAACCTCTCTTGAGCCCAGCTCATTAGGGCATATGCCGCGACAAAGGGGGGAACGACATAGAGTGCTTGATTGCGGGATCTTCTCCATGTGTTGAAAATGGCGTTGTACAAAGCACCAGCGAAGGGACGCTGTCGGTTGGGGGACAAAGCGTAGGTAGATATTTTCTGCGGAGTCGGGCAGCCTATTTTGCATCATCACGAGACAGTCATTAGTATGTCAAGTACAGTTGATACACAAGATATAGGCGGAAAGGCAGCCAAAGAATCGGCCTGTTTGATTGTATCAGACGAGGCGGGGGCGATAAACTCGCGTATTGTCGCAATGGAATAGGCCTCAAAACGCACCAAAGTCCCCAAACGTTCCAATATATCTGCCAATCGTCAGTTTTCGTTAGTTGTCTCAATTCTCATGAAGCGAACAATAGTATGCCTCTAATTGATTCACAGGATTAGCAACTGGGGTAGAGGGACTTACATTCCACGCTTGGGATCTGGATGTCCACCGCCCATCGTTCCGGATAGAGAAACGAAATTTATGTAGACAATTGATTCGGCTCTTTCAAGCAGTCGACAGACAGAAACGCTGCCTACAACGCAAGGGTGTGTACGTGTGTATGTGAATGTATACGTATCTCTGCAGATGTTGTCGGCTTCTTTTGCGGCCAAAAGTTGAGAGCCTCCAGGATCACCTGACACTGGTCCCGATACAGTTTAGCTTCCTAAAATCAGCAAACCAATTCAATGCTGTTGATATCTCCTCAGGAGCAACACATTTCCCCCATCCACCCTCAGCTTCTAAGAAAATGGCGAATGCTCTTGCGGCCGTTTATAAATGGGGCATCCCCGTGGCCATCGGGGCGTCCTTCGTCCAGGCATCACTCTACGATGTTAAGGGAGGAACGCGGGCAGTCATCTTTGACAGACTCTCCGGAGTTCAGGAAAAGGTCGTCAATGAGGGAACGCACTTCCTCATCCCCTGGCTACAGAAAAGCATCATTTACGATGTCAGGACGAAGCCCAGAAACATCTCAACGACAACCGGTAGTAAGGACTTGCAGATGGTCAGCCTGACACTACGGGTTTTACATCGCCCCGAAGTCCAACAGCTACCAAAGATCTATCAGGTATTTACACTCACATTCGGACATCTCCTTGATCCTTCATCTATATAGCTAACTGTGCTATCCGCCCAGTCCCTCGGCCAAGATTACGATGAAAGAGTCCTCCCCTCCATTGGCAACGAAGTTCTAAAGTCCATTGTTGCCCAATTTGATGCCGCAGAACTCATCACGCAGCGTGAAGCAGTCTCGAACAGAATCCGCAACGACCTCATGCGCCGTGCCAGAGAATTTAACATTGCCCTCGAAGACGTCTCAATCACCCACATGACATTCGGCCGCGAATTCACCCGTGCCGTTGAGCAGAAGCAGATCGCGCAGCAGGATGCTGAGCGGGCGAGATTCATTGTCGAAAAAGCTGAGCAGGAGCGACAGGCTAACGTTATCCGTGCTGAAGGAGAGGCCGAGAGTGCTGATATAATTAGCAAGGCTGTTATGAAGGCTGGTGATGGCCTGATTCAAATCCGAAGAATCGATGCCAGCCGGGAGATTGCGCAGACACTAGCCTCCAATCCCAACGTGACGTATCTCCCCGGTGGTGGTGAGGGAAAGGAGGGTGGAAAGAGCACCAGTCTTTTGCTTGGATTGAGGAGTTAAGGAGAGGAATGAGAGTTAACAGAAAAGTGCGCTTGCATTGATGGTAGATGCGGTGCAATTTTTCTATATTTTTGTTTCGGAACAAACAAACATGTAACAAAATTCTCTTTTTATTAATTTCACTGTTGTCTCAATACATATTTGGTCATTTCTCCGCTTCTCAGCCGTTTATGACCGCATGAGCCGTCCATGCATGATATTTCAAGCCAATATATACAACTTGGGAGCGGTTCTGATGTAACTCTTCGAACTTACACCACTGTGAAAACACTTGCTTTTCCGCGCCAAACTTGCTGTACAAATAAAATTGTGGCTCAACTTTCCACACTGGTATGCTGTACTTGAACTGCTCAAAGGTCATCAACAGCCAATATATAGCCGTGGATCCCTGGCCTCACTCTACTTACCTAGCCATAACCGGGTCGTCTCAGCTACTTGAAAACTGTGCTTTAAACTTCCAGGACGAAACTGTCTTGAGGCCTGGTAATATATCCACCACATCTTCTAACACATCCTCCACTCACCATCGGATGGAAAGATAATAAACAGTCAAAGGTCTTAAGTAATGGATTGTCCAACTGAGACGGATATTTGAAGAAAAAGGAAATGACAGAAAGGTTTATGCGAAACAATTGATCCATGCAATTGAATAAAGGTGCTGTATATTGGAACCAATCAACCCATACATCTCAACACACCCTTAAGCAACTCCTAAGGAGCAAACAAGGACAGAACAAGGAAACCATATGAGTCTTCCAGCCACATAGTGAACCATTATGGCAGGTATTGCTGATGCAACATATATGCATCAAGCTATTTTTCACTTGAAAATCAGACATATGAGCATAGAATAATTGCACACTAGAGAGATATCCCAGTTACACCTTCGAGATATTAAAGGAATCAAGTTCTCAACCAATAGACAGGCGACGAAGCAGAAATACATATAGAAATCGGAAATAAAGAAACAGAAGCAAAAAAGACAGCAAGAAACGGAAAAAATAATTCATTAATTCATTAATTTAATTCACAAAAAAATTGAATAAAACAAAACAAAACAAAAAATACAAATACAAATATCAACAGCATGCAAAGAAAAATTAAAAATAATCGCATGGAGATAATAAGAAAGCATCATGCCTATCATTAGAAAAACATCTTCTGAATCCGATGCCGAACAAGTTCCCACGTCGTCGTCGGCACTCTAGTTGGCCCTGATGTATCTGTATAAACCACCACCCGGCCCGTATCCACATCCGCCTCCCTCAGTTTAACAAAGGTCGTGCGGCACACAACCTTGTGTGCAAAATACAACATGATAAAGAGAAATAGACTAATATATGCGACGAAAAAATTGCTTAGCTCCCAGGGTAAAAAGGCCGTAAAACCTTGAGTAATGATGATAAGGATGTTAAAGGAGAGGCCGTACCACGCCAGGTAGGGTTGGAAGGGTGCTTTGTAAGGCAGCGCATCGCGGCTAATATTCCTCTCACGCAGCGCACGCATGAAGCGCAGGTGGCAGCCGTTAATGCAGGACCATGCGATGAAGCCAGCGATGCCGCTGATGTTCATGAACCATTCGAAGACCATGGCCCCGCTGTTGGAGAGGTTAAGGAAGCCGAGAAGGCCGAAGGCGGCGGTGAAGAGGACGCACGCGATGGGTACGCCACCCTTAGTAGTCTTGGAGAAGGGTTTGGGGGCACACCCATCCCTGGAAAGGCCTACTAGTATTCTACTGCCAGAGTAAACACTGGAGTTTGCAGCGGAGATAACCACAGTGAGGAGGACGGCGTTGATGAGACTTGGGAGGACCCTGACGCCGGCAAGCTTGGCGGCGATGACAAATGGAGACGCGGAAGCGTTGGCGGCTTGTGACATGAGGTCTTGGTTTGTGTATGGGATTAGAATGCCAATAAAGAAGATTGTCAAGACGAAGAGGAAAAGGATGCGATAAAAGGTCTTTTTAATTGCTGCTGGTACGGCTTTTCGTGGGTTCTCTGCTTCTCCCGCCGCGATGCCTACTAATTCGGTTCCCTGATATGAGAAGCCGGCTTGGATAAGAGTAGCCCAGAATCCGATAAATTTTGCAGTGGCAATATGATCAGTTCCGACGACTTCGACGAGGTATGGAGCGAATGCGCCGGGGTCCTTCCAGTACTTGAATCCTAAATAGCCCTGCTGGCCTGCGCCGGCATTAATGCAAATGCCAAAGATCATGAAGCCAATGACGGTGACGACTTTAATGCTAGAGAACCAGAACTCGATTTCGCCGTAGAAGCTGACGGGTAGCAGATTGATTGACGTTATGAACAACCAAAACACACCGATGAATATGGCAGCAGGGGCGTCCTTGATCCAGAATTGGATGATAAGGCTTGTCGCCGTCAACTCGAGGGCGAAAGTAATGGACCACGAAAACCAGTATATCCAACCCATCGCGAAACCAAGACTAGGATCAGCGAAGCGGGTAGCGTACGTGGTGAAGGCGCCAGCTACTGGTATACACGTTGCCATTTCTCCAAGAGAAACTATGACGGAATACACGATAGATCCGACGAAAGTATATGCGATCAGAGCACCGGCAGGGCCCGCAGTTGAAATTGCTTCGCCGCTACCAATGAATAGACCGGTGCCGACAGTTCCGCCTAGGACGATTCAACAGTAAAGTTCCGAATCGATAATGAGAGCATTTGTATATACATACCAATAGCAATCATCTGAAGGTGTCTGCTTTTCAGCTTCCTCTGGAGCTGGGACAATTGGGAAGACTGGTGCCAGAACGACTCATGACACGGGCTTGACGAGGTGTCGCCCACCGTGGCCGTCGTTCCTTTCTCATCCTGGTTCAATGATTCGTGATCGATCAGGTCCGCCATTCTAGATGCCTGAACGTACAGACGTCTCGATGGGAAACAAAATCAAGGAAGTCTATAAAAGAGAAAATCGCCAGAGCGGGACATAAAAATCGTGGCAGTGAACCTGTTTTCCTGCCCACAAACTGAAGTGGTCCAAAAGCTGGAAAATATATAACTATATATATATATATATATATATATATATATTAAATCTCTTATTCAATATGTCTGCAATTAGGAGTGAAAATGTAAAGAATGGCAACCTCCAAGGACACCAACTGACTAATGATTCAAGAGGCATTGCGATATACGGAAAGTAGCAAAATTGGCCAATTGAGAATTCGCCTCTGCGGCAACACACTCAGCGGTGACTAATCAGCATGAAAGTTGGTTCCAAAAAAGACACAACAATGGAACCAGGCATGGAACTGCTAGCCAAAACGAACAGATAACATATGTTGTGCTAATATGTAGGGCTCTATACGCAGGCAATGATGAACTTCCATGATTCGGTTGCTATGCCAGCCTTCGGGCAATTCAACCGAAGAGGAAGCCAGCAGGGGTAATTCCTGACGAATGTGTAATGTGCATTAGCAGCAGGCGTTTTATAGGATAAATCTCGACTCAAAAGGCATAGCATCCGTCAGGATGTACCATGTACGATGTCGGGAGCCCTCTGGATATTCGTATAACTGCGAGGAAAGGATATTCGCTCAGCCGTTCCAGTCACCACCATACGGAGTCGCAACGTCAGGTTCATTAAAGGTTCCCCACCATCGCATTACTATGTATCATGCATCTGAAAGCTGATCAGAAGCTGCCAATTGAGCCCCCAGATAGCAATGGCAGTCTCATCCCGTCCCCGCCTCCGTTCGAAACCATGAGTATGGGCGAGTTGTTCAAAACGGGTCCATGTCAAGACCCAAATTCTAGCCGATTTAGTACGGCTCTTGTGTCCCTGTCTCTCCAAGCCATAGGGTTGGTAATATAGGGCTAGTTCTGCAAGGTGTATGCCCCCCTTCTGCAACAAAGAGATCACAAACGGCATCGAGATCGGATTGTTGCGCTTGTTGGAGGTAGGCCAAACCATAAAACTGAATCAGGCTCCATAATTCAAGCGAAGAGGCATAAATCTTTGGATATATTGATGAATTAGATAAAGCGTTCCTAGCGCATGTGCTAATATACAATATGCTGGTCACGAAACGGGAAGACTGTACTCCGTACACTTACATATATTGGTTGGAGAGAACAAACCACAGATGCTCAGTTCCCTCGTGAAACCACACGATGCAGCCCCTTTCTCCGTTTTCTGTAGACCATCCCAGAGAATCACAACTGCGATGGGGCGGGATGAGGGCTCACACGCGGTGCGGCCCTAGCTCGGGCATGTTCTTGATCGGCTATCTTGTTGTCTGCCATGTCCAAGGACCACAGACAGCTGGCTCAACACCTGGGTCAATTCCCCAAGCTTGCCCCAGCATTGTTCTCCACGTGGCGCAAACATATCAAGAATTCATCCACTGTCATCTCAAACACCCGAACATGGCGTCTCGTTAGCGCGGCAAATGAGGCGCCAATGCCCAGCTAGAAACCCACGTGATGGCGGATGGGAAATTTCTCTGAGCAAGACGGGAGCTCTCGACGGTCAACTCCGTCGGAGTTTTGGTTTAGCTCTGAAGTTATTTTATTATTATGGACGGCGGCGCTGCCACAAGGGAAAGTCTGCAGCTCCAGGAGTTCTCCTGGCTGCCTCAAGTTGGGGGCTCATAGTGGCCTGGCTTCGACACCGATCTGCTCTCGCCTTCAGCTTCAGTTCATCCCATCATGGCGACGATGACTTCCACAATGGAGTCCCCTAAGCTCTCGCCTGCGACGACGCAAACTCGGACCCAGACCCATCGACGCCGCCTTAATCGTGAGGAGCGAAAAGATATCCTAGTCCTGCGGCGGCTGGGTTATACGTATCAAGCTATAGCTGAACATCTTCACGTCTCCCACCGCGCTGTCCAATACACCTGTGAATCAAATACGTGCGATCCCAAAAAAAGGCCAGGTCGGAACAGCAAGTTGTCCACCAAGCAAGTCGATGACATTGAAGCCTTTTTGGCCGCCTCTAAGGAGAATCGGAAAATGTCCTACAAGAAGATAATCGAAGTTCTTGGCCTTGACGTGAAGCAGGACTGTCTGCGTCGAGCTCTGCAGAAACGCGGTTATACTCGCCAGGCTACCTCAATGCCTAATTTTCGGTCCAGCAAACGTAGCGATCTTGTAAGTTTTGTAGGTCTCCCAGGTTTGTAGGAGTTTGGAATAGTCACTAGAGCTAATACACCCGTCATCAGGCTTGGGAGATATGTAAAAACCCCGACACTAGCAGCAAAGACCAGAACGAACATGAGTCCTCCGCCGGGTTATTGCTACCAGACCATCCCTCTCCCGGCGGGCCTCTACATCATCACCATCGCCAACCTGCTACAGGCCAACCTCAAGCCCCCTTTACCCGATATCCTCATATTCCCACTTCCTACCAAGGCTACCATTCAAGTGCCTCTCCTCAATCACAGCCAGTCCAGCTTCCGCACCTCCCAGGCCCATACCACCAAGCTGCACCGCCAGAATTCCAACACCTTCCACAACAATACAACTCTATGGCAGCCCATCATCACCCGCAGCAGCCGCAGCCGCTGCAACAGCAATACTCACCACAGTGCCGATCTATACCACTTGAACCCCGTTCAATCCCTCCCCAGAACAATCCAGTGCATTTACACCCTCACTCTTTGTCAACAGCGATTCCTCCATACCACTCACTTCACGAGTACCATTCTGTTTCTTCCAATAAATCACGCCCTCCTCTCCCGGAATACCGTCGAGCCCTATCCGAGTATTGTCCCAGTTTGATTGATCGTCGTTCCGTTTCGGTTCAAACTCCATCCCCATTCCAATCTCCGTCCTTTGCCTCCGTGCACATCGACCCTCGACATCAAAACCTCAGCCGTAGTGCATCCCCGGGCTTATGCCAAACAACAAACTCCCACGCACAAATGGCAAGTTCCATCATATACCCCTGTGAAAATAAGTAAAATAAACCACGCACTGGTTATGCTTTCAACTAACAGAGACAAATCTAGCTCGTAGATGTATCCAGCATGACGGACCGATCGCAGAAATCTAGCGGATATTCAACACCACTTACGATACCAGATGACCGCAGCGACTACTACAGATATGAGACGAGCGTTCCGCCTGAGATGGCAGGCGTCGATTCGGAACCGAGGTTGCGATGGCAGTGAATTCATCCATTTATATTTGTAAGATACGATTAAAGTTTAGAAAATAGGCCTCAGGGCCTGGTTTGGCGCGTATGGGAAACGAGCATGCTGCCTTCACTGGTCGCCATGCACTGTACAATACCTGTCGAAGTTGAATAGAGAAAGCTAAGTCATTGGCGTTTGGAAACCCTCTGCCGCTTAAACAACTCTTTCTACTTTGGCTACTTTTTCTTCACCAGGGTCTCTCATGTCTTGATATATATATATTTTTTCATTGGTTAGGGTTGTCTACTTGCACTGTTTTAATACCTGGGATAATACAATATAGAATATAGACCACTGCTTTGATACTTACATAAACTCATCCTATAGTTACGCTATTTGTCTGCCTGGACTCGTGCTGGCAATAATATTAGCATAAAAAATGCCACAACCGAGAAACATACCTAGCTCAAGTTAACGATACAAGGGGTATCCATGAAAACCAAACTCCATACATTTACTCGCTCCGCACATTTCTTATAAGCGCTCAAACAAAACGCGAACAGAGGAGATGAGGGCAGGAAAACACGAATAATCAAAAGCAATTCATCATGAGATGACCATGGGTCACCATCTGCACCAAATAAATTTGAGTACACTAATATCAATACCACACCGCCGGCATAATTTCTCAAAGAAACCCACTAACAAAAGCAACAGCATAAGACCGATACTTCTCCACAACAGCGCTATGGACTTCCCTGTCAAAGCCTGAGTCGCAGACCGGATCCCCCGAGTCACAATAGGACCGCATGCGAGAAGCATACGTGTCGCATGCTTCGGAATCCGGGCGTGGGAAGAGCTGGCAAGAAAGTTACATTGAGAACATTGAGTAGGATTGGACATCTCCAGGAACCAATGTGCTTCAGATTCAGAGAAGGGAATGAGCTGGAGCGGAAAGGAAGGGAAATAACTTACACCGCTCCTAGTTGAACTGCCAACATCGAACGATTTGCCGGGTACGTGGCGCGGATCAGCCATGAAAATAATCGCAGACACTACAAGAGTTTCCAAGATACAATTTGGAGTTAACTAAAAGAAAGAAAAACCAAACACTATGTTGTATTCCCACTAGCTTTTATATTATCTTTTTCTTTCCTCCTTCCCCCATTCCCACCACGGACAGATTGTAACCGTCCAAGCGACGACAATAACTCGCAACAACGTCTATTGCGTACCTTTATCCGCAATGGTCCGATCAACTGCCCGCTCCGCAAAGGCTCCGCCACACAATACATTGCCAATAACGTGGGCACCCTGTGAATACCCCAGTAGCACAATCTTCGACTGCGGACAACTTGACACGGACGTGTTTAGAAGGCCAGTCAAAGCTTGAATCCCCTTATATAACGAGAGGGAGTACGGGAACAGATCCGCGGGGTAATCAAGCGCGATTCGCTTGCTGTTCTGGCGCTCATTGGCAAGATCGCTGGCGATGCTAGCGAGACGGCCTTCGCCGGGGTCTTCGGAGGTGCCGCGCGCTGTGATTATGGTTATGGCTGTGCAAGAGACGGTGGCAGTATGTGCTTGCGCGGCTGGTATTGGGAGCGGGATTGCGATTGCCAGATGGGCAATTGCGAGGATGAGGGAAATCACTGGCGCTATTGCGAGGGCAGTCCGCATCGTCGTTAGAATATCTATCTGTCAAGACTTCGGAAGCTACTGGAGGGTTCGTGACGTTGGTGTATTAGGGACTGTGAGAAAAATCTGATGATACCTATTTCAAGAACATATATATACGTATATGGATATAGGCAGAACTGGGGAGAAGTTGGGAAGGAACGGATGTTCGAATCTGCCATTGATCTATTGATCAAGGAATAGACAAAAACATATGACGCAGCAGCCGTCCTGTAGCGTCAGGAAGACAGAAAAATCAGCAATTGGTATTTGAAAACGGGAAGAGTCTTCCGTCAGAGCTGCTGAGAAGCAGCCAGCGGTTAGGGAGAGTATAGCAATGCACACCCTGAACAAATCCAGTGTACTTGCTCGGCCGATAGCATCTGGGAAGAAGTTACACGAGAAGAATATCAGAAATAATTCGAATATGTTTGAGGAGTGTTGAGAGCTATAAACAACTTTACACGAGCTGTTGGAACGAATTCTTCTCAAACCGAGAAATCTTGAGTACACTGCCATCGGGAGAGGAGAGGACCTGTGAGGTCACGAAAAAGGGGCATGGCCATATCACAGCACAATTATCCACAAAAGTTGCAGGAGTATTTCGTTTACAGTCAGGACCCTGAATGAGTAGAATATGGTTTTGTTCCATTTCAAGATGATAGGCATATTAAATATAAGAAGAATGAAAACAAGTAGAAAATTACTACAAAAGACAAAAGAATAAAAGCTATGAGTGACAGCAGACCAACAATTCCTCTCTACATGCGAGTTCCTGAGCTGGGTGTGTTCAGGGGAACATTGACATCACCAGAATGTATGTAGGGTTCTAAAACCACACGCTGTCTAATACGCTACACTTCATAGTATTGTTCTGTTTCATTTTCTTTGCTCTTTCTTTCCCGGAGGAAATTGTTTGATTTCAAGTAATTCTTTGGATGTCAAAAAGTTTCAATACATTGGTTTATTACGTATCTATCATTCCGCTGATTACTATCTATTCCCGCTTCGAAAGGAATGAATGGTCTTAAAGCCCTGGCACGGCTACTTCAATCCAAATTAAGAAAAGCTCATGATTGAAGAAAATGAGAAAGGGTGAATCAAGCTCCTGATTTTATTCAACTTCCCTGCTAATCTATATCCATTTACAATCATGTTATTTTGTTAAACTTTTCCAGGGCCTGATTCTCCATTCCATTAAGTGAAGGGGATGATGGATGTGAAACTGAAAGCTTAGACGGCGAGTGCTAAACAGGGCTGCAACCTTCCTATCAGCAGCAATTTCCACATCCTTCGGTGACGGGGTAACTACTGATCATATTTAGGTTTGATCTTCCCTGCCGCGGGGAGATAACGGGTTGAACTCGATCCGTGTGTATCTTCGATTTGTTGATTAATTTTCTCAACTCAATATCAACATGTGAAATGAACATATCCCCATGCGCACTGATAGCGGTGAAATGTCAGAGATACAGGCTAGGTCAAAAGGAACCGACGATGGTGGCTTAACTAGAGCGGCCCCTGTCCGGGGTACCGTTACAATAAATAGAGTGTCTGCGCTACTCTAAAGACTCGGAAAACGACACGATTCATTTTCCTCTTCGTTCAATTTTTTTCAACATGAGAGTAAGAAATCAAGGATCAAATGGAGAGTTGATTTTCTTCGGAAAGAATAAAATAAAAGGTTAAAAATTCTAATTCTTTTATTTCAACCAGATATTCCAATTGTAGATGGACGGTTACACTGCGCTCAGAAGCGAAAAACCTAACGCCCGTAAAGCTTCAAGGGATAATGTGGAGGTTAAGCGCTGCTTTCCCTGTTTTGTTGAGCAGGTACTCGCGGCATCCTCACACCTCCACTATATTCTATGATAGTGGGGGGGGAATGAGGGGGGAATGAGGGGGGGACGGGGGGGTTGCCATGAGGTACAGAATATACTGGAGGCCTAGAACCTAAGGTATTAGGCTTTGTACGGACTCTGCTGTCAACCCCCTAGCCTTCGATAGACATGGATTTGGACTCTCATATCCTCCAATCCAATTCCATCCCCAACCTGATACTTCAGCAGGGTTGTATCTCTTCGGAACCACCGGGAATCTTCTGACACAACGCGTTCCCAATTCCCATCAGCAACGGAAAGTAAGGCATGATCGAGAAGAAAACGCATTGGGTAGTTTCTTTGTGACATCGGGTGGTTCGATTTCGTTGCAGACGCTTTTACATCTTGGCGCGTTGTGTGGTCTTCCCTGGAAGGAGGGAGTGTACTGGAATTTGACGATTTTTGCGTGGAATTTTCCTTACTAGTAGCAAATGAGACAGTCGAATAACTCCCGGGACTGTCAACAACGAGCAGTATTGTCCCAGGATGGAGCATATCCGTTAGCCGAAGCAGGAATGCCGTCGTCATAGATATCGATGTTAAGAACAACTCGTTCAACGTGAACATCAGAGTGACCAGCATATTTTCGTTTCGCTTCATAGCTAGCCAATCGAACTTCATATCACCATTCACGTTCCTGGGTGGGCTGAACAGGGAACGCATTTCCTGATCTGTGAGTTTCAATACGTCTGCTTTCTTAAAATGAACCTGAAACTGCCCGTCAACTTGACTCTCTGGATTCGTGGGAGGAATCAACGGCGCAGGGCAAGCCATCGACGACGGTATAGATTCGGATAAAATTGCTTTGTTGAGGGTGTTGACAAGGGAAGACCAGTCAGCAATATCGATAGAGGTGATCGAGAAATTTGAAAACGGTTGCTGGCCTGCAAGTTCCGTATCAGTGTCAGGAATCTGTGCTGGCTCCATCTCATTTTCCAATGATATATTTCTAAAATTGTTGTTCATTGAAGAGAATTCAGCCGCGCGATCCGAAGTAACAGCTGCTGGGGCATTGGATATTCCCCCATCATGCAGCCACCTCCACGCCGCAGCCAGTCCAACAATTTCTGCTCCTGCACCTCCTCCAATACAAACGACATGCTGACCAGCTTTGTCGTTTCCAGCAACCACAGTACGATGCTGAATAATCATCTCTAAAACAGATGCAAATATACCCGCATAGCCTAAGGCCCTTCCGGCACTCCAACGCAGCGCGTATGCTTTGAGCAACTCTTCATTTGCATCAGCAAATGCAGATATAAAGTCCCGATGATAAAGGTGGGTCTTCAATATCTGGACCAATTCTGATAAAGGTCGCGATAATGCTTCTGTCTTAGAATCCCTATCGGAGAGGAGACCATACTGGAAAACGTTCAGGAGCAATTGTTGAAGCGGAAGTGGTAATTTTTTCGTCTGTAGAGCCGGTCTGCTGTTTCCATCGTTGGAGGAAGAGAGCCCACCCATCGATTCCGGGCGCCTGCTGGAGCATTTCCCACCACTTTTAACGCTGGCAGATTTATTTGCCATGTCGGGTGCGCTCTTTGGCTTAGCGCCATTCTTTCCGTTTGGCTTCGGCCCATCCTTTCCACGCCGATGTGATTGAGCCATTTTTCCAACACTTCGTTAATTCTCCAACACCTCGTTAAATCTGTTCCAATCGAGCAGGATGGGAATACGGTCACATGACCTTCTCAGACCCGGCAGAACTAAACATAATCAAGGAGGTATTAAACATTGCCCACTGGCCCAAGGAAAGATGTAAATTCTGAGTGACACCCACAGCTACAAAAGTCCCTAATCCCACACAAGTCTACCTTACCTCTATTTTCATGGTTGACATTTCAGTCATTTCTATTTGAAGTTTATGGCATAATTCTTCAGTGCTTTATCTCTTTGGAATTTGTTCCCTCTGTCAGTTTTTTAAATTATATATGGACTGCAGTATACATCAACAAAAATCGTTTATTCTCACATCCATTAATTACAAGAACATCATTGACTACTGCAATTTAATTAACATCGTAGCAACATTGAAGACCGACCCTAACGGCTTTTTTCACATTGGTTGAGATGGGTGGTTGTTGCAAGTGTTCTCAATGGCGGTGGGCGGTGGATGAAATAGAATTCGTTTAGAGCAATATATAAAGCACTTCCTCCGCCTTCTAAAAAGTTCTACAGATATATCTTCCGGCTAAACAAATTCCACCAATACTCAAACTATTTAGCCTGCCAGCACTATCTTCAAACTTGGTTGTCAAGATGAATCAAGCGTGCCAGCATTGTCCCTCCAGTCCCCTAAATGGGGCACGATCATTGCGACGCTCGGCGTCAGTGTCTTCAATCCGCCCCCATTATGACACTGATCTGTCAATGGACAAACATGATATCACCGAATACCTAGCAACGATCGAGCGTCTGGAGGATTTACATTACCGCGAAGTGGCAAGATTGCAGGCAACGTTGAGTAGCCATGGCGAGGAGCTTTCTAGTATTCGTTCGAGACTGGAGAATGCAAAGGGCAAGGAACAGGCAAGGAAGGAAAGCGCATTAGAAAAAGCCCAATTACGTGATGCCGAGATTATTCCTTTGAGGGAAGAGCTTGGATATCAGAAGCAACAGAATATCGCTGTCGAAAATTTGGCAGCAGAGGCTGAGAAGACCATAGCTAACATGCAACAACAAATTCACCGCTTGGTATACCAGCTAAACAGTATGCGGAATAAAAAGGAACAGTTTGCGGATCGTATCAATCGTCTTGGGAACACCAACACCGTGCTCCTCAAGAAGAACAAAGCTATTGTAATGGAGACTGATGAGTTTAAACATGAGATGAACGCAGCAAATAGTTCCCTGACGGATGCCATTGTTCGAGAGAAAGAGAAAGCAGGTCTAGCACTTATCCAGCGTGATCTGGAACGCGCCCGATGCCGACAGTATGAGGCAGGCCTATTTCCGGTAAGCGCACCCACGACCGCCCGGGACGACAATGTCATGCATGTCTTGACGACAAATGGACCGTCCACGTTGAAGGTCGATGGGCCTGGTGCAGGCAGTGAAGCAGCACAAGAAGTACGCAGAGGGGCCGTGAAGACAGCACAGATAGTCGACCAAGGAAAACATACAATGACGCTCGAGATGAGAGTATCAACCCCTTGAATCCCAGAATTGTGCACTTTTAGCGGTGAAGGAAGTGCTGATTCAGCATGAAAAGGAAAGAGGAAATTTGAGAGAAGCGAATCGCAAGCTCATTGCTGAAATCTGGAAATATAAGAAGCGTATGGAGTGTTTGGCCGAGCGCATTGGCACCAATCTATCAGAACCAGACATCGAACCAGAAATGCAGTGATGGATATGCACTTGCCCGGGTTTCCAGTAGCGGCTTGAGGTTGATAGCTAGGAGGTAAGTTCACCAAATAGAAAGTATCCGATCTTCATAAGTTCTGAGAAAGTCTCCTTCGTCACTGGTCACCCTTTCTTCTCATCAGCCAGCTTCTTTGTATTCACGTAGTTTCACTCCCGAATCTAACCTTTCCTGGGACCATCATACCGAAAAGACCACCCAGAAAAATGATTCAAGGTCATACACCGATCACCATGGACACCCTAGCACCAGCCTTACCTCGCGCGTCCGAGAACCCATCCCATTCCACTCTAATTGCGAAATCAAGGTCATTCGCTAGTAGATTCCGAGCAATATTGTTTTCCGCCGCCACTTCAGTGATCAAGCTAGTATTGCTGTGGACTAGTGTACAGAGGAGTCCTTCCTTGAAGGACGGGTCGTCGTATTATCCTCCCACTGGATGGAAGGTGGGTGGACACGTTGGTTGCTGCTAAACCTGGGCCATGTAGTTGACTGAATGAGATGCTAATTGCTCTTTATGATGAGTCAATTGTACCCTTTTTTTACCTTTTTCTTCTTTTGCTCTTTTTTTGCATCCATGCAGTCAGGCAGCAGAACTGCATGTAGTCCAATCGGTGTGCAATCAGTGGTTGCCGCTCTCGTTCGGTTTTGAATTTGCAAAGTGTGCTGCTTGGCTGCTGTGTAACTACTTACCCCGTGGCCGGTCCGCTACGAAACACGTCATTGTAAAGAGCACAGCGTGGGCTAGCTCTCAAGAGCCGCGGACATCAACTCGATTTCTCGCAGATTGCCAATGCAATCTGCCAGCCTCCCGTTATATATAGATAGTTGGGCGACCTTCCCGTCAATCTTCTTTCTGTTTTCATGCATCTTCTCTAGTACCTGGCTTATAGCAACATCCGATACTCAACAACAAAGGTCATCCACTTCTGATCAAACCCCGGTCTTTCGAGCAAAATGGCAGAGAAGTGCGCACAAGCTGGATGTAACAATTGGGCTTTGAGTGGTGGGCGCTTCTGCGCCAATCGTGAGCATAAATTCCGCCCCCGAATTTCTCCAACTACCTCCTAACACAAAAGTAAAGATAAACCTCCTGGATCTCAGCAGAAACCTGCAGCGGAAATCCACAGTGACGGGACTCGGATTCCCGGTCTCGCAAACGACTGTCAAAGACCACTAATCTTGTAGCTGGATCGCTTAGTTGATTGTCATTTGGACTGTTTCTGAAGAGCATGGATGGTAGAAGAGGGAATGGGGAAGACAATGAGCAAAGGGAAGGGTATCGAGAAATGAGATCCACTTGCCATCCACAAATAGATCCTTGTAAACTGTTGGGCACTCCACTGCACGTGATTACCCCTATATAGTTAGCTAGCGATCACACAATGAGAAGATTAACCATCCCACATAAACATCTTCAGGAACTGAGTGTGTCGGCTTAGCCGGAGAAAAGCTCGGCGGTGGGGCCTTTCACCTTCCGAGGAGAGTCAATTGATCATGTGCCATTTGTTTTAATCGATATATGGTAATATGTATATGGATGTATTATTAGAACGCTTGGGCCTATCCTTCTTCCACATCACCAAAGTCTTTGCGCTTCATCTCCTTAACTTGAACATCTTTAGAATCTGTTTTATTAATTCTCATTCTCTATTTCTTTTAACTAAAATGCATGATGCCTCAATGGTCATGTGAATGGGAGAGCTGTGAGAAAGTAGCTGCACAGCGATCAGGGGACTGTTTGCTGTGCGACAGACACTTCTGTCGCACGCACCGCCAAAAGCCATGGCATGAATGCCCGAAACCAGAGGTTAATACAATAAATAGGAATATCAATATCTAAAAGCACTGCTCATGCTGATCAATTTAGGAAAACTGGGAAGCCTACTCAGCCCAATTTGCTGCTACAGAGGCTCGCCACATAAACAAGTTATGGCGTCAACTAGATCGTTCAAAGCTGTGTTCCCACGCATCGACACTTAGAGGAGGCGTCTCGTGCACCGTTGACTTGTCTAGCAAGAGCTTGTCTGCCATGATGGGAAACCAGAATTGCCATGCTGAGATCACCTTCGATGACGATGTCAAATGGATTGCTCGTTTTCGCCTCACTCGGACCTCATCACCGCCGCGGGAAGTACGTGATTGGATACTTCGAAGCGAAGCTGCCACCATGATTTACCTCCAACAGCACACTTGCATTCCCACGCCCGCAATTTTCGATTGGGCATGCGAATCCGATCCAGGGAACCCACTTGGAGTTGACTATATTCTGATGGAAAAACTGGATGGAAAGCCCCTGGATTGGCAGGCGACCACTCCTCGGCAGAAAGAAAAGATTATGCAACAGTTGATTGACATATTCCTCGAGATCGAGAAGCATCCCTTCGAAGCAATGGGGTCACTTTTCTCCTCGGCGGGAGATGCTATAGAGATTCAAGGTCTCGCACATCAATCAACTTGGCAGGTTGGAAAGGGTCCACTTGGTCCATTCTCTTCCTTGTTAGAGGGGTCACAGGCTATGCTTGAGTCTTATCTTGGAATGATAGCCAGCGGCGAGATTGATCCCTGTTATCCGGTAGAAACCTATATAGTTCATCGATTTCGCCAGGATATTGTTGGCGCTCTCTCGGAAAACATCCTACCAGACAACCAATTTTTTCTCAAGCACCCGGACGACAAAGGTGACCACATTCTGGTTAATGACCATTTTGATATCGTGGGAGTCATAGACTGGGAATGGACTCGAACGGTCTCCAGGGCCGAGGCGTTTTGTTCACCATGCATGATGTGGCCGGTGAACGAGTTCTACGACGGCTCTAATCAACTAGCTGCAGATGAATTGCGGCTAGCTGCCATCTTTCAGGAAAGGGGCCGTGCAGATCTTGCCAACTATGTTCTCAAGGGTAGAAAGGTTCAGAGATTTTTCTTTGCTCTTGGGCCTGAGAGTTCTTTTATAGATATGCAGACGCTTCCACGTCTTTTCGCGGGACTTCAAGAAGCTTTTAACGTCAAAAGCGAGGAGTGGGAGACCTGGAAGAGCAAGGCTCTTGTGAAATGGAAAGATGATGAGTTACTCCTGGGCTTGTTGGAGGAATCATCACGATAGGTACTGTAAAGCTAAAAGTTAGGATACGGGGCGAGGGTTTGTTTTCCAAAAGGGTAACAGGAATAACGCATGTGGCTGTTTCTATCCTTCTATTCTTTTCTTTTTCTTTCTTGCTTTAGATTCTTATAGATAGAACCAAGAAGCCTTCACCGGCACTCGACATGACAAGGAATTTGTGATAGTGGCCGCAGTTATGCACACGCTCCATGAGTCGGCACGTGGATGGTATATTGAAGGCTCAAGCAACCGGCCCCTTTTTTTTTGAGAGAGAGAAATATATACTATCCACCGGTAGGCTGGCAAGAAATGTGATAAAAACAGTAAATTAATTCTCACAGCTCGTCCTTCTTTCTCTTCGTCGAGGGCGGGCGACGCAGGTGCCTCGAGATTTTGGACAAATCCCCGCCTCGCCTGCGAGCCGCTCAATCGGACAGGAAGTAATCCCTCCATTTGTCCTGGCTGGCCACGTCACAGCATACCCTGCCCATTCACTACTCGTTTTGGCAACTCAGCTCTCACATTGTCAGATAATGTAATCCACCACCTAACTAGTTACATATCTGCTCTTTTAGATTTAGAAGTATTATATAGTCAGACAGCTTCTCATTGACTGAGTTCACAATTTTGAACAACTAAAGCTGCTAAAGTAAGTTGATTTATATTCATTATTACTAAATAGTATATCAAGCAGCTATAATCAATGAGTGTATGAGGTTGAAGTTGTATTCCTTTGATTGGTGTATCCAAACTATACTATATCATGTGATTTAGTGTCCCAAAAAGTGGTCAAGTACGTTAGTTAATTGTCAGCCGGCCAAACACCAACGGTTAGTTAGTTCATTGGTAGGCACCAGTTTCTACACAGCAACCCAGCGTTTCTCGTAGAGATATGAAATGGCTCCTCTAGTGACTATATCTACTTGGTAGGTCCTATGTCTTATTCGTGGGTGTCTGTATCAGGATGCTAACGGCCCTCTAGTTCCCTCAACCAGTGGGTGCTGGATTTCGAAGGAAACACGAGCCGGATTATAGAAAGTATCCGCATTGCCAAAGCTGCTGGGGCTAGGTACGCATCCTACCATCACCCTCTTGGGAATCCGTATTGAAAATATCCTAGGCTTCGCGTAGGGCCTGAACTTGAAATAACCGGCTACTCATGCCAAGATCACTTTTTGGAAGGGGATCTCTACCTACATGTTTGGCAATGTATTGCAACCATCATTGACCATCCTGACTGTCAAGATATTCTGATAGATATCGGTGCCCCTGTATGTTTGAAAAATATGTCATTATTCGTACACAAGTTGTTTCTGATTGTCTGACTCATCCAAGGTGCGCCATCGTAACGTATGTCACACTCTATAGGAAACGGATAAACCTATACTTATGGCTCTAGATCCGCTATAATGCACGAATCCATATTCTGAATCGGAGGATACTTCTGATCAAGCCGAAGATGTGGCTTGCGGGAGGTAGGAAAGCCTTCCTATTAATTCAAAACTACCTTCATACTAAAGCTCCCCAGATGCCAACTACTACGAATACAGATGGTTTACTTCATGGGCCAAACCAAGATATGTTGAGGACTATTATCTTGAAAGAATTGTAGGCGAGATTACTGGTCAAGCCACTGTTCCAATTGGAGATGCAGTCATCAGCACATATGACTCGGCCATCGGTATCGAAACCTGCGAGGAACTCTTCACCCCAAATAATCCAGGCATCCATATGGGGCTCAATGGAGTAGAAATATTTACAAATTCAAGTGGAAGCGTTAGTTTGAAGTGCCAAACATTTCCTCTCTTCTTGCTAACGTCGTTTTAGCACCATGAACTCAGAAAACTCAAGCAGAGAATCGACCTTATTCGTCACTGTACGAGAGGTGGTGGTATCTATTTATATGCCAATCAACGGGGTGAAGACGGAAACGGACGTCTTTATTTCGACGGCTCGGCCGGCATATTCGTCAATGGGCGTATTGTTGGAATGAGCTCCCAGTTCTCCTTAAAGGATGTAGATGTTGTCACAGCTGTTGTGGACCTGTTAGTGCTGTTTCCAGGCTAATGTGTTCTCACCAGCTAACAGATACATAGGGAAGAAGTCCGCAGTACTCGTACTTCGGTTAGTCGAAGCTCTCAAGGCAGTCAAGCACCTGCATATCGGCGGATCGAAGCTGCAATTTCGCTGTCGAACGAGTCAGATTTACTTAACCCAAATGTCAAACCCTCCCCTGATATCGAATTGGAATACCATTCCCCAGAGGAAGAAATTGCTCTGGGTCCAGCTTGCTGGCTTTGGGATTATCTGAGGCGCAGCAGGCAATCTGGTTTCTTGTAAGATTTTATTGGTCTTTATCTTTAAACTCTCCCACTGACTGTAGTTCACAGCCTTCCCCTCTCTGGAGGGCTGGACAGTGCATCAGTTGCCGTAATCACATTCTCGATGTGCCGGCTTGTTGTTTCTGCTTGCCGCGACGGAAATCAGGCGGTTATCGCAGATGTGCGTAGGATTGTCGGGGTGCCAGAAGATTCAGATTGGCTGCCAGATACTCCTCAAGAGCTTTGTGGCAAAATCCTTCACACATGCTACATGGGCACCACTAATTCGAGCAAAGAAACGAGAAATAGAGCAAAGCAGTTGGCCAAGTCTATCGGAAGCTACCACATTGATCTTGACATGGACTCTGTCGTTTCAGCGATATCTAACTTATTCACTTTTGTAACTAACTTTACTCCACGTTTTTCCGTCCACGGTGGTACCGCCACTGAAAATCTCGCTCTCCAAAGTAAGCCTGCAAATTCAGGAGTATGTCTTTGAGTCTTCAACTTATCCTTTTAGATATTCAAGCACGCTCCCGCCTCGTTGTTGGCTATATGTTCGCTCAGCTTCTGCCTCTGGTACGGCAGAGGCCAGGGGGATCTTCCCTCCTTGTTCTTGCATCAGGTACGTTGCATGCCATCCATCTTAGTGTATGTCTATGACTAACTATTTTAAGGCAATCTCTCGGAGCAGTTCGTATTTCCCATATCTGATTTTTTTTTTCATGGCAAGAGGCGCTAACTTTGTTTATAGATTGAGAGGGTATCTGACCAGTAAGATGCAACTCCCCAAGCAGCCAGTTTGAACATGCTGACTGACTGGAGTAGAATATGACTGTTCAAGCGCCGATCTGAACCCAATTGGCTCAATTGATAAACGCGACTTGATCAACTTCCTAACGTGGGCAAAAGTAAACTTTGATATTCCTATCATTGAAAGCTTCGTGCATGCCACTCCCACGGCAGAAGTACGTATTTGATCTATCCCCCCCCCAAAGGCGACCTTCGCACGTGCTAACCATCATGTAGCTGGAGCCCATTACCGAAAATTATACACAGTAAGCACCGTCTGCCCTTCGTCCTACTCATCGCCACATGCTAAGTTGGTGTCCTAGATCCGATGAAGACCAAATGGGCATGACATACGCGGAGCTCTCCGTATTTGGTCGCTTGCGCAAAATAAGTAAGTGTGGTCCTTTCGGAATGTATGAAAAGCTCCTCCATATGTGGCCCGAACGACACACGCCACAAGAGATATATGAGAAAGTTCGCAGGTTCTTCTATTATTATGTGAGCAACAGCTACTCTCTCTCCGATTTATTCAATTTTCCAGGGAGTTGGGCTAACGTAATTATTAGGCAGTGAATCGGCATAAGCAGGTTTGTAGTACACTTTTTATGAAACAGGTTGGAAATCCAGGTGATTAATTGCTGGGAGCATCATTAGGTCGTGCTTACACCAAGCTATCACGCGGAGAACTACAGTTGCGACGATAACAGGTGAGTCTTTCACACTTCCGCTAAAGAATCCCGGATGAAATTGAATCCTTGCAAGGAGATCCGCACACAGCCTTAACAACCCTTGCAGACATGACCAACGGCCCATTCTTTATCCCGCATTATTTCCGTTCCAGAATAAGAAGATTGAAGAGCACGTGCGGGCTTTGGAAAGACGTGCGGAAACTCCAGTTACATCCGAAGATCCAGCTCATGCTTCTCAGGGAATAACGCGCAACCATGCTGTACAGCTACACGATGGCCCCGTAAGAGACGAGAACTAGGCTCAAATTTTGTCATGGTTTTATGTAAATAGCTGCTCCCGGTGTGAAATACCCAGAACGAAGAGGCCAAGTCGATGGCTGGGTGCTGGGTGGATACGAGGGTTGAGGCATCAGGATCAAACTTGCGCGAAATGAATGACATGTTTACACCCCCCCATTCCATTCTCCTACCCCACATACACGAAAAACACCTGTACCATTTCTTATTGCTGCATGTCAAGTTATCCTATGAAACAAAAGGGTCAGTTACCCAGCTCAACAGCTCAACGGTTGAGGCTCAAAATAGAAATAAATCTGAAACGGAAATACGACAAACGCCGTGGTAGGATAGACATATGTGAGTTGAAGGAGACATCAGTCTTAAAAAATTCAATTTTGTCAGAGATTGTCACTTTCATAGATACGAGATGAACTGAGCTGCGCGCGATCGCGATCCAGCATTCCAGAAGCTGTTTCTCGCAATCCAGTCAGTGAACTCAGCAGTCAGATTAATATGAGTGGTCCTGGGGCATCTTCGCAAGGTATTTTCTTAAATCACTAAAAATGATTTGTCTCCGTATTAGGACTCCGACATTAAGAAATCTTGATTGGATTTGTTCAGAATCGCCGTGCATAAACTCCCTCGGTGTGGAAGAGGAGGACTCCGATAATGACTTAGTTGGTAAAGTGGCCCCTATCCATCGTTGATTCAGTCCGATGCTTTCCAACGACCCCTATATAGTCCTGTGGTACTGTACATTTTGGGCAGAACATTCAGGCTATATATCAAACATGGAACTACGGCTGAGATGAACAGTACAAAACAAATTCTTGAGCTTCACAATTCGGCTATGGTGGGAAGCTTACATTTATTAGACCGGCGGAATTACTTGAACTTGAGGATCCCACAGTCATTGATATAGAAATGTCTTAGCCGGGCGATTCAGACGACCGTACGGGGTATATCTTCTCTTACTGATATTCCGTCGAGTTAAAATCGTCGAACAAGGCTACTAAGCTGGTGGTTGCGAGATCAAAGCCTTGCAAAGGACAGCTTACCAGAACCTGAAGACTTCGTATTAGATATACACAGCAATCAACGATAGAGAATATGCATCAGAACCGTGAAGCTCCCGGGATCTTTTGCACCGCAGCTGCCCAGATCCGAGCTGTACTTGATGTAGGCTCGAGCACTTTAGAATGGAGTTGATGATTCGAAGAGAGCAGGGCTCAGCTAAAGAGTACAAGTTTCTGGTTACTATTTGCGTATTATCTCGAATCTACACTGGTCAGGAGACGGAGCACAATTCGCGATTCGACGAGCCTTTCGGGGATTTTGCCTGCTGCGCATTCGCGATACAGCATGGCTCAGCGGATAACTTTGGCGATATTACGGGCCTCAAAAGCATAGCCTTGAAGAGTCTTTGCCGGTTTTGTGATCAGATAATACTATGTTATCTCCGGTGCCTGGTCGAGAAAGACGAACTTAAAGCAATCCAGTAAATTTTGAACGGACTCTGCTTTGAGCCTGGGGGAATAAGTTCTCGTAAAGCGAAACGCACGATGAAACAAAACTACACGCGACACCTTTGATGCCAGTCCGTAAAAACCACAACAGGTGGGAAGAACCTGGCTGCTGCTGCGCATTATTTTCCGAGGTCCCGATCGACCAGGGACTCGGGCCAGGGCGAAGGCCGCAGAAACCATGTCGGAGCTTCAAATTTACGGGAAGATTCAGGAATGAGACAGCATGAATGAACAGATAGGCTCCTTTGACGGTGGGACTACAAGTTGGCTAGGTAGCCCAGAGACGACGATATTTAAGATGCACCGACTTCTGGATGCTTTTGCGAAATCTTAACAGATTAATCCACGCTTCTCCTTTTCCAGTTCCCGCGTGCCCACGCAAAGTACAGTGGAAGGACAGGTTTTATACATCCATTCCAGGCCTCCCCCTATTCCAACTCCTTCCAAAGAAAATACCCATCTACCGAAATGCATTTATCAATCCTTATTGCTGCCGCTCTCTCTGTCGTCTCCTCTGTGCTGGCTTCCTCAATTCTAGAAGCCAGGCAATGTATTGGTCCCAATGTCAACAAGGCCACTCTCGACTTGATCAAAGAATTTGAGGGCTTTGTACCGAGGCCCGAGCCTGATCCTATCGGACTTCCCACAGTGGGATATGGTCATCTCTGCAAGACCAAGGGATGTAAGGAGGTCAAGTTCCCGTTGAGCAAGGAAACCGCAACAACCTTGTTGAAGAAAGATCTCAGGGTGCGTTCGCTGCCCGCGCCCTTTGAAAGTAGAAATTTTGACGTGCTGTGAAATACATGATGCTAACATGGTGTTTTAAAATGTAGAGTTTCCAACAAGCTATCACCCTGTCAACTAAGACAGCTGTGAAACTCAATGCAAACCAGTACGGCGCCCTCGTATCGTGGGCATACAACGTTGGGCCCAATGCTGCCCGGTCCTCCAGCTTGATTAGCAGGCTCAACAAGGGTGAAGATCCTAACAAAGTAATTGCTCAAGAGCTGCCTAAGTGGAGATTGGCTGGTGGTAAAGTCTTCAAGGGACTTGTTCGAAGGCGCAAGGCGGAGGTAAAATTGGCCAAAACTCCAACCAAGTCGAAGGCACTTCCGGTAAAATGTTGAATGTGTGAAGAACAAGCTAACGCCATTCCTCTCTCCTCTTGTTCTGCTTCCTTTTGCATCTTATTGCAGGTTTTCATTTTTTTAAAGGCTTGTTTCGTGTTTTCCTTCTTTCGTATAATTTAGCAGTTATTTCTCTCTTTCCACTCGTCTCTTCTTCTCCTTGTTTGTAAGTTCGATTGGGTTCGCCACTCTGCCTTTAGATGGGGGAAGCAATCTAGCGTATGGAACAAATGGACACATTGTCATTCTCAATAAGAAATCCCAAGCGTATGGTCTGAAGAATGGAAATTCCGGCATCTAAATACGAAGACTGGTTCTTTGTAGTACAGGCACTGCACATGTACGTACACTACATGCACAACTTGAGGAAAATTTGTATGCTGAACGCAAGACAAGTCAAATGGCGCGAGCTAGTGAATCCAGCAACAACACGCTGTTTCATGCAAAGTAGCAGCCTCAGTCTCCTCGGGCTATCGATTCAGGGTAAGATGCTCTTTTTTGACAAGTACCAGCAGGGCGTTGAGCAGATGGCAGACGTCAGCAGGAAAGCCTACCTACTCATTTTGTCAGGGAGAACTTTGATGGTGCAAAAGACGCTCCAAGCATTAGCCAGCCAGACCTGCAATATGCCTAATCATCCAATTGTGGTGGTTTACCTTCATCTGGGGCCTGGACGGAGCACACCTGGACAGGGTACACATGATCCACGTGGCACAAACCAGTCGTGCAAAACAAATCTCGAACACAGGAGGCGCAAAGACATTCCAGCCCCGAGGCCGGGGTGTTTGATGGGAGAGAACTCGATAAAATTTCCCCCGGTGATGCGTGCGTGCCTATGTATGTGTAAAGTTCGTGCTAAACAATATCTCAAATCGGGACATCTCCTCTGGTTCAGGAAATGTGGCCTGTTGAACAAGCGCAACATATGCCAGGAAATGAGAGGCGAATTTAATGATTCGATAGCCATCATCTAAAAAATTGCCCAGGGCTGTTCAAGGATGAGAAGAAGGTCAGCCACAAGGAGTTGGTGCATGATATTTGAAGGGAACAAGCAGATGCCTGTCATTCGTCTTCCTCGACCATCTATGGGCTAGAGAAAAGAAATTCCTTCCAGAACGGGTAAATAAGGCGGCTTGCAGTGTCGTATCTTTCGAAACAGAGCCACCCTAGCCGGCATTGTCCGAATCAAGTATGCATGCTTCTTGCAACTACCAGCGTCCCGCAAGATACTGCCATCAGCCAGATGTCAATAGTATATTTGGAGCGTCATTCTGGAAAGAACATGTATGTCTATGTGGAGAAACCTGGCAAGTTGATTGCATATCATTACCGACAACATGAAGGGGCGAGATCCCTGCCGCTGAATAGTTCATATTATTGACTGAGGCGTGCAAATTCGACATGTCGAACTAAAAAATTGAAGCCAGGTTGTGCCAATGTCACGTGGTTTGGTGCCTTTGGGGCTCGGTTTCAAACGTATATCCAAGCAACTCCTTATAATTGGGAAGCATCAGTGAGGGAATTCTACGAGCGAGGTCCTAAATACTAGTATTGCAAGCCAGCCAGATTCGCAGCATAATATATTTAACTGCTACTGCTGGGGGACAGCTTGAGACCGAGTTTTATCGTTTCCTTCTGTATCACATGCACTGCACGGTTACTGGTTTTGATCGGGTGTTTTATCGTCCTCCTTACTGCCCAGTTTCCAGGGCCGCCACCACAACTCAACAAGCCGCCCAATTGATAGATCAAGGAGAATCTCAAGTCTCATGGTAACACCAGGAACTAACTGGTGGTCCTTTTCCAACAGTTCCAAGCCTGAACGGGGCTGAAAGAGGCTGAAGGCTGAGTGAAAGCACAACAACGCCATCCATTTATTGCGCTCCGGCTGGACGACCAGGCAGCCAGTGCCTGGTATTGCATCTTTTGCTGGTTCCAGGGAGTAGCAAGCTGCTTCAGCCGTCGGCCATCACGGGCAAATTTCTAGTCAGCTTGACGTTGTGCAACGGAGCATGCATGTGAGTGAAATATGGAGTCTCTGAGATTGAGGCTGCCTGCCTCTCTTCTCACGTTTTTTCTAGCTGCTAAGAGTGGTGAGTATCTTGGTTCGGGCTAGATTAAGCAGTTAGTCTCTGCAGCGCTCAAGGAACGTCTTCTCAAGGACTTCGGCGAGTACGAAACAGCCGTCGATTTCCGTATTGAGGGAGACAGCCACAAATATGCCAAAATAATTGCAAGTTGGTCATATCTGTGCAGTTACAATTGCAGCTACGATGGTGCGCATAGTTTGGGGAAAGTATACTATTGATTGGTATCAAGTTCAGGATTTGTTTCGTTCTCGGGCGTGGATTCACTCGATGCAGATTTGTGGTTTCATCAATTTGTTTCATTGATATCGAGAACTCGCAAACATCGCCGGCACGAATTAATCATGATGTTCGACGCGAGGCGTGTCCAATGGAAGGTTCGGCACACAAGTCCAACCACGCTCAATCTCCACCGTAGATAATAGTGTGGCCAATTGCCGATATTCTGCCCTTTTAAGAGCGCTTGTTTTCTTCCACTGTTTTCTTGGAGTTTGACAATGTCTCGTCGAACACTATCCGGACTGTTCCTGAACAAGAATACCTGACACATAGCGTAAAACATCACGACTGAATCCCCTTAATGGAAGTCGAACACGTTTCTTGAAGATGTTGGAGTGGAGGGACACAAGTTAAGCCTAACTCCGATATATCTGGAGCAAGAAGATGGTGTTCCGTTGAACCGTTAAAATAGATCAGGGGGTTGTAATTTCATGCGAAAGGGAGAGATACACTGCAACAACCCAGCCGAGTATCAATGTTGGTAAGTTGGCAGGACGGACAGAGATGCATGCAGGTACCTCATGTGCAGTACAGACATAATACATCATCTTGACTGACTGCATGTCTCATATCAATCAAATCAAGGATGCCGTGCCATGTGGAGCGGTATCCGTCACTGTCATCTTCAGAGCATCTATTGTCGTGTGCGATGCCGTTCCGCTTTTCTAGAGTTGAGCAAGGCTTGATGAGTGCCACCGTACCCTGTGGATGGAGAAGGCAGAGATGTTATTTGTAGAGCGTTTCCTCCTGCAGGGCATATCCCTGGTGATATAGCTACATATAATCAGGTACTTGTACGGTATCTGAGCAAGGCAGCACGAAACCCCAGTATGCATGAGCCTCCGTCGCAACATCGGCCAGTGTGTATGCTATGTACGCAGTATGTTCAGCGGTTACTCTGTACTGTACAGTACATTATGAACATATATTCCGTGCTGAAGCAACAAGGATCCTCCTCATCCTTCCGGGAAATCTTCCAACATACATATTAGCAAACAACAACACAGGTTCACCACAACCTACAGGTTGGGACATGAGTGGTGCCATGATTTGACAGGACAAATAAATCGCTCCACCCGGCCCGTCCCCCTTTCCCTTGCGCAAAACAAGGAAGCCGGAATTGCAACCCTGGTCCCTGGCTTCTTCCCTGGCCGATGAAGGCGGCCTGGCGACGATCATATCACGGGGTGGCCAATGGGGAGGGCAGGCCAAGCAGGGAGGAATTGAAAAATACATATAATATAATCTTTGCTGGCATTTTGGAAATAAAGGGGGGAAATTCGAAGAACTTGTTTTTTTGTCTTTTTGCTATTTTATTTTATTTTATTTTATTTTATTTCCGCAGTGGGCAATTTGTAGATTAAGTTCGTAAGAGCTATCGCATGGTCTGTCCTGTTGGCTGGTTTTCGTTACGCCTACAGAATATCTATATCCATCAGGGGCATGGGGCCCAGCGCGTGGCAGGGAGAAGACACATGCCTGGGGAGGATATTTATGTCAACATGAATGGAATCGAACTAGTTACATGCACTCTGTCCCGATAACTATCATTCAATAAGTTTAACAGTTAGTTAACTATGAGGGGAGCTATCAGGATGATAACATAATACCTCCAGGGTTTGTCAAGGCTGATGAGTGTGTAGAGAATCGGTTGGCAAAATGGCTTCCCTCTGGGTTTCCTTTTAAGATAAGGATTGAAAGAAGTCATGAATGTCAAAATATTCCAATGCAATTTCATGTTGTATTCTCACTACATTCATTAGGCATGCTTAGAGGACACACTCCATCGTGGCCATATGGTTATGGATGGAGTAAGGGTGAGGATGGGCTTTGAAATACTAGTAGTTATGTCTCATTTCAGTCTTGCCCGAATCGATATTCCCGTTGCTATCATTTCATAAGAGAATCAATTGATCACAACAATAAAATAACTCATGAACCTCTGCAACAGTCGATACAAGCGCCATTGTATCATACGCCCGTGCATCGGTGGAGCTATTTATATTCCAGCCGATAAGTGGCTGGCGGCTAGTGTCTCTATGGCAAGGTAGGTTTACCCCCCCCGTTCTGAACTGCCCCGTCATGTCTCAGTGGAGATGATGATTTGATTGAGACAGTCCGTATCATGAAGTTGGGGGGTGTTTTACTTTTTCTTTTCTCAATTGCTATGGTCGAAGATGTAGCAGTATCCATGTCAGTCAACGTGGATATATACTAGCATATCTGTAGATATAATTTATTTCTCATGAGCGAAACTATGTACGGATCTGTACTGAGGTATGTATAACTCCGCACAAACTACTGTACTGTGCGGTATCATGTCCGGCACTAGACAGGTATCATACCGTCTATGCGTTTTTTACCCGTTTGCTCCTTTTTTTTTTTTTTTTTTTATCTTTTTAACCTCCAAATTTTCTCTGGATTTCAGCCCAAGCAAAAGAAGAATCGGATACATATGCCATCATGGTGCCGCCAGGGTGCCAGTCGAATCAAGCCGTACATTGAAATGTCAAGCGAATGTCCTATGAATCAAGAAACGGTTGTTGAATGTTGATCGGCGATTTCTGGCGGAGGATCAGGTGGACGATGGCGGGGATTGGCAATTTTGGCGTTGTGTGTGGAGACCCAAGCGATGGACAGGGTCCTTTCGCAAGAATGCACGGTAGGGAGAAGGGCGAAATATTTGTTGTTCTTGTAACTATGGGCTGGGTGTAATCGTGATGTGGTCTTTCCTGCCGTGGGTTAGGTCTATGCATTGTTGATATGGTTTTATGTCTCCAGAGCAACAGTGCTTGATGTGTTGTATGTGTGAGTTAGAGAGAGAGAGAGAGAAAGAGAGAGAGAGACAGGAGGGAGGGAGCTGAAACAAGCGACATTTATTACGAATTTACGAGCTGGCACATTTTGGACTATTTGATGCATTGCTTTGGTGGGTAAAGATCATCGAAATGATTTTGGCGGCCATAGGGTCATGGAAGTACTGCGTACGCAGCGCACGCAGTCGATCGCGTTTCGCAGAAGATTCAATTTTATTTGAAGGCGTTGATTTGCTCAATTCTCCCCCAACTCCCCGGCATTGCAAATTGAAGGATAGCAGGATCTCAATGAGCCCTGCGCCACAGAAGAACTTCGGCCAAAATCGGCAAATGACATCCGTGGATCAGGTGGAGCAAAATATTGTTGTTGTTATTAATTAATTTAATTAACTAGTTAGTGATGAAAGCCAACCGTTACATCGCCATACAAAACTCATATTTGCTTGAAACAATTTCGGCGGATGAAGATGCAGTGTCATGATGCCCAGCCAGTTCTGCAGTCAACAGCCATGCAGAAGCATCACTTTGTCTGTGCTCTGGGTATGCTCTGGGTATGCTGCTGGTACAGCCCATGGACACAGTCGGGGGTGGAGCCATTGCCAGCCAGGGTTGTCGTTTTTCAGCTGTCCACGGATCTGGTCTGCGAACCCCGTATTCTGTACCGATTGGGTATTGAAACATTACCACGCCAGGCACCTGACGCCCCGGCCAAATTGGAAGTCTAATTTGGTACCTGTCCGGTACCTTTTCCCTTCCCGTATCCTACCGTAACTCTGCTGTAATCGACATGCAGCCAATCATCAGCGGTCCACGTGCATGACTAATCCAGCCCTGGCCCTGCCACCGCCTGCCATCGCTCGCTCTCTCGCCCTCCTCCACTCTGCTCTATCTCAACGTCTTGCTTCGTTCTCCATCTCGCCCTCCTCCGCGTCCTCCTCCTCCTCCGGACACCTTTATCTCCTCCCTGTTTTCTTCCTCGTCCTCTTCCTCTTCCTCTCCTCCCCCTTCTTCATCTACTTCTCTCTGTCGCACCATTCCACTCCTTTCGTAGTCCTACTCGCGTCCTTTGGCCATTCGTCGTGGCCGTCCGCTCCTTACGTTCCCCTCACACCTCCAGCGACAGCTTATGACTTCCTTGTGACGAATATACCCCTCATCTATTAATACAACCACAATTCCTACTGCAGTCTCCTTTATCGTTTTACCGCTTGAGTTGTGGTCCTAATCCGAAAGCCGCCTCTACTGGAGAGGGGCCTAATGTATAGTTGCAGTGAATTACGGCGGGCTGCCTGAAAGAAGAAGGCGTTGAGTCGTGTTGCCTTGTGTTGTGTGTCTTGAGCCGGTTGGAGGGGAACCCTCGAAATAGCACCTAATTGCCGCCGTCGTTCTGCTGGTCAGGAGAAGTCTGTTGTCATTCATTACCCTTGTAATTCTTGAGCTGAACAAAAATCTCGTTGCCTGCGTGAACCTGAATGATTCCTGCACTGCTTGGTGCGGGTACTATTCATGATGACTTCGATATCGCCTTCCTCTACCCAGCCTCAACAACTGTCTCCGGATTCCTCGAGCACTTCCAACGACACCCAGAATCCTCGACGTCCGTCAATAACTGCAGCGCGGCCTCCTCAACCAGTCTTCGCCTTCCCGCAACGTGATCCTCCTTCCCCATCCTCTAACTCCTCTTCCATTCGTTCACCTGCGCCACTTCCTGCGTTTTCCTTCCCACAAGCCCCTGATCCAGCTATTTCTTGTACGTCTCCTCCACCCACGACACCGAAACTACGCCCTGCCGGCCATCGTCGACGTCCAAGCGAACTGAATGGTGGCGAGATCGTAGGGGGATTGGGGCCTCCAATGCTGGAGAACAATGTGCTTCCAGCGACATTGCCTCTCGCCCCGCCAGGACCCGGCCTTAGTGGCCCGGGTCCTGGGAGACGTGGTCACCACCACCGTCGATCCGCTGCCATTTCGAGCATGGACTTGACGGCTATTACAAAAGCATTCCCCCCAATGCCAGCGGGAGGCAGCGCGCCAGCTACTCCTTCCGACCTCCGACAGCAGCATGCGTTGAGCGAAGATATTGCAAGACCGACCTCCCGTTCGTTCCCCAACTTGTCCACGCATACACCTCCCATCTCTCCGGGCTTGAGTCTCTCCATTCCGGATTCGAGTTCAAATCTTCATACTCAATGGGTGAAATCTCGTCCCCTCTCGACTATTTCGTCTGAGGGTAGCATATCTACCGTTCGTCACTACGGCCATGGGAGCACGGCATCATCAGCTGCCCTTACTGTAACCTCGGAAAAACCACAGACTCGTCCTAAAACTGCTGGGCCCTCATTTGATCAGATCCACCTAAAATCTGACTCAACGAGCGAAAATCCACCCCAAAAGCGGCCGCTCTCTGCTTCTGCGTCAGTTACTGGCTTGACTGCGTCCCCGTCTGACATTCCAGCACTCCCTCCTTTCAAGAAAAATATAATTGAAGGCTACAACAAATTTACCAGTGGTTCCATATCCAAAATCGACCCCTCTCCGCTTCCTAAACTAGAGCCAACTGCGTGTTGTCAGGACCGAGCCCGAACTTTGCCGGAGAGGAAACCAAGCAAGAAACCGAAGAAGATGCGTTCGTGGGCTGGCATTCTTACGCGAAAGGCGAAAAAGCGCTCGAAAAAACCCCCGTCTAGAAAAGCGCCGACTCCTCCGCCTATTCTTAGTCGAACGAACTCGGAAGTTGGCTCAATGGCGGAGATCAACTTTGATGATGACAATGTGATTATTTTACGGACACCCACTCTACCTGATGCTCCAAGAAAATTGGATACCCCTGAAATCTCAAATGACTCTTTTTCCCTGGAATCGTCTTGGAAGCCACGCAGCTTTTATGAACAAGGAACCGACTCAGATATGTTCAGCCCTGTAATCGACTTAGATGCTGCTCTTGGACCTTTTAATACCCCAGAAATGGGATCTGATCGTAATGCTGGAAGTGGATTCTCCGCTGCTACCAAGCGCATGTATAGTGGTGGCCGGAGAGGTGAATTCGTTGGACCGGAAATGCGATATCATCGTCGTGCAGAAAGCGCTCCGGAAATGCCTCCCTTTGATCGTAGTGCACTTGGGCTCGGCAGATTCGGGGGAACGTCGACTCTTACCAACCCAGATGTTTTCTATGAAGAGGAAGAAGATGCTTTCCTTGCCGAATCAGATGTCCCAGCATCCCGGGAATCGTCGCCTGTTGCGCCAAATGAAGACGCGGATCGCTCCTCTGGAACCAATTCGTCCGCAACCGTGATGGGTGTACCTCCAAATAATGATAACAGAAGCTTGGCGACACCTGGTCTTGGAATTGAATCTGTGGATGCTAAGGATCTCCCAACCCCGGTTGCTGACACACCCTGCGAAAGCACCTCCAGTCACCCAAGAACATCTCAATTTGCGGATTCTCCAATTACTCCAAGCTCGGTTGCGATTGGGGCCTGTGGTCATTCACAGAACCATCAACGTTCTGATGATATCGAGATCATTGAAGTCGAGGGTTGGCCGATACCAAATGAAAAACCTACAATATTTCCAGAGAAACGCCCATCCACTTCACCCGACTACATATACTCAATGACACCTAGAACCCCAATCCCGGACGTCCCCATCCCCAGCTTCCCATCTCCAAATCATTCCAATATCTCATTCGAGGTCCCGCGCTTAACAACAGCTTCTTCAACGATGACAGATCGAGACCGCCACACATTCCATTCCGGGTACAGCATGGATCACGGTGCATCCGATTATAACTATCGCCCTGACTCCACCGAAGATGTCCCCTCCCTAACCAGCAGCGCTTCCACCACAACAGGAACCATGTCCAGGTTTTCCTCGAGCTTCTACAACAGAGGTCCCGGCGATCGTGCCTCGTCTTTCTCTGCGGCGACACCACGACGCACCAGCCGCTCGAATGCACCCAAACGGTCCAGCCTGGTTAGCCTTTCGAAGCTAGTTACGGGGAGCACCGGTGAGAAATCGAAACTTAGTTATGAAGAGAAAGCACCGCGCGACGACGTTGAGAAAAGTAAGAAGAAGGGACATCGGATTAGTCGGTTGATGCACTTTTGGAAAGCAAAGGAGAAGCAAAGAGAAACCGATTGATTCTACCACCGTTACCAATACCTGCGCATTCACCCATTCACTTGTGTTCAAAGCCCTTACCATGAGCACCACTAGAGGAATGAAGAACTTAAATCCTGGCAGTTGAAGAGCGATCTATTTGATTTACGCATGGGAAAGCCCTACATAGTATTTGTCACTATCCCTTTTCTCGTCTTCCTTCCTTCTATCCTGACTTCATTTCGACTTCAGCCTTTTTACTGATTTCTTTTCTCTTTCTATTATTCATTCTTAGCTCCGTCTTCTTTTCCTAATTTCATCTTAATTTCCATTTTACATTCCTCTTACTGCAGTTTGTCTTTCGATTCCCCTTGCATCATGTCTCTTTTTGCTTGACATTTCTGTTTCGTTCTTTTTCTGTTTCGGCTGGCGGCGCAAACATCAGGCAACAACGATATCATGGATGGGATCTATTGACTTTATGGAGGCTTTCTTTGCTTTTCTTTATTTTATTTCTATGTCTTAAAGATCCTTTCCTTTTGTCAACGTCTATACTTTTTCATTTTCTCACAGGAGAAAAACAGTTCATCTGCAATCGACAAACTCATCACTCTTTCTTTTGTTACGTTCCAGACACTCATTTGTTCGGCTGTATAGGTCTGCTTCTGCCGGCTTAATTCCTTTTCCCTTTACCCTCTACGTTCGCTCATCGCAACTACGAAGAAAGAAGAAAGAAAAAAACAAAACTAGAACAATAAAATATAAAGTAGCTAGAGAGAAAGAAAAACAATAATGTTTCTTTTGACATCTTAGTCCTTTTTAGCTATCTATTTGTTTACTTTTGTTAATTAACATGGCCAATGATTCCATGACTAACCTTCACGACACATAGAGTGACGTATATACTATATATAGAGAGAGAGAGAGCGAGAGAGAAGCTATGTCAAATAGACTACTAAAAAGATAGCAAAAGGCACCACGGCGACGCTCTGGACAGTTGCGCTGTAGCGTAGCAGTAGTCAAGTCAAAACATGAACTCAACTAACTCACAGCAAAAGAATAGCATTTTATATAACTTAGCTATACCATTCGTTTTTTGAAAGTACTGTCTGTGCAGTACGTACAGACACGGACACTAATTATTATGCGGATTCGAGTAACTTCGCCACAAAATGTGTGTATATACACTGGATTAAGGGAACAAAATCGATCGATCCCCTTTCCTTTCGCCAGAATTTGTTACTTCGTTTTTTTTTTTTTTTGGGTTGGTTTGGTGTGGCCCCCGTGCCCGTGCGCCTGCGGGGAGGAAGGATCGAGGGTGCTAAATCGACAAATTTCATCTCCCGTTAATTAACGTATTTGATTTGTTATTGCGTTCTCGCGGTCGTTATGTACTTTATGAAGTAAAGGGGGCCATGGATTAAGCAGGATTGGAAAAAAAAGAGAGACCAAAAACACACCCACCCACCAACACCCCCCTCGGTGGTTCCTCTGTCTTGTCAGGTTTTTTTTCCCACATATCATCCGCGGCTCAGACGCGTATAACTGATGTAGTCGCAAAATGCCATCCGATATTAATATACAGTACAACTGGAAAGTTTCATCTGGTAATCCAAACCCACAGCGCGTTTTTAAAAAAAAGCATCCATTGCATCCATCCATAACGGAATTAACTTGAAAAAAAAAAAACCCCCCCCGACAAATCAAAAACATACATCAATGCACCACGCCGATTCGTCAACGCTCCAGCGCGCCGTGCGATATCGTCAGGATGACCACAAGACAGCTCACCATCAGCGACCCGGCGATGAACGCGACGACGGCAACGCTGCCCCTGCTCGCGGGGAACTTGCCGCGGATCACCCAATACTGGCCCTCGAAGTATCTGTGGAAGCCGATGAGGAGCACAACGATGGCGATGCAGAGGAATGTGGCGCCGAGCGGCTTGCCGAGGCTGCGGAGGCGATTGCCGCTTTGGATCTGCAGGAGGAGCTCGTTGGTGGTTATGATTTGGTCGTTGGAGAGGAGGCTGGAGGGGAGGTGATGGGGGGGAATGCGTGGGTGTTCGGGGGAGAGGAGGTTATTTGTGGAAAAGGGTGATGGGGCTTGTTGTTGCTGCTGCTGCTGCTGCTGCTGTTGTTGTGCTTGCGATGGGTCGAAGAGGTGGCGGGCGTTTGATTCCGTGATGGAGCTGTTTAGGCGGAAGAGCTGGGTGACTGCGATGCCGATGGAGGCGAAGGCGAGAGATGTGCGGAGCCAGGCGAGGAATGTGCGCTCTGTGCCGGGTTTGGGCACTTGGTTAGTAGAGATATTCTTCTTTTATTCTTGACGGGGCGGGCTCCGGAGTCTAGCCGCTCAACGAGACGAGAGAAGGTGATGGGATGGATAGGATATAGATATTCACCAAGTGCTAAATGATCTCTTGCGACGCTCCCCTTATTCTCCAGCTCCACACTACCGTATTTCTCCACTATCCGCTTATACTTGCGTGATATGCCCCCCGTCCATTGTCCAGTGTTTGACCCTTGCCCATCGAGTCCACGGTCATGTCTTTCGCTGGATGCTTTCCGTTGCGGCTGTTGATGTTGCGCGGGATGTTGCTGATAATCTCCCCCAGCACAACCATCACGGTCTACACATTCAGTTGATCGGTAATTCCTCTCAGTCCCTTGGCCATTGGATGTAGCGATCGGGGTATCCTCGTTGGGAGCAGGAGTAGCGGCAGTAGCCGCTTGACGGATGGAACGATGAGACGAGCGAGAGGAGGCGAGGGAGTCGGAGATGGTGCTCAGCGATCTCTCGTATGCGCTCTCTTGGCTCTGCCGTTTTGTTGCGGAAGTCATTGTTGTTCGCGCGAGCGAAGATGCCTAGTATTTCATAACCCAGGTGAAGAATGCGCCAAGGGAGGTATATAGCTCTGGGAGGTATGGAGATGGCTGAGAGAGAGGTGGGCGAAGGAGTTCGAGCTCTCGAGAAACAGAGGGGGACCCAGATTAGCCACTGTTGTGGGTGCCAAGTGGAAATGCTTGAGTCTTACCTCCGTTCCCTTGGGACTTCTTGTCCCATTAGTTTGACTGCGGTTGTCTCTTGGAGGATTTGGGAGCTGCAGATTGATCGAAGCATAGAAACAAGTTTCATTGGTGAGAACACGAAGCTTGGCCATCCGGCTAATGCAAGCCCAGCATCTAGGCCAGCAACAAAACATCTTCGACGGAGAAGAAGCCCTTGTTCCACTACGATGAGGACGACCCCAGAAAAATACGTGGGCTACATTTACGGACTACGTTCCGCACCGTCGCATTAGTGAAGAGAGACGAAAAGAGACTTGGAGCATCCATCGAGATCACTGCTATGCTTGTTGTTCTTACTGCAGAGAGAGAGCTGTGAGCATCGGAAACGGCACTCGTATGAGCACCTGTTCGGCTGACATCCACGGCTCAATGGTTCCACAGTCCGATATGAGCATCACACAGACTTCGGTTCAAGGTGGTGCAACAATGAGCGAGCATGTGGCTTGGTGCAGTAATTATGAGATTTCAACTACGGGATACCAGCTTTCCCACCGCGTCAACCACAGATTCAGAAAGGAAGAGCGGGGAGCGGGGAATGTGACGGAAGAGGGAGCATTCTCCAATGATGCTCGAATACTTTGATAAAGGAGCCACATTATATAGATCCAGCACTCTCCGGCCGCTTTGCTCACCAGCAAAAAGAGCCGGTGTTGACCAGTTCCCCCATCTGCAGAAAACTCGAAAGGCTACGGATGGTTGAGTTGCCTTATGCATCGCTACCGAGCTGCATGTGCCGCTTAACCTTGCTTCCTCCTGCAGAGGCCCGGGGTCTCATTTCGAACGTCGTTCGTACGTTCAACCTCCGTCATTCCAGGATTCGATGATGGAATTTGAGATATCGACATGCAACGCTAGTCCTAATCGAATCTAGTCATGTGGCGGGGATTCTGCTTAGTCACCAACTTGTTGCGACATACATTTTGCACGACGACACTGCTACGCTGTGACGCTGTTACGCTTTATGATGATAACCTCCAACAAAATGTTATCATGGCATCTTCGACCTCACAACAGTTACACACGGCCTCCCCTGCAGCCTCAAAACTAGATCTCTCAAAAAGGCTCTCCAGACCAGCAGGCAAGGGTCGCCAAAGATCCACCCAAACAGCCCAAGAACCCCCGCCTGAGACTCCTGAGCTACCCGAACCGCCAAGTCGAGACTCCATCAAGTACACACATCCAGCGCCCCGAATACTATCCAGTGGAGACCATGAAGCGTTCTTGTCCTCACCTACATATAACTTAATCCTCGCGTTTATTTTCAACCTGTCCGACAGCGTTAGGTTCAAGCCCGTATCCGCCATCAAAAAGCAACCCTCCTCCCCCATCATCGTTAAGATCCTCAACGTACTCTCCTCCATAGAAGCCCTTGTCGAGAAGAACCCATCTCTCGACCAGAATGGCTCCCGATTTGGCAATCCCGCCTTCCGCTCGCTCTTCGATGACGTAGCAGCCCAGAGCCCACTCTGGCAGCAAGATATAATCGGCACCACCGACGGCGGTCATGATCATGACGATGGTGGTGGCGATGACGATGCAACAATGTCCGCAGCAGTGGACGAGCTATCGAAATATCTGGTGAACTCACTGGGCTCCCGCGACCGCCTCGATTACGGCTCCGGCCACGAGTTGAATTTCGTCATGTGGCTGCTCTGCCTGTACCAGCTGGGCCTCCTCAAGCGCGACGACTTCCCAGTCCTCGTACTCCGAGTTTTCGTCCGGTACATGCATCTCCTGCGCCGGATCCAGGCGACCTATTACCTTGAGCCTGCCGGCTCGCATGGCGTGTGGGGGCTGGACGACTACCATTTCCTGCCCTTCATGTTTGGTGCTGCGCAGCTCGTCCGCCACCCTTACATCACACCGCTAGGCATCCATAATAAGGCCATCTTGGACGAAGAAGGGGATGACTGGATATATCTGGAGCAGGTCCGATGGGTCGACAGTGTTAAAACTGTCAAGGGCCTGCGCTGGCACAGCCCCATGCTGGACGATATCTCCGGCGCCAAAAGCTGGCAGAAGGTCGAGGCAGGGATGAAGAAGATGTTTGTCAAGGAGGTTCTGGGGAAGTTGCCGATTATGCAGCACTTCATGTTTGGCGGGCTGATTCCGGCTGTGCCGGGAATGGGGGAGAGGAAGGATGATTCGGGGCAGGCATCGGATGATGGGCTCGGGAATGACCATGGTCATAAGCATGGTCATTCCAAGGGGGGAACGGATTATTGGGGTGATTGCTGTGGTATCAAAGTCCCAAGTGCAGTTGCTGCTGGGGAAGAAGCGCGGAAGAGGATGGGTGGGTCTACGCTGCGACCTATCCCTTTTGATTAAAAAAAACTTAACGAATGATTTTGTGTATCATTATGAGAATGGCGTTCCTTTTTTTCTTTGGGGTTGCCATGCTATGCCGTCCATGTTTAGAGAACCATGCATGGAAATATGATAAATGTTCTTTTGTTCTTATAAATCTTAAAATACGAACCGCCATCTATCAGATAAAGCAGATACTAGATGGAACCTACTGGCCATAAAATTTGCCCCGTGAATTCTCCTCGAACAGAGAGTGGGAAAGTCAAGTGGCTGGCATAGTTGACTTAGCTGTTGATCGTAGGCTACCTATTACGGACTAGCGGCACTAATATGAATCTGTGTGAGTCACGTGTGATAGGCCTTGTGAAGGACCTCCGCCATTTGACCACAAGGCGGAAGAAAAGAAACAAGTCATCGATCATTGAGCGCACAGACTTCCACACAAGGAATATTCCCAACGATGGTTTACGGCAGTACTCATGCTCGGTAGATAGCCTCCTCGTCTTCACGGACAACAGTACAGCAGGCCCCCGAAAATGGCGCCCGCAAACGAGTACGTCAGCGGCGGCGGGAAGCTGAAGATCAAGGGCGCGCCGGTGCTTGAGGGGCGGGTTGGGAAGAAGGGGAACAAGAAGCGGAAGAAGGAGAAGGAGAGGGGAAAGGACAAGGAGGGTGGGAATGAGGGGCCCAATGGGAGTCATGATGAAGGAGCGGATGGGATGCGGATGAAGAGCGGTGAAGGGGAGGGTGCGGTGAGGTCGGATGGGGATTGGGATGTGAGTCGGAGTCGAAGTCGGAGTCGAAGTCGAGGTGTGAGTGAGGGTTTCGACAAGGCTCTGGTGAGCAAGACGGAGGCGGAGAGAAGGTATGAGGAGGCGAGGCGGAAGAGGGTATGTGTTTTTTGCGAATGATTTATTTGTTATTTTACGCTCCATTTATTCGACACGGCTCAGCTAACTCCCCTTCCCTCCTTCTCCCTGATCCCCCACAGCTCGACGAACGCTTCAAGCGCGAAGGCTTCAAGACACATAAGGAGCGCGTGGAGGAGTTGAACAGGTATCTCAGTAATCTGAGCGAGCATCATGACATGTACGTTCAATGCAATTCCACAAACCCCCCTTTCCACCCGGCCCCGGGCGTATACTTCGCTCCAGGAGACCTCGTGAGGTGCCCAGCTACTTGCAAACTCACCGGCTAACCCCCCCATTTCCACTTCCCACAGGCCCCGAATCGGACCCGGTTAACCACTGCTCAGTTGGCGGATACACATTTACACCAGTATTGCACTTCGTCTTAACAAACGATCCAAAACAAGACCTCGTTTCATGCCCATGATTGTGAGCGGCATGCCCGGGAATTCCCGCTGTATATTCCGCCGTGCATCGGCGGGGGTCCAGTTGCTTGTCCCCCGCCGCCTTCTGACCTTCTGGCCCCTTATCTCCTGCGGTCCACAGTTGAAATCTCCTGCCTCCTTACGTCAACACCTGTGACTATCCTTTACTTTACCAACTGTCTTGATCCGCACATACTCAAGACATGATATGTTCATTAGACGTCAGAAACAGGCGTTGTTCGTTTTGTCTATCCTAGTATCGGGGTGCTTGGCTTTCTTTTTACCTTACGGTCTTTTATCGTTTTCATTATCTGGGCTCACCTTTTTCTTTTCTTTTCTTCTTTGTTGGCTGTTAGCTACGGGAGCAATGTTTTATGATATGCAAATACACAACTGTGGAATTGGGATGGTTCGTGTGGCTTTCTTGGTAAGGGGTAGTTTCGTTGTTGGTGTATTTATCCCCAAATGTTATGGATGAAAACGAAAAACCAAATGTCTAGGCTAGATATATTTCTTTGTAGTAGTTGGTTGATTAAAAAAATAACACGAGGTCGTGCGGGGCGAAATCCCTTGAAAGTGAAACGGAAAAAGGAAGAAGAAAACCACGCCAGAATAGATGGAAAATGGAATCAATTCGGAGGGATTAAAATATTCGAGCGGCTACCGTGACGCCATGCATTGGATTTATGTGAAAGCAAAAAAGGGGCAGGGACAGACAAAGTATACAACAGTCGCGGGCGTAGGTGAGTACCAGGGAGGATAGAGCGTGAAAGGGGAAGTGGATGAGAAGGAATAATAACTATAGGCTTGTTTGTTGACGACAATGGTGATATGCGGGAGTTTATATCGAGTGTGAAGAAGGGAACGGAATGGGCAATGTTGGGTTTTCGGGACGGACGTCTTCGGCGAAACATTCAAGGGAATCGAATAATATCTTGCCGCTTCCACGACTCACACCTGAGACTTTTTATTTATTTATTTTTTTTGTCTTTCAATTTTTTCTCTCTCCTCCTTTTATTTCCCCCCAAGGTTCCACGCAACTAGGTCGTAAAAGATAGACTCAAAGACTCGTCCTCCATATTCTCTTGTGTCAACGCAACTCCAAGCCACCCTCGGAGAGGAGTATTCCAACACCATCAACACGGAAGATTATCACAGATTAAGAGAAAACCTGGTAATGTAATGGCTAACCCAGCCAAGATGTTGCTGCCCCAAAAAAAATAAAAAAAGGAATAAAAAAAGACCAAAAAGGCTCATGATGATCTATATCCAAAAATCGAAGCGGACACGAAGGAACCAAACACTCCTCCCGGTATCATACGCCTTTGATAACTGTAGTTCGCTCCGCGTTCAGCCGCTCCGCATTGCGTTCATGGCTTTCCTTCTTGCAGTCCTCTAGGCCACTACAGGCGTGGGATTCTAGCATGCGATGTTTGCCGCAGAAGTGGCCGTTGCAGAAACCACAGTCACCGACGATGCGCTGGGCGAGCTCCTTGCAGTCTTTGAAGTTGCAGCGTGGCTTTCTTGATGGTGCCATTTTTCCTTATCGTTTAAAATTGCTTTGCTGCGGGATAGTAGTGGTCTTGTTGTAGCCTTATATCCGCTTATGTGAGTTCCAGGGAGGGAGCGCGGGGGTTGTTCTCGCGCTTTCTTTTATATCCAAGGAAGAGATAATGACAGTGAGGATAAGTAAGACTGAGATTTTCGGGACTCTCGGAGAGCTATTGAGTCATTGTCCATTAGCGTGCCATTTTGAGACAGATGTCGAAACTGGAGCTAAAAGGACCATACTTACACCCGGAAGCTGTAAGCCTAAAGGATAGATTGGTAGGGTAAAATCAAATGATAGAGGGATGATATAACGCTGGTAGGAGCTATCGATGGCAGTTTCAAGAACCCGCCGGCAAGCGTGTTCGTATGGGGAGGTGCGGAGATGTGTATTCTGAGAGACCAAGTAGTTGTCAGGATAGAGCTCACACAGCGCAATTAGGGAGCAAACAAGGTGGTGCTATAGGAAATGGGGCGGTGGATATCAGTATCAAGGGACGAAGGCCAAGAAGGTGAGGAAGAGGGAGAGGAGGAGGATGAAGCTGGGCTTGCGGCGACATCGGCTCGACGGTAAATAAATAGGAGGATGACCTAAGCAGGAGGCGCGGCCAAGCCGCGGTTGCAGTGGACACCCAGAAGTTTCGAGCCGAAACCACGCCCTGAACACTCCGCGCCTCAGGCACCCGCCAGTGTGGTGCTTGTTGGGCTGTGTTCGGCGGTGCAGGAAGCTTGAATGTCAAAGAAATACTCGGAAGGAAACAAAGCGGAAAAAACTCACCTCTACCGAAAACAACCCGTGTGGCAGTGGTGACTCTCTGCTTTGGTTTCTTTTTTAGAAAGGGAGTGGTTGAGATATATCAAGAGATGTGAAAGGACGAAGAACGGCTAAGACGAAGAAAAGTGAGGAGGAAGATGGGCAGACGAGCTCCGTCAGCTATTTATTTTTTTCTGGGGCAAAGAAAGGAAGCCAACTCATCATCACTCGCAGGTGGTAGTTACATCTTGGCTGCCCTCGTCCATCATGGCACTTAACTAGTTAGTCACTGGAGTCAACTATTTGGCAACTTGGTCCCCTCCAGGCAAGTCAGCAGCCAGGTTAATTTCTCATGGGTGACCCCAATCACTCCAGTGCGAATGCGGCTGGTGAGGCGCCCATATTACGGCACATACCTTTATTTTAGCCAATGGCCACCAACCAAGTCTCCCAGCATACCAGCAGGCTCCGAAGCAATTGATACGGCTATGAAAAGCCGTGTGCCGATTGCCCTCCTCCGGCTTTCACAATGTCCTGTACCGAGGCGCGGAACTAAAAGCCCTTGTTCGCAGTAGAAATCTACCTGGAAATAGCAATACGATCCTCAAAAGCCGGGAACTCACCGAGGCGTCAACCGAACTTTGGGGATCTAACCCGATATAAACACTGAATGTTTTGGGGCCGAGTCAAACGGTAGTCCAGCGGCATATCTGGAGTGGCAAACTTTCTGGCCACTCGTACCTTGCTTTGAAGGCTGCTGGGGGCCAACCATTTTTACTAAATGCTACAAAATACATGGTATCCCCAGCCCTCAAAATGATGCTGGAGAATGTTGAACGAAATCACCACCTCCTCTGCAGGTGTAATATTGGAATATCTATGGGATCGTTTAGCTGAATCGATGACAACAGATCAACTCTAACTTTTTTTCTTTTTTTAGTTTTGCCTATCGTTATTAGCTCTGCCAGGGATGCTATACTCTTGCTTTGCTTCGCTGAAACAGTTGACCCTATCAGTCGTGAAATGATGCATGGGATCACATTATCATGCGGAACGATGCTTTTGCCACTAGTAAGAACTAGAAATAAATAGAAATGATGATACAAGCGGATCTTGGTTAAAATCTTGATGCAGGGAGTTGGTTGGCGAATTGGTCAATTGATTCAACTCAAGGCCCTGCTCGGTTCTTTTTTCGGTGCCTTCCTTTGATGTGTTAGTTAAGTTTTACGAAACAACTTTGCAATTATTTCTTTGAGTGCTCGTTTGATGTAATTACGTATGTACTGTACATATTATTCTCTTTCTGTTGAACAAATTTCATCCACACAAGCTTCGAGAGCATTGTACTTGCTATTTTTATCTAGTCCTATGCATCTTGATGCAAAGGAGATGATACAAGATGCGCCCTTGGCTAGTCGGTAAAGGAGGAAGGCATTATTATTCCATATCCACTGTAGAGATCTTGTGGCCCCGAGGATTCTGATCTCAACCCTGGGAGGTAGTTGATGAGTGGGCAGAGAGGAGACATATCTATACAACATACTGTCCTTCCCCATGACGGACTCCCATTTCAATTAAGAGGATGATACTTCGTATATCTAATTACCTAGATAGTTAATTTAAGCCGTTACTTAATACTTGAAGACAGCAAAACACGGCTTCATGGCACCGTACATGTACATACGGAACAACTCCACGGCCGCTGCTGGAAATCAAACGGATACTTAAGATCCTGCTCTCATTGAACAAGCATGTTCTACATGAAAAAGTAATTTTCATGTGCAATGCATGGATACCCAGCGGCTGAAGGACCTGTAGAGATCAACCAGAAAACAACTGCCAGATATTCAGATGACAGGGATTCAAAATCCATCAACAAGCTGTGCACGCAGCTGCATGTACGACTTCAGCCTTCTCATCAACCTGTTAGGTGCTGGCGATCAATCTCAGCCGTCTCGGTTGCGCCAGTAAGTACTAGTTACTCGAGATAGACAGACCGTCAAGATACGAAACTTGATAAATGCTCCTCACCAGCCACCAGAGTATAATCGAGGCAACACCCGGACGGCCTGCGGGATCGATTGTTTAGCGGAAAATGGATACGTCATTCCAATGTGTTTATTTTCTGGCATGGATAAGGAGAATTTTAACTATCGCCAGAATCTCCGATGTCGAAGTCGAGAAGGGTCGATGTCACGCTTATCTAAGCCCACGTTGACTATGACGATGCTTCACAGCTTCAACAAACGCGTAACTAAAGGATAGTTTACTCCACGGTTCCTCCATCTCCCCACGACGATGTCATAAGACACAATAGCTAGTATGACTTTTAGCCGGGAGTCTTTACTGCCTCCTATTACTAGTACTTTTATCTGTTACTCCAAGAGCCTATGTAATGTCTCTGCTTCGGGGTCACTACCCTTGAGGGCTTTACTCTGACCCTGCTTGGCTCTTCTTCGGATATGCGCTTGAATCAGCATAAAAAGGCTGTGAGTGCGGATGCAAACGGAGCCGGTCACCCAAGGCTGGGAGTAAAATTTTCCATCTTGGGACTTTTCGGGCATCATCATTCGCATGAGGATAAAACCCCAAACAACGTGAATCGCACCCCACTCGATGCCGTTTGGAGCCTATGAGAAAAGGAGCTAACAGGGTTGATCATAAGGAGACCCGAAAACATACGGTATCCTATGGATACTCACGCTCGCCCATGTTTGCCAGAAATCCTCACAGGGTTTCCGCGCCAACTTCATCTGCACCGAAAATGGGTGTTTCCGGTGAGATCCAGGAGGCGTACCAATCGGCAACCCATCTGGATGAGTTTCAGGGTTCCTCGCACTCCCTGTCTGAACATCAACTGAAATATCTCTTCTCCGGAGCACCGCACTTTCTTCTGGAGAAGGGGCTCAACCGGTGGTATCCTCATGTGGTTTTCCCATGGGATCATGATTTGAGAATTCAGCATCTCGACGATCGGAAAGCATTAGAGCACCCTTCTTTCACATTGTCAACACTCCATGCTCACATCCCGGTTTCCCCAGGTGGTGGAGGAATACAAATATATCCGGATGCCCTAACTGAAAAGAGTGGTTGCAGACGGCCCTCGTTTGATATTGGCGTGTTCGAGGTTCCAAACATGTTGTCCTCGAGAGCAAATGAGGATGGCTGCATTGGATTCCATAATTTCATGGAGCTACCGATTGTGTATGGACCCAGGTCCGAGCAGCGGCCGTTGTCACCACGCCTGCTCGATAAGCACTTGCAAATCACACCGGCGCCCCGTGGGAAGGATGATCCATACTCCGACTACAACTTAAATGTTACCTTTGACCGTTTGAAATTAGTCGCAGCAGGACCTTCGGCATGGAAACGCATTGGCGTGCGCGATTGCTCTATGAAGGCTATTACACAGAGGCTCCAGACCTTATCGGGTGTGCAAGATCAAATCACTCTCCAAGGAAAGTCTGTAGCCCTGCTTGATGAAGAGAGCGTTGCAGGCCTCCACCGTCAGCTTTTCAGCACGTTTCTATATCCCCCACCAAACGCGGTACACGCAGAACACCCCGATAGCTTTCGGTTTCAGATCAGCACGTTGATACAAGTGCTCAATCTTAAGGGTGCCTGGGTAGACTTTAGTTTGATGAAATGGAGGGTTCGTGCAGGTCAAATCCTCTGGGAGCTTCCTCCCCATCAAGACAGTGATTGCCTGCAAAACGCCTCAGACGGGCAGTATTCGGGCACAGCACTCCAACGGCAGTGGCTTTTATTACAGGTTGTTTTATCCGCGGAGGTTTTATTCCGCGCTGATGCTGCGGCGACGAAAATTGGGATCTATAGCCAGTCCAAGGATTTGCCTATCACACCACGGGATGTTTCCTTAATGAATAGTTTGCGATCAGATACGCTGGACTGGGGGTTAATCTTCTGCCGTCGAATTTTCGAAAACATCTCCTTCCACTATTGGCCACAGGCGTCTCACCAATTGCCAGGCAAACGGTCCCTGAATGATTTGCCCAAGAAAACCCATTCAATAGTTTCCGTGCCAAAAGTTCAGGAGCCTCATGACCTCGATTCGCCCTGGCTATGTGCACTCTTGCCACGGTACCCGTGGCAACAGCTAGAAGCCCTGCTGGTCTTTGCAGAACTTCTGAAATGGCCAGACATCGAAAATATGAAGCATTATATGAGGGAGAAGTTGGAGTTTGCCCTCTTGCAGCCTTCTAATTTTAACCACATGTTTGCTTCGCCAATGAGCACTGTGCCTCTGTCAGACAACATTAAGCTGCTAGGGAAATGTGAAATGTATCGCAAAAGCCACTCCTTAAAATTGTGCCGCCTCCATTCTTGTCCTTCCTCTGCTCGTCACAGTGCCAACTACGTGGGAGGATGGATGTCTCGTACGTGGTTAACTGGGCTGATCATGCCTGGCGAAACCATATATGATATATTGATGTCCGCTCTACTAGAGAATGATCACGATGCAATATCAAGGCTCGGTCCCATTGCTAACCTTCATGGAGCCTTCGTATATAAAGGTCAAAGTTGGTGGAGCAAAGCATGCGTTATTGGACGCATTCTTGCCAGCCTTGACGCCTCTACAATCTGCATGGGCTGGATTAGTACGACTATTATTCCACTTGATGATGCGAGAGCACCCCTGAGCGATGGGTGGCTGGAGATTGAGACAATAGACATCACTAAGACCCACACTCAGGCACGTATAAATCAAGGAAAAGGTGTTCTTCTTGACTCGTCACCTCTGGGGACTGAGGGTGATTTATCAGCAACGGCGTTCTCATTACCGCTTGATGAGGCCAACGCTGGCCCAAGTCAGGATACACAAGTGCGTATGAGAACACTATATTGTCCTTACAACACTCTCAACACCCTTCTGTCACCGCACGCCCCCCCAAAGCTACTGCCACTCTAGCGTTTACACTCACACATGGCTTGTCCGGCCCGAGCCAAGTATCCATGAGCATAAAGTATAACGTGTCCTTCGTTTCCGCGTTTCCCTGTCTCCCACCGTACGGTAGCGTGCTGTCCTCCGGTTACGAAGAGCGTGATGCCTCTCATCAGTACACCAACGGCTCATCTACTAAGAAGGAAACAAACTACATCGGACTTCAGAAAAACAGGACCTCTAGGAAAAGCAAGCCAACGCCCCGCCCCCGCCTCCCGGGCCACCTACTTCACACGGCATCGTTCCCATACAGCTATATCCCGATCCACACATTGCCTTCAACCCCACGCCTGCCAACAACCCCAAACCATCTGGAAGCTCATACCTCTTCGTCCCCTGTAAATCACCCTCCGCTTGCGACTAACCGCAGCCCTAAACTGGAAGGGTCGCAACGGAAGCATACGTATGTCGTCGATGCGCGCGGCAGTGAACATAAAGAGCTTTTCGCCAGATCGTGGTGTGCAATGGTTGGTGTAGATGCAGTGGTGGGCCGAGTAGGGCAGACTTGTGTGGCTTGCTGTATTCGAGAGGCGAGGGCGGCGGATGTTCCCGTCGTTATTCGGGTGGGAACGGCTGAACTAAGCGGTCGACATTGATCATTTCTGGGACGAATGAGCGGCATACACGGGCTGTATTCATTCATTTTCTCTAGCATGCTCAGCTCACTTATTTCCTGAGAAGCGAGGGTGAAGGCGTTTGTCAGCGAGTGAAATGTTATAGTTAACTAAGGTAAGATGGACGAGGTAAAGGAGATAAACAAAAGAAGGACGGGGAAGGGAGGTTTGTATGTTATATATCCCATACGTGGTCATGGTTCAACCAGGAGTTGTCGCAAATAGTAACGCGTGCAAATGAGCTATCGAACTCGAGGTATGTCGGTTTTTACCTTCTTATATTCTCACTCGCGTTTTTCCTTCTTGAACCTCCTTAATTCTAGTCACACCAACGATGGAGTGAATACACACAACATATTCTGTTTATCGGTGGTACATTATGGGTGCGTGTCTTATCTTCCTGACTTCCGTAAAATATGAAAATCCCCCATTTTTATCCCCAATCTATATCAATTATATGGAACAATAAAACTGTGATATTATATTAATAGAAGCGGGAGCTGGAGAGGTTTGGTTACTATCCGAGGAAAGGGAATCGTAATCGTGACAATCTACAACGTGTACTTGTAAAATTGGCTAACATAGTGACCAGAGATCAGAAGGGCGGCTAACATCACCTATATGTAACAGGTTTCCCTCCGTGCCCCTGACAGATAAATTAAGCATGTCAAGGCAATAACAGAACCTAAGAAATCTTTCGCGTGCTGAAGACAAACGTCAATCGAAGCCTTTCTTTATTGCCAAACTCAACCTGCAATCCCTAGGCAAGAAGGTTGTTCAACGGGCTTTACTGCCCCCGGTCTTATATTTCAAATTTGGGAGCTCGACAGCTTTGGATTCGAGTTGAATGGTTTGCTTCAACTTTGTGTTGTGAGCTTCTTGATTGCAACCCAGTTACTAGGCTCTACGCCGTTACTCCTACAAATTATATATATATATTTCGAGGGAGCATCTCATGGAGGCGAGGCATGGATGGAGAAAGCAAAAATCAGAAATGAGTTCAAAAGCTCAAAGAGCACAACGTCTAATAGATCGTTTGGGGTTATATACAAAAATCGCATGTTAGAGTGATGGCTGACACTCATGATACTGACTCAAACAAGTCTTTGTATGATATTTTTTTCTTTATTTTCTTGTTCCTCAGGTTTCCGTCGAGGCACAACTCAAGTCTCAAACTCAGCAAAACAAAGAACGATAAAGAAAATATTTAATCACAATGGATCTTGAAGGTGAATAGAATTATCTCCATTACCTTGATTGTTTCAAGTGGCTCGCTAAAGAGAGATGATGCACTCTGTATCAAAGACAAAGGCCTCGAGGAAACCTACTGCTATATCCACCTACTTAACGCTCCCGGGTATTCCAAACGAGGAAGATTTTCCAGGAAAATGAACATCATCAAGCTATTTCCCGAAAATACCACCATCAATCACTTTTACTGCAATCCCCGACCGAGGAAGAACGCAGGCGATTGGAACAAGCCTAGGAAAATACCATGGAATCAACCCTTTCCACATCGCACCCTTCATTACCCGGACGCACATCAATAGAATATCTCCCTGCAGAGATCAAAATTGAAATATTGTGCCTACTGCCGGATCTTGAATCGCTGCGCGATGTGGTCAAGGCATCTCCCGGTTTCCATAGCATCTACCAGTTTGACCGTAGACGGATTTTGGCCCGTTTATTGACCCGGACGACGCCGCTCGCCATCCTCGCAGAGGTGGCTTCTCTACCGGTGTTGCGCCGGTCGTCCGATCGCGGGTCTCTGAAAGGAACGGAGGAGGTGGGGATCTTGGGTTTCGCAAAAAGTTTTCTAAATACATATAATGAATTATGTTACTTTTCTCGGCACTCTGTTGGCGACGGCCGTGATATGAAGAAGAATGTCGGCACAGATGCAGATGTCGAAAGAGGAAATAAGGAGGAAATAAAAAACAGGAGAGTCAATGGCGTGAACTTTACGTATTCGAAAGACAAAGGGCTATCAGCTCAGTTTTGTGCGTTGTCGCTAGACGAACTTCTCGTTGTCGTTCGACAGCATTTTATTGTACACGCGATATCAGAAGACTTTGCGATGTCTTGTTTGAGGCTCAACCCCTTTACGGGGAAAAGATATGAGAACGGCACCGGCAGCGGTGGCGGTGATGAGATCCTCCTACTCTCCGAGGCTGAATCATACCGTATCCGCCGGGCTCTGTACCGAGTCGAAATGCTAGGATTCATGCACACGGTCTGGAATGTGCACGATCCGAACTATTACATCACCTTCCTCCAGTCTTTACCACCGTGGGAGGTGGAAGAAATCCACTGTATCAGGAACTACATGTACCAAATCTACCTCACGAGCAGCCCGGAAACGAACCGTTCTTCGAATAAGAGCGTAATCGATGGCCAGGGGCGCGTGGCGAATCGGGCTAGGGTTAGAAGCCGAATGAGAGGCAGAGCCAGTGGTATTGGAGTCGGTATTGGCGGACCAGACTTGGAAGATGGTATGTTCTTTCGCTGTCGTGGGTGGTACCTCTGAGCTAACAGGAAGGGATACATTTTCCAGATGTCGATTTTGACCTCGCTGTTGACGACCAGCGAGAACAATATTTGACTCGCGGTCTCGAATTTCTCTGGCAGTGGTTCCACCTTTCAGATCAGGTAAAGCCCTGTCCAGTTATGAAGGCGAAGGTCAACACAGGCACAAACGGAAACAAAATAATGAAAATTTCGCAACAACGTATGATTAATCCAGCAACCTGGGTAATTGAGAGCCACTCAACAAACGCTTCGTTTTTCCTAACTCGTGCCTTGAACCCGAGTGTCACGGGTTTTTTCTGGCCCATTATCGAGCGTTCAGAGAAGCTTATTTCTGATGCAGATTGGTCAAGGGCAAATTTAGGTTGGGAGTGGTTGCATAAGAAGAACTCGAAATATCTGTGCCAGATGCATAATTGTTATAATAGGAAATGGGGATACGTGTTTTGGGACCAGAGGAGGTTGACGAAGATGGGGTTGACGGAGGAGATGAGATGGGAATATGCACCGTTTGTTGATTGATATTTTGACAGTTTGAGTTTATCTTTTGGCGACATCGAGCAGTAGACATTCGGAGTTTTTTTCATCTTCTTGATGATCAGTTGGGTATATACACACATATAATAATATATATGACATGGGTCGGTGGTAATATGTATGTGTGGTAACTTGATTGAATTCTGTATAGGCGACGGTTAGCTGCGATGGCCACGGCTGCCTATTATCATCCAAACTATGGACATCCTGATGAGCACACGAACACTGCTGTTGTAGGGCGGTGATGTGTGGATTCGGAGACACTAAACGCCTATCTGGCTCTTGTCGAAGTTCTGGTTGGCGCAAATCCCAGGAGCTAGGTCTCAGAGAAGTAGCCAAATTGGCATAACTAGTGGAAGCGAATGATTGCTAGGCTATACCTTCGGGGGAAGATCCAAAGTGGTGTACAGCATTTCACGCGGGGCCAACTGTATGCTGGAGTTGTGCGAAATCGAGCGGGTCCTATCATATATCTCGAACCAGCTACACCTCCAATTTCTCTGAAAGCCTCAAGCTCGCAATTTCCCCCCTAAGCGTCTCCCACATATCCGCCCTTTCGCCCTGCATTCCCTTCCTTTGTTCCGCAAAGTTCCGATCTAGCAACGCCTTCGCCTCATACCAAAATCCCCGAGTTCCCTCTCCTTCATGTTGACGCCAATCTGGGATTCCCAAGACGGCCTGGCAACCCTCACACAGCCCAAGAGTCCCGGCCCATTCAGCTGGACTATTACGTAGAGGCACTAAACCGCGACATCGTCGACAATAGACAGCGTCCCCCCATGAAAAAGAGAGAGAGATTCCAGGCTCCCATTTATGGAGCCGCAGTGCACAATCGACACAAAAGCGTTTGGAGGCATCTGCATGCCCCTTTCCACGACGTCGGGTCATTTGAGTGCGGGAGAAGGCGTGTATGAGTAGATGACGGAGACAGCTGTAACACGTTAAGCGCTGTGAGGCGTCATCGCTACTGGTATCATTGGAAGCTGGTGTCGATGCAGCGTTGGCTGCGGATTCAGCAACTTCTTTCATCTCGGCGCTAACGAGATCAGCCACATAGTCGCGTCTAATACGGGCGATCTGTGTGTCTGATGGAAGATGCCGAAAGTAGCTGTTTGTGGCGCGCAGCATTTGTATATCGCGGAAGTCGAGCCATGACATGAGCTGCAGGTGTAGTTCGCTAGGAAGATCGAGAAGGGAGCATGAACTGCAGCGATCGGGTTCCGGATGCCCTGTTTCATGCTTCGTCCAGCCTCGCGAAATTGCGGGCCTGCTCCCTGGCAGAGTTGACCTGGAGGGTAAGGCAGTGTCACGGTTCATAATTCGCCCTAGCCATGTAGCCGGGTATTGTCTCCTGTCGACGAGTGCGATAACTTGGGCGGCAACACCGCTGAATCACAGGTCGTTTAAATTGGGTATTGCATCTAACGGCGTCTAACATCTGGCCAAATAGTTATTGGAGGGATTGGATTGAACGGTTCGTCCCCGAACTGCGCTGGTGGCACTGAGCTCTTTTGCCCCAGGAGCCTAGATACTGTTAATTACTACTTGAAAAGCTGCTGCGTCTGCGAGAGAGCTACATACAATGAACCAACCTTTCCACCTCTATCAACAACTACTACATAAAAGATTGATGACATATTTGTTTTGGTGGTGGTTGATACTATTTGAATGTGCTTTAAGATCCATCCAGCTTTCTTTCTCTTCTTGATCAGTTTATTTCTCTGTAAGGTCGAACATCGCTCCACCCGGCCGTAGCAGCTGTGAAATGACCTAGGAGAGGTACTATCTACAGTGCACTACGCTCTCTACTAAACCGTCAGTTGAATTTTCACTTGTCCCTTTTCATTTCCTAGGTCCTTGTTAGAAAAATAAGGTCAAAACTTCAAAACTCAAAACTCAAAAAGGAGTTCTAGAACTGGGTCCTCCTCCCATCCCACAGGCCCCACAGGTCCTGGAAATAGAGAAATATTGTTGTTGATCATTGATCCTCCGATTCCCTATCCCACAAATATTGTGTTGTCAGAGGCTAAGAGAGAAGTTCTATATATGCTCTAGATGCATGTATATTCCGAATCCCCACTCAAACATCCTGAATTTCAACCCCTCGATCAAATTGTCAAGGCAATTGACAATTTGACAGACGAGAGGATATCTCAACACCGCTCTGCCGCTCGGATGTTGCCAAGATAAACACATGCTCAGCGCCTTTGCCCGGATGCATCGTGGCGTTTCTCTGGTCTGGGATAGCGGGCTTTGGTAAAGCCATGCCGCAGATTATGACGTGGGTGATCATGGTTGCATCAGTGGATGGACCGTCCTCTCACTGCTCACAGAACGACAGATTCCAGTGTCTGTTTCCAACCTGCATCTCAGCGCCAACCATTCCTAATACGGCGGTATTGGGGGTTGGTTGACCGCTGTGGTCGGGTAACATCAGAAGTGGTGGATATAACTTTGGACATGTACGGAGTGCAGTACAGGACATACATCGGCCCACGGACGTTTGCTCCATGCGTACAGATCTGTAAATGCACAGATAGATAGATGAGAGATGCCATGTAGCAATGAAGAGTCGAAACAGAATATTCTTCGCAGAGCAGGTCTACACTACCTGATGTCCGGTATGGGAAAAGAAAAATAAGTTACTGCTTTCTCCTGCTGAATATCCATATTGGTCCTTACGGGATGTCGTCTCTCTGCTGGCTGAGATAGCCATGCCATTTCCCTGCACGGAGAACACATTGCCGTCGACAATTTGTCCGGATGTAACATATCTAGATCCTTCGTGGGAGGTACAGTACATACAGGATGTATCGTGAATACCAGCGCCATGACCAGCGACATCGGGCCAAGGCGTTGCGGCAATACATCCGTGGTAACACCCCGTATTCCTCAATTACTTACCAAACAATCTTCGCCGCCAAACTTCATCTCAGCCACTTTGGAGGCCGGACGGGCGAAGTTGCGACAAGACCACCAGCAGCGATCATTCTCGCAACAATCACCAGCGTGCTGGCAATTCTTTTCCCTCTTTTCCCCTTTTTCCTTTTCTTTTCCCCCCCGCAAACTCGAGGTCTAGTCTAGACACTTTGCAGAAGTTCTTGCTCTGCACCCGGCAGGCTTGCCCTGCCCAGCAAAGCCCCACGTTCTCCATCGATGACTCGGCCGGTGCTGCACAACCAATATTTCAAAAATTTATAACGGGAGAAACGGGTTGCAAGACCACCATTTCCTCCCGTCTCGCCGTTCTCGTCTTCGTTTCTTCACCGTTTCCCCCCCATCAACATCATCATCGACTTCGTTGACCCCGTCGTCGCCGTGAATTTCACCGTCTCGACCACCCACTAGTGACAGCATCCTCAAAGGAAACAGGGCGTTCGGCCATGTCATCGACGTCCGGGCAGGAACGAAAGCGTGTGGTCCATGCAGCAGCTTATCTGGCAGCTTTCTCGTCCAGATCAGATCTGTCAACTACCACAACCTCCTCATCCACTGTATCGCCACAAGAAACCACCACCACTGTTGTCACCGCTGCTTCCTTAATCCCAGCCGAAAACCAACCTGCTAGCTCCACTGCTCAGTTCCATGACAACTCCAGTGTCGGCCTTGCCTCTCCTCCCTCCTTGGGCCTTGGGAAAATCACCGCACCGCAGAATGACTCTTGGGAGCCGTGGTTCGCCAAAGACACACCTCAGGAACTGTCGCTCCACGATCGTGTTGTTGGCGGGGGACTGCTGCGCGAATCGGTGTTTCCGGACTGGAAAAATGGCACATCCGGCGGCGGGTATGAGAATACGGACGAATTGCAAAAGCAGGATCCACTCGCGACTCAGATATGGAAACTTTACAGCCGCACAAAGTCCCAATTGCCTAACCAGGAGCGCGTGGAAAATCTGACCTGGCGCATGATGGCGATGAACTTGAGGAAGAAGAGGGAGCGTGATGAAGCAAATATGTCTGAAAAGACACGCAACTTGGATGACTCGAAACCTCCGCAGTATGTGTCGATACTGTTCTTCCCCAAACGTAGAAGAAATATGCTGCCCTGCATGATTCTGTTTACTTTTGACTTATATTCCCACCCACTTACATTTACTTCGTTAAAATGGTGCCGCCACTGACTATAGATGATAAAATAGAGAGGACAAACAAATATTAAAATCTGCTGCTGGCCCCAGCGGCATAGCGAGGCTTCGACAGTCTATCGATGGGAATTGCACTTTTGCTGAATCAGAACCAATGAATATTGACGACTTCACGGCGCCATCGCCCATAGATTCCGCTTCCGGTTTGTCCCCGCCCTCTCCTGCAGGGGCGGCGAGGTCAAGTCATGCAGTAGCATCCGCTATCCCGATCAAAACATGTAAATCCCAGCAAAGCCCTATTTCAGACAACCTCATACCTGCTTCATTTCCCCACCCACCTCAACATCATCGACGGAATGATGAATTTGGGTATGTGCAGCGCCGTGTTCGCAAAACTAGTGTTGACGAGAGAAACGTACGTACTCTATTAAATAGCTCCGCTTGATTGCTTTTGAAATTATGATTCCTGCTAACGTCTCTTTCGAAATCAGACACGGAAACGACCCGCTGAAGCATCTCCTCAGGTGCCTCCCATTACCGGTCTCATTATACCCCACGAACCGGATTTTGATGCTCATATGGCTGACTACACTCTCGATCAACATCACTCGGCCTATCCACTTAACTACCACACTTCTCTAGCCATCCCTTACAGCTTAGAAACATTTCAGCCCCGTGACAATTCGATTATTCCCTCCACAAGTCCTTTCCAACAACATTACCCATTCTCCCCCTCTGACTCTCCATTGGTCGCTAGCGGGCCTTTCCAATGTGTTTATTCGCATACTCCAATGGGTTCGTCCCTCAACTCAACCGACTTCTATTCGCCACCGCAGTCTGGATATCAATCTACCGCCTCAACGCCGCAACCAGTCTTTGATAACGAACGTATGATGTATTTAGAGCAAAATCAGATCGACCTCAGAACAAACCGTTCGATAACGAGCTTTCGCGGATCCTCAGCCTTTACCGGATCCTCGCAGTCTAGCCATATCTATCACACTACCAATGAGTCTATTTTCAACGCAATTAGAACCTCTGACCACTCGAACCTTTCATCGCCAAGCTTCCCAATGCAGCACCAGCCTCTGGATCCTACAGGGGTCCTACCGAGTGGTGACTTCTCATCTGGTCCATTGGGGCAGCCCAGAAACTTAACAAGCGTCATAAACATGTTTACATTTGGTGCGGACTCTGATAATGAGGAGGATGGGAATCCGTTCCCCGACCGATCCATGGCAATTCAGCCCGATTGTGGTGCTGTTGACGATACCGCCATTGATCCTAATAATTCGAGCTCGCAGTGGGAGTCGCCTATGACTAAACAGTTTAACTCCATGCCAAACAGCTTCCAAGGCCATAGAAAACATGTCACAATCGGGGGAACAGAGATTGCAGATTCCGAGCGCGACTGGGCCAGTGGAAGTTTGGCTCGCACTCACGGTTCTGCAGCCTCAGTGAGTGAAATCCGTAACAGAGACCATGATCCAAGAAGGCAAAAGATCCCTCGGACAATTTCAACTCCCAACACGGCTCAGCTCCTCCACCAAGGCATCAGCAGTCAACCCCATACTACTCCGAATTCTCCTCCAAGATCGGGATTCAGTAGCGCAGCCCCTTCGAGGCCTGCAAGCCCAGGGCCCATCAAACAGAATGAGCCGTCTGGTGTACCCACCACCTGTACGAACTGCTTCACGCAGACAACACCCTTATGGCGAAGAAACCCTGAGGGGCAGCCCTTGTGCAATGCTTGCGGCTTATTTCTAAAGCTACATGGTGTTGTCCGCCCATTGTCACTGAAAACAGATATCATAAAAAAGCGCAACCGAGGAAGCGGCAATAATCTCCCAGTTGGTGTTGCATCAGCGCGTTCCGCCAAAAAAGTGTCACGGAAGACCTCCGTACAACAAGCACCGTCAGCAACGGCCATGCTCAGTAGAAGTCCTGGTGAATCGGATCACTCCCCTTCTACGGCAGCGCCTAATAGTGGTTTAACACCAGCATGTGCTCCTTCAAGCTACTCGGGGTTGACGAAGACCGGTGTTGTGCCTATCGCTGCGGCACCCCCAAAGACGACGTCAACTTCGTTAGCTACCAGCCTCGCCCAGGTACGAGCACCCGTCCAGGTTACATCCAAGCGTACTCGCCGATTAGATAAAGCACCTGCTGGATTCCAGGGCTCCCAGGAAGCAGAAATGCGTAATGCGACAGACAGAGTTAGCAAACCGTTGACCCCATTAAACAAACCGAAACCCGGTGCTCCGCTTGCGACCCAGCCACCAGCTGCTGCCAACCCCGCCCATCACAGTCTTGCTGCTGGTGCTCAACAAGGAGGGAGCCAGGAATGGGAATGGCTAACTATGAGTTTGTGAAAGGGCTCGTTTCCACCCAAACCACCGTCTCAGATTTTAAACTTTAGGTTTTCCACCTCGTTCCCAGAACGAATTTGGATACCCCTCACGTGAAACTTCTCGATTTTGTGAACCTTTACTATATTTAGCTGGAAAGTCGTTCGATCGCGGGTGGCCTTCTCCGACTAGTTGGATTTTCATGGACATGTATTCTTTCCGCCATCACAGCAGACTGTTGTGAAAATATGAATAAATTTAACTTTCTCGACGTTTCCTAGTGACTTGGGAGGAGATCACTCTATTTTTACAGTAATTGTGTTTGTTGGATCGTGTTTGTCACGAACACCTCCCGAGTGATGTCCCTGTGGCATTTGCTCCTTCTGCCTATCTTTATTCCAACTACCAATTCATGACGCATTTTACAAGAGCTTCCTCCTATCGGGATCCAAAAAACCTCTGCTGACCGAAGAAGCTATTTCCGACGTTAATTTGTTCCCCTCTTCACCTATCGGACAAGATCATTCGCTTCACCCGCCAATTAGTCAATCCGTCTATCTCAATGCCAACCCGTATTCTTACTGGGCGCGTCATCCTTCAATTTGGGCTCAATGTTCGGTGGGGAAAATCCTACCACCAGCGACTCAAGCTCCAAGTCCCTGAGGTTCATAGCTTCGAATTGACGGACCCAAAAACTCATTGCGGCCTTTGATTCGCCCTGATTCGCCCTGGTTCACCGTCTCAACTCTATTCATTGCCGTGAGCTCAACCGGGTTGCTTCTTTCCTCACTCGCTCACGTCCCATCACCGGCATAATAACATTTCTCCATCATGAGTTTTCAATTTTATTCAAAAATATTGTTTATTGATGTTATGATTTAATTCTTATTTTTTATTTATTTTGTTTTTCGGGGAGGCGGGGAGGCGGGGAGGGGGGGAGGGGGGGGAGAGGGGGTTTGGGTTTCGCTTAGTGACCGTTCCGTCTCATCTTTTTCACGTCCTTGCTATTTTACTCTCATCTTCATCTTCATTTTCATGTCTCATCACTTCTTTCCAACCCTCTTTTCCTTCATGTCCTATTTTGCCGAGGGTGGATTAATGTGATTTACTATATCTGATACCATCGCGTCTGTTTCCCACTTGCCCAACCAACCGTTTGCTTTTTATATTCGATATGTTTATTTTTATTTTTTCTGTGCCTCTTGCCCGTTCTTGCTACGTCTTAGGGCTTTCCATTATACATCCTCTCCTCCGCTTGTTTACCATATTCCTCATTAAATTTGTTCATTCCCCTTCCTCTTATTCGTCCTTATTTCTTCTTTCTCTCTTTTCATTTATTTTAACTTTTTAAAGCCCCTTCCATTTTCATTTTGTTTGTTTTGTTGCCTTTGGTTGGGCAGTGGACAGAAGTGCGCATCTCCATTTTGGCTTTCTGGTTTTGAATTTTAAATCTGCTTTTTAACTCTTTTTTTTTCCAAGTCATTTCAATACACTATTCAGTGGGTGACTTTGAATTCCAATATTCATCTATGTTCATGCTTTTACTGATGCTGCAAGAGTAGATAAATGTTTTGATTTATTTTTCTGTTGGTCTAGTCTCCCTCTGTTTCACTCATATTTCTTTTCTATATACTAATTTTATCATATGATTACATCTTTCCATCATCTATACACTCTTTTACGTTCTTAAGGATTTCGTTTTCTTTTATTATTTGATGATATATGATGCATGGATGTGGCTCAGAGTTTTATCACTTTTTTTCCCTCGTGGAATCTTCAATTATTTATATATATATCGCTTTTGATTTGTTACCATTTTCCAATTTGTCATATAGTTACAATCATATCTTGTATTGTTTTCAATGTTTTGAATTACTATTCCCAAAACATTTTCATAATATTTTCAAAGGATTGTGAGAGAAATTGTGGCAATAGTAATAAACAAACCCCACTTCTGATATAACAATGAGTAGTGAATGGGGGAGGTAAGAGGTGGTCTGTGTGTAGTGAGAATAGTGGTAGAACATTAACCTTAAAAAACCTTACTTACACTGCGCAGCCTATTACAGCAACAATAAAGAATGAGTACTATAGTGTATAAATGTGCTGTACATACACACTACACATATGTAGTCTAAAGTGTGACTGACAGAGTATTTCTGGTGTTCAAAGCTGTGATCCCACTTATATTTTTACTATACACACATCTGCTACAACAGCCTGGTGAGTAGTTAGATGGAACTATTTCACATTTTTTGACATTTTATGAAAAATTGATGAATTTGATCAATGGAATCATAATTTTTTATTGATAATCCAATAATGGGATGGTAATTTTATCATGAAGTTGGGTTGATCAACATGATGGGATGATGGGATGATGGTCAATGACAGCTTAGCTACATCAATAAGTGAAATCAAAAACAACAATGAGCAAAAAAGCAGGTGATGAAAGAAAAATAGGGAAGAAATTTGGAAAAAAAAAAAAAAAACAAGTGTTTTAAATATATAAAGCTATGATTATGGGACAAAAATCGGCTGTTATTATTCTAAAAACAAAAAAAAAAAAAGTTTATAATGGATTTTGTGTGCAGCGATAAAAACCAGCCCAACCATTTTTATTCACGCTACACAACGAGTAGCGGAAAGGGGGAGAAAAATCGCTACTTTTTTTCGCCATCCGTAAGTATAACGTTATGAGCGCGCCCGTTCTCTTTAGATATATCTATCTACTAAGAATATGTCAATCTAAAAGGCTATGCAAAGAAAGATCAGAGAGGAAATACAAAGCAGTAATGAAGTTGTTTGAAGGGGAGGATGGTCCAATCAAAAGGATGGGGGCAGCGAAGAAGTTAGCGGTAAGGGTTGGGAGGAGGTGAGAAGGGAAGGATGTAAATCCTCTCTGTCAACATTGCTTCTCCAGGAGGCAATAAACGATACCATGCCGATGTGAGGAATGTTATTTCTAATAGGGAATTGGATGCATGACGCTGTAGAGGAGCGGAGGAGTACGGGGCGGTATTTCCAGCTGGGTTCTGTAAAAAGTAACCGAGGCTTGACAACGCCATCAGAGTGGCAATTGGTGGAAGGGGGACGATTGATCGATTTCAAAAAGAAAACAAACGAGATAAAACGCCATTAAAACTAGAAAACGTCGAGGGGAATAGGGAACCAGTCAGAATAGTTTAGTGCTTCCCAACCAACCCACAGATAGAGCCCAGATAGGCATGTATGTTAGAAGGAATGCCAGCAAGAACGGCGAAGATAGCGGGTAAATAATGAATAGAATTGCTTCCTGGCTTCTGCGGAGAGGGGGGCAGAAGCGTAAGGATGTTGCAAACAAGGACATAGGGGTATGCAAGGACGTGAAAAAGTATTGCTCGGAAGGAATATCTCGGGAGGCACCCGTGCCACACTGCTTTTGATTCGCAATTGCCATAAAAAGCAAGGGAACCAAATTTAAAGTAAAAAATTAAAACTCAAGTGTAAGAAATTGAAAGATAAATGGTCCGAAAGGTCAATAATGTTCGTCATCAAGGCTGAAATTGCTGGAACCGAGTTGAAAGAGCTCACACATTGTAAAAATCGGCCAGTGAAGCGGATTGTAAAAGAGAAAAGAAATGTGGAGTCCACCTGGGAGATAAAAACCCTAATTGTGGAGATTCCCTCTTATCACTCGTCGATGGTACTAGCATCAAGGACCAGAAAAGCGACAATGGAAAAGACGGAACTTTTAACCACTACAGAGTTAGAAATTTATATTCTGCTTCCCTTTCTCCGTAAGGGTATTCCCTTCTGCTGTGCCGGATACTGGAGTATTCCGGAGTATTCCAAAACCGATTATAGAAAGTGGAGACGTTAACAAAGTGGCGTGGTTTCGGCAAATTCAAGTATATACAGATATCAAGAGGAGGGAAAGAATCCCGTCTCCTCTCCCCGGATTTTGGCTAACCTGGGAAGCCAAGCGGTCAATTTCATGACAATTAGTTTTGCAAGGTGAGGATCCGGTTCCTTTGAGATCTCCACGTCCGTCTTTTCGTACGATACCAGACAACGTTCTATTCAGGAAAGGTTCATGGATTGTGATAATCCTCCTGTTTCATTACTGGGTATTGCTGTGGGTCCGCTGGATACCATCCCCCCAACCCATCGGGAGTTGATCCAATAACAGGTTGATTGAGGTTACCAGGCACAGTTGGTTGTCTTTGGTATGCGTCCCACGAGGCATAGGCTGCTGACGATTGCGTTTGGGTATAAGAAACAGGAACCGTCGACGAGTGCAATTCTGACATTGAGCTATTCGCTGGGTGGCCATACGTATCCACCGGAGCTGTCATTCGCCGTTTAAATTCTGGTGGCATTGGTTGCTGATACGGGTGTTGGTACTGTGCGAGATTTCCTGCGGCGAGAGTTGCTGATCTCGTCGGCTGCGTGCCCCAAACAGAGTTATCGGGCATGCCGAATGCTGTTGGGTCACCAGTGGATGGAAGAATACCGGGAGTGATGGGAGTTCCGGGAATGGATGGGTCTGTGGAAAGAGGTGCTACTGATGTTGGGGCATGATTCCAAAGAGTAGTCGTTGGGGTCGTCATTTGGGACTTCGCCATTACGCTGGGGAAGTTTTGATCAAAATACGACGCGTTGTCCCACGCTTCGGGTTGGTTTAAAGGTTGAACAGTGGTTAACTCGTGTGAGCTTAGAGGACCTACCGAACAGTCAGTCACTGGTTTAACAAAGGCACCAAACGTGCGCGGACAAACCTGGACTGAAATTCGGCATGGGGTTCGTCGCGAAAGGCGCGGGCTCGAACGGGGAAATATCCTGTCCCGAGTTCATCGGCATTGGTGCGTACTGGAAGTACGAATCGCTCTGGTCTACTATTCCTCCACCCCCCAGCGCTGGCGGTGACGAAGTTATTGACGCTTCTGTTGATGTGGCCCCAGTTTTTGACCCTGAGCGAGACCGCTTTGTTTCCATGGGCGGTTGCTGATCCACCGGGAAAAAATGGCACTCTTTCTTCAACCGAATACAGTTTTCGCATCGCGTATCGTCGGAGGCAAGTAAGCATCGGATTTTCCTTTTCCTACAATGTACTGTACTCACACCGGTTAGAAACCCAGAATGAGGATCAAAATCAAGAGAGAGAAACAACAGGAAGCCGAGGAATGATGTCGACGTCTTAGTGCGCTTATAATCGAACCCTCCCAGATATATGCTGAACGAACGGCTTACCACATGCGACCGATGTTCTATGGTAGCCCAGTTTATTCCGCTTTTTGTCAGCGGCTGATCCCACGGCGGGATCCATGGTCAAGTCCTGACGGGTTTCTTTGAGTTGTTGATCGTTGGACATCTCCATACATAGTTCTCCAGGTTGATGCGGCCCAGTTGTATCATGAATGTTGTAGTCCATCAATTCATTCCGGAAATTGTTGACGGACTGCGAACTCGATGGCTATATGCGATGAGGGAGAAAGGTATTTGAGTGCTGACTAGGGTCTAATGCCATCCCCAAGAAGTATAAAGCCCGCCTTTCTACGCGCCACAGGATGGCGCCACAGCGAGATTCTCAGGCAATGGCAATGCGCGACTGTGAGCAATGAATGCGTAAAATGCCCGATACATCTAACCACTATGGCGTCTTTACCCCGCGGATGATATAACGAGGTATGGGATGCTTGGAGAAGTTGTGGCGGGGATCGTGACAACAGGGTTTTCGAGATCACTCTAGGAGGCAAGGATATCAACAGAGCACAGAAAAAAGAACAGATGGAAAATATATGAGAGATCCTTCGAGCAAATTGAGGGGAAGGTCAATGGGATCCAGGAGCATACGAAGTAAAAACCTCATCAAGAGCGAGCAAGGTAAGAATTCAGCGAAGCTAATCGAGGGGTGAAACACCCAGGACTTTTCTGCTTGTGCATAAAAGAGGAGCTACCACGTTAAGAACCAAACTTAAGTCCGCAGCCAGAGAAGAAGAGATGGGGTCAATTCTCAAGCCACCGGAAGGAGTATCCACGAAGCTGTTCTGCTGCGGATAACCAACTCCCCACAAAAAGTTGTGAAACCGGGCACTACCTACAAGCAAAGCCAGCTAACGGCAAGAGAACCAAGGAGAGAGAGACGAACAAGAATTGTAGTGAATTATATAATACACTACGAGACATGGAATACTCACTGAGATGAAAAGAGCATTCTTTGCTCTCCTTTCCTCTTTTTTTTTTTTTTTTTTTTTTTTTTTTTTTTTTCCGTTTCCTATTCCCTCCTTTTATCTCCTTTCTTCTGTATCCTCGTTGATTCTTCGAATCTCAAACGGACGAAGCCATTGATCCAGGAGGTCTAGCCAGCTTAATGAGAAAGAGGGGGAAGGCCGATCACCAATCTTGCAGATTTTATTTGCAGGAGTGGAGATGCTTGGATAGCCCCAAAGTGGTAAGATAGTTGTGGACAGCTGTTGAGGGGCCAGAGAACTTTCGTGGAAATAGCAGTGGTCCTGGGTTAAAGTGTCCGATTCGTCAGCGGGAGAGAAGGACACTCGAGATCCTGAGAATGCTTCCACGAGAAATCGTAGGCAAAAGAATAGACGGGTTTTGTACTCTGTACCGTTATGCAAGCGATTGGGGATTTTCCTCTTTAAATTTCAATAAAAAACGACACCTGAGGGCGTTGTCGTATTTGACAGGTGCCCGGTCCAAACGCAGGAACCTGGTCGATTACGACGATTCGGTACCCTAGCCAGCGCAAGTCCAAACAACCTGTGCAATTCCTGCTCTGAATCACTTGTTGCTTTGGTGGAGTAGGGCGGTGGTGGGCAGGGGTTGGGCAAATCCACCAGCGCGTGGGTTGATGGGCTCCGAAGCTGGGTCAGACACAGTTCGCTGTAGGACCCTAGCAACAGCTGCCTTCCGGTCCAAAAGCATCAGAACAGCCGTTATTTGGAAGAAGCGGCAGATGGATCATGCTGGAAGGCTGGGAGGTGGCTGTGGAGGTGGTTATTTCGATGTCGGAGCAGCGCGTCTCCATTATTGTTCCCGCAACTCAGAGCATGGATTCGACTAATTTCTCAGTCAAGCGAAATTGCGTGTTAGTAAAATTTTGAAATTCCGGAAAACAGATCTCATATGACAATCAAACTCAATCCATGACCACAAAGTTGGATACGGGCCAATTGCTGACCGCGCGCGCGTTGCCGACGTCCTATCAGACTTTGGACGTCCGTGGTGGAACTGGATGTATCCATGTTACAAGACCAGAACGCACCAAGTGCAAAAATCACAAGCGCCCGAAGCGTGGTGGACCCGCCAGTGGCATGCCTAGGGAAGTTATTTTGCTTGCGCATTTGGCCCAGAGCAAGATATGGCAAAGTGCAAAAAGCCCACAGGCGATTTGTGAAACAAAATTTGCAACACTGCACCAATCACTTGCCCCGCTGTCATCACTACGATGCCGTTATGCACGGAGGTTGCGGAGGGAGGATATCAAGGACCTCCTCACAACCCCAAAATGGAGATATATAACGTGCATCAGTTGCTCCGGCTTCCACTAAAAGACGATCCAAGACGCTGGCCTTCCCCCGAAAAGATGGCTTCGTCCATACGTCAAATGCCAGTGACTCTGGAACAGACTTAGCCGGATGATCGACTCGAGCAAGCCAATTCAATTCGCTTCCAACAAACTGTCTCCATTGTTATCATCCATACGCAGCATAGCGCGCACACAATTCGCAGGGTTTTTAAGGGCAGATTTGTTTTAGGACGGGTTCCGCTCATCGAAGCAGGCGACAAATTTGGCCCAACTACAGAGGCTGCATCCACTCCAAGGAATTCACCGATAACGGGGGCTCACTGAGTCGTAAACCTATTAAAATGGCCCTTGCATGACCACATGCTTGAGAACTGGAGCTACGCGATACGTGACGGGGTTGCAAATATTTTGATATTCTTGCAACTCTTTCTAATACATTCTTCGCGGACATGCATGGTATTTGCAGCTTCAACCCACGGCCAATGGATCGCGGAATGGTGTCGACCAGAGATTAACTTCATTTGAGGACGTGAAGCTCACATTCACAGCAAGTTGGCAACATTCCATCATATCCTAGCGTCCCTGGTAGAACTTTAGCGTCAAGCCACAAACTCCAACCCCCAAGTTTGGGGAACTCGCACGCCCCAAAACTTTAGGAAAATTGGCCAATGAGGCACAATACTCACTCCAGTCTGGAGAGGAAAATGCACAGCACAGAGTTACACTCTACAGCGTACCCTCCACCTGAGGGTGATGTGAAGAAAGGGGTGGACGAAGCCAACAGTCCCAAGTCCAGTTACCCATTCTTTGGCATTCACGTCAAAGGAAAACCCCGATTGGAAAAATTCCAAAATACGTTTATGACGAGGTATTTCGACCCAGCTCATTGCTTTTTCTTTTCAATCCAACGCATAATTTAGTAGCGCGGATTCACCAACGGCTCGATTCCTGACATGAAAGTTTATATTTTCATGGGCTGGACGAGAATTCCATTCTATAGTTTAATGACTTCCTATCATCCTGTGTCTGCTCAAGCAGGAGAAATTCCGAAAGACAACAGGTTACGACCAGTCTATGTTATGTGGCTATGGCCGAACAGCAACCAAAAAACGTCGTTGGGCAGGGCTTGACCGCCATGCCAACCTCCGCACACCATCCATGGATGTTGAAGGTTTAATTAAGGATCAGAGCCTTGCTTTAGTCGCATGCAATGTCCTTCTCCACCAGTTTGAGGCATGGGGCACTGTATCCACCCTGCTGGCAACGTAAGCCAAAGAAAGCCAAAACCGCGCTAAAAGCAAACGAAAGCAGCTCCAGCCTCAGTGATGGAGCTCCTGAATCTGGCGCTTTGTGTTCTGTTCCTGCTTCATTTTTGTGAACGGAAATCATATTATTATTGTTCAATTGTTATCCAACATACTCGTGAAAGAAAGGAGACCGAGCATATCCCGAACTCTGTTTTTAAAACATACCTTTGGCGCCAATCAAGGATAACTAACATTGGCCAAAGCTGGAATGAAAACCAAAAAATATTTATGCATTTCACAGAAGAAAATATGAGGGAGCCGGGTATTTTTACCAGCATCCGACAATATCATGGACGACGGCACATTCCGAACCAGCGCAGTCGTGCGCCAACGAGAGCTGCTTTCTAGAATTCCTTGCAGAAGGTGCAGTAGGTATACATATCGGGAAAGTTGTTAAATCTCCGGCGAACCATCGCTAACGTCAATCCCGACATTTATAGAATCCGAAGGATACGCATACATGCCAACCGCAGCATTCCGCCCCTAGCTATCTGCACCCAGTTGAGAAATCGAGACAATTATTTGTGCCTTTGGCAGAACCTCAGCATATGTCTGCGTTGTTTGCATAACAATGGACTGGGGTTTTGCTTCCAATGACCATGGCGAAACGGATGAATCCGTATCGTTCAAATTTATCGACCTACGGCATGCAAATGGAAAGGCCAGAGCGTCATCCGGGAATTATGTTATAATCAAAACAAAGGCCTCCCGCTGACTGCACCTATATTTTCATACCATTCTATCCATCTGCACACTTACCATGATATCACATTAACTAGCAAGCAACCAACTCAAGAAAATCTTATGTCAGTTTACCCATAAGTAGTGTATAATTCACTATCAACAACGCAAATGCGTATCCCAAATAAAATGCATCAGACCAAAGAATACACCAATTACCAGGACATTCCCTTTGGTAACAAAGCTTGACTGGTACCTTTGCTGAACAATGCCTCGATGTTTCTAAGCAAGATGGAAGTATCTTTTGGAGAAGAATCACCATAATTTGATGACCTAGGATGGACGACTCGGGATAACTCGCTCAACAGCGTACATTATCATGTTGAAAATTTTCACAAGAGCGACCGTGGTATATCTCATGATTTCTCATCGCAAAATACACATTCCACGCTTACCCCTAAGTGTGCTCTAGGTCTTTTAATTCTATTGTGGTACCATCCCAGTTCAATTTGAAAGCCTGCATTTTGCCCGTGGCCCAATCGAACGCTCCATGGATTTTCTATCCTGACTACATTTTACCCTCAGCAGAAAGGATATAGCGATACATCATTCGATAATCCTGAACTAACCATACAGGGAAACGTGCAACATGCACCATGCAGCCTTCCAAGTTTTGCGAGACGCGGAGCAAGCAAGAAAAAAGCAGACTCGGCCTCATGCAAGAGACTTCCACCCCGGTAGAAAAACGTTGAACCCTGCCCTGAGGGAGTAACCGGCTGTTGGGTTGGCTAACAAGGCCATGTAACTGGCTGGTTCAAGCGAGCCAGTGATATGTTACTTGAGCATGGGAAACGCCTACTGGCCGCACAGGACAGGGGGAGCAGACAATTTGAAAATCATTGAGCATGATTTCTAAGGGCTTTGATTTGAATTGTGAATTGTCCAGGTATTGACTACCTGAGGTACTTTTCACAGAAAACCCCTGCACAATCAGGGTACCTGTGCACTTGGAGGCCCTACGGTGGGGAAATGCATTTAATGTCCTTGTTGTATTTCTTGGCTGATTGATGGGTAGATCTTATCTGTCGCCGAAGTTCAAGCCAGAGTCCTCTCCTTTTAATTTTCCAAGCTACGAGATAGCCATTTAGATGTCTGCCGGGGTTGAAATGAGTGACAACATCGGCCCCGAGCAACAGCCAAAACTCTGTGGGAAAGCTTAGGACGATAGTGATTTGCAGTCATCAGCACCCTTGCCATTTGCTCTGTTCAACTACTTTGTTGTTTTTTTCTCTATTTATTGTTTCTTGTTGGGAGGAGGGGATTGATATGTCTAGCTTATCTGCAGTAGCTGGTACAGTACATATCCATCAGTCACAGTCCTGCAACTTTAACAGGATCGCAAGTCCACTTTTCCAGTTTAACTTATTTATGTTTTCTGCAGCTCAGGAAGCTCGAAATTGAGGTCATCCACTCGTATTCAATTGTCCTCTTAGCTCCGAAGAGGAGGGCAGAATAACATACAAACGTTGTCTGAAAAATGGGAAGTTATGACCATTACATTACATTTTAACAGGGGTTTTCGGACCCTTCGACAAAAATCCGCCGAATCATAGCTATTCCACTTAAGAATCAAAAATGAAACAAAATCTCACAACAATGGAATAGGGAGAAAGTAAACCTGGGGAGCACAGAGCGATAATCGAGTAGGTGGAACAGAAGAAGCAAAAGAACAAAATAAAAACAGGTGCTGGAAGTCAAAATTTCAATACAATGGGAAAATCCATTTCTTTTAACATACGCAGAACTAGTTTCTCCTTATATTTCCATTTCGTTAACTTTATTATACCTTCTAACCGGAATCTCGATATCGAAAACCAGGTAGAAAAAGGAATTTAGGGTTAGGGTTAATATTTTTAGATCTTAGATGTCGAGTTGCTTCTGTGGACCAACAAACTGACGTTTTGAATTAGCTGTTATATCACTTTTCCAATAGCTTTTTCATTCAATATTATTCTTTTTCTTCCCCTGGTATTCTTTCTCTCCTTTTTCCATCCCCCGTCCCCACCCCAACTTTTTTACATTCAAATTATGGGGGGTGAAATTATTGGCATTCCTCCCTCTTTTCAGGGTGAAAACAACAAATATCCTGTCTATAAAATCCAGTTATTGTTCAAAAACCAGGTAACCTACATATGCTCATTAAGGAAACCCAGCACCGCCTTATATCCATTTTCATACTCCTTGCGAACCTCTTGGTTCTCCAAATCCCCTCTCGCCGCCATCCAGCCGTGGATCTGCTTATCCCACGTCTTGACATACTTGGAAACCTTCAGGTTATCCTCAAAAGCCTTGACCTCGTTGACGTCCTCGTCCATGGAGGCCAACAGCGCCATTGGGATAGTGACATTGGGAGCATCCTTTGCGTCAAGCATAGCGGGGTGGCATTGGACAGCCGCCTTAAAAAGTGTACCTTGCGTCGAAGCCAGAGTGGCAATCTTCCCACCCCAACAGTATCCAAGGATAGCCCAGGCTTTGAATTTCCCTCCCTCGGCAAGTTTGTTGGCTTCTTCGATAACGCCTGGGATTCTTGAGAGTGTCCCTGGTACGGCGGCTTTAGTTTTGAAGAAGTTGGCCAAGTTCTTCTTGTGTTCTTCTGTGGTGGGTGGATACCAAGATATATCTGCTGGGCTTCCGTCGAAGAAATCAGCCATGAAAATGCGGTACTTGCGGTTCGGGTCAGAGGTAGCCATTATATCGGCGCCCTGGATAGTTTGTGGGAAGAAGCCAAAGATATCTAGGGAGTTTGAGGCCGTTAATTTGGGGGAAGGGTGGGATTGCGGTTCATGGCGGGGTTTTAATTACCGAAAATAATACAGATGGCCTCTGTGGCATCTTCTGGGCCAGTGACATCTGTGACCACACTATCAATATGAAGACTGAATGAGAGCAGGGGACTCAGGTTGGTCCACAGGAGGATATAGGTTCTCGCAAAACAAGACACTTACATGTTTTCATGCCATTCAAGGTGATATACTTGCCCTTCTCCTCATACCCTTTCGAGACAACGGGAGGAATGCTATAGATCACCACGTAATCAGCCAACATATATACGCAAGTCCAATGGATACGTGTTATCGATTTACTTACGAGCAGCAGGCCTTGCTATATTGCGACATATCGGCGGCGCAATGGGAAAATCGAGCTCCTCTTAGTGGAGTGTAATATGAATAGGACTTGGGTAATCGTGATTGAGCTCTGGGTAAAGGAATTCGGAAGAGAGTCAGGAATGGCTGTGGCCTCATGAAAAGGGTGAATAAGCAACTGGTAAAGCGCAAAAATAATAAGGGGTTTTCGCGTTTGCCTGTGTTCGGTGGTATTAAATGTCGATGTTTTGATATTCCATGTTGACGTTCCTGACTAAGTGGGGTGGACAACCGGTTGCGTCATAGTGACCTCGGGAAATTTGTTCCCCCGCCTCGGAAGTTGTGGAATTCAACGCCGAAGCCGGCGGGAGAACTTCTGCTTACACCGCACAAGCTAAGGGCCCTCCTCAATGCCACCAAACCCGAAGGTTCCCTCTTATCTCTCAAACCAGAGCCTGCTGCTGTGTGCGTGTGTGCGTGTGTACGCCTCCTCGCAGTGGACCGTGCTACGACCAAGCCCAAGTCTTCGCCATGACCTCCATGCTGTTTGACTCCGAGAACCGGTGGTTTTTCATTCCGCTGGCGCGCAAGTATTGTCCCGTTAAATCTGTACATTCAAATTTATACAGAAGCCTCCCGCAGGCAGCTTGAAGCAGCTCACCTTTTGTTGCTAAGCGCCGTTCAGCGACTGCTTCTGTCCTCCAGCAAGCTCGAATCATGGATGATGAAATGCGGCTCTAGACCAAAAGTTATGCTCTGTATTCAAAAGAATGTGAATTTGCCATCAGCAGAGCCCATAGCTTATATATGGGGAGGGAAATGCATGCGCGCCTTGTTGATATCTTCCGTCACTGGAATTGCAACAACATTGTGCTTTCCCGTCCCCACATCCCTCAAATCTTCGAACCTACATGAATCGCTAACTTCGTTAGCCAGCCAATGAAAATACCTGTAACAGCATTCATAATATTAGGCCACTGGCGGATTGACGGTTATCACCATCGCCCAAATTTTCATCCGATAAAATTGTTATGATAGCAAATCCAATAGAATCCCCAAGGGTGTTGCTCGGATATACATTTCCATATGCTTGGCAGGGTGGGTTGATGGACTGTAGTCAAACGCCAAGACCACCATATGTAAGAGAAACCTTCGCAATATCTCAGCCTCATTCATGTCCACTACCTCGTCAGGTCAATATCAACAATGACTAGACCAAGATCATTGACCATCTCGAGCATATTTGTGATTCTTCATAATATACAAAGGATGGATCTGCCAATTCTAGATCCTAATCCCACGGATTGACAACTCACAGCTGCAATGAATTCCGTTATGTACCTGGTTACTTGTCTGTGCTGTGACAAGAAAAGAGCTTCTTAGACTGAATAGATCCACCTCATACTCTCCAGCTTATTCCAAAGTTTAGGAATAGCTCCCATTTCAACATTTGCTAGCGGTGATTGCAGTCTTGCCCTGAATGATCAACTTTTCCTGGCGGGTTTTGACTATCAAAGGCCTGCCAAACGTTCAGGTAGAGCATCGTGTCTTGAAATATTTCTGCCATATCTCTTACTCCACCACCAAAGCATGGGAATCTTAGGCTTAGGATAGCTTTTGAGGTTAGTCTTTCTCTTTAGTTTTCATGCTAATTCATACCATTATCTGTTGATTTTGTGCCAGTGATTGATGGATGAGGCTTTTAGATACGTTTATGAGCTAACTATGATCTCAATTCGGATATGCTAGTCAATTCATGACTAGACTCTTCTGGTTGGGGATTGATCCGCTGCGATCGCTGCTCCTTCTCGCGCCGAAACGGAAGCGTGGCTCAATGTGAAGCTAGGCTGCCGGATAATGTTATCTTTAACCACCTTAGATGGATCTGAACCATGGTTTGTTCCACCAAAGGTTTATGAGCAGGGCGAGAAGGGGTTGCTTCACCTCACCAAGGACACAAGGCCGTGGCGGTGGCTTGTTTGTTGTTGAATCACATTTTGTAATCACAGAATCTGGAATACTCCCATGTTCTAACTATTTTGGCGCTTTTGAAGAAAATACAGCAGAGCAGGTCTGGGCCCTCTTTGTCTCTCTCGATATAAATACTTCAAATATGTTCACTGACTTCTCATCAAGACCAATAAAGATGAAAATCGTGTGCAACACATACTCTATACTTGATTTCCTCAACGCACCCGCTCAGTGCATTTGCGAGGATGCACTGTCCGAACCGCTTGTTTCAACCAAGATGTCACTATTTAAACCGCAGCAGCCAAGGGTGCGCAGGTGATCACAAATCCTGCGTAGGGTCATGTTGGGAGTATTTTTTCCCCAATGGGAGCAGGTGACAGTTGGATCCGCTGATGGGATTGTCGTATTCAAGTCCTTCGACGTTGCGTTACATCAAGGTTGTATATCAAACGTTGGGCTGGATTACAACGAGGCACATCGCCTGTGAGTTGATGTCTTTCATGATCGCTCTTTTTTTTTTTTTTTTTCGTTCAGCGATGCTAATAAGGGGCCAAATATTCCAGACGAGTAGATGAGAAATTGAATTGTTCATATTAACAGTTGATCTCTACAAGGTTGGAATCTAGTTGGCACATACAGCTGGCCATAGCGAACTCAAAATCCCCATCATATTTTTGTGAGTAATTCTTTCTCGAAATACTTACTCTGATGTGGACGACTAATTAGCCAAATTGAAAATGATATCCTCGTATCAATATTCCCTTAGTTGGAGCCTTCATGGGTGTTTTGTTAATGGAATCTGTACCTCTCTCCCTCGCCCCTGAGCTATCTCAGACACTTCACACTATGCGTACTATCCACCAGCGAATGGCGAATGCTATCCTGATGAGAAAATTGTGTGATCCAATCGTGGCAACGTCCAATGTTGTTTTGATCGAGATGCATATGTTGTTAGACAAATATTTCAATGTTTTGTATCCATTGATGAACGCGAGGGTTAAGTTGCTTGTGGATTGTTAGGTTCATGATGACGCTGAGTATACTGCTTGTTCCCTCCAAACCCCATTGCGTCCACTTTGCTCGCCCTTCTAATATTTTACTAGATACAGATTAGAATGTTAGTACATTTTCTATATATTAGTTAATTCTTCAAACATTTAAAGATACAGTGATAAGTTTTGTTTCCCGAAATCATTTGTATTTGAATCTCAGAGAGGCTATCATTAAAATTTCCTCCTGGGCTACTATCTTACACCTCCGAGTTGAGGGAAAATTCCAATATTAAACCGGGTGATCCCTAACAAAACATCATGACTAACCCCCAAGTTCCGGAGCTCCATCCCTCCTTCAGCTCTACCCAGATGTAGAATGGCTGGCTGGCGACAAAGCGTCCATCACCAACAATGCCTCTAACGGCTGTACTTAAGAGATACCAACGATCCTAATGGGTGGCTTTTCCTCGAAGTATTCCCGGTCACCCACGATTTCAGTTAGATGTGCTATCCTTGACTACTCTGCACCAGCTTCATCGGATGGATTTAAAATCACTTGGGACTGGGCTGCCCTGTTGACTCTTAGGCATCCGGGAACAATACAGAAAGGCCGAGGAAGCTAGTGTGCCTTGTTGGAGCTATGGTGGGTATGGATAGACACCCAGCGGGGGTTGGCATTTCTTCGAGAGATGTGAGGGAATTCCTGCATGTTTATTATTTGCGCAGCTGACGGTGAATGGCAGCAACAGTATCAGTTGACATTATACCCCCAGTGTACACAAAATGACGCATGGAAGGACTATCTGGTCATTCCCCTTGGGACAGACTTGCATCTAGGAATGGAGAGACATCAGAATGCCAATTACCTATTTCAGTGGGAAATCTCAAAGGGCGCTATCTTTCCAGTGAAGAGTTTGACCACCTTGCGGCTGAATACCTTTAGTTCTCTTCAAGAGATAATTGGGATCTTTGTTGGCTCCTATGATTAAATGGAAATCCACGTCAGATACTCCCCTGCTCTCTAGGTTCTGAAGTCGCGTTCAAGTCATATTTTAGAAACCTATCACCAATGATGCGGAAACACGAGCATGTGGCTTCTCAACCTAGACGAGATTGCCTAATAAGGTATTTCGATTAGGCCTACATCTCGACCTCACTGGCAAAGTCTGCGATCAGATCTTCACGAATTAAGGACCGCGAGTTGGCACAACAATCACGCTTTTAGTTTTGGGGGGGGGGGATGGAAGCCTATTCGGCCAAGGACACAGATATCGGCCCAGAGTTCTGTTGTCATTTCGCATGGTACTTGCTTCTCCAAAGCATTATGCGACGATTGCATTTTCTCCATGTCTCATCTGCACATCACTGTGATCACTTGATTGATGAGTGAGAAAACAAAGGGGGAACAGGGAATGAAAATGAAAATCCCATAGCTTGTCGACGAGAGCTGAATATGGGACTGCTGAGCCTCAATCCCTAAGAGGAAAAGAAAGGCGAGATATGAATGGGAAAGGTTTTCATGCCGCCATTCGAATTGCCGAGCTCTCTCGGCATCACTGAAAAGAGCACGATACCAGTCGCAACGCATATGGATTGAGAATACCGGCAGCGGTGAGACAACGACAAGCCACAAACTTTGACCAGGTCTTGCATGCCCCTGAGGCTGAGTATTGAGACTCCACGCTGCCGGCCAGGTCCCGACCTTGGCAGTGGTCAACCTCAAGAAAAGTTGCAGAAAGGTTGACAGGAGGGAACATGTGAAAGACGCCTCATCATAATCATGATATCAAACCGAAAAAACTTCGGCGTGGGGGTCCTCTCTGAGGAGCACATACGCTGGGCGGAAACAAGCCTCAACGATCTGGGGTTAAATTTAGCAGTGCGGAGGCCAATCGTTCGAGTGGCTAGCGACTCCCCAGGATGCGGTTCAGATCATCAGGGGCGCTGGAGGAATACGAGAAGTTAAAGCAAAAGGACCAGATGAGGGAATGTTGAGGAACGCGCGCGAAAAGCAGACATCACCGTACGCTATGTCGTACAGTTGATGGCTTTGCCATTTCAGGGAAGAAGGCTTGAGCCACAACAGGTACGGGCTGTATCGGTGGACGATTCAAGATGAACTACCCACATATTTCTCGTAGATCTGGATAGCATCTTGCGGCGCCCGTCAAAATGGCATAAATGGCGGAAAGGAACGGAAGGCTTCTAGTTTCTTCAGGCGGAGGGAAGGCTTTTGGCCAACGGACAGCATCTACTGATCCAATCAAATCTCGACTTGAGAAGTAGGGGCTGGAATTCAACACGTGGGATGGCAGCACAAAGCAGTCAAAGGTGGTTTGGTCATTGGCAACAGGCGTACAGGAAAAACAAAGCTGAATGTTTCGCCAGACAATACTCTTAGAAAACTCAAGGAGGTCTTGGTGTTTGTTTTGTGATCGTGATCCTCAATTCTCTCCAAACCTTTCAAACATTTGCTTTTTCTTAAATCAGGGGAGCTGGAAAGTCGAAAAGGAGGCTTATTTTTTTACATTTCTCAAGAACAACTGGATCAAAGCAAAATAAGACCATTGGTTGGGGAAGTGACTGCAGGTGAACTATGGAATGCTCCAATTGCAGCTTCATTTTGAAGTTGCTTGATGGTTTATTTCCAAAGTCAAGCTTGTGTACCGCATGAAGAGAACGAATAGCAGCATCGGTTTAGCGAGCCCAAGAGTCAAAAAGTGTGGTTGCTAAAAAAGTCAAAACGAAAAAGAAAAAAAAAAAAAGAAACAAAAAAGAAAAAAACGGAAAAAAAGGAAAAAAAGGATCAAAAGGAAACAAGAAAACCTGGGAGGTCTATCAACGGAACCGCAGCCTGCAGCTCGACCTTTCTGGACTTGAACCCCATTTTTTAACTCTTTCTTTGTTATTTGCTTTTCACTCTTCGTCTGGTTCGCCAACCACCCCGCGCGGGAGAGACGGATGATGAGGACAAGTTTGGACGGCTATTCTCGCGTTTGTCCCTTCAGCTACGACGGAATATGAACAAGAAAAATCATTGACATATGATAATAGCGGAAAGCGCATTATTAAATCAGGAAACCGTCAAACTATGCAAGGAGTGGAAATCCGCGTGCTCTAGACGCATGGAAGACAGTAGCCAAAGCGTTTGAGTGCAGGGAATACCAGGAAACATACGGAATACTGCGTAGACAAAAGTAAAACCAAGGCGGAAGTGAGAACTAGGGGGATAAGCTTGACTACAGACTCCTGCATGAGGAGGTTGTTCAACATCTGGAATCACGGATGGAATTGTTCTGATAGGTCCAAAGCAGGATCATCAGGAGGTTCTGAGTTTGCGCAAGGCATGATTGATGTTAATGCGGTCTCTGATAGGCCGAAGGAAGCTCTGCATTAAATTCAGTATGGACTGTCCAACGCGCTGGAGCAGCTGGCGCAGCCTGCAGGTCTGTACGCAGTAGATACCTGCACGCTTGAACAATATTTATGGTGGACAAAAGGACCAAGAACCTTTCTAGCTAACACTCTGACAATCGTCATAAATACACCTGATATATTCAAGGCGTGACTCTGGGGCTAAAGCTGCATAATAATACCATTATTTCCTCTAAGGTATTTTTCCTTTTCGAGCCCATCTGGCTCGGGGATAGGTTTTAATGCGTTGGGTTCAACCCCACGGAGATTTATCATAATAGAGGGAGCGGAGAGTTTGGCGTGTTCAAGATCAGAGCCTCTCAGATCATATCCTTCCTTCATCCCGCAAATTCATGGACCCAGCAGACTGGTCTGGTGCCGCGTTGGCTCAACAAGGTATCAGCAAGCCAATAATGGAGATGGAAAATGCTTAAACAAGGCCTGTCCTGTCAGCTTGAACTAGTCGCTGGAAGGCTAGCCGGATCGCTGGCGATGCAGAAGCAGAGGCCGAAATTTAGCTTCCTTTGCGTCAGTGGCCAAAAGAAGAGCGAGGCCACACCCGCAATCATCTCCGCTCATCTAGCAACCGGCTCAAAGCCACATCGGCCAGACGCTTCCCTAGATGTGAGTTAATCAGTCGCCATAAGTCTCCACACTGGCAATCCCCATGCCACCATGGGTTTTGGATTTGTTTTAGCATTTTACAGTGGTCCTGGAACGCACTAAGTAAATGAAGCTCTGAGAACGGTGGTTTCAAGTCGTCGCATCGTTTACAGCAAAATGGTCCGGAATCAAAGCCAGACGAAGTTTGAGAGATCCTAACCAAGGGAACATGTTTCTTTTACTTTTACTTTTTTTTGCAAACCGCGATATTCGCCTCGTTCGCTGCGTGATTGACGGGATCCTTGCTCGTTGAGCTATGTCAGACAGGGATGAAATCCCTCTGCCTCAAAGTTGACGGGATTCCGAGAACAAGCCGGTACCCAGACGGCTAATTCAAAAGTTATTTGGGTGCCGATGCAATGAGTGCTAATAATTGGTTTGGTGGCAATGTGAGGAGGTAAAAGGTGAAATCCATGTTCTCATAGTACAGGACAGAGATATCACTGTGACCGTTTGAGACCTCGCCGACCCGTATGGGCTGTGCAGACTGACCAGTCAGATTGAACCTCCCAAGGTTCAGCCGTCTAATTTATACAAGTGTGCTTGCCTCCTGTATTAGTGGTCAGCATGGGTTAGACTCATCGACCACAGCCGACAGAAGGGAAGTGAAAACAAGCTCATCCGCCCCACCATACAGATACATCGCCGCCCAACCACAATGTCTCTTGCTGGATGTTACTTTTCTTATTGAGGGCTGACTGACTGGGCTGGCATTGTGAACTTGAACGCTTTACAGTAATCCGCAGGCATCGTTGTTGCTGGAGAATAGTGTTCCGTACGTTAGTTTTGATCACAGAGACAGAAAAAAGAAAGAAACAGGAGGCACATGTCTGAAACAGGCGGTCTGTTCAGATCATTGATGTTCATTGAGTTGTTCCTTTGATTGCATATTTTTTCAGTGTGGATAGACTCAGTATGCACGGACGTAACAATCATGTGCAGTACAATACGGGTATGTGTAGTACAGGTACTGTACAATGCGAGTTTGTGACAGAAGTCCGTCACACTGATGACATCGCGTGGAATTCTTTGTTTCAGTACCATTTGGCGAAACCTTGATGGAAGGAATCCACTAAGTAGTGCCCAACCAGGGGGTGGTGTAAAAAGGAGAAAGTCATCAGGATAGTCATAAGGAAAGTCAATATCACATGTAAGGGTCAGACTACCATCGATGATCAATCAACAACCATGAAGTTCACCACAAGATAGATGGCGAGCGAGGAAATGAGCCGGTACGGATTTCTAAGAATGTGAAAGTTGGGGTTCCGGGGGCCGAGCCGGGACCAGCGAGGAATTATCGATGGCGGGGTAGCATACCACACTACACACCGAGAACTGAATGATTCCATCCGCTCAATGTGGGGCCTGAATTTTTTGGTTGTCCAAAGGGAGAAAAAATGATGGAAGACGTGGAAACCCAAGCTGACTTGAAGAGAAAGGAACTTGAACCTTTGCTTTGATAGGCTTCCTCCGCAGTAGAGGAGAGTAACTTTGAGCTATCCACGGGCTTGGTATTATTCTTACGCACTCTGCTGGTTCATGGAAGAGACTGATCATTTCCGCCGTTAAAATTAACCTTAATTATCGAACTCGTAGATCAAGAATAAGATAGCCACATGTCTTGCTAAAGTATTCCGCATACAGAATACGGCCCATGTCAAATGCGCTGTGTGTGGTGCGGCTTCAGTAATTCTCTTCCCATGAGCAAGTGGACCGATGATTTCAGCACTCTGGGTCCATTCTTAACAGCGCAACAGCGCAACAGCGCATGGCAAACAAGGATTATCCTTAGTTTGTTTGGATTCGGAATGCTTTCCTTGGACTGAGAAACAGAGAGGAAACAGACCAAGCTGAGCGTATCGCCCTGCCGAGGAGCCCACTTAGTTTTAGCAATCTCCAATTGGCAGCTTGCGCAAAGAAAGCTGGATCCTGAGGGGCTCAACCTTAACCTACTGTGTAGAGGAAGCCTGCGAGTGGCATCAGGTGAGCGCCAACCCCAGTCTCGGTAACTAATCGCAGTCCAGGGGGGCATGCCGCGATTGCTATCAGACGTCCATGATGGTGCCCGAAACGCCAGTAAGAATCGTGGTTAAAAATACATTATTGGAGTTCATGTCTTGGGCGGCGGAAGGTGTGCTGATGGCGAGTTGAGTTTATCAATTTGCCAGAGACATCGTCAAGCCCTAACCGCAAGCCCTAACCCTAGCCATCCATGAACGGCGCAACTGCAGTCCTTGAGCCGCAACGACTTTGTTTCCACCCATCAAGCTCCCAAGTGGTCTGCATCGACGCACCAACACAACCCTGTGCCGCTGTTATCATGAGTTTTGATGATTCCTCACATCTGGTGCTTGGCCGAAGAGGCTTGCGAGCAGCAGCTCTGATTCGTATTTGTTTTTGCGGTTGGTCCTCCGGTGATTAGCACAAACACTACCAAAGCTTAAATGCTCCAACGGGGTCGACTTGCTGCTGGTCCGCCTGTCACCCAGCACTATTCCCTCCATCAGGTCCACCCTGGAAGGGGAATGTCAAATTCCGCTAACACATCCAGTACTAGCTCGGGTGATAGTTCAAAGCTATTGATAAATCCTATCCTCTTTTGTACAAGGCCGGGCCCCGTCTCCCTGGAAAGAGGATCGCGTCCTGGCCGCTTTTGACAGGCTGCTTGTGATAGGCTTTGTCACTGGCGAGAGCGGATAGGATGAATCCAAACAATAATCATCAATGTCAAGGTTTTCGAACTTTGGACCATGGCCGGAACCCTTGGCATAAGCCTAATCGGACTTATTTCTGAACCCTGTCCACTGCACCTCCTGCAGTCTGAGCCTCTGCTTCAACCAAGCAGAACTTGCCTCCTCCCCCAGAATACGAGCATCCTCGAATGGGCCAGGTGTTGTACCACTTCAAACTAGTTGCAGATTGCAGCCGCACCGTGCGCCAGTGACGAAAAATGGACCTCCCACATCTCGAGGTTCCCCACCACTGGGCTCGTGTCAGAACTCGGGCCAACCAGAACGGAGTCTGATGCGTCAAAAATCAATTATTTTTTTCAACATATCTTGTTGCTGCTTTGGGGACTGTAAGCTACGGCCCCAATATTCTCCAAATTCCACCATTTGGGAGGCTAGCCAAGGGACAAGACGCTTATCAAGGTTCATCGCGTGTTGGTCCGCTTTGCTGGTGCCTTCCCGGTGTCTTTCGATTTGGCGAAAGGCCCATCCAGCCTCTCCCGTGACCCCCAAAATCCCTCCACGACGGGTCATTTGGAGAGGGGTCGTTAGTGGGAAATATCGGGATGTTCTAAAAGATTTTTGCCCAAATGTCTGACCTCTGGATTGCTCTGGATCTGATCTCAGGAACTTGTTCCTCGAGCCGCCCCAATTATGATTGGAAAACAGTGATTATGATCGAGAACCCTAGATCCAAAGCTTGACAAAGAAAAGATCGCCCAACTTTTTGCAAGTCGAGGTTCCAAGAATCATTCATGCCTTAAACATCGGCTCTGGCATCTTGAAGTTTAGTGATTTATTGCCTTTATTATTGTTATGGTTATTTACCGCTTAAGCTTTATTTGTTTGATTACTCCATCCGTCCTCCAAAATATAATTACCCTCGCTTTCTTCCACTTGGGGTTCGGCTAGATTGTGCATTTCCCCGGAATTATTTGAAAAATTAGAAAACCACCCTACCTCCCCTTTCCCCTTCCTCTTTTCCCTTGTCTTTTTTCCGTTTCTAATTTCACTGGGTATCCGCCTGTGTCACTCTATCTTACATCTTTTGTCATTTCCCCCCTTTTCACATTCAACAAGAGACTCGACTTTCCTGACGCACGCGCCAGGCTTGTTCAACATATGCGACGCGACCGCTCTACGGCGCGAAAAGAAAAGGGACAATAAACAATTCAAGTGGAAACAGACAATCCGGAGCGGTTGAACTCGCAACATCAGAGGGAACCCAGACTTCTCTTTTGTGGCGGATATTTTTTTTGATCTTTCTACTCATTGAGCTTATTCCTCCTTGCGCCGCCCCGACAGGGAAATACCTGCCCGAACTTCCAGGGGCCGCCCGAGCTACCCAAGTGATCGTCATCCCTCTGCTCCACATCCATCTATCAAGATCACCAACACATCTATCTTCACATTTCCTAATTATTCTGGTGCCGATCCGGAGGGGATACTACTTCCGGTGCGAAAATCCCTACCTTCGTTGTCGATTGAACTCGGCTCGTTGTGACAAACGTCAAGGCATACCTTCCTGCTTGACTGTTCAATTGCGTCGATATATCTGTATTAAGTGGCGACTGTTTCCTTCCCGCACGGCTCGAGCCTCCACGACCTCAATTTTTTGAGTAGGTACAGTCTTGTCGCATTTTAACCTGCACCTCATCTAACACATTTATTTCGTGTTTTGAATGTCAACCCTTCTTTTTTTTGAGCAAGGGGGAACACTCACCCGAGTTTCCCTTTCATTTGTCCATTCCTTTCGGCGCAAGATTTGGCGTTTACTTGGAAACACCATGTTAATGATAACTTGTGATCAGGATGCGATCAAGTAAACTACTATTCGAATTCACAGCATCTCCCCGTTCAGCTGATTCTCAACCGCTGTTCTAATTGACAACACCTCTACGCTCAACCTCAACTTCAACCCTAACACCTCTTGTGGCATTGAAATATTGCTCTTAATCGACTCCCAAGTCCTGTTGTGCATTTGGTTCCTCGGTTGTATCGATATCAAATTGCAGCAACTCGGGTTATTACTGAGAGTGGTGTCCAATCCATCTTCCAATACAATATAACCTCCGATTCCTATCCGCCGCCGAGCAGTTGGCTGCCCCCCGTGGATAATTCTGGTATTTCTGGTGGTCGAAATTGGCCTGGCAGTGTTCATTCCATACTCCAACCGGGGCAAGTACCCCTCACCACTGCACCCCCAGCACCCGCCCCAGATTCCGAATCTTCAAGGCAGCCAGGCCCGTCGCGAAACCTTTCCGTCAACGTGGCGACCCTCGCAGTTCAGCCGCCCGGAATGGGGACGGCGCTTGATGCTCTGAATTCACATCAGTCACTGACATCTCGACGACCAGCTGCAAACAATTTGCCTGGCTTCGAGCTTCTCCATCCTCAAGTTTCGCAACCGCAAAAATATTCCCACCCTTCAAACACTAACGCACAACAGCCTTCGAGAGTCGGCGCCTTACTAACTCCGCCATCGAACTCCTCATCAGACGCCGGCTCTATTTCCGCGTACGTGAACAATAGTACCGTTTCTACCAGTCCAGCACCGCCTTCTTATTCTCAGGGCTACTGGCCACCATCAAATAATTTTGGTACTGGTATGATCAACCAGCCCTGGCCCCAGTCCTTTCCTTCAAGGAGCGGGTTTTCACCACCCTCATCATATGCAGGTCGAAATAATTCGAACTCCCCTACTTCAACGGACACTTTAACACCCACATACGATATAAACCATCGTGCGTATTTTCAAACTCCAATTCCCGGAGTTTCCACCTCGTCTGGCCCATCGCCTACGACACAACAATCCCAACCAGCAATGGCGCACGTTTTAATGAATGCGCAAGCCACTACTACTACGATGCCGCCCACTCCACCAGTGCAGAACAGTGTCGACGCCTATGGTCAGAAATTACCACCTACCCCATTATACAGTGGATCACAACAAGGTACCCCACAGCAAGCCACCTTCCCGCCATATCAGAGCAGTGCTGGCAGTTCAACAATGCATCACTCTAACGCGAACGGTCCTTCATCGAGGATCTCGCCAATTCCAGTTCAGATGCAGGGTGAAGGGCAACATCAGTTGCCCCAGTACAGTACTCGACCATATCCATCTTACTCCCTACCCGCAATGAGCGGGCCAATTATGACGAACGTACATCATCCGAATTCCCAACTAGCACTTGTGGGATCTATACAGCCAAACCTCCTACCAGCTTTCAACAGTGGCCACGCTGCTACTATGAGTAGTATGTACAATGGACACCCCAATCATATGCATGGACTTATGCAACATCCGCCACCCGATGATCGGCCATATCGATGCGACCAGTGTACGCAAAGTTTCAGGCGCAACCACGACTTGAAAAGGCATAAGCGCATTCATTTGGCAGTTAAGCCGTATCCCTGTGACCACTGTGCCAAAAGTTTTTCCCGGAAAGATGCATTAAAGGTATAAATCTCTCTAATAATTATACATCATCTACGAACTTTCTTGCTAACTTTGATGTAGCGACATATCCTTGTTAAAGGCTGCGACAAGGACAAGGATTCCCAGTCTGATAAAAACAGCACAGCGGCTGGCTCCCCCATACTGACACGCACGGACACTGGCGCGGGTAACTCTGGGGGCGGCCGAACTCACAATATACAGGGAAATCATGCCTTAAAGTCGCATACGTGAAATACATTTCTGTATTCTGTTATTTTATTTCGTTTGACATAATCCGGGCCCAGGCGGAAACTTATTTTATGTGTTATTTGAGTAGTTTATGTTCTACAACAGCTTTTCCAATTCCCAATTGAAAAACCAAACCCATTTCTTTCGTCCTCTTGGCCTTTTCATTTTCCGCCATTATTTGATTTGGGACAACGGCACATACTTCCTCATACTTGCTCTTCTCACGTTGTTTTGGCATTTTCTTGGTATTTGGGAACTAGGGTAGAGTTGAGGTGTCCTTGGGGTCTAATTTTATCGGAAATAATCAACATCGCCGATTTCCGCGCTCTGTGTGTTGCTATATGGCCTTTCCCCGTGTTCTTCTACGGAGCAGAATCGCTTGTTTACCACAATGCTACTTCCTATCCATCCTTCAGGCGTTCGATCCTCTTCGCTCACTTCTTGAGCGACAATTCTTTTAACCTCTTTACCAGAAGCTGTTAATTTTTTCCTGGTATTCCATTTAGCTTTGGTCATAACAGTTCTCATCCCTTGTTTACCCTTGTCTACTCGTATTTCCTCGTTCCCTATTGGCTTGTTCGAGCAAGTTATCCATTTTGTACCCACATTGCCCTCCATATTATTTTCGATATCTCCTTTGACATCGGTGGAGTATCGCTATTTGCTTTGCCCCTCTTCTTGACTCCCTTGTACTGTACATGTGTAAATACCGTGCACCATGTGAAGATTTCCTGGCTAAATCACGGTTAACCAAATCGGGGATATGAGGAATAGACACCAAGCCCCGAAAAGTTTATAAGATGGTTGCCAATACCTTAATTTTCTCCTTACATTACGCTCTACGGGACTTCTCGCGAATATTACTCAAACTAGGACGAGAATATTTCAAGGAACAGTTATTCGGAAGCAGTGTCATTTTCAATCATGTGAATTTTACTACAAATGGCTCATAATTTTACTTCCCAAGTGGCAAAACAACACGCCTTCTATCATCATGCATTAGCAGAAACCTTCCCGGGCCCAAGCGGATTTATATGTACTCAAAGACCTTACTTGCTTATACAGATCTGTACCTCTACATTGGATCCCTACAGCACGCATACCCGACAAGAGAATATCCCAGCAGCCCAATACATGCACAAGCCCTTACCTCCATAAGGTGGTTTTATATTTGACAACGCAAACCCCTATAAACTTCCAGCCATGCATTGGTGGAAACTCAATATCAAAACAAAATCCTTGCACTTTCTTCGAAATAATTCCCCAGCAAACTATCGAAACTTTTCGGAAATGCTAGGATGGCCGAAACATTGCCCAGGCTTGTCTCCGAATTGTAAACGTATTAGAGAATGGGGACCGGTGGGAGCTTATCTCATATCATTGCTATGGTCCGATAGATTTTGGGAAGCCCAATAGAAATGTAGATTTAGGTAGACGTAGCAGAAACGAATATTTCACGGCTTTGCCGGAATTATGCGAACTGCTGGTTCCACTTTTCTCCTTCTTGCGCCAGAAGCTGGAACTTCACAAATACTCTAGTAAGGCCGGGATGACGGCCTCGCGTAATGCAATGTCCACTTCCGTCCCCGATCCATGGAGCCTGTCAGCAATTTGATAAACACGTTCAGCCATATGGTTGATGGATTCAAGTGAGATATCATCGACAAAAAGGCAGAAGTTGTACCGGGTTTGTGCTAGAGATTTGTCTGCGAAGCACTTCTTCCACTCCACGTTCACAGTCGGGTAGCTTGGGTAATATATCCATTTCATTGGGTACAAAACGGCTGAACTGGTCACCAACAATGCGCGATGAGGATCCCTCTAGTTGAGCCTTGTGTTCCATTTATGACCAGTTCATGGCGGTCCCAAATTCTTCGCCACCTCCCATCATAGAGTAGCCCTTCATATGGCTACATGCCATGCATTTTCATCACCGTATGTGCACCGATACATGATGAAACCCTAAGCTTGTCCTTCAGAGACCCTTCAATCGCAACTACAGGATGCAATCCGTCGTCCCACATGGCTCCAAACCCACATTCAGGTTTATCAGCGCATCTCATGTTGTGTCGTCTATCTGATAATGTTTCCTAGCCGTCGAGAAACTTCCGAGAATGGGAGGACTGTAATGTTTACTCCTGTTCTCCCGTTGTCTTCGGCGCTGTTGTTGTGCATTCAGTACTAGTATTAGTAGTATGAATGACTTTTTGATATAAGGGAGGCGCGACGAGAAACGCCTTGTGTACGTGACTGAGATTCCAGAAATCTAGTAAAGGATCTCAAATGCATGTTGAACAGGAACTATTTTCTATCCCGCAGTTTAGACATTGAAGTTCACTGAAGACACGCTTAGTCAGTAGTGGAATATCTGTGGCCACTCAGAGCATCCCATTTTGTCGCTGTTTTAAGCTCATTCCTGACCACGTGACGCGAAACCTACGTCACTTTTATTTCGTTGACAACCTCTCCGTCGCTCTCGATCACCTTCGCTCACCCGGCGCGCACCACTCGCCCGTGTGGTGCTAAGCAAGCCATGACGGACCCAGCCAGGCTTATTCCTTGCATGGATGGATCAACCCATTCGGATTACCGTAGCCAGACTCCCTCGACGTGCATATCCGTTGCCAGCGGCGCAACTTAGCATGGAGCCGCCGGCTCCCTTTTTTGGTTCCCCTTTCTGCCTCCAGAATGAGTGCCGCCGTCTTAGGATGTATATAATAGGCTCCATGCCTCCAACCATCCTCATTCCTTCTCCTCCCCAAACCATCGTAGGCTAGTTGACCCTTCCCTTTTGTTTCCCCTTTCAAGCTGTTACCTTGTACACCCATCGAGCAAGTCGCCAACAGATGGCAGCTACCAAATCACGAGCAGGGTTAGCGGCTGCCGGTCCTCCTACAAGTCGACTGCTCAAGCTGGCGCACACGGAAACAGATTTCGTCCAAAGGGAGAGGCTAGCCTTGGCAAGAACCTTCTCTGGTCACAATTTGAGTTCTTAGTTGCTAACTTCCGGTAGGAACGCACTCTGTGCCGGAATTCACTACGCTTATTGAACAGCCCACTGATACGCCACTTGGCCTGGTTCAGCATCTCTAGGGGAACTGCAAGTTGAGATGACCAAGATTCCTCCACCACGGCGTTGCTCTCACTCGGGTCCGTGAGTGTGCTCCGGAGGACATCCCTGAAGAGATACTGACTTGTAGGGTCATACGTGGCTGGTTCTTTCATCAAAGTACTCTGCTGGACTCCAGTGGATTCTGCCGGCGTTGTTGCTGTCACTATTGCTGGCTCGGGCTCGGGCTCCGGTTCCGCGAGGCTCACTCGGGGTACGGCCATCGGTGGCTCTGGAACCGCCCTTGATTCGGGTTCGATGGTTAAGGCGCCAATCAGTCGGCTTCTTCGTTCCCTGGCACTCCGAGACATGTGCCGGGATACATCGGAACCGCACTTCCCATTTGATGGCTGGGAGCCTATCGAGAGCCTGTACGGCCTCAATCAGGACATCCTGGGCTGATGAGTGCTTGGGGTTCTGGATCGCGCGGATGGCGGCTTAGTTATCGGTGAAAATGGCGTACTTCCGGGTGGTGGTTCCGGCCGTATGGGTGTCGAGCATAAGCCGCAGTGCCAGCACCAGGCCTTTGAGCTCTGCTGTGTACACCGTTGAGGTGCTAGACTGGCCCATGTACTGGGTTTGTTTCCTCCGGGCGCTGTCATTCTGGAGTGAAGGTGCTGTTGCAGCTGCTCTAACATGATCATTGATGCTGCTCCCATCAGTGTAGATGCGTCCTGTTGCTGGTTCTGCGGTATCGTGTTCCTTGATTGCTTCTTTGGCGGACTTCTTGATACAGATGAACGGCGGGGTCACACGGCGGCACCACGTGTGGTTGGCGTTTCTCGAGTCAGACAAGTTGCAACTTAAACTTCTCTTCCAAGATTCCCGAGAATCGGTCGAGGGGAGTCAGTGCATCACGTTTACGGGGTGGCCTTTCGTTGTTCCCACCTATAACCGTCATGTCGCTGTGTGGCGGCGAGGCCCTCATGCGCATCATGGCTTCCAGTGTTGTTTGCTCGAGTTGCTGCTGTACCGGGAGCAGGTGTGCTTCTACGTCAACAGCCACTCCGGCGGCGCTAGCACCTGTGGATAGCACGTTTGCCCAGCAGAAGAATGTTTGATGAACGCCAGGCGCATATTGACAATGAAAAGGAGAGGACTGTACGGCCCTCAACTTGGAATCTTGTATATGACATTACGCGATGTAGGATTCGCTCAAGATGTGTGCCTCTCAGTAAAATTGGTAAAATATAAATAATTGCAGCATTGGCGCCTCACAGGAATGCCTGACTGCTCAGCTCTTATCACAAATGACAACAACTCTGTGGTTCTTCAACAAAGGCTTTCCAGGGCGAGTGAGGATGCTGGTTCGTGTGTCTGAACGCTAGGATGATATACGAATGGGTTCTGGAATGGAAGACGGCAAGGATGACGCGCGCAATCGCCCGTTCTGGGTTTGGACGCTCACCAGAGAAAGCATTGGAACAACACACTCCCAACAGGATCTCCACTTCGGCGGTTAAACAGTTCATGTATGCAGGTCGCGTATCAAGATATCATGAACAGGAGAAGATGACTGGATTCTGTTTCAAGAGAGATTTCATTGAATTCCGCAGGTGGGGTGTCTGAAGACGTCATAGATAATGAGAGCTTGCGAGGATTCTATTTTCAAAAGCTCCTCTGATTCGGTTTACTCTGGCGCTTAAATAGCTCATGCATGTTGTCTCAGCAATTTCATACTCGTACAAGATGATAAACCAAGTTCTTTCTGTCAATTTTTAGCAGAGGTTTAGCCAATCATTATTGATATGCGTGATATGAATTGACTCCCAAGCGCTGACATTGAACCATGATGTTTGGTGGTAGTCTTTTGGATGGGGAAAAATGCTGGCAACTCCATGCTTGTGGCGAGAACAGGCAGGCACCAGGAATGACTGGTCAATCTGAATGAAGAGAGAAAAAAACATTAAATAGGATTCCCCCTCATATCTATTGGTAGCTCTTTGCCTGAGCCAAGACGTTTCGAAATGCGTCGATCCATAGGACCAAATTTGGCCTCGTGGATTCGACCAAAGTTAATACTATACCATTCCACTGCCTGCTTATCTGAACAATGATCAAGAATATCATTATTGACCTCTAGGTATCCTGTCATCATGGATACCCAGCATCTCAATGACTCACCCCATGCAGAATAACCTGACTCTGTTTCTTCATCAATCACAGCCTTAACAAAACTCTCAACCAGTGCCCGTTCCAGTGGATAGCATAAATTTTTGTAGATGTCAAATTGTTTTGTGGTTGCAGGATATGCTATGTTGTTTGAAGAGTGGAGAATATCTTCTAGAGGAATGTGTGCAAAGGAATTTGGAAACAGATACATCTGCAACCCCTTTTCTGCTGGATCACCTTGTGGATAATCAAACACTGCACAAGAATAATCAAGACGTTTGTAGCCAGCATTTATTTCCTCCAACATCTGTTGTGGATTTGAATGGTTTTCCATGACCTCTGGAGGAGGGGTGCGATTTGGAATGCTTCGGGTGAATCCTGCATTCTCAAACTTTTCAATGGCAACTGTATAGTCCTCGTCCTGCACAACAACCATGGTGGCCTGTAGGGATAGGAAAATGTTAGCAGGAACACGGGTGAGTCATTTACAAGTAAAGATCCACGTTCTTACCCCACAATCGATAGGGACGCCTAGATACCACATTGCGAGCGATCCCCAAGGAATTACAGTGAGAGGTTGAAGTATTGTGCTAAGTCTTGTTGAGAGCCTGTCTGGCTCAGTCTGCCTCGAGCGCCTAAACATGACTCAGATCTGGGTCTGTCTAAAGGGGTTGAACGTTTGTTGCGCAGCACGAAAAGGTAGACGATCAAGGGGTAATGTTAAACTGCTGGAAGACTATCTTAAACCTAAGTGGGGTTGCCTACGCTGCGTAATACGGAAATAGAACTTTAACCCTGTAATTCATGGCGAACCAATGAATAGTCTGCAGCCTCCTAACATTATGGCATCGTGATTGTTCCAATCAGGTGCTAGCCAGGATCAATGGCAGCCTTGTTCAGCCCATCGACCATCCAAGCAAAGGACAAAGGAACACTTTGTTTTCTCAAAGCGGGTTCTTTCTCGGTTATAGCCGCCGCCGTTAACTTGCAGTGTTTTCGATGCTTTGTATGATATTCCCTCATACCTTATATCACCCTGAACAAAACTTTGTAAGTCATTCCCAACATCATTTAATCCAAAGCACACACACTGATGCTCATCGTCGAACCAGCAAGCACGTTTCATAGTCATGCCAACTCAAAGTGGTCTGATCAATACGACGCCCCTTGCGATTCAGTACGACCGAGTGTTGCAAGACCCATATGAGGATTCTACAATTGGCCTTTGGGATAGTCTTCTCAATGTGTACTTTGATGCAAATAGCTGGATTGTGACTCCTCAAAAGCCCCAGGAAACAAACACTAGGCCGAACTTTGTTATTGAAAGGCTCTGGGAAAATAATACATTCATTAAAGTGATTGTTGTTGAAGCAAAGCCTCAACAGCAAACTATGGAGCAGGATCATCAGACAGATGAGCAACTACTCAGTTACTCTCTGAATGCTCTTCATACAGGTCAGCAAAAGGGTCAAAGAAAGATATATGCTCTGCGGGTGGTTGGTGTGTACATCATGACATATATGGTGTCAATCAATCAACCATCACTGACACCGATGGTGTCAGATTACATGGACTCAAAGCAACATGCGGCGGCAATTGTACAAATCTTCGATACTATTAAGGCTGCTGATGTTTTAGTACCATGAATGCTCAGAGATAAGTGCTGCAGTTTTGTTCGTGGTGAATTTATTATGTATTGAACGATTTGTGTATCTAATTCTATAAGAGCCAAATACATTGGGTGATTATAGACAGCAATCTTAATACAGTAAAAAAGCGCATTCAACCAAGCCTAAAGCTGAGAAAAGAAAAGAAAAGGGGAGGATGTCTGTAACAAAAATAGGAACTATATCAAGGCAGTGTGCCATGACCAAGCTCTGGGAAGCAAGGTGACTAGATTACGTAACTCAAACGCCAAGCAAACTCCCATTTCATAGTTGCTGGAGGTCCTGCACAAGCCCTATCCTATGTGACTCCCACACACATATATTAGCTACCGCTAGATAGATAATAACCAACAACTTAGTAGTGTTGTTTTTTTCGCGGGTCGGGCTGAAAAAGTGGTGGGGGTTGCCGGAATAAACGGGTTCCTGGGTTCACGTAATTAAACCCCGCCCGGGTTTTTAGGGGCGCTTATCGTGGGTGACGTGCCTAAATTACATAACTAAGTTTAGTTATGTGGGATGGTTAATCTTCTCATTGTGCGATCGCTAGCTAACTATATAGGGGTAATCACGTGCGGTGGAGGGCCACCTGGGCAACTAGTGCCCAACACCCCCCCACGCGCCAACGTGCGTGATGTGTTCCTACAAATATTCCATGCTAGCTATCTTAACCTAGATCATTCCAAAAACATGCTACATACAGAAATTTAATCATTCTCACTGTTGCCAGTGAAAAGTTCTAGTAATTTAATGAAATGTCTAAATACCACTGTGTCCAGAGGTTTGATTAATCTGTCTGCTACCATATTCTCAGTGAGAATGTGGTTAATTGAAATAATGTTTTTGTTCAGTTGCATGCAAGAATAGTGGAAGCAAGTGTTGATATACTTGCTGTGTACTGTGATCACAGCAACAGTAGTTAGATTAATTGAACTTTTATTATCTGCTCTGATGAACAAGGGATTCTTTGTTGTAACAAATTCTAGTTTTATTATTATATTGCACAATCATATTGCTTTGTGTACTGCTTCACTGAGTGCCATGTATTCTGTCTCATTTGAACTTAAAGAAACACAAAGTTGTTTGAATGAATATTATAAAATTGATGCATCTACTAACTTGAATATGAAGTCTGAGATAGATTTGTATTTACTGTTCAATGATTCTGCTCAATCTGAATCTGTATAATCTATCAGCAGATATGATACATTGAGGAATTCATTGATCTTATTCTTGAAGTCTTTGTATAAGATGTCTAGATTGCTTATTTCTTTTAGATATTGTATAATATAAAGAAGAGCTCTTCATATCTTAGATGTAGATACAGTATTTTTCTGCACTAGTAGAGATGCTGCTCATGCAATATCTGAGTATAATTTGACTGTCAGATACTGCAAGCATTCTACTCTGTGTTGATATTATTTTTTGATGAATTCTTCTTCTTGTTCTGATACAGAGGTATCATCTATCTTTATCTTCTCAAGTATTGATATAGAGACAGAGACAGCATCATCTAGGCAGAAATTCTGCACTAAATGATTGATATAGTGTCTCAATGTTAATTTGATAGTGTCATTGAGATGATGTTCAATCTTTATATCCAAGTATTTTGAAGATTCTTTCAAATCTTTTATTTCTAATTTGTTGATGAGAGTGTCAACTAGTCAATTGACATCTGCTGAATCTTCTGCTATAATATAAAGATCATCTATATAGATTGTTATATAAAGATGATTGCAGAATGTGTGATGTTATAGAGCAGAGTTGTAGAGGCTAGATTTGAAGTCATTTTCATGAAGTAATACTGTAAGAAAATTGTACCAAATCTTAGCAGTGAGATTCAATTCATATAGAGAGTCTATAACAGTGCAAACTATTGTGTGTGGAGTCTCCATCTCAAATTCAGTAGATTGCTGTATATAAATTATTTTATCAAGTTGACTGTGCAGATAGGCCATCACTATATCAATCTGATGCAAGGTTCAATCTCACTTCACTGCTATCACAAATATCATGCAATTAGTAGTGTCATTGACAATGAGTGTGTATGTTTCTTTGTGTGTGCTCTTCTTTAATCAATTGCTACACACTATTCATCAAGATTTTTGTAATATATCATCAGAATTCATATTGAGGTTCTGAGAATGATCTTTTTCAATATAAACTCAGCAGTCAGAGACCACTGACTCATCAGAAGAGACATCAGAATGTGGGATTATTATTCAAATATTTCTTCATTTCAAATCTGCAATCTCACATTTCATCAACTTTTGTCAATATTCACCAACCCTTTCAGATCTACTAATGGTGTTCTTATATTCTTTTGAAATAGAATCAGTGAGAGGAGAAGAGATATAGATGATAAATATTTTCACTGATCTTACTTATTCAGCATCAGCTAATTCAGAAACAGCAGTATTATCAATGAGATAAATCACTGAATTTGCAGCTTCAGATGTTGTATGATTAGTATCAATCTGTGAAATTGTAGATTTCTTTGTAGAGAAAATAACATCACTGATGATAATTATTTTATCAGTTATAGAACTTCAGAGGCAGTAGATTGAGTTGCTATAGAATTCTATAAGTTTAAATATTTCTGTTCTGGCAGACAGCTTATTGATAGGTCTTTGGGATTTATAAAGATGTGTGTAAACATCAATATCTAACTCTCTAAAATGATGAAGTTGAGGTGGGGTGTTGATTAGTGCTGAGAATGGGATGGTATAGAGGCATTATGCAGGTGCTTCATTGATGTTGTTGATAGACCAGTATTTCTCATTATACAGAGTGGTAGATATTGATGTGTTGTTGATAATTGCAACTACTGTTTCAAGAACATCTGCTCAGAACTTCTTCAGTATATTCATATCTATAAGCACTGCTCTAGTGTGTGTCATTATTATGCAGATATCTCTCTTGAAAACATCATCTTGATGAGAGGATTGAGGTATAGTAGGTTCTCAGATAGTGTCATCTTTGATCATCATCATTGTTATCTTGTTTGATCAAAAGATATCATCAATATTGATTCTAACTAGTGCTGATGGCATGAAGCTGAGATTTTTCATGAATTGAACTCAGTGAGTGTAAAATTTGATAGCTTGATTCTTAGTGTGTAAAAAATAGATTCATCTATAACAGATGGTGTCATTGATGATAAGCATATAATATTTGATCTCTTGATGAGATTCTATAGAGTAATCAGACATATCATTCAGTATATGATCATCATCAGCAAGGTCAATATGAATATGTTGCATTGCTTACAATGCTCATGGCATAGAAGTTTGTGAGAACTTGTATATCATATCTGCTTTGACACAGCTATCACAGAAAAAGTCTGTTTTAGATTCTTTGATATAAATGTCAGATGATGAGTTCTTTGCTAGTGCAATGATTACATCAGTGTGAATATACTCTAGAGTGACATGTCATTTCATGAGTGTTCTTGTCAGAGGATTGTGATCACTAGATTGATCACTAGATTTCTCTACAGTTGTCAATATTGTGTCTCTGTAATTGTAAGATTTGGTTATAAAATGAACAGTCTGAGACAGATAATGAATGTCTATTTGAGATTCTTATTCTATTATCTTGTAAACTGATTCTTTGAATGTATAAACAGTGGTGAAGTTGACACTGTTCAGAGTTCTTATTATAAAATAAGAAGAAATGATGTCAGATAGTTGATATCTGAAACCTTGATCTTCTAGCTTTGTGAAGGATAGAAGGTTGACAGTGAGATTGAGAATTCAGTAAATATAACTCACTGAGATATTCCCTTCTTCTGATTCTAGAAGAATATCATCTATCTTCTCAATCTATTCTACACCATCATTCATGATGATTATCTCTAAATCCCTCTCAAATAACTTTGTATATATCAACAAGTGTCTTTCATCTGTCATATTAAAGCTTATGCAGATGTTGAGATATCAAGATTTGAATATTATAGCAGACAACACAGATAAAATAAATACTGTGTTGACACTAGATTATGAGGCAAGAAGATCTGATATTCTGATGTCAGTAGATTTATTGTCATTCTTATTCTTCTTCTTATTCTTTCTCTTCTTTTTGGCACTCTCAGTGTTGTCAGTGTTCTTATTATTCTTATTCTTCTTTCTCCATTACTCAGATGCTTTGTCAGAGTTCAGATGATAGTAATTAGTCTTTATATACTCTGAAATCTTGCAGTATCCACACTGTGAGATTATGGTGATGATTGTGATGTTATCATCATTATTATTGATGACTGTATTGATCTTTGAAGCTTTGAGACATTCAGAATCCTCTGACTTACTCATTCAGTGAGCAATTTATTTTGTGAGATTGTTGATATCTAGATTGACAATTGAGCTCTGATCTATTTTATAGAATGTATCAAGATATGATTTGATGTAGATCCTCTGATAATCTTGAAGGCTGATAATAAAGAAATTATAGAGATAGTTCTTATCATAATTCTTTATTAGTTGTCACATGTGAGCAGATAGATAGTGATATCAATATACATACATCAGATAATCACTGTTCTTGACATGTAAGTGAATAAGTTCTTTGAGGATATTAATCCTTTTCTTCTCTAGAGATATTATATATACTGTGCTTATTTTGTGTCATAGAGTCATCACATTGTCAGATTGAATGGATTCTATAATCAAATGAATAGAATCTATCAGAGATTGTAATATACAACAGAAGAGTAGCTTTGAATGTATCACTCAATATCATTACTCAAGTATTGATAAATCTTCAGATGATTTCTGTTGATTCTTATTGAGAATATCTGTATTATTGATTATCTCTGTATCTGAGAAGAATACTATCTTTCATATCTGATAGTTGATGTTATTGAATGTGATGATGAACTTTGTGTTCAACAAGGTCTGTGTTTTCTTCTGATATTCATAAGCCAGTATGTTCAGATCTTCTTCTGATATAGAATTCAGAGAAGGTGGAGGTGGAGGAGAAGGTGATGAAGGAGATGATAATATATATGCTGATATCAGTCACTCACAGAGTGCAATGAGATCTGCTGCTGTCATGATCACTATGTCATTAGAATTTGATGTAGATATCAGCATAGAACTGGATGTGCCATTCTCAGATTCCTCACATTCTGGCATCTTGTCAGTATCATATGCTAAGTCAGAGGTTGTCATATCATCCTCTGTCATTGTGTATTCAGTTTGATCATTCTCTACTTCTGAGGTAGATTCTTGTTCAGTAACAGAGGGGATGAACTGGGGGATTCTTGATTGCAAATATAGTGTCTTTTTACATTCTGATATGAGGGTTGTAGGTAATCAAGAATCACTCATAATCAATCTTAGAGGGTTCTGAATGAAAATAAATAAATAAGTTTTTGATCTCTTTAAGATAGTAATGAAATCTCTGCAGCAGTCTCAACAGTAATTCCATCAATTACACCACTTTTATAGACAAAGAGCTCTCTTTTCAGAGGAATAATGTCTAACTCATCCAATATAACTTCAGTTGCAGTGTATTCTAATCAAAATGTGTTGTTTTTCTTAAAAATCTGCTATCCGGGCCATAACCTGTGGGATGGTTAATCTTCTCATTGTGCGATCGCTAGCTAACTATATAGGGGTAATCACGTGCGGTGGAGGGCCACCTGGGCAACTAGTGCCCAACAAGTTAAGCCTGGGCACGTGCCCCCTTAGCGCGGGCGTGTTATTCTCGCGGCTCGGGTCGGGTTCCAAAGGTCTCTCCTTGCTTGGTCGGACAGCTTCCGAGAACCGCATAATTCAAATAATTGAATACGTGAATCTTCTATCAGAGTTAGCAATGAATCTGCCTTCCAAAATATTGGAACTCACTTTCCGAAGCTTCCCATCCACCAGCTTTGCAGCTTCCATGTCTCCCTTCGTAACTTCTCGCGGAGCTTTGTTAAATGTCGAATTGGCCATGGGCCGGGATGCGCCTACGAGGTTCTTTGTGATGTAGTTCATATTGCGTGGGAGTATGGACATGCCGTACGCTAAGCATAGGATCCAATGATCTCAAATACACGACCATTGTGTCAATGGAGGTATCCAGCTAGGTCCATCGGATACTATGGCACCAATTCGCTGAAGCTCGACATCTCGCTCAGGGACTTCAAGTTCACAAACCCCATATTGGCGATAACTGCACAAAGCTGGTACCGTGTGCAACCTGTTAGGGACATTGTGACATGTAGTGGATATCCCGTTGAAGCTCCTGTAGTCACTTTTACTTGACCTCCCGCAGAGTCATTTATTCTAAGTCTAATCGAATTCCTGCCGCTAAAATCCACAGCTCCAGGAACAATTAAAAACTTATTTGTATATGAAAATGTCTTCGGCGAACATGCAGGGTTTGGTGCAGCCTGGAGAATATGAACCGGTGTCAAAAACGGGCGTGGGCAGCTCGCATGACAATCAACAACTTACGCCGTACTGGAATGGAACCGAGTCCCTTCTGGCAGAACTGCTTCTTCCGGGTTGAATATATTCAGCTCCGGGAGAAACGGCGTAAATAGTCATTATCCCGGCTCAGCTTTTTCTCTCATTGTTACACGAGAGGCTTCCTGACTTTCTTCTGTACTAGTAGCTGCCAAACTGCCCTCGTAATTTCAAGTTGCTGATAAAGTTAAGCAAAGTGACGTCATTAAGAATCATAACTTAGTTGAAGCTCAATGAATTTTGACTGGAAACAAACTCCAATTTCCCCAGCGCTTTTCAAGTGTTCCTTTTTCTCCGATATGTTCGGTGTGTAAACACAGCTACAATCACATCTCTTAATATCCCATATCCCCAGATGGCTTCATTCAACTCTACGTTAGCAAAAACAGTTCGCTTTCCCTACCAGTTCGAGCACTGATGACGAAAAATGCCCCGGCATACTTTATGATTGAACACTTGAGAAGAAGGTAGATTTACCAGATATCTGATTGGGTGGAGTCCTTGTGAAGAAGTGGACAATGGTGATGATGAATAGTACTCGTAGTCCATTAATTGCTCAACAACAGACTCGCCAGCATCCCAAAAATTGAATGAATTTCAACAGAGTATGGCATTGACTCCAGTGGATATAATAAATTGTTGACTCTTGGGTTTCGCCGCTTGTGGAGAGAGCTATCTCTCGCAAATACATGGGTAGATGCGGCGTAGAGCTTATGGATTATGTGGCTATCATTTACCGGCGCGGCTGCATGACAATCAAGACAACAAGCTGCAAAACAAAAATACACCGCTTGTGTAAATTGAGGAGGAGGGGGGGATACTTTCAGTACTCGGAGGAGAAAAAGCTAACGAGTCCGGAGCATACCGCAAATTACGTCATATGCAACTCATCTACATACGTTCTAAGCGTCTTCCTTGAGCTTGAAGAAACATTATTTAAGGAAACTTGATTATCCGCATGTACATGTACAGCTTGTAAGGAATTGTCTAATTTGCGGAATCACCAGTTATTTGGCCTGATATTCAAACACGGACTTCATTCTTCGTTACATTGAGGAATCGCGGAGTGAAAACTAGACCAAAATGACCCTTGCAGCGCACGTAAGTGAGATTCCATACAGAGTCATTTTTGTTGAAGAAGAAAACATACAAGTCGAGAGGATTGCCTCTTCACGCAAACTGCTTTGCCCCATTTTATTGACATTGTTTTTGGAACATTTTTCAAATGACTTCTGCTCACATCTACCGGCTTTCAATGAGGAGCATAGGTTGACGTCAACCAACTGATCGAGGATCTACGCAAGGACCCCAAGCGTAGAAAAAGTGAACGCATATGGACTGAGAATGTCTCCGGGTCGATGACCCCGTACTCCACACGATATGCTAGTCATGAAGAAATTCCTAAATTCAAGTTGCCCGAGAAGGGTGCGCCGGCGGAGGCAGTGCGTAGGATGTTGAGGGATGATCTGGATCTGGATGGGATTCCAAATTTGAACCTGGCTAGGTCGGTGATATACTGTACATTGACCAAGACCACCTCTGCGATCCGTCTGAGACAAATTTCTCGGTGATTCGGCAAATATGATACTAACAAAGATGTTAAATGTTCGTAGTTTCGTCGGCACTTACATGGAACGTGAAGCTGACGAGCTTCTGTTCGAGAATATCAGTAAAAATTTGGCTGATGCCGATGAATACCCGGCCTTGATGGAGATGCATGCTCATTGCGTCTCAATGATATCTAATCTCTGGCACGCGCAACCAGGAGAGCACGCGATTGGATCTGCAACGACTGGATCTTCGGAAGCTATCCTCCTTGGTGGGTTGGCAATGAAAAAACGCTGGCAGGAGAAAAGGAAAGCGACGGGAAAAGACACCTCGAAGCCAAACATCATCATGGGCGCGAACGCACAGGTTGCACTGCTTAAGTTCGCTAGGTACTTCGACGTTGAGGCCCGGATTTTAGACGTCTCTCAGAAAAGCGAGTATCGGCTTGATCCAGACCTTGTCAAGAAGAATTTAGACGAGAATACAATCGGTGTCTTCGTTATTATGGGCAGTACATACACCGGCCACTACGAACCAGTGGAAGAGATCTCAAGCATTTTGGATGAATTCGAAGCGAAGACTGGTATAGATGTGCCTATTCACGTCGATGGTGCAAGTGGGGGCTTTGTTGCGCCATTCACTTACGCTCAGGCTGGAGGTCCTAAATGGTGATTATCTCTGGCAGCCAGCACAAAAACCGTCAGCTAATAAACTTATAGGGACTTTGCACTTCCTCGTGTGAAATCCATTAATACATCTGGTCATAAATTCGGCTTGGTATACGCGGGCCTTGGTTGGATCGTATGGCGGGATAGGGCGTATCTCCAAGCGACCTTATTTTTGAGCTCCATTATCTTGGTGGGACAGAAGAGACGTTTACCCTGAATTTCTCCCGGCCTGGAATGCAGGTGGTAGGACAGTATTACAATTTTATACGCCTTGGCTTCAACGGGTACCGAGAAATCATGGAGAATTGCCTAGCAAATGCTCGATTGTTAAGCACTGCGCTCGAGAACACGGGCTGGTTCCTATGCATCAGCGGCATCCATCGGAAAAAAGGTAGCTCAAAGGTTGAGCAGACCAACGGGTTGCTGAAATATCAGGAAGGCGAAACATCGGCGGACTATAATGCAGGTTTGCCCGTAGTGTCTTTTAGGTTTTCTGATGAGGTTCAGCAAAAGTACCCGGATGTGAAGCAGGAGAGCGTCAGTTTATTGCTTCGTGCGAAGCAGTATATCATCCCAAGTATGTCACTGATACTGCCTCGTTCACGTGTCCTTGTGAATTATGAACTGCAAGGTATATTGGGGAGCGCAAAGCTAACAACGGTGACCACAACATAGATTACCCACTTCCACCGGTGGAGGATAAGACTGAAACCCTGCGGATAGTTGTACGTGAAAGTATGTCTGCCGATCTCATCGACAGACTTGTAGCAGACATCGTGGCTGTTACCGAGAGGCTCATGGCCTCAGAGCCGGTTGATGTGGCAGCGCTTCAAACAGGCCCAACCTCAATCGCGAGACAGCGTATGCTCTCGAGACATAGTCACGTAGGGAAAGAAAAGGGTTCAAAGGGAGGAAACAAAACGCATCACTGGAAAGGAATCCACCGAGGCGTATGTTAGGAGAAAAGCTAGTGATTTTCGCACCTTGGGGATAGGGATCCAAATTGATAACAAGCTCATCTGGTCATTTGGTTCATAGTATATTCAACAATGACAGCCAATGGAAAATACATAAAAATGTGCCGGCAGATGTGATAGCCAGCTTGGAATAGCTATGTTATTAAGTTCTGCTGACTAGTTCATTTGCAGTTGTATCGACGGTGTTAGAGAATAAAAGTGCCATTTCTTCTCTCAAAATGATTTTTGCCTGGAGATATAGAGGTCACTAAACCACTCTAAGCCTAGCGTAATATCAGAAAATGTCATCGCTTTTTGTCCCAGTGTTCGCTCTCCGCTCAACGTCAAGAAAAGGATACTCGTACTTTTGTACTCTCGTCGCAAAAGCTTGGTTCACTCCGAAAGACTGAGATCCGGCCAGCGGCTCAGTCATCATGTCAGCTGGTAAGGGTTCGGTGCCACTGCCGCTAGCTACCCAACCTTGCTCCGTCCTTTGAAGCCAGTTCATTCTCTTGGACCATACACTCTTGATTCGACGAATACTCCGAGTGGCTCGCTCACCAACCGCAAGCACCGGTCAATTCACGGGATAGCAAATAATAGACAAATGGCGCTTCAAACTTGCAGGAATATTCATAGAGCACACGCCACAGGCTCAAAACAAGTCCCAGTAAAGCATGGCTACATGTGAGATGTGAATTGTAACAGGGCCAGCTTCAGAACAGCGTGCCTGGATCTCGTGGCTATGATACAGGTACCGCTGCTCTGACAATATTGGCTTCGTGCTGATTCGTTCTCACAAAACTAATAAAGCTCCGTCTGGAATGTTGATCTGTGGTGTACTAGATCGAACACTTCCAGTCCATGAAAGCTCTAGACCCCAGGGACAACGAATCAAGACACCAGTCACACGGTAAGCTAATAAATCTCCTCCTGTCCCCATTCGGCGGAGGAAGCTCTCCATCCCTTCGCACCAAGTTTGTTCAGGTTGTGGGAATCCGGCCTCGAACCCACTTGTGGGCTGGCCACATGACAGCTCTCGATACGCACAATGATGTGTTCGCTGCGTTATCAGCCCTGTATGGTATTACCTGTTTCGCTGTATCATCTTCTCGGGGAAGATCGCCAGCATTTCCATATATTCTCCATTTTCTCTTCTCAATTTTCATCTTCTCTTCATCAGTCACCGTCGTCCGTGTCATCACTCTCTTACTCTCTGTTTCCACTTCCTTGTGTTAGCGTATATTATTTTTCCGGCTTCCTTTTGGAGTGGATTTGGCCTTGGAAACAAATGTGCTCTTAGTGTTGCATTCCTGTTTTATTTCGATCTGTCCTGGCCCCGGTTTCCATCCCCGCATTACCTCCGCTTGCTTGTGTGCGAGAGCCCGGGCTGGTGTCAGCTTTGATTTTATCACCTCCATCGGTCAATGTGTTGATATATTTTTCGATCTTGTTCTCCCATAGAACTTTATACCTTTTTTAATCCTGATATCAACCTCAAAGTTGACTGCTTGATGTCAATTACTAGGCCTTGTTCTACTCATTCATTATTCTTTCGTTGGGTTTCCATACTGTATATCGGCCGCATTTTTGTCCTGGTTGTCTAATATCTGTTTGGTCTTTTCTGCTGCCGTGTTCTGCGTTCCATGAAAGGTGGAAATGTACTTGGAGAGGCCTATTTCCCCACTTCGGCATGGAAACTGACCGAATTCTGCTTGTCACATCTTCTACCGGATCTGTGCAACCCAAGAGGTGCATCCGTAATCAAGGGACGCTGAGTCCGCCAACGGCTTTATCTAAGGTGGCGCCTGCTTCTCATACCGGTATACAGTCTGCTCGCAAGTTACCTAGCCATACCGTGGGCGTGAACAAATCCAAACAGTCAAAGAGTCGAAACGGTATGGATTTTCATTCACTTAAACCCGTTCCTTGAAGAATCCTCAACAGAGTTCGGGGTGATTTATGTGGCTCGACACGAGCAGCTGACCCTTTTTTTGGTGATCGATCAGGGTGTGTGACGTGCAAAACCAAGAGGCTCAAATGTGACGAGACGAAGCCGACATGTCAACAATGCCATAAAAGAAATGTTACCTGTGGAGGGTACAAAAAGGACTTCAAATGGAGGCAATTCGAGGAGTCCAGTTTTGCGAATAAATCTGCTGCTCCCAAAAGGAAAAAAGGTTATACAATTTACCGTAGATAGAACTGATTAGCCAACATTTGTGCTAACTTTGTGCATGGATAGCTCCTCTTCATGCACCACCGCCATCTCCCATAGTAGCCGGCCGCAAACCGATCTGCTCAGTACTGAGTCCTCTAATCCCTTATAATTCTAACTCGCCAGAGGAAGGTAGCGTGGGGGAGTACCAGCCCTCATATCCTTCGCTCGAGAGCGTTTCGTCTCTTTCTACATATGATATTTACTCGCCTGATCTATTGTCATCTCTTTTAAGTCTACGGGATCACCATTCAGATGATTATGATTGTGCGCAAATTATCACCGATTCATCATATATCTCCTCCATTCAATCGCTCGAATTACATGAAAATGGCCTGGTGAACGATGCAGTCGACCTGCTGGAGCGTCCCTCTGAATGGCTACCATCCTCTTTTCATTTCTCTCCAGCTCTTGCACATTTCGACAATGAAGACGTGGAAAATATAATTCGACAGTCCATCCCGGAAGTCAACTTTTCATCCTGTTGGGACGCTCCATCCTCTTCAGTGGATTGCTTCAAGAACCTGTTGAAAATGTCCATATCTTACGAGCCATCTTTGCATCTAGAATCTCCAGCAATGCTCCTGTCTCGGTACGACCGACAGACCTGTGGGATTCTATCCGTGAAAGATGGGCTATCTGAAAACCCTTGGCGCACCTTAGTGTGGCCCCTTGCCGCAGATTGCCCTGCACTCTTCCATGCAATATGCTGTCTGTCCGCATTTCATTGTGTCAAAGAAAACCCTCGCTTGAGAGTTCATGGTATGGACCATATGCGGCAGAGCATCAGTATGCTAGCCAGTGGGATCGGAGCCATGAAAACGGATGAAGCGTTAGCTACGACTCTTGTCCTTGTGTTTGCAGAATCCTGGGACCGACACATTTCCACTGGCATGCAGCATCTTCGAGGGGCACGGGTTCTACTGAACCAGGCCGTGGTGCGCCAACGCCAGCGTATTAATCCCTCAGAAAAAGAAATCGCATGCTTACGGTTCTTGTACAACACTTGGCTTTACACAGATGTTGTCGCAAGACTCATCTCGCTAGAAGACGACGAATTTGATGAAGCTTCAATTCCTCAGGATTTTACTCTGAATCTCCCACATTCGTCCGTTCACGAGATTGATCCTCTGATGGGATGTGCAACGACTCTGTTCCCACTAATAAGCCGAGTTGCCAATTTGGTCCAGAAAGTCCGCAGGTCCAAAAGTAACTCTATTCCCCTCATATCACAGGCAATGGAGCTCAAAACTCTCATCGAGCAATGGGAGACTCCAAAGTATTTCCAACCTCCAGAGGATCCAACTTCAAACGTCCAACAGAACTTCCAAACAGCTCAAGCGTATCGCTGGGCAACTCTGCTGTATCTACATCAAGCAGTTCCCGAGATTCCATCTGAGTGCGGAGCTGAACTTGCCAAGCGCGTTCTTGTGCTATTGGCTACTGTCCCTCTGAGTTCGCGGGCAACAATTGTCCATATATATCCCCTATTTGTCGCGAGCTGCGAGGTGGAAAGCGAAGAGGATCGGAATTGGGTCAAAGAGCGGTGGGCGGCGATGCAGTCGAGATTAATGATTGGAAACATCGATCGATGCCTTGAGGTTGTTCGGGAAGTATGGCGACGCAGGGACGCGTTCAATCGGCAGAATATGAATTCGCTACGAGCATCCTTCGTGCAGCCTATCGATACAACCAAACGAAAAAGCATCTACGGAGTTGGCAACGCTCCTGGCGTGCATGATGGCGAGAAGATGGAGGAAAATTCCGCGACTTTCGAGCTTTCAGACCAGAGGCCAAACAACGCATGCACTTCAGTTATCGCGGTTGCGGGAAAAGGTAAAACATCTCGTTCGTTCTCATCGCCAATTAGTCCGATTAGACGAGGATCTTTTATTCCCGGATTGGATGATATGGAGATCGAGCGCACTGTGCGGGGGAGATTGCACTGGGTCGGGGTGATGAAGGATTGGGACTGGGAAGGTATTTATACCATTCCTCCACATCGACCATTCACAGACCTTACTATCGCCATTTTGTTTCTATGATACCGTTTTGTCGAGAATATACATGCTAATTTTTGCATCACATAGTTCTTCTGGGATGATCCACCAACCAGCACAAAGAAAGAAAGAAAGCGGATGTGGTCACACTTCTATCGACGTTGCTTTGTTCGGTTTTATTTTCTGTCACATACCATATCGGCGGTTCAATATATAGCCCTCCTTCTCTCGGAGTTCACGAATGCTTTTTCCATTCTTCGAACGTTTAGTCTTACGATTTTGTAACGATATTACGCTTTCGCTCTTTAATTTAGCACGCCATTCTACGCTGCTCACTACAAACGGACTTCGAATATGGTTTCCCTAGACCGAACTTATCGACTCCCTGGAAACACCAGTGGGTCATATATAGCCTTATGTTTCATCACTCAGCCTTCTTTTCCTCTAAACAACCTCCTTTCACCCCGTTATCATTATTAATTAATCATTTCCACGAGTTAAGAAATTAACCTCTACTGGATTTCCTTTGGAATGAGAACCTAGTGACACTGACCATTTCGCCCCTGGGGGCCCAAATGCAGAACTACAAAATGCGATGAGGATTTCGCATATACACGGATATATTTTCGTTTAGAGCTCTCACGTAACTCACTCTAGCCCCCACCTTCCTATTTTAATCTATAATTTTATTTACGATGAAATGAGTGGAAAATGGTTTTTCCTTCGGCTGTTCCATTTTTTCCCCGAATTGGAGTTTGATTGCTCGTCTCTATCTTTATGGTTTCAGATATATAATTTTGTTTGTCCCCCCCTTTGACATTCATATTTGGCCCGGACAGCATACCGGATCGGATACGGGCGTTAATAAACGGAAGGAAAGAATGTGATATTCCTAGGACTGCAGGCAAATTGATGTGGATTCTGAGATTTTAATTCCTTTTATTGCTATTCTTAATTGTATCTTCGGTGCCAGATGTTCTCCGGTTTCTTTTTTAATATCGACTTTACGCCGCTCAATTACTACGATAATTTCCTCTTCGCCATTGTCATTTCCATTCTTGATGAACAAAATTGCCATTTGCATATAATCCATCCATCCTGTTTGATTGCTTCACTATAGTCTCCTTCAGAAAAGTTTCTTGCAGATCCATGACTATTAGAAAAATCCCCTACATGGGAGATTCGAGTCAAGCAAGCTCAATAATAAAAACAAGCTCCTCAAACGAAACAAACATCATATCTATCTGATGTCTTTATTATTATTAGGCCACTGATTCTTCAGCTTTGCATGAACACAGCGGTGCCAATATACATGGTCCCATCGAAAAAAAAAAAAAAAACAAAACTGTACGCACGATCGGAATACTTGGGCTCCAATCTTGATAACACCGATAATTTATCGCCTGGCAGCTGTAGTAGCGAATGAACTACCGCTGACTGCCCCTCACAGCAAATCTCTGGCAATTTGTTGCTGGCAAGCAGCACGCTAACCACCTCTTATCCACAACCAGGGCAAGCCCTTTACGACCACTCCAGGTCGCCATTTAGCGATATCCACTATGGCTGAAACGATGCCGCATACACTGGGACAGGATACCAAACTCATATCTCACCTGCCTGGCGGTTCTCAGGTGTCCGGCGGTGACATCATAGCTAACTATATATATACTTAATTTTTTTTCATTCAAACAAGAATTGAAGCATCCACTTTTTCATTTGCTCCATGTATGTGCAGATATTTGTCCACAGGCACAAACTCGAGCAGGCACAGTACATGTAACAGAATGAACGAAAGAGCAGTAGTGGTGGTGCTCTGCGAAAGTTTGATAGGCCTTACTTATTTGATTAAATATGAAGGGGGACTATTTTCACTTTTCTGAAGACACTCAGAGGAGTCTATACTCCCACAGTCCCCCATTAATTTCAGTAAAAACCTGTTCGCAGTTTGTAGAATCCTTCAATGAGTTGACATCAGTGATTGACGCCACCAGCTGGGCGTACGCAGGCTAACAGCACCAGTCGAAAGAAGTGGATATCATTTATGGATCCTCTCCCCCATCTCATGTAACCCCATCACGCAGGAAGAGTGTCGTCGGAGGATAAAATTGGCCAGGCGGCGTGGAGCTGCAATCTGCACGAAATCCAATTCTTGCCGTCCTATTCGTTGCTGCAGCAACGGCGCCACTTTGCGCTGGACGAAGCCTCAAACGAGCCCCGCTAACAAACAATATCGCAGACAACCGGCGCTGCAGCACAAGCCCAGAGCCAGAACAGCTTCTGCGTCCTCCACACTGCTGCTGCTGCTGCTGCAGACCCATTCCGTGCCCCAAGGACTTCACTACCGTCTGCTGTCAATATATCCTCCTCCCCTCGCTCCATACATCGTGGGCTTCTTCTGGCTGACGACGCGGTTGCTGAGCTCTGGTGGGGTAAATAGCACTCAAACGACGCCGCTATCATCAGCGCCCGATAACAGACATCAATTACACCCTCCACGGCCAACGCGCATATCAATTCACATTACAAACTGAGATGGCGGTTAATATCCCTTCATCTCCTGCTGGAAAGCAGGACTTCCGTGTCCCGCCTCTCCTGCACACTCGTTCTGGCAACGAGTTCTACGATCGCCCGCAGACGCCATCTCAAAGCGGTTTCACAAGCCCCTTCAGCACTCCTCAGGGCAGCCCAAGCAAGAATCGTCTTCCTCCCGGCGCAAGAGATCTCCCCAGCGTATTCGATCAAGCCATGAAACTCACGCCGCCCTCCCCGTCCAAGTCAGCGCTCAATGTGCCGTCGTTATCGCCTACGAAAGCTGCGCCATCGGGTGTTCACGAGGATCTACCCTCCTTCAGCGAAAGTGTCATTCACAGCAAAGACAACACGAATCAAGCTCGGAAATTAAATAAGGAGAACACACCTACTAATAGTCTGCGATTTGGCAGAGACCCGGCTGTCAACACAAACCAGGCAGCGGTCTCACGCCAGGAGCCATATCAAACCAGGCCAGCAAGCAGAAGAGGCCAATCCCACCTTCGTGGTCTCACAACAGATGAACTAGAAAAGCTACAGCTCCCGAATGTGAAACGACTTGCGAATGTGACTCAACTTTGTCAGTTTATTCTTTGTTTTCCCCCTCTCTGCTTGTTGTGTGAGATGGTGACGTGATTTCTCACTATTCACTTGCTAATGTGTGATAGACTTCCTGGATCATTATTTTGATCTATTGAGTTACGTGCATAATCGCCAGACGCGCCATGCTCAATTCAAAGCTGCTTATCCTCTCCCTCCAGAAACCCCTACCGAAGAATACGAAGCCGCTTTACAAAAATACCTTGGCCGCGAGCGCGCCAATCTACGCAAGCGTCGGACCAGACTTCGACATAACGATTTCCAAATTCTTACTCAAGTTGGACAGGGCGGATATGGTCAGGTGTACCTTGCACAAAAGAAAGATACTCGTGAAGTGTGCGCTTTGAAGGTGATGAGCAAAAAGCTTCTATTTAAATTAGACGAGATCAGACACATCTTGACAGAAAGAGACATCCTCACAGCCGCCAAGAGTGAGTGGCTAGTGAAGCTCCTTTACGCTTTCCAAGACGATGAACAGATATATCTTGCCATGGAGTACGTTCCTGGAGGTGACTTCCGTACGCTGCTTAACAATACCGGTGTCCTTCACAATCGCCATGCCCGATTCTACATTGCTGAAATGTTTTCATGTGTCGATGCCCTTCACGTCCTTGGTTACATTCACCGGGACCTCAAGCCAGAAAACTTCCTAATCGATTCAACTGGACATGTGAAATTGACCGATTTCGGATTAGCCGCCGGAATGCTTAATCCCGGCAAAATCGAATCAATGCGTGTCAAATTAGCAGAAGTCGGAAACACAAATGTTCCCTTTGGTAGGCCGATGGAGCAGCGTAGTGCGGCAGAAAGACGAGAGGGTTATCGTTCACTACGACAACGCGAAGTTAACTACGCGAAATCTATTGTCGGATCTCCCGATTACATGGCTCCTGAAGTCCTGAAGGGGGAGGAATATGATTTCACAGTTGACTATTGGAGCTTGGGCTGTATGTTATTCGAGGCTCTAGCTGGGTACCCTCCGTTTGCGGGAGCAACTGTCGACGAAACCTGGCAGAATCTCAAGCGGTGGCAGAAGGTCCTGCGGAAACCCCAGTATGAGGACCCGAACTACTTTTTGTCAAGGCGTACCTGGGACCTCATCGTTCGCCTGGTAGCTGCCAAGGAACAACGATTTAAGAACATCAGGGAGATCCACGAGCACGAGTATTTCGCAGAGGTGGATTTCAGCACATTACGAGAGCAGAAAGCTCCGTTTGTCCCTGAGTTGGACTCGGAAACTGACGCAGGCTACTTTGATGACTTTGGGAGTGAGGCGGATATGGCCAAGTATAAGGAAGTACATGATAAGCAGAAGGCTCTGGAGGAGATGGCGGATAGATCCGACCCAATGAGCAAGGGTTTATTTGTCGGCTTCACTTTCAAGTATGTTTCATTTTCAATCCTCCTATTTTGACAGCGTATTATTACCTAAGTCCTTACATTCTAACACCTTTGCCACTTAGGCATCGCAAACCTGCTATCGATAGCGATGGCCGAAGCACTCCTCGGAAACCCATCCTCACCGATGGAGGTTTTGGGACCATATTCTAAACGTATCTGAGTCACGCAATCTCAATGCTCCTGAAGCAAGGGCTTGCATTACACCCTTTTTTATATTCCCCATTGACAGATACCATAATGCACCTTGAGTTCGTTTCTTTGCCGATTGCAGAGCTGGCTCGTTTTTCATTCTCCGACTGTTTTTCAATCTCGAACACGTAGCGGAACCAGGCAATAACACCTTTTTTCTCCTTGTCGATTAATTCCGTTGTGTTTTCCTTTATCTTTTGCCCTTGCTTCTACCGAGTGCTGCAGCCCCGCGAATTATTCCGTTGTTTATTGTTATTGTAATGAGCCAGACGTTCTATATTCTAGGCTTCTTCAACCAAATATCTTGATCTGCTTTGCTTTCGCCCACCATTCAGGTCCGCGTGGGATGTAACGGGGTGGAGGGCGACGAGCGGAAGGGATACCACCCGAAGTGGTCACTGTGCCTCCGCGCGATAAACGAACTTGTCTGCATATTCACTCCACCTCCTTTGTTTTATTTTCTGTCATTAGTTTCTCCTGTTCTGCGTCAATGCCGTTTATGCCGCTAAGGATTCTTTTTCATCATCACTGTGTAGTTCATTTACATTATATTCTCCTTTTCCTTGTTTCCACGTTTTATTCTCGCATGTATGGGTCCTAGGTATCCCTTACCACAACTACTCAAAACTGTCCATAAGCAATATCTTGTGTTAGCTGCCTTCACGCTCCTTGTTGCTGCGTTTACAGCTGCTCCTTAAAGCTTTTTATCTCTGTCTATTATTTATTTTTCTTATCCTCGTCCAGCCAGCCAACCAGGTCTTCTTATCCCCCAGAAGTGCTCAGTTTATATTTATTTCCTCGTTCTTTCATTCTGTTATTATTCAAGTCCTACATCATTTCTACTGTTTTTTGTCACGGCTCCCTTTGTCCTCTTCTTAAATATTCCACATTCTAATTCTTTTAATGCGTATCCGGTGCCCTTCGCCCGGTCGTGGACTTCCGTCGACCTTTTTCATTCTCTCTCTGTTTTTTCCCCCTCTTTTCTCCGTTTTTCTGGTATTACCTCCGCTATCTGTCTCCCCTTCATCGCCTACCGCCCTAGAATAAACCCCATACGCCCTATTTCTTTCTTTCTCTACTATATCACTCAAGAAATACGGCACGTGCAGAATGAGTCTTTAATGCACGGTTCCGCCCTAGTTAGCATTTCAATCCCCTCTCCTCCAAATTTTCCTCCGACTCAGGCTTGTAGATTAAATAGAAAAAGCACGTCTTTTATTTAATCCTAAATGAATATGATATGGTATATCAAGAGATGAACCAGCAATAGCAAAATAAGATGCAGTGAGAATGTATTGAGAATAGAATGTAACGGGAGAGGACATAGTTTGATGGACACAGAAATTGTACAGCTGACATTTCTATATAGTCCTCAAAATAAGTTTTTATACTATGCAAAGAAGTGTACGTATAGTATAGTGATGGAGCACAGCTGACAGACATATTTCCAGCTCCGTCAAGTTTCAGAACAGCAACCCAGATTCAAGTATTCCAAATGACTAAACATCAATAATGTGACACAGAGATGCCCAGTTCCATTTCATCCACATTCGATACATTCCGTGCGGTCAGCGTAGCTACTCCCTCTGATCCATTAAAGGGGGTTCGCAAAATGTGCGCATGCTTTGCCTGCTGGATAAAGATAGCCTTGCGATAATCACCAACACTCCGAATGTCCTTCTCTTTTTCCGTTGAGGCAACCTATGCTGTTGCCCAATAGTGTAGTACAATGTCCATGCAACATATCTGCTACCTTGGAAATAACTCTTCAGGCGTGACGGAGCATCCTCCTCTCCAGACGCTAAAACGTATTCCTCTGCCAACTTCCCATCTAAACAGGCCATCTGCGTCCTGAAAGCGAACATCGAATAATAGACTATTATGATATCAATAGTTGACGTGCCTGCCTCAGTTCATTGCGGCGATGTATCGGGCGGAATTTCGCGGACAAGTTTTAGAATCTCGGATTCATTATCTCCAATCACAGCAGTGCCGTTATCCCAATCGACGACCTATATAATAAGGGAAATTGAAAAAACAGAAAGCAAATGAGTTAGCCTTCATAGCCCCGAAACAGCAAAGTAGAAGTCCGCACCGCTCCTCAAGACAAGAACCAGTGTGGAAAAAAAAAAAAAAGAAAAAAGGCCAATTAATATCTCAAACTTACCACAGGCCTAGTGAACCTGCTCCCATCCTCCTTCAACCTCCTCATGGCATCCAATCTATCCTGCGCCCCCTGCACAAGGTCACCAGGCATCGCCATCGCCGCCCCGCCTCTCGCTTTCGCCACGTCCCCGCCCACACCAGCACCCACGTAGTCCAAAATACTTTTCAGTTGGTCAGGCGTAGGCGGCTCCTCGGTCACATTCAACTCGAACTCGGACCGGCGGCTTGCGGGAGCGCCGGAGGCTTCGTCACGGATTGAAGCGGTGGCGGCATCGGTATTGGCTTGTTTGAGGAGGGCGAGGACGCGGGTGGATGCTGGAAGGGAGGGTTTGTGGAAAAGGGTTATTACGTCGAGGGTTTTGTGCTGATTTTTTTTTTGTTAGTTGGCAATTGGAATGGAGATCAAGGTTACGGATGGAGATAACATTTGACGTACGAAGCGGAACATTTTGAGAACTCTTTTATTCTATGGTCTGTAAGCGAGAGTATAAGAGAGTGCGTATGACTTGTTTTTATTGTTGTGATTGTAAAGCTATTGAGTTGAGTCAGATTGGAATGACGATGGTGAGCTTCAACAGCTTGTTGGATCGGTTACGTCATGGCCACGGAGGATTGAGTTTCCCCATATCAAACATGAGCAACGAGCAATATATATCGAAACATAAACAAAGTAAATAGTAAATGGGGCACTGCATATAACAATGGCCAACTCAATGGTTTTTGTGATATTCAAGAGAAGGGAGGTCAGCTAAATGACTTCCATGGTTTTAAATGAAATCCGATCTAACACTCGGTGACACATGCGTGTATATTTATCAATGACGGCTTTACTTTCGCCATATCCAATTCATGATTACATCCACTTTTTATTTGTTAGCCGTTGATCGTGATATTCGCTTTGAAGCAATCAGCACGACCAGCATGATTAATAGGGCAAATATCGATGTCCTGGGACCCCATTGACTGCTGCTTGTTGGCGTATCTAGTCACGATTTGGAAGCGTCTTGCTTATCTCCCTCCGCTGGAATTATCCTCTCTAAGAATTTCTGTAAGTCTAGAATCTCCATCGGGTCCGCTGAATGACCTAAACCACTGCAATTGGAGTTAGCGTCTTCGAGAGTCCAGGAAGCGGTATTCTGTGGCTAGAACATAGGTGACAGGAGAAGGAGCAAAATCATACGGATATTTATTAAACTCTACCGTCATTCCCAGTCCCTTTATATGATCTGCCGACCTCTGACCCCATTCATATAACACCGTAGGATCGGAATCGCCATGAGCCATGAAAACGGGAGTCTGTCTGTTCGGAAATCCATCCGGCATGAACGTTGATAGCTTCTCACTTAATGGTAAATAACAGGAGAGACCAAAGATGCCACCTAGCTTCTCCCTCTGCGTAATACCGGTGAAAAGCGACATGGCGCCACCTTGAGAGAAGCCTCCCAGAATGATACGCGAAGGGCTTATGCCTTTATCGATTTCTTCTTTGATCAGGGTGTTGAAATAATCGCGTGATTTCAGGATTCCGCGCTCATCCTGGAGTCTGGCAAATTCCTCAATAGGAACCTATTGATGTTGTGATTTGAAGGTGATCAGTCCTTATTTAGCAATTATAATTCTGCGGCAGGATCATGACTTGGGGGTGGACTAAAACAAACGTTCGCTCCCAATTTCACGATATCATACCAGCCTGGCATCGACATTCCGAAGTTCTATATCCAACCATCACACCTGCACATTAGCGGACTTCTGTTCATAAAATATTCTAGCCAATCTATTTCTGAACCTCCCTTCCATCAGTAGGTATAATTTCCTTACAATAGTAATAGGAATAGATGGCGCATTCGGGAAAATAAATGCAACCTCATCGAATAAGCCCCGACGCCGCCAATTTTGCGCAAGCATGAGCCTTTACACTCCCAAATAATTGAGTTTCAGTTCGTCAGTTGAATAACCGAAATTCGTTGATACATTTGGCGCCGCAGCACGGTATTGCATGTATGGCCTGTGGGAGATTTATCCATACCAACCTGCACCACTATATATCGACAAACGGACAAAATTGAAAGTCAGATATTTCACTCTTATTCATTTCCCCCCCAAATTCTCTCACGTCCTCTAACTTCTGAAGACAAGTCACCAAACCCTTAGAGGGCTGCAAGAATTGGAGGACGAACCTATCACCCAATCCATGGGCCATGATAACGGTAGCAGTGTGCCTTGTCAGGGCGGGGACAACGAGCGGTGCTGCTGCAGCCATGATTGGTCCAGGAAGCTCTTGCGACGAAAGTGAAAAAATATGATAGAATCAACAACTCGCAAGTTTACTTGAATAACTTGAGATAAATTGCACCGTGAACAGGGCTTTGTCTCAGCGATTCTCGCATATTCTGCCTTGGTTCGCCGCTTTGGTTCCTTCTACCAAACCTTAGCGGGGGCGTCTTAACTAAGAGAAAAAGCATTAAAAAGCACTGTTCCCATTATCACCCAAAACATAATCTACGTGAAAAACAATCCGCGAACAAGAAGAAAGCGAGGACCAAATAAATGAACAAAATTTGCTGCACAAGTTTCAGAAACTACAGGAGCGCGCCCGCGGCCAAAACTGCCACGCCCAAAACTCCCCAAGCAGCAGTTTGCAATGATGCTGCAGCATTCCCCGAGGGGTTCTTGCCACCTTGGTTGTTGTCGCCATTTCCACCTCCTGATCCACCTTGGCGGCCCCCATTAGCTGTGGATTCATTGGCATTAATACGCCCGACTGAGGTTGGGAAAGGACTGGCAGTAACACCTGTGCCATTCTTGCAAGAACCATCTGGGGAGTCATCAGAAGCGCTAGCAGTGAACACGAGGTCTGCGCACTGTTCGCAAGACAAGTAGAATAAAATCATCAGCCCATGCTCTTCAATCTTGAAAATATATATATATATATATATGAATGCGAGAAAGGAGCAGCTCACGTTATACAATCCACCTGTGGGATCGCCATTGGTCACAACTTGCAGCGTTGCTTCCATGCCCTCCGTCAACCGTGTGCCAAGCTTCTCCTCGCTCAATTCCACATCGGGCAGACAGAAATCACCCAGACCTATTTGTGCGAACGTCGGGACCAAAGTGATGTTGAAATTCGTGCCTGGGTCTGAGCCCAGTGCCAAAAGGACCTGGACGGCGCTGTGATCATGGCCCATTTTCAGCGCGATGTTGAGCTCTGGGTCAGTGAGGGAGACTTGAGTGCGTTGGCTAGAGGCGGGCAGGCCACCACAGGGGAATTCTGCGAGTTTATCATGGTCGCTGCCGCGGGAACGTGGTTCAACAAGGTCGAAGTGGCCGGAGGCGAGGGTCAGAAGGAATGTTAGAGGGAGGAGGTGCATTTGGACGTGCATGTTTGCGGCTTCAGCGAGCTTCCGTTGGTTCAATCGACTTCTCTAGGAGATTGGGACCTTTTCAATCTGTATCAGTTAACGAATATCAGTGAGAGAATGTGAAAATAGAAATTGACGAAGTAAACCTCAATTGGCCAAAGACACCATTGAAATTGTTCAACTTACAACGCAAATCAAAAATGGAAGACTCAACACTTACAGGGAATGCAGGTGGAAAAACAAAACAGGTTGGTCAGCACAGTAGCTAACGATCTGATGACACACTGAACGACAACAAAAATGGTATATGGACTGGAAACAAGGAATTATCATGCGCAATTTACAACTTCAAAAAAATAAATATGGAGCAATGGAAACCCACGCACGAGCGCACAACGTGGTTATTTAAGAAAGCTGCAACAATCATCATCTCGAGCGACTTGCGGCATGGCGCATGGTAAGACCAGGACCCTCCCCACACATATCTCTCTAGCACAGTGTGATCGCCCGGTATGTGATAAGAAACAATCGCAGGCTCCACTTTGATGGCCTAATGCCGAAACCCCATTCTTATTATTGGTATCGGTAATTCAAACTGCATACCACTCTCCCCCTTAAGCATACATACCATGTTCGTTGGTCATACGCAGTTTATGCCATGCTCTAGCGGGGCTTCAAGCGCGGAACAAGTGAATTTTGAATTCTCGAAGCATTGCACATAGATAAATGCCTTCGCCCTAGAGCACATTAATAATTTTCTCCGTGTCAGAGCAAAATTTTCTGCAAGGATAAAAAATTCCTCGAAATGTATACGCTGTACTGTCGCAAACAAACTCCTGCCGCCAACAAAAGAAAATTGCATGTAGGAAAGAATGAAAAAGGAAAGGATCAGAGAAGGGTAAAACGAAGGGAATAATGAACCAAAACAATGATAATCTGCTCAATTCTTCTCACAGCATGGGAGGAGCCACCTACCCACAAGAGGTGTTCGAATGCGATTTTAGCTGGCCCCGCCCACTGGGCATCTCCACGCCTCATGGTAGCGCGGGGAGCTCTGACAAAATATGAACAAAGAAGAGCCAAACGATAGTAGGAAGTTGATATTTCGCAGATATGTAGTCGATTTGCCTGTGATATCAACGGATGCGCACACATCTGAATCATAACTGCCCAAGTAATCCAGGAAGCAACTTGTCCCGGAGAACTGTCCCGTCCTCTCCCACCAAATGGCTATTAAACCGGAGAAATACTCTCCGTCATCCAGGTTATGTTACGCTTGAGCATAATAAAACTCAAGGCCCGTAATCCCTCGAGCCTGGCTCTGGCGGAGTCACTTTTGATCAATTGTTGTACGAGGAAGAATCCTCCCCACGAATCTCAGCCTCGATGCACAATGACCCACCGATTCGGTAAGGGACCAGAACCTACTGTACATTTGAAATGCCAGAGTTTGTGCCTGGCGTTTGAACGCGCATATCCATACTACCCGTAGGGTTGCTGAGCTAATCGGATTGGAGATGGCGAGAGGACTAGATTGTGGGAAGCGGAACGAAATCGCTCTTGTATATAAGGATACTCTGGATATTATCCCATATATATATATATAGTACATGTTCCACCCAAAAGGGGTAGCCAGGAACTGATTCATGGCACGTTTTATGCCACCCTCGCCCAAGAAATAACATTTCAACCCTAAAGGTGGGGGCAGGAGGGGCCAGAAGTATATCCTTAACATGCATGAAAATTCAACCCGCATGATCTATTCCATTCTACTACATCTAGTGGAAGAGAAAAGAAAAACAGGCGAGGGCAAGAACTATATACAGGATAAATGGAAGACTAAAACTCCTGGCATCATTAGGTATATCTCTTGTAGACGAGAAATACGTCAATACAGCATTCGTAACCCAAAAAGAAAGGAACGCGGATATTGTCATTTCAATGGGTTTCTGAACTGCCGAATCGGCCAACAGCAAGGTCACCAACGAAGACACCAGCAAGAATAGACATGAAATAGCCAATATTCATCGTCATTACAGCCAACATGCTATAAAATACCCCATTAGTTTTAGTTCTGCCATAGTCTGCCTGCACTCACCAATGATATAAATAGGAATGGGAAAAGAACGGGAAAAAGGATGAAAAAAATCTTACAGCAAATATCCTACACCTGCAATAACCATCACCAAAGCAGCCCGTGGTAAATCAACACTGAACCTGAAGGGCGGTGTACGGTTCAGCGGCCGTCTGACAACCTTCACTTTCTCTTCGACACCATTAGACGTAACCAGATTGGCTGTGGACGCGTTGGGGTCGTTTTGTATACGTTCTGCTTCCGGGGTTTGGCCAGCAACAACGACATATCGACGAGAATATGCCGCGGCGGCCCATCGGCGGTCTAGTTGGATTTTGGCCGCAATCAGCGCGCGGAACAGCACAGCGAGGAGGAGGAGGAAGATGCAAGTGCCTGCGTAGGCACCGGCGGACCGCGGGGTCCAGGCATTGCTAAAGAGAGGGGTTGCTTGGATGTTTTGGAAGACCATCACCATGGCGAGTCCGGGATCGGAGGATGATGGCATGGCTCCGCCGTGGCCACCATCACCATGAGGGGACGGCGACATTTTTTGGGATTGGCCTTATATGAAAAAGTTTTTTGGGTGGAATTGTTTGCCAGATATTCGCTGATAGGTACTATTTGCGAAGATATATCTTTTTCGTTGGAGAATGTAATGGTATATTATGCTCTATCTTTCTTTGGAGATTCAGGGATTCTCGCGAATGAAATGAGTAATTGTCTATCCGCCTGATAACTCTCGGAACGGCAGTTTAGCAGCAGAGACACTGGAAAAAACAGGAGTAGCTCTGTTTCAACGAGGCTCTACCGATTCAACATGTGGTAGAATTAACCAAAAATGTAGCGGATGCGACGCTTCGAACGCGAAACATAAATATCTAGCCTGGCAAGTCTGATGGACTTAAGTAGAGAGGTCACGACGACAGCGGATGAGAAGATATGGCAGCAAAGCAAAGACTGCCAGTGGTCGTCGCGGATTGAGGAGATCCTAGGATCCCAGGAGGAAACTGAGTGCTTTGGGAGCGATTTTGAGCATATATCGGAGGAAACCAGCAACCATGTCATTCCGTTCAATCTCCGCCAGCCGCAGATAATGCTTCCACGAGATTTCTTCAAAAGATTTCCCACACCCCGCCCGAAGTCCAGGCCTCGTTGGTGTCAACGAGGGGCCCCTTGTTGTCAAAGCCACCCGCAGCAGGCCCACGAGGTGTCAAAATCGACCGCCAGACCCGATTTCTGCAGATGTCGCCTCTCTTCTTGGTCAACAAACAGCAGGCCAGCTTTGGGCTATATCCAGTTTAGCCGAGGCGGCGGAGGCGCGCTTGAGCAGATTATGTTGGTTTCAGTGCTGCCGCTAAGGGAAAAAAAAAAAAACAAAAATCCCGCTTCAGAGATCAGTGGAATCTGTTCTGGTAATAGGGCGTACAGTTGAACGTGGTTTATTCAAACATGAACATGGTTAATTTTTCGGGCCGGAATAACCTTCGGCGTGGTTTTGACCATAAACCATGTCAATCCCCCCATTAAAACTACATGTGCTAGCCATATCTCCCACACATCTCTCACACATCTCTAAATGCTCTGAATGCTTCAGAGACAGTGATTTTATCATATTTCTCTGAGCTCTATTTCTTAGCTAATCTAGATTCTAACTCTAGATCACTAATTCTAATTCATAACTGCTTTTCATATATTGAAAAGTCTCAGATGTTGAAGTAGAAGAACTCAATAAGAGCTGATTAGTAATATACAGTGATGGTGTATAAAGATGTTTAGTGTATGTACATTTTAGTGAGAGAGTGAGGACTGAGCATGGTTTATTTTTCAGACCCACTTTTTTTAAACCATGTTCAACTTTTAATAAACCACGTTCAACTGTAACCCGCTGGTAATATTACAAGCAAGATCACCAGGGCATGGCGTAATATTATGCTCATTTTGTCTCTCTTTCTGACTGTTGAAAATTACGGCGGTCGGTCTCGCTGCCGACACAGGAAGAGCGGCTGTTGCATGATTTGATACAATTGTCATCCCAACACCCGCCCCGCCCTCAAGCGCCCAGCGGAACACTTTTGGGTTGCCTGTCGTTTCTCATGATATCTACTATCCCATGGCGGATGTTTCTATGTCCTAGCCCGTAGTCCGCGATGGGAGAATCATAAAGTATTGTTGGGCTATGAGAGCGTCTCCCGATAACATATCCCAACAATTGAAGATATATAAATACATACATATCAAATCAAGCTTTAATTCTATACTCATATATCGGACACTGTTCCCCCGCAGAACTCACGCTTCGGGGTAAACAACTGATAAAATGAACATGAACCATGCCGGCCATGGAGGAGGAGGTGCTCCGAGCACTGGAGACGCTCCCAGCTACTTCTACATGCAAAAGATGTATTGGGCAGTTGTGGGGAGCACCATCGCGGTAGCTACTGTGGGCAATGTCCTGAACAAGATAATAGCAGCTCAGAGGTGAGTTATGTCGATTTCGTACATCCCCAAAACTAGAAACTTCAATGCTAACAGACGAGTTGACAGACTGGCTGATTCAGGCCCAACTCCGTCGAAACCAAAATCTCTCTTCTTTACCAGCTATGCCACCATCACTGCCATGACGAGAGAGCTTTCCAATTACCCCCTTGGCCCCGTCATTGTAGGCGGTACCAAACTGCATTTGCCCCCTCTGGGGCCGGTAATGCTAATGCTCGCTAATCTAATTGTCGTGCTGGTCCTCTGCTCCTACAAATTAAACTTGATGGACCAATGGAGCTGGGAGAATGTGGGCTATCGCACTGGATTTGTCACTATTTCACAGCTACCCCTCGTTATCCTGCTCTCCAACAAAATCAATATCATCGGCCTCCTCATCGGATCGAGCTATGAGAGACTAAATTGGCTTCATCGGTGGGTTGCAAGGACAATGTGGCTCACCGCAACTATCCATATGGGATTCTGGTTCCGCTCATGGGGCAGATATGATTACATTCTAGTAAAATTGACCACGGATCCAATCACCCAACGGGGTTTCGCGTCATGGTGTATCTTGACCTTCATAGTCTTGGTCTCCGTGGCACCCGTGCGGAAACTCAGTTACGAGATCTTTGTATTGGTGCATCTTCTAACCTTTGCCGGCTTCCTTGCAGCTGTGTGGTATCATGCGCAGGACGAGGTGAAGGAATGGGTGTGGATACCTATTGGGCTCGTCGTTTTTGGTCGACTCGCCAGACTTAGCGTGGTATTATATTCTAACTTATCAATTTTCCATGGGCTTCGGGGTGCAAAAATCTCGCGGTCCCTTTGGGCTAACAAGGCCACTTTCACACCCTTGCCTGGAAATGTTACGCGAATTGTGGTGCCAAACCCAGTGATATCCTGGAAACCTGGACAACATATGTTCCTATCATGTCATGGGCTGGTTCCGCTCCAAAGCCATCCCTTTAGCATTGCTTCGATCCCCGCGGATGAGAAACTAGAATTCCTTGTGCGCGCGCAAAATGGGGGCACCAAGAACTTTTTCAAGCATGCTTCAAAGGATCTTGACCTATTGAGTGGAGGGGCTAGCCTCCAGAATGCTAAGCTGGTGGGAGTTGAAGGCCCGTACGGAACGATACGGCCGCTGCGACAATTCGACAGCCTCGTGCTCTTTGCCGGGGGAATAGGAGCCACGTTCACGATGCCCCTGATGCGTGACGTTTTAGAGGGCTGGAAAAGCGAATGGTTCGGGAACATACCACGGCGGGGATCGTTTTTCCCGTCTCCCGACCGCGCAGTTACGAACCGGATCCGCTTTATCTGGGTAATTAGATCCCGATCACTGCTCAGCTGGTTCTCCGAGCAATTAGAGGCTGCGTTACAGGATATAGATGCATGCCGCCAGAGTAATGCAGCTTTCAAAGGGGAGCTTGAGTTCAGCGTCTATGTTACGTGCGATGAGGAGATGTCTTCAACGACAACATCCCAACCGCAGCTGCTACAGCCAGCGCAACAGCAATTTACCAACCGCACTCCTCAGGTAAATGAAGGGGCCAAAGGAGAAATAGAAGAGAAAACCATTGAAACCCTTTCCATCAACTCCACCTCGACAGCTGAGGAATCTAGTCCACCAAAAAGACCGACCACCTGCCAGCCAGATGGCGGATGTTGTTGCACACGCAAGGTCACTGACGAAAATTCCTCCCTCACTCCCTGTAACTGCTCAGGCCCATCTTCACCTCCAACTCCTTTAACAACATCCGAAGAACCAAGTATCCAAGAAAAGCCAACCCCTACATCAGTCCCAGCTCTATCAAATGAACCTCCAACCACCACCTCCATCACCACGCAACGACCCAACGCCTACCCACGCCCCAAATCAGATGGCGACCCACGTATCCGAATCCTTTCTGGTCGGCCAGACTCGCGGGGCATAATCCGCAAAGTTCTCGAGTTGGCAGAAGGCGAGAGCGCTGTCGTCGTTTGCGGTCCACGTGGGCTTAATGCTGATGTCCGCAGGAGTGTCGTGTCACTAAGCGATGAGAGAGCGGTCCACAAGGGCACAGGCGCTCAGGGGATATATTTACACGTAGAAAGCTTTGAGTTCTAGTTCCTCCGTTTTCCTTCTTGGATTTATATATTTTGTGTTGAACCTTGGGATGGCGCTGGCATTTTGTTCCTCGAGATTTGGTGGGTACACAGTAGTTCCGGATATTTTCTGCTAATGTAAATACGATTTTGGCTCTCTTTCTTCTTTTTGTCCTCATAGACACCAATATCCATCTTTAGACTACCTACCATCAGCCAGCTTCTTGAAAATGCCGGGTAAGAGACCAGATAAAAACGTGACTTTCGGCAATGCTGGAAACAGCCGAGGTTGGGTGGCCCGTGCAGGCCACGTCTATCAGCCACAGATCAATATGGAGCAGGGATTCCCAGAGCACACCGAAGACAGGATGGAAAAATCGATATCGACGGCTTCCATCCTCCATTCGTTAACGATTACCTGGACAAAAACATCTTGCTTGTTCAGCTTGTCTTTCCCAGTCTCTTCAATTACCCAAGAAATGTCCCAAAGCTCCTCTCCGTCCATTGTTTAAACTTTGTTTCTTTCATCCGCCTCCGGGTTTTCGTTCTTGGTACATCAATTGCACATATACATGGGCAATCTCCCTTTCTATCTCCCGGTTTCGCGGAAGAAAAAGAAAAGAGGAAACAAGAGTATATTTGCTGCCCTCGGCATAAATAGGACCGGATTATATCCCAAGCAAAGGATACGGAAGCTGAAACTCCAAGTCAAACTGAAAATATTGAAGTACAGAGCCATCAAGAAGATCAAGAGTATTGCTTCCATCAGCTGAATTTTGTGTGTGGATATTTGCAGCAACAGGTCTGAGCCCCTTCGAGGGTTGACGACAGTGTACATACTATCGAAGAAGCGGAATGGTTCAGGAGAACGGCGCTTCCACACCTTCTCTCCCTGCATCTAGGAGCAGAAGTAAAGAAACCGATGGCATCGACGACAACAATGGAGTGACAGAGTGTCAAAGAACTGTTACGAATCTGTCTCCTTCGGTGGCTCGCCCACCGGCTCGTGCAGATCAGAATACTCCCAGTGTGTGGCAAGAGATTGTATCCACAGCACGGTTCATAACTGGCGGATTGCATTACCCAGTAGAGAATCTGATGTATGTCATATCGACAGTGAGTCAGATTAGTTCAAAACTTTTGGGTAGAAGGGTATTTACGCCGGAGAGTGATATTGGGAATTTAAGCGGCAAAGTTATACTTGTTACAGGAGGTATGTTCAGTACAATTTTCTCTACCCTGAACATCACATAATAGAACTTATAGGTTCTCGTCGACAAGTGGAACTGCGTTGAGCTCCTAATGTGTCTGACAATATCACTAGGAAATTCTGGACTCGGCAAGCAAACCGCCCTCCAGCTCGCAAAGCACTACCCATCCCGTATCTACCTG